TCACATGACAGTCATCCTACATCTTGATAGATGAGATCTCACCTGTAGTCCTGGGTCTTTGGAGGTCGCACCGCATTCAATAGCGTTTTGCGGGCAACGTCATACATGATTTTTCTTTCCAAGAGGGGTCAGCAATACTTTGCAAGTTGAAATCATCCCTTCAAAGGCGGCGGAAGACCTTCCTTCCGCTGAATAGCTGTCCACGGGTTTCTGGGAGATCCTAGCAATCATCTCAGCGTCAATCCCTGCTGCCGTAGGCCCTGCCGTCAAGTTCAACCAGCTCCCCTTTCAGAATGGACCAATCTTACAACATTGAACATTGATATAAGCTCCCTCTGGTGCAGGAAGCTTGAGCCACCACCCCAGCCAAATTACACGAAAGCTTCTTGCGGTTGGTGTTTCGTCAAGCGCTTGCAGTCCCAACCCTCGCATCGGCAAAATATGCGTGGGGGCGCGTTCCACGACGACGGCTTACACATAGGAGAGTGAGCAAAAGCTCTCTCATGTGACAGCAGCACGAACTATTCCTTCCTCTGCCGCAGCACCTTGAATACTAGGCACACCGGACAAGGTCTGTCCCGTCTGTCAACGATGGAATGTCCGAGATTACGGCCGCTCTGGATGCGGCGCATACCCAACTCCGTTTTATCTACATGTGATTATCCCCGGATTCTAAATATTTGGATAGTTTTCCGAAAGTATGTATGTCTCATTTTCCTCGAGTTGCACTACACTCGAGTGGCTTCTGCATCCGCCTACTAGCATGCCTGCGGAGTTGGGTCGGTCGAGCCAATTGTTGGTTCCAGGATGTCATCCACCATCGTGTGGTGGCGAAGCCTGGGCTTGTTGGTCCTCTGTCTGATAATGGGCACATCATTTCTTGTGTGGATCACCGAGAAGAATGTTGTTTGTCGTTGGTTTTGGGTTGAGTTCTCAAATACCGGACTTCCCGCTCCATCCCTTGCTGCACCGAGAGACCGAGAGGCGGCGTTGTACAACGTCGGCTTGTCCGGCTCGCCTGTTGACTACGCCTGCCCTGGTCTGGCCATTGGCCTGGGAGGTTGCTTTCATATATGGCATACCTGATCATGGTCGCGTTTTGTTTTAATGGCAAATTTCATGTAAATAATATGTAAACCAAAGCGTTGGGCCATCACTACGTTGCGCTTCTGAGACAGAGGAGGCGACATTCAGATTTGTGTCTCCTGTTGGCCTAAAGAGCTTGCATCTTGTCCGACGGTGTATACTTTCAATACCTGATTGCCCATGGTGGTTGTAAGAAAGGGAAGAGCGCATAGCTTAAAGGTTATATAAGTTTCCCCCGTTAGTCGTATTGTTTGTGTGCAATATATTGATGAGCCATGACCTCCTGGTCTGTTTGAGTTGGCTAGGTGAGCTTGCAAGATGTCAACATGATGAGGTTTAATCACGGTCATAGTATATCGAGGCTAGATAGAGCACGTACAATGATTTAATTCCACTGTCCGACTCTGTCATTAGCGAGTCGGCCACAATCCACGACTCAGACAACAATCGCTAAAAGACATGGCATCTTGACCTTGACCTATCCTTGCGTAACTTGTGTAGGCTTTAATCGTCGAATTTGAAATGAGCATCACACGGTAGAACAGTAAAAAGACAAGCAAGTGAGAAATTTATGCAAATCATTCCCTAGACTCTAGTTGGACGACCAACGGGTACTTTGGTTCATGTATGCAGTGTTCCATCCATACAGCTTGAGGTTCCATTGCTGAAGGCAGTCAAGAGCTTTATAAAAGACCAGCTGTAGTGTCGTATTTGCCTATCGCGTGGTGATCAATGTGTAGTCCTAGTATGTCGTGTGATTGGGAACTAGACACGTGGGATCATAGTCTGAGAATCTCCAGATGCCTTGCGACTGGGAACCTAGGGACTGGCTTTACTTGATTAAAATGAGGGTATGATGTTTTGAAAACGGAAGTTTTCTTATTTGACAACTCTACTTAAACCCCGTGGTTTTCTCCTATTGCTGGTCTGGCGGCCATGCTTGATATGAGGGTTTCAAGCGCTGTCGCTTGGCCATTATAATATCATCACAATATGTCACCACGAATTTCTTAGATTCTTGCCTTGTTCCCGATGATGAAACTATAGAAAGAAACCAATACTGGAATCCAGTGAAGGTGGTTCTGTCAAGGTGTTCGCAAGCGGCACCTGATCCCGTCTCTCGGATCCTGCCACAAAAGACAGTTTTACATCGATGCTCAATTTTTCGAGGCAAAACAGTCTAATAGCGCCACTTAACTTAATATCATATATATTATGGGTTTATTAAAGCTATCATCATGGCAAGGAGTTCTCCTCGAACCTGCATCGAACAAGAGTGTATCACTGCAACGCCGTATGCTACGCATTTTAAGGGATACAATGTAAATGGTCAATAACATTGTTTCCCTCTGTTCCCAATTATGATTGATTATCGATATATAGCTCGATCCGGCTTGCAGAGTACCATGTCGACCTACATTCTGGCGAGCATGGAGCGGAGTATGCACTGAATCGATAATGTATTGGCCACGGATGTAAACTATTTGGTTCGACAACGGTATTCAACGTATCCAACCATAGAAGCTATATAGCCGAGCCTGATGAATGAATATTAGTTGACGCAGGATGCCAAGTGTTGAAAACGAGCATAGATGTGACGCTTCTGTTACATTGGACTGCAACAGGATTGCAGTTTGGTAACCGAAAGGATTGAGGCAATTTTAAGGCAGACTTGCCTCTTCGTCATTCCAACTTTGCCACAGAAATTAAGATTCATCTCTGTATCTTTGGGACACTATGACGTTTGAGGAAGTTATGTCTAAGCTTGATGGGATGCGTGAGTACCAGAGTAAGATATCATCATGATTGCTCATTAATCAGATCTCATCAGTTTCAACACTATTAGCACCCTTGATCATGTAGATGTAAATAAACATGCTTGGCAAAGATACGCTTCTTCGAGAGTCCTGATTCCCGTCGGAATACGTCTGACTTAACGTCTAATGCAGCAGTTTATCTCTACTGAGATGAATGCATCCCATGGACGTCTCATCTCGTACCCAGAAGCCGTACATTCAAGGTTTGTTTTTTGGCATCTCTAGTGTCAGAAACTCCTTAGCCTTGTCAGCAAATCAGACAGAGCCGCGAGACATCCCAGTCCCAGCCGGGGTGTAGGAACCCTGCTCTCTGCCCCTGTCTATCATCTAGACTATCACAAGCCAAGATGCCAACTGGTTCAGGTGAAGCGTATAGATGCATTCGGCAATTATTTAATTTATCACTTTCCCCATTGAGTGGGCTAGACGGCAGCTACCGCGACTTAGAGGCTCTGTACACGGCGAACTCCTGAGCTATGATAATAAGTAGAGTTGCATTAGGTGCAAATAATTCATCGGGTAGAGGCTTGGAGATAAGTTGGACATAAACCTCCACGAAATATCGACGAGTGGACATGTAGTCACGACATCTTTTCATTAGATTCGGCCAGCCCAACCGGTCCTGTCCGTCTCCTTCCAGAACTGGCACGATTATTCCTCGGCGAGGCTAGTCGTAGCATCGAAGCTGCAATCTATACCGCAAGCAGGAAGTAGGCCTCCAGAAGTTTTTCACTGTAGGCCACTCGACTCCATAGTTCTAGTATCCACCGACTATAACCGGCAGTCATCATGATCAACACACCAGAGAGGCTGATCCTCTCCTTCCTGTTTCGGTAATCTGAGCCTTATCAGCAGGGGTCCAAACTCCGCACCGAGGGTCACCTCGTCTTCTAGAACCCTTCTGCTGCAGTACTGCGCCCTGCACTGCAGGCAGGCCAAGATAAAGTGATAGACTTGCAGGCCTTAAAACAAACACTATTACATATTAGTACCGGCATGCGTCGTGCTACCTGGAGAGATGGGATGGGAGGTTTGTTGGTCCAGCGGTGCGCTGGCCGGCAAACAGGGGTTAGGGAGAGGAGAGGAAACTGAGAAGCGCAGCGGCGCTTGCATATGCCCCAAATCTACTCTTTAATCATGCTGCAATGGCTCCCAACCATCCACCCTCCTCTCACTGTCCACACCACAGGACTTGAAGAAGATTTTCCTGCAAACGCGTATTTCACAATAGTTTTATTCTAAGTTGAGCTAGTCTCCGCCTTGGCGGTAGGCTTTTCCCACTATCAACGAGCCCCATCACGATGATCAAACCAGCCACCTCATGGCGTAATTGAGTAGTGAGTACATACACAGAACTTCTTATGACAACCCACGCAGTCGGTTCTCATGCAATGTTTTTTTATTTGATTTCGACCAAGCCCACGAAAAGAACCCACCCATGTGCGTATTCTAGTGGTACGTGGAGGGACTTGGTCGGATAATTCGAAGGACTCTTTATGCACAATACCATGCATTGCAGCCTTGCCTGCTTCGGTAACACTGACAAATATCAACCTCGCATGATCTGTGGCTATGCTCAGACTCCTTGCCAACGATAACCAATGACGTAAGAGACGGATATAATGGTAGTCAAACTCGATGGAGATCGGAAAGGCATAACTTGAAATTTCCAAGCGGGTGAGAGCAGTCGATTGAGATGAATCATACGATCGTCGGGTGAGTAAGTATATACAGAAGTCGTCCGTAAATCAACTCCCGCCCCCGGCCTCTCAAAGGCCAAACAGTAGATCATCACCAGTTCGTCGTCAAGTCCCCTCCGCGTTCCCCGCCGTACGGACGACAAAGAAGTGACTTGGACGAAACCCATGTAAGTCATGATGACCTGTCAAGTAGCAGTGTTTACAGCATGGAACAGGCAATGCTTAGCCGTAAAAGAAAGGGTCACTGCCCCCTCACGGAGTCCATGCTGGTGCTCCGTGTAAGAAGCCCCTCTGCGAGACATGGCGTTGCCAGAAGAACCACTTGGCCCCCCACGTATCACGCCACGCAGTGGTCGAATCAAAGTCGTACTGAGACAAACAGCTGCATGAGGGGCAGTTCTCTTCCTTGTAAGTTGGTTTGCTGGTTTAACTACAGACTTTCGAGCTGCTACATCTTCTTGTGGGTAGAAGTCAACCCTGGCCGACGCATCTGCAAGTCGATTTCTGCACACATCCTCCAATTTGACTGACTGACTGACTAACTTACGACTGAGCTTCCAACTCGGCCAAAATGTGTTTCTCCAGCGACTCAGGCTTGGTGACGCTAGCCCAGCGCCCCTTCGCCTTGCCGTCCTTGCCAATGAGGAACTTCTCAAAGTTCCACTTGACGGGCTTGTACCCCAACAGACCCGGCTTCTCGTTCTTCAAGTACTGGAACAGTGGGCTGGCCTTCTCGCCGTTGACGTCGATCTTGCCCATGATGGGGAAGCTGACGCCGTAGTTGAGCTGGCAGAACTCCTGGATGTCATCGTCGGAGCCGGGTTCCTGGCCGCCGAACTGGTTACAGGGGAAGCCCAAGATGACAAATTCGTCCGGGTGCTTGGCCGTGACATCTTTGTACAGCTTCTCGAGGCCGGCATACTGCGGCGTGAAGCCGCACTTGGATGCCGTGTTGACGATCAGCACGACCTTGCCTGCGAAGTCCGACATGGGCTTCTCAGTGCCCTTCTCTACAAGTCGTGGCGATGCAACGGTCAGTCTGGGGGCCTTGTGGGGCGTTGCCTGCTGGACTGGGAAGGAGGGAAAGACATGTGCGCGTGTGCAATGTGGGAGTGGTTGCGGTAGAAGCGTCATATTTCGGATTGTTACTTACTGTCCAGGGGCTTGAAGTCATAGATGCTTGTTGCGGAAGCCATGGTGCTGGCTTGTCTAGGTAGATGTATGGAGGCTGTCCTTCCTGATGCAAATGTGTTGCTGCAATGTGTACGGATTGTCCGGAGGCGGGTATCTGGAGTCGCAGATCTCGTCACGATGCTCGAAGTGAATGTGGGGGAGGAGCTCCTTCTGCCGATGGGGGCGATGGGGGTCCTGAAGTCTCTTAATAAGACTTTACTACTGTCACTGTTACAGGCCACTGCGGCCGCATGCTGCCCATGGTTACTGGGAAGGTTCCGCAGGACAGGCCCCATCTTGGTGCTCTTCAGCTGCGGGACTGCGACAATCGGGATTTCAAAAGGCTGCCGTTTCTTGGGCAGACACGTTTGACGTTTTGGACGAGCTGGGGTCTGAATCTTTAGGAGCTTTAGCCGCTGAAGCCAGCGGATCCGAGCGCCCATAGAAAATGTTCAACAACGACCTTTGAACTCCTTGATCCATGCGGTGGCTGGAGCTGTTTCCAACATTCAGACTCAGGACGCCAAGCGTTCTTGTTTACCTCGAACAGTCGCATTGAAGCCCTGTCACTACCACACAATGCACGATTGTGGGTAACAACTTGGTGTGATTTGATGGCAACGGTTATCGGGGTTGCAGTTGTCCCGATTGTCCGACTTGAAGCTGCGACACAATGTCGTTGCTACAACATCAGATCGGCAAGCAATCAGTGGTAGTGTGTAGGCTTGCATGTCTTCGCGAACTGTGAAGCTGATTGCATGACTCGAACTCGGGCGTTTTTGAAGTCGTCTGATAATGCGCAATAAGAAAAACTATACCTGACGTACAGGGATATGTAGCTGACCGTCATCGGCTATGCTGGTGCAATACGTCATCAACTTTACCCCTCTACCCCTCACTGGATTGCTCAACCGCCATACGGTCGAAAAGCTCTCCAACCCAAGCTTCCAGCTTGTCATGTAGAGAGCTAGGTGAGATCTACAGGCAACGGCATGTGAAACAGCCTCAGCCTTGCGTGCATCAGGTCATGCCTAGGTGAATTGAGTTTCACATCCCCCATCACACTCCAGACATACTCGTCCACATGGATCCTCATCGGCCAAGGCATGTAGTCATAGTTGGTAAGAACCCTGAGGGCATCCGGTCTATCTAGTCCAAAAACGGAAAGCTGGATATGATGATCACCAGACCACACATGGTGACGGGTTCCTGTTTCCCCAGAGTCGAGGCTGATGCTGCTGCTGCATAGGTGGCGGAATAATCGGGTCCACCACGGCCTACTTTCTCACGCGACACCCCGCCTTCAACCCGGCCATACACCGCATTACCTTACTAGAAGCCAGCTCCATCGCCGCCGGCGCATCGGGCAAGGCGGGCGGCCTCCTTGCGCTCTGGGCCTATCCCCAATGTCTCGTGCCCCTATCCTACTCCCTGCACACCAAGTTGGCAGCTGAACACGGTGGTGCTGAACGGTGGGGCTATCGGCGAGTGGAGTGTGGCCAACTCACTGCTACGGTTGTCAAGAGCAAGAAATTGCCGAGTGGGGGTACACTCAAGAAGCAGGAAACGCCGGCGAAGGACGGGCAGGATTGGCAGAAGCTGCCCAAGCAAGACCAAGCTGCCGCTAAACTGCTGCAAGAATCGGCGCTGCCTTTCGATCTCGATTGGATCAATGGCAGTCTAGTGCGTGAATACGCCGAGATGGGGATGCCGGGTCATACCGAGACAGCCCAAGTACATCCACATCAGTTTACCACGTCAATAGCGGCTTTGGCGCAAGAGCGTGGTGTGGATATCAAGCTCAATGCCCGCGTCACGAAACTAGGTCTCAGTCCTATGAAAGAAGAAGTCGAAGCCGTTGAATACCTAGACCGGATATCAAACGAGACAGAGACGATAAAAGGTGTTACAGATATCGTGGTGGCAGCTGGCCCCTGGACGGGCCGCCTTTTACCCAAGACGAGCATCGAAGGCTTGAGGGCGCATAGTGTTGTTTTTCAGGCCAATGTAAGTCCGTACGCCGTGTTCACCAACATTACGCTACCAAAGGACTGGAAACCGGCACATCGTGACAAGAAGCGGCACAAGGGAAATGTGGATCCCGAGATATACGCACGTCCTGGCAATGAGGTGTACGCTTGTGGTGAGTCCTCAGGGGTGTGCAACCCAACAATGGAACCTAAAATATTGACGCAAATAGGCGAGCCTGATTCGACGATACCGCTGCCGGAAACAGCAGATGAGGTTGAATGCGATGAATCCCAGTGCGATGACCTGATATCATACATTGGCACCGTCAGCCCTGTGTTGGGGGCGGCACCGATAGCAGCTAAGCAGGCATGCTATCTACCAAGACATATACGTTTTGGGGATGAAAGGGGTCCACTGATAGGAGAGCTCAACGTAAAGGGGCTATTTGTGGCTTCGGGGCACACGTGTTGGGGTATACAGAATGGGCCGGCGACAGGGAAGCTGATGAGCGAGTTCATCTTCGATGGTGAAGCGACGAGTGCGGATATCAGCGTGCTAGACCCTAAGAAGTTCAAAGTCGGGGTATAACCTGACACTGGGTTGGTTGAATGCTGTTTTGGCATGGCCGGCCTAGATGACTGGCTGAAAGGGACCTTGAGATATAAGAGAGCTACAGGGCATCACAAAGTCCTCGGTCTCATAGGAATACGGCTTTAGATCCTTGTCCCTGCTTTTGAATCCGAGCCTGGCATTTTCAACAATAGTAAAATGGAGACGATGAAGTAATAGATATGTTCTCTTGGAAGAAATACACATGGATTCGTCCTCTCGAAAGAGGGACGTTGTCCTAAACATGAGACTTGATTGAATCATGTGCTAAGATTACAGCATCAATGAATAGGTGAATGATCGTTGCCAACATCAAGAGCAGTAGTCTTTGGCGCATCGTGTGAGAGACCCCGTCGTACGCCGAACTTGGATGGTTTGGCACTGCTGAGAGGAAGTGTACTTGAGTAATTGGATGATTGGTGGACCACCCGAACTGGAAAAACGAACACACGATGTATATTCACGTCAGCCAAGAGACAAACAGATCCACGAATGTTCACCTGCCGCTACGTTTCGACTCCTTCAGCCCGTCAGACGACCACTCATCTCATCATGATGACCGAATTGACCGGTAGGCTGCGCGGGCCAAGGTTGGTCAGTACCAGAGCCCTTATTCAGGTATCCGTCTCGATCCTTTGTTCCTATAGATGTGCGTGTGGGTGGTGACACGAGATTTTCCGCATATGCAGCTTACCCCTTATGTGCCGGGGCACCCTGGAGAAGAAAGCATGGGGACATCCAGAAGACACGTGGCCGGGCCGCTAGGTATGGTCTTGGTGGTTTAATCTTGGCTGCCGTGGGTACATGTCACGGAAGTAGGAGATGGATATTTTGTCTGTGTCTGTATGTATCTCTCTATATACAGTGAACTTTTTTCTTTCATAGAACAAAAGGGATCGCAAGATATCTAGCTGAAGTGCGCAATCTATGTCTTCCCCCACCTCGATAGGCTGATTGTGGGTAGGCAGCAGAAAAGAAATAGAAGCTTCCTTCTGCCCGGTTCCGTAGTGGCATCTATATCAACTCAAAATAAATGACATACATGCAACCGACGAATGGAACCACAGGAGTTGCCCTTGTGTCTTCAAATTAAGGTAGACAGACAGATGAGCGTGACTTGAAGGCAGCAAGACAATGTTCTCAGGACGCATGACGTCAAGTAAGAGAATGTCCTAAGTCTATCGATCCCCCAACCAGGCAAACAGCCAGTGAACGGATCAAGGGCTGTTCGGCTGCTGTGGAAGCTGCAGCTTCGGTCAAGAGCCTCATCCCTTCACCCCGGATTCCCCACCCCCGCCTGCTCCAAGAATAGGGGTGTTGACAGGGGTTAGCCCGGCTAAATGCTTAATTTCCAGCCAAGTTCCATCCCTCATCTACAAAGACTTCTCGACTTCCATGACCTCCCGAATCCCCTCGGCAATGGTCGCAATCTTGGCCTTCTCAAGACGTTTGAGCGGCCGACGTGGGTGTCCACCGTAGCCGAAGTAGGTCTGGATGGCTTGCTTGGTGCCGGCAATGGCAGCCTTTGTCAGCGGCCAGTCGCCCTTAGACAGGACCTTTTGCAGGGCGATGGCCTCCTCGGTCTTCCCTTCGGCATACAGGTTCCATACTTTGGCGCAGACCTTGGGCATAACGTTGGCACCGCCAGCAATGATGCCACTTCCTCCTGATACCAGTGTTTGTACAGTGAAGTCGCACATGCCACCGAATGCCATGTAGTCACTGCCTTCGGAGGCGGGCGTCTTTGCGTTGGTGGCGAGTGCAACACGTGTCAGCTTGCCTGTGTTTCCGCAAGTGAACTTGGTGCCGATGATGTTGGGGTGTTTCGCAAGGCGGATGAGCAGATCCGAGTCCATGTCGATGCCAGATACAGCGCCGGGGTAGTTGTACAGCACAAGAGGCAGGGGACTGCCATCCGCCACAGCATTGAAATAACCCTCGACTGCTTCCTCATCCATGTGGGCGCGGAAATAGCTTGGGGGAAGCAGTAAAACGTAGTCCCCTCCAGCCTTCTCTGACTCCTTGCAGAGTTCAATGGTTCCTTTCACACTGCCCTCGGTGGCGCCAACGATAATCGGTGTCGCCTGAAAACCAGCGTCGTCGAGGGCCTCTCTGGTAGCACGTGTTACTGCCATCTTTTCTTCACGTGTGCAGTGGGCCGCTTCGCCGTTGGATCCCATGGTCACAAGACCAACTAGCCCGTCTTTGATTAGTCGCACCGCGTGCTTCTTGATGATAGGGATATCAAGCTCCTCTGTCTCTGGGTCGAAAAAGGTCATGGTCGGGGCATAGATACCACACGGCAGAGTCCGGCGGCCGGACGTATGTCCATTGCTGTTGCTTACAGTCATCACGACCAGGTGCTACTATTGAATGTGGAAAATGAAAGATGGACTAGAACTCGTTCCACTGTAGATGTAGAAGAAGCAAAGTGTGCCGAAGAGTAAGGTGAAGGAACAGACGACAAGAAAACAGAACTACGAAACGAGAGAGGAAAGCAGATACTTATAAATCCGCCAGAAACGCAGCTCCTGGTCTAGAAAATAAATATTTTGCAAGACCTAGCCTAGCGTGCCGCACTCGCGAGTTGCGCCCGGGGAACCAGCAAGGGAGTAGTCATGTACACCAAGCAATGCATCTCGTTTGACCATTTTGCTCGTAATGACATTGGTCCGAGAGGGGGGACCACTTGGTGTCTTCGGCGAGGGAGTACTCCGTAAGACAGAGCAAAAGGGAGCTAATGGGAATGTGCGGCTAGCGGGAAGTGATGCATTATCGCAGTATCGGAAAGTATGGAGTTATTGAACTCGGAAAATGTGGATGGATCGAGTTCCTCCAGGCCTCCAGCGGGAGTTCTAACATGCGAGTCACTGACGGATGCTTCACACCTATACCAATGTAATATAGTGGGGGTTGAGACAAATCACGCATGTCTAGCCTGACCTCCACAGTTTAGAGAACCGGGCGGAAGATTTTGGCTTTATGCCATTGTACCTAGGCCAGGTCTGCGTAGTCGACGGGATGTGGTGTTGTCTGGCGTTCAGAGGGGTCCAGGTGGTAAAAAGCTTGGGTTTCGCACTCATCCAGTACCGCGACGAAAGCAGAGCGCTGTTTTTGCCCGAAGTCCGCCTGTTTGATTGACTGTGATGAGGAAAACTCACGCAATGCGCCGGGACCGCTATGAGAGTCTAACCGGGAATTTCGTGATATGCAAGAGAGTGAATTCGGACAGGAACTTGTCCAATTCATTGTTGGTTAGGAGTTCGGGACGAATGACGGTATCATGCCATGAGCGGTTTTGAATCATGATCGCCCACTACTAATGATGCTTCGAAGTCATCTTTGGCTCCCATGCACCATTGTTGCCGCATGCCAATACGGTGTATTCTGAAGCTTGAACACACCTTTTGGAGTTCGTTTCCAGGCGGGCGCGCGTATCGTATGACCCCTCCCGAAGTACGGAGTATGGGGTATTGGGGCTTACATAGTGCAAAGTACAGTGATGGCAGAACAATCCCTGCTTGGAGGGGGACCAGAAGATGAAAAGAAGGCCGTCATCGCTGCATGGTGGAACGCGTCAGTAAGTCGATGGGCGTCAATGCACGGAGTACGTGAGATTGCTTGGCTGCTGCTCTAGATGTCGTTGAGACCTCGTGCCAAGATGTTGACGAAAATGTGGTTCTGGGGAACGTGGTGTCGGCCGAATCGAGTCTAGGCTGACGGAAGAAATTTTGTGAATTATTCCTCCAATCACAAGGTAGGAGATTACTCGTGCTTGGCCATCTTTGGGCCGGTCATCCTGGTCGCTACAGTCGTACTGTGTTATAGACCGTACTTGTGAAATTAGCCTGATGAGGTCTGACTTACATTCTAAAGTTATTGCAGGACATTGCTAGCAAGCCATCCCAACGGAAATATTGTCACAATAAATAAACACGATGAGAGTGACGGATACCAAGGAAGGCGTGTCCGTCACAGGAAAAGGGCGCGGGGTAGACCCCGCGCTTCGTTCCGTGGCTCCGACCTCGACACTCCGCCAAAAGCACATTCCATGACGAGTTGTATTCAAGGGTTGCTGGTTGTCCAACAATGTGGGGGCGGGGCATTCTCTTGACTACAGGCTTGTAATTGAACAGATAGTTTCGGCGATAATAGCCTCGACTCATCTCTGTGTTGCTCTGCTACGGGTATCATTGGCCAGTCTTCCAAGTACAACTCTTCAGGAACCTCAAACGTTAGTGTGTTACTCCCCTATCATACTTGTGTCCCTCATGGATTTTGGTGTTACCCAGGTAACAAAACCCTTGCGCACAGAAACCTGTTATGTTGAAGTACTTCGGTTACTATACAATCTGCACGTGCAGATCAGTAGCTCAACGTAGTGCAATCTCCACGCTAACGTTTGGGATCCTGGAGGTGTATCTTGCATCCCACTCGATTTCATTATAGAAGCCGAGATAGGCCGACTACCAGACCCAGCAAACATCGACAACTGCTATTTGGCCACTAACTAGCATGGCATGACAGGCCAATGCATGGCGACGCCCTGGAGGCGCTTCCAGTTTCATGTCTGCGCACCGTCTTGTAATTATCCGTCCAGACAAAACCAGACTATCCCACGGCCCCGAATTGACGTGCCGGAAAGGTGCACTACGATGTGCAGTACTATGTAGTAGTTGCGCGGTTCCATGATTCCCCAGCCCGCTTCATTCTGCCCCTCTTATTAATTTTTCCGACGAGGTTCTAGTTATCGGGGTAGCTTCCACCACTTCAGGTCACTCACGACTCAACTACAATAACCGTCAAGTATTGTGGGTTCTCAGTTCTCAGGTCATTCCAGAAACTGTCCTATTACTGTTGTTCAGTTGATTTATCTGTCATTTTTTGTCTCAAACTTGAACCTACTTGCAGGTGTAAACCCACATAAGCAAAGATGGCAGAAGCGAAGCCACTGAATGTGTTGATGGTAAGTAACACTACTCTCCCAATGCCCGGCGTTTTTGGCGTATCTGACGCCGAATTCTAGGTGGGAACAGGGGAGTATACCACCGGCTTCGTTGGCGGCGGTGCTTCAGGTTCAGACAAGAAGGTTGGAGTCGTGGGGTTGACTATGTTTGATCTTCGCCGTAGAGGGAAAGTGGGCAAGCTAGGAATGGTGGGAACGAACGGGACCAAGTTCCCAGCAATCCGTAAGTTTCCTCTGCCTCGTATGGTGAAATAAATCATTAATGTACGTACAGGCCAACATCTCGACACCAACATCTCCAAGGTCTATAACAACCTGGATTGCTCCTTCGACTCATACCCAGCCAATGATGTGAAAGACCCGGATTCCTACAAGACGGCCATCGACGCCCTCCGCCCCGGTGATGCCATTACTATCTTCACTCCAGACACGAGTAGGTGGTCTTCTCCTGCAATCGTGATAAACTGAACTAAACACGACATGTGATTCAGCCCATTACCCCATTGCACTGTACGCCATTGAGCGCGGAATCCACGTCTTGATCACCAAGCCCGCGGTCAAGACTCTCGATCACCACGTTCAGTTGATTGAGGCAGCCAAGAAGCACAATGTTTACGTCTACATTGAGCACCACAAGCGTTATGACCCGGCCTAGTAAGCAGTAGTACAAGTAAACTCTCTATGTCTCGACTGACTGTCAAATAGTTCTGATGCCAGGTTCAAGGCGCAGAAGCTTGGAGACTTCAACTATTTCTACAGCTACATGTCTCAGCCCAAGTCACAGCTCGAGACTTTCAAAGCCTGGGCTGGTATTGACTCTGATATCTGTAAGTTGTTGTGCCAAGCCCTTCTGAAAAGCACAACTCGGCATCCTGCCTTCATGGGTTGGGAGTTTCTATGTGGTTGCCTCAAAAGTAATTTTTAACGTTTAACGCAGCATACTACTTGAACAGTCACCACGTCGATATTTGCGACTCCATGGTGTCCCAGCAAGGCTTCCTTCCCATCAAGGTCTCAGCATCGGCCGCTAAAGGCATTGCAACTGGCCTCGGCTGTGACCCGATGACTGAAGACACCATTACCGTCCTCGTGACTTGGCAAAAACAAGGTGATAGCAGCAAAATTGCAACAGGCGTCTACACTGCTTCCTGGACAGCCCCACAGAAGGCCGGTGTTCATTCCAACCAATACTTCCACTACATGGCCCAAGGGGGCGAGGTTCGCATCAACCAAGCAAAGCGTGGCTACGACGTTGCAGACGACACGGCCGGTCAACTCCAATGGTTCAACCCCTTCTACATGCGATACGCCCCTGATGAGGAGGGCAACTTTAGCGGTCAGACTGGATATGGCTACATCTCCTTTGAAAAGTTCGTCGACGGCTGCAATGCGTTGAACTCGGGCAAGGCCAAGCTTGAGGACCTCGATGCAAGGGGTCTTCCAACACTCAAGAACACGATAGCTACTACTGCTATCTTGCACGCGGGTCGGATAAGTATCGACGAGGACCGCGAGGTGAAAATTGAGGTCAAGGACGGGGCATGGAAGCTGATCTGACGTGCCGCCTTGCACTTTGTAGAACAGGCAAATGATTCTAGTCAATGTGATGAGCCGCTTCTCGCACCCACCATTTCTGAATTTCATGTTCTAACATGTACCCGCTTCCTTATCCGTCACGATACGGAGGACAAAGGTGTTGACGACGATTTCCCGTGTCAAACCTCAGTCTTCGCCTCTGGCTCTTACGCGCATTGACACTGTGCAAAATCCGAAGCAGCAGCCCCGGGGCAAGATGTCTCCTCAAAATCAACCACGGCATTATCGCCCAACACAGGATTCTGCGCCATTATATCAAAATGATAACTGAACCCATACTGGTTGGTAGCCCCCGCATTGGGACACCATTGCGCATTCCCACTATTCGGACACAAATTGGTTACCATGACGATGATGCTCTGCCCCGAAGCCCCACCCGAGCCGCAGGAACTGCAAGGAGCAGATCCCGTTGACGTCAGCTTATAGCACTTCCCGCAGCCGGAGCCGCACCAGGTGCTGCCCGAGCCAAAGAGGGTTTGCGAGGCGGCGGCTGTGTAGAATCCTGACCCGCCGGATTGCCACGAGAACATGCCGCTAGAGGTGCCGCAGCCGCAGGCGCCTTCGAGGCCGTCATAGTAGCGCTAGGTGGGGTTAGGATTGTGGCAAAGTGTCTGGATGGACGATGAACGAACTGTTGTGGTGGCTTTGCCGCTGAGAGCTGCGGCTGGGACGGCTGCTAGGGCTAGGAGGTTGAGAAAAGTTGAGGATTGCATATTGAAAGCAATTATGTGTTCTGCATTATCAACAGTGAGGTGAAGGGATCGAGAGCCAGCCTTCGAAGTCTTGCTGACAAAGGAGTGAGTTCAACTATGCCTCATCCACACTTTGAACCTGGAGTGAGGATGTAGCGACTTATATACAAACCCTTGGCAACACGGCGCCAGCTCCATCCTTGACCGAACGGCATAACCGGAACTCGGCTCCGCGAATCCTCAAATGAAAGGAGGAATAGCTGAACCAAGTCCGGATTGAGCCCCTGTTTTTAACGGAAGACTTCCTTTGGTGTTGGCGTTATCGACCAATTGGTGGACCCACGACGCCGGAAGGTCAGGCTCCAGATTTTCAAAATGTTTGGGTCCATTACACAGGAGCATATACACGTAACAAGGCTCCTCAAAATGGCAGTCCGTCTGGGGTCCTTCTCGGAAAACAGGATTTTGATGAGATCAATATTGATTAAGACTTATTCGAACTGATGTATAAGACAGCTGTATGGAAAGTATTGCCGGGTAAAGGGTGGTGTTTAGTGTACAGGATTCCTGGATTTCCATGTTTCATTGTAGAACATTGATAAGATCGGTATAGCGGACGAAATAAGTCTCATGTCGGAGAGCGACTGTCTACTCCTTTGGCGCAGCTAACACAAACGTACAAAAGCTCCTCGGGTCAAATTCCACTGAAGACACCCACCGTCCCGAAACGTGTCCGAAGATTTCATCACATCACAAATCACATAACTAGCCAGAAAGTACCAAATTGTGTTTTCATACGTAGAGCATTTGTTCCAAGTTGACTTTCGTCACTTATTTGTTTCATGTACCGTATTATACAATGTCCAACCCGCCATTCATCCATCCATACATCGACATGCGACTATTTAAACACAACAAGCGCCAAAAAGGCCTTGTCAACGCCCCAATATGCCTCAAATGATCCGATCCATCAATTCCCCTTCCCTGAGATTCCTGAATGTCAAACAGACAATATTCCCAAATCGCTGCAAAAAACGCCATCCACATGCTGTAGTAGTAGTAGTAGTAGTAGTAGTAGTAGTAGTAGTAGTAGTAGTGCTGCTGCCGTTTTTCCAGCCCGGCTGAGGCCATTATGGAAACTTTCACACGCAAACTCCAGGCTTTTCTGTATTCTCAAACTCGTGTTCTCTCCCAGTACAATGGTATCGGTCGGTTCGGTGCATGATAGGCGTGACCTATCCTATCCCATGCAGACCCATTCTGCAAACACACACCACCTTGCCGTGCGGTCGGCAAGCACTAGACCTCTCCAGACACCTCTCTCTGAGCACTTGATGATGGTCTCCCATGTACCGCCATCGCTGGGCTCTTCGTCGGCACTAGCATTGCGTCCACCGACACCAATGCCGCGCCTTTCCTCCTTGCGCATCAGCCGGAGGATTTTACCACCTGGCGTTTGAATAGCCAATTTTGCAGGCTTCTTGCCACCCACACCGCCGTAGCCGCTGCTGCTCGGATTGCTCGGATTCGAGCTCGTCATGCTCATGGAGCTACTAGGCCTCATGAACGGAATGGGACTCGTACCACCGGGGTTGGTAGACGGCGTCATCGACGAGCCGGGCACGGCAGGGGAGCAGGAGGGATGTTGCCGGATGGCGAAGACGAACGTGTTGTTCAGCGCTAGGCGCTGACATTGAGGCTGCACAACGTAGATATCGTGTCTCTGCGCATGTGGGGTTGGATGGCGCGTGACAAACTCATAGGGCGGGTTCTCGCCTGTGTGGATGACGGGCAGGGCAAAGGCCAGAGGATGTGGGATGTCTTTAATGCTGTGCATAAGACCCCGTTTGCCAGCGTACACTCTCAAAATGCCCGAGCCTTCGTCGCCCGGAAGGAGGGCCTTGACCGTGTACCGCTTCACACCATTGAACCACTCCGCTTGAGCCAACGCTCGCTTTTTGACTACGTCGCCGGACTCGAAATAATCACCATCCGCATCGCGAGAAAAAGCACGCACCTCAACTTCCGCTGCTACCTCGACATCGGGCGGCACGTTGAACTTGATGTGTACCATCTCGAGGTCTTCAATCCGCACCAGTGAGGTGTTGTAGTCAACCATAGCAAGTTCGTTCTTGAAGTATGGTGGGCAGGCGCACGGCAGATTCAGGAGAATTTCGTGTGCGATGGGCGGGCAGACATGTTGCTGAGCATGATGTTCGGGAATGTGCGTCCAGCATATCTCCGTGGGTCGAGTTAAAAACCACCATCCATCGGCTGCGGTGTTTACAGCGCTGGAGTAAAGAGCGCGACGAGGGTTTGACATAGATGCAAGACAGCAGTCCATTATGCGCCACTCGTCATCTACCAGAACAGCGTTCCACCAATGGTTTGATCGGGGCATAATGGTGGTCTCAGGTATCTCGCCTGGTGTCTTTAGATAGCCGCGTACGATCTCAGAGTGGATGCCGATAGCAGCGCACATCTCGTGAACGAGCACGGCATATTCTTCGGCACAAGCTCGCTTGGTCTGTATAACACGCCTTGTGTCCACTTCACCCTCGAAATCTTCTTCCCAGTTGATTTTCTCTGCAACCCAGGTGAAAATCGCTCGAAGACGTTGAACATCGCTGCGATATGGCCGGCAAACGTATGTGGTCGCAAGCGTGACAGCAGTGGTCATAGGGGCCAAGCTGCTGATGAATCGCGAGTTTTTGTCGACTTGGCTCAAGTTGATTGCTTGGTAGTTCGTCGGCTCATGCACAGGCATGCCATCTGCCCCTTCGTCTCCTTCAACGCTCTCGTAAAGCTCATCGACGGGGTCAATCGCAGGATAATCCATCATCTGGCATCGGTCTCGTCGTTCGCTTCGCTCATTTTTGCTTAGGGTATTGGACCGGTTCACATCTCGCCGCACTTGAACCCAATCAACGCCATTCCCCCTGTCCATGTCTCTGGCCGTATCTCGCACCAAACTGCTGCTGCTGGGTCCCCCTGCCATGGAATTTATCCCAGCAGGCATCGATTTATGCATTGGTGTTGACGAAACAGACCCTGGTCCGGTGGCTATACTGCCACGCGTACTTGCCACGCCAGTCTTCGTCGCCTCGAGAATTCTCTTGATGAAATTCGATTTCTTCGGCTTGGTCTCTCCTGGCTGTACAAGACCACCTATCGCACCAATCGCGTCATCCCGAAACCCGGCTTGCGACTGTGTGCGTATCTGCGAAGAAGAATGGCTTCCGTGATACGAGATGCCCGTGAATGGCGTGGTTGGTCGATCTGGATCCCACTCATCATCGCCATCACGAAAGCCTAGGGCACTCCGAGCACGGCTGCGAGTCTTTCTTGCCAAGCTTCCCGCACTTGTGGCACTAATACCGCTGGCTGATACACCACTCATCAGACTTCGGTTTGTGCTCTGAGTGTTGGTGCTGCTGTCAGTAGCCGTACTGCGATTCCCCGATGAAGCATTGGTCGACGTGGTCTTGGTGGTGGCGGTCCTGTTCAGAAGGTGACGTCCAACATCATAAGAGGATGATTTCGGCTTATGAGCTTTAGGCTCATTCTCGCCCATCGAAGATTTGGGTCGATCAAAATTCAGTCCCTTTAGCGGCGGCGGGGGGGGCATATCTTCCCGGTCGATGCGGCTCAAGCTCGAACTGTGGTGATGCTGTTGCTCAATCCGACTCATGCTTGAACTGTGTTGATGCTGTTGCGAATGCTGATGCATCTTTTGAAGGCGACTTTCCATTCTCTGGACATAATTGCTCAATTGAGGCAACTTTGGCTCATCCGGGTGGCCCTTTTGGTGCGCGTTCTGTTGCGAGGACCCACCACTGTAGGACTCATATCCTTCGTCTTTAAGTGCAACACCCGTCGAGGTTTTCGGTCTCGCTTGAGCCTGCATTTTCCGCTTTGAACGGTGGTGCACCATGTCGAACGACTCTGGTGACCATGGATCCAGCGGAGGCTCGGGCGATTCAGTCTCATGAGTTACTCCCAACTCGTCTAACTGGGCCATGACATCATCCATGGCTTCTCTCAGCGGCGACGGCGTAAAACCACAACCACCACCACCCGGCGATGGGGGACAAGGTGACGAAGCTCTAGGCGTCATAGGTTGGTTGTCATATAATGCATTCGAGCCCCCGCGAGTCAGGAGTGCATTCCGATGCGGAGGTGGTGGTGGTGGCGGGGGTGACTCAAATTCGCGTTCTGCACCCGGGCGGTATGGTCTGTATCCAAATGAAGGTGCAGGCGACGGTGCTCTAGAGTCGTAATGCATCGGAGGCGGCTGCGGAGATGGCACCCTTGAGCCGTAATGTGACATTTGCAGCGGCGGCTGCGGAGATGGTGCTCTTGAACCGAAATATGACATTTGCAGCGGTGGAGCGGGAGACGGAGCGGGAGATGGTCCGCGATCATCGTACGAATGCAGTGGAGGAGCAGGAGACGGGGCACGATAGCTGTAAGAATGCATGGGAGCAGGAGATGGGGCACGATGGCTGTAAGAATGCGTGGGAGGAGCAGGTGACGGAGCACGATATTTATGTGACTTCTTGGGAGAAGCAGGTGAGGGTATCCTCGATCCGTACCCATCATTGCGCTGCTGGAAGGAATTTGTAGAGTTTTGCCGTGACGGTGGCTCCTGGAACGAATTTGTCGAGTTTTGACGATTCGGCATCTCTTTGAAGACTTCAGGTTGCTTGGCTGTTGTGTAATGCGGCGCCTTGGCATACGCCTCAAAGGGTTTGCGGAAAGGTTTGGATTTTGACTTTTGTATTGTGTTGTTCGTCGGGCTCGGGGTGTTGCTCGAGGGCAGCGGACTCGTGGATCGGGTCACAGGTCGAAAGTTGTCTGGCAGAACCTCGACGAAGTTCGAAGGGAATACACCAACCGTCTTGTTCCGCCGTAACCTTCCTGTCCACCATGATCCATCTCCAGCATTCAGACACTCGATTAGGTCGCCCTCGATGAAGCCAAGGTCTCGTTGTGACTAACCCGATAAAATGAGTCAGTATGTGTACGCGAAACAGCATTGAAGCAGAAACACCTGGCATGCTTACCTCTCCCCCCCATGAATATACAGCTCTGCACCAGCATGGAAACCGCGTAGGAAGCGGTGGCACCGCTGCTACCATCGCGCCGAGCGGTGTCTACTGGGGTCGTCGCAACAGCCCAGAGTGTCTTGACGCCGAACTAGGCGTTTGGTCGTTGTGAAGTTCGACCAGATTGCCGATGTTTATGCTCCTCCGAGCTTTCGGACGGTTGCGATCGGATTTGCGACGCGGTTGTGTGAACAATAGGAGGGTTAGGATCATCCATACAGCAAAGCGGTGAGGGATCTGGTAGAGTTGGGCGTCAGTGGGGTTCTTCTGGCACTGACCGATCAACGAGCGACAGCCGAGCAATAGTATGTTGTGATATTAACAAATCTGCCAGCACACAATGCAAGCTGGGGAAATGGTCAAGCAATGTTAGACTTAGATGGGAGCTTTGCGCATGTAGGAGTCCAAGCTGGCGCGGGACTCCTCTTGGTGGGCTCGGCGGGAAGCGCAGGGGGGGTTGACGATGTGGCACTGGCAGGGAACTTTCAGAACTTAGGGAAGCTACGCCCCACATTTGGCCATCAAAACATGAGGGGCAGTTGCTACGACGACAGGGACGCGCTGCTCAAGCCAGGTAAACCCCGGTTTCTTCATCGGCTCAACCCCTGCAGCTGGAACTTGGCAGTTACGATTCACCGTCATCGACCAAAATAGTTGTTGACATTAGTCTCATCTCAAACTCCAGGTGAACGAACACTTTTTTGCTCAGAGTTCAGTGGAGAGCTGCAACTCGAGTTCTCAATTGTATACTGCATCATCTCAGACAGCTTCAGGTGCAGCTCCTACAAAGAGTTGTATTATATTCAGGTAAGACTCAACATTTTCCTCCTGTCAAGTGTCCCATTCCCCCCTACATCAGAGCTGGACCACTTGGTGGACACGCTGTTGCGCGGGAACCGCTATGCGCTGGCTATGACCCGGTGAATGCATCCATGCAACCTATCACGAGCGTGTATTTGCATCGCATCGTCGATAACCGCTTCAACGACCAGCAAGCTACCAATCTGAGGCGTTGAGAGCTAGCACTGGCATGTAAGACATAGCTCGTGTGAGGTTATCTTGCAGCTCGTCGCCTTTATCTAGGAAAGGCAACCCACCATATGCACATTTTGCCTTTTCCTGCCAGATCACCATCTCACTACCCGCCATGAGAATCATCGTGAATCCGCCGAAGAAGAAACCAATGATCTTCATAGGGCGCCGCAGAAGAAAAGGCTCACTGACTTTATCTTGCCCTTCACTAGGATCGCACTTACAAAGTGTGGAACACATCCGAGGAAGCTCATTTCCGAAAACAGAAGATTGTTGAATGGGTCGAGCTCCATCGTCCCAGCAACGGCCACAGCTTCTGACATCCCCATGCTCCATTGACAGTCATTAACCTCACCGCAAGCTCTAGTGCTTCCTTTTCCTGCTCTGGAAATTTCCCCAACTGCCAAAGGTCATCATTTGGTTACCACTACAATTGGCTGGCTTCTTCTTCCTGCCGTCTTTCGCTGCTCCTGCTGCCACCGAGCTGAAGTCCATATTCTAGTTGTCACCCTGTCTATTTGATCGCATCGCGCTCTGGCTGGCGCGTACTGCATGCAGATTACCGGCGATATGGCGGACGAGGCGATTGCAAACCATTACCAGGTCCTGGAGGAACTCGGCCGTGGCAGCTTTGGAGTAGTTTACAAAGGTATTGAAAAGGCCACTGGGGAAGTTGTTGCCATTAAACATGTATGTCACTCATGCAGCTTGATACCTCTAGACTTCGACTGGAAGGACTGACCTGTTCGGCTATGTAGATCGATCTCGAATCCACAGAAGATGATATTCAAGATATCCAAGCTGAGATTTCAGTACTCAGCACTTGCGCAAGTTCACATGTGACCCAGTACAAGGCCAGCTTCCTCCGCGGCAGCAAGTTATGGATTGTCATGGAGTATCTGGGTGGTGGTTCATGCTTGGATCTGGTAAGTATTCTCGTCCATGCTTAACAATATCTTGCCCTGACAGGTCATGCCTCACAGCTCAAGCCTGAGCCATCCGTGTTCAACGAAACCCACATTGCAATCATCTGCCGCGAACTCCTCACCGGTCTAGAATATCTCCATGCCGAAGGCAAGATACATCGCGACATCAAAGCCGCCAATGTCCTATTGTCAGAGAGCGGCAAGGTCAAGTTAGCCGACTTCGGTGTGGCAGCTCAGCTCACTAACATCAAGTCGCAACGTAACACCTTTGTTGGCACACCGTTTTGGATGGCACCGGAAGTCATACAGCAATCTGGCTATGACTTCAAGGCAGACATCTGGTCGCTCGGCATCACAGCTCTGGAGATGGCCCTGGGAGAGCCACCACATGCGAACTTACACCCTATGAAGGCCCTCTTCCAGATCCCCAAGAACCCGCCACCGAGGCTTGAGGGCAACTTCACTAGGGACTTCAAGGATTTCATCACTCAATGCTTGATGAAGGACGCCGATCGACGACCATCCGCAAAGGACCTGTTGAAGCATCGCTTCATTAAACATGCTGGCAAGGTAGAGGCTTTGCAGGAGCTGATCCAGCGCAGACGAAATTACGAAGCCACCAGTAACAAGAAGAAAGGCCGAAGTTTCTACCAGGAAACGTTACACACCCTGTCACCCAGGGACGAGGAGGATGAATGGGTATTCGACACAGTCCGATCAGTTGCGCCTAAGAAAGCAACAGTCCGGTCACGAAAGCCATCATCTATCTTCTCAACCGAGGAGGCGTTGCGCAGACTGGACATTAAGGATGCCCCGCTGCAGCCGTCATCACCAGCTCCGTCGACTGTTCGCAAGTCAACTATGCGCAGACAGCTGTCATCGGTACATGCGTCGGGGACAGGTGCGCGAGGGCCGCCTGGGCCAGCAGTTAGGAAGCCGCTGCAGCCAGATATGTCGTTCGGAAACGCTGGCTCTTCCCAGCGTCTCTTCCGACGAGTGCCTTCGGATAGCTCTAGCTCGGGACAGGTGACTTGGGATGCTTCTGACGCACCTGCCAACGAGAACAGACAACCTTACTTCGTGGAAGCTAACAGCAAGGAGTCGATCCTCGGCCGTAGACTCTATTCGAAGGCTGTCGAGCCGACACTGGCGGAGTTGCACGCCCAGACGTCAGCCCATGCCAAGAGAGAGGCGCTGGCAAAGCTTTCCGATGCATTTGCCGCTCTCGATGCTGTCGACCCGGAAGGGGCGTATCACTTGATGCAGAATCTTGTCGCCTCCATATCGCAAGACAACAGGTTGTCTAACGCCATTATGCAGGATTCAACCCCGGTCAAATCCATCGACAACACGGAACCACAGGGTACGGTGATCATTAAGAGCACACCGACCCACCAAAGCCAGAGTCCCACGAAATTGGTTATAGCGTCGAGCAACCCTCATTTGAAGAGTCACCGCCGACGACAAGGAAGTTCAGTTAGCGATGCCATCAGCAGCCCTGAAAAGACTGGGGACAAGGAAAAAGCTGCGCTTGTAGCCAAATATCCAGGCCGCGAGGCACAGCCAGGCATGGAGCATTGCAAGCAGTTGTCCGACGTGTTGTATGGTCGTTGGGTAGACGGCCTCCGGCTGCGCTGGCCCGCTGCCTGAGTAGATTCGCTGCTTTCACGAGGCCCGAGAAGGAACATGCCACTGCATCTAGGAGATAACAGAACTGGACTGTAGGATATATCAACTGGTCCCGGAGTTTGGAGAGATTCTAGGGTTGCGTTGATATATGACGGCTGTATGACGGTGGTTGGAAACGTTGCAGAAAGCGAGCCGTTATCTGATGAGCACATGCTTTATGGGACGTGATGAATCTTGTTCTTTATGCACCTCAAGCGCGCTGGTGTATGGGATCGAGGGATGGGGAGTTCATGATAAATCATGACATTGTCCATTTTCGATCCTGATTTTACGGCCGCTTGTCGCATGGTATGGTGTACGTGTCAAGAATTTGTAAATGGAATTGGTAATTTCGGATGGAGTCTAGATAGATAGACAGCTGATTAGGTACGCATCATACTGCGCTGTCATTGTATACGTTATTCGTTTGTGAGGTTCAGGCTCTTCGGGCCCACGCCCTGTGTAGGCAGCATTTAAATGGTACAAACATTCAATATCTAGATTCCAATGGGCCTATCCAATGCCATCTTTCTGGACCCGCCTGCCCAACAGTCCATGATGTTACCGGCAATCCTAAACTAGAAGGGTGCTTTTTCCAGGTTAGTCTCTTCATAAAACACTAGACTTCTCTTTCCCTGACGGCTTTCCGGAGATCCTTGGTCCCAACACCGCTTTCCATGGCGGTGTCAAATGGGTGCTCATTAGAGGCGCAATCGTCTCGACGCCTTGTGAGTCTTGTACTGCGAAAAGTGTCTCGCCTCGTTATCCGTTGTTAGTCTGCATAGCCTAATGGCATTCGCGAACCTGTTGTATTAGGGATACGCATGGCGCCTAGACAACGCTGAAATAGGGGTTTCATGGACGGTATGCAACCAGTTGGTATACCGAAAATTATTCGACGGCGGTCCATGTGCAGATTGAGACTGATTAAGCCCAAGGGTCCATATTTAGGTTGCCAAAGTTTTGAACGAGGAGAGTCTTCACCAGGGAAGAGGCAGTAGCGAGTAGCCGAGTCCCATGAGAAATCCAACTACCATATACTCACGCAGGGGTCGTTTGAGATCCCGGAGGTAACTGACTGGAGCTAGCGAGAGTAGTATGTCCGTTAGGATTCTAATTGTTAAGCCGAGGGTCGAGGCGAGCCGATGGGCGGAGATGTCGAGATATAGAACGCCTGGTGTGCTTGGATCCCAAGCAGCGGGGAGTGATCGATATTGGAACATGATGAAAAAGACTTTGCAAAACCGTAACATCTACTGTTCCAACGGTTTAACAGATGGGTCTCTTAAACCACTTCATGTTCTGCACTCGCAGCAATGTCAAGTCAATAGAGGTCTTGATCAACGCCGTCCCTTCATCCCATACTGGAATAGCGTGGAAAGGGTAATGGATGAGAGGGGCCCATGATGTAGAATAAATTCAGGGATAATGAAAGAAAAGTCTATCAATACCAGGACCTTTGTTACTCAAATTGTCTTTGTCTCAGAGTTCCGACTATGTTATGATGGTGTCGATGGCTTTCACAACCAACAGGAGTAAGGTATGGTGATAACTAGCACATCCCAGGGCCATGCACAAGTCTGAAATTACAGGCTTTTGAGAGTTTATTCTCCACATGCAGGCTCAAAATGGTGCTGTCGACGTGACTAACAGAGAAACCATGACCCCGTAGTGGACTTGAGCCAAGTACACCGCCCGATCAGATATCATGGTTTTCGAAGACATGTTGATATGTAAAAAGAACAGAAGGAAAAGAGACAACTTTGCGATTTTCAAGAGAAATTTCTCTGTTCTGAGCTACTTGAGCTCCTGCCTTTACTTTACGCAGCAACAGCACCGCGCATCAGGCATCTTTTATTATACCGTTACCAACTCACTTTACTCGGAGGTTAAAGCCTCAGCACTATGGTAACGACCATGTAAAACCTGTTTTGAAGGCACTGTGGGAATTAGCTTGTTCCTGTTCTTGTGGTTGCGTCAGGGTTCTGCAGTGACGTGCCGTTCAAGTTATCTTAAGGTATCCAACAGACCCGTCTAGTCCATAGACGCTTCAGGTTTGTTAATTTTAGACTAGAGTCGAGAACTGAGAAACACATGGACGATCAACTTGGCCAACCAATATGATGGGCCATGGATGAACTGCATCTATATCATGACTGCGCCAAAATACGTCAAGATATCGCAGAAGTAGCCATCCAAACACAGAATCTGCGTATCGTTGCCATCACAGGAACCGAAGTCCAAACCCTAGGGCTGCTAAGCTGCACAGTATGAACTGTTAGACGAGACAGCCAAACAAGGTTTTCCTGTATTCGTCTAGAAATCTGATCCGGGACTCTCCACTTTGCCTCTAGCACTGACAGGATAGGAGCAAATAATCACCATCTATATTTCACCATACGTCTATTAGAACAGACAAGATCTTGAATAAAAACAAATGCTTTTACTAGTCCGGATGTCACTTAAGTATTCGAACATGCGCTATTCGCCAATACTCACGTCTAACCGAAAGGACTAGGCACGGAACAGATTCCTAACTGGAAGCGAAAGTCGAGAATACTGCATTAAGTTTACCTTTCAATTACTCTTCTTGAGACTTAGCAACATGGCAACATCAATATTCCATAATGGCCAATCACTCATGGCTCGCATCTCACTTGGTGCACTTGGTGAGCTTTGTTTCCCTTGTCTTGGCAATCAGAAGTCTGTTTGTCTCTGGGCGATCGCAGATATACTTCATCAGCATTGATTTTCTAGACCTGGCATTCCCTTTAACCCAGAATGACCCGTCTCGCAGCATTAGACAGTTACAGTATCAGAGCTTGTTTGTTGAAAATCCACCAGGATGTTTCTGCATGGGCGGACTTGATATTGCAATGGCAGGCAGAAATCGTGTGGAAGTAGAGACTTTTCAAAATCCGCTGTTCGTAGTCGAGAACTGAACTTCGCCCTTGATATCCAGTTTCTGCAAGGCTGAAGACAATTCAATCGTATTTGTAGACAAGGACTTTGCCTCGCCAAAGTGATGGCCTGGCTCTCAAGCAACCTTTGAGGCACGGCTCCAACCTTAGAATGGTGTTTGTTGGCAGGCACAAACCGCCCCCATTGCCTGGTGGACCTCTTCTTCAAGACTCTCTACAGTTGCGGTAATAATTTCCATATCGAGTCTCCGAGTCTCTACCTGACAGCTTAATTTTCGAGATACGTCGCCTGATCATTCTCTATTATACATGAGCAACATGTTGTGTAGAAGTGATAATGAGACCGATCCACACTAGAACATGTTGCAGGCGGACAAATTGTGTCTGAACTCGAGCCCATCTTTCATAAAGAGAAGTGACTTTGTCTCGCTATAGACGTCTTTCAGTGCTAAGACGAAGCTGCGAAACCTCGTTTTCTTCGTCTTGAGCTTCGACTGCCCTATCATCAACGTAAATCCAGCGCGATACTCTTGCACTCTTTGAAAAGTGTCACCAATTCGTTTGAAGAATTGAAGAATAATGCTGCAATTTGATCTTGCCACTCATTAGCTCCGCATCTCTGGCGATCGATTTGAGGATCTCGAATGTCGACGCTACAAGTTTGCAGGTGAACTCGAGGAATTGAACTATGTTAGTATTCAAGCCCAAGATTTATAGGTCCTCCATTGTCGGAAGTATACGTAAGATCTGGAGTTAATAGGTCTGTGGCGTATCTAATCGGGGTCGTACGCGGTCAGCTTGTTTGATTTTATGTGGTAGCGTCGAAATGGATTACATTTGAGCAGGTGAGACATCAAGAAACAACCGAAGACTAATGTTTAGTTTTTGGAAAGAATCAACCTCGAGGCTCAGCCCGGATTCCTACTCAAACGCTCCGGCGGCTCACGTCTATGCCGTTCATGGCGATGGCTTCGCTGGAACCCATTGCTAGCATAAATGACAACCAGCAAAAACACACAAAATCTTGGATCTTTTGAGGTAGTGGTCGCTGATTTGCAGCGGCTATATAGCAGCCTACCTCATTAGAGAGACCGAGGTAAAATATACTGTTTGAATTTTTTTTAAGAATCAGGGCCTTGAACTCAATGCATTAAGACCAACATCTTAGCGCCGATTATGTACGCACTTGACCGCTCCAAAGTCAATTTCGGGTTTGCTCTGCAAGACGATGAGTTCTGAGAATCTCGTGTTAGAAAATCTGATGCAAACGAGACCTTCGAGAAGGTCACTGAGCTCCACCTGAAGAGGTTTACAACAACGCACCTAGTGCTCAATTACCTCGATGAGATGGTGATGTAACTGTAGCTGGCGGTTGCGGGGGATAAGGTATCGTCGGGAATGCAGATCGTTTAGCGACCCGTTCATGCCATCATAAGGCGGGGCACTCCAACTTTTGACCCCTGACTATTAATGGAAAAAATTTCCACAGCGCAGTTACAGCAATTGAATGCACCCCGCACTCGCGTTGAGTCACCCAATTGGCCTTCAGTCATAATTCAGCGACATCGGGAACCACTTCCTGCATCTACATTTGTAGTTTTTAGTCTGGTGTAAACCAATTTTTTTTTTCACCTTCAACCTAACCCTCGACCCAAAACTTGACCAAGTCTTTAAGCACCAACACTAGCAAAATGTGTGGAACAGATGGCAATAACGGAGTGAGTGCCAACTCGGTGGCCAACGTACGCCTTCCTTATTCTAATTGGCCACATTCAAGAGAGGAAAAAAATACTGATTCTGTACCAATAGGGCGCGTTTCGGCCGTCGAACCCCTACCAGCCCGTGGGCGACTTTCTTTCCAACGTCGGCCGCTTCAAGATTATCGAGTCGACTCTGCGAGGTCAGATTCCACTGTCGTCGCCCATTTGCCGCTGTTACTAACTAGAAAACCAGAGGGAGAACAGTTCGCCAATGCCTACTTCACAACGGAGACCAAGATCGAGATGTTAGTGTTCGAGCACTGAATTCGCCGAGAAAATTACTGACCGGGCCTCTATCACTCCATTAGTGCCAAGAAGCTTGATGCATTCGGAGTCGACTACATCGAATTGACCTCGCCGGCTGCTTCAGAGCAGTCGCGTTTGGACTGCGAGGCTATCTGCAAGCTTGGCTTGAAGGTGCGAATCTGCTCTGCTGGTAAATTGTTGATGGGCTCGGCTGACAAGTCCATTTAGGCTAAGATTCTGACACACGTCCGTTGCGACATGCGAGATGCCCGGATGGCAGTAGAAACAGGTGTAGACGGCCTCGATGTTGTCATTGGCACGTCAAGCTTCCTCCGCGAACACAGCCACGGCAAGGATATGGTATACATCAAGAAGACCGCCATTGAAGTCATTGAATTTGTCAAGTCCAAGGGACTTGAGGTTCGCTGTAAGTTACAACCAAATGACCATGAGTTCTTGCCTGCTGACAAACAAAAGTCTCGAGTGAAGACTCGTTCCGGTCAGACCTGGTAGACCTGCTGTCCCTATACCAAGCAGTGGATAAAGTTGGTGTACACCGTGTTGGCATTGCTGACACAGTTGGCTGCGCTTCCCCGCGCCAAGTTTACGATGTAAGTACCCGCAATGGAATTCCTTCAGAGGCACTGAGGCAGAACGCGACTGCCGAACCAGAAGTTTCATGATTTGTTGATACTAACTTAATTCTGATAGCTGGTTCGAACTTTGAGGGGTGTTGTTTGTAAGATACCCAAAATTTCTACCATGTCTCAGAGACAGCGCTAATTCGAGTAATAGCATGTGACATCGAAACGCATTTGTGAGCACCGCCCGAGTCCTTCATCTCCTTGACACATCTCTGAAGTTGTCGGCTCCACTGTTTTACTTCCCCTAAGACATAGCATAAACAAGCTTGAAGTAGCAATCACTAACTATGAGATTTGCGTAGCCACAATGATACAGGCTGTAGTATTGCAAATGCGTAAGTACTCACCTAACCCCATGTATTCCATTCATCTCCTTGAGAGCAGAATCCGAATGTTACCCAGTTGCTTCCACCAGTGATCCTTCGTTCAAACCCAGAATACTGACCGTATAACAGGTATTGCGCCCTTGAGGCCGGTGCAACCCATATCGACACAAGTGTGCTTGGAAGTGAGTATATTTGGATCCGAAACCCCCTACCGTCTTTTCCCACTCCAACACGACGGTCTGCTTTTGCCTGAAAAAAATTGATTTCTCGGCTTGGAAAGAACCACTGGCGGACACAGAAAATTTCCTAATTTCGGTTATATTTGGCGGCTTCATCACGGGCTACCAGATTTCGACTTGTCTGCTCTAAAATACCTCTCAATCAAGCCACGAACCCTCGAGTATCATACTAACTGGTGGTGTTTATAGTTGGTGAACGTAATGGTATCACTCCTCTTGGTGGTCTCATGGCTCGAATGGTGGTTACAAGTCCGGAGTATGTCAAAAGCAAGTACAGACTTGACATGATCAAGGAGGTAAGATTTTTAAAAACACACTTTTATCGGACATGAACTGATGCATCTTGAAGATTGAGGATCTGGTCGCCGAGGCTGTCGAGGTCAACACACCATTCAACAACCCCATTACAGGCTTCTGCGCCTTCACCCACAAGGCTGGCATCCACGCCAAGGCTATTCTTAACAACCCCAGCACATACGAAATCCTCAACCCTGCTGATTTCGGTCTCACGCGATATGTCCACTTCGCCTCTCGTTTGACGGGTTGGAATGCGGTCAAGACACGTGTGGCGCAGTTGGGTCTGGTGATGACAGATGATCAAGTCAAAGCTGTGTACGTCTAGTATAAAAACCCGCTTGGAAGGTGTCGAGCTAACCTTGTTTCACATAGCACGGCTAAGATCAAGGCGTTGGCTGATGTGCGGCCAATTGCCATCGATGATGCCGACTCCATCATCCGCAGCTTCCACATGGACCTGGGCGACCGGGCACCCGTCAAGCAGAACAGGGACGCCAAGCAGAACGGAGAAGCCGAGCAGATCAAGCAGGAAGCCAAGCAAAATGGCGAGAGAGTACCGGTTGAAGTTGAAATCGGAGCGTAATTTATTGGACCATTGGCTGGCGTGCAAAGTGGCACAATTTATTAGGCAAGGAGCTGCCTACCAAGTGAATACCAGGGATGCATATTTCCCAAGTCATATTTTCAGGAGGTCAGGTCAAAATTAGACTAGGTCCTAGGTCATCGGGAGCGGATCACAAAGGTAACGAGTACGATCAATTAAAAAATAAGTAACAGACTTCGCCGATGTCTCGCCTCAAGAGTGAGGAGATACTTGACGCCATGCTCATACCGAATATCCGGGGCCATTGCAGACTTCCAAATGACGGAAAATCCAACATAACGACTGTCATATTCGTGGAGAGATGTATTAACGAACGCCGTGTGTTCTAGGGGGCGAGCAGTCGGGACTGCGGTCTCTTTCTACGGCACAGTCCACACACGAACCGGTTCTCACCACAAACAAACTTGAGTCCCTAATTTAACACCGAAAGCGTCAACTTCACCGTACACGCAGTTGTCAGTCCATTCTACCATTGATTCTACCATGTAGATTTTCTTTGTAGGAGACCATGATAAGTTGACCTTTTTATCTCTGTAACTACTTGGCAACACTTACCGTATGAAACTTTGGGATACACTGTGACCTAGCCTCTGAGCACGTCAACCATCCGTCTCCACCCTCGGATTGCATTAGAATCCCGAATCTCGTCCTAATTTAGGTCGATGATGCTGACATGAAGAAAAAATCACACGAACGAAATTTCAACGTTGCTCACCAATTGGGCCTAAAAACTCTATCATCTTAATTTGACTACTCTGTGCGCCCTGTATTTCCACCATCATCTACCTACTCATCCACCAACAACCAATCGCTGACTCAACATGGCATTCCCAAATCCTTCGCCTCCAGACATCACCGTCACAAACCTAACCTACACCTTCCAAGACCACGCAACAGGAATCCATGACATCTCCCTCTCAGTGCCACCGCGCAGCCGCACCCTCCTCATCGGCGCCAACGGCGCAGGCAAAACCACGCTCCTGCGCCTTCTCGCGGGGAAGCGTCTCGCCCCCCGCGGCGGCATTTCCGTCTCAGGCCTCGATCCCTTCAAGGATGGGCTCGAGGGAGTCACTTATCTCGGTCTCGAATGGGTCCTTAACCCCATCGTGCGCACCGACATCGGCGTTGCGGAGCTGCTGTCCAGCGTGGGCGGAGACGCGTACCCGGATCGGAGGGACGAGCTGGTGGGGGTTTTGGATATCGATGTAAGTTGGCGGATGCATGCAGTTAGCGATGGGGAGAGGAGGAGGGTGCAACTTGCCATGGGGCTGGTCAGGCCGTGGACTGTGTTGTTGCTCGATGAGATTACCGTTGATTTGGATGTGCTGAGCCGCGCGGAGTTCTTGGGCTGGTTGAAGCGCGAGACGGAGGTGAGGGAGTGTACGATCGTGTATGCGACGCATATACTAGATAATTTGGCCGGGTGGCCTACGCATTTGGTGCATATGCATTTGGGCACTGTCCGGGAGTGGGGCCCTACGGGCAAGTTTCTGGATGAGACGGCGGGAGCGGTAGGGTCGGGGAATAGTAGGCTTGGGGAGATTGTATTGGGGTGGTTGAGGGAGGATTTGAAGGACCGGGGGCCTAGGAATCAGAAGAAGATGGGGACTGAGGGGTTGACGTACTCGACTGGTGGACTTGGGGGGTATGGGCTGGAGTCGTCTGAGCCGAGGCCGTAAGAGGGTTAAGAAACATCTTGGATTATGGAGGGAGGACGATGGAGCGTGCCTACGATAGGCCGGATGATGCACTTAACTTGCATGAAAAGGTAGTGCGGAGATAAACAAGAAGAAAAGGCAGGCAAGCAGATGCTCAACGGACTGCATATGATAGTACACGGCGTTTGGGTTTGATCACCAGAAAAAGGGCGCACCGGAGTGGCATTGCTGCATTTAACATGCAACACAGAGATACCCTTCAACACGGAACTGGTTCACAAGATAATGGCGTATATATATATGTGTGGTTCCACATAGGGAACCCTAACTTTGGGGTGTCTAGCAAGTAGACATACAAATTCCATAGAGAGGCTAAGCAGGCCCTAAACCAGACAAGCAAGAAGAAACTTCGAGCAACCCGTCTCAAGCCCGCTTCATCAACGTCGTCATGGTATTTTGCATCAAATCGCACACCCCCACCATGCCGCGGTCCTCGAGATACCCCAGAACTCCCAGGCGATAGTCGTCCCAAGTCATATTTAAACCCCCCTTGTTAGTGAGAGTGGCCAAGCTAGAACGACTCGCCGGCCCAGCATGCCGCACAACCAACCCCTGAGGCTCCTGCTCAGCCTCGGCTTCTTCCAGCTTGCGCAGGTGTGACGCAGACATGAATGCCCACGTTGGCGCGGCCGACAGTGTGAACAGCGACGGTAGGGGTGTGTTCTGATCGAGCGCTTTCACGTATAGGGTCAATGACTCGACGATGTTGGGCGACATGAGACAGGCGTGGGCATTCGCGTCTTTAGCGTTGAAGGCCCGTGACCGCCAGGTGCAGTTGCAGATGTCCATGAGGAACCCGTTAAACTCGTTGATGTATGCGATCGAGTAGCCGGACCGCGACGATGCCGTGGCGGTTTGGAATCCGTCCTTGTACCGGGCTAAGATGCCACAGAGGCGTGAGGCCGTGGCTGGGCAGAGGGTGAAGTAGAGCATGTAGACCAGCGGAGAGGGCGGGATGACGATGCTGACTAGGCGGGACAGTTTCGGGTTGGAGGCGAGACGGGCGCATTCTTCGTAGAAAGCCAGGACTTGGGATTGCGTAGATGTACTGGTTGATGTCTGGAGGACGGCGAGACAGAGCTTGTTGACGTGGGCGATGAGTTCGGGCACGGCCTTAGCTGCTTCAACTGTATTTTGTTCTTGCGATAGCAGGACAACAGCCCAATGTCGAAGCAATGCCGTATAAAATGCCAATATTTCAAGTTGTGACGTCGCAGATCCATCAATTATTTTTGCTTCCATTGGCCGGAAAATGCTATCGTAAAGATCTATGTTCGTTAGGTTGGCCAGTCTCCGAGGTTTACGTGGATCTCACCAGCAAATCCAGATGAAGGGAGGGGCGCATTTGCAAGAATATCGAGGATCATGGCTCTGCTTTCCCGGCCGTCCCACACCTTCATGTATTGCCACAGAAAGGACAAAACAACAGGGGGAAGATTCTGGTCTTTATCAGTCTCTTGATTCCTCCGAACTTTCATCACGTACTCACCTTTGTTGTGGACACATACGACTGCAAAAGCTCGAGTATCCCTCCTAGTATGTCGTCGGCTTCCCTATCCATTACGTCTTGGGTGAAGGAAACCAGCCAATTGCTAACCCTTTGATGGGCTTCTGTGGCCGGTTTCAGGAGCATCAACTTCTGCAGCAGAGGATCGGCAAGCACTGATATGAGTTGATTGGGTAATTGGATCGTTTCGAGCCCATTCACCAGGCCGTCCACATTCTCGATTTCTTCAAGGGTTATGGAGTTCTAGAGAGTCAGGCCCGGTGCTAATGAAGCTTTCAGGGGAACCTACTTCCTGTGCATGAGAAGTGTGTACTTGCGGGATTATGGCACCTTTTCCACGGCCATTGCTGTTGCCGTAATGGCGAGAAACTCGGAAGGCGTCACGGGGCTTGGCAAGCTCATCGAGGGGTCGAGTATGGGCTCGCTGGATCTCATGGAGTCGTTCACGCCATTGAGGATCCGGATGCTTCAATTGTAAGCACCTGAGCCCCGAAATAATCCTTACTAATTACCTACCTTGAAAGCTGAGGCCTTGCCATGAGTTGCTTCTCCTACAATAATCTCGGGATAGTAATCCTTGAAGACTCGAAGCAGCCCTACGAGGGCAGGATCGTTTCCAGTGTCTCTATTCAATGACAGCCTTGATGACTGTTAGTGGTGGGTATTCGGCATATGCGATGCATGGCTTACAGCGCTTGGATCCGAAATGGTCGAACATGCCTACGCCGCGTGATCAAGGCGAGAATATGACATAGTTGTGGCCTGGAGTCATCAATATCTGCTATTTGGAGGAGTGTACCATTGGGAAAGGACTGACCGGATTGCCGCAGTGTCGAGTAGATTGAACAGGACCGAGTAAGCGTTGGACAAGGCGTTTTGCTTGTCTATAATGTGATATACCATAACAAGCCATCTCAGCAACGCGGCTTGAATGGCGAGAGAAGGCTTTTGAGCACCATGGCCGAGACAGCCAATGATTTTGATGGCATTATGGCTGCGTACGGAAGCCGTCGGGTAAAGGTTTCGAATGATACTGTTCAGGCTCGCCTGGTCCAAGTGGCTAGGGGTCGTGATGAGGTCGATGAGATCCTCTAGTGCATCTGGCAAAATCCCCCTCTCATATAACTGCGAGGTCAAGTCTTCAACGGTAGGCTTGATGCTGGTGCCGCGACGCTTGGCTGGCAGTTTGGCTCCTGAAATGGGATTTAGACAATTGTACTTGGACGTGGCTATGATGACGATGCTCACCTTGGATTACATCGGAAAGCGTATCTGTGAAGTCCTTTGCGCCTCGGGGCATCACCTCGAGGTTATCTTCGGACATGATGTGTCTTTCTCGATGCCACTGGAGCGGAATTCGGTTCTCCCGAGTATTCTCAAAAGCGATGTGCTCAACTTATAGTAAATATATTTGGTCCAGTCATTTAAATTAAGACGCGCCAAAGACGCGTTGAGCTACTTGGGAAGATAAATGGTGGGGTATGGCAGGTCTAAGTAGGCCGATGGAAATCCTACAATGTTCTCTGGTAGGCTCTGTAAGCGTCAGAACCTACACCTGCCCTCAGTACCTTGTTGTTGAACCCTCATCACCGCAGAAGACCATCAGGTGGCAGGAAAAAAGGACCATGATTGTGCTTCATTAATTCTTCTAGAATTTGGTGTTGCATGGAAGCCACTACCTTCGGTTCAAATTAGCAGGCAGGCTCGAAGGTCGCGGCTTCCCTTTTGCCTTGACGGCAAACTTCCCGAACCTGAAGAAAAGAGCAAAATCCAACTTCAAATTCAGTTGTCCACGGGTCCCCGGAGCTACTTCTCTTTATTATGCGCGAGGCATTCCCTGCATTGCTCCCGAAATTCCGTCAACATCCAGCCAACCCAACTTGATCAAGGATATTGAATCTTCAGCTCGGCATTCTGCTTTCGGTGCTGCGATGGTGCCACTGCGACCCCCAAAACCCCCCACGATCAATACACACTCAATGGCCTATGTCGATGGCCGATCACTGCCGTCTTTCTTCCAATGTCCCTTTCGTCTTCCAAATCGTCGCATTTGAACCGATTCTACTCACCGAATCGACATTGATGTTTGCATCCACTAATTTATGCTTCAGAGGTTATTGCGGCATTTCTTCTCCTGTTTTGCTGCCCATTTCCGCGTTCGCTCGAGGTCCGCACCGTATTTGGGATTTACCAATGGCTAATGACGCTTATCGTTGGGTCTGTGTTCATCCTACCCTGAAGATATCGTCGCATTTATGTATGTTTCTGTAACACTCAGGGCTGCATACCTTTGCGTGGACGGCCCCGTCATGGAGTTTTCCGCATCTGGACCCCAATTTACGACAAACTGGATCGAATTCCAGCGGCAGGCAAAAGCGGAATAGATGCCAGGCTTGGTAAAGCTTGGTTGCTCCCACTTAAAGCAGATGCCAATGCTCTCCCGTATTGATCTCTCCCACTTCTATCTATGCCTCACTGGCTACAGCTCACTTTCGTGCATACACCACGAGCCCTCTTGTACTACCCAAGACACGGCTTTTGCAGCTTCTTTATATCGACCGCACATAGTAATCGAGCTACACTGGCGGGATCGAGCCAATCGAAGCCCTTTTACCGCCCTGAACGTGCTATTGGGAAACATCTATCACAACCCGGTGGAACTCTGAGAGATTATGACTTCAGCACTCAGCAGCATCCACATCATTCCTCCTGCGACCTGTAATTGCACTACCAAATTCTTGTACAACCTTGTGGCATCCTGTGCCTCAAGTAGCCAGGATTGCCTGATACTTTGGCAACAGCCGCGATAGTTATAAGTAAGCAGTTTGTCCCACAGAGCAGGCAGGAGTCTCGCATTTGGGGAACCCAAGTTATGAGTTGGACTCACGACCCCAAACAGTTCGGTGGCGCTAGTGACTCGACATCAACCAAGTAGTCCTACAGATCGTGTTTATTATCACTTTTCAGTCGAAGGAACGAGTCTTCGATTGGCTCAATCCGCAAGTTCGCCGTCACTTACTACCGGGCGGAGTTTCTGAATCTGTGCTATTCGCCCCCAAAGTTGCCAGCGAGGCACTTTGTGGAACCGTGACAGGGATTATTGCTGGACTTCTGTCTTACCCGCTTCCTCTATGCCTACACAAAGACTACACAAGGACTGCTGTCAGAACACTGGGCTACTTCGTTGCGATCCTTGGTCTCCTGGTTCCCTGATCAAAGTCACCTCTGACTATTGCAGACGCATTCTCGCGCGATTTGATACTCGGATCCTCTAGCGAGAGTATCGAACGCCGAACTGGCGTTCAGCCTTGTGGTATCCAGCCTCACCAAGTAGCACAAGCCTTTGCAGCCGGCCTGAGACGATGCTTGTGTCATACTGTGTCGTTTTCAACGTGGCGAAGTAAGTCAAGTCGCAGCGAGCATGCTGACTCTCTGCATTAATGGTATATGGCATGATGCCGGGCTGACTCCGTCCCAGGTCTACTGGCACTATCAAGTAGGCCACAATCTATTAACACGCCTTGCCCGCTAATATTCCATAACCACCACAGCCAAAAACAATGCCTGGGCTCAATACTACATCGGTTCTACACCCGGGGACTTCACGACCCGAAATCGGAATCATTCGTGATCAGCAGTCGTGTCTTCCCTTGACAAGGATACTCGACGACAATGATCATGTGCTCCTTTTAACACCAGTCGTGGTACCATTTCGACCAGAGTTCGACAAAGGAGGCGATCATTTCGAGCCGTTGGGCCGGGCCATCAGTATGAGACACCCGCCGGTGTACCACGTGCCATATAATTGTCGCAATGGCATCACGGAAACGCACGTACCTTTTATTAGACGCGCCAGAGTAATCATATTCGTTATATCGGGAGCGGCGGCTGCTGGGCAGCCTTCGCAACTTGATGCCGCCAATATCGCAAGGAAGATGGGTGATCATTGTCCTCAGGTAGTCGTGGCATGTCAAGATGCCCAAGCCCTGGGTCTACTGGAGGAATCATTTCCTACAGTGCTACAATTGCCCGGATATTCCCCAGAACACCTCCAAGCTGCGGCGGCTGCTCTCTTTGGCGAAACTGTCCCCCCAGCAGTTGGTACTGCGAGTGAGCAAAATTCGGCTAAGGCTCCAATCCGGTGGGATGTGGAAGAGTTGAATCCGATGTATCTCAATGCCACGCCTATACAAGAGCTATGGGCTGAGTGTCTTCCCGCTCAATTTCAGCTGGACGTTTTTGGTCTTCGTACAGTGCTTGATCGCAAGGGCTGGGCCCGACATTACGCGGTCAAAGGTTCTAGCACAGGGGAAATGGTTGGCTTTTGTGCTACGTTCGTGACGTTCTACGGCAACAGTGCCGATCAAGATCTGGTTGGGTCCCTGGCTGTACTCATCGTGAAGCCAGCATACAGAAGGCGAGGCATAGGATTGGCACTCCACAACCACGCTGTAGATGAGTTAGCTGCCACGGACAATGTGGTTCGAGTGCAGCTCGGCAGTACATTTCCTCGACTGTTTTGTGGCGTACCTGTCGACTTCGCTTCCGCAGCTTGGTTCAGGCGACGCGATTGGAAGATGGACGGCCAAAATCCGGGCAGCGGACAAGAAGTATGTGACTGGCTGTTGAGAATCCAGGACTGGCCCTCTCCAGGGGAGGCATTGCCAGACTTCAGTTTTCGACAAAGTTCGTGGCAAGAGCTAAGGACTGTCATGGAATTTATCGGGGAGGAGTCGAAGCATATTGAACAAATGGGACTACACGATCAATATTCCAGCTACCTCGAATATGAAAGCAATGATGGGGACATCATATTGGGATTGCACGGGACGGTCATCGTGGCTACAGCGATAATCTATATCCCCACTTCCGGAAATCCCAGCGCCAACGACTTGCCCTGGTCGCGCATGATAGGATCGGATGTTGGGGGTATTACCTGTATATGCGTTTCATGTAAGTATGGGAGACTCAGGGTTTCAGTTGCAGATTACTGATGCACAGAGCAGCCCAAAATCCGGCTCTTGCGAATAGCAGAGACTCCGTCATGATCAGGCTCTTAGACGCGTGTATTAGTTCGTTACGGAACCGAGGGATGCACCGCGTATTTCTTGATAGAGTCAGAGGAGGTAGCGAAGGGTTCCAGCAGTTGGGTAAAACATGTTCGCTCTGGTGACCTAGTAGTAGCTAACAGTTCGAACAGGGTTCCAGAAATGGGCAAGATACCACGATGTGTGGCGACAGTCGTGAAAACATTACTCTTGAATCTTCCAGGTTTGCCGTAGGCCTGTTCCCAGCAGGAATACAGGGCGCCGTACGTACAATGTAGGAGCATGATCATGATGTCGGAGCACGTTGTCTTCACCAACAAACACACCGTCACCATCACACGTTCGCTGTGTACTGATGAGCCAGCAATTTTCATTTAACAGTCTAGAACCAACCGCGGCAACTGTGTCACTTGTGCGTGCCGAATCTTGTGCAATACCAGAGCTTGCCCGGCAACACACGACATAGTCGAGCACGTGTTTCGTTCAAAGCTGGTACTACATTAAAGGCTAGACCAAGTCGGAGGCATATTGACAGGCAATCTTCGGGTCATGATACAGGCCCGAGGCAGGTTTTCCGATGTCGCAAGCATCACCTCACTGTCCGTCGTGGCAGACGTGGATTGGGCTGTGTTGCAAGGCAGACAGGCTATCAAGACTACGAGGCCCATGTTGAGGTACCGGCTCCAATAATGATGAAAAATGTCGCTTACACCACCAACGCGGAGCTCTCGGGGCTGAAGGGGCTTCTGCACCACTTAGGCACAGCAGGGTGCGCGCATGATCGGTTGCAAACTTGCCTCATCTCATTGTCACCAAAGACTGCTGAATGCCGGAATTTGGAGCATTCTTGGCAGACCCCCGATGGGACTAGCGGGACGTTGGGGTTTTGATAAGTTCTTGGAGGGCTCATAAGGAAGTCAAGGGCATATTCTCAAAGTGCGGTCCGTCATTTATGCAAGTGCCGACCAACCAAGATACTGCATTTCTCAAGTGGTTGGATCAGAAACAAGGAAGTTGTCCAGCAAAAATGCAGACGATTATTGATATTGGGGATTGGGGGCTAAAATGTCTTCAATGAACAATGGCCGTGCCGTATCATGGTTTGCTTATGCTGACAGGCTAGGAACTCAGATTTCAATTCCAAACACAGCGACTCCTGCCACCAAGACACATGTTGTACCTCCCACAAAGTTAGCCAATGGGCATTGGGTGTACACAGTTACAAGGACTGGACCAGCACGATATGTGTCAATTCCTCGTGTTACACTCCTCTCTCTAGTCGTTGTGATGACAACAGCCTGTTTGTTTTTCTATCAGCTGATGGGATCGATATTCCGAAGTGCATGTTCGTTCCGCCATTCCTACCATATTCCATTTATGTGCCTCGGTGGCACAGCGATGGACGACGTACACGGGCAAGGGAAAACACGGCAACAAAAACAACCGAATCCAAGGTGCCGCGCAGTAACGTGGGATGTGCGGTATGCAAGTCTCGAGTAAGCAGTGGCAGCGGGCAATGCGCGTTGGTGCCGATTGTAGCTACATGCAGACAGAAGGCGAACGGGGTAACCTTGGGGGACGGAATCAAATAATGAAAAAGCGGTTGGCATCTACATTGGTGGATGTCACTTAATAAGTTTTCTTCAGTACGTGTGTCTAACCCATCCAGCAGCAGTTCAGTAGGTCAATACAACAGGTGCTGGGCCCGTGTAAAAGCACCCTGGGGGACTGGGCGTGGACTCCAAGGCTTTTCTGACAATTACTACGTAGGAATGAATGCAACCAGACCAGCGCAGTCCGAAGCGCCTGGAGTCAGGTCCTGTCTTGCCTGGGTTCGTCGCACCGAGTCCGTTAAACCGACAGCAACAATCAGTGCTAGAGTCTTAGACCGATCGACTATCCTATCATATCTCGTAGCCATTTCCGTTCTAGGATTATGTTCGCGCGTGGTCCCAAGGGATTGGCAACGGTCGGGTCACTAGCGGGTGCTACGGTTTTTTGTTGAACCTCGAACCACAGAGCCGGGAATGTGAACGCGGTTGAGGGCTCGGCCGAGTTCACAGTTCGCTGCAAGCGGCCCAAGCACCGTATCCTAAGGCGCCGTACCCTCGCTATGCGGGCTGTCATACACTGTAAAGGGGGCGTATATCTTGGCCCGAAATTGCGTATACTGGCCTATCGGGAGAGTGTCTTTGCATGGAATTTTCTGTCAACCATGTAGCCATGATGTGGTTCATAGGGGATGGAGAATGCTGGGCTGGGCGCTGCTGATGCGTCGTGTCATGTAACACACATAGGCTTTTGCACTCCGCACGCAGTGGGTGTACTTTTGCCCAGAACGTACAGTGCTACCCTGGTCACCCTGATATATTATGACACGTACTAAAACGACCACCCCGAACGGAAACTAGCTGCGCTGGTTGGCGCGTTGTTCCCCACGTGGTTGAACATAGGACCAAGCTAACTGGGGGGTCTTAGGAACGGGCCGTAGGGGTCCAAAACGACAGCAATCAGCTCTGCGGGAAAAGATGGATGAGTACTAATGTCAGCGTAACGAGACAGCGCCGTAGGGCTACGTGCCTAGGAGTTAGGTAGCTGTGAACGAGAAGCTCACTGCCCCCCTTTAACCGGTCCTATCCGTCTGCTCGCCTATTTGCCTGTTCTCGGCATCGTTGACTCATGGGTCAGCTCCCTGATTACCACCTTACCAAGCCAGGTGTGTGCTGTTTGGCCTAGGCCGGGGCCTCGGATACGCGTGATGAGTTTTCGTCTGCATGTCAAAGGCACAACAACGTAAAAGGAAATCCTTGAAAGGACTTTGCAGCATGCATCATCTCGAAGAAACCTGGCGTAACATTGTGCATTCTTACGCATGCCGCAAGTCGCGGTTCATACTCATATCACCATGAGGTGGGAGTGCGGTGTACCCATCACTAGTTTCGTCAATCATCGAGGGCACGCGAAAGCAAAAGAACAAAAAATGAGTTGCTCCATGATGGGATCGGCAAAGCCTAAACTAGCCTGACGCTTGCCGAAGGAAGTCTTGTGTAGCCCTCCACAACGTCTAGCCTAGCGTTCTTGGCTCCCAAAATGCAAACATCTCTTCATTATCTCTGCTGCAAATCATCAAATTCACATGTCTGTAACCAGGTTGTGTGTATGTCATGCAGAGTTGTAATATTGCTACATTGTCCCGCAGAGATGACTGTGCCGACACTCTGTGAAAGACAGAAAAAATGGTGAGGCAATGTGCCAGGTTCCCTGTATATAATCTGTACAAAGTACTTGTAACAAGAACAGTCAATGAATTGTCAAGCCCTCCTCCCCCCGTTCCCAACCGTTACCTCTCCTTCGCTCTCTCTCATCCAGGATCCAGGAGTCAGGCGGGTATCCTTTGAGGGAGTTTCTCTCGCTTTTCATGGCATATCCCTCCGCAAACATCGACATTTTACGATGAGAGCGACAGATGCTGCCGCTCCCAAATTTCAGTCGATGAGCAGCAGCTCATAGGAGGGGGTAAATGCCGTGACAGAAACAAACGGGAAAAGCAAAAAACTTTTGTGGTATTCCTCCCTTATCCAGACGCCATGTCCTCATCTCCCTTCCGAACTTTTACACCTTTGCCTAACGTCGCGTACACGGTGGGGACATGACTTCCTCGGCTTGATTTCTTGATGTGTTCACTGTTGTGAGATGCCTCCTGTTGTAAGGCAGTCAATAGCGGGAAATGGTAATGCGATCGACCAAGTGCCAATTTCAGGCCCATTTAGAGAAATCGACTTGATCAACAAGGTTGTCAAGTCCATTGGCAGCATGGATCTCGGTATTCTCAGTCGGTGCCGTCGAGAGCATTGACGAGCGGTGTGAGTGCGTGTTTTGCTCGCTGTTGGTGGAGAAAAAGGTAGCCACCGATGATCTTCTCAAGCTGCTGAAGCTGTCACGAACAGTACCGCCGGGTCTATTTGGCTCCAACTGGGAGCTGCTCAGGATCGTAGACGGTCCACCACCAAGTGCCGTCCCAGGAGGGGACGGCGATAGTCCATGGGAGTGTGACGTCTTGGGGCCATATTTCTCCCTCAGGCGCTTGATCTCCCGTAGTCGATTGCGCCAGGGCGAAACATGCTCGCCGCCCTCGCGGTTGGACCAAACGAGCGAGAAGACCGACGCGTTGAGAGCCAGCAGACGGATAAAGCTGGGTAAGGCTTGCAAACTGATTATTTTTGTCTCCGAAGCGGGTGATATCTCAGGAAAGCCGGGCTTGCTCATGACTTGAACTTTGTAGAATGACTCCTTCAGATCGATCGGTGTCCTCTGCCTAGTAGCGACGAACGAAGCTCGTGATTCAGGAGTTATGACGATGTTGACGTAGTTGAAGTCTGACGGGAATGTATCGAACTTGAACGGCAGACCTGAGTCGTTGAATATGATATTGACGAAATCGTTACCAATGTGTCGCTTCTTCAAAGTACAGCCAGGGTCCCTGTCCAAATTGGTTGGCATCTGCGTGGTGACATGGAATACAATCTCAGACACGCGATCTCTCCAACAAAAGGTGAATTGTCCATCTGTGTCATACTGTCGATCCAAGCCTTGGGCATTGAACTTTGCATCCTTCAATCGCGTTAAGGTACCAAGTCCATTCAGAAAGTCCACGTAGTCGCTGCTTCCCGATACGTTGGCCAATATCTCCGACTCCTTCGTCTGGTTCTCGCCAATGTAGATGACGCCAACTTTATGGCCATCAACCGTAGAGTTGTGGTCAAACATCCGGATGGCTCTGTCAATAGCATCGTCATCAGGCAGGGGAATCGGCCGAGCTTGATCGGTGCATTGGGGCATCGAGGACAGCAGCTGGACCAGGAGGTGGCTCGGAAATACGCTGTTGCCGTGCAAGGAGTTGGCATCCCGCGAGTTGTCATTGGTGGTTCGTTCTTGATGTGCGGGAGGGGGTCTGAATGATTCGCGGATTATGTATGAAGACTTGCCAGAGGACTGTCGCTTGGTGATCTGCGCCCATCCCGTGGAAACTGCCTGCTCAATAGTGACAATGCTGTTGCCGATCAGCCAGCGCTTCTTCATAATCTCTCCGTAGCGGTCAGCCGTGAAAAGCGGGTCCGCCGCCGACTCGTCCACGTCGGCAAATGCCACTCGTTGCATGAAGTCGATGGTGATCTGGGCTTGTTCCTCCGAAGTTTGCGATCCGTCGGCATCTCCAAAAAGATTTCTCGCGATCCAGCCGACATGATTCGGGCGGTCTGGAATCTTCAGAGCCAGAAACCAGAACGTTACCACGTGGTATGCCAAGGCATAGACATACTGAGGCAAGTCGTCAAACGCGTTGGGGTGTACGGGGCCATCTGCCGGACTGGATGCGGCCGCTGTATGCGCGGCTGGGTCACTAGCCGAGCTGAACCGATATGAATGCCGCTTCTCTCTGACGAATTGCAGGTATCGGAAGCAGATGCCAAACACGATTCGATATTCATCTTCTCTGAAGTTGACGTATAGAGACGGCAGTCGAGCCAGGCAAGCCAGGAACTCTAAGATGTGCATAGCAACGTAGGGTTGAGTGACAATCTGGGCCATCTTCTGCAAAATCGTAACCAGAGCCTTGCTGGTTGACATGGGAAGCTCGTAGCAGCAGATAGAGAGTGCGTGAATGCAGCATTTGGCGCTTCGTTCCCACGTCATGCCACGGACGAAGGTATTGACCATCTCATCTTCGTCCGGCTTTTGGAAGTGCTGGTGGTAACTCATAATCATCGTCAGGGTGTGGAAAAGGCAGATGGAGACGTCAGAGCGACGAAGTCCAGAGGCACTAGGGGGCTCTAAGAAGCTGTTCATTCTAATCTGCTCGCAGAGCGTCTTCCTTAGTTCCTGCAGCTGCGGCACCGCGGTTTTGAAGATGCCGTGATTGCTCAACTGAGAGGGAAGATGTACTAGAACAAAACTGTACACTTCCCAATCGCATCCTTGTTGGAACAGATTCAGGATTGCTTCGAGCCACAAGCTGGTGGGCAGCACGACGTCCTTAGGAGCTTCCTCCCCAGACTCCGGCTTTACACCTGGCAGATGCGAATACAGTACAGGGCTGGCAACCTGGGAGGCCGGCCCGGGAAGCGCGTCTGGATCGCTTGCAAACCACATTTGCTGATATTTTGGGGCAGCGCCCTTAACGCTGCTGGTAGGCCTGCTAGGATAAATCTGACCCTGGCCGAAGGATACGCCTCGTGAAGAACCACCTGACCCACCAGCCTCTCCTCTTGAGAGCCTACCAGGATGAGCCGCTTCTTCAGCTTGCTTGCGCGCTAGAGATGCTTCCGTGCGGTAGAGCGAGGAGGCTAGGTATGCTGATTCGGTGTGAGCAGTGACGAAGATGCGGCCAGCCCAATCCGCCCTCAATCGAAACAGGAGCTTCATGGCGCTGAGGCGAGCATCGGTTTCGCTCGAGTTGGACTTGGCTATCGACACCAAGATATGGTACAGTCGGCTTGCCTTGGCTACATCGGTGTTCATGACACGCATAAAGATTTGCACGTAGCCTCGCACCACGACATTGGATGGGGTTTGGCCTGTCCATGTTGTCGCTTGGTCGGGGGGTGTTGGGTGTCCGGGGCTTTGTGCCAACACAGATGACGTTGGAGATCGGAGTCGATCAGCCGTCAAGACGCCACGAAGTGTATCAACAATGTAGCTGAACAGAGTGTATGACGCATTGTTCGCAATGCCGGCTGTGAACGATACAAGCTCTTCAAGAACCTCGATATCCGTCTCCTCGGATACGTCTGCGAGTAGGCGCTTCACGAGGTCGGGTACAAAGTCGGGTTCGACCCGTTCGTTAATGAGCTCGATCATGTCGTACACTTCTGTGACGACTTGGACAGCTCGGTGTCGAAGCGCGCTGGAACGATCGCGATTGGCAAATATTCCATTGATGACCAACTCAAGATTTGCTTCCCATTGGACGTCAGAGGGGAAGCAGCATCGACAATCCTTGAAATAATCGAGGACCAAACTGGCGGCCGAGTCGGGCAAAACCTTGTGGATTTTGGCAAAGAAGAAGATGCAGTCCTGTCGTTGCGTGAAAGCGCCGGCGGGTTCCGCCAGCAGTCGCTCAATTCGTGTGATAACCTTCGTGATTTCGGTCCTGACCACACTCGCTGTTTCTGAGCTCTCCCGCGCAATTGCAGATTTAACCGGTTCCTCAAAAATTACATTAGCCGTGACCGCACTGTTTGCACACACGGCCGCAACGTCGAGAATCCCGGACCAGTCCTCGTCGGCAATCATGGGATTAAGGTTGCCATGAGCATCGCTGAACAGCGCATTGGCCAGGCGCAGGATGTCCACATGGATCTTCCAAGCCTGCGTGGCCTTCACCACCGTGGTCAGTCCGTCAACGAGAATGGAGTATGGAATCGATGGGTAGCCCTTCTCCGTATTTTTCGATACAAGGCGGAAGAGGATTGAGAGAGCGCCCCTAACTTCTCGTACGAGTTCCTTACTCTTGTCTGCATCGGTGGGAAGAGTGTTGAGAACATCGAGCAAGATCCTGACCAGAGCTTGGCCGTTGTGCGACCTGGACAGAATGCTCAAAGTATGCCACGCAGGCTTCTGAAGGGCGGGAACGAGGCAATGGATCGAACTAAGAACCTGCACACAGTCCTTCAACTTGTCGTTTGGGATGGACCCAAAAGTCACGATGGCTTCCAGAACCGTAATGCAAGCCCTGAGATGTTCGGTGTTGCTCGTGTTCATGCATATGTTGAGAAGCGCATTGATCAAGGCCTCGCCAGCGCTGTCATCGACAACGCTGAAGTTGAACTTGATGACGTCTGTCGTCAAGGCAAACAGGCCAGCAAAATCCTTATCCTCACCCGATACAGCAGCCTTGCCCTTACTTCGAGACGCTTGTTTCTTCGCTGCACGCACGGAATCGAACTTCATGCCAAGCCACTCCGTTAGCAGTGGGAACACGTCGTAGTCGCAACCAGACAAATCGCGGCCATGATTCGTTAACGCCAATAGTGCTTCAAGCTGAAGGTAGAAATCTGCCGCATTTGCCTGGGCTGTGATTGTCTGGAAATATTCCTTGCGCTCAAGGTCGGTCGACGAGGGATGCTGCACGCAGGCAGTAAGAAGCGCCCAGCCAGCAATCCGAGTGCTACTGGCATGGGTTGGTTCGATCATATCCTTGGCCGCGTACCAGATATCAAGCACCTGCCATCCCATGTCAGTAAATCAACTTTGCATCCGTCCCTCCGGCAGATCAAGACGTACTGGATTTAGCGGGTAGTCCTTCACAGCATGGCGAAGTTGATCAGCTGCAGCGACCCGATCGCTGGTTGAACCGCTTCTAAGCTTCTCGAATGCTTCCATGTGATTCGGCGGTAAGCCTTGCGAAGCCGCGGTGGTGTCGTTGAGCTGCTCGGCGATCTGGGCGTTCATCGTGGAGCTGGTAGTTTGCATCAACGTCGGAGCTGCTTTCGTCAGCTTGGCAGCCCCAGCAAGACCCTTGAAGACACTGGCAAGTCCTCCAGTATTTCTCGAGTCCTGCGGCAACTGGGCCTCGTCTCCAGGTGAGGGAGACATGTTGTCGGTTTCCTCAGCTTGGCCTTCAACGGCCGCCTGGCCGAGGGACGCTAGGCGACGCAGCATGTCAGCAGAATTCCAATCGAGTGCTTGTGATGCTACATGGGAGGTGTTTGATGCAGCAAAAACCCTAAATTTTCAAGTGGAAGAGAGTTGCTAGAGGTGGAAGGCAGGTGAATGAGTCAAATCGGAGAGGGTGGTAGTGATGCAACCGGTAGAAGCTTCCGGGCTGGACCCACGTCTTCCGTGCCCCGGCTCCGGCCCTGACGTCCTAGTGGACGGCTTAGGACTTGAGAAGATCGTGATGCGGCCTTCCAGCAAAATGGACGCATCATAGAACAGGGTGAGTTACTGTAGAATGGGGTGTCAAGGCAGATACGGTAGGGACATCAGCTCAAACGCCAGAAAACTAAGACTTCTACTCACGGACAGGCTGGAAGTTGCATAAGGTGTGTGGAAAGCACAAGTTATGAAATATAGCGACAGATCATAAAACCTCCGTCGAGGGTAACAACCCGAGCAGCATAAGCCAAATAACGCACGCAAAGCAGAAGGCGCACTTGTCCTCTTTATTTCACTTCCTCTCACACCCTTTCCTCCACTTGGCAAGCTCCGTGGAATGCACAAATAAGTGACTGTCGGCCGGTATGCGATTCACGAGGCAAGGCTATGGTCGTCTTCGCTTCGTCGGGTGTCTGTTTGCTTGATGCGGTAGTATATTTGGGGAGGGAAGGACTATGGGACGACGGCATCAAAACAAGATAGCTATTATCTTCGGGAGGTGCATCAAATCTTGGTACGGAACAATAAATGGAGGAGAGAATGATGGATGGTCACTCCACCCAAGACCGTTTTGGTTCTTGTGCATTCGCAACATCACTTTGTCCGTAGTAGCCAATCAGAAAGCTCGATGCCTCCTTGGAGCTTGCAGCTCCCTTGAATGCGCTCAATGGTTACGCCTCAATTGCATCCAGGTCTCACATTTTAATGACACTCCTGCTATCATTCTCCAGCAGGTGACTAGTCATACCAGTATCATTGCAAAACAGGCGGTCTTTTCTTGTTTTCATGAGTTTTGACATGCATCGTTAGACAAGTCGCTACTTTTTGAGATCCAATAGATACCTCCCTTTCAATCTAGGTACTTCGAATGAAGTCCTTAAATGTACCTCAAAGTACTCAAGTATCAATAAGACGATCTCATCTGATTGTCCAATGCCAAAAGCCAGCTCGGAATAATAATGGCTCCATTGTCCGCCACAGCTTCCCAAGTTCCCCTCTATCGCCAAGCTCATATGCGGCGGTGACGCACAGGCCGCCAAATTTTTAGCGTTCCGTTGCTGTGGTTTGGGGACCATTGAAAGGCAACAAACGTCTTGAAGCTTGCTCAGATCATCGACAATTGACACTTCTTCATCGTCCACTTGCCACCACACAGACTTTCGTTAGGATCGCCCACTCGTAGCAATCATGGCTAGCGATCTTGAACGGATTGTCCAGCTGCTGGATGCCACCCTCGACCCGACCAAGCACAGAAAAGGTACAGTGAAGCTCGACGTAGCCCCACCTTGGCTGTTTCTAGCGATAGAACTTCGTACAGATCAATCCTTCGGGATGATATTTTAGACTAACCTTGGGGATCTAGCCGAGACCGCACTTAAGATTGAAGAGAAGAAGCCCAGGTTCTCTCTTCTACTTCTCCAGATCGTACACGCCGAGCAGCTACCCGTCAACACCCGACTGGCCGCGTCGCTGTGCTTCAAGAACTTCATCCGCTTCAACTACGTGGTACGTGAACCCAGCACAAAAGTAATGGACTAGCAGATTCTGACCCGAAAGCATAGGATGCCAGCGGCAACTACAAACTCCCCGCCGATGAGGTCTCGACCATCAAACAAGAGCTCATTGGGCTCATGATTGCCTGCCCGCCAACGATTCAGACACAGCTCGGAGATGCCATAAGTTTGATAGCAGACTCGGATTTCTGGGAGAGGTGGGACACACTCGTTCAGGTGCGCATAATAGGGAACTTCCACTTGTAGTGGCGATCAGGCCTGGTCTAACGCTATGAACGTAGGACCTCGTTTCGCGATTGTCGCCCGATGATGCCAAGGTGAACAACGGAGTGTTGGAAGTCGCACATTCGATCTTCCAGCGGTGGCGGCCCCTGTACCGGTCTGATGATCTCTTCATGGAGATCAACCATGTTCTCAACACATTCGCGACACCGTTTCTCAGCCTCCTGAATGTATATCAAACCCCAAAAAGCCCGTACTCGCCCATAGTCTTGCGCTGACCATGCATCGCCCCAGGCCACTGACCAACAAATCACCGCGAACGCCAACAACAAGGATGCCTTGAAACCGTACTTCGACACCCTGAGCCTGCTTGTCAAGGTTTTCTACGATCTTTCGTGTCAAGACATGCCGCCGCAATTTGAGAACAACCTGGAGCAGATCTCGACTCTACTCCACAAATACTTGACCTACGAGAACCCAATACTAGCAACAGACGATGAATCGGAAGCCGGTGTGCTAGAGAACGTCAAGGCCGACATTTGCGAGGCCCTGGAACTCTACACGAGCAAGTACGATGACGATTTCGGACGATATACGCAGGTTTTCATCACTAGTGCCTGGAACCTACTGTCATCAATCGGACCCGAGACAAAATACGACAACCTCGTGAGCAAAGCTCTTCACTTCCTGACCGCCATCGCAAGCGTTGAGCGCCATGCACAGAATTTCAACGACGAAAATGTGCTCAACTCGGTCGTGGAGAAGGTTATTCTGCCAAACGTTGCTCTGAGAGAGACGGACATCGAACTGTTTGAGGACGAGCCTATTGAATTCATCCGAAGAGACTTGGAGGGCTCGGACACCGACTCGAGACGGAGAGCAGCCACAGACTTCTTGAGAACGTTACAAGAGAAGTTCGAGCAGCTTGTCACCAACGTTGCTGGCAAGTACATCAACCACTACTTGGAGCAAGGCAAGGGCAACTGGAAAGACAAGGACACAGCCATATCCCTCTTTTTGTCAATAGCGGCGAAGGGAGCTGTCACCGCTGGCCAGGGAGTGAAGACGGTGAACTCACTCGTAAATGTAGTTGACTTCTTCCAACAGCACATCGCCAGCGATTTGATCACAGACAACGGAGTCGAACCAATTTCCAAAGTCGATGCCATCAAATACTTGTACACCTTCCGAAGTCAATTAACGAAGGAGCAATGGCAGGCTGCCTTCCAGCCCCTCATCCAAAATATGGGATCCTCCAATTACGTCGTATACACCTATGCTGCGATCGCAGTCGAGAGAGTTCTGTATCTCACTGACGATCAAGGCAACCACGTATTTTCCCGGCCCGATATCGAACCATTTGCGAAAGACCTTCTGGAGCACTTATTCAAGCTTGTGGAGAAGGAGCAGGCGCCTGCGAAGATGCAAGAGAATGAGTTCTTGATGCGGTGCATCATGCGAGTGCTCATCGTAATGAAAGAGGGTGTTATGCCTTTCGCAGACCTGGTGCTAGATCACCTGGTCAAGATCACGAATGTCATCAAGGAGAACCCAAGCAATCCCAGATTTTATTACTATCACTTCGAGGCCCTGGGTGCCCTGGTAAGGTAAGTTTATTCCTGAGTGGTCAAGCGTGGACAACCCGGTCAAGAATATGGGGCCAACCTAGAATGATGCTCGGCACTGTTAACGCCATTCCCGAGACTACACGTGAATTTTATCTGTCACTTGGAAGCATCCAAGTGACGGATGAACTACAGCTGCCGATCGTTCTTCTAGGTTGCACTATACTTGGGTCACCCAACCTTTGCCACACAAAATTGCGTCGTGCGTTGGGTCGAGAGCTGATTGAAACAGGAATGTCGCGTCATCCGGTGCAAGCACTAAATTGGAAGAACGGTTGTGGGAGCCATTCAACCAGATCCTCACGGAGGAAGTCAACGAATTCATCCCATATGTCTTCCAGCTCTTTTCTGCACTGCTCGAATCAAATCCGGCCTCCGCCCTTCCGAACCACTACAAGAGTCTTATCACCCCCTTGCTTCAGCACACACTGTGGGAAACAAGAGGTAATGTCCCTGGTTGTACAAGGTTGCTGGCGGCAATCGTTCCTCGAGCGTCCCAAGATATCGTGGCCGCCAACCAAGTCGAACCGATTCTCGGCATCTTTCAGAAACTATTGGTCGGCAAGAAAACGGAGCAAAACGCATTCGATGTTCTGGAGTCCGTGGTGATCTCCATTCCGAAGTAAGTTTCATACGTGGACAATGACTTACACATGTCTGACAAATAAATAGGACGAGCCTTGAAAAGTTCTTCACGACGATCTTGCAACTCGTTTTGAACAAGCTGGACCACAACCCTGCTGAATCGTACAAGAAACGTCTTGTACGATTCTACCATCTCATATCTGCAAATGTTGATATCGGCCTTGGTGCGGATTTCTTCGTTGCTCAGATGGACAAGGTACGAGAGGAAATGAAGGTCCAGGCAGACATATTTGTGCCCCTGTACTTGAAAACGGTTCTGCCCGTTTCTCCCCTGTTTGCCAGTCCCGTCGACCGTAAGCTAGCCGTGGTCTCTCTGACCAAGTCATTGGCCGAGACCCAGGCCTTTGGACAGCGATACCAGAAAGGTTGGCGCTTCACTTGCGAGACCCTGCTTACGATGCTCACCAACGCGCCGAAAGCAACCGGGGGCACGGGCGACGAGATCATCCGGGAGGCCGATGTAGACGATATCGGTTTTGGCTTAGGTTTCACAGCACTCAACACCTGCAAGAAACCACCACGCGACGATTTTCCCGAGGTGCAGGATGTTCCGCAATGGGTGCGGCAATACTTAACGCAGGCGAATGCGGCCAGGGGTGGCGTAATCGCAAGTTACGTGGATCGCCTGTCTGATGAAGGAAAACAGGCATTCGCGATGTACATGGGTTAAGAGACTTGTCTTGTTTGGACGTAATGATTGATACCTAGGGCAGAAGCAGAAAATTGGCGCGGTTGGCCGGAGAATAGAGTCAATGTTTTCACCATATTTTACATCTTACTGAAGAGGGCTTTACTAGATAGGGAGGTTGGTTTAACTCCATGCCGGTCGCCTCAGGACACTTGTCAACTAACTACGTAGGCGGCATGATTTGGAGGGCCAACTTGGGTTGCGAGGTAGGTTAAGTGCGTCTTCTTACAGGCAATCCTTGCTGAAAAGAAGACTTCGGGTGTACACCAGACGGCCGGTTGACAAACATTTCGGTTTAGGTATTAACAGACCCATTCCAGAAGCCCATTCCAGAAGCTGCCAGTGCGTCCGCCCATAATGGCATTCCACATACAGTGCTACGGCATCGGTAGTGGCTGTAGAACCAGGTGATTACTGCGCCAAGGATTTCCTCATGCATGCGCGATAATTATGATGTTTGATAGGGGCGGCACGGGGTTGACATGGAAGAGTGCTGATCAAGGAAGTTGCCGCTTTTTCACCAGCTCAACTCATCTTGGCAAGCACCAGCAGGTACAAAGAGCGCCTCGAAGCCCGCGGCCAGGCGGAGGCAAACTCTGTTGAATGGGGCATCGGATCATGCTATGCCGCAACTCTGCTGAAGTTGTCGAAGTTACGACTACCCGTGCCGCAACCCACTTATTTCGGACTCGCTTGAGCTCACCAACCTAGGTTGGTGTTCACCACCAAATTGGCCAGATCACCAACTTGGCCAGTTTTTTCCCTACTTTCAACTTCAACCTATCTTCATCAATTTATCAGCTTTTTCTAATCGCAATGGACTCACAGTTACAGCAAGCCGTCCTCTGTATGAGTGCTAGTATGCAAAGTCCCTCGATCAGTTAGTACGGGATAGATATACTAATATATCTAACGTACCCCACAAGCAAGTTGGCCACTTTTTCTTGGCACCGTATGAATAACTTCAATAACTTAACTAAACTAAAAAACAATAATTCAAACTAATCGGAATCCTCTTCCTCGTACGTATCTTTATCATTCTCACAAGTACGAGCATTATGTCCGGGCTCTCCGCAGATCCTACAGCGCCGTCGGCGTGGTTCGGCCGGTCTCGTACGACGACGACTTACACGTATATCATCCTGTAGCTGCTGTTCAATATCCCGTTGAGACTGTAAGTCCTGAGCGTCTCGTAAAATAAGAGATCCTCCATCTTGTAGCTGTCGATTTTTAGTCCTTCGACGACGGCTTAGCTCTTGATTAGCCTTCCGAAGTGCAGTGACCTCATCCTCAAGTAAAACTAACCGGTGCATAACAGCCGTCGCACCACGTGAAAATTGGTCAATAGCCGTAAGTATTGTCATCGGGGAGCTATTCTGATGCTGTACGATTCTGTTTTTAACGTATTCAGACTGGGATTGCGTCTCGGTTGGGTTATTTGGAGTCTTTGATTCCCAGATTAAGGGGGCGCCAGACGAGCTCCCAGGAGGTGTAGGCGTATGTAGCTTAATATTGTAACGGGGTAAGGCCGGACATCAGGGAAATAGGTTACGGGGGCTAGGGAGGGCTCCCCTGTCTTCCTTACTTCAAAAAGGGACACGGAGATAACAGGCGACTTTCAACAACTCGTCATCTTTTTCATCATCTTATTCAATCAACTTATTCAATCAACTTGACTTTTGTTTTCTATTCTAGTTAGCTAGCCCTTCAATTATGCGGTTCATTCCTACGTGCACTTAGACACTACTTTCGAAATCCAATTAATCTGCCCTTATCTTAGCCTTGACAATGACAAAAGCCTGTATCTTGCTCTGATCAGAGCAATCCAGTGCCATTGAGAGCTTCATTCGACTCCCAGAGCCAGACGTCTTGTTCTGAGAATCATTCCGACGAGAGTCTCAGAGGCACATCCGACCAACTCGCGCACCAGACTTGCAAGAGCGAAGCTCTTGCAACCAGTACCACGATCTTCGTCTGATCAGACCAACAGATCCCATCTGTTGGTACTGGAGCCGTCTGTTCAGTGTGTTAGGTGGTAGGTATATCCTACTGACCGCCTGACCCCGTTTCACTATAAGAAAGATAGAAATACAGAAAGTCCCTGTAATGCTAGAACTATATGAATACGAAGTAGGTATATCCTACTGACCGCCTGACCCCGTTTCACTACAAGAAAGATGATAGAAATACAGAAAGTCCCTGTAATGCTAGAACTATATGAATACGAAGTAGGTATATCCTACTGACCGCCTGACCCCGTTTCAATGGTGATCAGAGGGAGGCTACACAATTCGGAGGCTTCACGGCACTGAATCTCTCGTCAGATCGCGATTATTGAAGACAACCGATCAGTCGCGGAGAGGGAATGATGGAGACCCCCAAATGCTTCTGCTGAGGACACGGAAGACACGGAAGATACGGAAGCCTCGGACATAGAGTCAAGACCGACAAACTCAGAAGGGCGGGGCTCCAAAGTTTCTAGCTACGAGGCGACGATAAGGACAGCGAATGTGGGAATTCGAAGAGGAAGTACAGGCTTCCGAGAGTGCCGAAGCCACTACGGCCTTATCAACAGGATATGGATAGAGACTTGGCACACAGCTCGGCACACAGCTCTTGAACTCTTATTCAGAAGATAAGATACAGAGAGATAAGAGAGCACAGAGCACAGAGCACAGAGCAGTACAGAGCAGAGCATTAAGAAGAGAGTGACATACGACAATCTGCATCGACAAGGACAAGAGTATCAAGGGCATCGACAAGAGGATCAAGGAGATCAAGAGCATTAAGAGTATCGACAAGAGAAACAACGGCACAGGACCGAGGAATATAAGAAGAAGGAAATAGAAGCAAGAGTAGTACGGGATTGGACCCGGACACCAAGGCTTCAACACTCCTTTTCTGAAGAAAACAGAGAGACTCGGATACAGAGATGCGATAGACGATATGAGACTCAGACACAGAGATACAACTAGTACGACAGGACCCATAGGAGAATAGTTCCTACGAAAGAACAGTTTTCCAGAGCCGAGAGAGAGGCCGCACAGCGAAAGCACGGAATCTATTATTCGCCTAGGACTAATCAGACCGCTCCCGTCAAGACCACCGAGAATCCGATCAAAATGGCTCAAGTTTTTACTATACTATATATGATCCCCGATGTAGCGCAATACCCACACCTCCGCTTTGACGGCGATAACGTATCCGACTGGATTGAGCAGGTCGATCGGATCTTTGAGAGAGCTCGACTCAGTGATGCTCAAAAGATTGCCGAAATCCAGTACTGGACTAAGGACAGGACGCATCAGAAAAGGGTGGAGGACGCTATCGATCAACTTCACAGTTGGAGTGTTGCGGTAACGGCTCTGAAAAGTACCTTCGTAATCGGAGACCCCAGACAACTACGAAGTGCATACCAGCGCCTCAAAGACCTCTAGAACCAGCCTCCGCTATCGAATCCGTCGAAGATCTATACGTACTGTCTTGACCATGAGATTCTGGTTAGTGAGACGAAGGGTACTACTCGAGTCCCAAGCGACCTTGACTGTACTCGAGGCTTGTTTGAGGGAATCCACAGTCACAGCCTTGAAGACATCATAAGCAAAGCTGATATGACGCACGAAGAGATCTTCAAGATGGAGTACTCTCAAGCCCAGAAGTTGGTCCGAGGATGGGCGAGGATTAAGGTCAATCTGGATATGCACACCAAGCGAGCTGAGAGATATTTTCCGTCTGATCAGGGCAAGAGAGAGGAAAGCCAGCCAGATATAACTACTCTCACGGAGAGGCTCAGAGCCTTGCAGATACAACTGAGCCAAGTAGGTCCGTCTGATCGGAGACACCAGATAGAAGACATAAGGACTGCATACCGGCCACAGCAGCTATGGGGCTGTCAGCCACTCGTACACCAGGTCGTACACCAGGCCCAAGGAAATACGGTCAGGACTCAAGACAGCCCTCGTCAAGACAGCCCTCGTCAAGACATCTCTCGTCAAGGACAGCTGTACGACTACGAGACCAGACAACACCGTCCGTATCCGAATCGATGGGGCACGACAACCAGGAAATGTGTCTTCTGTGCTATGCCTGGCCATCTTGTCTCACAGTGCGGTATACTTGAAGATTTGAATCGCGACGGCTTTCTCCGATGGGACCCAATGGACAGAGCCTACTTCCTCGGAGGAGACTACAAAAGACAGACTGCGATTCAGGTACCGACATATATCGAGAGAAAGGCGACGCAGGAGGGCAAGTCTATCCTACGAGAGGTGTGCGACTGGGTCATGTCGAACAACCTTGATCCTCAATTCCAACGGCTTGCGGCCTATTATCTTAGACGAGACTTTGGTATTACGAAGAATGATACGAGCACTCTCCAGATTCAGAGCTCCTCTCAGCCGCCGCAAGTACAGGATAATCGACTACAGACGCCAGGACTAGTACAGCCAGAGACAGCGAAGACGAACACAGCCCTTAGTCCCGACATCCGATCAGCCGACCTTGTAGTTACCAAGATCCTCACTAGGTCGATAGTCGAAGATTTGGACAGCACGACAGTTGAACCGTTTTTGCAGCCGTCTGATTAGACGAAGAGGAACGAGACTGCTGATACTAAGAGGACCACCGCTGTGGACGAGGCTACCGTCGATAAGAGGACTGCCGCTGCTAAGAGGATTGATACGAGCAGTCAGACAGTCCTACTATTCGGTCTGGAAGTATACTACACTTCTCGGAGGAGCTTGTCAAGGAAAAAGATTCGGAAGCTACTAAAGAGGACGAGGAAGATACCGGACAGCCAGGCAGAATCGAGAGAGGCGGACTTTGAGGACCTTGTTACTCCGTCCTGCGACTTTGACTGGCAGGAAGATAAGTGGAAAAAGAAGTGCGTCCTGGGGAGGAAAGAAAAGAGGAGAGAGAGTCCTGGGGAGGAAAGAGGAGAAGTACGTTCTGGGGAGGAGAGAATATTTCAGTCAGATGACAAGGCTACGAGAGAAAGACTGGTGCGTAGGACACAGGATTCGGACACAAGTCGTCTGATCAGACTATCAAACCCCCCTTCCCCCCCCCCTCCAAATTTTTTTTCTTTCTCGAAAGACACCGCTGCTATGATTAGAGGAAGACCATTGCCTTACCCTTTATTTTATATAGGTTCGACTGTCTCTGGGGACAGAGACGAACCTATAGGGGAGGTGTGTAACGGGGTAAGGCCGGACATCAGGGAAATAGGTTACGGGGCTAGGAGAAAGTTTATTTTCTCTTCTTTAAAAGGCACAGAGGCAGAGTAGGACACGAGTCCCTCATCTTCACGCATCATCATCTTCATCTTCATATCACATCTCCTTCTTATCTATATCTTCACCTTCGCTTTTCAGTCAGTTATTTAGTTATTTTAGTTATTCAGCTTATCTTTACGTTCAAGATCCTACTATTACGATACGAGTATCAGAGGCATATCCGACTAACTCACGCACCAGACGTGTAAGAGCTTCGCTGTTATAACCAGTACCACGATCTTCGTCTGATAAGATCAACAGATGGGATATGTTGGTACTGGAGCCGTCTGTTCAGTGTGTTAGGTGGTAGGTATATCCTACTGACCGCCTGACCCCGTTTGAGCATCACGAAGGATTACGCCGAGCAGCTAAAAAGACATTTTTTGATACCGCGAAGGAAGCTAGAAGACGTCGATTAGCAGGCGGATTCAAGCCTACAGATGTCTTCGAGATAGGTCTTACTTAGCAGTTATTACGTAGGTTCTAATTAAAGGTTGAAATCCGTCAAAAAACTGGCCAAGTTGGTGATCTGGCCAATTTGGTGGTAAGCACCAACTGAGGTCAGTGAGCACGGCGGCAGTTCCAGGACCAAGACGCCGAGCTCAAGCGAATCCGAAATAAGTGGGGTGTGGCACGGGTAATCATGCTTCCTTCAGGACCAGGTTCCCGCAGGTGATTACGCGGACCGAATACATGTCTTTTGGCCGGCCAGCTGCCGGTGCCGCCGCTGCTGAAGACGAGCCTGAGGTTCTCGCCATTGTCCATTATACCTTATGGAAGGAGCTACTCCACTCACATCTCAATCGCCAGGCTCAGTTCAGGCCAGCTGGGTTGGAACTCCTGGTACTTAGAACTAAGCACTAACGGTTAACTCAGGGCCCAGTCATTCCCGCTGAACAGATCCTACTCATGTAACTCCGCCCTTGATGTTAGATGGCTGAATTCATGCCTTTGGAAATATATGTATATGTATGTTGCAGTAACTTATATACAAAGATTAGACGCTGAGTTGGCCATCTTGATATATCATCCGACTTATTCCCTGTGCGTTTTTCTCTACTTCAGTCGCCAGTACATCAAAAGTCGGGTTGGTCATGCCATCTATGTCTCGCATATTCGGCCAGGGCTTGGTCCCAAGTCTTGCTGCCATCTCTGCGGTCTCAGCTACGGCTCTCAACTCGCGTCAAACAGATGGTGTCGATGTCACTTATTAAGAGGTGAGCTTCAGACGGTCAAAAATAAGCACGGTATTCAACCTACACCGTACCCACAGCCCGGGATCTGCGAGACAACCGCTGGAATCAAGCCATACAGCGGCTTCGTCACTCTGCCTTACACCAACCTCCAACCTTACTCGCAAGAAACCTTCTGGTTCTTCGAGTCACGCAACGCACCCGAGGATGCGCCCCTCGCTATCTGGCTACAGGGCGGCCCAGGAAACGCCTCCGCCAACCAAGCTCTAAGAGAAAACGGTCTCTGTCTGGTGCAGGCGGACTCGAACTCGACAGTTTGAACCCATGGTCCTGGAATAGCAACCTGAATGTATTGTATATCGATCAGCCGGCGAGACAGGGTTCAGCTACGATGAGGTCACGGAGGGGTTCATGGATATGATCTCGGCCGCTGTATATCCTGGCGATACATGGACGGGCCCCCTGAACTGGATGGCTGCTGACGGGAATTTCCCAAGTCAGAATGAGACCAAGGTCACTCTACGACGGCGGCGGCGGCGGAGGCTATTTGGGAGTTCTTGCAGGTTTGGATGTTAAGAGTATGTCACGGCGTAAGAAGTTCCCTTGGTACTAAATCGAATTCGAGGTTCAAGCAATACTGTCGGGACAAAGTTAGCTTTGGGCCTCAATCATAGCGAGTATTCACAGAAAACCCCAATTTCATAATTAAGATGTTAGCACATGAAAAGCGATGTGAGTTTGGGACTTTTCTTGTAATATTGAATACTTTTGAATTAGCATTTTTTTATTTGGGGTTGGGGTTGGGGTTGGGGGTTGGTAAACGTATTGACCGTATTTCTCGGCTTGATCCAGTCAAACTGGGCCAAGTAATTATGGAACTTATTTATATTATGCGGCGTAGCAAAGTTATTACGCTTATAGTTGAGTTTTCTGCTAACTTTGGTCTTCACGGCGATATTTCGGGTGAAACCTCTTCAGCCAGCTCTTCCAAAGCAAACCTTAACGGCCGAGCAAACTTACAGGCCACAAATCATGTTCCCATAGCCAGGGGCATAGCCGAGTTATTCCTGGCATAAAATCTCTGTACAAATGAAATAACATTTTCCTGCTCTGGTGATTTGTGCTTACCCTGATCAACTTGATAACGCGATTTGCTTTCACATTGCAATATTAACTGCGGAATTCCGTACAAATTGGGCCGCTTTTCGTAGTGATATACCCCTGTATAGCAGAGGGCATCCTGAACGTCATCTTCGGTATTTTCGGCTCTAGGCCGGCTATGGGATAGCGCCATAGCTTCTAGTTGCCCGTATTGTAGTTAGGATGGGCTAGACATACATTGTTCTAACATATGCATACACAAATTTGGTGCGGGGTTGTTAGGCTCCGACATTGTGAAAAGTTGAATTATTGGCTATTCAGCCAAGCTACTAAAATTCAATAGCTGGATAGAGCCTCGAACATTCTAGAGAAGAACTCCACCACGATCAAGTTTCCGTCACTGGCTGTTGAATGGCATATATGTGAACATATAATCTTGTGGCGTGAAAAGTGTCCAATTGAGTGTTGGTTTGGTGTGGTCTGGTCAAAAGGACCGTAGATTCGAAATCGGAGTATATTGTACATCCGACCGCCAACTCTTTCTTCTCGGTGGGAATTCACGATAGGGGCAAGAGATGAAGGGGTACTGTATTGTTGTTGTATTTGAGTCGTGTACCTTGAAGTTGTACGCCTGTAAATACCTCAGTGTTTATGCACCGTCTCTAGACTTTCTACACTGAGCGCATGGAATTGACAGGCTGTTCTGGAGTTGTCTGATGCTTATAGTGTAATTATTACAGAGTCCTGAGATGACGTATATCCTGTTGGCCCGTTCCAAGTATAAGTATTTATTGCCATATCTCTTTAAAACCACTTAGAGACGGTTTGGCTATAACCCGCACCAAACCGTTGACGTACATGTTACATAGTATGGCAGTCCACAGCCAACAAATTTCCCGAGAATAGACAGCTATATTATAGCACCTGCCATCTGACGTTGTATTAGGGATGGCACTAAACGGGCCGTGGTCTTAGGCCAGACAAATATACAGCTACTACCGGCGCAAATATGACTTGGCTGAAAAGTAAGTTAGCTTACCAAATTTCATCAACCAGGAATACATAATAACGGAAAAGTCCCTGTTCGGAGTGTCAAAGGCACTCTTGAGCTATCCATATGTATCCGCATGATCACGTAAAGCAGAGCTGGTAACTTATACTTGGGTCGCACATCGAGAAGGGTCCGAGGCAGCGAACCAGGTCCAAGAGAGCACACAGCTGGAAGCGTGTGGGGCAGCATATTGACCCTGTAGGATATGAAGGAGAGTGGAATGGGCCTGACGGATCAAGCACCAACCCCATCAAGAAAAGAGCTCGCTTAGGTCTCAATCCGAGATGTTCCCACTTCCCTCCATTTTTACTACGTACGCGTACGCACATTTAGTTCATGTAGCTGAAAACGTACGTATCAACCTCGACTTGTAACTCCTGGCAACGCGTCACCTAATCCTGAGGTGACGCCCACAACTGTGGCCGAGGAACACGGCTGGAATGCCCAATCGAGAAACGCCTACCATGCAACCAACCAGCCAACCAACCAACAGTCTCCTACCCGAAATAGAACATTATCGCAACCGACATTCCGAACTCGGACCCCAACTCCAACTCCAGCTTCAACTCCGGTATCACACGATTGGTTGGAAACCTCAACGAAGTCAATAGTCAGTCACGAACTCCCCTGCCAACTAGATCTCCCGAGGTTCAGATGAGAGGCCAGTCCGCAAGCCTAAACCGCATTGGCACTCCAGTCCTGCCTGTCGCCGGGCATAGCTACTTGATTTGGATTAGGAAACCTGTTTTGATTTCTAGGTTGCCCTGATGATTTGCACTCGCAGTGGCATTACTCCTGACGTACCTGGGGGGGCTGAAGGTATTTTCACAGATCGACGGTGGCAGCGATACGAGCGGATAAGTCGATTCATGAGAAAGTGCCGAGCAGGCCGGATCGACCCTCGCCATTGCCAACCACTACCGGCAGCGAATTTCCCTGTTACTCCATTTTTTTCGGCGAGTTGGCGGGGGAGATTAGATTGCAGAAGACGAACCATCCCGACTGGTCGATTGCATTGCGAAAATGACCTACGTAATTTGCAATTGTATGTTGACACTCCGTTGTAACGGGTTCTGGCACGGTTTGATCAAGGGGACTGATTGTGCTACACGTATCCATTGTACTTGAGAAAAGACCCCACAAATGTTAAAACGTACCCGTACAGCAACATTGTTCTCAGCAAGCTTCTGTAGTATCCTTCCGTTCCGCTCGTTCTCCGCGATTTGCTTGCTTGCCAAAAAGTTATGCAAATTGGGGATGATTGGACCCCCAGTGGGTAGACGCCGTGCGGAGTTTTCTTAAGTTTCGGGAGCAGCCCGCATGATACCTAACTCAGAAACTCCTCTGTGGAGTGGATAGCACTCGTATGTAAGTAGATATGGGGCTGCCCTTGTTTTCTGATTCATATGCAGGTGCAGGTGCCTGTCTGGGGAATTCCAGGTTAATGACAATTATATTGTAACGCGCTATTGAGACATGGATGTCCTCAGCTGTCAGTGTATCAGATTCTCGGGCCTGTCAGGGAGAGGCAGTCACTGCATATTCTCTCTCTTGCGTTGAGGCCCCCAGTGTCACATTGCTGCGTGACACGACCAACGTCAATCTTCCTTCCCGCCCGTAGTCAGACATTTCTGTGGTGGTATGGAAAACAGGTAGCGGCCCTTGCAATAAACGGAAAAAAGGGTTGCATTGATGATGATGGTGTTTGCGAGCTTTGCGTAATAATACTACCCATCAACCAGCCCACGGTCTGCCGCATCTAGGAACGAGAGAACGACCCCAAGTTGCCGCGGGACTTTGGAAATGCTATCGCCTGGGATGATGAATAATATGGGGGTAACCGGCTGGGAAATGTTTCAGAGCAGTAACCTGAATCTCGGTTGGTTGGTTTCTGGTTGCGAGATAAGACATCCTTCGGGTTATTATTCGCGGGATGTGGTGGTTGCGTGGTGACAACACCGGCAGCCAAATGTCGTTTTGGAGGGGGGGAAGAGGGGGGGGGGTTCGTCCCAATTCATCACAGAGACGCGGGGAATTCATATCACACATGCAAGGCCTGGCCGAATGACAGTTAGCCCTGGAGATAAAGCGGGAGACAGTAACCTGCATAGGCTGATATAGGCTTAACATGCAGTATCCCTGGCCTTAATAACCTGCTCCGGGTACGGCCGCCATGACCAACCCGGACTTCACTCCAACGTAGGAGAACGTATTCGTAGTCTGGTTCATTCCGTCTTCCGAAAGTGCTCAGAGAATGTTTTGAATTCAATAGGGAATAATCATATTGGGGAGCTACGGTCCAGACGTAGAAACAAGAGGGAGGAAAAAGAAAAAGTCACTTCTTGTGTAATGAAGCTGAGAGTCGCATTAAGGTAAGACCCATCTGGTAAGGAATTCCTCAGTCCTTCCAGTCCTTCTAGCGTTCTTGGGATTCTAGAACGATATGTTCAGTGCAAGTGTGTCCCCTAATGCAGGGGCTAGCACACGACCGCTGCTGTACCCTTAACTTTGGCTGAAGGACTAAAAGGGATTAAGACGCTAGCAAGGAGAGTCTGTAACCATTTTAGGCAAGGAGGGATGACAATTGTGCATTGCAGAAGCACTAGCTTCCAATATGAGATTTATTAGAAGCAAAGGTGAAGTCGTCAGTCGCTTCGAGACATTTGGACCCAGAGTTATAATGTTGGTTGGTTGGCTAGTCGCTGGGAGTTGCTGGCATTCCAACCGATTATGCAAGGACAGAGATTTCCAATCTCTGCGCACTTGCACAACTGACGTCGTTCTATTTTCATATCTGGGTGTTGGTAAGGGAGTAGGAAGTGGTCGCGACACGAGCATTCGTCCGGCTTTCGGCTTTCACTCATTGCCGTCCTTCAAGACTGAAGAGAGGTAACTGGGGAACGGGGCGGGGGGAGCTGAAATGCTGCTCCAATGGGTTCATTCTTATCCATGACATACGTTGTTGTGCAAGTGGATGGGTAAAAGAATCTCCAAGGTAGGGTAACCCCAGATGATCTAGGTGTAAGTACAAGTTGGACTGTCCGAGAGCGGGGTCTCAACCCACAGTCTCACAACCTTGAGAGGCCCATGAGAGGCCCCATGACTGAATAGCAAATATCGATTGGACATCTGCAGTGACAATTATGAAAAGCCAAAAAGGCTTCAAACAAACTTTGGCAAATCAACAATTAGACGTGCGTCCGACAGCGGCATCGTAGCCGTCGCAGTGCATACAACGGCGAGCCGCCGTTCGGCCGGGAGGAGTATGACAATCCGCCGACTTTCCAGGGAAACACTGGGTTATCGCACGAAGGCACTAGGGGCTCGGGGGCTGTGCCGCATGACCACATGGCGAGCGTCCAGCGTGACCTTCGTGGCTTTTTTTTGTTGTTGCAACCACACGATGCGCTCGTGTAGTTTCCTTACTACTTGCATTTTGCCAACACGCCACCGTTCCAGGGACATTGACCAAAATGTCAGAGAAAACTTCAACCTTCCCCGCCCCCCCAAAGGCCCTAAAACAAGACCGCTTCTGTCGAACTGACAACAACGAGAGACCGCTCTTTGGGCAAAATGACTAGAGTGCCGGTGGAGCTGCTCGTTGTCACGAACACTCGATTAATGTCAAACAGAGTGAGGCTAAAACGCCTATGTACACCACTCCAGGCATGCAAATTGTTAGCGGATGGTATACCCCATTTTAAGCGACTGATCAACGCAGACAAATTGTGTGAGAGGTCAAGTACTGGTTGACTCGGACAAGGTCACTTCAAACGATTGGAAGACCAAGTAATGTGGGGGTTGTATTACGCTAACATGCCTAGAGGGGTGTAGCACCAGGACCCGTGCAAAGTTGAGTTACCCCCTGATCCTTGCTGGGATCGCTCTCCAGAATGTCGGTTATCTCCCGCCGCCATGGTAAAGTATGTGAGATCAGATGACGACCGTTCGCGACACTGATGAACCAAATGGAACTTGTACTTGGCTCAAATGAGCGCCCCTCACAAATATGTATCAGGTTGCAGATTGGTTCAAAAGAAATATGCTGCGGCAACTGGGGTGTTGGGAGCTGATATCATAAGAGATAGGCTGAAGGGGCATCTCGCTGATGATTCCTCTTTCACTAGTTGTCCCTGAATGATGAGCTGCGCATCACCTGCATTATATTATGCATAGGCAAGTTCTAATGTGCTTCCGTTCATGCACTGAATGCGGACCTAAAAGGGCGCGATGAGACGCTGGTTGGCAAGATTCCGCAATTATTGGTCCCCACAGGCCCGCTGAGATAGTTACGTGAAGAAAGGACCAACCACATGGCCATCGGGACGCAACGCAAAAGGTCAGCAAACCATGCGGTCAGTCGATCGTGACATTGGGGACCCAGAATTAAACCCTCATCTAGAAGTCTTCCAAAGGAACGGGGCCCTTCCAATGAGACGCGACCAAGGTTTGGCCATCCATGCAAGTTTGAAGGCTGTGGTGTCTTGGACCGAACCGAACTCCAGAAAAGGGCCGCTGGTTAATCGTGGATCTTTGTCTATGGAATGTGAATCGCACAACAGTTGTTGGGACATGGGAAGAAACTGGCGGTGTCCCCTTTTTTTCTTCCTCCTCGTTCAAGATCGTGGTGGAGTTGCGAGTCGACGGCCGACCGTTACCTCTCCACATTCTGAGGAAGCCAGAAAGTCCACGCCGCTCGCTCCAGCCTTCGAGCTACTCTTAGTCTCTTGTGTGGCGTACTAAGAGTGTGTAAGAGTCCCCCAAAATGCCCCTCTCAGACGTTGCGACTCGACGCTCTGCTAGCGACTCGGACGATGAGGTGGTATGCAGATGGTACTTAGCGAGCTGGTCGTCATGCCTTTCTAGAGATGAACAGAGATGGTGTGACATGGCCATACTAAAACCTATCACTTGATGAGCGGCATCGAGCACGATACGAACCATCGATTCCCGGATTCCTGTGCTTTGTGCCTGCCCTGTGCCTGTGCGGCGTCCACCGCCTGTGCTGTGCCCGGACCTGGTACCTTACTTTAAAGGTACTCTGAAACCGTGCAACCATCACATAATGCCCTGGTTAACCGGAGTTGGTAGCTGGGGGTGCCTTTGGAGAGGGGTTTTTTTATTTTATTTCTCTTTTTTCCCGCCCTGAGACAATGGGAGATGCAAGTGGCAGGCACTTTCCAGACGGACTGGTGGGTGGAGGTACACCTAGTCCCGCCTAGGCAGGTTTGTGCCGCTAGTACATATTCCACTACGCCCGACCCGGTAGATACTTCTAGCCGTAGCACGTCGCATCCTTGCTTTTCGCCCTTGCCCTGGTCCGCAGAACCCCTAGTGGACTGCATTTGACGGACTCTACTCGAACCTTTTTTCTACGCAGAAGGATGGTACTTTAGTAGATTCTCGAAAGTCTTTAATCTCGTTCGTGTCCGGTTTTTGCCAGCAGCTCCGTGGGTTGTCTTTTTTTTGGTGTTTTTTTCGCATTAGTTGGCCTTTTCCTCTCGCTGCGCGTTGCAACTCCATCCCACTGTTTGACTTTCTTCAAGGAGGCGTCGGGAGAACCCGAATCCCTTTCGGTTTATTTTCTATTTTTACTGGCTCGTCAGGGTGGATGCTTGATTTTGTGCCTTCGCCACGGAGAAAGACAGCGTCTTGATCTTCTCTCGTCTAGAAGCGAGTATGTCTCTTTAATATTAATGACCCAAGTGCAATCCCCTGCGAACCCGTCGCTGCCGCGCGCGACATCCTCTCGTCGTCTCCGGCTCCCTCGACGCCGCCTTCGGCACAACCATAGCCTCAACAACAAACGGCACATTTTACCATGGAGGGCATCTTATACGTACCACCAGATCGGGGCACGATTATTGGACGGGCAGTCTGGAAGGTACAGATCTCCACTGATACTCTCGGTGGTTCTTTTTCTGGCAGCTAATACTTTTGTCTAGCAACGATACGTCGTCGTTGGAAGCCCCCAGCGAGATGTTTACCAACCGAATCTCAGCCTCTCACAAGTGCTCTCGACAAGTCGGATCAAGGAGTCCAAGGGCCGAGACTCAAAACCCCAAAATAAACCACCACCAGATGCCGTCTATCTTTCAATCTATAAGTCAAAGGTGCGGCGCCACTACGGCCTATTGTGGGGTACATTCTGAATTCTGACCAGACTTAGGACGATTGGGAACCTGTTCAACAACACTCAATGGCTTCCATTACAGAGTGCCATGTGCAGATGATAGCACATCGCAAGCAGGGCCCAGTCCTGCCGACATTGATCATTCAAGTTTCCCCGGATCCAGCGACGGATAAGCTACGAAAACGAAGATCGAGTCGGACGGCCGGGTTGACGACGACAAAGGATTCTGGGCCTATCACATTATGGTTTCGTACTGGCGACGACCACCAGTATACGTTGCAGGATTGGGCTCGTTATATATGCTCCATGATACAGCCCGGGATCCCAGACACGCTTCCAATGAGCCCCATTTCGCCGACATCTCCGACATTTGTCAACCCATTCTCCCCTCGTGAGCGGAAGGCGCAGGACAACTTCCAACGACCGTCAAGTGGAAATGCTGAAAATCGGCGTTCGGCGAGCCAAAAAATGGGAAAGAATGGCCGTGAACGGCCAAAGACGTTTACATCCGAGTCGATGAGCTTGCGGTCGCGAAAAAGTGATGTTTCTTCGTCACAAGCTAGTTCCACGAACCCCCCTGTGGGGAATTACATGATGAATGGTCAGCATTACACAACAGTCCTGCCCACGGATCTTCCCTCGCCCGCTACTACGGTCAACGAGTACCAAGGCGAATATATGCTTGGCTGGACTTCGGCACAGGGACGGTCTTCAACATTGAACTCGCCCATAAGAACAAGGGAAAGTGTTGGTGCTCAAGGCCCGGCCCAACTTTTTCTCGAGTCTGGCTCTTCCCCGGCACCACGGGAGACGATCCTGGATAGAGCATTCCAGTTGAGATGCATACCTGGCTCGGACCGGGAAGTGCCTGGGGAAGAAAAACTGAGCTCGCTCGCTCGATTCGATGCCTTGATGCGCGAGACCGAGGAACGCCGCATGCAAGAGAGGCAAGAGACCGTTGTGCATGCAATGACTACATGGGATGAGGATGTGTACTCGCAGGAAGACGATTTTGATGAGGAAGTGGACGACGATACCGACGACGACGCATTTGAGCAGGATGTATCAGAGGGCCGGTCCAGGAAGGCACTGCCTTTCGTCTCGAATCGACACAGCTCACACACAGGCAAAACCTCTATGAACTACCACACCGATGCGTACCAGTTGAACGGCGCGCCTGGAACCCCACGACCTCATACCGCTCACTCGAAGATGAGGCCAAGTACACAGCGCACCAGTAGCCAACAGCACTTCAGCCTACCGTCTTCGGAAACGGTGTCCTCCAACAGCAAAGGATCCGAAGAAAGCACCATGCTACGACCACATCATGAGAAACGACACTCGACATCCAGCGTCAAGAGACTCAGCTTCAACGAATTCACCAAGCGACTAAGCAGCACAAGCAGCTTGCTGCTTGTGCAAACAAATGCCAGCGCCACCAGCACCGGCAGCGGTGAGATCGAGATGGCTCAGCAAACTGCTTTGAGAAGCGCGAATCTGCGATCCACATCGAAGCTCTCTCACGATGCTGACCACGAGGACTCCTGTGCCTGGCGAGGAAGTGTGGGTGTCTTCGGGGGTGGCAGTGGCTTCATATGACCAATCTTGCGACAAACCAAACCTACCGACAACCCTCTTTTACTTCACTTCGCCCTCCTCCTCACTTATCCTTATCCCCTCTATCCTACTCATTACCCAGAACGGAACCACACGATTGTCAAACATCGCTTTTTTGCTGTATGATTACAAGAAACATTTCGTATTGCCGTCATGACCTGTTACGATGATTGCAGATTATGCCTGGAGGTGGCATCGGCGTTATGATTTCCATAAGAGGATGGCTGAGATTGGTCCCATGCATATTACCAGCGGCTTGTTAAGGTGGCTGTCAATCTGAGCGCAAGGCGGCTTTTCTTGTTTTACCATTTCCTGAAATTATTCACATGTTTCTATGACCCTAGAGAGCCAAATTCCTGATATCCGACCGTTTTGATTTATCCGACACGTTTCAAGGAGAGCCAATTTGCCATCATATCAAATATACCAAATATCATCTGTCTCAAAATTTATGTTTCAGCATTGTGACAATTTTGACTTGTCGTAATCGTCTGACCGACGGTCTGTTTCAACCTCGGGAGGATCTGATCAGCGGTCGGGTTCAGACCACACAATTGTAGCAGGGGTGTATTCGTCATATTAAAGGGGCTAGCTAGCTTACCTGAGTGATCACTCTAGTCATGATTTTCATTACAATGAGCCTCATTTCCACTTTGTAGCCGAACCGAAAGCACTTCTCCGTGCTTGGCAGACTTTCATACTCCGCCGCTCGGGACACAGACTCCGATGCGTTTACATCATTGTGGAAGATATTTTCGAGCCGTGGAGATGGGGACGGGGTTGAGAGTCAGAGATATCTTTCGATTTGGCGATGCGAGGGATATCGGAGATGAAGGATTGAGTTTACTCTGTTCCGTGCCTCGTAAATGGCTTTGGACCCCACCGGCAATATTGGTCCTGTATACGTTGTGTCTATCCGTGAGTGTCAAAAGACGCTGAAATTCCATGGATACTTCCATCGACTGTCCAATTAAACGCGGCCCTTCGACCGATCCTAAAGTCACGTTGTAGTCACATCTCTCATCCGTCATCTAGGCGTCATCTCCACTCTTTGGGAAGGCAGGCCTACTCGTAGCTCCCTGGGTAAGTAGCCTGTGGAGTCTGATCAAGCGGAGGATAGACTAAACGGTGCATCGAGGGGGTAGACTGAAATAACATGGGCATGGCACGGCATTCTAGTGGTAGTACTCGTATGCGGGAATCACTCGGCTATTCTACTGCCTCGGTGCGCTGTTCATTATGTATGGGCCTCCCGTTGCTGAATTTGTGTTGGAACACTAGGCGCAACAGAAAGTGTGGGCAATACAGGCAAGAGAGCTGTATTGGTGATGATGATAACCAACTCCCAGCAGTCTGCAGCTGCGGAAGGGCTATCTATGGGGAGTTAGCCCAGCGCTACACCCAGTATACACGCAGTGTCCCTGGGCCAACGCGACAGAAAGGAAGTTTATCCGTGTTCATGTACAGCCTTTGATCGCAAGGGCTGTCAAGGTCAACCGTTTAGGACCGTCACCAATGAACGAGGGGTAGTATATTCGTCCATTGCCAGGACCAATATTAGTCGAGTCAAATTGGCCGAGGTTCGAAGTAACGAAAATACCACTACACATCCCGTGCAGCCATGTTCAAGTTCAAACCTCGATTGATGCTCACCATAATCTAATCCATGCAAGAGGGGTTTTGATTGATATCCCATGCCAGTAATCTCACAAAATGACCTTCGACGCCAGTCCGACCAGAGCCACGCAATCCCGATAGCCCGTGTACCCATAACACGACAAATACTCATTCATCATCAGTCATCTCCATGGGTCCTTCATCTACTTGGGCGCTCCTCATTATTCTTTGGTTCCCCAGGACACCTTTTCCCTTCCTCCTCCCTTCCTGCATGACCGACGGGCTCCTCATCCGTCCCCCTGCCTTCTTCACCCTCATGATAACGCCGTCCAGGTCATCCATGGCGGCGCCCTCCCCTTCAGTCATGGGAAGCTGCATGCCGGCCGTCTCCGCGAGGGCCTTGTGTAGCAGTTCCGTCGCAATGGGATCTTGTGGGTTGATGGCTAGTGCCTGGTGCAACAGGACCGCAGCCTCGTCGGGCTGTCCCAGCTCCATCAGGATGAGGCTCTTCGCGGAGAAGACCGCTACGTCTTTGCCACCCAGTCGTAGAACCTCGTCGAACTGATCCAATGCCTCTTGATATTTCTTGCCGCGGCGGTAGGCATGCGCTAGGTTCGTACGTGCTGCCAGCCAGGCGGATGGTTCGGAATCTATGTCCTCCGCGACCTCGAGAGCTTTGAGAAACAACTTTGCTGCATCGTTGGGCCGGTCTTGATGGTAGTATACGACGCCCATCTCGTTCAGGAGCAGAGGATCCGTCTTGCAGAGACCATATGCAGTTTTGAGAAATTCGTCTGCTAGTGTCATGTTGTTGAGTGCGTGGTTCTGCATGCCCAGGAACACCTGTGGTAAATGTGTGCCCATGAACAGGCGTGCGGCTGTCGAGTAGGCGGAGATGGCCTGGTCGTGCTCTCCTTCGGCGGCAAAGGTATGCGCGAAGCCGATCCAGGCTGGGCCGAAATGAGCGTCCATCATACTAGCCTTGCTGAAGTAACGACGAGCTTCTGCAATCTTGTCGATGACAAAATAGTATATCCCCACGGCGAGCCATGTGCAGGGTTCTTCCGGGTGGCTGTCCGCCAAATCGTGCGCAACTAGAAAGAGCACATTCTTCATTCTGAGCTCGTACAGGCAAGCTAAGTGAACAGGATATATGCTAAAATTGTACTTGTCCTCCTGGAGGATGGATTCCGTTATGGCAAGAGCATCTTTGTACCTGCATTGTGTATATAGTAAGTCCGCTCGAGCAAGGAGCAGGTCCGGGTTAGCAGCAAGCTTGTAGTGTGTCGAAAGTGTCTCACAGGCAGTCGTAAAAGCATCCGGGTTCCGGTACTTGGACAGTCTGGTGGTGTACAACATCTTGGTAAACTCGGCCGCTTCTTGTGACGAAGATGGATCCCCGGACACGGAGATGGCGTCAAAGTCTAGCGACTCGAGGAACTGCCACTCCTCATCGGGTGACATGAGGGAGTTCTTCATGAGCTGCTGGAAAGCCTCGAAGCACTGCACGTCTATCCGGACGGCATCTTTGTAGCATTCTTTGGCGCGGTCGAAGGCGTTCTGCTTAGCGTAGCATATCCCTCGCAGAAAACACATGGCGGCCTCGAAGCGCCTGTTAGCTGCCTCTTCCTCCGAAGCATCGTCTCTGTGGTCCAGCCTTGCCGCGGCTTTGCCGTGCCCTGAAGCTGCAGCCCGTCCACTCGTGTGTTGCGCCTTTCGCTTGTTGGCAACGTTCGAGATGAGGTGCGTGGGGTTCCGTTCACCAAGTACGGCGAGAGCATCTTCGTAGCGCGATTGTCTTATGAAGCAATGGCCGGCGAGGTAACGACAGGACGGGTTTCGACTTATCAGATCTTGTTTCGAAAGGAATGCCTGAGCTCGAGTATAGTTTCCCGTCGCAAAGTGGACTTGTGCCAGCCAGAAGGCGTCATTGTCATCGTCTACGCCATAGAGTACCGTCAGCATTGTGGCATTGCTGCGGAAGTTGGAGTCAACGAACTTGTCAGGGCCAAGAGCTTGTCTCCAATGAAGACGGCCGAGTCGTACTGGGCTTTGTTCAAGGCATCTTGCCTCCATTCGCGCAGGAATTTCTCCATACTGGAGTGGCCAATTGAATAGTCGTGCAGAAAAGCAACATGTGGGATGTTGAGCTCGTAGTTCGCCAACAGGACAAACTACAGCTTAGGTCTGGCAACCTTGCGATGCTCCAAGCTTGAAGACGCGTTACGTTTTGTTCTAACGCGGGGCGGCTGGCAACTGCACTAAACATATGCTATTTCCATAACCGCGCTTCTTGCATATACCCCGATATAGAACGACTACGCCTTTGGTACTATCACTGTGTGATGGTTCACGGGTATCTTTACTTTTAGATTCTTGGGTTATGGCTTCTTTCTGAACACCGCCTGGAAGTATGTTACTACTGGCTCACTTGACATTTGATGCAACCTAGCTTTTTCTGACAAACCCAAGCACTGTCCACGATGTTGAGGCCCACAGCTTCCTCCTGTTCTCTCCGTCAACTGTCTGTGTCACTCTGCGCCTAAACCCGCCACTGATCGACGCTATAGTTAACAATGACCTGCTCGAGCCAAAGTTGACCCTGGAGTTTCCATACACCGTGATCCTCAATGCCAGATCAGCTATGGGTATGTACAAGCCGTGGTCGACGGCTTAACCGACCATCCCGGATGTCATTGATACCCGCAACATATTGATCATGCTGATTCAACATGGAGCCGATACAAGTGGTGATGCACTACCAAAAACAGATTAGCCGTTCAAGGGATATATGTGGGTTTCAGCGTTGCGTAGGGCATCCAAGCAGCCAGCTTTTGAAAAGAGGGAGAGATGTAATAGCCCTAGAGCTGTGTCAGCTTGGGATATGCTGCTCCGTCTCCCTTCTGAGTGCAGTCGGGCATTGGCTGAGCAGGCTTGCTTCGACGAAGAAACGTTGCAACCGTGGCGTCCACCGCGTCGAAGTCAGGGGTATGCAACTGCACGGTTTGGATACTATGGAAAAGAGATGGTAAATATTACCCGGGTTCCTTGATAATGTAAGCCCATGGCATGCGGCCTAGACACTATTCTGCCGGATGATAGATACTATTCATGCATTTGTAGTAATCGCTGGTTAGTGTTAGCGAAGGGACAAGCCGGGTGCAACCTCCAGTCGTGATTGCAACAGTATCGAAGGACAGAAGCTCCCTGAGTGAACTTGAAGAGAAATGTTTCATCCATTTTTACGACACCTAAACTTCCCGCAAACACGCGCGAGAAGACTTCAAATCCAGCAAAGGACAAGCCAGCTCCGGGCCGCGAGCACATCACGGGCAGTTTGTGGGGGAATTGGACCCAACAAGTGGAGAAAGTAGCCGCAGCCGGACGACCGACACCGGCAACACTAGTTAAAACATCGGGAGGGAAGACGGGCGCCGTCCAATGATCACATCATGGTGCAGTCGTTTTGGCAAATCCCGTCCAGTTTAACTGAAATCCATCCCGCTATTATTTCTATTTTATTTTCTTCCTCTTGAGATCTCGCTTCAAATTGATTAAGAATGCCTCGCCTAAACCCAAACTCCAAGATCCTCATCGTCGGCTCCGGCGTTTTCGGTATCTCCACGGCGCTCTGGCTCGCCCGGTCAGGGTACCGCGACGTTACGGTACTGGACATGCAGGACACCGAAACGGCGGGGTACGACCCGGCCGTCGGGATCGACTCCGCGTCGGCGGATATTAATAAGATCATTCGGTTTTCGTACGGCGAGGAGATTGAGTACCAGAGGTTGGCTACGCAGGCGGCGGGGATGTGGGATGAGTGGAATCGCCAGATAGTGGAAGAGAGTGAGGATTTGCCCGAGAGTTTGAAAAAGACTGATAAACTGTGGTGGAAGTCGGGTTTCTTGAGGCTGAGTACGACGGGGGAGTTGGGGGAGTTTGAGTTAAAGACTTTGAGGAATATGGAGAGGGAGGGGATTAGGGATACGCAGTTTAGGAGTGATGACACGGCTGGTGAGTTATATGTTCATTTGTGTCGAATAGGACCCACCGAGCCTTTTTAGGCTGGCTTAATATCTTGACGTAAGAACACTGGGTAATAACACTTCAATAGACCTACAGCGTGCAAGAGAAAGAGGATGGGCTCACAAGATCGATCCCTGCCGAAGACAAGAGAGGTTTGGTGTTCATAAGGCGGTCTTGGACTCGACAGCTGGCTTCGTGGAAGCCTACAAGAGCTGCGCATTTGCACTCTGTCTGGCAAAGAAGGCTGGCGTGAAGTTTATACTTCATCCGATGCAGGGCAAAGTGGTGAGCCTAGACGTTACCCAAGAGGGCAAGCCAGCCATCAAAACTGCCGATGGTTTAACTCATGAAGGTGACTTAGTTGTGGTGGCCGGTACGCAATTTCTGTTCTTTCTGAATGGGGTATCACTGACGTGCATCCCACAGGTGGTGGCTGGACCCCTTCACTGATCCCAGAAGCGGACGGCCTTCTCGAGACCACTGCGGGATCGATTGCGACCATTCAGTTACCCAAGGATCGTCCAGATCTGTGGGAGCGGTTTGCGCCTGAGAACTTCCCAGTAGTGACTTGGGGTATGAAGGAAGGCAAGGGCATATACAGCTTTCCCAGAGATGGAAATGGGGTCATTAAGGTTGGCTATAGAGGGACAAAGTAAGAGATTTTGTTCTTTGCTTGCGATTGGACTTACGTTATGTTCTAGGTGGACCAATTACGACGATGTGGAAGGCCGACGGATATCCGTACCGAAAACAGAGCACGTAACAGAGAAGAAGGAGAAGAACCTGCCGCTAACATCAATAGCTGCTATCAAAGGTAAGCCAGCGGGATCCTGAAATACTCAGAGAATCCGGAACCTGACAATTTGCAGAGTACATCTCCGTCAACATGCCCGAACTAGCTGAATTCGGTATTTCCTCGACAAAGCTCTGCTGGTACACCGATAGCATCGACAACTCGTTCGTGGTGGATTTCGTGCCCGGACGGCCCGGGCTCGCCATCGCCTCAGGTGGTTCCGGGCACGGCTTCAAGTTTCTTCCCATTTTAGGACGGGAAGTAGTAAAGATTCTCGAGGGAAACGGTAATGAGACTGTATACGGAAATATGTGGCGATGGCGTCATAGCACGACGCCCAAGAGAAATGGTCTTGAGGAGGGCGAAGATGGCCCGAGGGTACTGGCAAAACAGAAGATGTCCAGTGAGGTAGACTGGTCTTTCCTGAGCGGGAGTTCGAAGCTGTGAGTGCGTATTGCCTCGGCATTGAGCAGAAGCGAGGGAGCTTCCATTTCATCTGCCCATTATTTATGTGCGCAAGGCAGCTTAGGCGTCATCCCGAGCTAGCTGTGATGGGTTTCGCAGGAGTAGTACTTTACGCACTAAAGAGGCCATATATCGCAGAAGGCGATACCATGTTTTGTCGAGGGAACAATCGTTGCTCAGTGATAACAGGGGTACTTAGTTAAAAAGTGCCTGTAGGGACTCAAATGTGCACGAAGTCTGATTGTCTCATCCGACCAGAAATGGGAAGTTACGGCTCACCTGGGCATGTTCTTCCACACTCCCGACTCAAGAAGCCCAGGCAACGGCGCCCACACGAATAAATTTTTTTTGTATTAACTCCAACTTCATCGGCCATGAAGCGTTCAGCGATGTCTCGTATTCCAATCCTCCTCTGCCCCCGTCTTCTTATCCCAAAAAACCGGCGATCCAGGAAGCTCCGCAATTATCACACTGCCCCCCGGCATCTCAACTGGCGCCTTATATGCATGCAGCTCAGCATCTGGTTGCCGTGTATCCAACTCGACGGGAACTTCATGTACTTTCGTCTCGTAATCTGACCACAGAGACTCTGCCGATTGAATTGGAGTGCCGAGTTTCGTGAACGGCTGCGCGTTCGCTTCCTTAAATTCACTTTTATCGCCGCTGGAGCCACGTTTCTTCCCGAGTCGGAAGAAGGCGAATGCGACGAGAGATATGATCGCAATGACGAGCACTACCACGCCAATTCCTATCCCCACCCGGGTGCCTGAGCTTAGCCCGCTATTGTCGCCCTCACCCAATTCGGATTCACGGCTTGACGAGTCGGAAGAGGACGGCGAGTCTGCAGCGGATGCTCTCGAGACTGTGTTCAAAGCTGCTGAGGCCGCTATTGCGCTGGACGATCCTACCGCCGAAGCTGCCGTGCTCGAGTCATTCTTCGACACTGACGCCGGATCCAAAGTGCCACAATGGGATTTGATATTGTCTTCGCACTCCCCCGTGGTCGTGGAGTCGCCATTTGCATTGTCTACACAGTTCTCGTATGCCTTGTCGCAGATGAACGTCGGCATTGTCTCGGTGTAGTATTGTAGGCCTGGCGCCGTGCTGTTGCCGCATATACAGGCATAGTCGAGCGTGTTCTGTGCACTAGTTAGCATGGCGACAGTCACCAATGGCTCTCAGTCCGGCAGCTCACGTGATCGCATGAGTTGGTATCTAGCCCGGTATCGCCACAGAGTAATGCGCAACTGCTGATTTGGCTGCTACACCATGATACTGTTCGAGGTTGTTCTTAGTCTCGGCGCCTGGGATGGACGGGGCAAGACTCACCTCGAGTCGCGATTTTGACTTCATTTGGATCAATGCTGATCTCCGAGTCCATCCGGCGTGCTAGGAAGACGCCCACGAGCAGCAGGTGCGAATGGCGCTCCATATTGACGACCTTATCCGCATCTGGTGCTTACGTCTGACCGAATCTCACACTGGCGACATTTCGTCACCTTCAGATCGACGTTGGAGATCGCGAGAGAGAGACATAGCAGAAACCGCAGGCCCCGATGCAGGTTGGCATTCTTTTCCAATCTGAGCCCATGAGGGATGCATACCCCTACTCGATTTAAGTCTAAAGGATAATTAGGAGTGGCGCAGCAGGCATAAACTGAAAGATACTATCTTGGCAGTTGACTTTAAATTAGGAAGGAGACCTATCAAACGTAAGGCAGCAGTACTGTGCTAGGCACAAGTCAGGGGTATGTTGGGATGTTATTAGGATGATGGAGTTTTGGTGGAGACGCGTCTATACTCAAAGGGGATTGACACTTTAGAGATGGGACTGTGCTCCTCGTATTATCGTACAGATAGGCTAGTCGGCACTCATTCCTATCGTTCCGCGTATTTGGCAGATGATGAAACCTTTTGCAGAGTCATGGTTCTAGAGGACTCGAGATAGAAAAGTGCGAACATCCGATGTTGGCTAAGCAAACCCATCTTGGGACTCACATGCATTTAGCAAGTCAACGTCTAAAACCTCTTCAAGCCTGCCAAGTCTACAGTTCCATTGAGAGATACAATACACACTTTAGGTCTTGGCCGATTATTTTGTTTCCAAGTGACCAACCAGAAGGTGTCTTCTTCGTACGAACAAACAGAGTAGAGCTATTACCGTATGAGGCACAACGGAACGCCCTACGTTGTTCATTCGCCTGCATACGCGAGCCATATGCAAGACAGCATCCAGCCAAGACCAGACTGCTTTGATCAAGCTGAAATTGCTCATGTTCGGAAACTCCAAAACAAACAGGCTTGTCCGAGTATCGAACCAGCAGGAATGGCATCCGAGCGGCCTCTTCTGTATCAATACGAGAAACTACCGACCCCCCAGACACATCTGGTTGCTCGAGATTCACCGCGGTGTCGATGCAACCGCGCCATTGAAGGCAGTCAGACCTTCGGGCCGTCGAACTTGACCATGACGACGCTCACCCCTCACGAAGCCTTGTCTTATAGATACGTGGGGAGAACAGGCAACCCCCGAGACGTTGACTGACGATTGTGCAACCTCTGCGCACAACAAGGAACTCGCAAGCGCATTGCGATATTTTCGCTCTATCAGCTGTCTCGAATGGGTCTGGGCCGATGCTGTATGCATAAATCAACAGGATGATGTTGAGAAGAGCCATCGAGTTCCCCTGATGGCCATGATATATCGGCATGCGTCACGGATTATGGTTTGGCTGGACGACGGAACTCAAAGCGTGGAGCTCGTGAAGCACACACACGGCGTCCCCCGCCGTGTCAGCGACAGGATAGATGCTGCCAGTGATGCAGAATAGATACGGTCCCAACTGTGACAGGTGGTGGGGTTTCCTTGATGTAGCCTTCATTATTGGATCATACAGGAGGCTGTCGTGAACCCAAAAAGCTCTGTTCTGCGGGATTTTCGAGTTGCCCGGGGAGGGCTATTTCAAAGCTGCGATCACTGCCATCTTGGATCCGTGACTGGAGCGTCGCTACCGAATTGTTGTATCCAGACGAGATGGAGTTGGATATTTGCCATCATTCCCTACACAGGTCCCGGATTGGGAAGACGCAACGTATCAAGACTGAGGTTCTGTACGGCGACAAGAAGCACCATGATACTCCCCCATCAGACTGACAGACTTGGCGCATAAGTAAAAGGGTTACGGAAAACCAAATGTCAATAATGCCGTTGCTGCTAACTCGAGAAAGCGACACATTATATCGACATCCTCATTCAGCTCTGACGGCTGAAAGTGTCTCGATGGCTATCTTCCAGATCTGGGATCGGCTTCTACATCTACAAGACGAGGGCCGGGCTGGTCTTAAAAGAGATCTATATACAGACCCTCTAGCGCAAAACGCTTCGAGGATTTACTCTACCGTCATCAGCTACCCTTTCGATCCGACAAAGAACCTCCGGTATCAGCGAGCTTTAGAAATATACACCCTGACGACCAAGTCGCGCTAGTCGCGCTTACAAATATGGTGCTCGATGAGACGCGCAGATATCATTGGTAGAACGATCACAGCGACTGAGTGCCATTCCTGTGCAACCACGATTTCGATTGTGTTACGGATTTGGATGTATGCGACTTTGCAAAGTATTACCGCCGCGTATATTTCGTGGCGTACACCGACCTGTGCAACGTGCTTCGTCTCACAGAACGCAGCTGACACTACAACACTACGCGCGGCTACGTATCACCTGGCAGTCTCCTGAGGATCAAACGGACCTCGCTCTTGACGAATAAGTGCGAGAAGATCTGATATAACCAGTGCTCACTGTATTTCTGGTAGGAATGAGACAATGCCGCCCTGAGGGATGTGACAACTTCGCTACTGTTTGAGGATGACCGTGCGGCTGCTGATGTGGCAACATGGGTCTTTACAGAGTAACATTGCTGTTCCTGGCCAACAGGCTTAGGCCATACCAATCAGGTCTTCCCAGTATAAGTTGCGGAGAACTTCAATTCTAGGAAGGAGCAGTTTGCATTACCCTTAAACTTGATCTTTGGAAGTTTATCTTGATGATGTACTTTGGGGTATGCTTCGATTATTGGGACATCAACTGAATGAGTCAAGGTATGGATAGAGCGCTATTTTCGTTGTAACGGAGAAATGTACTTAAGATGAGTTTTAATTCGATACTAGAATCCGATGCAACACCTCCGTAGCAGTCATGTGAAGCTCATGTTGACAAGCTCGATACGGCGAGTATGTACCAAGAACATGTCATGTAATTGTCAATGTTTCTGATGGTACACCATCATCGACTAATTCAAGCCAAAGAGCCAATACAGTACTTGTCATGCACCATTCATCTCAGCTGTATTTCACACATGTGGGAAGCTTATCGACGTGGCTGTTGTACTGATTTTTATTTTACTTAAGCTAGCTCCAATATGTTCAGACTATTTGTATTCATCCCGAACTTAGGCGTCTAGTAGTCCATAGACTCGTGGCGGTGCGAGTTATTACTGTGACAACAGAGTTAATAGTGGAGTTGTGAAAGAGCGTGCATGGTGTGGGATAAGTGTGTGCAGTAACTTACGGGTTGTAATGCTCCTCGTTACCGTACTGCTGCTCGTACAGGTGTTCGGCCTGCTTCTTGGCGTGGTGCTTGGCCTTCTCCTGATCGACGTAGTCGAGGCCCTTGGTCTCGATGAGCTTGTCGACCTCGGCGCCGGCAATGCCAGCGAGAATCTCCTTGGCGAAGGCGTGGCTGACAGTCTTACCTGTTGGGGATATCAGAGTCAGCAAAGGGAGGATGAAGAATTGAGGAATGGTTGGAAGGCCAGGGTAAATAATGTGAAGGGGAATCGTGAAGAGTGCTTACCCTCCTTGCGTTGACGGTCCTCGAACAGCTTCATGGCCTCGAAAGCGGCACCGCCACCAATAACCTCATGGCTCAGGTGCGACTCGTGCTCGCCGTTGTAGACTTCGTCGCGCTTCTCTTTGGCTTCGCCTGTTGTTGGTCAGTAACGGTGAAGTCTACCCAGGCAATTCAGAACCACGAACCGAATCCGAACATTTTGAATAAGTTTGTTGGTGGTGGTAGTGGTTGAGATTTGAATGGATAAAATTGTTCGACCGTAATGAGTATGAGGGCAACAAACCTGGTGCGAAGACGAAGGGAAGAGCTGACTTATATACACCGAGATCCTACAACCTCGCCAGCCAGAAGGACACCAAGGCAACCTGCTTGCTCCATCCCCTCCTGGGTTAGGAAGGGTCCTGGGGTGGACACATGTGTGTTGGAGCCGGTGGGTCAATTGGCTCAGACGCAGGCTCAGTGCAGTCGTGCGCACATCAGTCGACGAGATATCTGGCCAGTAGTCATTAGTATGCAGTTTTACTGACCCCTCTTCGTTAGCCACCTCAAAGGTTTGCGGCGAAACTGGCCCAATACGTATTTCAGACAACGGGAGAGCGCCGGCCAGCCGGTTATTCGAACTGGGAATTCCTGAGACCCCAGAGCTTGTTTTCACGCCACTGGCGATCTGGCGGGTTTCCCTGGAATCGCTGAAAGGCATTGAGCTTGCTTGTGGTCGTTATCATTGACATCTCTCAAGATTCATGGAATCGGTGTTTGGCGCGAGTCCAATTGCTGAATTGCCAAAGCTCAGGGTCCATGGCTAGAGCTACCGGCCGTGGTTCCATCTCTTGACATCTAGTATCCACAGAGTGGCATCAGAATCTTGTTCCTGGACAATCCAGCCCAATACAAACCGTCAAGTGGGTTTCAGCTACCCCGCCCATGCGGACGGCCCTTGGACGTCATGGACTGTCTTGATCAAGGTAGCTTGGTAGAAGGTGATGGAACCGTGCTACTGGTCAGCGGTCACTCTGCACTGCCAGCGTGTTGTTCTCAAGGTTCCTGCTGGGTCAATAGTCTGTTAGCTGGCGTGCTGAAACGTCCGAAGCGTCGTCATCCGAGCTGGCTCTGATCGTTGACATCACATCAAAGCTCTGCGGCCTTGATCCGAGTCCAGAAGAGATGAACACGAGCCTGCACTCCCGCCACCTTCGCGTCAAGTTGGTCAAGCTTTGCCCTGGTTTCCCTGGGATGCCTCGCCGGCTATGGGATGGCGCAGCTGAGCATAGTATCCAACTTTGCCGAAAGCCGGGATTCATTGCATGGGCTTGCTTCACAACTAATGGACGTGCCGAATAAAAGCTCGACTGGTGATGTCATGTCTTCTTCTAATTTAAAGATCCGTCTACTATATATCTCGAACCACCGTTTTCAGGTTTGACGAGGAGAAAGTCAAATCGATTCCCGGTGTTATGCAAGACTCCTACTGCCAAGAGATGTCCCCCGTGTCTTGGCCATCTTGGCAAATGCTTATTTTAGGGATGTTCCCCAGGACAGCCATGGGGGTCCTTGCCGATCATCACCTAATCAGCAATGAACTTTCCATGAATGTAACACTTGACGAGCTGTGCGTCAGATCAAGCGGTGAAGTGTATACATCGCCAGTGACAAGTTTGATTTTCATCAGGATGAGTGATGAGTCTCGGAGATTTTGAGGTTTTCATTGTTTCGGCGGGACCCCCCACTTGCCTCACCAGTGCACAAAATACATGAACTTCACGTTGGTGACAATACGCCCGCCACTGACAGACTTTGAGTGGCCATGAGCCATAGTATTATTTTCATACTTGGTATCGGGAAGTGGTTAGAGACCGGTGCTTGGTTATGTGTTACACATTAAGCATCATAAACTTTTCATTCACTCATAACTTTTGGCTATCCCACTCTCGTACGTCCACACTGGCCTCCGCAGCGACCAGGCTAAGACAGCCTGGCAGAGAAATGAGAATAGTCAGTAGCACGGAGTGGCTTACTCCATGTCTACCTTGCCATTTGACCTAGCAAAGGACTACCTATCTCTCTTCACCTCAAAACAACGCCCCTCTATGGCCACAGATCCCCGTTTCCGTTTCCTTTTTGTCATCACTATGCAGTACCCCCACCAAACTTGGCAACCCACTCCTCATGAACTTTCTTTTGCTTATCCCAGTCCTTCCTCAGCTTCTTTAACTGACTCTTCGGCACCTCACTCCCATCCCTCAGCTTCGTCGGCATGCCCTCAACATCCCACTCCCCATACCGTGCATCAGCCTTGAAAATATCCTCCGGCTTCACCCTAGCCTTCTCCCACTTCTCTGCCTCGGCTTGTTCCCTCGCAAGTTTTGCCTCTTCTTTGGCGCGCGCGCGCTCTGCCTCCTTAGCCTCTTTCTCCCTACGTGCGGCGATCAGTTCCGCAGTGGGGATGAACTTGATCAGGGAGGGAAGATCAGTCCTATCGTCGAGGTATACGCCGATGTTCGTGAGATCAGAGTCGCGTATGCGATCACTGAGGGCGAGAATCTGTTTCTTGATATCTGTTGGTGTGGTTGGTGCAATACGTCGCAGTTCGTCTCGGATGCGAGAAACGGCCCGTAGATATGGGAGGCCTAGTTGTTCAGGGTCTCTGATACCAGAGGCAGCGAGAGCATCGAACTCGGGATCGGGAGACTGAGTCAGAAGTTGAGCTAGTGTGTCGGAGAAGACACCGCTGTCGAGAGATTTTGCGTCTTTGGCTACGGCAGCATGAACATCCTTGTAGGGCTGTACGGATATCGCAGGCTCGAGGTTGGCGGCAGCAGCAGCAGAAACCCAGCCCAGACCGTCGTAAGGAGGCTTTGCATTGGAATCCAACCCGAGGATGCCGACGATCTTAGTTACCCACCGGGCAATCGCTTCGACGGCGAGTAAATCCAGATCTGTTGGGTGTTCGTTTATGTGGATGTTCGCTTTTCGGATCATGCCAAGGATGACCTGCATGACTTGAGGGGTATCAAAAGAATTTGTAAAAGCGGCCTCGAGATCTTTCTTGGCTTGCTCCAAGTCGGCCAGCAAGCCGTCTGCAGGCTTGTGGCTAATGGAGAGGTTCTTGACGTCTCCCTGGATTACTTCTGGTGTTCCACTAGCTTCGGCGAGCAACGACTTCGTGTTTACGAAGTAGTTCTGCGGCTGTTAGCATGTGCTCATTCTCAGATGACTCCTGTACTCACGTTAACGGTGCTCTCCCAGTTGTCAGCTTGTGTCCTCATGTCTGGAGATATTTCCACGCCGTCATTCCATCTACCGAGAAGGAAAACAATGCGCATCGATCGGCTGGTGTAATTGGACGCTAACGCATCTTTGATGGTCTGGAAGTTCTTGAGCGATTTCGACATTTTGGATCCCGAAATAGACAGGTGTCCCATGTGCAAGAAGTAGTTCACCCAAGTGTGCTCATGGCCACCCTGGCAATAGTATGCTTCGCTCTGGGCCAGCTCATTGTCATGATGAGGGAAAGCTAGATCAATACCACCGGAGTGGATGTCCATTCGCTGCCCCAAGACGTGTGACGCCATGACGGAGCACTCAATATGCCAGCCAGGCCTACCATTGCCCCATTTGCTCGGCCAGTATGGCTCGCCTGCTTTGGACTTCTTCCACAAGGCGAAATCACTGGGGCTCTTCTTAGCGCCAAGGCTCTTAGACAGCGATCCCTCGCCCTCTTCCTGCAGATCCTTGTCATTTCGACTTTCGGGCTTCAGCCTGGCATATGTGTTGCCAGCCTTCTCGAACGCAGCAATGTCGAAATACACGGACCCATCCGCTTCATAGGCAAAACCTCTGTCGACGAGACGCTCCACGAACTTCGCAATCTGTGGCACATAGTCCGTGACCTTGGTCACGACGTCAGGTCGGAGAACGTTCAACGCGTCCATGTCATCAGTAAATTCGTTCTCCATGTACTGGGTCAAGTCGGTGAATATAGTCTGATCGCTCGTGTCGATGGTCTCCTTGTAGAGCGAGTCCAAATATGGCAGCAGAATCTCATCTGCCATGCCGAAAATGGTGTTCTTGCTTAAGGCAATGACTGCTTGTGTCATGTTGCTGATATGCATCTTGAGCTTCGCCTCAGCATCGCCGGGCTTCCCCTCGCCGGTAATGGTGCCTCCCGCCAGAACATTGCCATAGGCGACGGTCCTTCGCTCAATGTAATTTTTCACGTCCAGCTCTTGGTCTTTCCACGTCTCGGGGTCTATCAGCTTGGGAAGATTGCTTTGAGCGTAAGCCTTGAAGGCAGTTTTACCAAGCTCGAGAGTTTCGGCTTCCGTGTACGGCTTCTTCTTTTCGAGATCGAGCAGTCGCTGTCGGCGGGCCTTAATGATAATCTTGATGCACATACATTAGTATGCCGCCGCCAAAAGAATGTAGCAGAATGCACTGCGCCCACCTTATCGTCCACGTCGGTAATGTTCATGACGAACTTGACGTCGAAGCCGAAATAGTCCTTCAAGATGCGCCGGATGATGTCGGTCGACACATAGTTGCGCGCATGGCCCAAATGGCTCTGGTCGTAGACTGTCGGCCCGCAAGCATACCATGACACCTTTCCCGGATGAATTGGCTTGAAGGGGACAGGCGGTCCTGGCTTCAGCGAATTGTGCACCTTGATCGAATCCATGGCGGGGCAGGTTGTGACTCCTCTGTAGCGGGAAAATACGGCTCGAGGTACTATTGGCGGGCGCTGGATGAGTCCAAAGAAGGAGTTCATCAAGACTCGAGCTGAAAGAAAGGCGCCCGTGAAGTGAGGGGTCGAAAGGGGGGCAGCTGTGTCATATATACTCAGCTATCGGGAAGCATCGAATCTTTGAGTCACCTAAAATCCAACTTAATTGAACAAGACGTGCAATTACTGGTCCCGCGTCTTAGCGTTACAGGGGGACTCCCGGATGGTTAGTCATCAGCCTCGCATTAGCTTCGAGGCCAGCCACAGACCCCGCCTTGTAAGAACGGAGAGACTTGACGAAGTTAAATATACTACAATGGTTTCACCGTGGTAGGCATGAATATATCAAATATGATGCTTATTTCATGAGAGAAAATTCTTGCATGTGATGTGATAACTACGATGCATTATGAAACCTCTGGTCATGATGCGGTTGCCCCAGTGAAAAATTGTCAAACGGAATTTGAAGCTATCCATGTTAGCACCGTAGCTGAAGGTGCTTTTAGCGGGGTTATGCCACGATCTCCCCGCAGATCGCCGGGTTTGATTTTGGGCAATTTGACAGCCTTGCTTGATTTTTTTAGCTAGTCGCCGTCTAAATCTCGAGCAAATCGGCTTCGAGATTCAACTCAGTTCAATGGCGAAAGTATCGCCCTTCCTCGACCCAGGCGTCCATACAGCCCAGAACGGTCTCGCAATCGTCCATTTATCCCGCGACAATCTTGAGCCAGTTATTCTCAACGGCGAAGTTGGTGCCGCGGATGGCTACGCTGAAGGACGAGTGATCAACACGCGTTTCGGCTCTTTCCCGCACTCGACCCTCATTGATCAACCATGGGGCTCCCAAATAAGGGCCTCAGTTGTCGACACAGGAACAAGAGGGAGAAAGAGAAAGCCAGATGAAGAAGAGACTGCAGGAGTCGGCTCGGCCGCGGCAACGCCCAAAAACGTCAAGACAGCCACCAGTGGCTTCGTACACGTCCTGCCACCGACACCAGAACTATGGACTACAAGTCTTCCCCACAGAACACAAGTTGTGTATACGCCAGATTACAGCTACATTCTGCATCGTATACGAGCACGGCCGGGCACGAGGATTATCGAGGCAGGCGCAGGAAGCGGTAGCTTTACTCACGCATCTGCAAGAGCCGTTTATAATGGTTATTTCAGTGATTCAAATGGACACATGGCCAAGGAATCCTCCACTGGAAAAGTCTTCAGCTACGAGTTCAATGAGGACCGCTTCCACAAGATGCAACAGGAAGTTGAAGACCATGGATTGAGCGGCGTGGTCGAGGTTACCCACCGAGATGTCTATAACGACGGGTTTTTCGTGAATGGTCAAAGCCCTGATGTCGACTGTGTGTTTCTGGATCTCCCGGCTCCATGGAAGGCATTGCCCCATTTATCTCGTGGTCCTCGTTCCCCTCTGCGAAAGGATCGAAGTGTGCACCTCTGCACATTCTCGCCGTGTATTGAACAGGTCACCCAAACGGTGGAAGTCATGAGGCGATTGGGATGGATGGACATCGAAATGGTGGAGGTCTCCCACAAGCGCATCTCCGTTTTGCGAGAAAGGGTAGGCCTCAATATGCCCACCGAAAGAGGGTCCAACCAGTCGGCTTACGACGTAGCTGAAGCCGTGCAAAGACTCAGAGAGGTAGAAGGGAGGTTCAAGGAATTCCATGGTCGGTCTCTGAAGATGGATGTGGTCGATGATGTGGACATGGAGGAAGAGGGTGACGCGAATGTCACTGAGAATGGCGTAAATGGTTCCAATGCAGAAGGCACCACAAAACCTCCTTTCATGCTTGGGAGGCTCATCCATCGCACTGAGCCAGAGATCAAGACGCATACCTCGTATCTTGTCTTTGCCATCCTACCCCAGGAATGGACGGAAGAGCAGGAGGCAGCAGCCTTCGAGAAATGGCCTTGCGGCAATGAAAATAAAGTCATCGGCAGCATAGGCAAGGAGGCTCGGAAGCAAGAGAAACGCGAGATGCTACAAGGGAAGAAGAAGAAGCGAACAAAGGATGATAACGAGGGCGCAAGTGCGGGTAGAGACGCGAAAAAACCAAAGCTAGAAGACCCATAGGTTGGTTGTACGGAATAACGATACCCCATTGCTATAAAATACATGGAACAGCTATTGTTGCCTACAGGGTATGTCAGTGACATGCCATTTTGTCAAGGGTTCCTAGTGACAAGCAACCGGACCCTCCATTACGTCAATGCGGTGGGATCCAGTTGCATGCCTACCGCCGCTTCAGTACCAGCCATTTATGCTGTTAGACGAAGCCAGAACAATGGTTACAATGTATCTCTATTCAAATCCGCGTCAAGTGTACCGAGATCATGGTACAAGCCCCCATCTAGGTTCAGCAGCTCCTAGCTCTGGGACCGCCTCCCAAAGCAAAGCAAAACTCCAACGGAGATGACGAGAAATACAGTAGTGAAAATCTATTCGAAATACCTGAGCCTCTTCTTACAATACTGATATAATTCGCAATTTCCATCCCTCATGCGTATACATAGGACTTAAACCCCCTACGAAATGCCCGTCGTGACGCTTCTGTACGTGATGGACGATAGCTAGTTCTGGGGCTCGGTCAGCATGCTTGTCGTTTCCGGCTTCCGGTGGGGGTTTTATGCTCTGGAGGCGGAGTGACTGCTTGTGAGAGCGCTGAAAAAGGAAAAGAGTACGAAGGACCGTTGGAAACCGGGGGGTATTGTCCGGCTGCGACTCTGTCTTCCAATACGCCTGATGCTACGTCTGCGCCTACAATTCGTGTGAAACTACGAGCTGGGACGATTGCAGGCAAGGATCGTGTTACACCATACGAACCTATGTGTAAAGGGCGGACAGGGAGTGGGGCACGGAGGCTGCAAGACGGGAGGGAGGCATGAAATCGGATAAGGGAAACTCGCAGCTCTACTCCATATGGTGTGACCAATAAACACGATAGAAACGGATCAAACGCTATGTAAAGCGAGTGGGAATGCTGGATTCTGGCCGGCCGACTATCCATCGTCGATACATTTGACACAGATTGCTGGATAGTTTCAACCGATGCTGATCAATCTGATGTTATTCTTGGCTTAGTTGTTTGTGGTCTGTATAATAGCGCTCGTAGATTTGTCTCATATTTCTCTTCGGTGTCCTGGGTCCTGCATTCTTACCAAACAATCCTTTTCCGTCGACGCTGGCTCGGCAGCTACATGCGTATCCACCGTCTTTTCTTGTATTTCTGTGAAGAGCATATCAGTTTGAGTGCTAGCTTCCATGCCTGCCTCCAAGTTACCAGGTGGCCTTCGTCTGTTGGGCTGTCCGAATGAATCACTTTGTCTAGATCGGCTGGAAGGGCTCTCCAGACCGGTGTAGAGTGACCTCGGAGTGTTGATGATATGGTCTGTGCCTTCGCTTAGAGGGTTGATTGTTTTGACGATTTTGCCCATGCACCAAAACACTCGCGCGCAACATAATCTCGACGATTTGTTGTTCGACTCCTACGACTTCGATTGTACAGGAAGACGATTTACGATACAACGGGACGGGCAACGCAATACTACAAAGTACCGAACGACGACGACGACGACAACGACGACATTAATAAAACCATGGACACGGGCGGCAACCCTGTCACCTTGGACGGCGTGCTCCTTACTGAGTACCCGGCCACTCATGACGTATTTTGCAACAACGCGGCAAACGCCGAGCTATTCCAGATCCTTACGGAGGTTTACAATAGCACCGAGCAACCCGAGGCGCGCTCCAAGGATTCCAGATACCATATCAGCTGCAGATCCATTGGTTCGGGAGGCCGCGTACTTGATTTTCGATTCTTCCGTAGGGTAGTCATCGGTGTCCTCATCTAACTTGTAGATCAGACTATTCTTCCATGCTCGGAAGGCACGCTGTCGTTCGCCGCTCTGGACGTTCTGATCTCCGCTGAACTTCTCAACGTGGTCCTGGGCCTTCTTCTTACCAGGGCCTGCTGGTCTGGCAGCTCTGGCGGCACGAGCCTCAGCGGACGCCTCCATGAACTGAGCTGTCAGTTTGTTGAAGTTCGTTTGGAGATTGTCGGCACGCGCTTTGTGCATTGCCACCTCGCTGGAGAGGAAATTGCTGTGGGAAATGCCATTCTCAAGGAAGGAAAATAAGAGGGTGACTAATTTGGAGCGCGCCTCGGGTTGCTCGGTGCTATTGTAAACCTCCGTGAGGATCTGGAATAGCTCGGCGTTTGCCGCGTTGTTGCAAAATACGTCATGAGTGGCCGGGTACTCAGTAAGGAGCACGCCGTCCAAGGTGACAGGGTTGCCGCGCGTGTCCATGGTTTTATTAATGTCGTCGTTGTCGTCGTTGTCGTCGTCGTTCGGTACTTTGTAGTATTGCGTTGCCCGTCCCGTCGTATCGTAAATCGTCTTCCTGTACAATCGAAGTCGAGTCGAACAACAAATCGTCGAGATTATGTTGCGCGCGAGTGTTTTGGTGCTACAAACTGTCAGGGTCGTGTATGGGGGGTACCAGTAGTTTATTGTTGTAGCACGAAGAGTGGAACATCAGCCAGCTCGTGCAGTACCAATATACATGCGGTGCACGGCCCTAGCCCCGTGACACCTAGACCATTACGCCACATAGACCAAAAGATCTAGCAATTCTGTCACTTAGTGACAGAACTGAGGCTTAACCCTGCTTAAACTCTCTATTCCCTGACAAGAGGTTTGCTTTATCCCCCCAAAACATATCTAATCTTAAATATACGGCAGTATACCCTCTTTTAGAGCCTTTAAAGAACTCTTGAATATTGGAGGACTGATACGGTGCTCCAAGACGGTGCTTAATTCCGTCTTTGACAAATCTCCGTTTTAGATATCCGACACGGGTGTTGCCTCGGGAACTTCCATTGTCACTTCTGATGCTGAAAGTATCCTCTTCTGGATACGGGTATTTCCAAACAAAATAGTTTAAAGCGCCAGGATAGTAGTTAGGTGGATGGCCATTAGCGAATCCCTGGTGTAGTACATTTTGCAATTTTTGGTTATTGTCAATGTTTGTTACATAAGCAGAGAATCGCAGGTATTAACTAATTGGGCATGACGTTTAACTAGAAGTTAGGTAGATTTTCAAGCAGCCATGCTTGCCACGCGGTACGAAAATGAATCTCCCCAGATTTGTTATAGATTTATTCACATCACGCTAGCTTTCTATACCAGGGACCTAGACATATGTGACTTCCCACCTGTATTTGAACTCCATGCCATGATCAATCATGTGACTCCCCTCAATGAAAACCCCAAATCTACTCCCTTTTCCACTCCAATTTATTTCTCCGAACCCGCTATAGCATTGATGGCCTGCCCCTCGGAAATCTGCGGCTCGATCTCGCCCGCCATCTCCGGCTCCTGCACCTCAACAGCAACCTTATCTCCTAGCTTGCCCTCGCCCTTGGCCCCTTCGCTGTCTCCCATACCCCTTATGTCAACCCACTTCCATGCCTCCACCACATCCGTGCCACTCCGGTCGAAAATCGCCTTGTCGTCATGAATCCCGTCGTCCACCCCCTTATTCCCCGCCATCGCCTCGCTCGTCGTAAATTTGCCCACAGACGCTCCGTCGACCAGATCACCGAACCATGTTCGTGCGATAGGTACGTTGTTCAGCCTCAGGACCTGCAGTAAAGCGCGCGCGTTCAACCTTAAGACTCTCTCCGGCTCCTCCGACCCGAACACCTTCTTCGTCAGCCAGGGGAACAACAAGCCGAAATCGGACTGGTTCGCATGTGCCGAATTCACCACATAGAAGAAGTTAGGCTCGGTCAGCTTGACGCCGCTTGGCCGCTCGTAAGCGCCGGGCTTGACTACGGAAGCTGCTGGATTCGGTGACAGGACGCGGGCCGTGACGTGCAGGTGCTCTTTCCACTTGAAGAAGGCTTCGGAGTCGACGGCGAGGAGAGCCGCGCCGCCGGGGGCGGACGGGACGTCGGCGTACATCGGGAGGGGGAGGTCGAAGAGTGGTTTTACTCGCGGAGCAAGCAGAGGGAAGCACCACATGTCTAGGAGCATGGTGACGTTTTGCGGGGTGATCTGCTTGCAGATCAATGATTCGCGTGACGGGCTGTAGAGGGGTTCGGCCATGGAGGCAAGTTCCGGGGAGCCGGCGTAGTAAACAGATTTAAGAAATTGGACAATGGAAGAGGCGCCGAAGCTGTGCCCAGCGAAGATGATGCTTCCCGGTTCATGGACATGCAGCCGGTTGATGAAATCGTCTAGGGACGGTGTACTTGTGTTGAGGTTCGTGCGCTTGAGTCCTTTGTCTAATCCCAGGATCGCGTCGTGGACTAGACCCAACTCCCATAACCGTATCTGCAGCTGATTACACCTTGCTGCGTATATTTCGTCTGTTGCGTCGTGTGGTATGTGCTCGTATGGGACGACACGCCGCGTGTTTCGCACAAAATATCGGTTCTGTTGAGAGGGTATCCGGACGAAGGACGCAACCGCGCTTCCATCGCGATGTTCGGGGCATATTACCACAACGCCGTGCGATGCCAGAGATCCTACCACTTGTGAGTACATGTTGCGGTTTCCGCCAAGCCCATGGGAAAAGACGGCGGTTGGCCATCGCTTGTTGGGCGTCTCGGCTTCTAAGATCGGTGCATTCTTGATGGCGGGTATCGTCGTGTAGTGGAGATGGCGTGGCAAGAAGCTACGTAGGCGAGATTGTTAGTCTTGTTGCATTCTTGGTTGAGTTATTTGCACCAAAAGACACTCACGATACTGCCTCCGCCACGAGCGATCCGATCCCCAGAAACTTGATGTATGCAGACAAGTAATGCCGTTGCGGTGCAGGAAGCCATGTTATCCGTTTTCCATGTGAATTTGGCTGCGCCGGATAGAATACGCGGAACTGGACCGTCTCAATCTCGGTTGCGTTGTCTGGTGCTGGTGCAGGCGATTCCAGTTCGGAGACGGGTATCTCGACATCGACAGTTCCAACCTTGTATGGGCCCGTATACTCTGGAAAGCTCGGAATAGGATTCAGATTCGTTAGATATGAAGTGAGCTTCTCAGTGACCGAGGCATTCTGAGGCACCGCCATCATGTAGACAAACTGGATCGTGTGAATTCCTGCGAACTGATCATGCGACGTCGCGGCCTCTTTCCACTGCAGAATTCGGCCAACCTCAGAAATGTTGTAATTTCACAAGAGAAGCAAATCTCTGGGAGTATTAAAGCGCAGATTATAAAAAAAACCGAATACAATACAAAGAACACAAAAAAAGGAGAATAGTTGAACAGCAGACGAAGCTGGTCCGAGTTCGAATACCGAACACTTGCCTGAGACCCTCAGCCGACCCTTGACAAATGGAGCAATCCCATGGCTTATGTCGTACCTTTCTTTATTGCCTCAGTAGAACTCAAGTCATTGACTCGGTATCTTGAAAATTGTCTGCTTAGACCCCAAGTCGTTGTGAGTGGGAATATCGATCCAAGTTTTGACTGGTGAACTTTGAGGCAAGCAACATAATACGTCGTCAAATTTCGTCTTTCGTACTGCTGTTCGATCGGCGCTGATTGCAGTTGTGCTTCGCCACATGCTGCAGGATTGCAAATCAACCAATTTGAAAATGGAGCAACGCCTGGAAGATACATTCAACCTGGACCGGGCCGAATCACTATCCCGCCCGAAATGCCATGAAGAGAACTGCGAGGCGATGGCGGAGGCCGAATGCGACGGAATTCCTGTTCCTGAATAATGATTACGAAGCGGCTTGTCATGACGTCAATCTTGGACCCATATCAATTTTGGTGCCTCGGGCGATCAACTAACCACTTACTGAGCAGCTACAGGGTAACCCTTCGGGTCAACGAACCCTTGGAGGTCACTATTTCAAAACTGCTTCGTTGAGTGCTCCGATACGAAGTGGAGCACATCGCTCAGGTATGCTGGAAATTTCAAGATATGCATAATATTCTAACTAAAGATGCATTCGATCGATCTATCCTCTCAGTCTTTCACGAGATATGCCCGCTCCGCGGACATTAGATCTATACCGAAGACTAAACAATGACATGTACTTTATACAATATGCGATATTGGTCAACTCAACCCAACTCGACACAACTCGACTCGAATGGGGACACGCTAGACCAGCTTAGTGCGACCACTCCCTGTCAACCTTCTCCCAGTTGTCCAAGAACCCCTTGAAGAACTTGACACCCAAACCAGGATCCAGAGCACCTGTCGTCGCACGAACCGAGTGCATGCTCAACTGCGGCATACCTGCATCCGCTGCTTTGACACCCATCATGCTGGATAGTGTAGGCCCAACAGTTCCACCGCTTCTCGAGTCATTCCTGATCATGAAGACCTGCGGTGTGCAGCCGGTGAGCTCGCAAACCCGAGTTAGGATCGCCGTCGAGACCGGGTCCGTCGTCATGTGGCCATTGCTGTCGGCGCAGATAACAATTCCCACGTTCAGCCTCGGCGCATGGCCGTCAAGGTATCGGCCGACAAAGTTCGGATTGACGGCGTGAGTGACATCCGCAGACACCAGGAATGAGCTGGCGTATGTGCGTCCAATAACCCCAGGGCCGAAGGTGGTCGATTTGCCGCACAGTGCTTCAACAGCTCGCTCGATAGTCAGGGGAAGGAAGTTTCCCTTCGCGCCCTGTCGAAGGAGCGAACCGATTTCTTCATCGTCGAAGAGTGCCACCATCTTGATCGTGCCCTCATCCTCGCCCTGCTCAGCAGCAAGTAGTCCCTCGAATGCGGCCCAGCTGCAAAGCTTGTCGTCAATCCTGCCAGCCGTGATGAACTCCTTGTCCATTCCGAAAACTGTTGCTGGCTGAGAGTCGAACAGTTCCAATTCCCAGTTGACAATCTGCGAGTAGTCGCTGATACCGAGCTCTGAGGATATCAACTTGACCAGCTTTGGTGGTTGGGTAGAGGTGAACGAGCCCACGAGTCCAAGGGGTTCAGCTGGCGTCGAAGCCGAAGATGGGTAGGCATCAGAGTTATCTAGACCGATGACTGGCACAGCCTCTGTTTCCTTGTTGTTCGAACCCAACATACCCACCCCGAAGTGAGGTGCAAGGGTAGGAATTTTCGCAACTACGATAAGTTAGCAAACGGCGTTGAATAGAACAAGCAGTCCATGGGAGACTGACTTGGCCATCCCAGCTTCACTAATTGACTGGACGTCTTTCCAGATCCGTCGCGGACGATGACTCTCCCGCCAATACTTAGATCTCTATCCCACCAAGTCTCGTTCAGGCCTCCCGCATATGGCGCAACACCGAGTTGGACGTATCCTTGCTTGTTCGGCTTGTTACTGACAGGCTTGAGCTTCGCCGTCAACGCGTCAATGTGCCCCGCGATCATTGCGACTCCATTGCCTGGTTTATAAGCCTTGCCGACCGTAAAGGCGATGATGGAGCTTCCGTTTCGGGTGACGAAGTACTTTCCTCCAGCCTCGAGCTTGCCAGACCAATCATCACGAGGGGGTAACTGGAGTTCTACCGTCAGCGAGACTTCATAAACGAATGTATAATCCAGTCCCACGAACCTCTGTGTAGCCCAACTTTTTCGCCTTGCTCTTGAAGTAGTCCACGGCGTGAAATATCGTCGGGTTGTCCTCCAAAAATTTGCAGAATGGCCGAGTGAAAGCTTCTGGCTTGCCTTCTCGGATCTGGCAGACGGCGCATTGCTCCGATTCGACTCGACGCGACAAGCTTGCGAACTGGCCAGTTGCCAAGCTGCAACAGTCAGCACAGAGTTTCATATTGCTCTGCACGCTGATATCGCCGATAATCATTGCCTTGGTGGCCTTGTTCATAGGTCGTTCCGTGCTGGGAGCTGGAGCTACGACTACGGTCGATTCTTGTGCTACGCTCAAGGAGGCCGCCATTCGGAGGGACATGTTGGAGCTACGTTGGCGCAGGAAGTCGGGCGTATGTCGAGTCATGGTGGGTTACGTTGAGGGAGCTTCGTCGTCGCGTAAAGAGGAAGAAACCTCAAGTGAGAGATTGAGATGAGTCCAGGAGAGAAAAGACAGAAGCGAATCGTACACGAGTCAGAGAGGAAGGCACTTGATCATTAGCTGCCCCCGAGTCGGTATGAGGTTGTCAACAGATCAAGCGATAACGCCTTATCAGCCTCGGCGGTCGACATTTCCGTCGACAGGGAGCACTTGCCCAACCCGCTAATCTGGACACCTTGCGTAGGAATGGCCAAATTGTACATCATTGGTTTCAAGCCCCCATCGTTCTGCTGGTGTGTTCGTTGTCTTCACCAGCAAATCAAGTCCATTAGCTGATCGGGTGTGGAGATGAAGTTTCCAATGCTCATGACCGAGGTGACCACATGAGCTGTTGGTTCAAGGTTCAAGTGCCGCCCCAAACACGACCAACGACAATCCAGCCCTAACCTCATCATCTTGTCAGCATCGCAGCAGTTCAAGCTGGGCTAATTGCGTTGAATCTTACATGCTTCTCATCATATCAATCATTACGTTGTCTTCAGCCCATGTTCCATTTTCTCGCTACTTGGTTCCCTTCTACGATCACAGTCCAGCGCCCGACACAACATAGGATAGGTGTTAGTATAGTGACGAGCCCTCTCAACAGGCCTCACGCCTGGTCTCACACCAGAACATAAACAGCACTATATTCATTTATACCTAGTGACTTTAAAGGGGGACATATAGTGCGAGACTACGACCCTGACCATCGACACCATCGACGGGAGTCCTTTTTTCGCGAGGACCAGTGCAATCCATACCAATGTTACCCACCCGAAGACTTTCCAATAAGGGCATTCCTTCCGATAAGGGTGATTCATATAGAACCGTGACGTTTCCTATATCTCGGCATGCACCTTTCGTTGGTTTCTGCATAATCGCACAGCATGATGACTGCAGCCAAGTGTCCAATGGTCCGCTTACTTCGTAGCAATGGCAGCCCTAGATTTTATCATGCATCAAACAATGCGATATATCGCAGACATTATTCCACTCAGCAAAATTGCGGTTCTTCATCAACCTGTGGGAGTTGAAACAGTTACAATGGATCTCGCGGTCTCTGCTGGCGTTGCGTTGTTAGCCGTCGGGGCCACAACACGGCTTGAGGCGTGCGCTCATGTCTCTGCGTCGTGGACTTTTCTCTGCATCTTTCAGCTGCAGTACATTGCCCTCAAAGCATACAGACTTGTCATCTACCCTCTATTGTTTTCTCCGCTGAGGCATTTGCCTGGTCCCAAGGTTGGTACGGCCCGAAACTAGCCATGGAATCCTTATCGTATTGAGACTGCTCCCAGAACAAGATTCCTCTACTTGGACAAGAGATCGCCAAGTACCGGGCAGACTCACCCATCGCTCTTCAGTTGCAGTGGTCACGCACATGGCCTGATGCGCATTTCATCCGATACCTATCCGTTGGCGGAAGAGGTGCTCCTGCTGAACAGTTTAGCGGCACACAAGGCTGTGCTTCAGACCAACTGCTACGACTTCATCAACCCGCCATTCTTTGCACGATTAATTAGGGAATTAGCAGGAGTCGGGGTAATATTGGCGGATGGGGAAGACCACAAGGCAAAACGCCGCTTGATAGCTGGCCCCTTCTCCGTCCCAAGTGTCAGGAAGATGTTGCCTGTATTCCAAAGCAAGGCTAAGGGTCTTTCTATTGCATTCACGGCCGCTCTGGATGGTTATACGCAGGGCTCCATCCAATGTAAGCTAGTGGTTCTGAATTTGCGACTGAGACTGACGCGTTACAGTCATGCCACTGATAACCAAGGTGACTATGGACATTATAGGGGTTACAAGTCTCGGGGTCGAAATCCAAGAGCTTTTTTCGTCAAAGTTGAATATCGGCTTGCCTGAGCTATACGACAGGCTTCTGCACCAGGACCCTCTGGGCACGCTCATATGGATTGTCAACTCATTCCTACCAATTCGCCGTTTTGTGCCGCTGCAGGCGAACTGGAAATTCGTAGAAGCAGGTCAGGAATTGCGTTCACTGCTTCGAAGAGTGATCAAAAAGCGCATCCACGACATGGGGGCGCGGGATAAGATTGCAGAAAAGTCGGAAAGTAGAGATTTGCTGACATACATGATAAAAGAGGCGCATCAAATCGAGGAAGAGACTGGGGAGTGGTGCTGGACTGAAGATGACTTCCTCGAATTGGTGAGTACAGATTACTAGATCACTTGGCCTTCTAGTCTATGGCTAATACATACAAGCTTTTAAATTTCACACTTGCAGGTATGGGATGATGTCCTTCACGGCGTGTTCCGACTTGCATACTGATGACGGACACTAGGCCACGAGACATCGGCGAATGCACTTGGATGGGCCATGTATGTGTTGGCAACGAAACACGACGTCCAGGCCAGGTTGAGAGCAGAGGTTCAGGGGCTGCTAGAAAAGCACTCCGAGCCCGACTACGACCATCTGCACGCCCTTCCGTATATGCACAACTTCTGTCGCGAAATCCTGCGGCTATATTCCCCAGGTTAGTTCAGGGGACAACCCATGTAGCCATCCTCGTTACCTTCTACGAGAACGTACTCATTAAGCCCCAGCGTACATGGCATTTCGTGCAGCAGAACACGACATTGTAATCGAAGGCACCTTCATCCCAAAAGGAACGACCATCAACATCTGTCCAGCTGTAGAGAATTTGAACCCACACCTATGGGGTGAGGACGCGGGGGTATTCAATCCGGACCGGTGGGGTAACCTCACGGGCGATGCCGTTAGTTCTTACGCGTTTGAGACGTTTATTCAGGGTCCGCGGATCTGCCCTGGTAAGAATTTTGCCGTCACGGAGATCAAGGCCATCTTGGTCGAGCTTGTTAGAAAGTGGCGATTCGTTGGGATCGAGAAGAATGACGGGAGACGGGAGCTATTGACTGGCGGAGAGGAGGAGATTGGAAGGGGCGTCAGACTTGAAAACCCCTCTCTTACTTTTATTCCGGCTGGGGGATTGCGGGTTAGATTTGAACCTCTCTGAGGAAGGGGTGCTAAGAGGTCGTTCGATCTCAGTGTAAGTGAGACCCAGGAGACGCTTGCGTTCAACACTGATGTTGATGTCTAGTGATGAATAAACACAATCTATGGTGCACCGTCCTTCCACCGTGGTCAGTCTTGAGGAAAGAGTGCGCAGATCATCGTTGTGAGAAACTTGAGGTGGAAAGTGCGACTTCCTGGAGGCAAGCACATATGGGCCCATCCGCCGACCTTCCCCTCCCCTTTCCCTGTTGAGGCAGACTGTTCACCTTTTCTGTTCATAAGTCACAATCTAGACTTTGTTGGGATATGTTGATATTGCCAAACTGGAATCGCACCACATGCCAATTACAGATGGCGAATATCCAAATTGTAAAATCCTTTTCCTTTCTCTACCATTTTGCAATCTTCAAAACGGAGGTAAATATAACACTGCTTAGAGAGAACCAGTAGAGAAGAGACCGGGTCGCTTTTCCTTCCCCTTTACACGTCGCAATCAGGGATTTCTTACCCCCTTTTCAAGGATCGCCTTTTTAAGAAGTTCACATCGCCGAACTGTAATGATACGAGATGCCGGCTGCGGTGAGCAAGCAGGTCGCCAAATGGTAAAGGGGAACCTGGAAGCTCGAGATCTTGGATTGGAACAGTCACGGGCCTCAGCTTGTATTAGACAAGGTCACATTCACATGATCCATCAAGTGGGGTTCATGCGACCTTTGCAATAGCCCAAATGTGATTCAACCGAGGTCCCTTCTCCTTACACCTAGCATCTGTACACAAGACATTCATACCAGGCTAATCAATTGACCAAGGACCATCCCAATTTCATTTAGATAATAACGATGGTGAGTGAACACGCCTGTTGCCAGATATTGCGGATCAAAACAAAAACTAAACACACCTCAGAGAAAAGGCATGATACGCAAAAGGATGAAAAATAGTAAGCAGTCTTGTTCCTGGCGAGGATTGAACTCGCGACGTCCAGATATCTAACCATACGAATTAGTTGCCTAACTGTATAAGACTGGCACGCTAACCACTGCGTCACAGGAGCATTTTATAGGTCCATATTATAGCCGCTCTGCAGATGTTTATGTAATGCGCCGCACTCACTGCACCTGCCTTTCGAGTTGATTTGTGACCTCAATTTCCTACACCTGCCTGTGTCAATTTTCCAGGTAACAGCAAAATGAACTTTCTTGGTGCAGGGCACATTGAACTTTCATAAAAGGGGCTGCGTGAGTGGTGAACTAGCTGGAGGTCTTCCATCGACTTCCTTACATTGATTGTTTAGATGCAATTGAAACTTATGTAAAGTTGGGGGTTTTCAGAATGGAGTGGTTCATTTGGAGCACCAGATACGACTACCAAAATTGGAAGACTTGGTTTCGTCATGGTTTTGTCTGTCGAGTTATGTATGGCTCCCTTTGTGCTGTGCAGACTGACACTAGCTGCTTAAACATCAACGTACCATTGAATACTCAAATAAACCCAAGCCCAGTAAATTTGAGCTGGAGACTATGTATAAACGGTATGTTCCCTCCCAAAATAGCACTATCGAGTTCTATCCCACGAGATACTGCTCTACAACACCATCTGGTTAAACCTCCATCCCACCTCACCATTCATCTCCCCAATCCCCACCAGAGTAATCAACCGCCGCCGTACTCCACACGTCACTACTTACAGCCATCTCCTCATATCCATAAACGGAAGTGTCAGCCACGACCGTCTCACTCATGTTGAAATCTACCACCGTCGTAGATTCGACGTAGCCTGTGTAACCCGCGTCTGCATACTCCGAGTCAACATACCCGGTGTCCAGATACCCCGACTCGGCCACCATGGCCGAGCTATTCGTATTATACACCGAAACAGAAGCGTCGAAATTAACATTCACAGTCTCCACATTCGTGCTCGACTGTGGCGCAAAGTACGCGTCGGCGGTCGAGTTGTCAAGTACAACTGGATCGTGCTGACCAGGATACTGCTGATCATGCTGCTGCTCCTGATGTCCACCACTGTCTCTAGGGCCACCACCAAAAGCAGCCGCAGCAAGCGCCATGTTCTGATTAAATGCCTGCTGGTTAGCTGCCATCTGTGCCGGCCCAAACGGTTGCTGCTGCATCTGCCCCGCCACAGGCGGACGGGCTTGCAGTGGTGGACCTTGGGGATTCTGCGGTGGTCTCTGCATCGCCCCCTGTTGCGGTCTTGGCGCGACTTGCACCGGCATACCCGCCATGGCCGGGTTCTGAACTGCCACTGGTCGTCCGGGCGTCTGTACGCCCACAGGCTGCATGCCCGGCATCGGCTGATTCACAACCTGCACATTTGGACGTGGGCCCGGCAAACCCTGGCCCTGAGGCGGAGCGGTTTGAGTATGTGGGGGCCCCGGTGGCCGGCCTGGTTGTTGCTGGCTTTGCGATGTGTTGTAAATTTGATTCGCTAGCATAGCGCCGGCCATGCCGTTACCTCCCATCGACTCGGCCACGATGGCACCTCCGACTGCTGCTGTTGTCTGATGAACCACGGGGTTGTTCCAAATCTTTTTGGCCCATTTCTTCATATCCTTGCCTGCACTGGCTAACGCTGCCGATGCTTGGGCCGATGTGCTGGCCGAGTTCTGGCTCTGTGCTTGCGTCTGAGCCATACTGGGGTCAGATTGCGGGGCCGGGGGGAAATGGATAGTCTGAGGTGTTTGCATAGCTAGATTTTGTAAGCCGCTGGACGACTGAGCGAACATTGGTTGTTGAGCGTAGCTAGGAGATCCAATGTTTGGTGATTGGATGGTCTGCTGTTGGATTGGCATTCCAGTCGGTGGCCTATGCGAAGATGGGCTGCTAGCTGCTTGGATCCCAGCTAGGTATCCCTGAATCTGAATTTGGGGGCGTTGAGGCTGTTGCATACTTGGCCGTTGATGTTGCGTTGCAGTTTGTCCTGCTGGCCGCTGCTGATGATAATTTGAAATAGCTTGATTGGGTGCAACGGAATGAGTCTGCATAGCCGGCTGCCCATAAGATGGCTGAGGAGCCCCTGCTACTTGAGAGATGGATGGCCTATGAGGTATCTGAGAGTGATGAGGACCCGGGGTTACCTGGGCTGGCCCTAAGGGCACATGTTGCGGGCGTTGAGATGAAGTTGTCGTGGGGACGAGGCCTGGGTACTGAATTGGAATTGACGAGTTTCCATGCATTGCGAACTCATGAAGTGTACCTACAGGCGAGTGAGAAGATCCGTGCATGGGCGAGGGCGTCGAAGCCGGCGGACGATGAAGCGACGCAATTGAGTATGTTGGGGATGATACTTGACTTTGTGGCCTTGAGGACGACGCCTGCGTAACAGGGGATATATGCTGGTTATGGCCAGAGCCTGGAACCACTGCGTTCGGCGTGGAACCTGAAGAGTGTGACACTGCCGAAAGTATACCAGCACTGTGGTGAGATGCTTGCTGCAAACCACCTGGCACAGGCGATGAAAATATAGTTGAAGGCTGTGTTTGGTCCGTCTTATGTCCAGGGTTGACAGTAGACTGTCTAACAGAGGTCTGGCGCGAGTGGTTTGGAGCTGCCGGCTGTTGCGGCGGTTTCGAATTATGAGGTTGCTCTACCGCCGAAGGAGATGATTTTCGCATGTTGTTCGATGCGTCCTTTGACCCAAGACCTTGCGTCACTGCAGGTACAGTCTCACCAACTACTGATACAAAATTTGAGAGCTGCACCGAAGTCTTTGAGGGCTTGCTTGGGCCTGTCGGTGATGGCTTAGTCGGCGCGAAGATAGATTGGTTTGAACTTGGACTGGGTGTCTTCGGCGGTTTGGACACAACCAATGGCGCAATGACGGGAAACGGCTCGTCCATGAAGAAGTGTGCTGACTGTTCGTCTATCTTGGAAGGCGGCTTTTGGGCTGCAACTGAAGTCTCAGACTGCGATGAGTCTGAGGGCATATCTTGAGCTGGAGAAATCTCGTGAAACACTAATAGTCCAGGCCCGGGATTTCGAATCGGTGATTGTAATGTACTATTCGACGGTAATTTATTTGGCGCAGTACGGACTCTCTGTGTACCTGGACGGAAATCATCTCTAGGAGTATTGCTAGGCGCGTGGCCAGGAGCCAAACTTAGCGTCATGGGAACGTTTGGTCTTTGAGGCAGCCGTATTTGGCTATTCTGAGGCTGAGATGGTCGATAAGCCTGGAATGTCGCTGGGTGGGCCATGTTAGGCTTTTGTGGCATCTGGAAAGAATGAGGCCGATGGACTGGCTGAACTTGCACGGGTGTGCCATTCTGGCGACGATATGCAGGCTTGAGGACAGATGGGACATGGGAAAGACCGGGATCGGATGATATACTCCCGTGCCTCGCATTGTGACCCGTAATGCCGGTAGGTGTAAAGCCTGTCGGTTGTTTATCTGGTTGGCTCGGTATAGCAACTTTTGACGGCATCTGTGCTGGCTGTAGGACGGCAGGAATGGGTGAACGCCTAGTGGTAGTGGCGCTGGTGGCATCCGGGGTTGAAACACCCGAAGTCCTTGGATTCGACGGAGGAATCAGTATGCTCATCGGCCCAGGCACGGCAACAGACGGCGGGGGCGGTCCCCCAAGAGAATGTGTCTTCTGTTGAACGGGTCCTAACTCGCTGTTTTGAGACTGAAGCACAGAGATGCCGGACAGAGCCAACGAAGATCGTTTAGAATCACTGGCGTCGTCTTTGGCGATCCTATTTGTGGGCGTCCACTGTTGATACATACCGGGGTGTGTCTGATCTGTCTTGGGTTTCCCTACTTGCTGCTCCGAATAAGCATCTCCTGTTTGCTGATGCTTCACTGCGGCAGACGCTGTGGAAACTCGCCAAGGAGGACAAGCGAATGAAGCCGACGTCAGTGGCAGTGCCCCGACGGGCTGTATCGGAGCAGAAGCCGGTTGTGACTCCGGCTGTTTCTGTCCCACGGAATTCCTCTGCGTGGGTAACTCGACAGGCCCATCTGGGTCGGTGTCCGTTTGAATAGGAGGTGTCATGGAATAAGTCGCATCAAGTTCGACGGGCGCCAACTCCTCGGCGCATTTGACGGTATCCCCGCTTGCCAACTCTGCCATAAACCCCACAGGGGTATGTGGTTCCTGGAATGCTGATACACCGGCATTCGAAACGTTCGTCATGCCTTCCAATAACTCAGCATGCCTTGGCTTCCCGTGTTGCATCAGGTCTGATAATGGGGAAATCCACACTCCACTAGCAAGAGAGTCTGTCGCGATGGTCGGCTGTCCCATAACTGGTTCGTTTATCAATGGCTCAGTACTCGGGGCCGACGATGACTGCCCAGGACTCGCAGTGGTCGCAGCGGGCGAAACCGCATTTTCTTTGCCGTTACCCCTGAGTCCCGCTGCTTCTTCGCCATCTGTTTTGTCTACCGTAGGGCTATAGTCGTTATCACTACCTGGCCCAAAGTACATGGAACTCCCAGGACCAAAGTAGCAAGTTGCTGACATCTCATCTACCCCTTCGACGGCGTTTTTCTTTCGTCTACTTCCGCTAGATTTCATTGTCCCGTCGCCATTTTGTGTTCCATTCAATGTAGCCTGCCGCTTGATCTGCCTCTCGCTTGCCAGACGTTCTTCGGGAGCCATGTCGAAAGTCTCAGCGCCAGGGGCGACGAACTCGGGGAACTCATCGCCGGGCATTGGGAAGTGGAACTGGACGATCCCGGTTGGTTTATATCGGTAGAACCATCATGACCCGTCATAATCCCACTCCCAGCCTTCAGGAAGCCCTGACATGGCTCAAAGATGGCTATTCGAGTCGTTTCGTAATGTAACAGGGAAAACCGCCGGTTAGTCTCCACGGCGTTGGATCGTTTGGCCAGGGGACTAAGTCGTGCGACTGTTATTATTACAAGTGCCTGCGACTTCACAAGACTGCCATGGTATGAATTCGCAATGTTTGCTGACTGTTGTTCTTCTAGCCGCTCATGCTTGGTGGTAAGGTGCGAAATTGACGTGATTCAAAACAATAGTTGAAGTTAGAGCTCTCAGAGCTTCACGGACAACTCCTTAAAGATAGCCCGGCGGCTGAATTCGACGCTATGAAGATGCTACGTGCGTTGAGACCTTGAACAGAACAGTCTAATCCAAATAGCAAAAAGAGCGAAGGACGAGAAAACTGTCAAAGAAAACACCTGACCATTACACCACAAAGTACTTTGCTCGAATCGCTTGTTACACATCTGCGGCTGAGGAACCATACCGCATATGCCGCAATTGTGTCTTCGTATCCACCAATACATCCTGTCCAGCCAAGAGCATGCACAGCAACTGGTGATCATCAGGTTGGGTTTGGCGCAGAACCTGGCGTGAGTGGCTTGCAGCAGCTGAAGCCAGGGACGGGACGTCAATATTGACCCTGAAAGCACGCTTGCCGCTTGGCACTGCAAAGCAACTTCAGAGTCGCTAGGTGCAACTCCCAAGTCCATCTGCGGTATTGGGTGGCGAAGTTGAGTTGATAAGAACTTCAGAAACAAATGCAGCATTGCATCGGAGCCCCTGATAGAGGCACGTGTCAGGTCAATCATCAGCCGCGTTTTCAGGTGGCAACGACCGTCAGCTAGCTGCTGTTCCATGCTTCTGGTGATACCGAGCTGCCCCTATGCGAAAGGATACATTTGCAGTGAAAGGACTAGGAATAGTACTTAAAAACTTAAAATAACACAATACGTTATCAATATGCGTTTCCCACAGAGTTATTCATGTCGACTAAACACTCTGGGCATGTGATGCAATTTAAAACCCGAACCTATTGCGGCGTTGGTCCTACAGCATCCCTAGATAACTTCAGGCAGATGATACGTATGTGTATAAGTGTTTCCTGTGTTCCCTCTTTATATCCGGTAATGAGCTTGTTGGCCGTCTGACCCTGTATTGTGTGTGCCCCATTTCCTATCCGATTTAATTCATGCAAATTCAACAATCTTCGGTTTCTAAGTTGCGGGATATCCACATTGTTAGCAATAGGGGTAACTCCTCATTATCGAACATAGGTCTGGCCAAGAGCCTCATGTTGAAGTCCAAAATCATCAATCTTTACCCATTCCTACGAGCCCATGCGAATATCCACACCCACACAATGACAGAGGGCACCCTGTGCTTCTGTACCCATAGGTACGCTTATAGATGGGATGGGCGCATCTCATTGGAGCCGTATGTGACCAATGGGTGGAGCCAAATATTTGACGGTGCAAGAGACGATTGGGACCAGACTCAAGTCTGCGAGGAAGACGTGAAGGAGTGAACGAGGTGTGCTCTCTGTGCGGCTACCATAAAATTGTGCATACTTCCAGATTCCCATCCCGATCCAGGTTCGGCACACTGAAACCAATCCAAATATTTAGAAATTGATCAAGAAGCTTACGCATAACTTAGCCATGGGAGAGTCCCCTCGGTAAATCTGTTGTTGGAATATCAGTCCGGTATTCTGGGAGGCCTGCGCCTCCATGATCAACAGGCATTTTCATCCGCCGTCAGATTCAAAGGCAAAAGTTCCCGTTCTTACTGTGAGGGACTGATTGACAATGTATTTGACATCAGGGCTGTCACGATTCGTGCAGGTTGGGTAAGAAGTGCCACAAACTCCTAGCATTTGGACTCATGTGCGTACATAAGATAACCGTCACCCAGGCATTGCCCCGGTCCTACATGATCTTCCGGGTTGCGCAAAGCCGAGCTGACAAGGGGGACATTGAGCTTTTGGATAATCTCGTGGCCAGGAACATCAACATCGATTTTGGCCATGTCGCTACTGCAATGATGGGCCATCTCCTGCGTCTTTACAATGCGATCCTTCATCTAAGCTCGTCACGGATGACCAAAGGCTCGACGTTTTCAAAACAAAAAAAACAAAAAAATAGCCGCAAAGTGCAGCGACCGAAGCATTGAAAAGCTCGAAATGCTATATGAGCATGGGATACGGAATTGATATGGTAGCGGATCGAAACCAACGGAGCGGTGGGCTGGTTGTTGGGAGGTGAAACATCGTTCAATTACCGCAAGCTTCTCGTAAATAATTCGATTGTATCATGGACTTCATGCCGTAAACCTGGCTTGGCTAAAGTCAAATGTAGCTCCAGTCTGTCTGGAAGTATGCATCGTTTGCTCTGGAAAGACATTCAAAATCAGTAACATACTCCAAAGTAAAATAAAATACCACAAAGTGGATAGTTACATGCTTATATTAAGTATAATTTGCAGCCACGAATGGGGCGCCGGGGGAGACTATTCCTAGAGAATACATAAACTTCTAAGGTACATTTTTGTACTTTAGCCACGAGAGGGCCCCTTGAGCTACCATGCCGTTGGGAACCTCCACTTATACCAACCTTGCTTCCACTCTTGACCCTAGTCATCCTTCGTCGTTAGATTCCAAGAGTATGCCGTAGAAAACGCATTATACAGAATCGTACAATCCGTTCATTGTGTTCTTGTTCCCATCCCCAAATCTCCTGGCCTCCAGTGTTCAACCTAGTTGAGTAATTGACTACCACTTCGTACATGCCCCTTATCAACTCCCATAAAGCGATATTAAGGCGGCCTAGTAGTAGTGGTGTTAGTGGCCGAAGTAGTCCAGCTCTTCCTACCTGGGTTGAAAGGCGGAACCTTCAGGATGTCGGTACACTGAGCGGTCTGGTACACAGTGGCTGTCTGCGACGGACAGGAATACGGAACCGGACAGCTGGTCAGCGGGTACTTGGTCACGACTTTGGTCGACGTTATCGGGCAACAGTCAATGCTGTTTTTCTTGTAAGCGATTGAGACGAGGCGCTTTCGAAGGAAGACGGAGTGACAAAGAGTCGGGGGGAGAAAGATCGTTGATTGACTGACCTGCATGGCAATTTCGCCGTGATGGTATGTGTAGGAGTCGGCGCACATGTTATGCTGGTTGGCTTGTCGCAGTAGTAAATACCTACGCAGCCTCAAGTCAGCTACACACCCACGCTAACTTGCGCTATGTATTTCAGGAAAAGGAGAGACTGGATCTATCTTACTGTGCTCAGTAGTAGTAGTGTGTGTATAACACGAGTACTCTAGGGTTGTCGTCGACTGAAGCTTTAGGTCATTGATTATGGTAGTGCAATGCCCGGGCAACGAGGCGGGATGAGTTGGTTTTGTCGTCGTGGGCGTCGCGGTGATAGTCTGATATCCGGTCGCGGGCGGGGAGCAGTTCGACTGGACGAAGACAGTGCGTCCAGTGTCGTAGAGGCAGTCCAAGCACAATGAACAGGTCTCAGTGTACTTCGTTATCGTGGAGGGGCAGCAGTCCGTGCTGGGAGGCATATCAGTCTCGTAAACACCAGGTGAGCAGGATCGCTGCTTATATCGCATGGATTGGCCTACCTGCACGGGACTTTGATGATTATATCCGTAGGCATAACATCTAGACAGAGAGATCGGGGATTGCGTATGCAAGGTTCACACGTAGCTGTGCAATATGACTCAGCTTCCGGTCTTGATTAGGGGGGCAAGTATTCGGAAGCCGGACCTGCCTGGGTAGACAGAGTTAGAATGGGACATGTGTGTGTCGAAGTCCATGATCTCGTCTCTGATGGAACCTCCACAATCTTCGTGCAATGGAAAGGCCACAAGGTGGCCGTTGTTGGACTAGATTGCGTGTTAGTTGACCGCAGGCCGCGAGCCAGACTGCCTGGAGCCCTTCGGGCTTGTCCACGACGACGACTATGACTTACGCAAAGTTTGGTATTGGAACCCCCAGACTGAAATTCAAGTCAGCCATCTTGATATGGTCAAATTCAAGGGCACGACAGACTTTCATCAGGTATTGTTCTCCCACACCCAATTCACGGCAAGCATATTTGTATTGTAAAGCGGCTCATATTTCAAGCATCACAGATCTATTTATAGCAAGTTGCATTCAAACGAATATAGCTTGCATACGTGACATGAATGAACAACATCTGGGCTGTAGGTAACAAAACCGGATTTTAGGACTTGAGCCTAGTTTGAACCATCTCATGGTTGCCTCGACCAACTCTGCAGGACGAACGAAATACTGTGTTGCGGCTCCATCACACGTTCGGGAGTCGGTACCAATATGTGTAGGCCGTTGGGGGCTGCCTTTACTCTAAAACCCCGCAATATATAAGGCCTGGCTGGCGATGGAAGGGTACAATTGCATAGGCTAAAGCCAAACAGCTAGGCATTCGAACTCAATAAGGGGTTGCCAACCATCACACCTGAAAAGCGGTGCGTCTGGCTAAACTGGACAACCCGTAGAATTGGAGACAATCCCAGATTATGAGACCATCCAACCATTGCTAGCCATTATTTAAAATCTCCACAGCTTCAAGTCATGCAATATTGGAGTTGAGTAAATTCAAGCTATTGACGGTTAATCGGGAAAAAGCATTCTCCATGCGTATGAAAGAAAAGACGAACACAACTTGTACTCGCAGCCGGAACCCCCTGCTTCCCTTCTTCCCCCACCCCCAAAATCAAAAAAGAAAAAGTATAAGAAAATCCAACTGTCTTGTTTTGGAAGGCCAACAAGGGCCAAGTGGTAGCATCAGAACCCCGAGGCCTACATGATGAGAGTAAGGGCAGGGAATGCCTTCAGGGTACGCCGCTTGGGAATACGCCGAGTCCTGGGAGGGGATGCGTTGACGATGATGGTAACGCTTCTGGCCATGGGACCGAGTAACCAAAATGGAATCACAGTGGCCATCAGTCTGGGTTCCTCTTCCGCAGAACCAGTAATCGGCGCATAATTCCCTCCCCTCGAGTGCCGCCCCGACGCTAACCCTCCTTCAATTCCACCTTCTTCATTCTCTTACCCTTCGTCTTCCCCGCCAGCCGACCCCAAATCAAACCTCCCCTCGACAGGTGACGCTCATTACTAGGCACCGTAACCATACACTGACTCGCCGTATTACCCATACTTCCCTCCTCCCACCCACTCCCTTTACCGCTACTGCTACTATATATCTCATCCACCGACGACGGCCCCCTCGCCTGGCGTCGGCGAGCTCGTCATAGGTCGTAGGGCATGTGAGGGCAGGACGACGATGATGTTTTGGGGTCAGGGTTTTGATGGGCTTGGTTATACGGAGGATGGGCTAGGTGACAGCACCTTGGTAGGCTGTGGAGGAGTGTTTGGGGCTCACTTCTTCTCTATTTAGGACCGAGCAGGGGTCTACTGGGCAAGTTGAGCTGTCCCAGGATTACCCTTCGCACCGATAGGGGCCGCTGACTGCCGTTCTCAAAAGGCGACAGTGTCTGTTATGCTCTTGAGTCTACGGCTTGATGACCATCACGCTGCAGTCTCGTTGCCATCATGCGCAGAATACCCATCAACCAGTTATCCGTCGCGCTCTACTGACCCTAGCCGATCTCGGCGCGACCGGAGGCATAGGCACTCTCGCAGTACCAACTAGCTGCTCCGCCACGTCGAGCGCCACTGCATTCAGACTCCATGGGTTATTAATGACGGCAGTGAGTGGTTTAGGAACAGGCCAGGACGTCGTCATCACAGGCACCGTAGCCCCGGCATCGGGATCCTGCCTCAGCGGACTACCCTGCGGCACGGGGCGAGCGCCCATAAACACCTCACCTACACGCACCGTCGTCGCCTCATTATTACTTCGTCTACCCATTGAGGTTTTGTCTCTAGATTCGAAAGCTGACTCGTACCGGACCCCCATTAATTACCCTCGATCTCCTATTCCTCTCTCGAAACTCAATATCCTACCCAACGAGCTGTTCCCCAACCAGAATGTACTCTCCATACTCTTCGCCCCCCTCCCCCCTTCTGTTTCTTAGGCGACGCGATCCGCGGCCAATGCAACGCATCCTCGTCGGGTATAGTTCGTTACACCTCTTCTTCTGCCTCCTCTGCCCTTGGTCGTCCGTGGACCCACGCGCTGAAGTAGAGGACGAAGAAGACGCAGGAACCGGATTTTGGTTTAAACTTTCCCTCCTCAAGAATAAGGGAGGCAGAACGGGAAGCGAGATATGTGCTACCCCTGCCCATACCCCTTCAGCATCATACAGCAGCCCCAGCTGCTGCTCGCTGATGGATTTCTTTCTCAATCTCTTTCTCAATCTCTTCGTGTCATCCCGATTACTCGACCGTGAGCCGGTGGAGCTGCCATGACGACCACCACCGGTATAAGTGCCTGTAGTTGTGATAGTAACTGCGTATGATTCTCAGCCGCCGGTCTTGGTACCTAGTCAGCAGAATGAGGAGCCATGCGGGCAAATACGGCAATGTGCCCGTCAATGGCTATTCCGATGCCGACCCGGGTGGACAGGGACGCGGCCGGGAAGACGCTGCATTCCCTGATTCCAACGGGCCCGGGGTTTAGATTAACGAGGGAGCACAGGAGGCTGGGCATCGTAGGGTCGGAGTGGCATTGGCTGGCTTATCTGCTGGTAGATGCATCATTGTGATCAGGAAAGCTGGAAGAACATGCGATTCTCCGGCGTCAACAGAATAATCGAGAATAAAATCGAACATAACTAAACCGATTTGCTTATTTAAAAGGTATAGTCACTAATTGATACTCGTAGTCAATCGGATACAATACACCTCACATACACCAGGCCAGAGAAGGTAGAACTTTCGATGCTTGGGATTGCTCTTGATGCATCTTAAAAATTGTCACACTAGAAGAGACTGAATATCGATCTCTTGCCAGAAGAGATATAAGCCAAGATGTTGACTTGGGGTGAAGGAGGCTGAAGAGTTTCCATCCCCACCCCTAACGCCGCCATTCATTGTCCCAGACGTTCATATGCAAATTGCATTTACCATGAAAAACAGCGCGATTGAGGTACTTTTTACTCGAAATACATTCGCATTTTCATGCAGCCACTTCATGGCCAATATGTCCTCTTGTCCCAAAAGGACCAAAAATCAACCAGTGTCCAGGGCGGATCCATCAAGCCCTAGCAATATCTCGAAATCTGCATCGCTGCACAAATATGGACATGAAGGTAATAGAAAATGCTGTCATCCGTCTAACGACCGTGGCCGTGGTGACGGTGTCGCAGCCAGTTACTGCGTCGCTCCATGTAGGGTGCCCCCGATGGTGTCGCCGTCACAGTCGTTGTGGTCACCAAGTCCTCGGTAACATACACAACGGCTTCTTCCCAGATCACCTCCAGGACTCCTCCGGCACTGTTCGTCTTATACTCTGTGGTGACGGGCTCATATGACACACCAGCGTCAGGCGTGCTGGCCGGGGCCGTTGTGGTGACAGGCGAAGGTGTTGCAGACGAGGGAGCACCAGCTGCAAACACTGATACAAATCCAATGTCTGAGTACGAGCTTGTAGTCTCCTCGGCGAAGATCCCACCCCATGTGGATGTACCTGACTGGTAGCTGAGAGTGGGAGCAACGTAGCTGCTGGTCGAAGTTTTCGTGCTGGCGGCAGCGTTGGTACCGGGAGTGGCTTGTTCAGGGCCATACTGAATCTGAACATTGCCTGGGAGTTCGGTCATAACTCCGTCAACCCCGTCGCCCAATACATTCTCCACAGCCAAGCTGGAGGGAGGGTTAATCGTGCACTGTTGTTGTTCGGCTTCGGTCTGCAGATCGAAGAGTGGGCAATCAGACATGAGTCCAGACAGGTTGGTGCACGTCGTCACAGCCTCCTGCAAGAAATCAGGGTCCCAACCGTTGATAAAATCTCCGTGGTAGCCAAAGCCTTGGAATGCCATTAGTCAGTTGATTCAGTCGATGGATATGCTGCCAACTTACCAGTAGGATCGCCATTTGCAATGGTGAAAATGCCATCCTTCCCATAGAAATTATAGGTATCCCAGATGGTCTCGAAGAACAGGGTAGGGAGGCGGACGTCGAAGCCTTCGGGGCACTCGCCATCTTGGACCAGGTCGGGATAGGCTACATGGGACTGGTGATCATCCGAGTCGACATCTTTGCCATTCCAGCAAGCCGGGAAAGCTATCTCGAGCCTCGTCCCATTAAGACAGTTGGCATCCATGTAAGCTTTGTCAGGCATGTAGTGACGGTACAGCGCTCCCTCGGGCGCCTTGTTGTAGTCGAGGCAGTTGAAGCCAATGGAGCGCTGGGCGAGATCGTACTGGTTTGTCTGGTTGAGAGCTGCCCACTCCGATTGAGGAGGATCAGGTTCATCAGCAGTCTGGTCTCCAATGGTGAAGTTGCGACGGTAGTTGGAACCGGCGATCATGCGAAAGTCTTTGGGGAACGCCTTAACATCGGCGACGCCACCGGGACCACGTGGGAGGTAGTAGCTATATATAGTAAATCGTCAGCACTGTTTTACAAATAACAACCTCAGGAAAAAGCATCTTATTCACGATGTTAGGCATGTGAGTAATTAAATTTGTTCCAATGTGAACAGAGAGAAACGGGACCGGTTGACGTATAAAACCATTTGCCTGTGAAGCAGGCCACCCTCCCTAGGGATGGAGAATCGCAAAATTGGTTTGAGTATAAATATGAGTGGAGACTTACGCAAGCATACCGCCGACCTGGGGAACAATCTCGTACGTGCCATCTGCGTGCTTGAAGTACATAGCGGGAGTCCAGTAGGCTGACTTGTCCTGTGTAATAGCGCAGGAGGTGCAGTCACCGTTCATGAGGTCATCGTAGGAGGCAGACTCCGAAAATCCTGAATTGAAAATGGGATTAGCATCTGTTGAATTATACAAGAGATTTGACGATCGCGATGGAGGGCACATGTAGAATTCATGTATAGTCGCGTAGATACCTGTATCTTCACGGGAAGCTTGAAAGGTAATAACTTACCAGAGGATCCGTGAATGGCGTGTGCATGAGCTGCGTCCTCATCAGGGGACATCATCGGATCCATACGCGCCAGTGCCAATCGTCCACGGCACTCCAGGCGCCAAAAGGCTGAAGCCGTGAGTGCTTGGAGGGCAACGCCGGTGAACAGCTGGAACTTCATTGTGTAGATGTTCCGGACGTCGTGATGTAGAGTTTTAGTTAGTCGCCAGAAAGAACGTCCAAGAATCGTTAATATGGAATCAGGGAAAGAAGTATGCCACTTCCTTGATCGCCGAAACGCGACGCGTCAAAGATAAGTCGACGAGTAGTAGGGAAGGAACAAAGGATGTTATGTGGTGATGACCGGAAGAAACGGCAATTTGAAATTTGGAAGGGCTCTTCCAAAATTCCCAAATGAAATCCACGTATTATTGCGGTCAAGATGATGTTGTTGAATGTGGGTGGTACCTCGAACGTCTTGAATGTGAAATAGGACGAGGTCGTCGCTGAGGTGTATGTTGATAGACTCGTCGCCCACCTCGTTCCTCCAGTGAATAGAAACTCAAGATGACTTGACGTAAAATCACGTTCACCAAACAATTTGATATGAGAACTGTTGACTGCCTTTAGCTCTCTCCTCTTTGGTCAAATCCCAGTCAAATGAAGGCGCTCTCGTCCCAAATTTCAACACCCTACAGTGAAATTGAACCACAACCAGTTGTCTAGGCGTGAGTGACGGTGCCCTGATATGTCGCTAACGAAGTCGGTTCCAACTTTTGACAAGATCAAATTTGCTCAGCACTGATATAGTGTTGCTGTGGTGGGAAACCCCAGTATAGTCCTTGGGGAACAACGTCTGGGGGCGAGTGGGTTCAGGTCTTGTAATGGGTATCGTCGTAATGAGGGCTAATTGATCAACCCAGTCATTTGAAAGGTCAAGTATCAAAATGAGCGTATTGGGCAGCTGTCTAATATCCAGGCTGCTTCTTGTCACCAACCACACGGGGGACGCCAAATGAAGGCGAAAATAAATGCGATCAACACAGCAATCAGAAAAGAATGTGTAAGCCACAATCTAGATCGGAGTCTAGTCCAGGTGGTCAGTTTTGTTTTTTGAAAATGAGTGTTGAGACACAAGGTCGAAATGAACGAATGTGTGGTGGTGGTTAGGTGGTAGAGAAAGGGGAAAGGGAGCGGTGTTGGTGGTGAAGGAAAGGGAAGACGGCGCACAAGGGGAGGTGGAGGGACAAATCCAGGATGAGGTCGGACAAGCGAGACATGGGGTTGATCATGTCCTCTCAACCTGTCCGGGGATCCACCTTCCACAACCCGCCTCCATCACCAGAATTGCAAGAAGAGTGGCAGGTGCCACCTGCACTGCTCTTGCCGTCACCCAGTATTGGGGTCTGCACTCGTTTCCAAGCATACACACAGCCTACTGAAGACCACGGAGGCAATCCCTGTCAGGATCCTCAAGCTTGGCACACGAGATAGATTAAGGCCCGGCCCCAAGCAATCGACAGCCGCAAGCATGAGGGGAGGAGTCAAGGGTTGCTGGCCTCTGCAATCTGGGTTGATTTTGCAGTCGGGTTTGCTTATTTGCCCTTCAAAATTCTATGGTGTGTAATCATACATCTGAGCGATGGTCACTTCTGAAAGGTTGTGACAGCCGACGACGCTGGTGAGGCAGGCTTGGCAAGGTACCCTTGCTCCTCCGTCCTGCGTACTCCGTACACTTAGCGTCAGGTACAATTACACCCTGTTCGTCAACGATTTCCCCACATCCGTTGGCCGTCGGGTTGCGAGAATAGTAACACATCTGCCAGGACCCGGCTCGACACACCGCTTCACCGATTGCTTGCCAAGATACAGATTCTGTACATGCTGTGTTGAGAATAAGGTCGTGATTGCCTATTTCCACAGGGAGAGATTCAGGAATGTCTTTTCAGCAAGGAGCCCAGCATTTCTGGGTGCAAACAGCGGATCGCAATCCAACCCATCTCCCGATGATGATGACGACGACCCCTTCTCCTAATTCTAAACAACAGGCCTATATTTATTTCCAACTCCGTTGTGGAGTTTGTCGCGTAAACTACCATATGGCCCGCTCCAGCATTAAATGTAATTCTGTTTGCTTTACGAAGCCGTTTGTGGCTGTGATACGTCAATGATGAAAAAATAGGTGTCTTGATATTGCAGCAGAGCCACGAGTACCCAAATGAAATCTCCGAGCCAGAGACAGAAACAGCTGTCAATCGTCCATCGCATTCCGGGTCCTCATGGAACCCTAGGACAGAATTCGGCGTCGCCTTCTCCGTTCCCATTACACGGCATTGCCATCTCATCTCCAGGTCATTTCAGCATTCGCATCAGGGCCAGTGACTACGCTCATCGTGCACCTAATCGTGCCACAACTCGCTTGATGAAGTGCGCTGCATTGGTGTGCGTTGGTGTGCGTCTGTGGGCGGTGGCGTGAGTAGTAGGAGATCGTGTTGGCGCTGCAGCTGCCCTGAATCGAGCCCTGCTGGTCATCGCACAGCTAATGCGCTCGACTAGCCATTGGCTGCGATAAAGGGGCTCGTGGCCATCCACACCTGTTTGTTGCACGACATCGTGCAGCGCGCAAAGAGCTGAGCATCACGAAGCATTAGCATTGGAGATACAGGACTGCTGACAGAGAAGGGGGAAAGGGGAAGAAGGGATGAGGACTAAAAGCAGGGTCTAGGAGGATCGACTAAGGATATCAGGGGTTAGAGCTTGCGAAACACGTTTCAGCAGATGTTAGCATCTGCCTTATGTCCAATCACATCAGTTACACTAGGGTGGCAATTGCCATTTCAAGAAACGGCTGCGCCAACGTACCAATCATTCCTACATGTCAATTAGCTTCGCCGGAGACGCTTGACAGGGGCTCTAGGCTACCATTCTCATCTGGGACTGGGGGCCGGCCATTCGGAGCCTCCCAAGGAACACCTTGAATGCATGGAAGTTCATAAATCTGACCTGCAAACCTGGCATCCAAATTGCGCTGTGCCTCATTAACCGCCGCAGTTAAGTCATCTCAAAATCTGACGATAAGTATGCGAAGGCATGCGAAGGATGTATCGCCATTCCCAGCAGATCCTGCTGTTATTCTCATGAGGAGACTGTCTTGCCAGCCTAGTGCCGATCGCCAAGACATACCAAATTTAATTAGCCTTGTTGTGTCGAGAGTGGTGGAGGTGGGACATTGACGAGCAGATGAGCACCTGGGCAGCTCACTTCTAGAGGCGTGCAGATTCTTAGCGTATTGCAACCTCCATAACACATGGTTTCTAACTCGGGTTTCAGTGTACTAAGGGTCACAATATCCTTGTCCAAAGAGGGGTACCTGAATACTCACATAACTGGTATGAGTTGATCAATCACTTAATATGGAGCATTTCACACCCTCACAATCTGCACGCCTGGAGAGATGTATTTCGGCCAAATTATTATCACGTACCACATTGCGCACATGTTAACAAAGTGCAAAGCAGATGCTTGCTGATCCACCAAGATAAGATGGGCCGTAGATCACCATGACCGAGACCACGCGAAAATCCAAAGCAATGAGCCGCTGCGCGATGCGCTGTAGATTGTTGTTTGCGTTGGACAACTCACATAGCCCTTCGGCCCGGATTGCCCTCGCACGACTTCAAAATGATCCCATTAACCTCCTAGATTGGCAGGATTTGGCGGCATCGACTGGCAGCATCGACTGGCATGAAGGAGCAGCCGCCTTTCCCCTTCGCCAGTTACGAACAAATCTCAAACAAATTTAAGCATATCAACATGTTTATGTGGTGTCTTAAGCGTCAATGTTTCGAATTCAGGCACATCCTGGGAAGAGGAATATGATTGCTCGGCTGGGTACTCCCGTCCTCAAACCGTTCCTGTATGATTGACAGGGGCCTCTAGAGAGTAACCGACAACGGATCTACAGATCTCAAAAAAGTAATCTGAAGTGAAAGTCACGTCGATAGCAATTCTAAAGGATCCAGTGAATGTCTCGTCGCATAGACTAGAAAACCCTGGCTTTCCTACTTAGGGCGCTTCTGGATTGGCACTGATGTTCAACTATTTCTTCCAGAAAGGGCTAAGAAGTACGAGGTGTTGCAATTGCGACGTTAGAGTCTACAGCACTGGACAATGACATAGGACGAACAATATGGTGGCATCCGAGAATTCCAAACCACCTGAACCAGTTCTACGAGTCATTCAGCTGCCACTGGAATAATTACCGTCAGATGAATCGAGTTCTCTACTAGTCATTCGATGACCAATCTTGATTGGATAGGTTTTTAGTCCCCACTGCGTCTTCAATGTTTGGAGGGATACTGGCCAAAGCGCACGGGCTCTAGGGTAGCCCGTGGAAGCGCTTGGTTGAGCAGGTAACTTCAACTCCGTAGTAGAACGGAAACAGAATGAAGACCAGATTCAATTTGGTTATGAGAATACATGCAACCTGATCATAGAAAATCCTCTTGTTGCAACCGCATAAAAAACAATGAACGTCGCTGTCTAGCATATTGCTACTTGGGCAATCAACAGTTATTGCCAAGACGAAAACCAATTGCACGGGTTGCAATTGAAGTGTCCCAATTTGGATGATTATGAGGCTGGGGTGGTTCAAGCCACATATTCAGCTTCGGCGGGCCAAGATATGGAGCCGCTATCGCTGCGATAGATGCGGCTCGTTGTCCACAATGAAGTTGCAACCAAAGTCAACACCTCAAAGGGCAACCCCCAGCATGATACTACGGCGAAGTTGAAATGAAGCCGGGATATCGATATCTACGCAACCATGGATGATCTTGCAGGGCTCGATTGGTCATCGACCAATTCGGCTAAGGCTAGCAACAACAAGCCCCCGATTATGAACCAGCCGCCCGCCTTTTACCCATCTCTACGCCTGACCCCGTCTCCCCAGGTCTCCGGGCGCAACACTCCGCTTTCGAGCCAAGGCTCTGGCCTCACTGCACCGAAGCCTGCGACTTCGAAACCCGCCGCCGACAGCTTCAGCAATCTGGTATCCTTTGGCGGAGCCAAGAGCAATGTCAACCTCAGCCTCCGCGAACGGCAGGAGCAGCTGGAGGCCGAGAAGCGCCGAAAGGAGGAGGAACGGCGGAAGCAGATGCAAGCGCAGTATGGAGGAGGACAATTTTGGGATACTCTAGGCCAAGGCTCTGCCAGTGCGTCGCGGACCACATCACCCGCCCTTCCGCTTAGCAGTGGTGGGGTAGGGGTCAACCAGAATGGACACAAGAAAGATGATGACGACGACCTGTTTGCGGCATTCAACAAAGACACCAAAGTCGACAATTCGAGTCATTATCCCCCGCCGCTTCAACCACAATCAGGAAAGAACACGTCTGCACCTGCCACCAAGCTTGACCTCGGCAGTGCTAGTACATGGAATCAACCTGCAACATCGGCCGGAGTGGACTTTGGCGACGATGATGATCCGTTTGGACTCAACGAGATAAAGCCTAAGGCAACTCAACAGCCGACCTCTTCCACCGCAGATGAAGACGATTTCTTGGGCGATCTGGGGAAGCCAGTTGAAGAAGTACGACGGAAAGCACAAGCTTCACAGCCGAAGCTAGAGCCTGGCAAACCCATAGAAGACTCTGATTCAGAGTCCGAACCCGAGATTGCGCCTACTCAGCCCTCAAGACGTGGAGATGATGATGACCCCTTTGACAAAGCTATTGCTGAGTTGGTGGATATGGGCTTTACCCCTGAGAACGCCAGACGTGGTTTGACAGAAAGTGGTGCTGGGCTTAATGTCCAAGCAGCTATTGGTTGGCTCTTGGACGATGCACACCAGACGGCACAGCATAAATCAACGCCCAGGGATCCGCCCGTTAAACAGAGCAGACCGAGAGACAATGCTGCGCGTTCGAGGAATAAGGGAAGCCCCGCCTGGATGAAAGAAGACCAACCCGATCTTTCTCCACGCAGAGACAACAGATCCCCGGCTTCTGGAGGAGCTGATATTTCACAAAAAGCTGCAGCTGTGGGATCAAGCTTCTTCAAGACGGCCAATTCATTGTGGAAGACTGGACAAAAACAAGTTCAAAAAGCCGTGGCCGAATTCAATCAAGAAGGTGGAGATCCCAACCAGCCCAAATGGATGCGGTCAACTCAGCAGGATCGAGGCCATCCGCCTAAAAAGCAAACCAAGGATGTGACGGATGAAGCTATGCTCCTCGAATCGGGCATGCGACCAGAAAAACCAATATCTCGGCCTTCAAGAGAGCCTCAGGTGGGTGCCTCTCGGGATCGATCTATTGCCTTGCCCACGCGACCAAGCCAACCATCGGCAGTGCCCAAGTGGCAACAATCATATGAATCGTCACTTGATCCGCGATTGCGTCTCAATAAACAAGCCGTCGAAGAGCAAAGTGCACAGGCATATGTCAGCCCGGCACGAAGAAAGAAGATACCATCACAGCCTCCTCCTCCAACTGAGCCCGAGCCAGATCTTCTATTCAACCCTATAGTTGCCGCACCTCCGCAGTCTCGGCCTCAACAACCTCAACCTTCTCCATCACTGTCAAAACCTTCTGGCCAGCCGCCTTCGCACACCATCACACCCAGGCCGGCCGCGCCGGTCAGACAGATACCCACCGTCTCCCCTTCGGTTATCCAGGCATCCACACGGCATCGACTTGATGGAACAGCACACTTCAAGCGTGGCGATTACGATGCGGCACACATCTCCTACTCCAATTCGCTGAATGGCATCCCGCAAAAACACCCACTTTGCATTGTACTCCTGACTAACCGTTCACTTACGGCTCTGAAAACCGGTAGTCCCAAGCAGGCTGTGGATGATGCAGATGCTGCGCTGGGAATCATTGGACCGTCACGTGGGGAGGGCGAGAAAATAGCGTTGGGTGAGGGAGAACATCGGGAGATGAAAGACCTTTACGGCAAGGCGCTTAGCAGGAAGGCAGAAGCTCTCGAGCAAATGGAGAAGTGGGCTGATGCCAGTAACGTGTGGCAGTTATGTGTCGAAGCCGGAGTAGGTGGGGCCACTGCCACTGCCGGCCGCCAGAGGTGTCAAAAGGCTCTGGCCCCGAAACCCAAACCGACTCCAAAGCCAGTGCAAGCTGCGAGGCCGCGCCCAACGCCTTCTGCAGTTTCTGATCTAGGTCCGCAAAAGAGTTACGAAGCTGTTGAGCGACTTCGAGCCGCGAACAAGGCGGCGGAACAAGCCGATGATGAAAAGTTCGCACTGAGTGAGAAGGTTGATGCCCGTATCTCAGCGTGGCGAGACGGAAAGAGAGACAATCTTCGGGCCTTGCTAGGAAGTCTCGACCAGGTACTTTGGGAGGGCAGTGGGTGGAAGAAGGTCGGCTTGCACGAGCTGGTAATGGCAAATCGGGTCAAGATTCACTACATGAAGGCCATCGCCAAGTGTCATCCCGATAAGGTGAGTTCCCGTCTCTGAACTTGTGGAAATGATTATGCTAACTGTGAGTTAGCTACCACAAGATGCCAGCACAGAGGTCAAACTCATTGCTGCTACGGTTTTTGCGACGTTGAATGAGAGTTGGGATAAGTTCAAGGCAGAAAACGGCCTGTGAGCTTCGCGATGACGGAAATGTTGTAGATGACATGCATAAGTGACACAGACATAGATACGAGTTGATGACCTGCCAAATAGAGCGATGACCATGAAAACCTTCACCATGTCACGAATATGGATATGAGTAATGAAGCCTTGCCAGCCGTCATCGGAGGCGAACCACTCATAGGAAATGCTGCCCGAGCTGTACTGCCAGACATCTTTCTCTGTGTCCCATGGCACCCGCCGAGCCGGATACTCTGATGTTCGCATATGATGGTCTTTCAAGAACCATGAACAATGCCAGGCAGGCCGACATATCCGTCTCCCCGCAAATCCGGCAAGAGCTTACGTTATCTGCAATTGCCAAAAAAGGGGTAGTCCTTCTGTCGTGAATACAAGGTCACCAGAGACCTGGATGAATCAGCGCACGACAGTAGCAGGTTACATCATAGCCACTACCCCAGACAGGGTCAGCATGCGCGCCAAAGCAGATCCTTTCGCTATTGAGCCTCTCGGAAGCGCCTCGGACTACCGCATCTGGCAGACCGTAACTCTAGATCCACTTTTTGGGTCTCTGGTTATTCATTTCCTTAATGTTGAGGCTTGGTTTGCTATTCCCCTCAAACCCAAGTAATGCTGAGGGATCTGCAAGTTGTATGCATAGATGCGGAGAAGGCCAACCATGGTGTCGGAGCGTTCTACATTGCATACTCTAGCGCTTATTCTTCTAGACGAGGAAGGTGGCGTGACTCGTTCAGTTAGTCGTCTCATCACCCGATTCCATCCAAACCTTTGGCCATGTGGGGGATGAACCTTACTCACTCGCCAATTTCTGTATACATTGTAGACAGTTGTTCGACAAACGTTCGTCCGGTAATCTCCTTCTATCGTCATTACCCACATCGGCTTGTCCCCGTAAAACTGGGAGCGGGGTTGGAGAGTTTGGGCAATCCTTACAGGTGATGATCACTATAAATGTTATTCGAGAGACCCCATCGTTTCGGTAGTTACTAAATCGGCCATGATTGGAATGCAATGGTACCCACTAGCATTAGTTTCCCGGGGCCTGTATAGCAGCGCCAGATATTGACCTAGAACCAACAACCTGCCGTATAAGACAGGAGGCATACACACAGCATACAAATAAAACTCTTTCCCACCTTTTTAATTTGAGCCACCGTTCTCTCGCCTATTCCCCAGACTTCGAGGAGGTCGTCTCTAAGATATTCAAGGTCTAAGCCGACCGGATCGTAGTTGGCCACGAGAGCTGTCAACCGGTTTTCACACCTTGGTCTTCACGAATCATCTACATGACCACTGCTACCCGCCCTCCATGAAGCCGTTCTTTGGCCTACGAGGCCAACAACTCAACTACGCCGTAGGCATAGTAGCAGGATGTGATTTCCTGCTCTTTGGTTATGGTCAGCATCCCCCTCCCCCCTCTTTACCATTGCATATTCCTTCACTTTCACATTACTTACTCAAACAACATGGAATATCTAACCTCAACATATGTTTAGACCAAGGCGTGATGGGTGGCGTCCTAACCCTGCCCAACTTCCTCTCCTTCTTCCCCTCCATCAACCCCTCTGCCGAGGGCCTCACACCAGCCGAGCAATCCACCCGCTCCACCAACCAAGGTATCGCCGTCGCCTCCTATAACCTAGGCTGTTTCTTCGGCGCTATCCTCACCATCTTCATCGGAAACCCCTTGGGCCGGAAAAGGATGATTATGCTCGGTACCTCCATCATGATAATCGGCGCCATTCTCCAAGCCTCGGCTACTACACTCCCGCATTTTATTCTGGGACGCATTATCACGGGGTTGGGAAACGGCGGGAATACGTCCACGGTCCCGACGTGGCAGTCCGAGGCGTCAAGGGCGCACAAGCGGGGCAAACTGGTCATGGTCGAGGGGGCGCTGATTACGGGCGGGATCATGACTAGTTATTGGGTTGATCTGGGCATGTCGTTTACGGCGCCGAGTAGTGTTTCGTGGCGGTTCCCGCTCGCGTTTCAGATTGTGTTTTGTGTTTTTATACTGGCGTTTATTTGGGGACTGCCGGAGTCGCCTAGATGGTTGATTTTGAAGGGCCGCGAGGACGAAGCGAGGGTGGTGCTTGCCGCGCTCGCGGATAGAGAGGTGGAGGACAAGGAGGTTAGGAATGAGTTTATCGAGATCAAGGATACGGTGGTCGAGATGAGTAAGGGGACCTTTGGGGATTTGTTTACCATGGATAAGGACAGGTTCGTGCTTCACGCATTCGGGGAGGATGTTGCTATGGGAGAGTGAAAGGGGAAACTGACGCCCATCTAGAAACCTCCATCGCACTCTCCTGGCATACATCAACCAGATGTTCCAGCAAATCTCCGGCATAAATCTCATTACTTACTACGCTGCGGTCATATACAAAGGCCTGGGAATGACCGATTTCATGTCTCGTCTTCTGGCCGCTCTCAACGGAACCGAGTACTTCATCGCCTCCTGGCCGGCGGTGTTCCTAGTCGAGCGCGTGGGAAGGAGAAAACTCATGCTTTTCGGTGCCGTGGGGCAAGCGGCCACCATGGCGATCCTGGCCGGGGTGAACTCGAGGTCCGAGACCGGGTTCCAGATTGCGGGCATAGTGTTTCTATTCGTGTTTAACACCTTCTTTGCCGTTGGTTGGTTGGGCATGACGTGGTTGTATCCGGCGGAGATTGTGTCCTTGAGGACTAGAGCACCTGCGAATGCTTTGTCCACATCTGGTAAATCCTCCCCACCTTCTTCCTAATCACACCATAAATGTTGGATCGGCGTGGATGCTGTGTATTTGTGCGTACGTTTGGACCAGCTAACAACTTGCTCTTACAGCGAACTGGATCTTCAATTTCCTCGTTGTTATGATCACCCCCGTCGCCTTCAACAGCATCGGCTACCAAACCTACATTATCTTCGCCGTTATCAATGCCTTCATGGTCCCCAGCGTCTACTGGTTCTACCCTGAGACCGCGTATCGTTCCCTGGAAGAAATGGATTCCATTTTCCACAAGGTGAAAGGCACGTCGGGTTATTTTTCGGTTGTGAAAGTAGCTCGTGATGAGCCGCGGAGATATGGAAAGAATGGGGACTTATTAATTGATTATGAGAAGACGGAAGAGCACAAGGGGCATATGATGCACAACGAGGTTGGGCCTGTGGCTGGGGATGAGACGGTTTAGTTGGGGGTGGGGAAGAGTTTGCCTCGTTTTCGACGCCTTTGACTCGAACTTCTAAGCGCTACCTGGAGAAGTAAGTCCAGAGGAACTTGCCCGGTAGCTCTGTTGTGTAAGGGTGTAAGAGCCAACTCTGTACAATAACCATTGGACTTCATACTCATAGATTCTGAATGACCGGCTTCGTTGGCTTGCAGGTGCCGGGTGTCCGTGTCTGGGTCTGGATCTGGCGATATGTGTTCAGTGCGCGCTACAATACCATTGTGCTTCGGGTTTGATTTTTCATTGCCGGCAGCAAACACCATGCGAAGCTCCCGAACAATACTTGTGAATACCATATTTGAACCGAAACTCCTTGCTATGTTGCATGAATCAAACGTCAACTCCCCTCCCTATCTACCACCAGCCGTAGTTGATATCGAATCAACGTCTCATGAGCTGCGGAAGTAATAGTAGCAGCCCGTCTAGAAGTCTTAACTGCCACCTCCCATCTCCACATCAATTCGAGGGTCATGATCGTCGCCGTCACCATCCCCGCTTGTCCTTCCGAAGACTGGGTCGTCATCACAGTCCATAAATTCTTCTTCCACCCTCCATCCTCGAACAATCCAAGAGATCCAGAACTCCGATCTACAGCCCCAACATCCGCCTAACCCCCTCGCGCACCTTCTTCTCATAGTCAGGTCTCCGATCCCTCCACATCTTGGCCGCCTCCACATTAGCAGGACTCTCGTCGTTGGGCTCAGCCAGCATGCTCATAACGCTGATCAGAATCTTCTCGACGCTCTGTATGGGGCTCCATCTTTCGCTCGCATGCTCGTAGTGGTTGGGGTCGTCACCGGGCGGGTGCAAGATTGAGATGCACACCAACCCCGTCGGGTAGACGTTGGGGTGGAATATCTCGCCGAGGAACTTCATGCTGGGCGGGGCTAAGGGGTAGTCCTTGGGGAATTTCAACTCTGCGGGGAAGATGCCGCCTTCGAAGGGCGTGCCTTCGGGGCCTTGGATTAGGGCTTCCCAGTGCAACAGGTCGTCTTCGGAGACGGGACCGGCGGTTATGCCGTCGGGCGGGTTGTTGGTCAGGGCGCGGTATTCTTGGAGGAGGCGCCGATGGGCGGTGGATTGGGCCATGGTGGGTGGGTGCCGGATGGATGAAGTTATATATTCTTTCAAGACAGGCGAGTTGGTGGCTGTTTCAAGAATAGACAATGTCTAGCAACTTCCCATCACATGTGTTGCAGTTGGTTCAGAACAAATGGCGGGGATGACGTTGACTCCAGAATCCGGGGCGAGTTTTGCCGATCTTTAAGCGCTGCAGGAACGAACCTCAGCGCTCCAAGCTTCAGTCCAATCCAAGCTTGTTGCTCGTGCGCTCAGTTCCAGATGAGGCCCGACTATGCCTCCACGAATGCCATTGAGGCCCACTGGGGTATCTCATGCTGTCCTCAGGAAACCCGCTGCGAGTAGGGACCAGTCCGTGTGCTTGTTTTGTTCCCTATCGAGAGGTTCCAGACCTACGCCGACGCTGACGCCGACACGCCAGCCGAAACGAAAAGCACTGCATCACTATCGCTTGGAATCCACCGTCAATACTAATGCTACGTCCGATGCACGGAAGGAACTGGAAGATGCATTGGTCGCATTGCAGAAACATGCAGCCAATTATGTAAATTTGTCGAGAGTACAACTCGCCCTCAATGGCTTGCGACAGAAGCCGGGCACAGAGTCTGTACGGGTCGCCATATTGGGTCTTACCAATGGATCTGAGTCTGGAAAGACGGCGAAAGAAGTGCTGAAACTCCTTCTAGCCGACCCGTTGAAGTCCGAAGAAGACTGGGAGAGAGAGGTGGAAGGCCATAATCTTGAGCAACCCATGATCGTACGGGTTGGTGCCGAGGAACCGCAGCAGTTGGGCACTCTGTCGTTGACCAAGGGGAACTTGTTGCACGAGGTCAAAGTTTCTTCAGCAACTCTCAACGGGAATAGCTTGGAGTTTCTGCTCATGGAGACAAATCTATGTGCTTCGGCGCCAGAACAGGGGTCACTAGGAGGATTTGAGGATTCGGTATTGGTCCCGACGGTCGATATACCAACATCTAGCACGGGGAGATATACGCCTATCACGACGCCTGTGCACAAAGCTCTCATAGTCGCCGACGGAATCATGGGTGCAGCATCGGTGGCGTCAATACCCATGCTCACAACCGAGGGCAGCGTCGCAGCGGCCGTCAACCTACCCGAATACAAGCCAACCGACGAATCAGCACTACCGTTTACTCCAGTAGATGTCGGAACTGCAGGTATCGGTCTAGGTCTCATTCGAAGAGATTTAAAAGACGCTATGCAGTACGAGAATCTCTGGTTCCAGAGTAACATACCAAGGCTGGTCGAGTGGCTGAAAGCTGATGTCATGTCCACGGCTGATCATGTTACTAAGCCACCTGTTCGGCGGCTCATCGCATCAATCCTCCAAAACGCTGCGGCGTCAATTGAACGTGAAGAAACACATCGGCTTTCCGCGTCGCTAACAGCAGCAGCAGCAGGCCCTACTGTTGCACGCTTGAAGATGGGACTCGCAGACTGGGCAGAATTTGCGCACACCGAGCTCCAAGAAGAGCTCGATATGGCATTTGCAAGCCGGCGATGGCGCAAACTGGGCTGGTGGAAGCTATTCTGGCGCGTCGACGACGTCAGCATGCTGACCAGTGACATTCTCAACCAGCGGTTCCTTCCCGCATCAGAAAGAAGTGTCATTTTTCTTGCCGGGCGGATGGAAGAAGCCGGTGTTTCCCTGAGCTCTTCGACATCCCATCCCGATATGTCACCAGCCGAATCTCAGTCAGAAAATGGCGTAACGTCGACAGCTACCCCAGATCCCTCCGCACAAGCCGCCTCCGGCTGGCCAAGCAACATTCCATCCACACGAGCCTACCTCCAAAATGTAACTATACCCGCTCTCCAAGCTTTAGCCCAGAAGCTCGTCATGCAAACTTTTAGCACCTCGGGCCTGACCACATCCCTGGGCGCTCTCGCCTACTTCGGCACCCTGACGACGGGCATCTACGAGGCTGGTGCGGTGGCCGCGCTGGGAATCATCTGGAGCCTGCGGCGTATGCAGAAGCAATGGGAGACGGCGCGGGAATATTGGGAAGGCGAGGTTAGGGAAGAGGGCCGCAAGGCAGTCCAGGGGGTGGAAAGGACCGTGGGTCGAGTGTTGGAACAGAAAAGCAAGGGGGGGGGCGGCTCCCAGGAGGGCAGAGAAGATATCCAAGATGCGCGGGACTTGGTGGAGAAGGCCAGGGAGGCTTTGGAGAGGTTGGAATAGGACAGGTAGGACGAATACGGAGAGCCGCGGTGTAGACTACTACCACCTCTCTCATCCAAGTAGATGAGAATGGCACAATACCCGTACTGTAACAATTTCACTAAGGTTAGATTTGCAAACCCCTACAATGACTTTAATTTCAAGCCGTAAAGTTTCTATAGTGGTTCTCTCGATGTAGACGGGGGGACTTCACGGCACTTGGAACCCCAGCTTCGTCACTTTACCTGTGTTGGCAATCCACCCCGAGTAGCTGCCAGTGCGTGATAGTGAACAGACCACTAGGCCTAAGGCTAGAAACATGCTTTGCTTGCCTCACTCTAATGGTTTTGTTCGCAGGTTTCTGTGTACAACGGGCCAACGAACGCTCTCAACCCTGCAGGACAGATGCGGGAAGGTACGCCTTGGCGGGATTTCTGACAGGGCCCAGCAATGACAATTCAAGCAAGCGGTCAGCTGTTGACAACCAATTGCACACCGACACCACCGACACCGAGGCATCCGTGCACCGCCACAACTGAGCCCCTCGATTTGTCCCCTAATCCTAACGATCCTAACGTGCATCCTCATCCGATGGGGACTCGACGTGTTAGAGACTTAGACTGTCAATTATCCTCAACTTGTTGTACCATTCATTATCCGCTTCAACATATCACAGCTCCAATAAGCGTGGAATTTCCTAGTTAACATTTTCTGATGAGGATATCATGAGGTGACGGGATAGTTATTTTTTTCCTTTCGCGTCAAGCCAGACTAAGTCATTCATTTTTTACCTTGGTTATTTGAGGTGGTCTTGTCCAAGGTCCATGGATAGAGTCTCGTCGCCCTCGTTTCACCCGACAAACATGGCTCGAAGGTGGGCGCGTCGCGCCGAACGATACTGCTGCAATTGTATAACGTACCTGCCGCTGGCCTTTGTGTACGGCTTGACGACGTGGGCCGCATGGGTGGTGGTTAGCATAGGAAGTAATCCGTCGAAGTCAAGTTGGATAGGTATGTTCGCACCCGTCCCGGGTCTGCATTTGATGCGCCTAGCTCCACGGGTATCACAAAGCTTCCCACAGGCATCTCTGCGTGATGGAGCACAGCTCTAATATGATAATGCGCTATAGGAACCAACTCCTCGATCGGTGGCGTCCTCCTCTACTCCCTCCTCAACTGGTCTTACACGACGGCCGTCTTCACGTCGCCAGGCAGCACCACCAACACCAACGGCTACTCGACTCTCCCGACGAACGCCCCGCCCCAAGCGACTTCCTTCACCGTGAAATCCAACGGCGAGATACGCTTCTGCAAGAAATGCCAGGCGCGCAAGCCGGACCGTGCGCACCACTGCAGCACATGCAGGAGATGCGTGCTCAAGATGGACCACCACTGTCCCTGGCTCGCCACGTGCATCGGCCTGCGCAACCACAAGGCCTTCCTGCTGTTCCTCATCTACACGACGCTCTTCTGCTTCTACGCCTTCGCCGTTTCGGGGTCATGGGTCTACGCTGAGCTGCTGAGCGAGACGCAGTACGTGGAGACGATGATGCCCGTCAACTACATCATGTTGGCCGTGGTCTCTGGTATCATTGGGCTGGTGGTGGGCGCGTTTACGGGATGGCACATCTTACTTGCTTGCAGGGGCCAGACGACCATCGAATGCCTGGAGAAGACGCGCTATCTTTCCCCGCTGAGGAAACAGCTGCTGCATCAGTTCAATGCGCAGCATAATGGGGAGGGCGTAGATCTACCCAAGTATGGACAGCAGTTACTCGATATCCACGCCAATGCCCTACCAGGAGTGACCCGGCCGGAGGAGGGAGAGGTCCGTGTCAGTATGGATGGAAGCAGCCGGGACGACCCAGCGCCACGACATCTGTCGTACGAAGAATTGGAGCGATACCGCTCCCGGAAACGTTATGAGGAGTACTTGGACGAACAAGATTCGGAAAGACTGCCGAATGCCTTTGATCTGGGCGCAAAAAGGAACTTGCTGCATCTATTCGGGCCCGCTCCTTTGTATTGGCTCTTACCCATCATCAACACCACCGGCGATGGCTGGGCCTGGGAAGCGAGTCCCAAATGGCTCGAGGCACGGGAACAAATCTCGCGAGAACGGGATCAACAGAGGCAAAGGGAAGCAGCGGCAGGGTGGGGCTGCGCGGAAACGCCTACTTTCGTGTCGAATCGGGATTACACCCCCGAAGACGTGGGAGTTACCCGGACCTACCTCGTTTCGCCGCCGCCGTCCCATTATGGAAGGAAAACGCCGTCCAAGGCGGACCGCGTCCTCGGTCGGGATCCGAACCTGTACGCCGATGAGCCGTCAGGGTCGGTTTCGATGAGGAAGCTTAACTCGATGGGGACGGACATCGAGGATGATTACGATACGAGTAGTGACGAGGAAGAGGCGGAACACAGGGCTCTGAACCTGGTCACGAATGGCGGTTGGGCCAAAAGCGGTGCCAGTGGGCTGCTACGGAAACCTTCGAAGCAGGCGGGGTCGGCTACGAGTTTGTCCGGGCGGGACGATGAGGGGGTGGATTGAAAGATTAGATGAAAGATACTGTGTTTGGATATACGTGTGACGGATAAATGGGCGTGGGCGTATGACTTCTTCTTTCTGATGAACGGGCATCTTTTGTAACGAGGATATACCACTTCTGCATGGTCCAGGCGTTCGTTCTTGTCTGTCTGCCTGCCCGTCTGGTCGCATCGTTCTGGGTTTGTCCGTCTGTCTTGCGCACGAGAGAGCGAAGAACTGTGAGAGAAAAAAAAGGGGCCATTGGCAGGGAGGGACGGGATTTGAACTTGATAAGTAAACTACAACAGATGTTATAAGATACTCTTAGAAGCCTATCTGTAGCTGGTTTGCTTGAGCTTGTTTTGTTTGGGGTTCTTCTGAATGACTGTCGGCCTTTCAATGGTGTGTAAGGTGTATACCGTACGGGAGAGGCCATGCTCGGAATAGGGGCTGGGTAAACGGAGTTTTAGATGGACCAAAATGCCGAATATGAGAGCAAATATCATGAATAACCACAGCAATGAGTTGGACACGGGCTTCGTATGCTGGAATGATTACTTGGAAAAATTTCTGTACGCTACGCCATTCATTATTATTACAAACTCCCTGTTGTGTGTGTGCACTCTCAACTATCAACGCTCGTCATCACTGCTTCCCTCCCCCTTAACCAAAGTCTCCGCCTTCCTAACCTCAACCCTTTCACGCGCCACCGACCCCGAATCATCCTCATCATCATCATCCTCCTCATCACTCGGCAGTTCGTCGACGCCCTCTACATCAGCGTCATCAGTATCATCAACCCCCTGCCCCTTAGCACCAACCCCCACACCGGGCTTCCTCTTCTTCTCGAAATCCTGCCTATGCGCCTGCGCCATAATCTTCCTTATCGTCCCGCCTGCCGTGAGGATGGCATCCGACCTCCTCCGTCTCCTCAGTCCGCCTTCTTCGGGTGTCCCCGCTGTTGCTGCTGCTGCTGCTGTTGTACCGGTTGCGGTGGCGGTGGGGCTCTCGTTCATTCCCACGACTTGGTCACGGTTGCGCTGCACTGAGCTAGCTGTGCCAACGTCGACGGAAGTCGCCATCGTCGCCGCTCGTTCCTCGTGCCGTATCCGCGAGGTAACGCGTTTCGCGCCCTCATCCCTACTGCCGGTGCTTGCTCGTTCGACCAGCAGGGGTTCATGTCCGTCGACGTCGAGGCAGTAGGGGAGCGGCACGTCGCGACTCGCTTTGTATTGAGCGACGTTACCGCAGTGTTCGTTCTCCACGCGCAAGAGGACCCAGGCGCCACGGCGGGAGACCTCGGCTAGCGCGACTAAAAACGAGACAGCAGTGCTGTGCTGCTTGTCATGGGTAAAAATCGCGTAGAAGATCCAAGCGAATCGCAAGATGGGATCGATAGTCATGATGAGGTAGTACACCCACCTGCGCTTCAACGCGAGGATATCCCTAAGAAAGGGGTGTCTTGAGTCGGGCTGCAGGAGGGAAAAGTCCATGAGCAGGTCCCAGACGGAGCAGTAGATGGAATTGACGATGGAGAAGGTGGCGAAGAGGGCGAGGTTGGAGGTGGTGCCGTTCATGCGGTAGAGGGAGAGTGTCACGGCCGCCATGATGGTCATGCTGTACTTTCCGCAGTTGACGAGGTGCGGGAATACGTTTTTGGTGTCGGCGTAGCGGCGGACGCACTGCAGGGCGCGCCAGATGGGAGGAAGGGCGGAGAAGAAGCCCAGGAGGCGGGAGTGGTTGGAGTTGCATTGCGTAGGGTTGGACCAAGAGTGGGCGTAGAGGCAGAAGAAGAGTTCAATGTTCTGTTAAGATGTTAGAGAGGGGTTGTTGTAGAGTCAACGGAAGGAGCGCACGTACGCAGGTTGCATAGGTGAGTGAGCAGTAAATATCACCCAGGAAGAAGTCCCGGAACTCGACGGGGTATAATCCTGCGAAAAACAGTCGATACTGTGACTGGTCAGCACTTTTGTCTGCTGAAAGTACGCAAAAGACTTACATGGGCATACGCAAACCACCTGCGACTTCTATGGCCCAACACCGGAGCCGGCAGCAGGATAAGCACCAGCGTTAAGAATATCAAAACGACAGGGTAGTAGAGATACATCTCCGGCGCCCCGTAACGGGTGAAGTTGAGCCATATGCATATACCTAAGAGCAGCAGGCAAAAACTGGGGAACTGGGAAAGCTCCCTCCAATCCAGGGTATGGCGTGCGTCAAATTCAAAAATGAACTGGTAGTTGACCTTGTTGGCGGCCCAAATGTAGCAGTTTATGCAGAAAAGAGAGAAGAGGAACAGCATCAGGAAATAGCCGCCGTAGATTTGCATCAGATAGATGGTATGTTCCCGCACGACTGGATCATCGTCGAAGAGCAGCTGGGCTCCATAGACCAGACCTTGTAGTGTAAGTACCGCACCTGTGGAATTTGTTAGTATTCCCATTTTAGGGGATTTCGGGCAGGGCGAAGGGGGTGGGGGTAGTTGGGTTCTGAATTGACAGTTGTGTCGGCCCTCAAGAGTATGAATAAGTCATCCGAATTCTTGAGACCACCAACAGCCAGAAAACGGGTTGGAAAACTCCACAAAACATACCTGTACCGATGAACAGCCCATTGAGAAACGTACTCCCCGACTCGTCCCCCGGCCTCCTTGTCGCCCGACGCAGCTTCCCCGCGGCAACCTTATGATTCCCCTTCTCAAAGTACCTCGCATACAAGTCCTCAACGGCCGTGATATGACCATCGACAATATCGCTGTTGACAAACCACGACTTATTGACCTTGTCGTTCATGTAACGGTACGGTGGCTTAGCGCCGACAGCCTTGTCGTACTTCTTGTTCAGCTTGCGAAACGCCGTCCGGTTTAGCAGTGCGAACGCCTTAAGCAGCTCCAGTCCACGGTAGAACTCCTGCAGCGCGAGTTTCAGCTTGCGCTTCGCCGTCCGGTACGGCACATTATGGTCGTGAGGGCGTCGGATGTAGTCTTGTCTTGCGTCACCGCCCATGGCGCCGGACACAGGCGTTCGGGGCATTTTGAGGAGAGCCTTTGAGTTCGGGCCTGGCTTGAAGATTTTGGATTTGATGGGGTCGATCCAGCCGACGCTGCTTTCGTGAGCCACGGGTTTGCCGTCGCGGTTGGTTTTGTTTTCGTCTTTGCTGTCGGTTCCTCGCTCTTTCCGCCTCCTGATTTCGGCTAACTCCTCGGTCCTTCGATTGCGCATCTCGTGGAGCTGCTCTCGGAGGGCACTCAGGCGTACACCTGCTTGTTCTTCTTTTTGCTTGTAGAAGGTCTCTACTTTATCCAGTTCACTGTCTAGGAAGCTGAAGAACTCCTGCTCCTTTTGACGCACAACGTCGAACGCTTGCATGTCGTAGCCAGCCTTGTTGCTTTCTTTCCTCGTCATGGTCCCAGTGGTCGAAAACATGCGCCGTAGACGACCAGGGCCCGGCGCAGACCCGGAATTGCGCCTTGGGAAAGTGCCAGTCTCGTCGGCTCGGTTTCCAGATCCACCTCCATCTCCATTTCCATCATCAACCCCACTTAGAGCTGCCGGTATCAGCGACACACTATGATGCGGAGCCAACCGGCTGAACGAGGTCTTAAATGTAAATGGCGGCCTGGTGGGTGCTTCTGCTGTATTGGAAGGGATCCGCATCGCCGGACCCGGTAGTTCAAAGGTGTGCCTACTCTCACTCGCACCAACACCACCCGTCAGGGACGACCGCGACGGTGGCGTAGGTACGAAGCTCCCATAATTGCCCTCATACTCCAGCGACATAGTCAAAGACTGGTTCTCGTTCCTGGCGGGAATAGCCCTCGGATCCGTTGCGGTTTTCTCAGCTTGGCTCGGCTTCGGGACCGGGCCAGAACTCAGTGCTGGCTCCACTTCATCTGCACCTTCACCTCCACTGCAATTGCGATTCTGCTGCCTCTTCGCAACAAAGGGACTTGAAAACCCCGTCGGAGTTGCACGAGGTGCAATCTCGCCCTTCCTTCCTACGCCGTACGGTGTGCCATTCGCCTTGTTGATGGCCCTGGACACACCCTTGACGTACTTCTTGCCTGCTTTGTAGTTCAGGTACTTGATCCTCCATTCTTTTCCGTTCGCATCTTAAGTCAGCCAGCCTTCTTTCTCATCCGAAGTTCATCTCAACCTCGCAACGACGTTTACTGACTGACATAAATGCCAATCAGAGGCACGTTGCAAATTCACTCACCGGGAACAAGGTCCTGTTCAAGCTCCTTGGCGAACTTCATGACGTCCAAAGCGCGGCGGGCGCGCTTGACGAGAACACCCAATCACAAACCGGTGAGGACATGCATGCGTAACAACTTCCCGCAGCTAGGAAAGATCCATGTAATTGACTTTTCGTTCTAGGTTGCGTTAAAGAGCATACACCCACCAAATGTGGTTTGTTCTTGGTTGAGCAAGAAAAGTCTGATTGTGTTTGACAAAAAGATCCCCTGAACTTTTCAGAGCTTTGGCACACAGCAACAGCGCGCCTCCCTGTTAGGGATTGCGCCATGGCAAATCATTGCAGTGTGGTCATTGGCCGTCGCCCAGTTTTCTCTTGGCAGCAGCGTCCCCTCACTACCCTGGACCGCTGCAAGCATCCATGTCGGGCGAGTTCCACGACTGCGGAGCCGAGGGAGGAGCTAGGGTATGCGCGGCCGTGGACGCTTTATTCTAACGGCGGGTCTTCCTTCAACCAGATCTGCTCTGCGAAGTAAGATCTGTCAAGTGGACATTGCACTTGGCTCGTTGCTTCCGTTCATTCGTCTGCCATTTGCTGCCAAGTCCGGGGTTCGCATAAGAAAAGGCACTTGCAAAGTCTAATTGCAATTGCAATTGTGTTTTATCCCCTGAACCATCCAGCTTGAAGCCGTAGTCTTCCTGACATCTGTCAAAATGGCGCCCATCCGCCCTATTTCAGCACCGCGCATCGTCTTGTACCACCAGACGACGCACAATCCAGATGGGAGCCACATCTCGATCCTGCCCCTGTTGACCCAGCCGGGCATCGCTCTGACTCATCTGATTGTGGCGGCAATCCACATCAACGAGGACCCTAACGCCATAACTCTCAATGACCACCACCCCTCAGACCCGCGATACACGACCCTGTGGGCCGAGACACGCATAGCCCAAGCAAGTGGGATTCAAGTCCTGGGTATGCTCGGCGGCGCGGCTAAGGGGTCGTACTGCCGTCTGGACAAGGACGAGGCCACCTTCGAAGCGTACTACGTCCCCGTGCGAGACCTGATCCGGCAGCGGGGTCTGCAGGGCCTCGACCTGGACGTAGAAGAAGACTTTTCGCTGGGAGGCATGGTGCGGCTAATCGACCGGCTGCGGCTCGACTTCGGGGCCGAATTCCTCATCACGCTGGCACCCGTGGCAGCGGCGCTGCTGGACGTCCGCCATAACATGAGCGGATTCGACTACGAGGCGCTGGAGGTAATGCGCGGGAAGGAGATTGCCTGGTACAATGCGCAGTTCTACAACGGGTGGGGGAACGCCGGAAACCCGTTCATGTACGAGTTGATGGTGGCCAGGGGGTGGCCGCCCGAGAAGGTTGTCGTGGGGTTGTTGACCACGGGGGAAAATGGGAATGGGTTCGTGCCGTGGGAGCTGATGGGACCCAATCTGGGGTTGTTGAGAAGGCAGTTTGAGAGGTTTGGCGGGGTCATGGGATGGGAGTACTTCAATTCCTCTCCTGGGGGAAGAGATAGGCCTTGGGAGTGGGCTCAGAGGATGACGGAAACACTGAGAGCAGGAGAAGGGAAAGGAACAGAGCACAGACCCTCTGGTGTTGCAAACGCTCTGAAGGGCGATGACGAGGACGACGATGCTACACCCGCTGCCCCGCTGCCCGCACCATTTGTCTACCAAACTGATGGTGAGGACGCGTGATCGAGTCTTTCGCTGCCTCAGCTTGCAAACGTGTGCGCGGCCCCTATACCTACCCCGCGATTGTGCAGTCAAGCAACTTCTTGCAAGTCAACTTCTGCACCAGTCCAGCTCCAACCGGTTGGCAACTTGCAGACCTATTCCTTCAAGTTCGACGTTCTTGTTTCTGATTCACACGGCCCAATCTTCCTTCAAGTTCTACTATCATTCTCAATCCCTTGATCTGCACCATCACACACTTCATCACTCCAATCCAGAGAGTTCAAGCACCGACTTCTCGCAATCATGGCGGAGATCTCTGTCCACACGGTCAGCAACAAGCCCCCTTACGGCGTTCAACGCGTCGTTCGAGGCGAGTACGAGCGTTGCCTCTATCTAGGTTCCATTGGCGACCTCAAGATTCGCGGCTGGATGACTATCTGCGTCGAGAATGGTGCTTGGATTTACAAGGATACCCATGGGGGTTATTGGCGCGGAGAGCACGGCCACCTTATGCCCTGGCATGGAATGCTCGTCCCTCGTAAGTCTTCAATGTCATTTTCACATTCTGTTGAGTATTATTTCATGATGCCAACCGATCCATCTCAATTCAGTCGGCGGAAACTACACGCCCAATCCCGGCAAGGGTCCCAAGAGACCCGACACTCCTCGGCCCAGCCTCGAAACTCCTCAGGTTGTGACCTTCCTCGAGGAGCGGCCCGAGAAGAAGCATGGAGCCTGGTGTAAGACTAAGTCGGCATTCAAGAATATCTTCAAGCGCAAGCCTCGCGATGAGAGAGAGGAGCGCGAGAAGATGGAGAAAGCCACTCGTGAGGTCCAGGTGGTTTTCAAGGATTTGTTGAACTAGACGTGGAAGGGACGCGTTCGCCGTTGGACAAGGGGGTGCCTTTTTTCGCGGCATGGGGTGGAAGGAAGGAGCGATCATGGCGTGGTGTGGCACGGACGTCCTCACGACTTGACATGACTTTCTCTTTGTCTTGGTTGCATGCACGCAATGGATAGGAGCCTCATTGCCTGTACGGAACAAACTCTCTCACGGCTGTTCATGAATTTCTCGTCTTGGTACAAGGAATGGAAGGGGCGCTTACGACCTGGTTTGGAACATCTATTCTTACGGCTGGCAGGGACTCGTGGAACCGCTCTCCTGTCATCTTATAGAATGGAATCACGAATATTGTGAAAATCATAAATCGGAACGGAATGGCAAGGAATGAATACGGGTGTTTCTGTCTGTCATTAAAAAGAGGGTATACTTGTATGTACTGAACAAAGACTCCCGGTTACATGTGAACATTGCGGCTTTCTCCTCTCTTTTCAGGAACTGAGCATCTTGGATGAACGGGAAAGCGGGCGTGAATACAAGCCCGTAGGATTAATCTTAGAAAGGTGGCTTGGTTTGAAAGTAGGCATCTTCTGATGCTGGTTCTTCTGGTTATGCTGTTTTCAAGCACGGAATTTAGATGTGATTGCGCAACTCATGCTCGTTTACTTGGTCTTGACTTTGACGCAACGTGATCCATCTCGTTTGTGAGATGGAAGCATGAAGAATACAGAGAAGAGAGGAGGACTTACAGATCCAAAGACTATTTGCGTGGTCGCAACCCCCAGGGCCCAATAATCCCTTAACCTGGACAGGACAAGTCGAGCCAGAAGTATCATAACATAGGCTAGGTAGGAGTTATACCCAGATATATCGAACATGTGGAGGACAATCGCTGCTCATTGTACATCAAATGTCTCATCTGCCAATTCCCTGGGCTTCAGGCCCATTACAGCGCTGAAAGCCTGAGTTTCGACCGATGGGAAGGCGCCACCGCACCGGGAGGCGACGAATCCCAAGTTACTGAAGGTTGACTAGTGTCCGGACCGTTTCGAAGTATAATTAGATGATACCTACTGGGTAGTTCGCTGTACAATAGTTCTCGCTAGCCCAGAACATTCCCCTCTCTATTTACATCTGGTCAAGTGCTGAAAGATCGCTTTCTAAATGCATGATGTACGATGTACTTGCTCGATTGGCAGAAATAAGAGCAAGTCTCGTCGATCCAATACCTTTGGCGATCCTCCTGGCCTTCCATTCAGCGAGCGAATAACGACCGTAATACATTGTCCCCTGGGTATGTTCCCTAATGGGGAAGAAGGTGCATAGGAATGAAGAATGCATCGTGACTTTTGCACAGCATACTCTCAAGTCAGCCACTTCAGCGGCAGAAATACACGCGTATCCATAGTAGCCCCACCTTCGTACTGGTCCATCACCAAGAGTATCTTGTCTGATACTTGATCATAGCACCAGGTTTATCATCACAATCGTCCGAATGAGCTGGATCAGCGAGGCTAGGCAGATTTATGAGATCATGATGGGTTATGCCGGTGCGTATTTCATGATACCGACATCCATGGACTTGAGTATTTGAAGCTCCGATGCTACTTTCCAGTACCTACAGGTTCCGAGGTACGACGTTTCGCATTGCTTCCCCTGATCTGAGGATTAAAGATTGATACCTGGTGCATCTAGAATTCATGCTGTCGATTGACTTCTACCATTCCCAATTATTTGTATTGTGCGTGAGTCGGATCCCGCTCAAGTTTCGCATGACCAGACTATTAATTCTATCCATGGGAGCACCACAGCGTCCAAATTGTAATGACATGCAGGCGTTGTAGTGATGCAACCAGCCCCTTGCCCATGTTTCTGTTGCCGAATAATCCATCGCTGGTTCTGGCACCCGTGATGGTGCCATAAGCGAGGGATGTAAGATGCCAACGACGATCAAATACACTGCGATGTCCTCGCCCGTGTCAAGAGCCCATGCTTCCCTCCTGCGAGTGGTCTCTTCAGGGTCCCTGATATGGACACGACACACCCCAGAGGCCAAATCGCAAGTACACAATGACGACTTGCCGCTCAATTTCCGTACAGCTGATGCCTCGAAATCCGACATCTCATCAGCAAACCATGTAAATTGACCGTAGACGCCTACATAGCTGACCATAAGGACAACGGTAGGCTCGAAACCAACCACGACAAATGCAAGAGCAGCAAATCCGCCAACGCCAATGCAACCAGAAAGCCGTAATCAAACCTCAACCTTCATAGCCTAGACCCCAATCACCTTAGGCCCCCCAAAACCCTATCAATCTCCTCCCCCTGATCAACCGCCATCTCACTCGCACCCTCCCTTTCCGCAAGACTCATCTCCGCAAACGGGCCCGCAACCCCTCCCGCAACCCCAGCATCATCTCCCAGTTCTCGTGCTCCTCCTGCTCCCCCTCCCGCTCGCTCCCCTCCATTGTCCCCTCCTTTCCTCTCCGGCTCCAATAACCTCGCCTCACTGTCCAGCCAACCCGGCGCGACCCTCCTTTTCTCCGCCAGCTCGCGCGCCCTAATGCGCTCATCCAGCTCCCTAAGGTCGCGCTCGGCATCCTCCTGCATTTTGGAGACGTAAGACCTTAGCGCCTCGCAGCTGCGTATGATGTCGTCTGGGTGGGCGGCGTGGCCGGACTGCGAGATGACGTACTGGGGTTTGTTTTGGGCCTGAGATTCGTCGCCAGTAGACGTGTTGGTGGACGAGGTGGAAGGGAGGACGCCGGTGCTCGAGGGGGGAAGCGTTGACGGCATGGTTTTGTAGGTGTAGGGGAGGGTGGCGGCTACGGGGAGGGTGACGAAGGGAGATACGGTCAGGGGGATCTGGGCTAGGAGGGGGTGAGTGCCTGTTGGGAGTTGAGGTTAGTGGCAGGTTGAGGTGGAGAGGCAATTGAGGGGTGACTTACGGTTGTCGTGCATTGTTGCGGTGGTAGGTTGATGGTGGTTTGCTTTGGGAGTTTGAATTAGTGGTGCATTGGGAGGTGAGCAGATGTGACTACATGCTCAATTGATGCAGTTGGGACTGTGAAATGCCAGAGCAACTCGAGACTTGGAGCTGGAGCTGGAGTGTGTGAACGAGGTCAAACAACTTGTGGGACGTTACCTGGGAGCTATGGCTTTGCCCAGGCCGAAAGGTACATAGCTGGCGATGGCTGAGGATAAGCACAAGTGTTAGATGAGCAAGGCGATGACATTATCGATAAGCCCCACTCCACTAGAGCTCCCCAGACTTTCCCTGTTTACAGTTTGTTGCTTGCCTACTCGAGGGGGCATGAAACTCACCTCATGCAATTGTTAACTTGCGTTATAGTCCGAATAACCACTGTCGTAAACCTCAGCATCGCCCGTCATGTTGCCCTCGGTCATTAACAGCTGTCCGTCAGCAGATGACGACTTTGAACAGCTGGCTGAGTACCAAGAACAGACGCCCGAAACCTTCTTTGATGGAAAGCCCGTCCTGTACTTTCATGACACAAGGATCAAGGCTTGGTGTCCTGCAGAGCAATATGACCAGTTGCATTTCTTCTCCCAAAACACGGCTTCTTCTCGAAACCAGCCGAGCCCACCTGAATCTGCTGCACTCGAGAACGATGGAGGAAAGCACATACGCGAGGAACGAGTTGAGGTCTTCGTTGGGTCCAGGTGAGAGTCCAACTGAAAGAAGATGTCTGAGTCTCAAGTCACTCACGTGCAATGTAGCAAATTGATCATCTTCTCTCACAACAGCGGCACAGGCCTTGAGATCCCCTACCCCTCCATTACTCTGCACGCCATCAAGAACTTCAGGCACCTAGAGCACCCAGACGATGCCTCCCACAAGTTCCTCGGCGTATATTTGCAGCTCGAGTTCTCCGGCGATGGTGGCGATGACGACGATAGCTTCGATCCCATCGAACTTACCCTCGTCCCGTCGCAAGCAGCTTCCGAAGGGTCCACCAACATTGACCCTTTGAACCCGGAGCGCACCTCGGCGCTATACAATCAAATCTCGGCCTGCTCGAATCTGAATCCGGATCCCGCCAACGAAGAGGATGACGAGGACGCTTATATGCAGGACCGCATTATCTTTGAGGGTGAGGCATTGGAGGGACTTCCGGGTGCGTTCCGCGGGGATGATAGTGGGGGTTTGCCGCCGCCTATGCCGGGGAGCTCTGGGTGGATCACGGCTGAGAACGTGCATCAGTACTTCGATGCTGAGGGGAACTGGATCGGTCAGGGAGAGAACAGTGTCAGCGGTGAGCTAGGCGAGGGAGCTGGGCGGGTGAGAGCACGGGACGAGGTTGAGGAAGACGGGGTCAATGGCCATGAAGATGATGAGAATGCTGAGGCTAAGCGCCCGCGCACTGATTGAGAGGCCGGGATACCGCACGCTTTACGTGCACAGGAGGACTTGGTGTGATGATCTTTATGGGTCCTCAAATCGATGAGTTCTGGATCCACAGTCGAACAGACTATAGCACTTGTGTGAGTATGTTTTTGGTACACATCTTGTCTCTGGTCCGGCTGACATGTTTAGATGATACCCCCAATCAAAATAGGCAGGTGGCGCCCAGCTCTGAATGTACGAGTCGTTTATATGTGGCTAGTCTTGATCGACCATAGAAAGGATGACCAGAAAGACCACCCTACAGCGATCTGTGGTCATTTATGTTGCCCTATAACTGTTTAGGCTTGGAAAGGTTCAGAAATGGCACAGAAAGTATCACGTAGAGGTGAGCGAGGACATACCCTCAAATTTTTTTCATGTCGCGTTGGCTCTTGCTGAAAGAGGCCGTTTTCACCAGCATACTGGTAGACGAGTCCGTCCATTCCTTTCCTAGTGAAGAGCCAGCTTGGATGCATCAACCGTAACTGGACAATAAAAACCGCTATTAATCTAAATTATCCAAGTCATCTTCTTAGTCAATGCTGTTCTTGGCTCAAAACTGGTAAACCAGTAGCACTACACCAGAAGGCGACAGAAGAGTCGCTCTACACACTGGTGCCAGGTGTTGTTCGAGTAATGCGCATCCCCTGCGGACTCGAGGATCGAACGATGGGAGGCTCCGTACAATACAGACCAGCACGTGGATGGTATATCTCTTAGTTCAAGAGGGCCATCGCCTGCAGCTATCATCATGAACAGGGTCTCATGACTCAGGCCATGGCCATATTGGCTCAATTGAGTAGTTTGGGGCACCAACTGAAAGCGCTCAGAAATAAAGCCGCTCTCTATATCAATGGCCAGCCAAAAGAAAGATCAACAGACGAAAAACATTTATGCTAGATTCAAGTTCATTGCGAAGAAACGTGTGTGGGTCTGGTTGTATCCCAATCGCATCTGTGGCGTAATTACCAACGGGATCAATGACAAGTCGGAGGATTGATTATTTGCGCCCTTTCAGTCGAGCTCCGTCTGTACTGGTAGATTCAAAGGGTAGTTTTGGAAGCCTCTCCAAATCTGACCTGTCGAATATCAATCAATCACGATACGTACTCCGTGTTTGGCGAATTGTTGGAAGAGGCAAAGGCAGATAGATTTTCTCCAAGACGACCGGACGTCCCATTGTCGTCCAGCCTAAAAGGGGAAGGCTGGGATACTGGTGAGCTCGTATGAGACGTTACGGCTACAGATCAAAACTGGCATAGCTTCTCCTCAAAGAGTAAAATGAGCATCCTTACCCGGCCATATTAGTTGGAGCACCACGATTTGTTTTGAAGGAGAATTCCACGGAGCATAAGAACGATGGCAGCAACTGAACAACTTTACCGGTTGATCACCTGCATGCACGTTGGAGGTGAAACGGATGGATAGTTTACTCTCTAGTGAGGTAACACGTTCCGCTCACACCTATGGCTGTATTGGAGAAAACCAGGATAAAAACGGGATTGACCGATGCTCTTTCATGGAATGTAACGCATAAAAGTACATGCTGGTCACATCAGACCTATTCTCTCCCTCGTTAGATCCCTTCTCCGTTGGGATCAGTCGCACCCTGCAGCCGGTTAGCCCGCCGGCCGTTGGTGTCACCCAGCTTGCAATGCAGGGAGGGTATTGTAGTTGCACGTTTCTACGAATGAGGAAGCTTGAGGCTCTACTTGCTCAGTACTGACAACGTCGAATTCTGAGGACAGAAACATTAACGATGGTATCTGGCTGTCCACTGTCTTTAATATCCTCAGTCAAATACACCCGGAAACCTTTCTCTTAGTCGACTACCATCAGGCTTTATCAATACGTGTTTGCGCGAGAGTCCTCTTGATGCCACAATGCAAGAATGAGGCAAGTGATGTGTTTGGACCTGTCATGCCATGTTGGTTGGCTCCAACATAGCACATGCCAACGAATTGTGCAATCTCGTTTCAAGTCTTCCCATTTGCCTTTCTGAGTACCCTTATGCTAGAAAGAGAAGTGTCCCATATGTCTCGCAATACAATGTATTTCACGTCAGACTTTACATATTTTCTTATTGAAATATCAAATCTGCTAGTCCTCGGCGCTAACAAGGACATTCATAGCTAGTCCAGAGATTCCCAAGCCACCCAGCCGCCGTACCGTACTAGTGGTAGTCTAATTCCTGTCACTAGAGCCTTCTTCGTATTGGTCTTCTCGCAAAATGTTATTTGAAATGTTGAATTGTGCCATTAACATGTTCACATGAGTCCTACTATCCTCAAGCACAAGGAGTTAAAGGAGTTAAGGGAGTGGAATTTGGACATACTATAGACACAAAATGGCCTCAACTTCGTCATCCTTCAACCCAGTCCAAATGTTGAAGACGTGGACGTCTACCACGCCTAGCTCGTGGTTAGCCACTGTTTTCTTTCAGGTTAACATTGGGGTCGCTTGGCTTCTCTTATGCTGTCCACACAGGTATCCAACCGCGACCGATAATGATTGCGAAAAGCAGTACAAAAAGTCCGTAGAGAATCACAAACATTGTGCTTTGCGTTTTGTATCAGTCTGGGTGTTTCTTTCTGGAAGAAACTGGTATTTTTATTTTATTAGCAGACTACGATTGCTTGGTTTGCCCGTTGAATAACGATAAAAACACCTTTGAGAACGGTTGCTTCGCACTTTTGAGGATATGGCATTTGTGAACTTTAGACCGACCGCTTAAAGTTCTCAAGTACAATGGTTGGTGAATTTATACCCACTTGTATTCGAAAGGTTGGGAGCCCCAGTTTTACAGTATCAATGCCAACTTCATGAACCGGTAATACTTACGTCGGAGGAGGTCCAATGATGTTTGTACATGTGGTCGGTCACATTATTGAGTCTACCCTGTTTGATTCAGAACCGCGAACTGATAATCACGGATAATGCCATACTAATAGCAGAGTTTTCAAGTAATGGACTCTGGAAGCAGGAAACAACCGGAACCGGTTGGTACAGCTTTTCCTCCACTGGAACCGTGATCTGGGCGTAGGCTTATCCTAGAAAAGCAAGAAAGTCCTGAGCATAGCACCAAGAAAAACGAAGGACGAGCGGCGCCAAACCGAGACTATCCAAGTCTCTTCGAGTCTAGATGACCACACGCTCTCTATCACCAGCGGCTGGGACGGCTACCGCTACCTAGGCTCCTGAGGCAGCTCTTTCATGTCTTACTGGTTTGACTGAGACAATCTTGCCGCCTGCTGCCAAATATAGCAAAAACAACAGATATACTTTCGTAGTTGAATGGCAGAAACAACAACAATAGCATACATATGCCAATACGTATTTCTTCGAAAAGAGTAACACATGTTTATACACTTCCCAAGGCGGGGAATCGCTGTTATCGACAATGGACATTCGCTTCTTCCTCCTCGAACCATAACGCAGCTGCCATCTTCGCACTGGCCCAAACCAGCAACCAAGCCCAAAGAGCCCTGTGTGTACCAACCAATCTATCCTCAAAGCCAACCCCTAGAGCTATCCCTTAGATTATTTTCATTCCAGGAAATACAGACTGACAGCCATCCCCGAAAGTCCCTTCCAAGTCAAAATGCACATCGTCTACAGCTTGTATTTCTCCCTCGCCGCCGTGGCAGCGGCGCTCTCCACCCATCACACCGGGACCTCCTCCAAGGCCGGCCGATGCTGGCAAGCGTTTTGAGCCTGACCCCGACGTGCGTCAAACCATTCAGGATCTGTTCGAGCAGAGTTGCTATACTATCTGCCTCGAGAAGCTCCCTAATACTAGGCCGGAGCAGGATTATGGCACGAAGTTTTGCCGTGAGTTTGCACTTTTCTTTATATCTTAAACATGTTTCGACTTGGCTGGTGAAAGTATAGTGATGCGAGTGGCATTTCCTAGTTCACCTGCACACCGATAATGGCATGGTTGATGGGTAATAATTTTATTTACCAGCCGACCATTGGGCTACGGGGTGCCACCGAGGATATAGGAGTTCTTGGTAGCAGTACCGTGCATACGAAGCCTAAAAACTACCATTACGAGTATTGAGCTTTGTGCAAACGGGTCAGATGTCTTCCGTGTTGTTACCAATGGAAAACTTCCATCATTGACACCTTGCGTACTTTTGATGGAAGAGGAATGTCCAGGCCAAAGTCGTGCCCGCCAAGGATATATTTTTCTCCTGAACACCACTATATCCTTCAAGTATCCCTATCGTCATCATAAACAACGAGAAACGATAAGCACAGCTCGAGTCTTCATATCATGTGAAATACTCATGTCTACTGACTCAGCATTGCTCTCTTCGGCCGTCTCTTCTGTAACCGTGTTTACTACATGCATTGTCACACGAAAATCAAATGTTGGTTCCACCCCATACGAACCAAGAAACGAAGAAACCACACACTCTTATTCAAACCACTTTTTGGAACGGCACACTATCGTCTCCCCGGGGCTTTTTACCATGAAGCGACCTGAGAGAGACTACCCGGGAACGCCCCTTTTGTGGACCACCTTTTGCCAACTTCACAAGCAAAGCGCATCCAGGACACAGAGCACCCAACTAACACATTGCGTCCGACCCCTCCCCTGCGATCGTTATGCGCAAGCCAATAATTGCCTCGGAGGCAAATCGATCCCCTACGCTGCAAAGAGCATGACGAAGAATACGACTCCGGGTGCGGAGCCCCCTTCGACGCGCCAGACCGCACAACCTCAGTGGCCGTACAATTGACCGCAAGTTGAGACATCGTCAGTGACTCAGAGTCCGCGACAAGACGACGTCGAATCATCCAGTCAACGCCTCCTACGCAAACGCAATTGCGAGGTTTTTACTTTTCTTCATCGCGAAGAACAGCCCATGAAAACATGATATTGATGCCCGATACCAAGACGCCTCCATCAAATTCCGCACACTGTGCACTAAATCCACAATTCCTAGTCCCACAGTGCCTTGCCAACTGTATGCCCCCTCCCGGTACTTTACGCATCGCCCGCAGATTACCACCGCCCCGGCTGGCCGAGCTGCTGATTGCTGTGCCGGAATCTTGCATACATATTGATATATGTAAACCTTACATACAAGAAAGCGTCAGGCGGCTAGGCGGAACCGACCCGACACAATGGGACAGGCGCAAGAAACTGCCAATAAGCAAAGAGCAGCGTTCCAATCGGTCGGTCATATCAACCCGCAGGGGCCAAAAGCACGAACGATTGATGCACTGAAAGGATGCATCATGCATGAGCGCTTACCTCGCAGAACCTGGGAACCTCACATGTTCGCCATTTTCACGTTTCTGGTGTTTTGTTTTCCAGCAGACCGGCGCGAAGAAACAACTATTGTCTTGGCTGGCATGAACATGGCATAGCGTGTGATAAGGCTTAGCTGCAGATGCCAAGTTCGCCTCACCCTGCAATACCTGTAGAAACGAGCTGATAATGGTATCGTAGCGTATGGCCCATCATCATATCAACGCTAATACTTGTATCCGTATCTGTATGCGCGTCTCGCTATCATCAAATCACGGCCCATGCAGATACGGATACTGAAAACGGCAATATTTCCCAGATCGAGTCAGGCCCTGGCGACGCGGCAGCGCCACGATATTATGGTGGTGGAAGTGAGGTGACACAATGGGTTGTTTGTTTGAATCCGATGGTTCTGCTTCGTGCCGTCAAAGAGATAAAAAAAGGTCCTGGCTTTCCCCCAGCCGGCCAACGCCGCTTCGGGCGCTCATCAAATCCGTATTGGGCTGAGGATCGCCCGCAAGGTTGCATTACCGTGGAGTCGGGTTGGCTGCTCCCGTATCGCAGACTGATAATATGAAGCTTGCGGAACGGCAGTTCTAAGCCTGTCGTTGTATTTACCAGCTCATCAAATCTTATCTATGATATGATACGATGTGATCCGACTGACTCAGATTTCCGATTGATATTGAGCCTTGTCAGCTTCTTGCCAGGTTTTCCTACCAGATACCGGGGTCCTCCCTTACCCCCAGTTCCTCAGCTCTTGAGCTCTTGGTCTTTTGGCTCTTGGTCTTGGCTCGCTTCCGGGGGAGTTCTGTTGATAGTCAAGTCGTTCCCCTCGGCACGGCTGTCGGCACCACAAAAAGACGAGGACGTCAAAGCGGAGGCCTTAACGCTAGCGTCTCTCACTTAGGCTATTATGCAGGGCCACGTCAACTAGCCGCTCTGATTAGAGGCATCGGTGCGGCAAACGAGGTAGCATTCTTAGACCAAGCCGCCAAAGTTAGAGTTATGATGTGGGTTTCTTTGACGAAGAAAATATTTGGGACACGATCACAGGAATCAGACCAAAATCGATGCGCAGACTCTGATAATATGAATGTGTTCGTAATTCCTATGTAGCGTGAGCCACTGGTATGTTTATTTGCGAAGTCATGGAAATGCCAGTATGCCATCGCTACCGATCAAACCAAACTCGTCGCGAAAGAGATGTTGTCGAAGTGAAAATGTTGATGCAGTTGAACCTAGTGAGATGCCCCAGATGCCCAATTTGCCCAAGATGCTAGCTTGTGACAAGGCCCAGCTCCAGTTCCCAGCTCCTGCCTTTTGCTATCTGCGGTTCCCTGCCCACCAGACGCCCACCCGTTCTTGTTCCTGCTCCGTAATGCTCCGTCCCTCAACATGTCGGAGATGCAGTGTAGAGGGAATTCATACATGACCCGCCTCCTTTGCCTGCGGTGCTGTTGATACCACGTCAGATGCAATCGTGGCATCTGACAGAAAAACAAAAAAAAAAACGAAAAAAGGCTTTTTTGTGTCATTTCCCTGTCTATATGTCCATTTCGTCCAACACCTTAAGTATGCAAATCCCTTGTCTTCGCACGTTTGTGGCTCTCTCCTGAGCATGGTGTGGAATGAAAGCCAGTGTCTCGATACGCCCTGAAAGCAAACAAATACACCACGAATGCATGCAAATAACGATCCGTTTATACCCCTCGTGCGCCGACCGTATGTGTGATCAAATGGGGTATTCGCTGTAGATCAAAACCGACAAGGGAATCATTGCGAGGTGGCCGTCGCCCCTGGCGAAGCATCCATTCAAATAGAGACATAAAATATTGGTACATCCGAATGCTCTAGCGGGCCTAGGGCAGATCGTTACACGGTTCGTAGAAGGTGTTGTTGCGAGTTGTCGGAAGTTCCGCTGTCGATGCTCGTCTTTTCCACCGTCTTCTCCATCGTCTTTTCGAAGCTTCCGCCCTTGGAACTGGCCCCGCGGTTGAACACTTTGTTGCCGAAGTTCTTGAACTTGCCAACCGTTTCGGAGACATCTGGGGGATGGGGAACGTACACGCTCGTAGGAGCATCGACCTTGATGCGACAAAACAGAGTCGAGAACAGGTAACGGTCGCCACTGCTGTCGAACAAAGGCAGAGTGCGGTAGCCCTGTTTTAAGTTGGAGAGTTTGGCTATGTATGTGGCCATGGGGGCGACACGTTCGCTCGGGTTATCTCCATCCGGGGAAAGTTTGACGCTGAACCGGACGAAGATCAGTTCAGGGTATTTGGTGGTTACGTTAAACTTGCACGTCTTTTCGAAGGTCGGGTTGAAACCATTTTCTTTAACCACCCGAGTGCGTTGTTTCAAAGGCGTGTCCGTCGGAATGGGAATGCCAACACTGCTGTCATGCTTGTCCCTCTTGTCATTGGCGTGGAAAACCTCCACCTCGACATATGGATCCAGGGACCTGTTCGACGGCAAGTTGGCTGGGCGCATGAGTTGTTGAGCAGATATGACATCAATGGTGAAAGTAACGTTCTTGCGTTCTAACTTCCCAATGGCCTCTTGTGGGAGACCATCGGGCAGCACTCGAATCTCTCGCATTGAGTGAGGCTTCAAGACGTATCCTGATTGGTCTGTGCCACCATCAAACATGGCTTGGTTCAACTGCATGCCCAAATCATAAGTCTGCCAATTGAGCGCCGCCATCTGGACTCCCTTCCTCCAATACATCAAGGGATTGAAATTATGGGAGCTGATGCGCGTGTATTGAGGATATACACGCATCATGAAGCGCATGTTATGCCGGTATAAGACATCCTTGTGGTCTTTGGCCTTGACCAGACTTCGGAATCCTCCTTCCATAAAAGAGACAATGTGATAGGGCGTCTTGCACTCGAGGGTGGAAGGGCCTTCGTACTTGACTCCACCGCCGTAGACGCCTAGGATTCCCAATGGGGGTGCGATCTTGCTTTGCTTCTTTTTCGGAGTTCCCTCACCGCCGCTGTCATTGTCGCTGGTACTGCTACTCACTGGGTCTATCTCGACACCTTCGGTGATGGTGTTGTAGCGCTTGCCGACTATGCGCCGTGAGGCATCTCTCGCACCGAGGAGTGGGCTCTGCGACAGGTACTGAGTAGGTATGGTGGCATTGTCCAAAGCCACGGGTTTGGTGTATGGCGAAGTCAGACTATTGCCGCGCCGACGACCGGCAGAACCTGGCGCTTTGCTTTTGCGGGGCTCGTCGTCCGTCGCGGCTTTGACTTTTACCAAGACCCGGTCCCTGAGCTCCGTAGGCGATGGCAGCTTGTCAGATGATGAGTCCAGAGGCTCCGTGACGAGACGCGACCCGAATATCTCCCTCATGATGTCAGCCATGACACCTTGCTGAGGTGCATCGCAATGCACCTCAAGCGAGACCCACAGCGGGAAGTGGCTCGTCACGAAGGCATATTTGTTGACGATGTGGATGACTTCGCGGAATGATATATAAGTTGTCAACGCGTATCCGTGTTGGACAATGGGTTGTCCATCGCTTCCGTCCCAGCAGTCGATCTCTATGCTGCGGCAACCTTTCATGAGAGCGGTAATGTATCCCTCAATACTGGAATCATCGGCAACTTGGCGGCCCAACAGATACGTGTTGTGGGAGCTAGAAATGAAATACTCATGCAGCGGCCTGTCGAGGGTATATTCGGTTGGTTCACGGAGGACGGGCAAGTTGAAAGTGGAAGTGAGATACGCCACTAACGCCTGTTCAGTCATTCTCGGGACATCTGCGTCAGCATCCCGCAAGTCGCCCTCTTTTTTCGAACGACGAGCAAACCGATTGAACTTGGCCTCCCAATTGCGAACGTCGGACTCAACATCCTCGCCCTGGACCTCACAAAGAAACAGGGCAAATTCGTGCCAGGCCAGGCCGCTTTGCGGGTTCGACGCTCGCTCCAGGTAGACTGTGCGAATATCAGCGCGCACTTTCATCTCCCGAACGAAGACCTGAAATTCGGCAAAGTTGAGTCGCCCCGTCCTCGTGGCATCTGCGACAGTAAATTTATTCTGAAGCTCTTTGTATGCCACGTGAATATGGAGATTCCGACAAACGCGTTCCACACCTGGCATGTCAATCTCTTCTTCGTCAGCCGAGTGAGGCTTTCCTTCGAACTGCTTTGTCATCTCGCTGTTCCAATAGGACCGGATTGCCTTGTCATTGAATGACATGAGAGACGTCATTAAATCCTGTCGATGTTTGGATATCGCGTCGAGGGCCGTAACCCAGTTACTGAACGTCTCCTCGTCCTCGGCCAGCAAATGCATGAGCTTGCTTTTCGACTTGTCGGCAACGGCATACATGATGGAGAAGAAGCGACCCTCTTCGGAGTCGGGGAGATTGAAGTCAGCACGGTACTGCCGAGTGTCGGATCCTATCCGAATGTCCTTGATGTCGTCAATGTAGATACACTTGGCCGGTCGGCTTCTGTTCCAAATAATCTTTGCGGCCTCCAGGTCCAGAACGAGGAATATCTTTTTGTACTTTCTCTTTTTGGACATTTTGAAAATCCACGTGCCCTTCACCAAGGCCATGGGGATGACGGGGCCGGCTGGAGGATCGATGGGTGTGGCAGAGCCCGCAATGGAGCCGGGGTTGCTAGTGGAAGAAAACTCGCGTAGTTGGGCTCCTGGGAGGGCAAACGACATGTACTCGTCTCTCTCATCGGCGACAATCTCATCATCTGAATCTGTGAAGACGTTATCCGGAGGCGCAGTGTTGGTACTATCGCTTCTACGCCGGATAATGCCGGGCCCCAGACTGCCATCTCGACTCTTGGGCGCGACTGAAGACTGTCGCCGAGAGGTGCGGGCAAATCTAGAAGCTCGACTCGAGAACCGTCGTATCAAGTTTTTGTTGCCGCTGTTGCTGCTGGTGCATTGTTGCAATGCTTCGGCCATAGAGCCGGTGGTGGTGGCTGAGCTTGGGTTTATGGAGTTGCTGCTGTTCTTGTGCTGCAACAGTAGCGGATCGCCCAGAGTGAAAGGTGGCGGGGGAAATTGTTCGACATCACGGCCACGATAGGGCTCTGGGGATGGCTGGATGGAACTACTGGTGGTTAACACCGGATTCTCTGGGGACATGATGGGAGAGTCATGCTGAGAACTGGATGCCACCGAAGAGGCACTAATGGCTGACGCCGGTAGCGAGTTGAGCAGCGAATTGGCTTGGAGGCCAGTCTGGACATGGCTGGGGCGCGTCCGTCGCAGTATAGAACCCTGCGCAGACGGCTGGAATGCCATGGCTGACGTGCTGTTAGGTGCCTGACTGGATTCAGGACTTGAGCGGGGAGGGTTTGACATTGGAGCCGGAGACATGACGCTGAGCTGTGAGGTGATGTTCACCGAATGTGGCAGGTATTACGCTTGGCCGCGAAGGTGTGCAGCGGAGTAGTTCCGACTCATGAAGGATTGGCTGTCATCTATAAGACAAGGGCAGAAGTCGACGGCCTCATGTTTCGGTGGATGTGGATGGTAAATTGTAGGAGCCTCTAGAATGGAGAAAAGCCAGGGGACCATACGGGAAGGGCCGTGATGGTGAATTCAGCACCGAGATGCTTTATACAATCGGCGGGGCGTTGATGCTGCAGTACAACTGCTGCTCTCCACGATGTGGGATTGGGATCCAGGACCGAGGGCAACGGCAGCCAAGATTCTACGAGGCAGTCAGAAGTTACCAACGATTTGTACTTGCAGAGTACAGGTACCGTCTTCTGACACAGGTACGTCGACGTACGATGTATGGCCAGCCAGCTGTACGGCATATGCGTGCCCCAGGCCGGCGCGGGTAAGGGCTGCGTTGTAATAACCCACCGGCCAAATGATGAGGTGGCAGGCCGTATGCAGGTCGCTGGTTTTGGGAATTTGAAGCTGGGGGAAAATTCCAACGTCTGATTTCACATCCACCACTCTAATGCGATTAATATTGGCCTTCTCCCCGCAACGCAACCTGGACGTTCCTTCCTCCTCTCGCCGTAGATGCGCCGCAAGGTTTATGTCGTTCCTGTTTCGACGCTTGAGTCCTCGAATGAGGGGAGGTGGTAGCCGGAATTTCTCCTGGCCCGGTAAAAAAAATTCACACTTCTAGGCCAGTCGGGCTGCTCAATTTGCAAGGCACCGAGGGCAACGGACGACGTGTTGTTGAGTGAGGCGGTGGTGGTGGGAGACCTGGCGCGGCGTTGGTTGTGCTTGCGCCGGATCTTCAATGCGGAGCGGGCTGGATGATTGAATCGTGATTATGAGAATGTCTGGCTTCTCGAAGCTGTATATAGCGGGTCGGGCGGGCGCAACAGTTTGTGGTTCGGGTCAAGGCAGGGCGGAAGTTTTCACACCTGAAGTTCACTTTTCGCGTAGCAGCCGGGAAATTATTAGTGATGGTGTGGGAGGGAAGGGATGAGAAGGCATGGCCAGACAGGGAATGGGGCACGAGAGAAGCAGGCTGTCCGAGGTACGTATTTCGACACTAAAATCAAGCCGCTCAGAACCTAGTGTAGCTATGTGAGGGGTGTGTTGGAGTGCAGCTTTGAAGTTTGTAGAATATGGATGGGATGGGCTGTGGAGATTAGAGAGCACGCGCGCTGCAGAGGAAGATCGATGACTCTTTTTGGGGGTACAGGGCAAGAGAGACAGAGCGCATTGAAATCTCAATGCGACTTTTGGCAATAGGCCAGGGACCGCTGTAATAAATGACGATGAAGTACCCAAGTATCTTTGCAGCAGGCCAGGGTGGTGCAGCGAGGCCGAAATCGTCTTTTTGCGGGGGATTTCTTACCCACGGTGACTCGCACTCTTTACACTGTGGGAGACTTCTTCAACTAGGGGCTGGGGCTTGACGGGTGCTACAATGGAGCTTTCACCAATCTAAAAATGGAACACTACACAGAGGAACGAACAATGGACAATGGCCCGACGAGTTTCTGGCAGGCCAAGTGCACAAGAAGGAAGGCTGCATTACTAGGTGCCCAAGGACAAGAGCACTAATGATAATCATCACCGCTAGACGTTCCTTCCGTTTGACGTGATTTTCGCAATATACATTGGAAGGCATAACAAGTGTCAGCCGTGTAATTGTGGCGCCTACTCCGTATGAAGGTATCCATATGGAGGTACTTGGGTATGCCGTCCTAAGTTGACAAAACATGCTCGAAAAGACGACTCGAGAGCCACAAAGTCAAACATCAAACCTTCAGACAGAATGTCCCAAGCCCATTGGCATTGGTGGAGAAAATCAATGTTTTAGTTGATGCTTGGTAGCTACTTACAATTTTAATTTTTTAGTTTCGGAAGGAAGTACCTAGGAACAGAATCCCAGCTTGCCGGCTTTCCATTCTAGCACCAGTTGCAGCTGCCACTGATGCGAGACCGTGATGGCTGTACCTGGACCCATCCGGTCTTAACTGCTACAGTGCTGGTCCTAGGGCATTGGAATTGGATACAGTGTTGGTGGCGTGGCGTGTGAGATCTTGACAGGGTGATAAAGGGGAATCGGGCTGTCGGGTTGATGGCAGATTTTTTTTCGCTAGGGGGAATGCTTTCAAGTAAACCGGGCTTGCAGATAGACAGGGTTGCCAGAAGAAAATGTTGCTGTAGCCCAAGAGAGCAATGGCAGGTGGGAACGACCTGGGCAAGTGGAACCATCACTACATCATCGAGCTTTGCCTAAGCCCGATCCGCGCTCGGTTTAACCCTGTTGCATCTTTCTGGCCAGGGACCCAGGGGATTATCAGCAGTACGACGGGTCAATCCATCAGTTGGGTGTGAGCCCAAGTCCCCCGTCGCCCAACGTTTCTTAGGCCGAGGAACGCGTATTTTTGGGCTTCCCCCCCTTCCCCCACTACCAACCTTGTACCTGAAAACGAGGCACCATGTGTGCGCTGCTTGCTAGTGCAAAAAATGCGAGGCCTCTTGCACTGCTGCTGCAACGATGCTGATCTTCGGATCTCGGAACGCCAACCTAGTCGCCATGAAACCTTGGGACCTGCCAAAGCTGAGCGGACATGCGATGATAGTGCCAATCGTTACAAACCTTGTGTAAGCAGTTGTAAATCTAAGACTCAAACTCTTCAGTAATGACTTCCTCATCCTCCCTCGTTCGCCAATGTCTCATCAGGCGGCATGACCCATCCAATCCGGGGAACAAAGAGGCAATCCCAAGATAATTGAATTGGGCAGGTCGCAACTTGCACAGGTCCCCTAACACCGCCATGGTGATCCCTGACAAGCCCAGTGAAGAACGCCAGTCTCGAATGCATCTTGGCATTGCTGCAGCACACTTTTACACGCCATCAATCCGCACCTTGAAGATCTCTCAAGCCTATTTACCGAGAGTTCTACCTTGGCTATCTGACGGATCACGCCTGTGACAATCAGTTGTGTTGTCCGAAAGGCTGCCGGCCAACGTACGTACAAACATCCCAGACATGCTTGCTGACACACTTGATCTGTCACAGTATACGGATAACATCTAGCAGGTTTGTCTTTGAGGCGGTCATTAAACTGGCATTTGTTTCCTGGTCCGGAGTTTCAAGGTCCCAATGGTGGAGGGACCAAATTATCTGGAAAGCTCCGCCAAACTCTGCGATCAACTGGCCGGAGATGATGCTCAGCAGGAATGCCAAATCTTAAGTCCTTTAATTTGGGCAAGTGGTTTCTCCCCACACTGCAATTGACGACAATCACCATCACCCCAGCACAATCACGTCGCCATTATAACCGCCACTATCTGATATTGCGGGCAATACAACGGACTGTAATCGCGCGTACAATAGTGTGGAGGCGATGGCCTGACAATCATTCGGCTGTCTTCGCGTTGTGTCGCCGATTACATCAACAACCCCATAAGCCGGCCGGGAATACCAACAAGAGCTTGCGCAAGCAATGCACCACGTAGAGTCTCTAGGCGCAGTCCAAGTATGAGGCCTATCTGTGTCGTTGGCCCGTAAAGCCGACATCATCATGCTGTAAAACCACTTAGGGCCTCAGTATTATTGGTTACAAGTATCAACGAATTGTATCGAGGCTCGCAGCTTCACCGCCTGGCTTGGCGCAAGCATAGCCACGGGTCAGGTATTGTTCGTAACCACCACACAAGTAGAGCCTCCGCCACAAAAGGAATGCGCTTCGTCTGTGACAACCATTGGACTACACGGCACCTATAGCCGGGCCGATCGAGGGCATTCTTGGTCTGGTTGGCTGTTGAGCGGCACCTCATCTCAACATGCACAGGAAGGCCACCGCCAATGCACGTATCGATCAACATAGCCAATCAATCTTCACAATTTAACCACTCCTGGCATCATATAACATGCATTTCTTCACGGCAAACTCGGCTTATTAGAGTCACAGGACTTGGCACAGTAGCATCGCATGCAGGGCTATGAAAGCGCAACCAATCAGGATCTTGCCCGTTGTCCCCCAGTTGATCTCGTTCCTTCTCCAAGATCTTCTGGAATATTAACAAACGAGATCTTAAAGCGACGTCAATGATTGGACGCTCGTATAACTGAGAGACAGGGGCTTCATTCATCAACGGTCTGAAGAAGCGGTCTGCCCTTTCTGAGACCCATCTGAAGCGACAGGAACAGAAATTTGAGCCACGTCCTTGAGGAACGTGGATTCTGATTGGTGTGACAGTTTATTACTGATAATCTGTGCCAAAGTGAACCAGGGGCAAGTGTCACAAGATCGGTTTTTGCTATGCTTTCTCATGCCAGGGCAGCATCACGATGATGAAGGGTCTCACCTGACTGGGTTTCAAGCATTGACCGCAGCCATCAAGGACACCGCTGCGGGTAATGTCACGTCTACATTCTCCCACTCTGCCGGACTGCCTCTTTCAAATCTCCCGAGACATCACCGGCAAGCCATTTACCGTACATAAAAGAAGGTACGTTCGCGGCATACCTATCCTCGGCGCAGCCGTTATCTTTTTCTGCGCCTAATACCACATGACTTCCGCGTAGGAATCATTACGCGACTCGATTCAGACCGCTACGATTCGACCACGTAGAGAATGTTGGCGGGTCTGCGAAGTCGCAAGTCATCAGTGATTCGTTCGTCAAGGTGTTATTCTTGCACATCAAATCCTAAAAGATCACGGCCTTGCGCCGGATGACGACATTAAGAGCTCATTGTGTTTTCCACGCTTTCCGGCCTTTGAGAAACCTATCATTGCTGGCACCTAGTTAGGACTGCTCCACCGGTTGGCGACGCGCCTCTGCATACCCCTGGGCCATTAATGTCCAGAATGCCGATATGTGTGTTGATTGTCGTCGAGAAGATGATCATTGCAAACGAACGTCATTGCACATTAGAGGCTCCACTGAAGGATCAAGTATCCAGCGTCGACCGAACTCGGGAGCTACAGATCCAATTATGTAATAGCAAAGGGAGCTTTGGCCCCCGTTGAATTAAGCTTTCGCAAAGGCAAAGCTCTACTTACTCTTGACCTGGAGTATGTCACTTACTACTGCATACATTACTACAGGTGCCGGTATCGAGAATCTACGTTGTCTACGGAACTTGATGGGATGTTACCCAACAATTTCTTGGCAAGTAAATCAGCAACCCACTATACTCATGATGAAGAGACGACGGCACGGCACGGCCCCAATCAGCTGCCAGCTGCGATGCCGTTGCTGCAACCATACCACTCGACAAGGGAGCAGAGAGCCTAGGTTGAATCAGATGCTGTGATACCGCACCTCGGGGCATATGGAGGGGAAAAACTCCAAACAGGTGTTGGTCGATACAAGCGCCCACGATGTCCAATAGAGAAGGATGCATTACGGGAGTACCCGCCAACATGTACGGCATACTGAGACTTGCAGCCGCTGCTGCACCTGCCAGTCACAATCACCAACCCCGCTCCCGACAAGATCGCTGCCCAGTTGGAAAGGACTTGAGCAGGCCGCGTCAGGATTATTGGCGACGGTTATCTAGCAACGGACAGACCCCGCCTCTGACGAGTCAGCTCTACGCCGATCTCTAGAGACCTGCGATCTTATCACTACGTTGGGTGAGAATAGCCGGTTGTTCTTTGAGTACCACCGGGGTAGGGCACCACACACACATTGATGGAACCAAATTATCGACGCCCGCGTCAAACGTGGGGTGACTTTCTTGCCGGACTCCGGACTCGGAGACACACTTTGTACTTTGAGGCGGATGCCACTACAAGTCGTGAGTCCGTCGTGGCTAGGATCGTCCGGACCCATACAACATTTTATACATCAAAAGAGTTTCGTATCATGGAAACTCCTTTGATGCGAAACCTTAGGAACTGAAGTTATACTTGGCGGAGAAGGAAGTCCGCGAGAACGCACTGTGACCTGTGCACTACACTTCGTCCTCAACCTATGCAGCAATTTGAGGGCTGCCGGCTTGGCGTGGCATGTCGATGAACCGGATAGCAGCAATGAAAAAGACTCGAGAGTGATGAAAATTATAAAATAGGTCTGGGGTGGTGGTAATTACGCCCTGCTTGTTCGTTGGCCCCAGAGCTCAGGGTTCAGGGCCCACGGCCCACGGCTTTAAGAAGGGGTTCCCGGCACAGCGAGATGTTGCGGGAAGTAGGGGGATGTTCGTGAGTCGTAACTGTTACGCAATCAAAGAGCTTCTCCTGGACTCTCCTAGACTTGTAGTTTCGTAATCACGCGACAGGCACGATAACATACTCCACAGACAGCAAAGTTCCGCGCCAGTCTTTGAACCAAGGGGATAACATTTCACCATCACCAACAAATGACGCCGCGCGCATTTGACCAACAAAAACCAGATGACCTGCGCGGATCACGGTCGCGATCGAGCGACACTTCTCTCGGCAAGTCTCAAAAACATAAACCATATGCTAGAGTTCACAGCCAACCTGTCGTCTTTGGTTTCTGAAATTGCTAGTTTACCTGTGATAAAACAACCAATTTTATTCCCTTGCAACGGGCGTCTTTGGCGCATTGACGATATGCACATCATTTTGCAGCGGAACGATTTGTGGGGAAGAGACGGTCGATCCGAATGCCGTCCTTAAATAGCTGTGGAGAAGCGACCGTTTCAGCAACGACTGTCAATACGGACACCCTCATTCAGACCCATTCAACTCATCAAACTCAGTGCTAGACCCCTGATCGGTTCTGAGGAAGCCGTTACGCTACGGTTGTTGAATAGGGGTTGAGCACTGGCAGCTTTTTGGCAACTCTTGGAACCATCAGACCCCGCGGCTCACGGTACCCCGGCTGACATCATCAACCTTCCGTCTGAAGCAATCCCGACGTACACTAAGTTTCTGCTCGGCTCGTCTATACTTTTCGAGATGGCGTCTATCCACTGCTTGGTGTTTTATATGTGCTCCACATAGTTGCCTGCATTCTCTCATAGCGTCTACTAAATTCGCAGCAGGCAGCGCAATTCACTGCCCACATCTGGAAGCATACCACACAAGTTAGATATGTACAGCAACCCACCGTAGCACTCGGCGGTGAACGGCATCCACCCGCTTATCGCATGTCTGGCATCATCGACTGAGCACACGTCTTGGCCTTTGGCATTTTGTAGGGGCACGGAGAGTAAATGGAACAATGTTGAAATAAGGCGATGCTCCGAGCAACGCCAAGCCGTTGAAGCAGAGTCGAAGCATTTTCTCCGAGCTCCGTGTGTGTAACGAGCACAGAAACGGAGTACAATGGGGCATGAAGATGGGAAAACAATTCCACCACATCTCTCCTTGTTCTAGAATATTTCCACTACGGATCCTAGCAGAAAATCTCCGCATAGAAAACTGGGGCTTATCCAAGGCGTCGGATCCATCGATAACGGTCATTACGGAGTATGAATGTTTCCAAGTAAGTGCTTGAAAATCCACCCGTCACCTTTGGCCATCGGCTGGCGTTGACACATAATTAATAACATGCTAATTATGATGATAATTTACGACGGTCCCATTCGCCAGCCTCATTCACCATGACCACCTACTGGGTTTGCCATGCGTGCCATAGACGCTCCCAGAAGTATCGACTCGATGTTTATCGCATCGATGCGTGTGAGCTTTCCCCCACAAACCTGTGTAACAGTGGAACCTGGTGGAACCATATCTATTGCTGTCAACATGAGCAGTGACGCAGCCACAAGATGCAACTGAACCCACCAAAACAGCTTCTCCGCCCACAAGGCTGCAGGCATGGTCCCATTGCAGGTCTTCCTGTTGCGGCGCCTGCTCACGCCCATGGTCAGCCTGTCTACGGGGCCGCGTAGAGTTCAGTCATGCACTGCGCCGCCAATCGCCTCGATCAACTCTGGTGGACGGCCAATGCCTGACGATACCGGTTTCGACGGAAGGCATCTCCTGCAGGCTCGGTTGCATTCAATCGGTCACCTCCAAAAAAAGAAGAAGTGACAAGCTCTGGAGCCTACGGCCACGATGTGACCTGACCCTGGGCACAAGTGATCTGTCACATTCTGCACCAGTCCCCCAGTCTGTACCACGTGGCGTAAACCGCTTTTAGCACAATCTGTGGCTGGGCATAGTCCATATTGCTGGTGGGTAGTCATTCTACGCGATGCCATTATCTTGTTTCTTGAATTTGGTCTTGGCATCCCAGATGACTTGAGTGTCCTGCATGGTAATGCCGATCATCCACTCTTATTGAACATGTGGTAACCTTGGGGAAAGAAGCGACATGGCATGATATGCATATGCTGCGGGCCGCCGTTTCCGGCCAGTATACGTACCAACGCCTGGACATACTGAGGAGATTAATCCGCGAGTTGGTCCAATCCGTTGGCAGCCTCACTTATCTGCAATATCCTCTTTGTCCTACTTGACGAGTCGATTGGGAAGCCTTTGCGGAGAGTTTAGTGCTCGATGGCCTATGGCTCAAGCCGTTGGCCACAATCTGCTACGTGGCGATGACAAAATACATAACATATGGAAAGCTTGGAAGCGATCGAGCAGAGCGCTGCAAGGCTGGACCAAGACTGTCTCACCCTGTGCTGCTCTCGTGTTGTCAGCCTTACGCCAAATCCCGCACAAGTCGATATGACAGGTCGATTCTTCAAGCAATTCGGCCCCGAGCGTCCGCTGCAGGTTTGATTCATTCTGATCGCCAACGGGGGTCCTATTACCCGAGTGAGGACATGATGCAGCTGGCTGGTATCCCCGCGTAGAGGTACTTTGGTCTACCACTACGGAGGCCCAGCCCATGCTGCTCCAATTATCCCTTGCCTGCCGCAGCGGAAAGCGCTTGCGCTATTGGGCAAGTGTCGTCTTTGCGGTGCGTGAGGATCATCAGCATTGCGAGCGTACATCCTCGTGGGCGCGAATGACTGGTGCGTTGGCATTATTGGCTGACGCGAGCCATTTGAAATCATGGGAAAGTTCACCACGATCTGCGTTGGTCCATTTTGCACTACTCGAGGGCGGTCCGGGTACGCATTGTTCTCCATCAACCCTATAGCCGAGAAGACGCGTTTTTGCTTTATGTCCTCGGCGGCCTCTTCGGAGGCTGCTGCCCGCGTTTCTCTCCCCCGCCCCCTTGCCGAACCGTTGCTCATCAGGGAAAGCAGCGAAGTCGGCATACCTTCAGTCTACGGAGGAGAAGACATGACGCTTCGATCCGTGTCCCTTCCGAGATCGCCGGCACTCGCCTTTCCTCCGCAGAGCCGTCTACATCTGACACAGTCGGAGCGTAGGATTCAAAGTCCAACGTCAGGCTTCGGCCGGCCGCTAGCGATATTCCCTGCGAATAGTGCGCTATATCATACTTACGCGATACTGGCTAACATGATATGATCAAAAGCCGGGCTCGTGACAGTCGTATCATCTGACCGCTCTCTTGTTTTGGTACCGTCGCGCTGGCTCCTACAAGCAGTCAGCGTGTGCGCTATCAAAAGCTGGCCAAGCAAATCCTACACTTCGAGATAGCAGATGTTGACTACCGTGCACTAGCTCTGACATGCTGCCCCGATATGGGGCGTCGTCCAACCTCGATGCAACTTCTCATCTCGCTTAGGCTCCTTTCATATGATAATAGCCACATCATCAAAGTCTTCACAGCAAAAGCCCGAGCAAACCGAACCAACCAGACCAAACCAACCAGACCAAGTCCAGGAACTAGAGCTCTAAAATGGAAAGGCGGAGAGACGGGTTGCCTGGATTCGGGATCGTGCTTCCGACAGTTGTCATGGGACAGGTAATGAGATATTAGGTCAGTCAGATTTTCCTATGCGGTCGGCATGCGTTCTCAATGCTGCAATGTCGTCTCGCATGACACGGCGAAGTCACACCCCCAAAAAGCGCTCTTTCTCCTTGTCCGATGCCGCAGCGGACGACGGCGCAATGTGAACCTCACTGTCGATCTCCTCAAAGGACTGGTTGTTAGGTAATGCTGTGCGATCTGGCCTTACCTACGAGGATATTCCGAATCCCCCGCCCCTCTGACTGACTGCGATTCCGACTGCATGCATCCAATGCACTATACGATAATCACCAAAAAATGCATGTGCTTTTTAGGTAGGTGTTATCATCACTGTTTGATGCCAAGAGTAGAAACAGGATGTCTGAGGAACTCGAACTGCACCTGTGGGTGGTCCGCCTCGCAATGCCAGTGACCGACCCTATCATAGTCCAGCTTCTTCTTCTTCTTCTTCTTCTTTCCTTCCTCCTTGCATTACTTGCTTACTTGCGCCTTGCTTAGTAGCTGTAGCCAAAATAATAATAGCATGTAGTACGAGCAGCCTTGTGTCGCCCCGGTCTTCTGCAGCACCAGCATTTACCCGCTGATCCTGCAATACGCTTTTTGTCATCCTCAATGCCGTGGCACCTGGATGCCTTTCCCGCCTCTTCGGGCCCGTCGCTGGTTGGTGCAACGCACAGCGCGCCGGGGGAAGCTGACGACCCCGAACCCCTGGTTATCGGGCCATATTGTTTGATTTGACGTCGCGGCCGGTCTGGCGAAGGACACAGTTCATTTGAAATTATTCATTTGGATCGCACACACACATACACAAATTTTGCCTCCCCGTTTGCGGACCATACAGCATAGGTAGCATCCCACTCGGGTACGCCTGTTCTGCGGTGTACCAGCCTTTCTATTTTGCGCGGCGGATTGCGCAATCCAGATCTGCTGTGGCTATCCTTGTGGGATGATGGTTATGCGTGCCATCGGGTGAAATGTTCTCTTCTGAGCCGATTATCCTTCCGCTTGTTTATTTTGTCCTTCCTTTCGTCATTTCCCATATTCGTTAGACCCGTTCCGGTTCTGGATTCTTTTTACTTGTTTTTTTCTTTCTTCTTTTTGCCCCTGCTTTCCCACAGAAAAAAAAAGGATTTTCCATGATTGATTCGGGGCTAGATGATAATCCAAACCGTGTGACCAGGCAAACTCAATCGATACCTTGTGTTGGATCGGGCCCTCGTCTATCGAGGCGTTCTACGTCTCATTGCGTTTCGGCCCGCATCAGGCAAGCCTAAGAGCAGGCGACCTCGCTCGAGCGTGGGTGTTTGCCATTAGCGTCTGGATCCCTCAGTTGACAGGCCGCCGGCTTGGCTATACGTACCCAAGAAATTTGGTCAGAAAGCACCCTTTCTGTTTCTAAGGTTCAAGGTGTAGGACAATTTGCATCTAGGGCTGACAGGTGCCAGGTACTACGCGTAACGTCGAGCTGTCTCGGAATAATACTTGTTTGCTTGCCGCGTGATGGGACGGCGCTATTCGCTGGGACTGGTTCATGGTGGCTAGTGGCGGTTCAAATGTGAGCCTGAGGTTCTGCTCGTGGTTCGCATCCCAGTTTCCTGGTTAGCGTCGGTGGAGGGAGGTCTCACCATGTAGTAGGATGAGACTCCGCACAGTGGAAGTCACTTGCTCGTGAGTTTAACAGGATTATCGTAATGAATAAAGAGCCGCTAGATAACAAGAAGTGCATCCCATACTTAACTAGTAGATTTGGAGTATTTCCTTGTGTCTCAAACAGCACTCTTCACCGTGTTGCCTAGCATCCTTGTTTTTCAGATCTTGACTATGATAGTACCTCTGTTATAGATCCAGCAGGTACATTATGAAAAGAACGGCTACATAGCTCAACCATGTCCTTTTCATCTCTTAAATACACGCTGAGTTCAATAGTGTGCCTACAAAAGTGTCCAGACCCTTCCATGATAGCGTTGCTGGGTAGTCAGACGGTATCGCGCGTTTGTTGACGAGGCTTGTTGAAACACTCTCTATCATAGCCTCATCAACAATCGAGAGAGAGGCAAAATCATATACAAGCCAAGCAACTATGTCAGTTTGATATTTCATCTCGTAGAATTAACTCTTGAAGTCTACCACGAAAGCCGACTTTCTATGTTATGGTGAAGAACGGTACCCAGAGCACCATGTACGTGATCTCGGTTACCATGTCCCGGATTGAAGGCATACCTGTATTTCGGACAATACATAAACGCCGGATCACATTTAGATAGGGATTCATTGAGCCCGGAGGTGGTCAACTTTTGATATCGTCATGTTGACAGTCACGAACACTACAATGCACAGTCTCCACTTTCCGTTCAGTATGCCCATGGCCCCAAAGATACGAATCTCGGATGAACATCTCATTCATAGGCTAGAGGTTTCACATTAATGGGAGTTAGTGTTTGCTTCGCATGGTAGTCCAACTAACATGCTCGCCACTCCTCGATGTCAAGGCACAGTTCGAAAGCAGCAGAAAAGACGCCAACTACGGTACACCGGTACACGGCTACGAGACTTTGGTTCTTTCCGGTACAAGATAATATTCACATCTTGCCTAGCTACGTGTACTGTACCACATGCTCGTAGTCTAGGGGGGGTGCACTGCCACCTTGGCGTCATTTGATACTGGCAAACATGACCAAGCACTCCTCAAACACATTACATAGGCTATGCAAACCCCGTATGGGAAGTTTCACCGTTCCTAGTATTATTACGTGTTAAAACGTCTTCGGTGGATACTGTTATCTTGACGTGTCCAGCGTCGTCTACCCCTCCCCAGGATTGAGGATTGGGGCGAAATTCGAGACCAGGTGACAACTCATATACTATGAAGGGATTAGGATCAAGAAAACTAAGCCGATATGGATACTCTTTATTGATGCTAATTCTAGCCGAACCTGTGTCGACGAACCCATGATTAATCCCTGAGCCACAGCTGCCACCGCAGCACCATCAGCAACAATGATTGTAGATGGCCTGGGGCTCAGAATTCGAGAATAGAGGTGATTGCAGGACGTAATGGTTGATGCTACTGGCGGAAAAGGCGAGCTACAATACCATGTGTTAACGCAGCACGGAGCTGAGTACGATTCTTGGAGACCAAGACACATACCGATGCAGCGCTCGAAGCCGTCGAGTGGGTCGTTGCGATGTTCCGGATGTCATGAGAGGTATTCGCCGTATGAGTTGCAGCGAGAACATATCTTGCTCCGTGCTAGTCGGGAAGCTTGTCTGCGAGTTGTCGAGGAGCACAAGCAAGCTTCATTGAAGTCGACAGCGATGGCTGGGGTGGAGATAAAGATGGGGAGGGACTTCGACTTAGAGATGGATTCGGATTCCCGCAAAGCATCCAAGGAGAAGACCATCAAAGCAGTCAACCCACCTGAGCGCAATTCAAACCTTTCACAAAGCAGCACAACTACCATCCAGCCCCAGACCAGAGCAAAAAGCCGAGCAAATCAACTACATTGACGCCCTCCACCTCCTCAGGGGACCTAGACGTTGGTCCAGTCGAGCACGGACAAATGGGGGAGGGACGGATGAATGATGATTAGACATGGCATTGATGCCGCGAGGAAGGACCAAAATGGTTGAAGGTAGTCATATAATGGCGGCAGAAGAATTTGTCTTTCTGTGCATGGGGGCATGTAGCAAATGCCAGCGAATGGAAATCTGTTGACAACAGTGAAGCGAAATTAGCACTGCAACTGAGACCAACTGGCCCAGGTTTGTTAGTTCGGTCACATTGAGAATCAAGTAGTTGTAGGATTGACGAAATCCAAACCACACGAACATATGCTGCTAACCCGTAGTCGCGAGTTTCATATAAAGACATGTTTATGACTGAGTGGTTGTTCGAGATACGAACGTTCACTTGCACCTAGTCCTCCTTTCCAGCACTTGTCACGGATGATCCATCTCTCCCGCTCGAAGTCCCCAGAGCCCTTCACCATAGCAGCCCAATAAACCCACCACTAAACATCAAAATGTACATTTCAGACTTGTAGCAATGATGATACATAAACAGTCGTAAGACAGACGCTTGACCGGCGCATCTAATCCCCTATCCTCAACGCCAAACAACGCCATGCATCCGTAATCCGAGCTACCATACTTTCCATCTCCCTTCATCAGTAACCGAGCAGAATCTTCACCAGCATCGCCACCAGCAGTCCACCGAGCGTGATGATGGCATAGTCAACCCACACCGGTACGCCAGCATTGGGATCCAGCTGTCTCGCCCTCTGCGCCACGGCCTGCCCCACCGGATCCGGCAACGGGGCTGTCCTCGTCGGCGCGGGTACACCTTGTGCTGGTCTGGCCGGCAGAGCGGATGTAGCCACGTTCGGCACGGCCGGAGGTTGATGTTGAACCTGTTTCTCGGGCGCAGTCGGCACAAAACCCTCGGCCAACTGCGCAATCTCCGCATCCTCCCCCGCACCCTCCGCCTCAGTTCTCTCAGCCTTTGCCTTCTCCTTTTCCATCTCATCCCTAAACCCCATCTTCAACTCAGCAGGGACCTCGACCTCCTCCCTCTTCTTCCCCACCCCTTCTTGCTTCTCCCTCTCCCTCCACAACTCCTCACTCTCCCTCAAAATCTCCTCATTACTCCTCCCCCCACACCCATTGCACTTCCAACCCCTACTCTCCCTGGCCAGTCTCCTCCTAACCTCCTCCCCGGTAGTCAAACCGCCAATCTGCCCGCCCGCATCCGTCTCCATGAAACTTCTCAGCGCGACAAGCGCCGTCCGCACCCCCCACGCCGGCTGCCACGTCTCCTCGTGATGACCCGAGATACTGAGGCAGATTTCGCGGTTCGCTTCGAACCGGCCGCTGGGCGTCGTGAAGCGGAAGGAGGGAGGACGTAACGGGTACGTGGGAGGCAGCACGATGCGTCCGTGGTAGATGCCCTCGGCAAAGGCGGAGTTGGGCGGCCCGCGCAGCGTGAAGTGCCATTCGAAGAGGTCTGATTCCAAGGGGGCTGCGGTGTAGTCTGGTGAGGGGGATTGGGAGAATTCGGCGGCTTCTTTCACTAGGTGAAAAGTTAGCAGGTTAGAAGGAGGGCCGGGTAGATGGTTGACAGATAGGGAATGAAGGGCGCGTACTAATGCGCCGCATCGTGGGCGATTTCGAGTTGAACTTTGTGGCCGCCATCATGGTGGATGTGTCAAGGTAGTGGCCGACGCCTCAGATAACTGTCTTGATGGGGATGCGCCGGGAAGTTCGCGTTCATCGGCGTCGCATATCTTGCATTCTTGATGTGCACTTCCCAAATACCTCCTGTTGTGTTTTAACGGAGAGGTGGTGACGCTTGATACAAAGAGAAACAGACCTTGGCGGAGTCGACAGAGATGATGGAGCTACAAGTGAATGCGACGTTGTTGAATTGGCAGCTTGAGGCTTGGAGACACGTAGCACATGAGACCCCCCACCAGTCCACATGACGCCAGCGGGAAGGGACCCTGAAAATGCGCTGACAGGGAAGCCGCAGTAAAGCTAGATAGGCCGTTCCGCTACTGGGACAATATGGGATAGCCCACTATCCCTGTGCAATGGCGACATGTTAATCTGATCGGCTAGTCGAAACTCTCGAATGAAATCTCATATTCATGGAAATTCAGGCACGAACATATTGTTCCATGTTCGAGTCCAAGTGCTCGTACGGCTCAAGCATTTTATGTCCATATGCCAGCTGGCGTCAGCTGAGTTGCATATAGACTTACTACCTGGCGTAAACCTGAAGTATCTGCAGCATGTCCGCCGTGTATCTGCAATATGTCTGTCTAGCCTTACACATAGCGCTTAGACATAGGAAGATCCTCGATGAAGTCTGTAGGAACGGAGAACCTGGCCACTCCACCGTTTTTCTCTAGCGTCTTCTGACTATTGTCTCCATCCATCAATCCTCCCGTCACCTGGTGGACAAACGACCGGAACTCGTTCGACTCCTGGATGCTGCACCTAACACTCGACGTTTCGGCGTGCTGAACGGCCGCTGACATGGTGTTGAACTGCTTGAGGCAGATGGGGCAACTGATCAGCGCCTTGGGCCGGTGGGCGGGGGACTTGAGGTGGCCGACTAGAGCCTGGGCCTTGGGGAACTTGGCACTATAAAAATTGGTCAGTACAGCTCGGTGACAGGTAAAATATAGGCAAGATAGTATGGTACTTACCCGCATCCGCCATGGGGACACTTGAACTTTCCAAGTATCGACTCAAAGAAGACATGTGCAGTGAATCCAGACGCATCGGGGTCGATGATACGGCCGCCAGAAGTCACAGTCTTTGCGGACGGAGCAGAGGCCGTAGCCCGCCGAAGTTGCTCAGGCGTAGGGATAACCTTGGCAGGCGCGTTAGGGAATAGGTCCTTCGTCTGACCCCAGACGTTGCCCTGAGTGCCAGTCATGGGCGGCTTGGTAGGTTTGAGAAGCTCTTCTCCAGTCAGCAGATCGGACACCTTTGAGTTACCCATTCGGTAAGCTTGGAGGCTCTCGTTGGGCTTCAGGTAGTTGCTCTCTCGGACATGCATCCTGTAGTTGTTAGGACGGTCGACAGTAGGCTTCTCGGCCTTTCCGGTCGTCTTGTTGACGGCAGAGCGGGTCGTGCTTTCCGCGTATTCACCGTCATTGTCTACCTTGAGAGTTTGAAGAGCTTTGGGCAACTCGTATTTCATGTCCCGTCGCTCGTGCAGCATCTCAGGAGTGATGACGGAGCAGATATGGTTCTCAACGTGTTGCATCAAACCTCCCGCCTTGTTGAAAGCCTCTCCACAGCCGGGGCAGCGGAGCCTCTGCTCCTTGGGGTGGTCCTAGAAGAAATCGTTAAGTTTAGTCTCAAGAATGGGGGGGTAGGAAGAATGCATGGGCTCTGGCTACTCACCTGGAACTTGTGCAGCTGGATGGAATCCTCATCGGCGAAATCCTGGTTGCAGATATCGCACTTGTAGTGAAGGTTCATTTGCTGGTGATGCTTGAGTAGGCGGATGTGTCTGAAATTTTCGTCGCATCGGGGGCACTGGAACTCGACACCTTCCTCAGTGGGAGCTTCGCTGGGCGCATAGCTGGAAGGCGCGATGGCGCTCCACTGGCTTCGGGTTGACTGCCCGTCGGACATGATTTCTTCATGAAGCTATCGTCAAAATTGGGATGAAACGATTGAAGTTATGATGGAACAAGTGGAGAGGAGGTGATGGCGGAAGGGTCGATGTCCAACTTGGCATGAGGCAGAGTAGGCGGAGGAATTCGGGAAATGATCCGCTGTCTCTTGGATAAGTTGAGTATGTAGACTTACTGTTGAAGTTTATCTGTGGATAGAATGGGCAGCAGAATGCTAGGAAATGAGGACTTCAAGTGCGAGAAGTTTGAAATCGCAGATGAGGCTCTGAAGAAAGTAGAAGAGACGGGAAGGTGCAAAGGAGCAGTGTGAGTTTGCAGGATCTGCAGCAGCTAGGTCACTACCCCCGAGGCACCACGCATTAACTGATCAAACAAAGGGGAACAACATATTTTCGCAGACCCAAGCATTGCAAAATCCTACCATGTTGGTCTAGTAGATGTCAACACGACCAACTTACATTGCCGCGATGATGGTACCACCTTCGCCAAGTTCCGCTTTCATTCCTACCTACGTAGTCAATCTGACGCAAGCAGTCACTGAATGCTCTTCCTCGTTGATGCATTTCATGAAGGTTATTTCATGCTCGGCTTGAGATCTTTTTCGTTATGCTTTCAAGTGCTTAAGTACATATGAGTTCAAGTTGTTTGTACTTCGTTCACACATATAAACTTGAGCCGGCAGGCCCTTTTACCTCATCTGATGGGTTGTGGGAAGGCATTTCGTAGGTTGTCCTATGCCCATTGTATCATACCCGATGACAGAGAAGAGACCAAGATCTCAAGAAGTAGGTTTTGTTTGGTCAGCTACCAAGGGCAGAAGCTCCTTGAAATGACACTACTTTGATGGGCAAACGGTATCAGTCCCAGAAGATACTACTCGCACCCTAGTTGGAAACGTAAACATCTACGGGTACCACAAGCCTCGACTTAACAGCGCGAAGCAATCCATATCTTGAAGAGCACAAAAAATTATCTTCTGTCCAACTATCATAGGGTATCATAAGCCCTTCACTAGAAACAGCCTGGGTACACAGCTCGCTCGCTCCTGAAAACGCCAGCCGATGCAACTTTCCCGTGCGTCTGTATTGCTGATGTATTTGGAAACAAATATCAAACAACCAGCCGGCCCCCAATGCAGTGTACAACATCGAATCTGAAAGTCTCATTTGGCCCTCCTAAGTATTCATGAAAATTTCTACTGCCTCGTTTCTTTCTGCACCTCCTGCAACAGACTCCCGATCCGATCCAAGAATTCCTTATCGCTGTCGAGGGAGTCGTCACTTCTCGGCCTCTTCCGAGTGCTTGCTGAAGCCTCGCTTCTGTACGCTGCTAAATCCTTGTCTTCGTCGTCTTGCGGTCGACGCTTCCGCTTGCAGGCAGAAATTGACGCAATAGAAGGTGAACTGCTCACCCGAATGCACCGGGTGTGTTCTAATGGAAGACTGTAGTCGGTCAAGTCGGCTCTGGGTGGCGTTGACTGTGATGGTGTGACCGACGCTGTGCGAGGAAGACCGAAATCTCCGAACCCTTCGTAACGCTTGCCTTCTTGCCGCATCGGGTTCGCCAGAGACTCATGTAGATATTCTCCATTTGGCATCTGCACCAGACCGTTTGCCTTCAAACGCCAGTATGGATCCGAAACTCGTGACTTCCTTGTCTTGGCGACACGGCTGTTGTTGAAGCCGATGCTAGACCGATAGCTCGAGCTGAAGGTCGAGTTCCGTATGCTCCCGGTCGACATCGAAAGGGAATCCCGCCCACTGGAAAGTGCCTTTATTTTGGCTGTCTTGGAGCCTTCTTTGAAGGGTTGAGGCTCGGGCATACATTGTAGAGGTGGCAGACCGTGACTCCGGCGACGCTGGTTTTCAAGTCGGAGCTTGGATTTCTCCGAGGGTGGTGGTGCATGAACTACTGAGTCGATCTTATCGTCTCTAGCAGCCAGATGGGCGGCCGCCCGTTGGTCTCGCACTCCGTCAAAGATACCCGACGCGAGTAGTGCCTCCTCGACCTTCTGTTCTCGTGTTCGGATAGACTCTCTCATATTCTGTTCCTTCTTTGCCTTTGCCTTAGCACTCCTACGCAGTGCATCCACTACTTCCCGCTCGTTCCTCTCTTTTGTGGCCCTTTCTGCAGCCTCCCGCTTGGCAACATTCTCAGGAAGATTCCACTGCCTAAACTTATCTCGTTCCATCTTGATACGTTTGACTACGCTGCGCTTGCGGAAGCCTTCAAGCCAACGGTAGAAGAACTTCACGTGTAGATATTCCTCCCGGTACTTGCGCGCTATCGCCCAGGACTTCTCGTCCTCCTCTCGTCTTCTACGCTCATTTTCCATTTGCTGGAAGCTCTTCCATGCATTCTCCAGTAAATTCCTCACCAGCCACTCCTCCAATTGGTCTTCCAATAATCCATGATCACCGCAAACGAACCACCGGGTGAAATTCCCGAATGGGTCGTTCTGCGGCTGGGGTTGAGCCAGGGTCGGTGCCTGAGGAGTGAGCTGGAAGCTGGCTTGGGTTAGTGCAAACCGTGGGTCCGTTGTTGTGGTGTTTGGGTTAGAGGTAGACAGCTGGGCCTGGGTCGGCGGAGAAACTGTCAACAAAGCGGGCATGGATCCTGATGGAGGCACTTGACTTGATATTAGTGCATCGTCCTGGCTTGTAGGTGATTTCACCGCAGGCGCTTTGTAGAATGGCGATGGGCCTACAGACGTGCTCGATGCAGGTAGAGGAGCAGTGCTTGATGTGGTCGCAAAGCCAGAGAATTTGAAACCTGTTCCAGGTGTTGCTGATGCACCAGAAATGATGGAACCCTGCGATCCATCTTTGTTGCCTGCAGCAGTAGTTGTATCTGGCGCTATTGAAGGGAACCAAGAGGATTGGCCACTGCTGGGATTCAAAGGGTTTGCGACAGAAGGTGTATGGCCATCATTTTCGTTGAGGAAGTTGAAGACACTCGAGGATACATTGCTGCTTGTAGGAAAGCTCGGGGGTTCTATATAAGTATTGTCTCCAAACGTGACCTTCTTTTCGTTTGACTGTGAAGGCGGCACAGTGGCTAAGCCTTCCGATGACTTCTGGCCACTCTGTAGATTCGGGGGCTTTGAGAAGATGGAGCTGGATCCTTGCAACAACCCACTTAGAGGATATGGGGGTATAGTTGAGGTGCTTTGGCCAAGAGGCTTGTCAGCTTGGGCGAATAAGGAAGTGCCTGGTTGAATCCCAAGGCTTTTAGGCTTGGGGTCGGCTTCGGTCAGAGATGGCTTGCTGGCCGCATCATGAAGAACCGAAGATGTCAAAATCGGGTTAGGTGTCGGTTCGGCATTCTCAATATCCTGTAGTGGTGTACTTCGTCCGGATTCGAAGGAGATGCTCTGGGGTTCTTCCACGAACAGACTGTCATGTTCACTGTGGTCTGGAGATTCGTGTTCATCGGCGCTTTCGAAGACGGTTTCGTGTATGACGTCCGGTAATGATCTTCTACAACGTTTGCGTTCCACGATTCCATGGGAAAATGAATGGGGGATTCGCGGCTCTTCATACGTTTGCCGGGCATTGACAACGAGGTTCCGGTTACCCATCTCCTCCTCGAACACTAGGCCATGTTGCTCCGCATACTCAATGGCTTCCTCCTCAGTATCGAAATGAAGGCGCCGCCTCAAAAAGGCCGGGGTCAAATCCTTCGGTCCATCGCGTGGCCGTGAGTATGCTTTTTTAATGATCTGAAGTATGCTTCGCCGTACCCTGTTGAAATGGATTTCGGCAAAGCAGGCCATGGTGTACGAGATCTGAGGGGCAGAGACAATGGAGAAGAACATAGATGCCATGTCCAATGCAGTCTCGGTTGGCGCCGCAGGAGTGAGTGGGCCGTGGAGTCTGGAATTATTTTCCATTGCTTCAACAAGACACATGGCGGTTCGTATATCATCAGACGTCCAGAAGCGAGCACCCCATCCTTGAACTGTCTCCTTCAGTGCGGGATCATGAGCATTGAAAAGGACGTAATAGCTACGAAATTCTGCTTCGTTTTCACATTCGATCTCCTTGTCGGCGCAATCATCATACGTATGAATCAACGACAGTAAGGACTTGCCTAGTTGTTCGATCTCTTGTTGCTCGGAAAAGTCCTCGACCGCAAATCCCGGCTGGGACAACAGATGAAGGGCCGTAACATGAAATCTGATGATGGTCTCGAGACAGTACACCTGGTCTTTGATTTCCTCGGGCCCCATGGCATAGGCCTGAAATGCGAAGTCGCGGCGAATCGCTCTTGTCCGGTCCCAAAGGAAGTTATGTCGGTTCGGTAGCAGGTCGTCGGACGGGATAAGCTCGTCGATCAAGTAGTCAAGAGACTTGCGTAATCCAGCCGATGATCGCACGTCCATTGGTAAGGGGGCTTCTTGTCCAGCAGCTGATCTGGCTAGACGCTTCACCATGATTTGTGGTTTTGCAACCATTTCACCGTTGCGATCCTCCTTCTCAGCTGCCTTGACATCGTGCTCTGTGATTCGAGTAATCTTTTCCCACTCGGGGCACATCTCCTCACAAATCCCTTTGAACTCGATGGCCTGGTCAAGTCGTTTCTTCTCGTCGGGGTCGTCGATGAGTCCAGCCTGGATCAAGGATTGCCGAGCTTTCTCGCGGTAGTTCTTGTGTTCTTCACGAAATTTGTCCATGGCAGCTCGTTGCGTCCGACTTCCAGGGTCCTGCGGCCATTGTGGAGGCGCGATGCCATCTTTTGCAAGTTGTTTATAAATCCTTTTCGCGAATTCATCAGTTCCACGACGAGTACTATGCGTGTTCATAGCATTCCCAATCATTGTAACATTGGGGCCTTTCGGTGGAAACCCGTGACGGCCTGTGGCTGGTTTGGAATGAGAGACCGTCTTTGGGTGCTTCTGTTGCATCTGGGCCCCGAGCTCGGCCTTGCGCTTTGCATTCGGCAGTGTGTTTCTGTTTGTCGAGGGATTCGTCGTAGTTTCTGATACTTTCGCCCACGCCGGCTTAACAAAGTCAGAGACCTTCTTTGCCTCGACTCTAGGTGCGCTAGGGCGGTCTTCCGGCTTTGTAGTGAAATCATCCTTCGCAAATGGATTTTTGGCCTGTCTCGGCTTGATGGCTGGTGCTTGGGTAAACGGAGATGCTGACCGTGGACGCTTTGCCGCGAATGTGTTTGACGGTGGCTGTAGCCCAGATGATGCCGCAGCGAAAGGATTTGCTGCAGCTGGTTTGGTCTGAGAGGAAATCTGCGCAAAAGGATTGGGATTCGCCGGGACGACTGAAGCGAAAGTGTTGGTATTGATCGAGCCCGCCGGCTGGAGAAATGCTGCATATATCAGATGTCAGTGGACCCTCCCTGAACTCACAATATTTTGTCTGGTACATAGCAATCTGAATAGCGACGATTCCCAAGCGAAAGCCCATCATTACCGTAACCCCTCGCTGATTTTTCGGGGGAAATCTATCGCGTCACTTCCATATTTGCATTTGAATGTTTGAGGATCGTCCCAATACCATATGGTCCACGCGAAAGGCTGCCTATAACAGCTCTTAAAGCTTGCATAAACGCCTTCTTGCAGGTCCCGTGTTTGCGCCGCTCGGCCGGAACATCGGGCTTCAGTCTTGCGGTTGCGCGCTGCACATGCAGACTACTTCCACCTTCACCTTGTGCTGAAACCCGTGGTACGGTCCATGGAATGGGTGTATTGTGGGGGTCGTCGTCGTCATTCGAGCATGATCGTAGGAAAAGTCGAGGTACTCACGGTTACTTTGAGTAGTCATCGCTCTGCCAAGGCCCAAGCCGCCGCACAACGGGTCAATTCGTTATTTTGATCGTGTTTTCGTTCATTTGTTTTGGTGAGAACGAGCGACTAATATGGGTGATCGAGATGGGAGATCCAATGTTGGTGCAGTCAAAGGTAGTTACGCGCTCGAAATCGTTCACAGGTGACGCTAGAATATGCCGAGTCGGTAAAAACGATAGCGACAGCAGGCTGTGATTCGTTCTTCTTCAATTGGCGTAAAGGAATGTCAGGGCCGGTACTTGGGATTTTGGCGGGCAGGTAGGCTTTGGTCGCGATTGATGGCTTGACATTGTTAAACGTCCGCATTCGATCGTCAACACTTGGAGGTTGCAAGCGGAAGCTGGGTTTCTGCCGCGACAGACCGCTGGACTAGCTCTTGCTAGTGTATGGTCCGTGCATGGGCTGGGATTAACGTCCCGCCCGTTGAAAGCTTCAAATCAATTTGATTTAGACTGTGACAGAATTGATGAATTCAATTTAACTCCAAGGGCCATTAAGAATTCCCTCTTTCTGCGTTCAAGTGCATCCACTGCTAATAAGCGTGTGCTATGAAGGCCTCATTCTTATCAGAATATTCGCGACCTGTCGAGCTCAACATCTAGACCCTTGAACCTCATTCCGATGCTGAACCATTGTAGACGTGTCTTCTCTACTTCATAAAGAATTTTCAGAAACTGCCCATTTGAATCATTGGAAACTATACAGATATCCGCTGTCTAGTGTACTGGGACTGGATCTTCCGTCAAAGGTCGAATGGCAATTCGGAGCTCGAACTGCTTAATACATGACATTAAGCATCGCTGCGGGAAATGCACTAGTACCTACTGAAGTGCTTACGCAGTATAGATAACACAAGTTACCATACGCCTTTTGCGGTCGAATGAGTACGAGTTAGTTAGCATTATAATAATTACAGTTTTGCACATGCCGTAATATATTTCTGAAAGTTAATTTGAAGATGAGGTCATCGGATCCCTACATGCCATGCGGCAGCCAAGCCCGTACCGATAAGACCCGCTGACGATAACGCAGCCCCGATGCTTCGTCTGGTTTGGACAGTGGCGACCCCAAATTCATCTGAGCTCGAGAACTCTTGAGCAGACTCCGGATGTCTCACGGGTGGAACAAACTTCGGTCATGGCATAACCGTCTCTGCCGTCTATTAATGTTTATTGCACCACCTGTCAACTTTACCTCCGCTTGCCGACACCTTCGGGAGAACTTCACCACTCCCCATCAGTCGAGAGTCGAACCACTGAACGGATGGATTCTGTTGGACGCGCCCTCAGCTCAACCTGCAAGCCTCAATGACAACGCAACCTCAACAGTCGATCCCAGCCGGAAGTCCGACGAACAACACAGTTAGCCCAACGCACTTCACTAAACGTGTCCCCCAATTTATCTGCACAGCTCGGTGATTTCGGCCATCCTACGCACGCTAGACGGAATTAGTGGATATTTGCTGTGTCAACCCGAGGCTGCGACAACCCTCCCAAACACCTACTTAAAACCGTTGCTCGTCCCACTGCCAGGCCATGGAATTTTTCGAGGATCCACGCCTCCGCCAGCGGTGGAATCAGATCTCGCACACGACTGAAGCGGTCACCGAGAATGCGGCAGCCGGCATCTGGACTTTTGGGCATACATACATCAACCCTTGCTTGGCATCACTGTCATCGGCTGTCGAGTGCTGCACTGCACCCTGCCTAGGCGACCGGGAAGAACGAGCACGAAGGGCGCGGGATCGCGACAGGGCGCGGGGGAGGGCAGAATACAGCTTTGATTTCTACGACGACTGGGACGACGAGCTCGCCGGCGACGACCCTGGGGGCATCTTGGGAGGATGGCACAACGAGGATTGGGATCGCTTGCTGGCTGGTCGTGGACGAAGTAAAAGAGGAGGTGCCGGTGAAATAAATGAACAACCACTGGGTGGGAGACGGGGCATGAATTACGGGACCAGCAGTGTGCGGCGGAAGTCTAGTATTGCGGAAGATCCGACCATCATCCCGAGCACGGCACCCATTGGCTTTTTGGGTAGATTCCCCTTCAAATTTGGAGGCACTTTGAGATACAAGCCTAGTGCGGCGAATCTTCAAGAGCATCCCGGCGCCCCGAGACACGTACGAGATGGTGAACATGAACCACTACTAGGAACCGATAGTGATGATGGTTATCACCCTTCGGACATACCGCCACAGAATAGGAAGCGAAGCGGGACATCTGGGAGTGGCGATACGAGCGATTCATATCGGTCTAGGGGAGATTTGTTCCCCAGCGATGGCGAGGGAGACTTTGAAGAGGATGCGGTGGCACTTGGCGACGAATTTGCGTTCGCGCTAAGCAACGTAGACGATCAGTCAAGCAGCAAAACGAAAAGCAGCAAGGGAAAGCGCATAGCTGAACGAAACATGCCTCGGAGTTGCTCAAGGACGACGATCAATTCGACACAGTCGAAGTATTCAATACGACCCGGCAGGAGCCCAGGGTCTACACGACAAAGTAACGGTGTGAGGTCAATGACTTCTCTAGAAGATTTGCAGCTCGAAGAGGATCAAATCCGACAGGAGGAGGACGAAGAAGTAGAGAGAAAGAGACAGGCTGCGGCGCGGCTGGCAGTCGACCGTGAACTGAGACGTGATGATATTGAAGTTGAGTCGGTACTCGAAACGAAAGCGGGGATGGTCGAAGTTGGAGATGTGACGGCGACAGAACCAGCCGAGCTGGTAAGTCCAACCGGTGAAGGCCATGAGGTCAGCAAGACAGCAACGCCGGAAAAGTCAATGGCAGAAACTTGGGCCGCAGCACTGGATGCACCCAGCGGTTCCGATCCGCCAGGCTTTGTTCCCGCTCGATTACCTTACTTTAGGTGATAGACACAACTGGAATGTTCTTCGCCGTACGAAGCTACGATTAGTATGTCTTTAATTGACCAGCATCTGTATGTATGACCTTACCGTATAGCGAGTATTTTTAGAAAGATAGTGGGTAATTGGTATCATGGGCGGCTGGCGTTACTGTTAGTACTATTAAATATGCCTTTTCGCATAATCCTCCAAAGGCTGGCTCTTTAATCTTTCACCACATAATCGCAAAACGCTTCCGCAAGTTGATTAGATTATAGTACGCAGTCTAATTTTTTCATCTCGAGCCTAACTGTTGACTACAGCCCAGACGAACCAGCTTCTTTCTAGAAACGTCGCGAGTTTCGGCTCGGCATTCAGTTGTGACATTGTCGAAGGCGTATGCGGGGACGAGCTGTATACCATAATTCGGCTTGATCACCTAAACTGTCAAATGCACATCATGAGGAGTATCCACCTGAGCCGTAGTGCCTCGGCTCCCCGCAAAACCCCAAATTGCCCCACTAGAGCTGTGCAAGGTCAATAGGTTGTGCGGCGTTATAGCCTTTTGGTTCGCAATATGAAGTCTGTAATGTCCTCTTTCATTTGAATCAAGTTTCTATTCATCTCAGAGTTCTTATTGACATACATGCATGGCAATTGCCTCGAAAGCGACCTGTGATTTCTTTATATCTACTTACCAACTATTAGGACTGGGTTGCATATCGTGTCTGCACAATCAACACGGAAAGTAGGGGCACAACTCATCTTCGTGTCGTCACCATATTCCTAGTACGCTTTCTGGCGGAATATGTGAGTCTGTTCTAATAAGAACGGGCGCAATCCCTTGTACACGTGGACTAAAGTTTGACAGATCGTACCGTCTACGCCATCTGATCACGCCAACATTACAACTCTAGCAGGATGGCCACCACGAAATCAAAAACGACGCCGACGGGGCCTATCACCACGCCCCTTACCGTGCTGCTTGGTATCCAGCACCCTATCGTCCTGGCCGGCATGGCGAGGACATCCGGTGCCGCACTTGCTGCCGCCGTGTCAAACGCTGGTGGTTTGGGGGTTATCGGGGGATTCATGTGTAAGCTGCTGGCAATGTCAAGATCACAGAATCTACACTATAGCTAACACCAACCGCCTTTCAAAAGATACACCAGACCAGCTCCGTGAAATCATTTCGGACATGAAGGCGCTCTTGAATGACCCCAACCTTCCTTTCGGCATTGACCTCGCCCTCCCCCAACTTGGCGGCACCGCCCGCAAAACAAACCACGACTATACATCCGGTAAGCTAGACGAGCTCATCGACATTACCATCGCAAGTGGCGCGAGGCTGTTCGTCTCCGCCGTCGGCGTCCCGCCTAAACCCGTCATCGACCGCCTCCACCAGGCCGGCATCCTGGTCATGAACATGGTTGGCCACCCCAAACACGCCGTCAAAGCGCTCGACCTCGGCGTCGACCTCGTGTGTCCCCAGGGGGGCGAAGGAGGGGGCCATACCGGAGACATCTCGAACTCGGTACTGATACCGGCTGTGGTGGATGTCGCGCGACGGTATAAACCGCCTATGCTCAAGGGTTCACCGGCACTGGTCGTAGCCGCGGGTGGCATATCCACAGGCCGGGCCCTAGCCTCCTCACTGATGCAAGGCGCGGTGGGAGTCTGGGTGGGTACACGATTCGTAGCGAGCGTAGAGGCTGGGTGCAGCGAGGAGCACAAACAGAGCGTAGTAGAATGCGGCTTCGACGATACGGAACGGACACTTGTCCTATCTGGCCGGCCGCTGCGCATGCGCACCAACGAATACGTAGCGAAGTGGCACGCCCAGCCGCAGAAGATCAAGGAGTTGTGTGACCAAGGCGTTGTGCCGATTGAGTGGGATTTCGAGCAGGGAAATGAGGTCGATCCGCCGCACTTGATGGGGCAGGTCGCGGGGGCTATCACGAAGATCCAGCCGGCGAGGGAGATCGTAGAGGAGATGGTCGAGGAGGCCGTTGGGATGCTGAGGGTCGGGAGTGGGTATATTGCGAATAGTGCTGTCGAGTCGTCCAAGGCTAGATTGTAGGGCTACTACTGGTCTCGACTGCTCGAAAATCAGATAAAACAAATCAAACCATCGCCATGACACATGAGTACTTCTCAAGCGCTTGTTAAATGACATGTACCAGGAAAGAAGACAAATAGACATCCTTGACCCACTGCATTAGCAAGGGGTTGTTAAACCGCCATTCTTAGGCTTGACGAGTCAGTCGTGGACCCTGAAGAAACTCATTTTTGTTGCTTGTTTGGCCCCACTTCTTCCATCTACGACCCCTGAATTATTTTGGTCTGGGTCAATAAGTGGCAGGACCGAGAGGGAACAGAATGCGCCGCGGCCGCATGAAAGCAGTGCAATCGTTACAACGAGCAAAATTTGGGTCATCCTGCGGGTTCTTGCTGGATTTTGTCCAACCATGGCGTCGTTAGGCTGTGCGCAGGGTAGTAGTAGATCGACGATAAGCGCGGCGACAGGAACGGGACGATCTTCTTGTTGGAAGAAAAAGTGGGTGACGAGTCCCACACGCATATCACTAGAAAACGGACTTGAAGTATCCACATACAGCCCCATTTCGTCCATCGTAAAACAGCCGTTCTAGCGCCACACGAATCAAAGAGCAATTAATTCTCTTCACGACGTTGGAAAAAATGATATAATTTGAACAAGGCATCATCTTAACAGATGGTATCGAAATATGATCTTCAAGTCCGTTTTACAGTTGATGTGAGTGTGGACCCAGCATACGCACCAAAGACGACATAATAGTCAAAATCCGACTAAATGGCTACTAGTCAGCATGTGCGCAGGGCTGAGGGATGGATGAAGTTAGTAACCACTGACTCTGAATCGGGAGGGATCACTTGTCTGTTGTGTTCTCCCCGCAAGAAAGAAAGGAGCTTTGCGTCATGTCTTGAGAATATGATATTGTCTGGTTCTGAAACTAATCTAAGTATGCCGCTTGCTATGCTGCCAATCCAAAGTATCAAATCAATAACAGCTGTTGGTTTTTGGTTGTTGGTTGTTGGTTCGTGGTTCTATGGAAGATGCGGGATGATCAACAGACCCACCTCGCCAATCCCGAGCTATATTGTTTCCTAAACACAGCCGTCACAACGACCGGTTCCTTCTCCCAATGTGACGGAAGCACCATCATCAGGGTGTCCAACTCCTCCCGTGCAGCTTTCATGCGCTTCTTGATAGGCATGTCTACATCTTTGTCTAGTGTCTTCTTCTGCGCTTCCGCTTCGATGTGTTCAACGATCTCTTTGACCTCTTCTTGTGGTGTGTCCTCCACCAGCTCTGGGTTGGAGCCGAGATGCATCCCCTCCGTTTCAGAGACGAAGATCATCTTTTGTAAGGCATTTAGGTCCACCTTCTTCCAGCGCAACACCCGGTATGCACCCTCAGGTATGACGGCCAGGCGTTGGACCTTGTCCAGATCATGAGTAGAGGCCCATAGATCTGAGCATTGCGGATTTAGCTCCGAGGTTCCGAAGAACAATGTATCTCGTATGAAATCGACGTAAATTTGCGGTTGTGCCTTGCCGACGGCGAGGGATAGCTTGTAGTGCTTGAGGGCCTCGTGGCGCGCCTCAGCGTTGACGTGTAAGAGGGCAGGTATCTGCGCATTCGAGCGCCACGTTTGTTCAGTGTCATCTTGTGACTGCACCAGAGCTTCGTCTATGGAGGTAGGAGTTTCTTGTTGGCGAGGTGGCTTCACGACGATTGTTCGTGCTGGTGGCATAGCATGTTGCCATATTTTGATGCGCAGCTCAGGGGGGAGTTGCCGAAACCGATCAAAGGTTTGAGGCCTACTGGCCAGAGAGGAAAATAGTGTTGACAAAGTGTGCTCCATTGTGTTCGAAGAATTATTGGGAAATTGGAAAGTCGCTACGATCGTGAGAAGGGTGCCGATGGCCGAGTCTTATAAGTATCGAGTGGGTGGGATGGGACAAATATAGAGAGGGTGTGTCTCGATCAATGTTTGTTGTCTAAGCAGCTGCTTCTTGGCATGATACTGCAAGTTACGCAACGGCTTGTAGTGGCAAGGGTCCCCGTAGAAAGAATGTGACGAATGCACCTGCAAGAGTACGGGAAGCAACTATTATGTTCACTTGCAGATTTTCAAGTTTCGACAAGATGGCCAACAGCAGAAAGAATCGATGAAGAAGGCCGATTCCTATTCTCATAGGTTGGCTGTTTCAGTAGGCGAGCAACCAGGTTTATATGAACAAGAGCCAGAGAATGGAAGTCAGCAATGAGGGGTTTCATCCTAACAGCTCTGTTGTCGCGCCTGTCGCCACTCCAAGCGCCACGGCAAATCCAGACTTGCAGACCATGTGTTCTGTTTGCAATAGCTTTTCTTCCTGTTCCACTACGCGAATTGTCGGCTGGGCTACCAGATGTAGCTGGAACGTAGTTTGATGATTTGATGAGAAGACTCAACGCCACAATAGGCTAGTGGCCATGTGAAGCAAACCGTCGCGGGCTCCGACTCGCCGTGACCACTTGATCAAGGCTAATGAAGTAGCCCCAACAGCCTAGACGTAGACGGTAAGCTAGTTGACGTTGGGGTCATGCTACCTACCAACTGGGGACCTAGCGTTCGAACTTGATGGCATCCTCCGCTTGTTGCGTTGTCAACATCAGAGAGTTCTTGGACTCGCAAGCTGGGACAGGTCATCCTTTTTCGTCTGATCGGCGAGTGATGCGAAGAAAAAGGCAAACATGTGTCCAACCATCGCGTAGCATGGTCAACCTGGCTTGTAATCAAAGTTGGTAGGGTGCACTGACTGTAGAAGCCGGCGCGTGGGTTGCCGCTCGCCGTTCCCTCAGATGTGCATCGACGAAGCAGTTGCACATGACGCCTCCGGCTGGTTGGTCAAGATCTATACGGAATGCAAGTCTGGTAAGTCGTGAAACAAAACTCCACGCGTCGTCTGTGAGTGAACCAGTCAGTCAGCGAAGGCAGGCTCGGGAGGGGCTGGGAGAGAGGTGGAATAGGTTAGGCCTGGGCTGGACTGGGCTGGGCGTGAAGCGGAGGACTGGCCACAGCCTCAACCCACCAATGACGCCGTGCGGTTCGCCAGACGATGTGGGAGGTGCGATCTGATAGAAGCATGGAAGCCGGTATCATCGTATCAAAACTTCCCGACTGTCGTCTCCGAACATGGAATGCATCCCTCTTAGCATGAGATGGTCGCCGGAAAGCGCTTCCATGATCCCGCCTCGTCCCCCACTCGAATTGACCAAACTCAAAAAACAATGCCCGCATGCCGTGCTGTTTTGATTAGAGTGTCATCATGACCAAATTTGGCTGCATTGTTTGGAGGCATTCAGCATAGCAGATATCTCCAAGTAGACATAATGGTGTGGTTAAAATATGGGGTGTATCGGCCGACGGCGCCTACCACCTCCGGGCACTTCGGGCAATAACCCCCCATGCAGTTACAAGGAGCCAACCTGTCTCTACCTGTCAACGCTCGTCAAGCTTGTTAATCCCACACACCAGCACGCAAACTGAGCATCAAACAGCTGCCGAAGTCGTGTTGTACAAGGTGGGTGTCTCATGATTGGTATCATCATCGTCATCAGTGATCGTTAGGATACTGAAGGACTATTCCACCTTGCCCACAATTGGAATCAATCCTCCCGGTCATCAAGCCATCTTCTGTTGACCCGAGGGATTGCCAATTCGAGGCTTTCCCGAGCGATCCCGCACAATATCAACTTGCACCATTTTGGAAGTTCTTCTATTAAGACACCCCTTGACGCCGTCGCACCTAACACGAGCTTCATTATTCGTCTTTGTAAGGCTGCTTCTCGTATCAGTGCTGTTTGCGCATCTGCATAAACAGTCGGTCTACAATGACGGCGAGAAGGACCCTTCAAATCTAGCTTCCAGGATCAACCCCTTCATCAATTGGCCCTTCGACGGCTGTGCTTCATGCAGCAGCTCCAAGAACTGTAAGGTTCTTCTGGTCACAACAAAAGGTCAGACTGTACCATGCGGTGTTTTCTGGTGGTCGCAACTTACGAGGGCCGACCACCGACAACTTGGCCAGGGAGTCAACATCTCATATTTCTAGCTGCAAAGTTAGAAAGAAGTCGTCAATATGACCGATGTTTTTAACATAACTCATTCGACAGAATTGCGGCGCAGATGTTGTCATGCCTCGACGAGCCTCGTCACCTTAACGTGGTCAGGTGTCTTCGCGCTTACTTGCATCACGAGGTCTCGAGCCAGCAATGACATTCTGTGAAATGCGTCATGCAGTAGGATAGCATGAATACTATCGGCCAAATGCATGGACGGCTCCGTTATTGGCAGTTACAAACCCGACAAGATACAAAAAATGGTACTGCATCGTTATTTGTGTTCACTCCTTTTTCAGCCCACTTACGTACTTTGTATCTTTACAAACTTGTGAGAGGTGTACGAGGCAGACCATGGGCTATGAGATGTGCAAGGACGCGACAAAGAGTACATTATGGGTAACTTTCCAGTATTAGAATTCGTTTAGCACAGTCGATTCACTGGCCAATGGCAATGAGCAAGATTGACCAACGAGATACATAGCTGAAGGATCAAGGGCCTTCCTTCCGGCAGGATTCCATGGTGCCAACCATGTCACTGTTGATATGCGACCGGTGTGTCTCACCAAATAACTACTCACTCACCTACTAAGTAGATGAAGATCTGACGTTCTTTGGCTGAAACTGCAGCGCAACAGGTACTATAGCGATTGCTCACAGATTGCGGAATGTGATGGGGCGGAGCAGCTTAGGTCCTGCTCCGACCTCGTCGCGTCAAGCTCGTCGATCTTGTCTTCTTGAACAACCTTCACAACCAGACGGCAACGGTGAATGGATGAGAAGCAGGCCAGACCTGTTACCCTACCCGTGGCAGTGGCTTCAGGTTAGATTTTATCTAGACCACGGATCTTGCCGGAACCGATGGCTGAAGAGTGTCACATCGCCCATGTTCGGCCACTGAAAACGGCAACAACTGTGAATTTTTGGTCCATCCAGTATTTTCTTGACTATGCACAAGTTCTACTGATTAGAGGAGCTTTCTATTGTTTTGAACTCAACATAGACTATGACCTCGAAACTTGAAACGGCTCTAGAACTCCTGAGGGCTGAGGCATCCATGCAAATATACATCTGTAGTTCGCGCATATGACATAGCACGGGGCATACCGCAAGAACAGAGGACAGTTAGCAGTTGGCACGTATCCGGAATATCATTCTCTACAGTTCACACTACAATACTCGGCAAGATTGGCTGCGCAGAAAGATGGGCTCAGATGTTCTTTGCCCTGTTAGTTCATTACTTTGAGATGTACGGTGGACAGAGGCTTGGGATATTCCGATTCTGAGCCTTGCAAACTTATAATCTGGATACTAGTTGTCTTCGGAGAAGACGTATGATACTCTCTCAGGGTGGTGAACAGTACCTTCTAGTGTCGTCTACAATGATTCTACTGATGTGTACTGATCAAGTAAAGAGACGACAGCGCCTGTTGGCTGTCCAGTGACTACATTATACCAAGTGTGTTCACCCAGCCCTGTCTTCTTATTCTGCAATCGTTGTCGGTTCCATACTTCTATTGGATTCGCTTGATTTGGTTCGTTGCAAACGTTTCTTCTCGGCGATAGACCCTCCACATGCTCTCGTTTCTTCATAAGTTGGTTTGTGTTGCTGCTACATACCAAGCCCGTTCTGTGCACACATTAGTCCAAGTAATATGACATTGGCATCACGACCATTGCTCCAGTACTCATGACGTAGTCTCTAGGCAGTCACCAGCCCCAATCCGCAGTTTCCATCTGCGGAGATCAGACTCCGCCTTCCTGGCCAGCCCTAAAGCCAAGCGGTTCATTTCAAAGGCATTGCCAGTGTGTTTCAATATAAGCTCCTGTGGCGTAGAAAGCACCTTCAGGTCCGTGGGTACTTAACCATCTACTCGGGTTGAGCAAGTAGAGTAGGGTGCATCGATTGAGTGGCACAAGCCACGGATGATACTCGAACAATGCAGGCGCCTTCTGTTATTCTCACGTCCTCTCTAATGCGGCCAGAACGACTACACTTGAAGCCACAAGGCGGAGAGGAAGGCCTGTTTCAGTTCCTCAGGGGCCTAGACCGTTGCTCTGGCATTTCGTTTCATCAAGAAAACGTGGATCAAGCCTCCTTCCGCCTGGATAACCAGCTGCGATTTACTGTCTTCTCCGGTTGCCTTCACCGGGAAGAATATTCTACAAGTGGGAATATCGAACAGGTTCTAGATTCTGTTAACACGGCGTGGCGGGGCACCGCAATAGACCATATGGCCGTTTCCGGCTGGAAGTTTCCGGCGAAGGTCTAGACTCATGCAGGGCAGGGCTGAGGACTTGGCCGACGGGCGAGTCTTAGCTCCATGCATTCGTGGTGCACTCGTCCCCAATAGCGCACGCCAAATTATTGTACTATGCACCTTAGCCAGGCTGCTGGGTCGCTTCGGAGTTGTACGCTCCAGCCTCGAATGGGGTGTTGTATGACTATCACAATAGTCGCACGGGTTAACGGCGCGTACTCAAGTGGTAACCCTGGATACATGATTCAGCGGCAAAGCGACTATGCTATGTTGTCTCATTAATTCACTGCTTCAGTAGCTGGTGTGAAATCGAATGCTTTGGCATGTGCCGGAAATTTGACATGGACCTGAAACAACTGAGCGAAGCGCAGGACTCACTCGCAATCAGGCGTCGACCATGAAAAGCTACGAAGTGGTTCAAAATTGCAATCTAGATGAACTCTCCGCGGAGCTGAGGACGATATTCAAGGGCGGAAGACCAAATGTGCCGAATGATGCTTCACAGATAGCAGCGGTGCGATATATACCGCAATAAGCCTTCCCTTGCCCCTTTTCAAATGCTGTCGCTCTGCTCTAGCTTGATGACATAGCTCCGCGAAGTATGTTCAAGATAACTTCCCAATATCTGCTCTTGTGGATACGTACCATCCGAGAGTGAGCTTTGAAATCCTGCTTAATCTAGCGTTGAATAGGGGAGGGTAGCGAAAACATATCTGGCTGTTGATTCTCGAGAAGCAGCAAATATGTCTATGCAGCTGAAGCATATATTCTAGCGGTCCTTACCAGAAAATCCTTCCTTGGCAAATGTTACCCTCATCCCTGAGTTCATCCAATGTCTAACCCCTTTGCTAGGTCCTGATCATGCCAATCCACATAGGCTGACAAGAAGCAGCTGCATTCTCTGTCTAACATTTCTTGCCAGGTTCAAGTCTTCAATTTGGACCTCTGTTGGGGGTCAAGCAGGGCAGGTGCATCTTGATATCATTGCGTTGTAGTGAAGCCATTCAGGCTTACAAGACAGGGAATTAGGGCAGCCGCGCGTTATCTGTGCGCTGTGGTTGGTCTGGGGCTGCAAAAACCTCTTTGTGAATGCTTCCGCATCGCTAGTCTAGTAGAATATGCTGCCAATACTCGCTGTAATCTATGTTACCACTGCGTCCTGTTAGGTGTCAATGGATCAGCCGTGCCATGATCTTTAAGTCTGGCTTTCATCGCCGCCGAAATATAGCTCCTTCTCGTTGATTTTCACCGATGGATCTTCAGACACTGATCTCTGGATCTGTTAGCCCAATTTTTGGAAGTCATTTCGTTCATTCAAGAGTCTGTATCTTGTATCTATGTGCGAAAGATGCCTGTTCAAGAGAAATTGGCCAGATCGTGCTTTGAAGACTGCTCATCCTCGAATCGATTGTGATAGCTTCTCCGTGTGTAGCATAGATAGTTGTCGATCCTCTTAGTCTCGTCGTATTTACATTAGATGCAACGCTCACTCCTAACACAGTCAAGTTAAAATTATCAAGCATATTATTAGTTTCTATCATCAACACTCTTGGTTCTTGATTCGATAGTACTTATGATCAAACCTATAGTTGATCATCTTACCTTCATGGTTCCTCCATCATATCTAGTCGTTTAATAGACTCCGAGGTGCAGTAGGAGAGATGATACCTTGTTACGCATTGAGGCCACATGTTGCTATCGGTTTGCGTAGACTTCAGCAGGACATTTTACACAACAAGTGCCGCGAGATTATCTCCAGGTCCGGTTACATGAACAACTTTAGGGCCATTGAAGTGCTTGAGCGCCTATGGGCCGGCGAGTACCGCCACAGTGACGAGATAAGCCCCGGTCGAAAGCCGAGTCTTCGATGAGGCCCATGTCACTAGACGAAATGTACTAGGGCGCCTAGTATTGATGTGGAGTGGATTCTTTTAATATCTGAATGCGATATTTCAATACCCAGGACTCCGTACTTATGCACGAACATGCACATGGTATAAAAACGGCTATCGGATGTAGGAACGGCATCATCAAGGTCACTTTTTTCTTTCTTTCTATATCTACTTATATCTATCTTACGGCATGTGTCTACGGGTTATGAATGATGGGGATGATGGCAATCGGGGATCTCTGCTTAGAGGTCACTCTGGGTTTTCAGCACGAGAAGCTGTACCCTCTGGGTTCAAGCAATATTTAAAACTGTACAGCATTTTATTCTAGGTCTTGACGCCAAGTTTGTAGCGTCCAGCCATGTTTTGTATTGTGTTTCCAAGCTACACCTATATGGCTAGCTGTAGAAGTTGCCGCAACGCACTCTAACTACAATATTTGGAGGCGTCTCTTTCTGGCATGCTGCTGTATTTTTTTGTCTATTGTTTACATTATACAGAGTCGACTTTCGTTACGGCCACTTCTGTGATGCATGATGTTGAACAAAGCGGGACCCACCGGTGAGCTATGCATCGAGTATCAGCAATTCTAACGGCTTCAGAATTCTTACGGATAATTGAGACTCATATATACAGTGCCCATGATCTATTTTACGAGACTCAGTCTAAGGATATGGCGTGTGTATCTAGAATGTTGAGCGAAGGTGCCCTGCATCTTGAAGATTCGGTATCCATAAATGTCCAAATAAATGACCTTTTTCTCATTCCACCCCTGAGCTACGAAGCCTATCTAGTCTGTATTATTAGTAGAGTTATGCCAAGTCCATATACACATCGACATATCCAAGCCGGCTTCCCGAGCCCTACTCATCAAGTCAGACATGGGTCACCTCAGCTATCAAACTTACCAATTCCAGGGTACTTCAAATCAGTCTTATTTACAAAACGCTCTGTCCCCCATCGGATACGAAAACGCGGTGTATCCCACTCTTGGAAACACATAATCATGTCTAGTCCCGCTGAGAGCTTGATTCGTTATTGTCCTCAGAAGGGCACCAGCATTCAAGCCATGGCAGTTGCGGGCTACTATAGCATAATACTTTGAGTTCGCACTTGACAATATAGGTCCATTTCCACTTTATTCCAGCTTGTAAGATGCAATTATAGCCTTGAAACGGAGAACTAGATGGCCCACCTCCTATACTAGGTGATAATGAAGTCTCCCCGTCTCATCGGCAGGGACCTCATAGCTCCCGCAAACCCCACAGAGGCGGTCAGCGTCCATGAGATCCTGCTTCCCCCAAGGGTTTGTTGGTTCCCATTTCCGTCTCCTTCCCCTTCCGGTCCTTGGACGTAATGCCCTCATCCTCGACTTTTATGTTGATCTCGTTGTTGGTTCCATTGTCTATTTCCTTTTCCTTCTGCGCCCTAGTCTCCATGTCCTCGACCTCGACTCTGCGTTCCCGAAGCATGTATCGGCCAGCCGAGGCTTGTCGTTTGTGACGCATTCTCACCGACACCGATCGCAGGAATGTCTCCACTGGCCGTTGTGCTTCTTCAACTCGGCCAGTAGGGTTGCATCACCGAGCATTTTACTGCGATGATGGCGGTGCTGGTGGGCGTATAGATTGCCACGGCCGCCCGCGATATCCTGCGAGCAGAAGCTGCATATATTCGGGCTGTCGTGGGAGATTTGGTGGTGCATCAGCTTCTGACTGGCAAGTCGGGCGGCAGCCTGTGGATTTCGGGTGAAAGGCTGGCCATCTTGCTTCGAGAAGTAGGGATAAGGGTAGGGAGTTTCCGATCGATCAGTTAGTAGGTCGTCGCTCGGAAGATGATGGTCTTTGCAATACTTTGAATTCAGGGGATGAATTGGACCTTGTTTGGGAGGAGGGGAGGCAGATGGCCAGCCGGGTATGTGGTTCTCGGGCTTGAGGTTCGGAAATACACGCTGTCTTTGGTGCTTGGCTCAGATGCTGTCTGTCGGTTGATTGATAGCATCAGCTGGCCAGTACAAGGTCTGAGAAGGTTGGCGATAGATATATATCATTTATTATTATTAAATACGCCGTAGGCTCGAAGCCCCCGGTACCTCTACTAGTACTTCCGTATGTCAAACCGTGCCCTAATGGCTGGACTAAATACATACGCTGCGTCGTCGGTTCGCCCTATTGGCGACTGCGTTGCGTTCACTACCATACTACGTTGGTTCTCAACCTACCAACAAAGATATATATCATACTTCAAGCATTGGGCCCCAACCATCTTCACTTAATGCAACCAGGTCCTCTACCTTATCCTCCGATCATAATATAGAAGACGACAGGTCTTCCAAGGACCTCTTTTATGTATGACAATAGCCATACTCATACTGGAATCCAACCGAGGGAGCCAATATAAACACCAGTGGAAACACCTCAAAACAGGGCGGGTTTTAGTTTGCCCAGAATATACAAGACGGCATTGTCAACCCATCTTAAAGCTCAACGGCCACCAGCTAGACAAAAAACGTGAATTAAACTTGGCTATGCGAGCAATGCCACGAAGATTCCAGGTTCTGCACATAATCTGTCCATTATCATGCGTAGAGATTCACATGAAGAGCAAAAGCACCGAAGTCCAACATCAAATGATAAAGTAGAGCACCCCCTTTGCCTACAGGTAGAGTTAGCTTAGGCAAGGCAGTCCAAAGGAAGATACTAGTAACATTCATGAATGACAGATAATATGGATTTAAGGTAAATGTATTGCGCTATCTATGGTTTGCGCAAACCGCAAGGCATGTCAACTAATGTGGTGCAGATATTAGATACGATTTTACACTATTCATGCAGACACCGGGGTATCTCAACTTTCAAAGCTGTTGAGGTCTCCCCGAAAGAGCACGCACATTCATTTTCGCAGCAGCCTTGTCCATGTCCCTCTTCAGGCTCCACGCCTGGCAGAATGAATCATTCCGCATAGGTCCATGGCCAAGTCAAGTCTCAAAACTGCGAGGCCAACATCCTCCCCACGACCAACCACCACCACTCTGCCACGATCCATCCATGACCATCGGCTACCGCCTGGAGCAATCCCAGTCGGACAAGCCAGTCCATGACCAGCTTGGCCTCAAAATCCTCAATGATGGGTCTTAGATGCATCACGACCGTCTGCGATTTCAAGGGACCCCTTGTGGCCATCACAAAGGCCACGGCGCAAAGATACTGGGCCCAGCGTGCCTTGTCCAAGTTGCCAAAGAAATCGTACCAAATGGGTATTTCTCCACGAGGGCCCTTCTCGGGAACTGCTCGTATCTTGGCTTCGTCCAAGATTGGCAGGTCGTCGTCGTATATGTAGCTCTCGGTGGGGACGACCCGGACGAAGAAGTGGTAGTAGGTTTTGGGGTACATCCTACCCTCGTAGTTGCCTGGCTCAAAGCCGAAAGGAATATGTCTAAGGTCCACGTCTTCCAGCCTGACTCTTCCGCATGCATGCAGGTTGAGCACCGCCATACTTTCACCATCGGGCATGTTGTATGGCAGGACGACTTCTCTGTTATTGCGGAAATTGTCGTCCATTTCAGCCTTGAAGGCAGTAGCCCGTGCATACTTGACAACATGAGACTTGGCGTCAAGGCGCTTCTGGAAGTTCTGGTTGAGCTTGAAGACTTGCCCTAATCCTTTGCCTCGCACTTTGCTCACGACGTTTTCATCCATGAGCTGCTGTACTACACGTTCTAGCAATGCGTTCAAGGATTGTGGTTCTCTTTGGCTCAATTGTAGCAGAGCATCGCGTATCTCCTGGCCGACCGTGTTCTTCCTCGAATTGTTGCATAGAGAGCGGATCCAGGATCTTGCAAGCTGTGTCTCCCCGTTCGTGGCGGTTGCAGAAGCCACAGGCATCGTCATCGCTTCACTAGACGACGCGTCAATGCGAGAGAAGACTGAAGACGTAGGCTTGAACCAGGACTCCCGCCAATTTTCCGCACCATCTCTGCGATCCACAAGCATGTATCGCTTGTGAAACTCCTCAGAGTTGACAGGAAGCTGAATCCGCTCATGGGTTTCAAGGTTGCAGGCCCAGGTTATAACCGTCTTCCAGTCATAATTTTCTAGATCGTCGTAGTTGATAGTTGGCAGTTCGTCCTTCTCGTACGCCTTGAGAAATTCGGACTGAAATTTCGTGGACAATGCGTCTATGAAGCTTCTTCTTTCCTTGGAAACTCTTGTCCAGAACTTCTTCAAGCCCGACACAGACATCTGGGGGAATAGTTTGACGAGCAAGCCGTAGTCTGCAAGTTTGTCCACGCCACCAATGAGATGCTTCAGCACAACAAACGCGACAATCATCTCTTTCTCTCCCTCAAGTCCCATTCCGTCCCCAACTGCTCTGTGCCTATTCCAACGTCCTCGGGGGTTTGTGGGTATCTTCATAAGCGTACGAGTCGTGTAAACAGCTGCTCTCGGATAGGTTGTAATATGCCGTGTCTTCCGCTTCTTCTCTGCTGGTCGATGTTCGTAGGGAATGCGATCGTCATCTGACGAAGCATCTTTGATATCCGCCGGTAACATATCAGACGTGTACTGAAAATCGCTTGGCCACTCAATCTCCATGGGTTGCATGCTCACCATGCTGGAATTAGCTCCAAGAGATATGTATATGTAGTCCGGGGCGATGGTTCCACGGTATTGAAGGTACACCCCTTCCGCAGACAATTCCCACGTCTCAATTCCTGTGACCTGGCGCATAAAGCGTCGGAAGTGGTTGTCGGCCCAGCGTCCGGCATGGAGCTTTTGGTTGGACTTCTCCGCCATTTCCTCAGCACTTTGGGGCAGGTTTTGTCTCAAGAACCAGTGAAGACTCGGGAAGTGGCCATCCATGGTGTAACTTCCATCTTGGTCGACTCTGAAAACGGGCTTGGGATATTTCATGGGCCACAGTCCATCCTCGATGGCCGATATCTTCTGAATACGGGTGAACCTCACGCGATAACCCTGGTCATTTGTGGGATCTTCGTTTTCGGGGGGGTCTGCCTGCTGAGGTACTGTATCGAAGTCGTCGTCATCGTCATTATCGGAAACGTCGCATGGTACAAATGTGGCTGCAGTTGAAGGTTCCAGGATCTGGACAGACGTCGATGCGTCCATTGCCCTTTGAACTTCAGGAACTAACTCGTCAAGGTTCCAAGACACGGACGCTTTGCCCACTTTGTGTTGAGCTGGGACAACGGTGTCACCGTTTGCCGGTTCACTTTCAACGTCCTTGGTGTTCTGTCTCTTGCGCCTGCGGCGTTTCACGGGTTTACATCCGAAAACCTGCTTAACCGACGCGATAAAGTTGTCAATATTACCAGCGCCAAACTTGCCCGGTACATGTGACCAAGCGCCCGTGTTTGGATTCTGAAGACAGGACAAGGATTGTTGCCATTGGCCATGCTTGCGACTCCAGATAAACTTTGCCATTTTGCTGTCATCGTGACACTCCTGCAGCTTGTTTTGGGATTTCCGAGCCCGCTCTCCTTTCTTGTTGGTCGTGGGTGTAGCTGTGTCATTTGACGCAATAGTTTCTCGTTTCGTCCGTTTGGGTAGGTGGTTTTCGTCTTGATCTTCGGTTACGAGTGGTCGTTTCAACCTGCCGTATTTGTCCATAGGGACGTTATACCTCAGCACCGCGACTTCTCGTGCCTTGTTCTGTGTTATGCCATCTGCAGGTGGAGATGTTTCCCGGTACTTCAATGCAACAGCATCGAACAACTCTGATTCCTTATGTGAGAGTTCAAACCCTGCTGGTATGTAGGGTTCCGGGTAAAGTTCTTTGATCTTGTCCCTGACTTGGTTTCTCACCTCGATGATTTCTGTATGATTGCTCTCGACATCGTCAGGGTAGACTTTGTAGATCATTGATAAAAACTTGGTTTTACCACTGGAGTCAAAGAAACCAAAGAACTCCTGCTTGATGATCTGGGCCTCTGCCAACTTCTTGATGATATTCTGGTGTGTCCTCCAATCTGGCGGGCCTATATCGTGAAACTTCTGAGCCCAGATGGACGCAATCATAAGGTATAGAGAACGATCCCCTGGAAATACTCCACTATTTCTCTCCATGAGTTCCAGCACGATGTCAGCTGTTCGTTCGCGTCGCTGTGCTGCGGGCGTCTTTGAAGTACCCTTGAGCGATCGGGCGTGTTGCAATGGAGCAACTCCCGATTTGCTCTTGTTGGGGTCCGAAAGGGAAGCAATTTCGCCTTGTAGTTCTTGGGACTGGTTAGAAGACGGCACAATGGCGGCCTTTGACGGAGAGGGAGTATCGTGATTCAGTGGTGCAGAAGTGCACAGTGTATTTGGCCCAGATTCTGCTTGGTCCACATCAATTGCCGAGGTATTCATGCCACCAGTCACCTTCGTCAATTTGTCTGATGATGGCTCCCTGTTATCATTTACATGTACTGAATGTTTTGCTGATGATTTCCTGTTGTCAATTCCGTTCACCGGTTTCTGTGCTGACGACCCAATACTAGTACCATCTATTGCTTTCTGTATAGATCGTGGGGTATCCAGAAGAGAAGCCATTTTCAGCGGTGAATTTGACTGCCTTTGTGATCTCTCATCGGAACTCTGGAATATTGGCGTCGGCGTACCATGCTTGGCTGCTGGAGGACGGCCAAGTTCCTTATCCAGTCGGATTGGCTCAAAAACTGTCATATTTCCAAGCAGAGCAGAATTACGGAATGGTGGGCGTATGCTTGTGCGTTCTGTCGGCGAAGGACTAGGCGCGAAGGCTAAACTGGGCCGCCTGGTTGGCAGCTCGGTCTGCATGCGTTTGACTCTAGTCCTCTCCGCCTTTACCTTCATCTGCTTCGATTTGGCATTTCGACTCGATCCAGATAGCGACACTGTTCCATGTTCGTCTGTGTCTGTGGCTTCATCTGACTCCAATTCTCTAGTACTCTTTGTTTGAACTCCTGGTCGACAGACTGGTTTTGGCGGGAGCGCAACATAGTCAGGATTGCATGGAGTCTTGGATTTCTGTTGGTGGTACTCCAGACCGTTGATATTCTTCCAGGTGCCACCGCACTTGTCGCATTTGAATGGCTTGCCACCATTTGCTGCTGTCTTGCGCCCACGCTTCGCGCAATTTTTTGGTCTGCCGATATTGACTCGAGACGTCCCACCATCTGGTTCGTCGTCATCTTCGTCTACTTCCTTCCCGTCGGGAACCTTCGAGCCGTTCTCACTGACAGTGTTGAGGTTATCCATCTGGGTTGCGGATGTATCTTCTCCATTGGTGTCTGGACTGACTGAAGCAGTTACCTCAGGGGCAGTCGTATTAGCACTTGATGCAGGGTCGCCAGGACTGCGGCCCAAGAAGTCAGGGTTTCTCAAAGCCGGAAATCTAAACTGCATCACAAGCGATTCCTTTTGCCGCCCTCGAGATTTGGGACCAATGGAACTTGGATATCCATAGTAAACGCCTGACAGCCCTCGACTCCAGGCTTGACAGCTTTCCTCCACGGTCAATTCTTCTGGTCCAATGGAGATTGCCACTTTTGTTTTCTTCGACTCATAATACTTTGCGAGGGAGATGTTACCGCGTGGATGCCATTCTTCTGTATCTGCCGCGGCTGTATCTTCCATTCTAGTCCGCTTGGGTGGTCGGCCCCGTGGACGTGGTTCTTGCACCGGATTGAGCACCTCATCCAAAATGTGTTTGCGTGGCCCAGCAGTTGATGTTTGGTCAGCTGAAGGTTTTGGGGCTTCATCCAAACAGTCTGATGGCTCATCCACCAACGACTTCTTGGGTGGTCGACCACGGCGGCGCGTTGTGGTAGTTGATGGTCGTTCATCTGATGGTTGCATAGGTTCTTCGGAATAATCCGACGGCTCATCAATCAAAAACTGCTTGCGCGGGCGCCCGCGACGGAGCCTTGACACAGCAGAAGGTTGTTCATTAAGAGATCGAGACTCTTCATCAACCAACTGAGAAAATTCGTCAGCCACAGAGTCTTGGTGTGGCCGACGAAGACGTCTTCGGGTGTCAGGGGTCTGCTGGTTATCAAGGGATTGAGGAAGATCTTCTGCGGTAATGAGAGAGTCACCGGCGGGTTCCTCGACTTGAACTGACTTCCGTGGTCGACCACGACGGCGTGGCGTTTGGCCAGAATATTCTGTGCTTGTTCGACCAAGGGCATGTCCAGTATTGACGAGTCGCCGTATTGGCTTCCCTGATTGTTTGCCTTGCACAATTTGTGCAAGTGAGGTTGCACCGCTTGCGAGAAATTTGGTGGAAGTTGGCCGTTGAAAGCCATAAGTAACAATGCCATTTAGGTTACTTTGCTCTGACGAGACTTCCCCTTCCTGCTCAACTGTCTCCATCTGATTATTCTCACTAGTCTTCTGTTCTGATGAGACTTCGCTTTGTTTCTCGGTGGTCTCCGTCTCATTATTTTCAGTAATTTCCTGTACTCGTGTGTTATCAGCATTATTGACAAGATCACTAGTAAAGTACTGGTAGGTCATGGTCTTGCCGATGCGGGTTAGTTGTGAAGTCACAGAGAACGCTGGCGGATTTGCGGGATGAGGACGAGATATTGCCGACATCAGAGCAGCCACCCACTTCCTATATGGGTGGCCCGCCGTGAACAGTTGGACTTCAACGTTCGATGTGCCTTCCTTGCCGCTGCGTTTAATGATGTCAAACAGAGTGTTCTGTATCGGCTTGTATGGTGTCCAAGCTGAGAACTTGATTAGCTCTGGGCCCGGAAGGGTTGCCAGCAGAGCTAGTTCTCGCTTTCGTTTGGTGTAGCCTCTCGGTACTTTACTCGTCAGGGCATTGGTAGGCTCTACTTGTGATGCCCCCTGTTTTCCCCGACGAGTGGACGGGACTGACATGCGGGTTTTGGGCGTCGTACGAAAGCTTCTCCATTCGTCGCTTGTGGGATCGCGAAGGAACTCGATGCAGTCTTGGAAGACTTTAGCAGATCCTGGAAACTGTCCTGCAGTGAACTTGATCACCTTGATATGGGCGAACCATCGCGACGAATTGGCGAGGGCTCGCATCTGGGGATTTAGTTCGGCAACACCCATTTTAACGCGCAGATCGCAGTATCTCATGATCCCAAAGGCCTTGGCCACGGCAACAAAAGCCTGACCCATGGCAAGGTAGTCGACATTCTCTTTCTCCCCCGTATAGTAGTGACTGAAGGGAACGGGCTTCAGGCCATCCTTCGTCAATGTCTCTGGAGACAGATCTAGTTCGTCGATGGGAAGTCCTTCGCGACTGGACTCTGCTTCTGCATTTCCCGCAAAACGGGCCAACCATAGCTTGCTAGTTCGACATCCTCGAAGCATGGCAGGTTGCTTGATGATGTAACCCTTCTTGGCGAGAGCATCGGTCCGAGTAGGTAGAGATCGTTTGTCCTGCCCAGTCAATCTGACTAAGTCTCCCTGCAGAATCCCCTTTCCCTTGACAGACGCAATAGCAACCAGGGCCCTCCATTCGAATTGCGGGATTCGTTTCAGATCAGGCCTGTGGCCAGCAAGGGCATTCCATAGCCGTTCTTCTGAAAGGTAAAGACTCGGCCTGATATTGGAAGAATTCTTGGATTTTCTTGATTTTGGTGACTGAACTCCGTGGGCTGTTGTCGGAGGAGGCTGATCCGAAGTCACCGCTGCAGTTCCAACTTCTTTATCTTCCTTTTCTGGAATTGCCAACACCTCCTCTAGTGACAAGCAGTTGAACTGCCTATTAGGTCCGACAGAAACATCATTCCTGGACGCTAGCCACTTCCAGACTGTCGAAGCATGTTGAAAGTCCTGTTCATCAACCTCCTGTCGCAACACCGTGTTCCAGTCAGGAACACTGGCAAGGGTCTCATCACTGTCACCTTCGCTTGAATCAACGCTACAATTGTAGAAAGCCTTAACTGCTTTCACCAGGTGAAGAGCCGAAAATCCTGATCTCAGGTCAGCAAAATGATTATTGACTCGTCCGTGCGAAGTACGCAAAGTCTCTTAGCAGATGTGAAGATTGGGGAGGGCATTGTGAAATGACTCGCCTTCAAGTCCCGAGAAGGCAATCTCGTCGAGAAGCCACTCGATCAGCTCATCGATACCCTTCTCCATGTCGCTGACCCGAGTGAAGGTATTAAAGGTGCTGAAAGGAGTATCTCAGAATTCCGCTTGGTGTGGGTCTCGAAATCCGGTGCTTCAGAATGAAATCGCTGCTGGTGGAAAACGATGGTCTCCCTTCTTGGAGGGAAAATCAAACCAGGAGAAAAACGGCAAGTGCCGACGGATGAAATTAGGTGGCGGGGCAAAGTGGGGCACAGTGGAAGATCTCGATATGATCCGTGTGTAAGATACTCTGACACTGTGGTTATTAGACTCACCAACACTGGGTAGTCATAAGGAGTGAGTTGAAAGTCTCTGCCAAGGCGAAGTTGTAACGACTTTGTGGCGGCAATATCAGCCAGATTACCCCCATTTATAATTGTTCAGAGGATGGATCAAGTATGGCTGTCACTTCTCTGCCGTCACTCTACTGTCGCCGCGATAAGGTGGCAGATCTGTGGTCTGCGGATATGAACATGGAGTCGCGAAGTTCAGTGTCTCATAGACGGCTTTGGGTCTGACAATAATTCGTGTTGTATTGAATGTGCTGGCAAGTTTCAAGAGGTAGTGATCAACTTACTGCTGTTCTCAACTTCAAAAAACGAAGTGATGAATGCCTGTTCGTGGACGCTCATTAGGTGAACCCTAGTTGTTCCTGCCATCTGAGAGAAATGAATATCCCACTATGTGAGGTTCTTCAAATACCGTCATGGGAAATTAATAATGGCGCTCACACCTAGGAAAGAGCGTTAGGGTGGAATAGCGGTGTTGTGCCAATGTTGGTATTGCCCAGGTTTGGTTCTAGTTCTATAACAACAATATAGGTCTCCAAAACTATTTTGAAGACCGATATATTATTCTTTAGAGTAGAAAACAACTTAAGATGATGGGAGACAATGTGGAGCTGAGACATAACATAAGGTGGGAAATAATACATGGTTGCTGGAGCCCTGGTCTTCCTGTTATTAGGAGATTTACCAGACTATGTCGAAGCTAACATAAACATAGAGGGTAGTTATTCACTTTCAAGAAGTCATTCACTTGAGCTAATTTCACACCTGGATACTACCTACCATTATTTGATTTTATTCGATGGCAAAACAGTAAGCTGTATATATTCAAAGAGTCTCCATGGCCTCAATTTCACGTTCCTAAGTGTGCTTTGTGAATAGCCGTAGGGATACGCCTAATTTCCAATATGTAGTTTTATCAGTATTCTACGATAATTACAGTACTGCATTTGTTTCTGCAGGTATCCGGGCCATAATCCGGACCGCTTCTGTGCTGAAACACGGAAGAGAAACCTTTTGCGGATTATGTACATTCACTCAGAACTATATAGCTTCAGTTTATCAATCCTCTCCAATGCACTACATGAAGTGATCGGAATCTCACAAATTTCATTGAATTTAATATTATTATTATTATTAAATACGCCGTAGGCTCGAAGCCCCCGATACCTCTACTAGTACTCCCGTATGTCAAACCGTGCCCTAATGGCTGGACTAAATACATGCGCTGCGTCGTCGGTTCGCCCCATTGGCGACTGCGTTGCGTTCACTACCATACTACGTTGGTTCTCAACCTACCAACAAAGTCCCCCCTGAGAAGATCGATGCTATCTGGGCCTTGAAGCTGTCCGACCCGTCCCTAGCAGCCACCTTACAATAGTCCCACTAACTACTGGTTCTCCTGTTGCCGTTGCGAGGTCTCTGCGAGAGTATAGTGGCCGTGGTGCGATAGCGGCCCGTACTCGTTCCCTCGGTCCTTCCAACAGCCCGCAAAAGAGGATTACGTGCTCTGCCGTCTCAGGGGCGTCGCCACAGCGGCATAGCGGCGAGTACACGCCAAAAGCCCCTGTCTTGAATAAGAAGGCTGCTAGTCCTATTTTTTCCGTCCTGATCTGGCACAGCGTAGACGCCTCCAGTCGGTTCAGGCCGAAATACTTGCCCCCTTTCGGTATCTGCATCGAAGGGCCCTCCGGTTCCTCAGCGATAGCGCGTCGCTGGCGATCGTGATGCTCTGCTCCGGTGAGCCATCTCTTCCTCCAGTGGCCGAGGAGGGTAGCCGGGATCTCCTTTTCCTCACTCATCCACTCGGAGCCCCGGGCCTCCTTCTCCATAGTGTACCCTGCCGGTCGGAGTAGCTGCGACGCCTGCTTCCTCTTCGCCGGCCTATCCTGCCGGAGTATATGTGACGCTTTAGCGCTCGCGCTGCGAAGCAGATTTCTCTTCCCGCTAAGCCGTAGCCGTTCTTCAAACTTAGCAGCCCGGGCACTAAGATAGAGGTCCAGTGGAGGGATTGCTGCTTCTGCTTCCAGGTGGCGAACCGGCGTCGCTTTGTGGGCGCCACAGACTACCCGGAGGCACTCGTTCTGTATCCCCATCAGGCTCTTAGCTGGCCCTGCCGGTTCCTCACTTATAATATGCCACGCAGTCGCCCCGAAGGCGATCGCGCTACGGATAACCACCGTATATAACAGCCTCGCCCGTATAAGATCGCAGCCCCACGACATATTGACTAGCTTTGTCAGGGCTAGCTTTTGAGTTGCCATTTTTGTTTTAACACGCTCAACATGGGCGTGCCACGTCAGTTTGCGGTCGAACCAGACTACTAAGAACCTCGCTGAGACTACCGGCGACACTGTGGCGTCCCCAAGGCGAATACTTTGCGGCAAGGGCTCTCGGTCCCTAGTAAAGTGCATTAGCTCACTCTTGTCAGGGGCGAACTCCATCCCGTGCCTCACTGCCCACCGCTGACACGTAGCCCATGCGCCCTCCAACCGGCGGCAGGTCGTGTCTGGACCGGTGCCGATGAATTTAATATTAGTACAATCTGAACCTGTGCGCGTTCTTGCGAATTATGGATTTGTGTAAGTTAATCACGAGTATTATATAAGAACTATATGCCACCTTGGGAAAAAAAACAGAGTTCCAACTAAAACGTCGCTATTGCTGCTGGTTATGAATAATTCCATCGTACTTAACATCTTAGAAGATGCCATCACTGTGGGCGTATGGCAGCCCTGGTCATATCTTTGAAGATTCTCAAAAACAATGTTCACGGTGCCTGCGAATACTACAATGACGATGATAACTATTGCGTTCACCATCATCAGTAGCATGTTGCTGTTTTTAACTCGATATGGACTCATGGGAAATGAGCCATACAAGTGAAACAACCTACAACATGCCTTGACCTTTGAGTAACTGTTGTATTCTACTAATATGGTAGTTTCATTGGCATGGAGGTGTTTTAAAATGGCCTCGTACGTAACCAAGATAGTGCCGACAGGATTTACAGTACTAGGAGTTATCGCTTGTTTACATCGAAAGACCTCAAGCAATTCTTGTTTCTCATGCCGCATTTGGCATTACCTGGTATTAACATTCCTCGGTGGTGGTGTTCTGGCCACGAGTCTTGCTTTTCCAGTCTCCGCAGTTCTCGGGATGCAGTGAACATCCATCTCATACCACATATTTGATTAAGTTGTGGTTGCTGAATCACACAAGTTAGCTGATACTGAGTTGTTGTATGGTAATATTGACGAGAGAGCCTTTAGCATTGAATGTAATTTAGGGTATCTAGTACGTGACTGAATATGCATGGGATCAGCTCTCGCTGTCTTGCGTTTGGTACAAGCTTGGTCGTTTTCCCTCCATCAATTTTCGGTACTGCGCCACCACATCATCTCGAACCTCTTGCAGTTCCTCTCTCCTCCTCAGACTTCCCGCAGCCTTAGGAATTCCATCAACTGCCACAGCAGCACCTCGCACAGTTAGCCTATGTGGTAGCTTCTTGTGCAGTTCCGGTGGCGCCTTCGCAACATCATGGAGTCCGGGTCTCGTCTCCCCTCTCTTCCGCTTGAGCTCCGCCCAAGGATCCTCTTCCGGCTCGGCAGCCTCCCCAGCATACTTGGAGCGCTTGCCCTTCTTTTTCTTCTTCCCCTTGGCGCCAACTTGCGCATCGACCTTCCATGTCACGCCTAGTTCTTGCTCCTCTTGATCCTTTTCCTCTGCCAACTCTAGCTCCTCCTCTCGCTTTTCCTTGATCTTTTGTTCCTCGGTCCTCCACTCGTCGTACAGCTTGTGCATTTGCATCTCCTTCTTGGTCCGCCACACTTTCAGTTTCAACGGGTCGTTTCCAGTCCTGGCGGTTTTGTTGATCAATCCGCTCAGGGGAAGAGCCGCGTCGACACGAGCAGCGAATTCGGACATGCGCTCCCCGGGACGGATCGTAGGGATCTCCAATCTATTCTTGGTCTCTGTAGACTCTGCAGCCCTGGATGTTTCGGCGGCCTCTGTCCCGGTAGCATCCACCACTGCCTTCTTGTTCTTCTTTGATTTGGGTTTCGAAGATGTCCCGTTGTCGAGTCCAGATGGCGGCTTTTTGCCATCTGCAAAGGCCATCAGCCTCTTGAACGCTCTCGGTGCATCGTCTTTCTGAGTCGGTTCTCGCTTCCGCTTCTGATTGATCTGCGGTTCGCTGGCGAGATTCTTTGACTTTCCATTCTTCCTCTTCGCACGCCAATCATTCTTCAATTGTGTGACTGGCAGTGGCTTGGCGAATTGCGTTGGGGGTAAGTTGAATCTGTCATGAGTAAGCAATATTCCACAACGATCGCATCATTCAGTGCGGTATGTACGAACGTGGATAAGTCCTTTTCTCTGCGGGTGTGTTTGTGAGGCATGGCGACGAATGGGCTTCGGGCGGTTCTTGTGCTGCGTGTGCCGTTGTTGAAGTTTCAAAAATTCAGCAAATTTCTTCACATGCCTGCTGCACTCTTGCTGAAGCTGAACTAGGAAAATCAAGCTTTGAGCACGGGGTAGCAACCTTATTGTGATGGCCCCACCATGACCGGTTCTCGCCGCTTGTAGCTTTGACGGCATTGATCGCCAGTACCAGCCAACGAGAATTCGGGTCCTGCCCCTCGTAAATCCCATACTCTCCTGACCAACCAACATGCGTTCCCTGCCCAGGTGCTCTGAGCTCCAGCCAGAGCGGTCGATTATGGCCGAGGCCATTGCGCTATGGAATCAAGGTAGGGACGAGAGCGGGGATGCACAGAAGTCGAGATGCGGCCTCGAGTTCATTCATTGCTGTCTTCCAACTTTATTATTAATGACCATTAGCAGCCACGCTACTAGTGTCTGGTCTTTGTTTAAGTATCAAGCTGGATTCACTCGAGTCGTCATGCGCATTCCCGTATCGTCCACTATCGTGGCAGCTCCTGCCCATCCTAAGAAAAAGGTTCGTCATTACTACTTGATCATGTCACCAACCCAATCCTAGACCCTCGCCGCTGGTCTCGAACTCCTATTAGTTGAACTGTTTGCATATACATTCCGCATGTAGTAAGCAACCAAAGTCGAAACGAAGGTGCCTTGAAGACGTCAATGCCAGAAATGATCAAGCGCTCTCATTCCCCATCCCGCATTCCTTCACGAGCCTCAGACAACCAAGAGAGATATCAAAATGAGTTTCTCCGCTCGCAACGGCGCAACCAACATCACCAGTCACTGTCAATCATCCCAAAGTCTCGACAGTGAGAGAGCGACGCTTGACGGTTTCTTCGGCGGTGAGAGCAGCCAGACGTACATGTCTACGCAAAGTTATACCGACGTGAAAGAGACATATGTCACAGACCTGGAGAAGGGACCTGAGTTAACCACACAACGCCAACGAGCACGAAAGTATTGCATTTGTGGTAGTATTTGGGGCCTCAAGATATTGTATGTTTGCGATTGTCTGCTTCGCCTGTGTTTGCTTACTAACAAATATACTAGAGCCGCAGTTGTACTCATAGATTTATTGCTCGCGATATCGATATCGCGAAGCTTGTTCGGCCTGGAAGACGACCCAGACAAGATCTTTGGCAACTGGGGGCAGCCTGGTACCGCTACAGAAGGACTTGCGTGGTATCCCACTGACTTTCTTCGCGACGTTGTGCCGATACCATGCCACTCGCACAACGACTACTGGAGGAAAGTGCCCCTCTTCTCAGCCCTCCACGCGGGTTGTGTAGGTACCGAAGCGGATGTATGGCTGCTTGACGACGGCCCGGCACTCTATGTTGGCCATGATCCTGCCGCGCTGACAAGGAACCGCACCTTCAAATCGCTCTACATCGACCCCCTTGTCGAGTTGTTAGATCGCACAAATCCAGAGACGGAGTTTTACAATGACCCATACTCGCGGCGCGGTGTTTTCGACGTTGACCCCGGTCAGACATTGATACTTTTGATTGATGTAAAGACAGAGGGGGCCAGTACTTGGGACCAGGTACTAGAACAGCTCGAACCTCTCAGATCAAGAGGCTGGTTGAGTTATGTCGAGAACGGAAAGGTGCACTACGGCCCGGTTACAGTCGTCGGCACGGGCAACACCCCTTTCGACTCGATAATGCAGAACTCGACGTACCGGGACACATTTTTCGATGCACCGCTTGGCGAAATGTGGGAGGACCCAGATGTGGACGACCTCGACTCGCCAGCCGTCGGATCTCTGACTTACGACGCGACAAACTCCATTTATGCGAGTGTCAGCTTTAAATCCGCCGTGGGTGCGGTCCCCTTATGGAAAGGACTCGACAGGTCCCAATTACGAACCATCAGAGGCCAGCTGAAAGGGGCGCATAGACGAGGGTTGAATGCAAGGTATTGGGACCTGCCTGCTTGGCCTATCAGCCTGAGAAACCAAATTTGGCACGACCTGATGGGCGAAGGCATGGATTTCCTTAATGTGGACGACTTGCGCGGTGCATCTAGGAAGAAATGGTGATTGGTATGATCGTGAGGGTGAAGGAGATGAGAAGCAATGAATCCGCGATACAATGAAGCTTTACAGGCCTAGTCACAGTTTCCAATTCCATGAAGTACGACGACACCAGGGGTACGTATATACATACCTACTGGTACAAACGCGTTTTCAGGGCGTCAGATTGTGCTCTTGAGTGGATCCCAAGATGGGAGAAGGCCTGGGCAGCAAACAAGCCTTGGGCAATGTTGTTCAAGGACTACACCCTGTAGGACTCAACTGTTCAGTTTGAATATTGGCGACCATAACATGGATACCCTAGTAAATTATCTTAAGGTAGCTAGCTGGTTATTCGACTAGAACCCCGATTGACTTTTATGTGGTGGACTAAGGTACATAGTAAACTTTGAACTCCAACAAATTCTAAGAATAGACATATGCGGGTCCCCACCACCCAACGGCATATGATTTCTCATGAATCTCTAGCCTATAACTCGCATATCCTGGCTGTTCTGTTTACCTTGATGCCCTCAGTTAGTCGGTCACGCGCTAGATAATTTATGAGTAATGTCAATAGGTGCCCGACAGCTACTGTGAGCCTCGACATACGCCGACGATCTTCTTGACAGATTTACATGATCCCTCTGTTGACAGCTGAGCTCGAGCTTCGACAAATGACTTCAATTGCAGGGGGACCCAAGCGATGCCCCATTGTACGTGCGCTAAACACCGCGGGGCAGCAAGATTTGAATGTGCCCCTCTTCTGCTTCAGCAACGAAGTCCTGTCCTGTGCCAAGTGAACTCTGCTCAACTTCTTCAAGGACGCAAAGATCTATATCCTGCCTCGCCATCATGTCTCAAAATGCAGTCCTTGTCACCGGTGCTACCGGCCTTCTTGGTCGGCAGGTGGTGCGAGCTTTCGAGCGGGAGAGTTGGACGGTCAAAGGCACTGGCTTTTCTCGTGCCGACGGAAACTCAATCCTGAAGGTCGACCTTGCCGATGCCGCCGAAGTTGAAAAGGTTCTCGACATTGTCAAGTCAGTACCTTCCCTTGCCGAGAAGCCACATTCTCCGATCTCCTCTCTGCTAACCCGATTTCACGAACAAGGCCTCAGGCAGTTGTGCATTGTGTGTTGCTACACCGGCTCTCGAACCGAAACCTCCCCGACTGACATCCTTTTCAGGCGCCGCGAATCGCTACCCGGACAAGTGCGAAAGCGACCCGGAAGGAACTCGGGCTCTCAACGTAGCTGCGTCCAAGTCATTCGCGAAGCTCTGTGCGGCACGGGACATCTTCCTCATCTACATTTCAACCGATTACGTCTTCCCTGGCAAGCCTGGGGATGCACCCTATGAGGCGGGTGCCACACCCCGACCGACCAACCTATACGGGCAAACCAAGCTGGATGGAGAACATGCCACCCTGGAAGAATTCAAGAGCGCTGGAAAGCCAGGCCTTGGTGTGGTCATGAGAGTTCCAGTGCTGTACGGTGACGCTGAAGTTCCGTCGGAGAGTGCTGTCAACATTCTCATGGAATCAGTCTGGAAGGCACAAGAGGAGGGGGCCAAGATCAAGATGGACCACTGGGCCCTGCGATACCCAACCAACACCGAGGACGTTGGCCGCGTGTGTCAGGGTAGGTTTCCGGAAACATCTCACTTCTTGCTAACCCGGTTCCGTGACTCCATGCCGTGTGCCGTCGCTTAATCAAAGGACACACGTGGCTGCTTTCGCTGCTAACTACCGTGCAGATGTCGCGACCAAGTACTTGCAAGCAGGGGATCGCTCGGCGCTGCCCCAGATCCTGCAGTTCTCTTCGGAGGATAAGTACACCAAATACGAGATATGTCAGCTCTTTGGAGAGATAATGGGCCTGCCGATCGCAGCGATTGAGGCGAACACCGAGGGCAATGACCCCAATGCCTCGGTTCAGAGACCTTACGATTGCCACTTGAGCACGAAGGCCCTGAAAGATCTCGGAATCGATGTTTCTACCCAAGATTTCACAGGTTGGTGGCGGTGGTCCGTGAGAGCATTCAGAAAATGAGCTATTTGAGTAGTTTAGATCGCCTTCATCAGCCTGGTGGTTGGTTCAGCTAGCAATACACACGGCAGTGACAACATCCCTTTGAATCACGCATTGCTACGATGAGATTCGACTGAGATTCAAGAGACCACCTGGGTTTGGTTTGCGACGCGTCGACGGTTCCAAGTTCTCGTGGCAGTTTGCAGCATGGGGCAAAATGTTCTAGAACTCTTTCGGCGAGGCGCAGTTAGCATCCTCCGACACGATCACAGCCGTTGGGACCTGAGAGTGGTCATGCACAACTCACTAGTGCAGATTGCCAAGAAGCTAGACAGTAATCACCGGTTTCTCCAGATGTCCAATCTCCAGATGTCCAATCTGCAATGCGAATTCAATATTCTCCTTTTGGTTCACCGCCGTCAAGCGAGCAGTTTGCAACATCACCAATGCGCATGTAAAATCTTTGGTTGCCCGCACGAAAAGCGAAGAGCGGGCTAAAATGATTGGTTGCCCTGGGGAGATCCCTAGCCGTTCAGCCAGAATGCCAGATGTCATTGTTCCTCGTTTTCCCCCCCGATTTGACGCAATGCAGGCTCCCCTGCATACAGCCATTTCAGTTCGTCATGCCAGCCAGCCAGACATCAATGCCATTTGGCCACATTAAACTCCGCTTGTCCAGAATGGTAGGGAGGGATTGGGAGTCTCCATTTTCCTTAACACGTACGTTTGCTGTCCATTTGCCGGCTCGGAGCAATAACACACCTTTTACTTTTTTTCTCTGCCGGGTGGATTTGATATTCGACGGTAATGCAACAACACTGGTAGGCGACATTACGAGTCAGAACTAACTTGACGTGGGCTCATTCACACTCCGCCGCAACGCCGCAACGCCGAAAAGCCTAGCAAAATAAGTTCCAGTCGATGAACAGGAGAGAAAATATAACACGAGCGGAGTCAATATCTTGAAGCAACAGGGAGACTCGCGGTAGCGCGCGACCGTCTGTGCTGCTGCGCCGCCGACTTTTCGCGTCATTCGCTTGCGACTGCTTCCGGGTACTTTCTGCATCGTGTGGAGATTGCGCATTTACAACGTGCCCACCAGCATCCAACATTTCGATAACAGCTACGGGGACCCTGTTGGAGATCACCATTGATAATCGTCCACCCGGTCGGTGCCATACCAGAAACGATCAGGCTTGTGCCGACGATGTCACTCTCAGGGCCCAATCAGATAGGGGGGCCGCTACCACCCAAGTTGTCGCGCTACCGCAGCCTGCGAGGAAAGAGCCTGTCGACCACAGCGGGCGAGGTGAACAAGGTGTTGAACTCGACAGAGGGAAACTATGGAAACGACGTAAACAATGGATACCGTGGGGCACGACAAAACCGAGAATTGGCGGATTCGGCACTGGCGCCTGCAACATGCAACTCTATTGCCAGGTCAATGTCTCGGTACCGCAGACGATCCATGAGCGTTTCTGCGCCTAGCGATGTCACCCCGAAGATTACGGCTCCACCTCCAGACAACCATCGAATCCCCATGACCAGACCCCATGCAGATGATGCGCTACAAAAGGAGGGAGAACGCTCGCCTGTGCGTTCGCATGCCTCTTCCACCCAGCAGTCTCAGAGACTGAGGCATGCCGACAGAGCAACAACACGTCTCAAACGCAACATGGCCGACCACTCTAGCCGACCCAGCACGGCGAGCGATGACAGTCAACGGCGGACGATTGCGAGTCGAGACGGCCGTGAGAGACTAACGAGGGACGAGGATGCCGCTGCCAGACATTCTGAGCAGACGGCGAGTGTGGCTGTCGAGCCGGACAGAAGACTGGCCGAGCAGAAGAAGAAGGACTTGGAAAGACTGCAGGTGCAGTTGGCCAACAGCCAGCACCCTGCCATGAACAAGTCGCTCAAGTCGAAAAGCCCTGTTCTCGAGAAGTTCGTCAACCTGACCAGAGGCCGCAAGAGCAAAGATGGGCTGTCGCCGAAACTCTCTCCGGCATTGTCGCCCAACGGCTCGTTTGACTTCAACAACTTCAATAAGAGTCGCGAGAACCTGCCCGAGGTCCCGAAGGTGCCTACGGGCATTGAGGCTGGGGGGAAGGGCATTGTACCCCAGACGGACGCCCCGGTATCTGCCGTCAACTCCGGTGATCGTGTGAGTAAAAACGTCGGATTAAACCGATGGATGCAATATGCTGATTAATTGGCCCAATAGCTTGTCTCCGTCTGCTGCAAGCACCACACTTTCATACTGTCCGTGACACCGGAGACCACCCCTATCGACATCATCTTCTCAGCTGCGAAGCAGATGACATACGACCTCGAGGTCAGCCCAGCCAGCTGCGTGGTTCAAGAAGCGTACATCGCGCTGGGTCTAGAGCGCAGGCTCCGTCGCTTTGAGCGCATTCGAGATATCATGAATTCCTGGGACCGCGACTCGCACAATCACTTGATTGTGTCGGTGTCCGAGTCTCCGAATCATGACCGTGACCTCGAAGTAGAGTCCGTCCCCAAGACCGAGGCGCCGCCGCAAGGCTGTCAAGTGTACTTGTATCATTCCAACCGTCCTGGAAAGTGGAGTAAGCGATACGTCACCTTGTTAGACAACGGCCAAATTATCTGTTCGAAGAAGCAGAATGCTACCTCATTGGACAAGGAGACACAGAGCCTGTGCCACCTGTCTGACTACGACCTCTACTCTCCTACAGAATCACAGATGAGGCGACATCTCAAGCCTCCCAAGAAACATTGCTTCGCGGTCAAGAGCCAGAATAAGCCATCAATGTTCATGAACACGGAGAACTACGTGCAGTACTTCTGCACCGAGAATGCCGAAGTCGCAGCTCAATTCGCGGAGAAGGTTCAGGGGTGGCGTGGCTGGTATTTGCTCGATCGACGGCCAGTAATTCAGCGGATTGAGATTCCAAAGACGGACGACAAGCCACCACAGCTCACGTCAGTGAAGCATGCACCCAAGAAGTCTGTGAATGTTGCTGTCATCGACGGACACAGACTGAAGGTCTCGGTCGACGAGGCTCCGTACGCCATCGGCGAGTTCGAGCCACTCCTCGACATGAAGCGCTTCGACAAGCGCCTCTCTCAGTTTGGAAAAGACTTCCTCCCGCCGGTGCCGGATGTCTCCACAATGCCCAAAGAGATTCAAGCTCAGCACGAGTCCAAATCCCAAGCGACCAAACCGGAGTCTACCCTTATTGACCAGATCAAGTCGCCTGACGATGATGCATTCACGGGTCACGGCTTACTGGGTGAAGAATACAAGGATCGGAAAGCGCAGCAGCTGGCAGCCGAGAAGTCGGCAACAAGCGGTAACCCCTTCTCCCGAGACGAGGATCCTGCTTTCACGCGAGGCCCATCTCTGCTGAATAACCAGCGGGTGGAGCTAGAGCCGAAGAAAGTTGAGATATCCTGGTTCCCCTCCGCTGCGGAACATTCTGCAAAGTACCGCAATATCGCCGATTTGCGTCCCAGTACCTCAGCCGGTATTGTCCGCCAGCCCGAACAGAGCCACAGACCCCCTTTCGGCCACCAGCCTCTGCATGCGCACGCTAACTCAGCCTCCCCCTCGCACTCGGGCCAGAACCGTCGCCCACCCGGCGCGTCGTCGAACCCGGGCTCCCCCTCTCAGACTCGTCGCCCACCCGGCTCGTCGTCGAATCGTCTGCGTCCCGACGCACACCCTCAGCCCCTCGCTTTGCAACGTCCCGGCTCATCAGGAGGCCTCTCACAAACAGGCCGCCGCCAACCACCCACGCCTCTCGTGAGCCTGACTCCCGAATTCAACGAGCCCCCTCAATGGGCCCGCAAGAAGGGACACGGCGTCCAAGCACCCGAGGGCATGCACCATCTCGTGGACCTGATCTCGGTTGGGACTCCAAAGGGAGGATCCAGTCTCCTCGAGGTGCCCCCGCGGAGCCCCATGAGGCGGGGGCCGAATACAGCACCCTTGCCCGCGGCGCCTTCGCAGAGGAGTGCGGGCGGATTGGCCAGGACAAGGAGTAAGAGCCAAGGGGCTCCGGTCGCAAGGATGATGAGCGATGCACCGCCGCCGTTGCCGCCGATGCCGAAGGCTGCGCCGGATGCAAGGTCGGGTGATAGGAGAAAGGCGGCTGCGCCGGATGCGAGGGAGGGGGATAGGAGAAAGGCGGCTGCGCCGGACGCGAGGGAGGAAAGGGGTAGGGAAGGGAGGGGTAGGGAAAGGCAGAGAGAGGCCATGCCCCAGATGAATACTGTTCCGGGGAGGAATGGGACTTTGAAGGTGGTATGAGGGATTCGTGTCTTGCTGTGATTTTCGTTGCTTTGGTATAGCATCGCACCACACGCAAATTGTTGTGGGGACGAAAAAGGGGAGGTTTGACTTGCGCGTCATCATTATCATCATCGACATGATACTTTCTTTTTGTCTTGGGTTTTTTCCTCTCCTTTTCCAAGCGGGGGAGTTGGGTATGAAGACATGATGGGTAGTTTCTTTTTCAGCTCGTGGCATACATTACAGTCTACAGTCTGAGGTAATACTTCTGGGACAGGAACTGAAGGGGCTGAAGCATCGGACTGCGGTTGCATAGGAACGCAAAAACATCAGCGGGGAGCAAGCATTTGCTGGGACGATACACAAAGTGCAGCATCATGGTCGTTGATCTACATCTTTATTTTTTTAATTATCTAGTATTTTAGTTTAGATGGGGGAGGCGGTCTGTTTGGTTAATGCGGAGGGAAGAGCAGAATGTCTGCTTTGGGACCGTTAGGGGAGGGTTGGGGAGAGGCTTAGCGAAGGCTAACTCGTCGAAGTTGGCTGGAGTTGAGGTTGATTTGACCTGGCGTGCATGTATAAAGTAAAGGAGAAGAAGCGAAAGCATCGGGTTGTACTAGAGTCTAGTGTTGGCATTATAAAAGCGTAATCATTAACTATTCATACTCATTATAGGCCTTACGCTTGTGTGATTGTAGTCATGACATTTTCAAGCAGCCAGCCTGTCTACTCGAGTAGTTGCACCAGATGTTAATGTTGTGTTAGCTTGCCAATCCACGGAGTGTACTGGCACGCACAGCAGGCAATGGAAGTTCCGCATGCGAAGCAGAAGGTTGTACTGGGCGTGGAGTTCTGGTTGGAGTGGCTCAGGAGAAGAAACATGGGTGGCCGTGGCAGTCGTATTTGGAAATTCTACGTCTTGAACTCCCATAAAACAACAAGATGCGAAGATGGTGTTTCACCGAGCGCGTTGCAAATGGGGTCAATGCAGTTAGTACCCGGATCGCGCCCAGAAATCCTGACACTGCGTTATCATGCAAGATGGTTGTCAGAGACACTGAACGCAGGACACCGGTGGGGTGCCGGTGGGGTGTTTCGGACAAAAGCCTCCCGAGTCATGATTACAATCTATGTGAAGTTTCGGGATGCCGAGAGTCAGGATTCCCGGCATCGCCAAACCTGCGGCTACGCCGGGTCCAAGCGGCGGCCTAGCTATCTATATAAGGACCATCTCTAAGTAGGATAGGGAAGGAGTAGAGATCAATGCATCATCGTGGGCACCCCTACCTGAGACCGCCAGTGACCGCCCGTGACCACCCGGTGCTACGTAGGAGGGACGCCCGTTACTCCCCGTCACTCTGTACTATTGCCTTCGGCCTAGCCGTACCCTGACAATGGTCAACTTCACATATCTCGGGCCATCAAGAGGGTTTTACCCTGCCGCCTGTATTTCTTCCACTCAGATGGCTTAGTTATGGGCTGCCTTTTTGCTCGCATAACTTTCTGGTTGCCCGGGCCAACTTTTCTGGACCAGCAAGGTGTTTATTCTTTTGTATTTTAAGCCCCTCTTCATTAAGTTTGGTTTCTATCCAATTCTGCCGTTTCTTGTGTTTTCACTTTCCCATTTTACATTGTATATCTGAGACGTTTGGAGAAACGGCCTTCCGAGGCTGGCGTGTTGAGGACCCTAGATCGGTCTCGCGTTTGGGAGTCGAGGGTATTCCTGCGCGGTCGACGGATTGAATATCTTTCGATCCTTCAAGTCTAAAGGAGGAATAATAGACTAATGTCACAAAGTAGCTTCAGCGAAGGCAATACTAAAGCAGATATTCGATCTAGAGAGAAGCGGCCGCGAGACTCCTAGTTCACGCCAAATACGACATTTAACCCAGCAAGTCCTCCATTGACCGAACTGCCAGCAGAGTCTCAATCCAGCCCAAACTCGCAATTCAGCTCAGAATCACCTCGTGGCTCTCCTCGGGCACTCATTCCACTGAAAGAGTCTCCGCCACAGGAGTTCCAACCCGGGCTAAGCTCAACATACATCGTAACATCGCCTTCTGACCCTTCTGTGACAGCCGCGAACCTTCCATCCAAAGCCACTCTACTGTACATCATCCTCATAGAAAAAGCATTTCCATCAGCCATAGTATTTCTCTTTGAATATCTAGGCCATTAAGTTCCCCACAGGAAGAGATAATTAGCGTGTTCTGATCTCGAAAGACCTTATTCTGTTGTTCAGTGGATGCTCAAGCTTGCATTAAACCTTGCGACAACTAGAGTGAAGAGTTTTTCAAACTGCCTGCAGTTGCAGTTGCGTCGTCAGATTGAGTCAACATACTATGTACTCGGCCAAAATTTAGAGGCACGAGGCGATGAACAGAACCAAAATGAGTCAAACTCGATGCCTTAGTCCGGAGCTTAGCACGAAAATTTGTCCTATCGTGAGCACAGTGTAGAGCGTGACACTGAAACCTCGTCACAGATAATGGAGAAATGTAAAGCAAGTCCTGTGCGAAGTCGTAATCAGTGTCTATCGTTTAGGGGCTTACCACTTTAAAGCGGGATGCTCAGATTAAACGAGCTACTACTGTCCTATATGAAGGTAGGACCTCAGAGAAGGTGTTGAGGGGACTATACTGCACTCTGGGTATGCGCGGCTCGTACTAGATTAATTGGTATCCAGAAGCCCAGACACATATTTTAAGCTTGTAAGCAATTTCTATTCCATTGTTGCTCGCTTTGTCCTCTGGATGTAATTTTCACCGCCTCATATTAGACATATGTTTGTGCATTACGGTATATTCTACATTTTGGCGAACGGATCAAAGGGCACGTAGATAACTGTGGTATTTGAGTATACTAAGATTGCACTTGAGTTTGACCGTCAACATTTCGGCTGTCTAGGAGGCTTACGATACTGCTATAGCCGAGAATATAGCGAAATAGAAGGAAATAGTGAGTTGGGAAATAATTAGCGATAACAAATAGGTCAAATATCTAAAATATAGTCAAATTATAATCACATAACACCTTGTTATTGCCATGGTGATACTTTGACATGAAACACTTTGATACCAATGTCAAATACGGATGCGCTGACTCGTGTACGCCTCTAACGAGGACGACGGGTCGAGTCCCGCACTTGGAAAAGGTGACCGAGCCTTTTCAGGAATCTCTTCATCTAGGTTACCCCTGGCTAGAGGCATGGTATTTAGAGCAAAGTCTCCCAGACGACATACCTATGTCCATTTCCCCGAAACACATTGCTGGCATTTTGTTCTTTTCATGCATTCAACTGCCCCTTCGTCAGAACACACACTGCCTTGCTCACTCTCCCCAGTAGAACCAGTGCCTGATGACGCTGTGCCACTAGGGATAAAAATAGTGTCGGAGGTAGCCGATGCTCCCATATAGCTCTTCGCTCCATTTCCTCCAACATTAGGGGTTGTTGATGCAAGGAGCGCCGTCGTGTCTGATAGGGGAGCGCTTCCAATAGTGGCTGCTGTTGATGTAAGAAGTCTGCCTGGTGGAGCTATGCTCCCGCTGCCATTACCGTTATTGGCGCCGCGTTCTTCACTGTCGTATGGGGGCGATGGCTCCGGGCAGTCTGCGCCGGCGTGAGGCAACCAAAAACTCGGGCTTATGCATGGGTTTCCGTCGGTTCCTTCGCGGATGACGTTGGGTCCCGGAGCCGGAATCATGGGATTGGCATTCAACTTGGTAACGCAACCGATGAAGTCCGCATTTGCCACAAACAGGTCTGGCAGATCGTCACGCTTTTGCATGCTGGTGCTGCCAACAGAGCGTTTGGGAGTGTTCCCGCTTGATTAGATTGGAGCACAGCTCATATAGAACTCTATCCTTCCAGAAAACTTATCAATCCATGTCCTGTTCAGTCTCAGAAGCCAATATTACCCTGTGGAGAATGGATGCAGCCAACTCACCATGCAAGGATGTGTTTCCCCCGGGGTAAATGCGCCCGGTATCAGGCCTGCTTTCAGGAGATTCATAGACATCGTTTCTCATTCCATTTCTGATTGGACAGCCGCCTTCCCAAGATTGAAAAACGGTAAATTTTGCGTCCTTGTTTGTCTGTGTCACTCGTCAAGGACAACTAGCAAATGCCCCCTCCGTGGAGAGCGCAGGAGATGTTGGTCGGACATCCGAATTCCAAGGAATTGATTCGCCAATCCTCAATGTTGTCGCAGGTATACTGGCGTAGTACACTTCAGACTCGCCTCGCAGACTACATGGATATGTAACCTCTGATGTGACGGGCACCTGTAAGCCTCCAGGTCCCCTGACTACTTGAAACATACATGTGCAAGTTTGGAATTATCGTATAAACCTTTCCCCGTAGCTAGGAATCGAAGAAAAGGCACGGCTCTTGAAATTCTGAGTGTTTCTCGGCCGCCCAAGTTTGGAAGACCTGATTCGGGTGGTAGAAGATGAACGCAAATCGCACTCGAGCCTTCGACCCCTGACATATGTCTTTTCTTAAAGCTTGACCATCATTGAGCCGTCCTACTTGTGGGCACTTAACCACTCTTCACGACCGCAACTTGGCTCCGAACCGGCACATTATCCGCCCTCCCTACATCAGGGAACCCATCGACCTTAACCCCCTTCCTAAACAACAAACAATGCGATGACCCACCAAAGTGGAACATACCCAACTCATCACCCTTCTTGATATGATCCCCCTCCTTAACCGTTATCTCACACGTGCTAACCTCATCCATCCCAACCCCAATGAACGCCATCAGCCCAATATCCTTATTATCCGCCTCAATGAAAATAACCGCGCGCGTCGCCAGCGCCGTCAAGTACCCCTGCGCATCACTAATAGATTTGACATCAATATCGCCATCCTTCTGTCCAGCGGCATCAATGCCCGCTTCGAAGAGGGGCTCGCTGAAATAAGTGCCATCGCGGACGAAGGCGCGGACGATCTTGCCCGAGACGGGAGTGTGCCAGCGGTGGTAGGAGAGCGCGGAAAGGAAGGCCTGGTAGATGGTGGCGCCGGAGAATTTGTGCGCCAGGGCGTCGTGGCCGAGCATGTCGAGGACGGAGTAGGGCTGGCCTTTGATCCAGAAGCGGTCGCGGAGCTTGCAGTCGCGCTCCACATTGTACACTTTAGATTCGCAGGCATTGGCGATGATGCTGTCGTCTTCGGACGAGGCGACGGGGCGGGCGCCTTCGCGGAGGGGGCGGGTAAAAAAGTCTGATATGCCGTGTTAGCTGTGTGCAGGCAAGAAAAAACCATTCGAGTAAGCTTCAAGAAAAACAACGCACCATCCCATGACTTGTAGCCGTAGTGCTTGGCTTGCGGGTCACACACGAACATGTCTTCGAATTTGTGGGAGGTCTTGAGGGGTGCATTGGCCACGGACATGATGTCCTTGGTGGCACTGTCGCCGAACCAGCCCTCGCTGTCGTGACCCAGCACATGTGCCGACTCAGGTGACTGTCAAACCAGGTCAATTGGTTTCTTCGCTTTGGATGTAAAAATAAGTTATGCTTACCTTCAGGTACTTGCCCCATTCGTTCAACACCTTCTTCAGCATCTTGTTGACATCCGGGTCCAAAAACGCAGCATGTCCACTACATCCGAGTCAGTAACTTCTCATCGACTTCCATGAGTGCAGTTCCAACTCACCTAGGAGTACCCATAGCATAATCAAAGATGGCAACCATAGGGACACCCACCATACCCACACCGGCCGCGGCATCAGTCCATTCCGGCGCCTTGGTGAACACATGATTGAGCATGTTCAGCATGTGCTTGTAGTTGCGAATCTGCCGCTTGCCTGTAGGGTCCTTGTCGTATGGCGCCCTTCGCGGCACTTCCTCCCACATCTCCGTAAAGTACATGTAGATGCGTGTGTTGCCCTCGATAAGCTCTTTGAACTCCTGCAGGACGGGGATGAGGTCCTTGGCGCCGTGCTTGTCGACATGTTCGACCTGGCGGCCGAGCCATTCGTGCTGAACTCGATGGTCGGCGGGGAGCCATGCACCAGGTCTTTTATTAGGGTCAGCATGGGATGCATGAGGTGGTAGCACAGGGAGACCGACCGGTGACGCTTGTGCTCGTTAGGAATGTGGTGCTCGTCGCCGTGTTGGTGAACCATTTTGGCAGTTGTTTTTAGTAATTGATGTCAAGGAGTAATAGTATATCGAAAATGTAGATGCAGTCAACTGGAGTTTCTGAGAATGGTACTAGTGAGAATGCCAAGTGACGTGTGTATGTTCTAGGTCTATCCTGCCAAGAAATGTGCCTTCTTATGCGGGACGCGGGGAGCTCAAGGAGAGTAACAGCCGCAGCTAATGCAGATGAGCTTTCACAGCGGGCAGTCCATGATGTAACTACCTCGAAAACTGCAAGCCGGCCACCTAGTGACGTGCCGAGGAGCTCGAGCTTGGCGCTCTATTGGGTCTCCTTATTGCCACTAGTGCATGAGCGGAGCTCGTCTAGTTCCAGCACCAGGTTTGTCAACCTTGAAAACCCCGTTCAGGCCCCAAGCTCTACTGTCGGGGTTTACAGGAATTGCAGTGGACTTACGTAACTGGTATCTGCTGATTACCGTGCAACGCGGGATCGGACGTGTAGACTTATGAGATGATGTTTGTTTCCGGGCATGACGTATTCCTCCACTTATACAAAAGACCGTCTCATGCGTAGCTAAAGTGGGTGAGTCTGTTCTACTATTTGAAACCTTTTCACGGTATGGCATTTCCGATGATATGATGCAATATTATCGATTGTGTATATGGGCTTCAATCGCGACAATATACTTCAAAGATTAGAAGTCGGCATAGCTTGTTCTATACTTATCATTTCATAATGTAGTTCCAGTATTTCAACAAGATCAAGCGTTCATACTATATGTCCAGATGGTGTCCAGTGGATGGATAGCTGAAAAATCGCAGATCGAGTGGAATCATGCGGACTGACACGCTATTCCAGAGTAGTAAAGTTGCAAACGTAGGGATAAACTGGCTATTAGACCACCGTTGAAGCCATGAGCGCAGGGGATTCTAACCACTTCGAGTGTTATAGTAAAGAATATTATGCCCCACTACATAAATGGAGTGGCAAGGCAAATATATAAGTACCCCACAAGCAAGTTGGCCACTTTTTCTTGGCACCGTACGAACAACCTTTTAATTAACATCTTTACACATACCAAGATGGGATCGAATTGGAAAGAAAGCGACATGATTCTAGCGTGTCAGGCGCTTCAATAGAAACCCGAATTAAGCATCCGACGCGCTGCCCAACTCTACAATGTCCCTCGTACAACTCTAGCTAACCGAAAACGCGGACTACTATCTCGACGCGATACTCGACAATCTAGTCATAAGCTTACGGAATCAGAAGAGTTAGCGGCCGTACAATACATACTTGACCTAGATTTGCCATCATTTCCTCCCCGGCTCCATGGTGTTGAAGCTATGGCTACCGACTGCTCCGTGACCGTGGCGCTGGACGCGTCGGCGTCAACTGGGCCTCGAACTTCGTACGACGACAACCAGACCTTCGGACGCGTTTTAATCGAAGAATCGACTACCAACGAGCCTGTTGCAAAGATCCTGACGCGTATCGCGCGTGGTTTACGCTCGTACGAAATACAATTGCGAAATATGGTATCCAAGAGGCGGATATCTATAACTTCGACGAGATAGGGTTCGCGATGGGCTTAATTTCATCCGAGATGGTAGTTACAAGTGCCGAACGACGCGGAAGGCCTCGTACAGTCCAACAAGGCAATCGAGAATGGGCTACAGTAATCCAGGGTATTAATTAGTCCGGCTGGGCTATCCCGCCGTATATTATTGTCGCGGGTCAAAACCACCTCTTATCCTGGTACGAGAATAGCCCATTCCCGTCCGATTGGGTAATCGCTGTAACCAAAAACGGTTGGACAACAAATGAGCGAGGCGTAGACTGGATTCAGCACTTTGATCGCTATACGAAGGATCGTACGAAGGGTGTTTATCGTCTTCTTATCCTCGACGGGCATGAGAGCCACCACTCGACTGACTTCGAGCTATATTGCAAAGAGCATACTATTATTACACTTAGTATGCCTGCTCATTCGTCACATAAGCTCCAGCCTCTCGATGTAGGCTGTTTTAGGGCTTTGAAAAGGTCGTACGGCAAAGAAATTGAAGACCTAATACGGGCGCATATAACCCATATCTCGAAGGAGGATTTCTTTTCGGCATTCTATAGGGCGTATCGTACGACTATAACTAAGTCGAATATCTAGGCAGGTTTCAGGGGGACAGGACTTATTCCGTACGACCCGGAATATGTGATTTCACAGCTGGATATTAAGCTACATACGCCTACACCTCCTGGGAGCTCGTCTGGCGCCCCCTGAATCTGGGAATCAAAGACTCCAAATAACCCAACCGAGGCGCAATCCCAGTCTGAATACGTTAAAAACAGAATCGTACAACATCAGAATAGCTCCCCGACGACAATACTTACGGCTATTGACCAATTTTCACGTGGTGCGATGGCTGTTATACATCGGTTAGTTTTACTTGAGGATGAGGTTACTACACTTCGGAAGGCCAATCAAGAGCTAAGCCGTCGTCGAAGGACTAAAAATCGACAGCTACAAGATGGAGGATCTCTTATTTTACGAGACGCTCAGGACTTACAGTCTCAACGGGATATTGAACAGCAGCTACAGGATGATATACGTGTAAGTCGTCGTCGTACGAGACCGGCAGAACCACGCCGACGGCGCTGTAGGGTCTGCGGAGAGCCCGGACATAATGCTTGTACTTGTGAGAATGATAAAGATACGTACGAGGAAGAGGATTCCGATTAGTTTGAATTATTATTTTTTAGTTTAGTTAAGTTATTGAAGTTATTCATACGGTGCCAAGAAAAAGTGGCCAACTTGCTTGTGGGATACGTTGTACGTTTCTCGGCCACAATCAAAGCTATTTACACGTGGACTAAGCCATTACACAGAAAGCCCAATGGGTTATACTACTCCGCAATATTTCGAGGTGAAATGGGCCCCTAAATCGACAGTGCCAATTACCGTAAGCCGCGAAACGCAGTTTTCACATTAGATCTGGTCACGATACTTCTTCTGTGGATGTTATTATATATGCACTGGGGCGGTCCACCGAATTAGCGATACGTATAGTCGAAGACGTAACCTATACAGCTTGGAGGCGCGGAGGGATCGCCACACTACTACAACTTGATATTAAGGGGGCGTTCGACACAGTTAACCACAGGCGTTTGATTTCTATACTAGCCCGGAAGGGCTACCCGGAGTGGGTTCAGGAAAGGGTACACAGCTTCGTAGAGGATAGGACAGTACGCCTCCGGTTCGACGGTAAGGAGTCAGAGCTGATCCCTCTACGAGCTGGCGTCCCCCAGGGGTCGCCACTCTCCCCGATACTATTTATCCTATATATCTCGACGCTATATGAGGAACTAGCGGAGAAACACCCCCTACTCTTAGTCGTAGGGTTCGCGGACGATACGAACCTACTTAGCGTGAGCACAGACACGGGCACGACCTGCCGCCGACTAGAGGACGCTTGGGCTACGTGCCAACGGTGGGCTGCCAGGCACGGGATGGAGTTCGCTCCGGACAAGAGTGAGCTGATGCACTTCACTAGAACCCGAGACCACTCCCCGCAGAGTATCCGTCTTGGAAACGCTACAGTAACGCCGAAGGTCTCGGCAAGGTTCCTAGGGGTCTGGTTTGACCGCAAATTAACGTGGCACGCCCATATCGAACGGGTTAAATCAAAAATGGCGACTCAGAAGCTAGCCCTAACAAAGCTAGTGAACATGGCGTGGGGCTGCGATCTCATACGGGCGAGACTACTGTACACGTCGGTTATTCGCAGCGCGATCGCCTTCGGGGCGGCTGCGTGGCACACTATAAGCGAGGAACCAGCGGGACCAGCTAAGAGCCTAGTCGGGATACAGAATGAGTGCCTCCGAATAGTCTGTGGCACCTACAAAGCGACACCGGTCCGACACCTAGAAATAGAGGCAGCTATCCCGCCACTAGACCTATATTTCAGTGCCCGGGCGGCGAAATTTGAAGAACGGCTACGGAATAACGGCAAAAGGAGCCTGCTTCGAAGCGCGAGCGCGAGAGCGTCACACATACTCCGACAGGACACGCCGGCGAGACGGAAGCGGGCGTCACAATCGCTCAGACCAGCGGGGTACACGATAGAGAAGGAGGCTAGGGGCTCCGAGTGGATAGGCAAGGCGAAGGAAGTCCCGGCCGCCCTCCTAGACCACTGGGAGAAGAGATGGCTCTCCGGGGCAGCACAACACGACCGCCAGCGACGCGCTATCGCCGAGGAGCAGGAGGGCCCCTCGATGCGAATGCCGAAACAGGGCAAGTACTCAGACCTAAACCGACCGGAGGCGTCTACCCTATGCCAGATCAGGACCGGAAAAATAGGACTATCAGTTTTCTTATTTAAGATAGGAGCCTTCGGTGTGTACTCGCCGTTATGCCGCTGTGGAGAGGCCCCCGAGACGGCAGAGCACGTAATCCTCTTTTGCGGCCTGCTGGAAGAATCGAGAGAGCGCCTACGGACCACTATCGCACCATGGCCGCTGCATACACGTAGAGACCTGGCAACGGCGACGGGGAAACCAGTAGTCAGCGGGACTATCACAAGGTGGCTACTCAGGACTGGCCGGATAGCGCTTAGGCCCGGATAATATCGATCTTCTCAGGGGGACTTTGTTAGTAGGGTGAGAACTAACATAGTATTGTGGTGGACGTAACGCAGTCGCTAATAGAGCGAATCTACGTAGCAGCGTATGTATTTAGTCCAGCCATTAGGGCACGGTTTGACATACGGGAGCACTTGTAGAGGTACCGGGGGCTTCGAGCCTACGGCGTATTTATTAATAATATTATCGCCTAGATCCTCAGGTAGGAGTCTCTAGGCTGTATGTTAATGTATAGCTAAGTGTGAGCTTGTGGTTCTGCACTTCTTGAGCAGTGGGGGGATATCGACGAATTACGGAAAGCTTAGCTGAACAGGTTAATTAAATGGCACCCCGAAATCAAAAATAAGAAGGACCGTAAGCAGGAAAACCTTCATTGTAACTCCTTTACCCCCAAAGCGGTCCATTAGCACTTTAATATCCGTGAAAAGGAGTACGGCTAGATTTAGCTGCAAGTTACTGTCGATAAGAGCTTATTACAGCTAGTTTAAGTATACACTAATATGTTGTTCTAGCGCTAACAGGCTTGTTTTAAGGGATTCTAATCGTAGAAGGCTATATTCAAGCGCTGAGAATTCCGGTGTTAGACGACGTTTATTAAAGTCGCTATAACCGATAGAAGATTACTTTCCACCCCCTTTCCCACCCGTCGGGAAATTCCTCCTCCTCCAAAGCGGTAGTGTGCGCCCAAGGCTTCAACCAGTTCTCCTCCCTAATCGTAGCCGTCAAACACGAGTTCCATCCTTTGCGGGGGAACGCAGCCACGAGCCCGTCCCGTGTCTGCTGGTTGACTAATTCCGATCGCTCGCCTATGTTATCGTAGATGGTGGCGAGCTGGATCAGTTGGCCTAGGCAGGTGATTTTTTCCGGTTAGCCCTCAGGTTGGAAGATGTGACCGCGATGTCGTGGAGTAGACATGTCAAGGCGCAGGTAGACAGCGAGAAAGTCTGTGCGTGCTTGGAGAACTGGTGCTGCAGGATGACATAGCCTATTGCGTTTTATGATCATCGTAGAGTCAATAGAAATGCAGTATCGTTGATGACAGTGGGTTATTAGAGAGAAAGTGGCTATGTGTTACTGAAATAGTAGACTCTCATCGAATGATTATACGCTTCTTACTGGAGATGAACCTGGGCATATGTCTGTACCTAGCTACAAGCGGACCGTCTGCCGGAAAGGGATATCGCAGGCATTCATAGGCATCGGCTTCTGTAGATATGGCTTACCGTCAAAGACTATATCGAAATCCCGCGCCATGGCAGTCCAGTCATGCTCTTCTATCGCAGCGGCGCTTGCCACTAGCGTCGAAGACAGGGAATCGGCGGCCATGGTTCACACATGAGGACTTGATTTAGATTAATGGGTTTTGGCCCTGCAGATGGGACTCTCTCTTACACATCGGGTTGGCGCTGTTCGCGGAACAGCAGTGAGTCAGCTCACTTGAAATGACTGTTTATACACTATATACGGTTATGTTTGATGATGACAAGTACGTGATGCCGGTATTAGTGATCGTGTTCATCACACAACACAAGCCTTGACCAGCAGCGCACTTGCCCCACAATACTGCTGGGTCTTACATCATATGCGACATAACCCGCAGATGACCTACCGAGGCAATGTTGCATGCAATTGACCCCGAGACATTGGACGAGATTGCGTGTTTTGCATATCCGATCATGCCCTCGTTGCCATGCGTCAGGGCCTTTGCGCAGTAGCGAATGGTGGCTGATATATTATCAAGCATCGGCGGCCAGATCGGCGTGCAGACTAATGGTCCAACACAATAGGCGCTGTCAATTGTCATGTGCGACGAGTTGACATAGACCCTTTACTCCCGCCCAGGTTGCGGGATGGAGCTTGTAGCGCTTCTGTCGTAAACTGCCTGGTTCTACGCAGCGCGACATCACAGGTTGCTCTCGCCATCAAGAGTGTCCTCAACCTTGGATGGAGATCCCACTCCAGTACATATGTTCTGTCTCCCTTACTAGACTTGTGCCTGCTTGCATTCGCTCAGAACCTGTATTACGTTGGTCAGTGTATGCCTACGGGGTTGTCGCATACAGTGGGACACTCACCTGATCTCATATGAGCCTGCTCGAGTCATGTATCTCACCCACTTCACACTGGAGTAATTGCTCTTCTCGAAGACCTTCAAGTACCTCACCAACAGCCCCGAACTTGTAAACATGAGCAGACTGAAGTTCAGGCTCAGAGGAGGCCTCGACCAAGTCTTCTGGTTTGTCATGCTCGTCAACTCAGCCTCAGCACTGAGGACATATTCGCTCTGCCCCGTGAACCGCCCAATCTTCCACACAATAATGTTCTCACTGGGCTCATACTTGGCCTTTCCCTGGGTGCAGCGTTCCGTGATGCGGGCTGTGTTGAGCGGCGTGGGGATGCGCACGACAACGTTCGTCGCAAACAACTTGCTCCCGAAGTTTGCCTTGACACCAATGCTGTATTCCACTTTGGTCTTGCCAACTTCATTAACGATGGCGTGAACCTTGAATGGTAAGTTGACGTTTTCAGTGGCTCGGTAGCGCATCAGCTCGAATTCACCGTCGGGGGGTACGAAGCTGATGATGCGGTCGCTGTCGAATTTCCCTAGTTTGACGCACTGATGGAACTGGCAGTCCTCGAGAGTCACGCTGCCCGCAGCAGCTTTGGTGGCTTTTGTGCCCAATCTGTTGCCGCTGGGCAGTGACTGCAGGCCGTCATGGTCGAGCAGGAGCCGGTCGTTGAGCCCGAATTTGCATTCGGGGGTGCCGGACAGATAGGCGCGCATTATGATCTGACCGGTAACGTCAGCGCGAAGAACGGTGCCTGTAGCCGACATCAAGAGGTTGACGTCCTCAATGACATCTACGAAAGCCTCGTTCTTGCGGTATTTGACATCTGCTTTCCGCCATGAAAGCGCACCGGTTGCTTGCATGGTGATCTTGGCCGAGTCTTCGGCTGCGCGCTCGGATTTGACGCCCTCAGTAGTAATGTACATCTTCAGCGTGTCGGTCTCGGTGTTCTGGGGGTACCCGAAGTCGATGATTTCTGGAGGACGAATAGGTGAGCATTGTCCCTAGTACTATACAGACGGGCACCAAACATACCATCCAGAAGCTCGTAAACCAGCACAAAGTTGTTCTTAACTGCCTCCTCGTCGAACTTCCCAAAGTAACCCCGTCCCAGCTGGATCAGCCGGTAGAGGAACTCGAAGACCAGCGCGGCATTGGCATTGCTCTTGGTGATGGCTACCAGATATATGTTCTCGTGCTTGACATGGCTGAAAGTGGTGCTGCCCAGAGTCAAGATGGGCGAACGGACTTGAGGGTTCGAGATGACCTGGATGCGAAAGACGTCGGCGAGACGGGGCCGACAGTCGTTGCGGAAGGCCCGGAAGATCAGGTTCTCGCCCTTCTGGTTGAATATCAGAATCCCCGACAGCATCTTCGTATCTTGTCGAGACCAGGACGCTGTCCCGGTAGAAAGATGGCTGGTCCCGATTTGTTGTTTGATGGACGGGCAATCAGTTCATTATAAAGTACTCCTGACAATCAACCAGCAAGGTCAAGGCCCCGGTCGGCTAAATATCGGCAGTATCTGACGTGCGACCGGTGAACTACATGTTGAAGTGCCCAAGCGGCTACCACTCAGTACTTCTTCATCATTAACGCAGCAACTTGCTTCATTTTGACCAGGCTCAGGCTTCTTCCACGGCGAACCTCGTCCTTTGCCTCTTAGTGCTCTTATCAATATATTCTTATTTAATTTGACCTCTCTAGCTTCTCAAAAGTACCATTGGAACTGCAAAGTCACGTCAGCCTGCCATATTTAAGGCGACGACGTACCATCATAGATAGCTCTTGCACCAATGAATGGACGTAGCGGCGCTGCCTCACATTCAACAGGGAATGACGGATAGTTTCGCTGCACCCATAAGTAATGGCCGCATTCTGGTTACTCGCACATACAACGAGCATGAATTAGCCAATAGAATTGTTTGAGGTATCTTCTCACGTCTGAACTTTTTTCCAAACTCGCCGCAAGTCAGGATTGGCTTGCTGCAAAGCGCGAGTTGGGCCTTCTTCCTCCAAGAGGTCATCAATATTCTGCACGACAGCCTTGGAGGTGCGCACTTTCACTATTCTGAATTAGATCTAGTGCCATCAGAAAGTATTGATCCAGCAGGTTTCGGAGGGTTCTGCGATGCCAACCCAGAGGGGATTACGGTCATGCAATAACTGGCTGGCTACGCAGAGAGTCATACGACCAATAGAATGGGGAAAGCCTGAGCAAATGGTTGTTTCTGGCTGTAATTAACAGAACAGGCGCGCAAACGGAGAAGGTTTTACCTGTCTCCGTAGAAGAGGGCAACACACCTTGCTGTTTGTAGAAATCTCCCCCAAGACACTGGAAGCACCAAGCACGTTCTACATCTTCAGTTTGTATTCGACTACAACCCATCAGTCAATCTTTTCAGCACCTCCAGATTTTGTGGTCCTCGTAGTGAAACTTATTCAGATACCTCCTTATCCATTGATGCACTTTGTACGAGTACGACGATGTACAAAGATGCTGAAGATGTCGTATAACGACGGCCTCGAGATCTGTTGGTCGCTGAAGAAATTGGTCGATAGTTTATATTTGAATATTCGCAGCGCGATCGCCTTCGGGGCGGCTGCGTGGCACACTATAAGCGAGGAACCAGCGGGACCAGCTAAGAGCCTAGTCGGGATACAGAATGAGTGCCTCCGAATAGTCTGTGGCGCCTACAAAGCGACACCGGTCCGACACCTAGAAATAGAGGCAGCTATCCCGCCACTAGACCTATATCTCAGTGCCCGGGCGGCGAAATTTGAAGAACGGCTACGGAATAACGGCAAAAGGAGCCTGCTTCGAAGCGCGAGCGCGAGAGCGTCACACATACTCCGACAGGACACGCCGGCGAGACGGAAGCGGGCGTCACAATCGCTCAGACCAGCGGGGTACACGATAGAGAAGGAGGCTAGGGGCTCCGAGTGGATAGGCAAGGCGAAGGAAGTCCCGGCCGCCCTCCTAGACCACTGGGAGAAGAGATGGCTCTCCGGGGCAGCACAACACGACCGCCAGCGACGCGCTATCGCCGAGGAGCAGGAGGGCCCCTCGATGCGAATGCCGAAACAGGGCAAGTACTCAGACCTAAACCGACCGGAGGCGTCTACCCTATGCCAGATCAGGACCGGAAAAATAGGACTATCAGTTTTCTTATTTAAGATAGGAGCCTTCGGTGTGTACTCGCCGTTATGCCGCTGTGGAGAGGCCCCCGAGACGGCAGAGCACGTAATCCTCTTTTGCGGCCTGCTGGAAGAATCGAGAGAGCGCCTACGGACCACTATCGCACCATGGCCGCTGCATACACGTAGAGACCTGGCAACGGCGACGGGGAAACCAGTAGTCAGCGGGACTATCACAAGGTGGCTACTCAGGACTGGCCGGATAGCGCTTAGGCCCGGATAATATCGATCTTCTCAGGGGGACTTTGTTAGTAGGGTGAGAACTAACATAGTATTGTGGTGGACGTAACGCAGTCGCTAATAGAGCGAATCTACGTAGCAGCGTATGTATTTAGTCCAGCCATTAGGGCACGGTTTGACATACGGGAGCACTTGTAGAGGTACCGGGGGCTTCGAGCCTACGGCGTATTTAATCATAAAATAATAATAATATTTGAATACAGACTGACAATGTTGCAATATGCTTAGCCCAGGATCATTACTAATTTCCAGGGAAGCATCATGCTGCCAAGCAATCTTTTTATTGATCGTCCCACGTTGCAGGAGATCTAGTGATGGGCTCATATATCTCCTGTTCCGGACTCCGAAATCTCCAAAATTCCCCGGCCTGCAGAACAAGTATGTCATGCCGCGTTATGAGCGGAGCCCCGTGTTCCACAGACCGCATTCGCGAATCTAGACCGCTCTATGATTCCTTTCTTGTCGGCAATATTGGCATTAAATCAGGATTGAGCGTCGCGAACCATTTGCGTGTCACCTCCCGGAAAGGCAGGATTTGCTCCGCCAGCTCTGTTGCCCCCACAGTGTTCCCCCAACTCCCCCTCACCATGCAGTTTGCCCATTCAGGGACAACAAGGAGCGTGGCCTCCGAAATTGCGACGTCGGATTCCGGATATCAGTTCAGCTGCTCTTGGTCGTGGTTGCATCAAGCAAGCCTCCTTGGCACAGTATTGGCGGACTTATTCACGGCGCTCAGACAGACTACACATTGCGTAATACTACGATATGACTAGCGACTTTTCTCTTCCATGGCCTATTCGAAGCCATCGTCTCGTGAGTTCACGATGCGCCTCTCCGGGGTCCCAATACTCCAGTACTGCCGCCAGACTCGGACCGCGCTCCGATATTGACTTGTCCATTGGAATTCATGGCTCAAGTGGTGTTTGACTGGACGGAAACATGCCACCGAAGAACGTGACAACTAGGGTGTTGAAGAACCTGAGGCCTTAATGGTCTGGACCGTGAGATAACAACCAGATAGGCTTGGGGATCCCGTCGTTCCGGGGCCAGATATGTTAAGTGGAGCGCTTGAGGAGGATAAAAGAACTATAACCCCAAAGAAGGATGTGAACTCAGATGACAAGGACATACTTTTGGGCAAGAAATGCCCATCTTCCCCAAGTTTACCTTACGCGAGTCACAATGGCCACGAAATCCATTCTCCTAGCTGTCTTGAGCTCCTTCGCTCTAGCTGCACCTCTCGAGGGCTCTCTCGAGAAACGTGCGGATTGCACCGCTGTTTAGTGAGCCTTGTCGTCTGCTTCAAGATCAACAAGCTAACACGAGTATAGTGGACAATGTGGTGGCATTGGTTGGGCGGGTGCGACCTGCTGCGCGAGTGGAAGCACCTGCGTTATCGGCAATGATTATTACTCCCAATGTTTGCCTGGTGCGTCCCAGGGCCTTGACCAGTGACATTAAGTATAGCTAATATCCGCCAGGGTCTGCATCGTCGAGCACGTCTTCGACTGTGGCCACAACGCGCTCGACAACAGTTTCGGCGACGTCGACTCGAGTCACAACCACTGCTCCTGTCGGCAGCGGAACCGCAACATACAGCGGGAATCCCTTCTCCGGTGTTCAGCAGTGGGCTAACTCCTACTATGCCTCCGAGGTCACTGCATATGCTGTTCCCACGCTTGGTGCTGCAGCGGCAGCTGTTGCCAAAGTGCCCAGCTTCATGTGGCTCGATACATATTCCAAGATAGCCTTGATGGGAACAACGCTGGCTTATATTAGTGCGGCCAACAAGGCTGGTGCCAATCCGCCAAATGCCGGCATCTTTGTCGTTTATGATCTTCCCGACCGGGACTGTGCTGCCGCCGCCTCCAATGGAGAGTACTCCATCGCGAACGGAGGCGTGGCTAACTACAAGAAGTACATTGACGCCATTGTTGCTCTAATCAAGCAATACTCCGATGTTCGCATCCTGCTCGTCATTGGTTAGTCTGGCAAATTACCCCAAAAGTCTCAACTCGTTCTAACCTGATCTCTAGAGCCCGACAGTCTCGCCAACCTCGTCACCAATATGGCCGTCAGCAAATGTGCCAACGCCCACGACGCCTACCTCGAGTGCACCAACTACGCCGTGACTCAGTTGAACCTCCCCAACGTCGCCATGTATCTTGATGCCGGCCACGCCGGCTGGCTAGGCTGGACTGCAAACCTGCCCCCCGCAGCGTCCCTCTTCGCTCAAGTCTACAAGAACGCCTCATCGCCTGCCTCTCTGCGCGGCCTCGCTACCAACGTAGCGAACTACAACGGGTGGAACCTGACCTCGGCGCCGTCTTATACCGCGGGTGATTCCAACTACGACGAAATCCACTACGTCAACGCACTTGCTCCAGCACTGCAGAGCGCGGGATGGACGGATGTGCATTTCATCACTGACACGGGACGTAGCGGGAAACAGCCCACGAGCCAGCTCGCATGGGGTGACTGGTGCAACGTCATTGGGACCGGGTTTGGCATGCGGCCCACGGCTAATACGGGGTTAGAGCTCGAGGATGCGTTTGTTTGGGTTAAGCCGGGTGGTGAATGTGATGGGACAAGTGACACTTCTGCTGCACGGTATGATTACCATTGTGGACTGTCGGATGCGCTGCAGCCGGCTCCTGAGGCGGGGACTTGGTTCGAGGCGTACTTTGAGCAGCTTTTCAAGAACGCCAATCCTGCTTTTACTTGAGGATTGGGATCAATTGGTTTGTTGCGCTGCTTCTTGAGGAGAAATGTGCACAGTTCCAGGTCACGGAAGAAGTAAATGCTGGGGGCATTGTCCTCTTCTGCGTATATACTTGAGCATCTGAAATAGTTCAAATATAAATATTTATTTCACCGACACGTTTGCTTTTGCGATTCAGACTTCATGATCTATTCAATGGAAAGATGCCCTTCAAACAAAGAGAACATGGATATTAAAAGGGACAGGGTTGCTTCGAGCAAAGCTGTACCTTGTAGTTATGCTAGGAATATCAGAAGAGAGACAAGCATGCTTCTGTTCCCAGTGTGAAGATACGCATTACGTGAATTCACTTTGCCGCAGACAATAACGTTGGAAACATAGGTATGGGGTTACATGCCGATTGAATACATTCTGCCTGCCAGGAAAAGAGATTCAAGGGGTCATATGGCCCAGATAGCGTTACCGAAGATATTAGAATCTCGTGCTTCACTGTAAAAATGTCCCATTTTTCCACATTGGGGTTGCTGGTTAGTCATGTGAGAGTGAGAAAAGCCAGCTTGCGCGCCATGCTGTTGGGAGCATCCATTCGGCGGTCGAGGACCTGCCAGATAGCGGCTGCAACAGAACTGCCATAAACCGATAAAGGGACTCTGCAATGGCCTCAAATGATATTCAAAAGAATAGTCTCCCTCCGGATGCAGGAAAACTCGGGAGGTTGTGCTGATACATCCGTTTTAAAACACCCTGGGCACCGGTGATTTCATGAACATGTCCTGTCAGGATGCTCTGTTGGGTTGTATATTGAAGCCATGATCGAATGTTGGGCTCAGTTCCGGCGTAGGCGTTTGACGAGGGAAGTGTTTCCGACCTCCGAGGCCCAACATATGTAGCAGTTAAGGCCACTTCTCAACGAACTCATGCGGCCGTGTATGAGCCACGACTTAGATCATCCTGAAGCTTGTCAATGAGAACGCTGTAAAGTCCAAAACGTGCATGATGCACAACATGATCTGGTTCGGGAAGCTCGGGAAAGGACACCATGGTTGCCAATGCCAACGATTCATGGTTCGACAAAATAATATTGTTTGCTAAGTCTGCCTTGGCGGTCCTCGATACACATTGTAAACAATCAAAAACTACAGGCGCAGGAAGATCGTCCGTTCTTATTTTGGGATGTTGGTGTTGTACTTGAGAAGGAGTAACAAGGAAGTAACGCGTCACAAACTCTCCACTAGTTCTGCCGTTGATACCGCCCCAGAAGTTCCCCAACTTGGAAGTCCCAACCTACGAACTTGAAGATCAGTCATGCATCCAATAGTATGATTGTTTTATTAACTTGAACTACAGTTGAAGCTTACTAAGCAAAATTTGCGAAATGGTTGGCCTTAGTGAAAAGAGGCCTGATGAGACCAATCTGGTTGAGTTTGCAGGGTTCGACCAGATCAAGATCGAAGTTCTTTCTCGAACTCAACCACACCACCACGACCCCTTCTCCGACTCCAGAGGAGGCCAGGCATGAAGACATAGTCAGAAAGAAGTGGATAACCCGTTGCTGATAACTTGAGTTGTTAGTCTCACGTATCACCAATTACACCTCGGACGCCTGCGAAGAGCGCCAGGGTTTCGGCCTGCCAAGTCATGGTGGATTATGCATGCTCAAATGTCTACACAAACCATGCATCTATGTTAGTGTATAGCAACAAAAAGTTGTATTGCTCGGAACTAATAACGCGCACGAAAAATGAGTCTGCTGAAAATCCCTCCCTATGCCACCTCCGCTTAACTGTAAAATACTTTATTGTCTTGAGGGCGGCGAAGCGGGAGGCACCGCCAGTGGCGTATAGTATCAAAAGGCCTCTTGGGGAGTCTGAGCTCGGTTAGGGCCCGCGAGCGGGGCCACCTCCTTAAGTGTACACCCGGTCACATCAGCGGACAGTTCACAACCATGTTCCACATGTTGATAGCCGCCTGATGAGGATTGTCCAGGTGGTCCTTGTCATTCAACTCTTGTATCTAACCTGTTCGGGCTACCTTCGATTTCCTTGTAGGCTTCAAGGGTTTCTGGATCGCCAGGAAGTCGTCTAAAGGGCGAGTCACCCAGGGTCAGAGCTGGGCAATGGAAGTCTCTGAAAGTCTCCATTCTTTTATTTTTCTATTCGATTGCTTGCTGTGGTTGTTCCGTGGTACGCTTCCTTGGTGGATTGCCATTGATGATCCCAACTAGATCTCAGTTTCTTTCCGAACTCGAAAAGAGATGGTTTCAACAAAAGATGTAAGAATTTCATGTCGCAAAATTGGTAGCATGACATTATCATGTTCCCCTATACCCGACGGACACATATAAAGGACCAACATGTGTGAAGTAAGTCAACGTGGGGGAATAGTTGTAGCTACCGGAGCGATCTTTGTTTACCTTCAACAACCCCAGAACTTCGTCAAAGTCCCATTCCGCTCGCTCTGCCGAAACAAATAATGCATCGTTCGATAGGGATATGGTATGCTGATACCACGCGGAAAATAATCGCTCTGACAACCGATCAAGTGCATGACCCGAATAGACACTGAGTGCTGCACCAGTTGCCTCCCGGATATCATAGAGGCAGATGGTGTTGCGCCAATCCCTTGGCCTCAATGGACCATCCCGACAGACCACCATATGTTTCAAATCGATTGCGGGTTAGCAAAGATATTCCTTGGGTCGATCTTCTCCTTGATACCCTTCAGTCTCTCCGTGATTGTCGGGCCATAGTAAAGCTCATGCGCCTCCTTTCTGGTCAAGCTGGGGTCGACATAGTTTTCGTACGCACCGTACTTCGGTAGCCCCTTGACCATGGCCTCGTTCAGCCCATTGATGAACTCGATCCCCTCGTCCGGGAAATTGGCCTCATCATCGATGTAGCCATAATGCTGAGCCACCCACAAATCGCCGCGGTGCTGGAAAGCGGCGAACTTTTCGTCCTTGATATTGATCTGACTGTCCACGCCACCGTACAAATCGACGAGGGCGAACCAGTGGACTGGCGCATTCGCTCCCTTTTCTAGCACGTAAGTCAAGTAGCTCTCGAGCGCTTGTCGCGACATGCCCGGCTCGGGTACCGTGACGCTCTTGGCGAAGAAGTTGCTGCGCTCTGTGTACGGATTGGTGATATTGAGGGAATTACCGCTGTTGAGCATCTTGAGCGAGGTGAGCCAGTCGGTTTCCTTGATGTCTGTTCTGGCGGGCTTGGGCAGCCCTCGGAGCAGCTCTGGCACAATGACGGCGTTGAACTTCTCCATAGTACCGAAGTACGTGCCTGAGACACAGAAGCCTCTCGCTCCGATGTTCATGCCGAATCCTATATTTCTATCGACAATGGAGCTGTTTTGTGAGAAGCTCTGCACGTGTTCGAAGGCCAGGATGTAGCCCTCGAGGCTTTTGGCGACGTCTGGGATATCGAAGTGCCAGTTGACGACCGTTTCGGGGGCTTGGTGTGTTTCCAGGTAGAAATTGACGACTATTCCCAGAGAGTCGGCGGCTCCGCGCATTCCCTGAGGATTCAACTCGGTTAGCATGATCTCTCAAAGCTGAAAAGAAAACTAGTGAACCTCACCCAGTAAATGTCTTGATTGTTGTCCTTGTTCGCTCGAACAAAACTTCCATCGGCTAGGACTACGTCCAAACCGACGATATGATCCATAGCCAGGCCCCAAGCCCGCGAAGAGAAGCCATACCCGCCGTGGGTGAAATGTCCGCCAATCCCCACCCCAGCGCATGTTCCATGAGACACAGCAGTCTTTCCCTGCTCGTAAAGGCCCAACGCCAGGTTACCCAGACGTACACCACCACCGACCTTCGCAATATCCAGCGTGGTGTCGAGTTTTATGTTCTGTAGATTCTGCAGGTCGATCATCATAGCACCATCGACGCCGCCATTGCTAAAAGAGGCGTACGAGTGGCCACCTGACTTGGCCTGAACCTTGATGCCGTGCTTGGATGCGCAGAGGACAGCGGCCTGTATGTGGAATTCGTTCTCTGGGAGGACAATGATGGCAGGTTTGTAAGGGAGGCGTATATTGTAAGTTCTGTAGTCCGGGAGGTTGGGGAGAATGGCGAGTTTGTGGGGTACCTTCTTGGCTTTCAATGAGCCAATGAGGGTGATCTGGTCCAGTGGTGATGCTTGCGAAGGCATCGTGAAGAGGAAGAGTAATAGAACTGTGAGAATACCAAATGATACAGTTGAGAAACTTCTGGGAGAGCGGCAATCGAAGGGAAGGCATGGGCCGATAAACTTGAGTCGCAGCTTCAGGATGCAATGGCTAAGGGAGAGATTCCAAATAAAGCCATGTAATAATGTTGGAAGAAGCTGGTGAGGCCGCTGCTTATTCCGCTGTTGAGATATGGATGACTCATGGAGCAAAACATGATGTGCGTGATTATTCAGTGCATGTCGTATTCTGCTTATGCTATTTCCATTTACCATTGAAGGCATTATTAGGCCCTGTATCCTTTGTAACAGAAAGATGTAAACAAAGTCGCGTGTGCTCACGCCTACCCTATATGTTAGGATTTGTATATATTCACCCAGGAGGCAAGAGCAACCCAGAGAAATGGAAGATTCCAACTGCAAGACCAGTTGTTACTTGGATAAGTTTTTGACACCGGTTAAGGTTATTTGTTACATTTTTGACATGGTCGATACAGGGAAGGAGCCCGGAACTTATTAATTCAGTGATTGGCAAAAGGCTCAATGTGCTCAAAAAAGCGCTTTTCGCAAGGAAATTTGATGTAGAAGATTGCTAAGATTATACAAAACAGGCCTGGATATATTGAAAGAAACAATCATCAGAGCCCCTATTCTTGTTTTCGTCCTCAATTGCGTCCTTGACTTCCCTGAAATAATCCTCCAACATTGTGTTTTGTCTCTTTTGGAATGATGCAGACCAATATTCACTCACTTTAGGTTTAGAATAGTGGCTAGATCTCCCAATATCGGTTTCATCCTTGACGCCATGGTCAGGAGAGTCGATTTTGACAACCATAGCCTTGGTATCCGTTATTTATGTATCTACATCTGCAGCTACAGTAACATGAGACATAAATACCTGGAGTGATGACGGTGATGCGTGTTCTTCGGGCTGCTGTGGAAAATCTAGGGATTTTCTAGTGCTTTGTCAACATAATTTTGAACTGATACTTCGCTCTTCATTGCCTTGTCTCACATAGGTCTTTTTACCGACATATGTGATGAGATTGATGTGCGTTCTAATGTCTACTGTTATTACAGTAGGAGTTCCTCCTTACGTTGGTCCTTAATGGCCCTGTGTCACACTCTGCCTAAGTGCAGTCAAGTAGTCGCGGTACAAATTCATAAATGTGATTATTTCTGAGAACTCTTGCGTAGGAGGTTAGCCTAGCGTCCTTTTCATTCACCAAGTGGACTGAATGGAGTTGAATGATTAGCATGACTATAGGTATAGAATATTGGATGTGGATAGTGCTATCGGGGGTCACTCCTCTGGAGACCTCCAGAATAAGCAGTCCGAGAATGGATTTTGTGCCTGCTGTCTGGCGGTGCCAAGGGATTGAATCTCCTCTCCCACTGCCATTTCTATCCTAACCAACAGCTCTCAATGTATAGAGTAGTTGTGCTAAACGCTCCCATTGTGAATGTCTATGAAGGTAGAATCATTTCGCCGTCTACTGCCTTGGTTGGATTTCTTGATAAGAAAATCAGAGTAGACTTATTATTTAGACTATATTATGGGATTACTTTCGACAGTAAAGGTTAGGTATTATTGGCCAAAACTAGCCCAGTAAGTATTTTCGGTGACGTTTATAATTAGCAATTGAGATCTCTGTTTGCATCTTACTCAGGGTTTACCTCACACGTGTTAAAAACGATCGCTTACGGGGCATTTTACAATTTGAGATATTGATACAAAAAGGTATGGGACCCACTGGTTAGGTGAATCTCATTCAATTAGATACTATAACGTTGAGCACTGCTGCATTATAGCATCCTCCCCCCTAGGTGCACGCATCAGATATGTTTGCTCCTATTGAATTTAGCTCTCGAATTCATAAAGGAAACGGCTCAAATCGCTCATCCAAGTCGTCCGCGCAGCCGGGAAAAGGTTTGCCTAGCCATATATTTACTAAATGGAATTAAATCGTTGCTAGGGCCTGTCACTGATCCAGAGAGGGTGATCCGGGCCACCTATACTATAATAAGGTCTCCCAGGTCTGGGACACAATGGTGCACCTTCAGGGCCGCTATTAGCGTAGATGGCATGACATTTACGTATGGACTTACGATGAGGAGCGTTACGCTGGGCGCGCGAGAACTCTCTCACTTGACTAGATAGGTATTTCCAGCACCTACTTTCTTCACCATCGTAGCATCTGAAACACAACTAGCCGATATCACCCATTTTCTCCTGAACAAACCAGACATTCTAACAGCTCCTGCTCTGTGTATTCATTGCGAATCCAAGTCTTTTTACGATCTTCCTATCATGTTACAGTGGTTGGACTTCAAGGCCATTACACCAAACTCCCAGTATTGGAAGAACATATGACCGACCACTTACCGTACGTTATGGGCCAATGTGGCCACCACCCATCGTACTACACAAGTCCTGCCTATGAGACGGATATTGTCCATTTCTATCTATATAAGGCCCTTATGGCCACTGTTCAATTCCGAGAAGACTCTCTAGAGATCATGCCCTTTCACTACGAAACCATTTGCCTTCTAGTTCCAATAAGAGTCTCCCCTCTTGTGCACATAGCAGGCTTCTCTAAAATTCGAACTACCCCCTCATGTCCATTTTTCCTCGCAATCGAAATAGCAGTTTTCCATCCTCATCCTGCAGATTTTAGATCCGCACCAGCCTTCATGAAGAGCTCCACTGTATCTTCATATCCATAAGCAGACGGCCAATTTATCGGTGGCCGACTTGATATCGACTTTTCATTTATGTCGAGATCAGACATCATCTCTTTGTGTCAGAACCTCTACAATCCTACGATGCCCTCGAGCGGCAGCAACCCATAATAGTGTCTCGGCTCTAGTCTTTGCGAAGTTAGGGCTCGACCCACAGAGTAACAGTCGCTGCAGGATTTTGACATCTCCAGACTTCGCGGCATTATAAAGCCGTGCGATAGTACACCACTCATCTTTCCGTAGAGACGGCCCATTATATCTGCTTATCAGATCCAAAATACCAAGCTGACCAAAAGTAGCAGCCGCTAAGACTATTGATTCATTGAATTTGGTATTCATGTCTTCCTCGCCGTGTCTGAGAAGGAGGGCCATTGTGTCTTGACTCCCATTCCCTGCTGCCACCTTGACCACGGCGTCCGTGATCGGAACCTCGTCTCTATTCTTTTCTAGAAGGAGGCTATCATATCTTCCGCACTACATTCGTTCCTTGCCACCGCCTTGACTATGTCTTCCGTGATCATGACCTGATCTCTCCACTTTTTCCAAAAGGAGGGCCATTACGTCTCCCTCCTGTCCTTAGTCGTCCTCTGTGATCCTAATCTGGTCCTCCTTCTAGAAAAGAAGGAAGGTCATGATGTCTCTTCCACTCCATTCATTCCCTGCTGGTGGCTTGGAACACGCCAGACAGTGCGTCACTTGCTACCTCTGCTTCAGATGACGCAGAAGAACCGCCATGCAACCATTCTTAATCCCTAGCTGAACGCGATGATGGACGCAACTAAGATGAGACCTAAAGAGGATGAGTTGCCAGATAACAGTGCCCTCGCAAGATACCTATTGGATTGTGGGCAAATGGTCTTGTATTGAAAGTGTCATGATCTCTGGAGAGTCCAGAGAGAAGCAAAGGGCGGCCATAAGGGCCTTATATAGTCAGAAATGACTGATGCCTGCCCCACAGCCAGGACTTGTGTGGTTCAATGGGTAGAGGCCATATTGACCCATACTTCGTACGGTTTGCGGCTTTACTTTTCTCCTTTTGACTTGGCAGTCTTGACAGAGTAGCCTTGAAGGTCCAACAATACCTGCCCGCATCGACACTCCTTTCACTTGCGAATATACAGGGTGCTGACTTTCACCGCATGTGGGATGCGCGCGTTCTTGTCATGGATAGATACACGTTCTTCCGCAGGTAAGATCCGTGACCTGATCGGTTTAGTTCACCATTACTCAAGATACTAGCGTCGGAATCGGTACATGGACATACTAGGTCCGTGAAATGGGTGTTACGGTGAGCCTGAACAACACTGTCAGCGAAAATGGCCAATAGCCCTCAATCTACGGATTGATGAGTCAGGAGCTCAGGAGAAATTCCGGTCTATCAATGCATCGTGTTTCTCTGGTGTTGGAAGCTGCGTTGAATAGAGAAGACTTGGTGAATAGTATCAAGATCGGATAATTATCGGGAGGACTAGTACATGGTGCTGCATAAGCCAGCGTATCTGACAATTTCCGATCAAACCAAAGTTCGATATCGGAGACTGGCTATATTGGCAATATTTCTACTGTGACAAGCATCTCTCTAAAGGGAACTTTACTACCCGGAGCGCATCAAGAATTGTAGCATTCCACCGTTTTCCCATATGCTCATCGCCAGCTGTAAGGTTAGCTTCTGCGATTCAGAAAAAAACCAAGAAAAACTCAACCTCTAGATTCTCGAGAAACAAGGCAAGCTGTAATTTTTTATTGTCTCCGGTAGCAGATTCAGAGATGGGAGATTCACCGTTCCGCTATCACAAACCGGTGCCGCCAAGGCGCCCAAGGCCATCAACGTTGTTCCGGTGAAGAAGGGTCGCATCTTGATATATGTGTTTTTGGAAGAGACAGCAGTTGCAGTTATCGCAAAACAAGAAGGGAGCGTCGAGTACATACATATATATATATACATATGTGGCATATTCATTTCGCCCACCCTACCTATAAATATCTATTAAAACCGCAGCATGTCTACATATACAAAAAGGGCTCTCCGAGACAAACGAATTCAGGTTCCGGTAGGAACCGAGGTCTGGCAAATTTGTCGAAAGGAAATCGTAGAACCGTGTCGAATACATAAGCTCCAAGTGACGAACGTAGCCACGCCGCTCTAGGTCATTCTTGTCACGCCGTGCTAGGGGTTGCAATCCTTGCCACTACGCCACCGTACCAGATGTCTTCACCAAAAGAGACCAGTACCAAAGTCCCTGACTTTGATATCTGCAACCACTTATCAATCTGTTCAAACCAGTGTAGGTCAATCACGTGACAACCGTCACAATTCTGGAGAGACTCTGCCATCCGTCCGTATGAGGAACGTTGGGTGACGACTACTCTCGCATAGAGACATCGCTCAGCGACCGGACGAAACCTCTTGTATGTGCAAGCAAGTGATTCGAGTGCCTGGGCTTCACCAATGTGCTGAAAGATCTGTAGTGTCAGTTCATTTGGTTGGACTATTAAAAGACATAATGAGAGCCATGCCGAATGAAAGCTGGGAAGGTTGTAGGTCTGCATGCTGCCTGACCAGCTGTTCGTCAGCTGGACTGAGAAGTGGAAGTATCTATTCCTCGTATGTTGAAATCGCAATCCTAAGCTCTCTAAAGATATCTGAAAGACCGATATACTCTAAACAAGATTGTTTTACCTCGCACGGTCGTTAAAAGAATGTCAAGTAGCATCTGCCGAGAGTTCGGGTTCATTAGATACGCCCTACGGTCTTGTTAAGTACGCTTCTAGCCGTATTCTATCCTCTTTTAGGCCATATCTCTGGCTGGATCTGTACTGACTGACTACTATGAAATAGACGAACAAGTTCCAAAAGAAAAGCACTGGCTTGACGGTCGTTCTGGAATCGCCGTCAATCGGCACGTGCCACGTTCCCCACAACCTCACTTCCGGCGCGTTGTCGCCTGGCGATTACAACAATTTCAGCATTGCTTTTCATAGTAACTCGTGATAGATGGAGTTATCTGAGACCCTGGCCGGATTGTTTTTTTGGATACCAAAACTAGCTCTCCTGTTTACCCCATCCTATCTTGTATACCTCCATGTGTATTGACGTATCATTTCCGTCGCGGCTACCACCTTTATCCAAAATATTTATGTACCTCACAAACAATTATTCTACGCTCAACTCGCGGTAATTTTTCCCTCAACAGAATCAACTAGACTAATCAACGACTTCTGCGCACTCATTATGTCGAGGAATGGCACGTCAACCCGGAATGCAGACCAGAACCAGGAGCGGAACTCGGAAGCAATCATACTGTCGACACCGAAGTCGGGCATCGGCTTGCGGTCGTCGAGCTGGTCGAATGGCATCAGGATCAAGCTGGAGAAGCGCCTCTTGACCAGTCGCAGAATTGCCGCCTGCAAGGACTCGGCATCAGCCTCGGGCGCGAACGTGCCCGTCAAGCCAGCCGGGAGCTCCTTGAACCAAGGCGCGGCTGCGACGATGGCACCCTGCCTGGCGCCGGCATTTCCTACTCTAGCTCCGCGCGACTCCTCGGCGGCCTGCAGCGAGGCCAGCAGCACGGCAGCGCGCCCCTCGGTCAGGACGCCGTGGGTGCTCACGTCGAAGCCCTGTGCGCTCAGCTCGCGGATCCCGGCGGGCTCCAGGCCGGTGAGCAGGTGCGCCTCCTTGGGGTCGTGAGCAGCCTCACTGGCGAGCGCGAGGTCGATAACCTGCAGCATCTCGTCTTCGTTGAGCGGTTGAATGCCCTTGCGCAGCAGCAGCGCCTCGATGTTGGGGTTCTCGTGCAGGTAGCCAACCTCGGAGATCATACCAAGGCCGACCGAGACGGCGGGCTTGCCCTGGGAACGACGCCATCGCGCGAAGGCGTCGAGGAAGCCGTTGGCCGAGCAGTAGTTGCTCTCGGTCGCGGTGCCGACCGTGCCCGAGACCGACGACGTCATGAGGAAGAAGTCAAGCCCGGCATCCTGGCCATCGAGCGCCAGCGCGTTGTGTAGGTTCCAGGTGCCTTGCCACTTGGGGTCGATGCCCGTGTGCCAGGCCTTATTGGTCATGCGCGTGAAGAGAGCCTCGTGAAGGCCCATGGCAGCCTGGATGACACCACCGACCTGCCGGCCCGTCGCAACACAGGCCGCCACAGCGGCGTTCACGTCGGTGGCCTGCGACACATCACCGCGCACAACACCGACAGTCGCGCCGGCCTTCTCGAGGCGGGACACAAGCTGCTGCGCGCTGGGCTTATCAGCGCCAGATCTCCCGAGGAAGACGAAGTGGCGCGCTCCTCGGGTCATCATCCACCTGCTGAGGCTGCGGCCCAAACCGCCGAGACATCCCACAAGAAGGTACACCTTCTCCGAGCTGAATACACTGAGGTATCTTGCGGGTGCGACCTATGTGGACCGAGTCAGATATGATTTCAAAATGGAGGTCTAGGTTCGATCGAATATGACTTACTGGGACACGGGCTTGTGGGTTCTTCAAGGAAATGACAACCTTGCCCACCCTTTCCTTGCTAGCAAAGTATCGATACGCCTGCGCTACTTCCGTAACGTCAAACACCTTGATCGGCGGCGGCTGGATCTCGCCGGCGCGGTACAGCTCGAGCGTCTCAGCCATCAGGCGATCCCAGATGGCGCGGTTGTAGGGATCCGTGGCATAGAACAGCTCCGATAGGTCAAAGGCCGAGAAGGTGGCGTTGCGTAGGAAAATACGCATGTCGAGCTTGCCGGCGTCGATGAGTTCGCGTTTACCGACTTCAATGAAGCGTCCAAAATCGGCTAGACACCGCCAGCTATCATGCATCAGGTCGCCGACGAGCGAGTTCAGAACTACATCGACACCGCGCCCGCCCGTGGCCTCCATGATGCCCTCCACGAACGAGGCATCGCGCGAGCTGAATATATGTGACGGCTTAATCCCGAGTTTCTGGATCAGGTACTCGCGCTTGGCCTCGGAGCCGACTGTAGTATAGACTGTAGCGCCGATGCGTTGGGCCAGGGTGATGGCCGCGATGCCCAGCCCGCCGGAGCCGGCGTGGATAAAGATCGACTCGCCGGCGCGCAGGTGGGCGCGGTCGTTGAGGGCGTAGAGCGCCGTGCCATAGACGAGCAGCAACGTCGGCACGACGGTGAACTCCTCAGAGTCCAGCATCTTGTGCGCCGACCCGGCGGGCACGCGCACTGAAGTCCCGAAGTGGTGCGGCGCGTAGGCGACGGCGCGGTCGCCGACCTGCAGGTGCTGGACCTCGGGCCCGACAGTTCTGACGACGCCAGCGAAATCGAACGCGTTCGTCTTGTCCCGCGTGTCGACGCGGCCGTTGATTGCATACACGTCCTTTGCGTTGAGGCTGACGGCCTTGACTTCGATGTCGACGTGGCCCGCAGGCGGGTTGCCGAACTGCTCAGGCCCCGACAGCTGCTGGAAGTGCAGCGTGTCCGTGACACCGAGTTGGCCGATGGCGAGCCGGGCCGGGCTGGCGGACTCGATCGTTTGTTTCTCCATGGCGGCCTGAGGCTCGAGGCGGCGCCGGAATAGGGAGTTGACGCTGAAGTCGGGGCCGTATCTACTGATGTAGAGGAGACTGTTGGCATCGATGAATTCGCAGTCGTCCTTGTCGTACCTGGCGACCAAAACCTTGACTACATTGGCGCAAGTGGCGAGCACGTTGGAGCCGAGGAACTGGGCGGGCCCGACGTCTAAGATCGAGTATCGTAGCGTTGGCTGCTCCAGCATGAGGGCGCGCGAGAGGCCGTTGGAGAGCGTCAGGTTGGCGTCAGGGTGCGCGCCGAGCATGTTGGCGCCCGTGAGCCAGACCAGATCATTCGCCTTGTCGGTTATGGTGCGTAGACGGTCCATGTTCTGCGGACTGATGGTGGCGAGGAACTCGCGCTCCATCTCCAGTAGCGATATGCAGATGTCCTTTTCGTGGATATCGAGGTTGCCAGTGCCAATCTGGCTGATTGTGATGATGCTCTCCTGGGATACGCCGGCTCGCTTCTGGAGATATGTTGTCAGCGTGTTTGCGAAGCTGGTGACGGCCGGGGACGGCTTCTCGTTGTGCACGATGATAGCCTTGCGGCCCTTGAGACTCTCTGTCTGCACCGGGCGCACAGCCAGGAGGACCTGCTTTCCGACGTCGAGCACGTCTAATCCCACCGTCTCCAGGACATCCTTGGCGGCTTCCGATTTTCGAGTGATGACGATACCGTGGTCGGAGACGAGAGAGGCGATGCGTTCAGGCGGCGCCTGCGTCCAGATCTGCTTCGAGGTGGCGTGCTTAGGAATCAGGAGGACATCGAACGCTTCGCCACCATTTTCAACCAAGGGCTCACCGTCCTCGCCCAGCTCGGCCGTGTCCCACGATCGGCACCGCGAAAAGGCTGTCTCGCCGTCAAGGATGCCCTTCCACTGGTGAGCCTTGTAGCCGTGGCAGTCGCCGCCGAGCTCGAGGACGCGCATGCGCGGGTTCTTGTGCCCGGCGAGGTCGACGAGGCCGCCGATCACGGCCAGGCTCTCGTCGTCGCGGATGTCCGGGTGCTGCTGGCTGACGAAATCAGCAATGTAGTCGCGCAGCGGCTGCTCCGTCTCGGGGGATAGCCTCAGGACGTCGGGCTTCCAGTTGACGCGCAGTGTAGGCTGGCGCTGCAGGTATAGGTCAGACTGACCGCCCGCGTCCGCCTCGTTTGCCATTTGGCTCTTGCCGCTGAATAGTGCGATCCGCGCCCCGCGGATGTCGACGACGGGCGCGCCTCGCCCGTTGCGGATCGTGGCGTCCATGGTCCTACTGGAAAAGCCGGTCACCTGTGACCGCGCATGGACCTCGGCCTCTTCCTGCTGCTGTACTGACTGAATTCTAGCCTCGGAGATGAAGACGGGAAGCCAGGCCTTCAGCGCCGGCAGATGCCCGGCTGCAGTACTCCAGATGGCGGCCTGCAGGCACGCGTCGATGGTGATGGGATGGACGGGGTAGTGGGTGGTGGAGTCGACGTTGGGGGGCTGCAACGCGACGGTTGCGATGACCTCGTTGCGCGATCGTCCGCCGTCTGTCCGTGAGCTGGTCAGCGACTGGAACTGGGGACCGAAGCATAGTCCTTCCTTATGCCACTTCTTGTACCAGCGGTCTGAGGGACCGACGTCGAAGCCTTCGGCATCCTGGATCGTGACGCTCTTGCTGTCTGTTTTGGCCACGGGCTCGGTCACGCGAACGCTCCCGGCACAGTGTAGAGTGGTCTGACCGGCCTTCCACGAGGAGACGGAAAAGTCGTGCCAGTCGACTGACGTGCGTGCGTTCGAGATCTTGCGCAGCGACATAGTGGTGTGCAGCTCGAGGTCCTTGGCCGCCGCGTCATTCTCATCCGGGATGATGAAGGCAGCGCTGACCTGAACGTTGCGGAACTCGAAGCCGAGCTCCGAAAGATTCTTGGTCTTGGCGCCCGTGACCTGCGAGACGGCCTCTATGGCCAGCGCCATATAGCCCGTGGCCGGAAAGACGACCTGGTCTTCGAGCTTGTGATCCTTGATCCACGGCATCTCGCTGGGCTTCACTATGTTGCGCCACGTGTGGTCTATGCCGTTGCCGGTAAGCGCGATGGTGCCAAGCAACTCATGCCGGACGTACTTGCGATTGCGCATCTCGACACTCGGGCGCGGCTCGTTCCACAGCAGGCCGTTCGAGTAATCCCACTGGTAGGACGGGAGATCGTGGATGGTCTTAAGTCCGGACTCAGGGAGTCCGTCGACGCCGGTCCAGTTCAGCGTGTGGCTGTAGGTGAAGAGTGTCCCGGCGAGTGTCTTAATGCACGTGTCTGCGTCCTGGTTCCTAACCAGTGTCGAGCTATAGGGCGCGGAGTCCTTCAGGCCGATGGCCTTTTGAATCTGCTGGATAGGCCCCTTGAGCGCGGCGTGGGGTCCTATCTCTATGAGGTGGACTTTGCCGTCCGCAGCCTTTACCAAGTTGGTCAGCGCTGCGTTGAACTGGACGGGCTGCTCCAGGTTGTGGCGCCAGTACGCCGCCATGTTCTCGTGCTTGTCGAGAAGTTTCAGATTCTCGGGGCTGCGGCCCACGGAGGAGTACATCGAAACTTCGTCGGATGACTGAGAAGTAAGCGGCTCGCCGAATAGAGGTACGAGGAGCTTCTCATAGCGCCCTCCTATCCCCTCCATCATGTGAGAGTGGTAAGCGCGCCCGCCGGTCTCCAGCTTCCGCACGAACTTGCTGTGGCTCTCAAACTCACCTTTCAGCTTGTCGATGCCGTCCGGAGTGCCACTCAGGGTCACGCCCTCCGGGGCGTTGATACAGGCCACACGAACGTCCGCATCAAGGCCCTTACTCTCGATAAGGGACTTGGCCGTCTCGGCACTCACTCCCGCTGCCATCATGGCGCCCTTGCTGCGCAGCTCATCAACTGCATAGCCACGGTAGTAAGCCACCAGGATTGCTTGCTTAAAGTTGAGCAGGCCGGCTGCGTACGCAGCTGCGATTTCTCCCGAAGAGTGACCCACCACAGACGCGGGCTGCACTCCCCAGGACCGTAACAGGTCGACGAGCCCTATCTGTACCGCGGTGCAAATCGGCTGGCTGCGCGTTACTTCGTTGATGTGGCTGGTGCCCTGGTTGTCGAGGAGCGTCTGCTCCAGGGTCCAGGACGGGGCATAGGGAACAGGAAGGGCTTTAAGCACAGCATCGAGCTTACGGACGGTGTTTCGGAAGCGCTGGCTCTGAAACAGCAGCTCCTTGGCCATACCGGAGTACTGTGCGCCTTGACCGGTGAAGACGAAGCTGAAAGGTAGCGAACTTGCCGACCTGCTCTTCTCGGCGTCTGCCTTGCCGTCGGTGTTTGCGATCTCGACACTCCCGCTGGCCGCCTGTCGGGCCAGCAGGAAGCCGCGGTGCCGCAAGTGATCCCGGCCCTTGGTGAGCGTATGAGCCAAGCTCTGTAGCGCGTTCGTGTTGTTGCCAAGCTGGCCCTGCGAGACGTATCTGGAGAGATGCTCGAGCCGCGCCTCGAGCGACTTAGGCGAGGCAGCGGAGACGGGCAGCACGACGAGCTGCTGTAGGTCGTTATCTCCACTCGGGCTGGCGGGCGTAGGGTCCTGGTAGATTTGGGACTGGCCCAGATAGCTCTCGATGGCCTCAAGGATGATGTGGGCGTTTGCGCCACCGTAACCGAACGAGTTGATGCTGGCACGACGCAGGGCGCGGGGCCACTGCTCGACTTTTGTGGCTACTTTGATGTTGCGTTCGTCTAGGATAACTTTTCGGCCAAAGAGCGAGTGAGTCTCTGGACTTGATATGGAGGACGGGGTTGATGAACAGGGGAGAGGACAGAAAGCTTACGCTTGGGGTTCAACTTGGCTACGCCCCGAGATGGCGGAATCAGGCCGTTCTCGAAAGATTTCACCACTTTGAGCACGGACGTGAGACCGCTAGCTCCCTCACTGTGACCTACGTTGGTTTTCACCTGTCGTGTGGTGTTAGCCGCGAATCACATACAAAGAAGATGAGATTAATGTGAGAGGTAAAAGTCTTACCGATCCGATGAGAAGTGCCGACCCTCCACGGGGTGAGAAGGCTCTGCCGACAGCGTCCACCTCAATGGGGTCTCTAGAAGATCTTGAATCAGCTCCCGTAATATTGGATGCGAGTATCCCCAAGCCTTTCTTACCCGACTGGAGTGCCAGTACCGTGGCATTCGACGTAATCCGTCCCGGCAAAGTCAAGACCAGAAGCGTCGTAGGCCTTGCGCATCACGATTTCTTGCTGCTTGCCACTAGGTAGTGAGATACCGGCCGTTTTGCCGCTCCTACATCACAACTCCGTAAGTAAACATCATTGACGTATCGTCTTTAGGGCGCAGAGGGGGTTCACTCACGCACCCACGGCACTGCCGCGAATGACCGCTCGAATGGGGTTACCATCCCTGAGCGCGGCAGAAAGGCGCTTCACATAGATCGCACTGACACCCTCTGCACGGCCGTATCCGTCGGCCGACACGTCGAAGGTATGACATGTGCCCGTTGGCGACAGCACACCGCTCTTGGCCGCGGCGACGTGGGCCTCAGGGGACATGATCAAGTTGGAGCTGGCAACAATGACGCTATCGCAGTCGTTCGTCTTCATAGCGTTCACGGCTTGATGGAGGGCATATATGGACGATGAGCACGCCGTATCTATCGTGGAGCTTTCGTAGACGGATGAGTCAGTACGGACGTCTTCAGGTGAGTGATTGGTGTGCCAAGGAGACTCATGTGAAAATTACCTAGGCCCGTGGAGGTTGAAAATGTGACTGATCCGATTGGACATGATGGTGGCCCCCGAGCCGCTGGCGACGTATCGGTGGACGTAGTCCGGATCGCGGAACATCATGGGCTGGTAGTCGACGGAGAAGTTGGCGAGGAACACGCCCGTGTTAGACCCCGACAGGCTCTCCATCGACACGCCGGCGCCTTCGAGACACTCGTAGACGATCTCGAGCAGCTTGCGCTGCTGCGGGTCCATGTAGGTGGCCTCGAGGTTGCTGATGCCGAAGAAGCCGTTGTCGAAGGACCGTATGTCCTCGTTCAGAAAGTAGCCGCCGGGGACGTTGGTCATGCCGCTGCGGTTGCCGCCGTCCGGGTGGTAGAAGCCGTCGATGTTGTAGCGCTGGGCCGGGACGGGGCCCTGCGCCGACTTTTGCTCGACCATGAAGTCCCAGAGCCTGGAGGGCGAGGTGATGTCGCCGGGCAGGCGGCAGGCCATGCCCACGATGACGGGCGGGTCATCCTGGAGGCTGTTGGCCGGCGAGGATAGCTCATCGCTATGGTCGGCCTGCGGCGGGTCCATAAAGACCACGCTGGAGCTGCTCGACGTGCTAACCGTGGCGGAGTGCCCGATGAGAAGAGCATCTTCGGAAGACATGTTTCTAGATCTCTAATAACATAGAATGTCTTTAAGTCTAATGAGGAGAAAAGCAAGATGTATGGCGGGATCAGACCAGTCAGGAGCTAGAAGGGGCGGTAGGATATTCTTTCAATCACAACACCCATCGACTGTCGTAGTTGTCGATCGACCCGTGAACAATTGTTCTGACCCTATACCCGCTCTATCGTAACCTAGTGGTCGAGGAATGAAGTGAGATCTGGGGAAGAAGACTCAATGCTGCGAGCTGCCGGTCCAAATATCTAATGATACGCATGTGTGCCCTTTGTTTTTCATTTTCTTCTTAGGCTGTAAGTCCTATGTTTCCTTATCATTCCTTTCCACCTCGATGCTTGACTCCGACGCACATAAGATGCGATCAGCAATATCTTCACGCTATCCTTACTGATATCAGGGTCTAGCCATCAGGGGTGGTCTTAGAACGACCCTTGTTTCGTTGTTCCATCCCTCGAGAGCAGAGAGGAGATATGGAAACGAGGATCAGATACGACCTGCAGCTTTGTTCTAGACTCTTAAGTGGCAAACAGGATTCGAAAGGAAGAAACTCCAGGATAGATTAACAAGGTATTCCTACCAGCGTCTGACGGCGGGGTACCTCATCGCATATGGTATAAGCACTTATACTATTAGAAAGAGTGCCATAGATCACTGATGTGGTACATATGTACCCGAGAAAAATGAAACTCCATTATCTTGGAAATGATAAGTTTTCTGTCGAACTCCTCTCACCACACATGCATGTATGCAGGTGAGATTCGTATATTGACCTAGGAACTAGACCCTGAATGTCAGGCTCTGTAAGGACTAACAATGTTCATCGAGTTTTGATTATCTCACCATGTAAGTACATCTACATAAAATTAGACACAATTCTTGTTATACCCACACGAGACGCCGTCTCTGCAATCAATACTGGGATTTGGTGGCTGCGACGTATATCATAATTGACTCGGATTTCTCAACTGTTTTCATGCCGCCAAGGTGATTGCATCACCACACAATCGATTCGAAAATGGATATTTCCGGAAATGCTCTAGTCATTGGCGGTGGTAAGTCGTATCAACTTAGCCATCCGTTACGTACTTCGTCTTACAGTGCGAAAACGGGACACACGCAATATGGACTTTGCTAACGCGAAAGTGGTCTTGCACTGTTATAGCAGGTGGCATTGGCAGGGCCTGCGCCATACTGCTTGCGAGAGAAGGTGCTTCTGGCGTTATGATCGGCGACCTAGACCTAGAAGCAGCAAGAAAGGTGGTAGATGAATGTTTTGCCGTGGCCACCAACAGCGGGTTCCGCGCCGAGTCTGCCCAGGTCGATGTCAGCAAGGAGGACTCGGTCAGCAACATTTTTGATCGCATGGTCGACGTTTTCGGCCGGGTGGATTACTCCGTCAACTGCGCCGGTGTAATTGAAGTCCCTATAGTCCGCCGAAACTGGATGCGCGTGCTGACAGGCGAAAAGGTCGGCGCGGAAAGGCCTAGAGACATTTCGTCGCTGCCACTGTCGGAGTTTCAGCGCTTTGTCGACGTCAACCTCACGGGCGCGTTCCTGGTCATGCGCCAGGCGTCCGTGGCTATGCGCGCACAGGTTCCCCGACCTGTCTCGCCGTCGGGTGCCTTTCCCAATCGGGGTACGATCCGCGGCGTCATCGTCGACCTGTGCTCAGCCGCGTCCATGGCCGCCAGTAACGGCATCTTGCCCTACACGACCACCAAGCACGGTCAGCTCGGACTTACTAGGAACAGCGGTGGGTTGCATTCGTCGGTGCGACAAGCCTATGGGGACCAAGGCTGACTCCTGCAACTTTATCTAGCCATTGACAACGCCCCTTACCAGATCCGAGTCAACTGCATCTGCCCGTCGTGGACCGATACCCCCATGGTCAGGAAGGCCAATGAAGGCATCGAGGGCCATGCTGACTTTGTCAACTCCAAGCTGCCTATCGGCCGCATCGCCATCCCTGAAGAAGTCGCTGATGCTGTCATCTTTGCATTGAGTCCGCGCTCCAGCTTCATGACGGGTTCTGCGCTCGTCGTCGACGGGGGATTATTGGCCAGCATTTAGATCGTCGCCGGAGTGGAGCAATCTGCATTTTCTTTGTTTCTCCGAGATATATAGTCGCCGTCGATTGGATTGTTATGTCATCATACATCTGTAATCTGCAATATACGGTGTCTGTCCAATGATGGAAAGTTATGCCGTAGATTACTGTTATGTTACTGTGAAATGTACGGACTTGAATTCACGTAGCAGAATCACGACATGTATGAGTCTCAACCTGGATGAAGATGCATACTGTCTATTGTTTACCTGGGCAGTCAACCGACGACCACCTACCTCTTCGAATTTTACATGTTCCAAGTTCATATTTATTATAGCTCAATCATTGCCAGGCCCTGATTTCCCACTGAAGCAGGACGAACCAAGCGTTGTCTCATATCCATCTAACTATCATCATGTCAGCTGAAGACATTCCCAACCCCGGCGAGGGCTACGTGCAGACGCCCCATCCCGTCCAGGGCCTGCCTCGTGTTGTCCGCCACATTACCACCCACAACGACGAAGGCAAGTCGATGTTCCTACCCATTGACGTCGGCGATCACCATCGCGAGTTGGTTAACAAGTCGGCCATTGCCAACATCCTCTACTCGACCCACGAGCATCCCGTGAATCTCAACGGTGATGCCGACGTGAAGTATGCGCGTGAAAATGAGGTACGAATTTCATTAACCCAGAACCCAAGCACATGTATCTTACGCTAATGAAACAAAAACAGCCCGGCATAACCGTCAAGAACGGCACCGTGTGTCGGCTGATCGACTTCGCGCCGGGCACGGTGTCGCCGCTGCACCGGGTCAAGAGCATCGACTACGCGGTCGTGATCGAGGGCGTCTTCAAGATGGTGCTGGACTCGGGCGAGGAGCGCGTGCTGCACCGTGGCGACGTCGCCATCAACCGCTCCACCGCCCACCGCTGGATCAACGTCACCGGCGGCGGCCTGCTACCCGCCCGCATCCTCTTCGTCCTGCAGGACATCCGGGACCTGACCATCGCCGGCAAGAACGTCGACAAGGACCTCGGCGTGCTCGAGAAGGACTACGTGGGCCTGCCAGGCCATGCGGGCCCGGCGCCGCTTGTTGGTGGTGGGGGGAATGATGAGAAGTTTGATAGTGAATTCTAATGCAGTTTGGATCTGGGGAGTTAGTAGATAGAACGAAATGGAATCATCAAATATCCACTCGTAAGTGTTGAAAATTAGCTCTGGTCGACAAGGGTCTTGAAAAAGCAACTTGAAGAAAATGTGTAAACGGTGACAGAATTTCGATATGATAAAAGAGGTTTGACATTGCTTTCAAGCAAAAGATTCTCGACTGGTCAGCATATCTTTATATCGACGGTGAGTTACGGGACTTGTTCTTGTACTGAAAATGAAGTCCTGATAGAGCGTTCAGTTCAAAGCTTCGTGATTTCTAAAGGGGCGACGAGAGCGGAATACATATATGACGACGTCGTGGAAGTGTTCAAGGAAGGAAACTAAGTCAGGACGACACAGAGGATGCAGTGACACGGCATATTAAAAGCTTTGCAACATGTTGTAAGCCTTCTATCTACCTGTCCCATCTAACTGTCGGGAAAATTACTGTCTCATAGTAGAACTTGGCAGAAAATGAGATCGTATGGCTTTCCATGTACCCTTTTTTATTCTGTCTAGTCTAAGATGATTCGGACCAAAAACTACGAAACTCGCATCCGAAACGTCAGCAACATCACATCCCTGCAAATTTAACATAGGACTAAACTACGCTTCTACTTTGCGCAGAGATCTTGTTCAAGAACCTGCATGTTTAATTTACTCGTGCTTCCTAATTCTTCTTTGTCGAAGCCTCATGAGCTTTCTTTAATTTGGCCAAGTTGAACCACTTGAACAACGAAGAGTCCTAAGATAATTCGTTTAATTAGCCAAAAGTCTTTCTTCTTTCAACGAGAACTGCCCTTTTTGAAAATGTCCAAATGAAGTCTCACATACCCAAGCTGTGCGGGAGCCAAAGGTGTCCCAGAAGCGGAACGTGCCCGTGTAGCTACCGTACCAGAACCATGCCGGCGGTGATGATGATAGACTCGTCGCGACGACATTGGCGGCATACTTAAATCGATCGGTTGCTCCTTCTGGTCACAGAGATCACTGGTTAGGTTCTTCCTTGTGTTTGAGTATTTAGAAAATGTACTTACGGGGGGTTCGCTTTACGTGCTGCTTGAATTCCTCGGCTAAGGGGGCGTAATATGATCCTTTTGAACAAAGATGCTCTGTCAGCATTTCCTTGCTCACCACTCAGTCTACATGGTGTATCACGTCTGTGAAAGGGAACACAAACCATTCGGAAGTTCCCTATGAGCATCGTTTTTCAGGATGTTGGTGCTGACCTCCCCGGAAATGATCTGTGGTACAAACTTGAGCTACTGTATTTCAAGTCAGGGGGAAAAGGAACGAACGTACGGTGATGACTCTGACACTGCAAATTTGGCCCCTAGTAAGTTGCCCGATCGGTTCGACAATCATCTAGAACGAACTTACTCAAACGGCGCCATCTCAACACGCAGCGTATTCCCCCAATGATGAAGAGCTGCCTTGGTGGCATTGTACGAAGCTGATCACCTTTGTTCAGAGAACTGCCGCTGGTTTCAGGATGTATAAAGTGCCGGGTGTGACTTACCCCCATATAGATATGGTATGATACCTCCAATAGAACCAATGTTCACGATAACGCCCCTGGCGAGGATGATGAAATCATGAAAATGGCGGACCATGCGCATAGGACCAAACACGTTGATATCGAACATGCGCTGCACTGCAACGACATCGGTGTCGACAGCCGTCATTGTGTAGGCTATTCCACTGCCGAGCAACAAGAGGTCAGTTTGCACGCATTTTCTTCATCCTGTCGCATGAGACGTACGCGCAGTTCACTAGGATATCGAGCCGCCCGCCGGTGAGCTCCTGCACGCTAGCCTTCAGCTCCAAGACGGACATCTCCTGAGTCACATCGAGGGGAAAGAATGTGATGCCGGCCTTGGCCAGGTGCTCGCTCGACTCGTGGGGCAACACGGTCGCGATGGCGTGGAGGCCGCGGCGCTTGTACTCTGTCACGAGAGCCTCGCCGATTCCGCCTTGGCCACATCTAGTTAACACATACTGTTAGTAAGCGAACATTCCAGTTGTGGATTTCCTCGAGATCTCCTGCGTACCCTGTGACGAGGGCAAATTTTTGGTTCTGCTTGGGAGACATGGCGTCGACTGGAAAGGAGTGATGGCGAACAGTCACTGTCTGGATTCATTCACGAATACAGACGAAAGCTTTACTGAAACGTCCGAAGTATCTCAAGTATGACATGCGCTATAGAATAATCCCCAATAAGGTCAGTCAAGCTTATGCCGGACGGTTAGCAACACCTCATGCTCCTCTTACCTAGTTTGAACGGCATGATATGAGGCGCGAAACCGAAACCGGATTGAATAAAATCTCCTTCTTGGCAGATGGATTATCAACGCGCCTATTGAATCATTCCACATGCTTCATGCACGTCGACCTACATCGGGGCCGTGACCTGACCAAAGACCCCCTTTCCCCTCGGAGTAAGATAAGTCCATCAGCCCCTGACGGGTCAGCATGTGGATACTATGCTTATGCAGGTAATCATCCTATATTCGAGCCGACTTTGAACACCCCGCAGCATGAAAAAATTGAGATTTTGGTTGATTATCCGAATCGTCTTTGGACCTTCTCTTCATCTGGTGTGGCTGCGAAGTATTTCGTAACAGTTGCCTAGGGTCTAGTTGGAGGTCCCAGTTGACAGGGGTTAGAATTTTCTGCCCCGTACGTACGTACGTACACCGTATATATAACTATATCTATTACTAGGGCTTAGACTCGAATAAGATATAACTAGGCTAAATAAGGTACAGGTCGTAGATACAATATATATGACCTACTTCTACTAGCCTTAAATAGAGCCGTATAATATTATCGCTAAGATTTCAGCAAATTTTTATATTATTTTCTTCGTTAATAATAGAAATAGACGAATATAAAGACGATACGTATATAGTACTACCGGGCTTTTTCGACGAAATTATCTTTTATTCGAGTCTAAGCCCTACTAACAGATATAGTTATATATACGGTGCGCGTACGGGACAGAAATTCTAACCCCTGTCTGAAATAAACCGATCTACTTATTCCTAAACCCTACCTGAAATTCCTAACCCCTGCTAACTATCCCCTCGGTCTAGTTGTGGCTAAGTTAAATGCCTAATCTAGTGGAGCACAAACAGGGTCTTGGTCGGGATAGCCTTGAGAGGAACGCCCGATATTAGATACGTTTTGTTCTGTGCATAGTTCAACAACTAGACGAAGTTGTTTTTGCCCATTTTGGTTGGTTTTGATAATAGCATCCACGCATCATCCTACAGTGACGTTAGTGAACAAGTGAGTCTCTGAGTCAAATTGGACATGATGCCTTCTTTTTTCGATCGCCTTATGTCCAGTTTTGTGGGAGTTGCCATTCTCCTGGTTATAGCAATCTGGAGGGTAAGCCAGATAGGCCGTAGACCCAAGGACTATCCGCCAGGGCCACCTACGCTCCCGCTCATAGGCAACTTGCATCAGATACCCAACGAAAAGCGACATTTGCAGTTTCAAAAATGGGCGCAGGAATACGGCCCCGTCTTCTCCCTCATGCTGGGGACGAAGGTCATGATCGTGCTCAGCTCGGACGTCGTTATCAAGGATCTGGTGGATAAACGCGGTGTCATCTACTCTTCGAGACCGCAGGCGTATATTGCTCAAGATATCCTCAGTGGTGGACTTCGACCCTTATTCATGGTATGTCGTAAAATATTGGCTTCATAGCCTCGCATTTCTCTTTTCTGATAAAGTGAGCATGAGATACCGGCTGATTTGTCTGGATGGCCATAGCAGAGTGATGATTCAAGTTCAGGCGGCGTGTGGAAAATGGCGCGAAGACTCAGCCATCAAATCCTGAACATCTCTGCGGCGCGGACCTATGTGCCCTACCAGGATCTTGAGAACAAGGCGATGCTCCTTGACCTTTTGGAAAGTCCCCAGGATTTCATCGACCAAATCCGTAGATACTCGGCCTCCTTGACGACACAGATGGTTTTCGGCTACCGTACGACTAGTATTCAGGATGCAAGGTTCAAGCAAGCATTTGGTGTATGTGCTAGATTCTGCACAAAGTTGACGGCTTTTCGTTTCTCAATAGTCCCACCTCAGTCTGACATATTGGCAGATATTTGATCGAAGCTCAGAGCTGATCGCTTCGCGGGTATGTCGCCTTACTAATTACATATGCGTGCGCAAGCCGAAGCTGATCTTCTCGCATTGGAATCTTTAGACCGCTGTAATGCTGGATCTGCTGCCCATTCTGCGGATGCTACCAGAGTTCCTTATCCCAGTTAAGAAGGAAGGAAGAGAAATTCACCGGCAGGAGAGAAAACTGTTTCGGGATCTCTATCTTTCTGCGAAGCAAGGAATTGATAAGGGAACGGCCAAGGTATCAAATGACCCCGTCTGGGGAGCGTTCCTTGTCCTAGGCTCATTACTGATGTTGCTCTTCTGAACCTTCAGCCATGCGTGTGCGCCGACCTCGTCAAGCTCCAGAAACAGGAGGGCTTCTCCGACGAACTGGCGGCCTACATCAGCGGTTCACTGTTGCAGGCTGGCTCTGAGACGACGGCAAGCATCCTCGTGGGGTTTGTGCAGGCTATGGTCTTGTTCCCAGAGGTGGCCAAGGAGGCACAAGCGGAGATTGATCGCGTTTGCGGAGATCGCATGCCCGACCTCAACGATGCGTCCAAATTGCCCTACATCCGTGCTTGTGCCAAGGAGTCACTGCGCTGGATGCCGGGCTTTTTCTTGGGCATACCACACGCAGTCACCAAGGACGATGTATATCAGGGCTACCATATTCCGAAGGACGCAACCGTCATTCTTAACGTATGGTAAGTAGAGCATGGTGGTAACTATTGGGCGTAGAGGCCGCTGTTTGCTGAAAGTGTCATAAATCCAGGGGCGTGCACTATGATCCCGAACGTCATCCTGATCCGCGACGTTTCGATCCAACGCGATATATCAACGATATACAGTCTTCCATCGACGCAGCCATCAACCCCGATGCCACAAAGCGTGACCATTTCGTCTTCGGCGCGGGTAGGCGCCGGTGCCAGGGCATCCACATCGCGGACCGGTCCATCTTTTTAGCGCTATCGCGTATGCTGTGGGCCTTTGACTTCAGGCGCGCGGTGGACCCAGGGACCCTACAGGACGTCGTCCCCGACATGGACGAGGTGGTCGATGGCATCATGTCGCTGCCAAAACCTTTCAAGGCAAACATCGTGCCGAGGAGCTCGCCAAAGGCCCGGAAGGTCCGGGAGGAGTGGGCCGAGGTCTCGAAGCAGCTTGACCAGAAGACGTTGGAGTGGAAAGACGTGCCCAAGGGGTTGATTTGGGGAGATGAGCAGCCCCTACTGGATGATTTGTAGATTATTGCGAAAAGTAGTAGTCTATATAGCCTATCCAAGGTCTGTCCCATCCCCATTTACTTATATGCGATGTAAAATGTAATAATATGACTATTTATATATATATGAAAGAAGGTATTACAGTCTGGAAAACATGCTGCTCAAGCCCCAGACCCATCTACGGGTACTGAGTCGACAGTACATTGTTGTAAGCAAAGACGTTCTTAGGGTCCCACTCTTTCTTGAGTGCCGCAAGTCGCGGCAGCTTGCGGGCACCATATTTACTCTCGAGCGACTCGTCGCCGTGCGCGTAGTTGATGTAGACGGCGCCGCCCTCGGCAGCGTAGCCACCTGTCGCATCCCAGTCGGCGCGCAGTTCGCGTGAGAGCTGGTCACCAGCGTCCAGCAGTGTCTTGTTGTTCACGTCGTCGACCATGATCCCGACGACCATGTAGGCCTTGGTGTCGCGCCAGGGATATGCGGTGGCGTCGTCGCTCACGGCAGCGACAGCGTCGTTGGGGAACACCTCGAGGTTGGTCCCAGTGTTGCGCGCGTTGGGATGATCGACGTACCACTTCTGTAGTCTGGTGAAGGTGCGCTGCATCGAAGCCGCCGACACCGTCTTCAGGTTCGAGGAGTATGTATTGCGGTACTGGTCACCGATGCAGTTGCCGCCCGCCCCGAACCCGCTGACCGACGTGCCCAGCAACCGGTTCCACGGGACGTATTCGTAGTTGTCGACCGAGGCCGGGCCCAGCGCTAAGAATTGCTCCATGAAGGCGCGGCCCTCACGCTCGGGTCCGATCCAGACCCAATTGGCGAGCAGCTCGGCCTGGCCCTCGGTGGCGTTATAGATAGTCAAGTGTACGCCGCCGACGTTGGCAGGCAACTTGGTTTTCTCCAGGTGCGCGAAGTAGGCAGCTGTGCTGTTGGGCCTGTAGTGCAGGTCAGCCGTCAGCACAAAGCCGTTGTTGTGGTCGGCCGCCCGTTCAGCACGGTACGTGGCTGAAGTGATGATACCAAAGTTGGCGCCGGCGCCGCGCAGGCCCCAGAAGAGATCCGAGTTCTCCGTCTGCGAAACAGTGATGATGTCGCCCTTTGCCGTGACGACGCGCGCCGAGAGCAAGTGGTCCGTCACCAAGCCCATGGTGCCCATGTAGCGTCCGATGCCGGCGCCGACCGTCAGTCCAACGTAGCCCGGACAAGCACAGGAGCCATGCGGGACCATCAGGCCCATGGCGTATAGTTCATCTTGGAAATCACCAATGCCGGCTGCACCGCCAAGGGTCACGGTGCGGGCATTGACGTCAGCCTCGAATGAGTTGAGCTTCGAGAGGTCGATGGCCAAGCCTCTTTGGAGCTTGCCCAGAGTTGTGGTGTATCCGTGGCGTTTTCCCGTCGCAAGGAAAGAGATGTTAAATCGGGTTGCGAGCTTGACGGCCAGGGCTACATCTTTCTCGTTCGCTGGACTGATAGCAGCTACGTATGATGGAGCTTGGGTGGTCGACCACCGCTCAGTCGCAAGTTCGAATTGTTGAGAGTTCGGAAACGACAGGGTCGTTCCAGAGGCCCAGCTCGTATTGGAGCTAGAAAATATCGACTGAATGTCTACGGCTTCCCCGCGAGACTCCAGAAAAGGGGCTGCGTAGGCGGAAGCTGGGAATCCCAGCAGCCCAAGCCAGGTCAAAGAGGTGAAGGATCTCATTAAAAAGACTGTGTGACTAGAGATTCGATCCTGATAATTACAAATACGATTGTGTCAGCGAGTCCGAGGATGTGAGCACAGAGAACACTGATCTTTCTCTACAGATAGCACTGCCGATCGGCGGCCTTTATATGGCAGAAGTTGCACGAGCTCGTACAGATCCATACTGCCTTCGCCTCTGCAGTCGCATGATAGCCCCCATTTTCAACACAACGGCTAAGTGACCCGAATGTAGAAAGATCGCGAGATAAGCTCTGCGCCGCGGCGTTGAAGGCGTCGGGCGCCTCTTCCACATCATCAGCTGAACCAGTGACTCGACCTATTGTGGACCTATTGTGGACTAATGTTAATATAGCTCTGATGGCTGAGTCTGGGAAGGAATAGAAGGAAGGAATAGGTGAGTAGGATGGGGGCTATCTTAGGAATCAATGCCTGTATCCTTGGAGCAAGGTGCGTAAGCCACGACTGAACATCTAAATTCTCTGCTAGCTATGTGGAACAGGATCTCGGATCCGAACCAACAGCCCCGAAACTCGGTCGGGGTGCACGATAGGTGTGCCTCGTGGCTTTTGAATGGGTGTAAATTGCTCGCCTTGTGGGCTGACTCACACCAGCTGCTCGTGACCCAGGCTCCTGGTACCTGACAGAGGCAGACGTGATCCAGGGTCTGTGACTTGACCGAATCTGACAGAGAGTAAGTAGATACGCCACATTTTCTGCGGCATGACCGATTGACGACGACGTATAACTCACTATCATGAATTCTGCAAATACGATCTACCGGAAATGTAGCTTTACAAGGAAATCAGGTGAAGTCCTTATTCATATGAACCATGAGGTTTATTGTTTCGAGCCCATTATAAACGCGGCTGCTTAACCAGGAGTTTGCTCAAGTCGACCACAAGACACTCCAAAGGGCCAGGAAATGTAACACAGTCAAATGGTAAGATCGTTGCACAGGGACTGGTTACTCGAAATTTTGGGTCGATGATCTATTATTATCAAGTTCAGTCCTCAACACCTTCATCTCGCATATCACTATTCATCTGACAGGCACAACAGCATCAGGTATACATCATGCTAGCTAATCAGTTCGCGGCTTCGCAGTGTACTCTGGATACGCTGGCTTATATCTGGTTTAGAGTAAGCTCAACATGGTCAGTATAAGGGGATCCGTGGGCCACGCACCCTAGAAACTTCGCGCCGATCCAGACCGCGAGCACGTAGTGTACGAATGTCAGAAGCCAAAGCGGCATCCAGTCGAGGAAGGGCGGGCAGAGCAGAGATGATGCGTCGTAGTAAAATAGCATGAGTTGGAACATGGAAGGCGCCAAACCCGCTGCGTGGCAGTCGGCCAGATAGCCAGCAATGTTGCGTAGGAAGTTGACGTCGAGGATGTGGTCGATATCCTTGCAGGGATCTGCCCACGCCCGGAAGACTAGGGATTCCTTGGCGGATTGGTGAGACCAGAAACGGTGACTGAGACAGAGTCGATTAATTAAACAGGCCAGCCACTCTTTTTAAGCGAGAATGGGGGCTAGGTATTCTGTCTGACGGACAAGTTAAAGGAAGCGAAGTACCAATGTACCTCGTACAGTACATACCGGCTGCCGATGCCTACACAGAGGATCCCGTCATCCTTGGTGATGACGTGTTCTTTGCCGTCTAGAATCACACCCAGCACCCCCTGCTCGACTTGAAAGTACTCGTCCTGCAGGAGGTGCAAGTGTCTGTATGTAAAGCCAGTCAGCTCGTTCCTCTTCGCGATGCACCCAGATCTACGATATGTATCACTCACAGTGGGGGACCAGACTCTCCCGCCTTGACGCGGGGGTTGTCGATATAATGTGTCTCGCGGACGCCCCAGAGCCCATCAGGTACTGTTAGGACGTCGTAGCGTGCTGAGTTCCCAGTCGCGGTGAAGGATGACTGGGTGGCGGTAATGGAACGGTGTGGCGGTCGAGGCGACAGCCAGAGTTGCCAAGCCCACACCATGTTGGAAATGATTGAGGATGTACGTGGTGATCATGATTGCATGAAAGGTCTATGCTGCACACTAGTGATATATATTTTCTGCCGTCGGGGCCTCTGCCGGATTGCAGTCCCACCATAAGTTAGTTCCAGTTTCTACTGAAGTCGGACTATCCACTTTCGGAGAGGTTACCGTACTCGTTAGTGAAGATCGGTAGTCCAAGGGCTTAGCAAGGTGGCGAGCTGACCTGCATATAACCGATATTAAACAGGCATATTAAGCCGGTTAGGCTACGATGCATAAGGCTGCGGCCCAGCTAGGAAGGTGCATATCACCAGTTTTCCATGCTTTATACTGCCTATGACATGTTTATATAATGTGCTACGACTGATCGGGCGTATTTTTCGTCGGTGGTGATAAGGCAAAAGAGTTATTTAAAGTGTCATCTGTATTCCTTGAATACGAAGTAACACCGAGCTACCCTCGAACGCCACGAGAGTAAGCGTTAGATCAGATGTCGTTCGTCTTCAAAAATGATGTTCCGCTGGCTCGACCCGTCTCGAGCAATGACACGTCACCGAAACATAGCCAGCGACAGTCACGACAACAGTCTGGGTCCGCGGTTGGTAATTTCCTAACAGTGCTTTCCCCCCATCTTTCCGGATCCCAATCTGTTCCATCTCGGTGGAAGAATGAATCCAAATGACACTCTGGAGAACAGTGCGAGGAATGTCGACGACGTAAGTTGCGCTGCGATAGGAGGACGCCACAATGCATGGCATGTGTCAACTCAGGCGTGGAATGCTTCGTACGAAGCAGCTGTCCACCCCGCGGGCCAAAGAAGGGATATATTAGGGAGCTGCAAAAGCAGATAGGTAGGTAGCGGTCCCGGCTTTTGCTGTTCTCTGGGTTAACAACCATGGGAAAAAGAGGATCTACAGACCCGTCTGCAAGCACAACAACAGGATGATGGTGCCACAGCAAATCAAACCGAAGCACCATCAGATCAGGCCTCAAATACTGACAATGAATATAGCAGCATTGAGGGAAGCAATGAAGTCCAGCGTGTACACGTGTCGGCCATCTCTTCGGCAGACGTTATACAGCCCCATTTTGGCGAAAAAAAAGCTTGGTCCACAAGTATGATCAACACGCCTCTGGATGTGCTATCTGTTGCACCCTTGGAAGGTATCGATAATATAAACTTGCAGTACAATAGCATGCCACTATCGGCAGCTTTAGACTACCCGCAGGCTCAGGCTCCAGAGCAGCCGCTCGGGTTAGGAATGCATCTCACTCCCATGATATGCACCGATCTAGATCAGCTGTACTTTGAGCGAGTGCACGTATTCGTACCCATGTTGCAGAAGTTCAGATATCTCTCCTGGTCCAGACAGGTGGATAAGAACAAAGCAAGGATATGCTTGCAATACGCCATGTGGACGCTGGCGGCGTCCCTCTCCAGCCAGTTTCAGCTCATACGGCTCGAACTATATGCGGAAGTACGGCAGCTTCTTGAAGGGTTGGAAGCCGACAGCCGGGTTTGCATTGAACAGCTCCAGGCTTGGATTTTGTTAACAATGTACGAATTAACGAGCAATACAGCCAACTATCAACGCGCAATGGTCTCTGCTGGGAGAGCCTTTCGCCTGGCTCAGTTGATGAAGCTGTGCGAGATCGACGGACCTAACTGCATTTTCGAAGACCAGGACCATGGTGGCCCTGGGAAAGGAAACTGGATTGACATGGAGTCAATGCGGCGGACGTTTTGGGTTGCCTATATTCTGGATCGTTTCACAAGCACGATTGATGGTGTTTCTCTCACCTTCAACGAATCACAGGTATTCCTTCCGTTTAGCCCTCGCAACTGACCTTGTCGTTGACCCCTGAACTATAGATCCGTACCCGTTTACCGGCACCGGAAGCTCACTTCATGAGTGGAAGGGCCGTAACGATGGTCTTCCTCCCAGAAATCATTGGCGAAAAGAACTGTAATGTTGAGCTACAGGGTAGTGACAGCAACATGTCGTCGCCCTTTGCCGAGTCGATCCTCATGGCAACGATTTGCGGACGGGCCCTGGAACACAAATCACAGCCACTTCATATCCAACAGCTAATACACTTGAACCACAAAGATCCGCAGCAGGGCTTTCAGAACCCGCAGATGGACGACTTTTGCCGCCGGCACCAGTGGCTCAACGCGCTGGTGACGCGTCGCATCAAGGCACTGTCGATGCATACATCGTCCACATCGGAGCACCCGGACCCCACACTCGTGTTCGTGGCGCTGACGGGGTACATGACCGTGTTCACGCTTTGCGACACGGCGTTTGGGTCGTCGTCGTCATCAAGCCCCACCGCGGCGACGACGACGACAACGCGCTTCATGGAGCACAAGCAGCGCGCGCTGGATGCGGTGCACGAGCTGGACATGCTAACAGGAATGCTGGGCCAGCTTTCGCACTTCGAAACGCACCCGCTGACGCCGATCCCGCTGCTGCTGAGCGCGCGCTTGTGCCTCGCGCGTGGCGATCACGCCTACGTCGCCCTAATGACGGGCATCGTGACGGGGCTGCAGGGTCTTAGGGGCGTCAACGGACTGGCCCAGTCCTGTCTCTGGATGCTAGGCCGCGAGTGAGCAAGTCTTGGAGACGATGACGTGAAGTAGAAGAGAAATAGACAACCGGGCGCTACCAGTTCGTTCAAAGACCAAAGCCGACGTCCCCACGCATGATTACTAGAGATAGATCGGTTGAATTAATGCGACACAAACTCTACATGTACCAATGGTTGTCGTTGCCGCATGCATGCCTCTTTGATGGGTATTTGTTTTCCCAAGCGTGAAGCGTGGGTGTAACGATGGTAGCTAGAAGATTGTCCGAATTGTAGGTGTCGGGATTTTATTGTAAACGACTGTAGATAGAACTAAATCTGAGATAAGATTTCGGGGCTGAGGCTGCAGTATTGAAATAAATACTCAAAATACGCCTCATACGCTCGCATCTATCTCTGGTGTTGACTAGATTGCAGATTCACATCGACCTAAATGAAGCACGGTGTAGCAATACAAGGTCCAAATGGTCCACTTATGGCATGTGATTCCACTGAAGCCTAGCTAGTCTAAAGGAAAATGCATCTCGGGCAGCCTGGTGGTGTAGTACGTGGTCATATAAAGCCCAGTTTTGTGTGTGTACGTGAGCGAGATAAAAGTGTGGGTTCCACCAGTCGTAGAAAGCTGGTGTTTGGGGCTATTGGTTCTCATATCAGCCATCCAAGCAAGTCCAAAACAGACAAGATTACCGAGCCGAAAATGGTTTAAACAGGCACTTACAAGGTTGCGGCTAGATCAGGCTGATACCTCGCGGCAAGCTCGGGGTGCCCGTTGGCCTGGAACCAGCTCGACATCAGCGCTCCGATCTCGGTGTCCGTCTTTCCAAGCTCCCACGTCGGGATGTGCAGTTTAACCTCGATGTCCGGCGACACCTCAGCCGCCGCACCCTCTTGTGACGTGGGTCGCATTTCGTAGACCAACAGACACTTATGCCCGCTCAGTACGACCTTATCGTCGGCGTCTGGGTCCGACCGGCTGAGCCCGAAGAGGTGGTGCCAGAAGTCATCGACCGCCTTCAGCCCCGCCACCATGGCGGATCCTTTGAGCCGGCCGCCCAGATGGAACATGTGCCGGGCCTTGGCGAGCGTGTCGGCCTCGGAGTGCACGTAGACCTTGATGCGGGACCTGGCGTCGGCGACGCAGTCGTTGGACAGCAGCACGATCTCGGGCGTCTCCCCGGGCGGGAACGCGTCCAGGTGTTCGTTCAGCGCCGCGATGGACGATTCATAGGACCCAGACGGCCCGTTGCATTTCCGGATGGCATCGAAGACGATGGTCCGGGTTGACACTTCCGTGTACAGCGATCTCCAATGAGGCAGAAAATAGGCCTTGGCCACGATGCCCCCGGATCGCTCCAGATCGAACGCGACCCAGACGCGGCTCCGGGGGAAGCCTGGAGGGTGCTTTGCCACCGCCTTGTCGACGGCCTCGTCGGGAACGTGGGTTGCCGCGAGAAAGTGATTGAACCGCTCCAGATCGAGACTGGGGATGTCCATTGCTACGGCGGTGAAGAACTCCTTGGCCCCGGTCTGGTTCAGGCGGTCGGCGGATGTGCCAGCCTTCTTTGACATCGGCTCGAGTGTGAAGCGGACGGTTTGAAAGGGACTCTTCTCCTTCCAATTGAGACTGTACTCCAGGGCGCTTCTGTCGTAAGTGAGCCAGGATCCGTAGAATGGCTTGCCGCTGATAGGCCGTGGTCCTAACGCAGCGGGTATCCATTTGTGAAACCAACGCAGATATTTGAGCTGCACATCGTACGCATACTGACTGGTTTGGAGGAGCGTGGCTAGAGGTTCAGCCAAGGCGCCCCACCAGAAGTTGCGGTCGTCGTAGTCAGTGTGGATCTCTTCCTTAACTTGGTTCAATACGGGAAGAATTGTGCTGACAGAGTTCTGACCGTTGATCTTATTGCCATTGGTCTTGGTTGGGGTAGCCATGACAGCTGTATACGACATGCTCTCGTCGTGATGGGTGGGGTATGCGCAATGAGATATCAGGTATCAATCGTTGTCATATAGATATATAGCGATATATGTATTGCGAACTACATATGACTTCTTTCCGCTACCCATCTTGGCCATGCTGCCTGACAACAGGTCTTCTTTGATAATATCTGACTAAACAGGGTTTCTTTGATAATATCTGACTCAACAGGGTCTTAGCTGTTCACCATCTTGCTTTGAGGACTTGTGGCTCGGACTATGTTTCCTGTGGCTCTTATCAATCTCCTGTCTGGAACGGTTCTGCAGCCACCCGATTGGATAAGCCGTGGCGTCGGAGTTATTCGCAATGCGTTAAGCCCGCATACAGTCGTGCACCGCATAGCGAAATGAAAGTCCGAGTCGAACACCAGAATGACTTTGGCACTCCGGAGCGGGTTCGGCCGGGTTTATGCTCTCTCTCCGCATCGTTCAGTTCTTAGGATGTCTTCAAAAGCCACCGGATTGGTGTTTTTTCTCATGGCCACAATCGAATAGTTTACGTCCCTTCTCCTGCGATTCACTCACTACTCATTCACTATGTCCACATCCGGCCCCTGCACCGAATTTCCAGCCCCCGGTCTTCGAAACCCGAACCGGTACATCACTGGACACAACGAAAAGGGGGAATCTGTGTTTCTACACGTAAGAATCTACTCATACATCCCGCTTCTCGAGTGGGATTGACTGACGTCTGATAATGGATAGTCGGACCATGGAGACCACCACTCTGTCATGCTTGGCGGTGCCGCCGTGCAGAATATCTTGTATAGCAGCGGCAGAAATCCAATCCAGCTAAACGGCAATGCGGATCTCGAGTATATCAAGAAGAATGTAAGTTGTGTATCGACCTTTCTTTTTCTCTTTCTTCACCAATGATGCGCTAATACGGCCGACAATCAACACAGCCCTCTCTGCACATCCCTCATGGCGTCGTGGTGCGCATGATCGACTTCGCGCCCGGAACCGAGTCTGAGTTCCACCGGTCGATCTGCATCGTCTTCGGAACCGTGTGCGAAGGCGAGCTCGAGTACTCGCTCGACGGCGGCGAGTCGCGGCGCATGCGCCCCGGCGACGTGTCGGTCAACCGCGCCACCATGCACAAGTGGCGCAACGTGTCGTCCGACAAGCCCGCGCGCATCCTCTACTTCCTGCTTGACGTCGAGCCCGTCGTCGTCAATGGCAAGACGCTCGAGTTTGAGGTCGGCGCCCTAATGGACGAGTATGCCCAGTACGATGGGAAGAAGTAATCTTCGGGATGAAGCAGTAGACTGGTTATAATGGTTTGGAGCGGGCAGGTGTTGAGTTATGAGACATGGAAAGAATATAAACCGTCCAATAACAGCCATCTATAAGGAAATTCATAAGATCTATCGTAAAGTGCAAAAGGAATGTAATTTATCATCGATGAGTCTAGCTCTTGTAAACAATGTCTAGATATGTATTCTGGATCAACTCAATGAGTCTCGCCAAAACATATAGTTTCGGCTTCAATTGTTGCAAACGGGGGGTCAGCGCACATGCCTCCCCCTATTCCAGCAGCAAAGCAAGTTGGTACAACTGCAGGAGCAGAGAAGAATCCTCTGACGTTGCATCGCTATCGATAGGAGGGAGTGAGACAGGTATGCTTTTAATTCTCCAGTCGAGCACGTTCAAGAAGCCCTTAAAGTCGTCCACGTTATCGATAGCTTCCAGCAGAAGTGTGTCCGTGGATACCACATCACACATTTTCGACAATAATTCCAGCATGGAAAAAGCAGATTGGTCCATCACAGAATCCTATAATCCCTACATGTTATTACTAAAGACCCGATGTCGCCGAGAAGTAATTACCTACCTCTGCCCAGAAAACATCGGTCGACGTCGGTAGGACCTCACCGACGTCCTCTCTCTTCCAATGTCTTAACAAGAAGCGGGTTAGCACATCGTGGTAGTATACCCAGTCGAGTATGATGCCTATGTCGGTGTCTAGTTGCAAGAGGTTACTCGTGCAGGAGGCGTTGATAATTTTCTTGGTATTGCTAAGATAACCCGTCCACTGGCCCGAAGTGCATGATGCGTGGTGAATTTCGAAGCAGCAGAGCAGCATTGCCGTGGCCATATGATCGACAATCTCCTTGGGGCCCATATCTGATCCACCTTAGGCTTTCGCCAAACTTTGTAGCGCGGTGATCTTCAGCTCGACGGCCTGGGCGTGCACACCATGGTGGTGCAGTGAAGAGAAGGCCAGCAGGGCCCTAAGCACGGCCTTGGCTGAGGCTGTGTGGCTCACCAGCCTAATTCTGATCAGGACGTTGCTAACATCGGTGCCGTCTTAGCAGAAAGTGGCCAGAGGATTGGACGCTACATGTTGGACTACATGTGGTGCGCATGCACCCGTCAGCATGCAAGCAGCAGGCTGTGCAAGTAGACGGGACATACAGTACTCGAAAAGGTCCCAGTCGGGTATCTTCAGCTCGAAAGGATTCCAGATCGTCGGCACGTCCAGCCAGGGCTGGGCATCATGCCTATGTGTAGAGGTTGTCAGACTGCGGTGCAACTTAATGTGTCCAAATATGATATATTGACGAAGCGTGTATCGGATATGGGACAGGCAGCTGCCGTTGGCAACGAGGACAAGTTCACGACTAGGGCACGACGGCTATCGCTCGCTCGCGGCCAGTATAGGCGCAGGCTCCCTTGTCACTTACGGTTGGACCGGAAGCAGGTAGTGCAGGTGGGTGTGGTGGTATCGCAGCTGATTCCACGATCTTAGGTCAGCAACGGAGTTAGAATTCTCCTCGATTTCAAAATGCACTAACGCAGGCCATACCCTTACATGCGCCCCAGATTACTCGGCACCTTCGGACTATTCTTAAAAAAATCTCGTGGGAGTATTAGGAGTGAGGCTCTTGTACACCGCATGCAGCGGGGACACAGTCCCCCCCCCTGCTTATCAAGCATAAGCGCTTATTCAGCCTTCCACTGCGTGCGACAGCAAGGATAATGAGTAGGGTTGCAGATTCTGTATATGAAGCTCCCTGCAATGAGTACCAGGGTCTGGACATGTACTGTACCAGTCGGTGCCATCCTTGGCGGAAGGATTCGCCACTGGGTCCGTGGTCTGGATGCCCTCCTGGCACCGCCATCTTGTGCATCCTCGGTTCAGCACAACCTTGGCTAATCTGAAGCTATGCCCATCCCCGGTATCAAGATAGAATCTGCAGTCGAGAGCCCTCCAAAAGGATTCAGGCGCACAAAATGGGTTCAGCTGAGGTTTCAGAATGGGGAACGTAAAAGCAGACAAGATGTCGTCTTTCGGGAGAGGAAGATACCATCACTCAGTCGTTACCGATAGCTGAACAGTTTTTTTCAAAATAAATACCAAAGCACAAAATGGGCGCTCTGAAGTCCTTCCTCTACGGCCTCACGCTCCTGCAGGTTATTGTGTCCGCCGTGCCCGTGAACCGAGAGATTGGCATCCCTCGCTACTTTCAGCGACAGCCGTACACACGGCACAACCTGACGGCTGCAACAGTCCAGTCGGAGTTGGGTTTGTTCGTCTCGAATGGCACGCTGATATTTGGACCTTCCAGCTCGTTGTGGGAGAACGCGACTGAAAGATGGAACACCTTCGTACGACCCCAAGTTCAGGTCGTGGTTCAGCCGGCAAGGGAGTCGGATGTTTCGAAGATTGTGAGTGATGGTGGGTGTTTGAGAACCTCAAAAACAGGCCTGCTAACAAGGACTGGCATAGGTCAAGTATTGTAATGATAACAGCATCGAGTTCTTAGCGAGGAATCGTGGCCATGGAGCAACGACCAGCCTGTCCGCCTTTGATGGGCTGGAGATCGAGTTCAGTCAACTACACACCATCACCATCAAGGAGGACGGCAAATCTGCTGTCTTTCAAGCTGGGACGTACGGTGGTCAAGTCATCCAAACGCTTTGGGACCAAGGCTACGTCACCAGTGAGATCCCTTCCTTGATGAAGAGAATTTAGTTGCTAATGCAGTCCAATTTCAGCCACGGGAGGCACTCCCTGTGTTGGCTTGATGGGAGTAGCCCTGGGCGGTGGCCACGGGCGCTATGAAGGTCTCTACGGCCTGATTTCAGACAACTTCATCCATTTGAACGTAGTCCTGGCCGATGGCGCAGAGGTCGGCGTGAACGCCACAAGCTACTCGGATCTTTTCTGGGCTATGGAGGGTGCTGGTCACAATTTCGGTATTGTCACCAGTGCCGAGAAGGAAATCTATCCTCGCGAAATCGACACCTGGCATTTCCACAACTACGTCTGGTCGCAGGATAAGCTGGAGACTGTGTTCGAGGAGATGAACAAATTCCACAAGAGCTACAACGGGACTACACCCCCTCTCATGGGTGTCAACTTCGGCTCCATCGTCATCGATCCATCCTACAGTCAAGCTGAGGTGAGTCGCTCGGCTTACATAATTTCAACCCCAATTCTGATACAGGTGTTAATGTGTAACAGGCGATCATTGCCTGGGGCTTCCACTACGCTGGCCCTGCGGAAGATGCCGAAGAGCTCCTGAAGCCCTTCAACGCTATCGAGGCCATGTCATCGACTCAGGGCGACATGTCGTACCCTGAGGTCGCTGGCGTCACTGGCGACGACTGCGTGTCGGGCGGGTACGCCATCTCGACCGTCATGACCCAGACGTACAACATCACGACCGAGCGCACCCTCTACAACCACTTTAATGAGAAGATCAAGCAGTATCCCGAGCTCGCCCCCACCGCCCTCCTTTGGCACGAGGGGTATGCAAACGCCGCCACCCAGGCTATCGATTCCGACTTCTCTGCTTATCCGCACCGTGACGAAAACCACCTAATGTGAGCCACCAATAATTTAAAATCTCCTTACTGCGATAAAGCTGGGCTAACATGCAATGACACCGCAGGCTCTTCACGACCACGGTACCCGAAGGCTCCGATCTGCAGGAGCCAGCCGAGGCGTGGGCCAAGGAAGTCTGGGACCTGTGGAACGGTGGGCAGCCAGAGCGCAAGCCCCAGACATACGTCAACTATGCGCTAAACCACCCGTATGAGACCCTCGAGGCCATCTACGGGTACGAGCCCTGGCGCCTGGAGCGCCTACGGGGACTCAAGGCCAAGTACGACCCGCAGAATCGATTCCGGTACTACGTGCCTATCCTGCCGCAGTAGATGATCGAGCCGAACTACCTAATGCATTTTGCAATAGAGTTGAAAAGAAAATTATTTTAATACAAGGATATTGAATAGACTTGAATAGACCACAATAATTAGCTCCGCAGTTACGTGTTTAGGCAAGACTCACTATATCATCCGTAAATAGTGAAGGACGAGATGATTTACTTATATATGGAGCGAAAACCTGAGACTTTATACAGTGTCAACGTAAAGCAGTCTTTTCTCCTGGACCTGCTAAGTGCCTAAAGTCTTGCAGAACCCATTCGTGCTTTATGTGCCCAGTTGTCCCGCGTTCTTGTCTTTCTTCCCTCAAGTGAAGCATCCTTCTCGAAATGGCGCAACAACTTCTTTGTACCCAGTTCACAGCCTCGGATCCTTGTGATCCACTCCGTCATATCCTTGATACAATGAGAAAGGTGATTCTGCCTTTTCGCAAGTGAGAGCTTTCTGTGTTGTTCGAGGTTAGGAACAATATAAACGGGAGCAGCTTGGCTACGGCGACCAGGACAATACTATGCCAGGGGGGATCGGAGCTCAGGACATATTCTACAGCAGTGATTAAAAATCCAAACGAGTTCGCCAAAAAGAACAAGGTTGGTTCAGAGCCTAATTGAATCTGAATAATGCCGACCAATTCATATCTGCAACTGCACAGCCTTCCTTCCACAAGCCTAATGGATATATTGCCCCAGTGGTCGAATTTGCCCTTGGTGCTGCTTCTAACTACAATTCCTTGGGACGGTGTGCGAGTGCGAGAACCAAGCCTTGAACCAAACGAGAATCCTACCATGGTCCCTAAAGATACATGCCTATAAACTTTGGTGCTATGCACCAATAGCTCAACACATCCAGCACCAGGCGCGCGCGTATGCTTTTCGTAACGTTGGATCTTAACCCATTTTTGTCAACGGCAAGACTCGAGTTCGAGATTGCAAAGCTGATGAAGTAATATGCCAAGCATACCGACGGCGAGAGTCCAAACAAGTACGCTTGAGGTATAGAACAACCACTTTTACAGAAAGTAAGATGCTTCATTGAGGTCATAATATAGTGTCTTGGCTCGTCTTTGGCGTGGAATCTTCCAAAACCTCCATTGTAGAGTATACAATAGTAAAAGTAATATCGAATATATGTCGCAGATGGGCTGTTGCTGACTGCACACAGATTTGACCTTGATTTAAACGGCTGGCCCCGGCTTCCGGCCGCAAAATGAGGCAAACGTAGGATGATAAATGCTACCTATCTGCATTGGCAATTGTAGAGAAGGTGGGGTAGGCACCCGGTGCTTACTACGTATAAAAACCTCAAAGCTCCTACTTTGTGCCCAGTTTGACTTATTCTTTAACCTCCCTTGTTTGTTTCTAATGGTGTCGCGCCAACAATTCACAGTCGTCAAGTTCGTGGAGCCTTCATCTACCGCATAAGCCATGTCGTCTAAGCTTAAATCCGAGGCTGCTCGAGAGGCCTCAGTAATTGGCATGTTGCGACGGCAATTCACAAAACCTAAACCATTACCAGCCAATACCAATCTCAAGGGCCAAACCGCTATTGTCACCGGCAGCAATGGTGGGCTGGGCCTCGAGGCATGTCGGCAACTCCTGAAGCTCGGGCTTTCACATCTAATCCTGGGCGTACGTTCGCAGGCGAAAGGTGACGCAGTAGCGAGCCAATTTCGCCAAGAATTCCCCAATTCAGAGACGTCTGTCTGGATCATCGATCATCAGTCTTACGATTCGGTCCGCAAGTTCGCGGAGCAATCTGCGACTCTGCCGCGCCTCGATATTGTGATCTTGAATGCTGCAGTGGTGACCACCACGTACACAACCGTCCCGACCACAGGTCACGAGAGTATCATCCAGGTCAACTATCTATCGACGGCCCTATTGGCGATATTGCTACTGCCCATTCTCAAGTCCAAGAAGATCAACGGTGCTCCCAGACCGCCCGTGCTCAGCATTGTGGGTTCCGACACGATGTACCAGCCGGAGTTCTGTCCCAAGTTGAAAGGTCCAGTGCTTCCACAATACGATAACGCAGAGAACTTCCGCTTCTTTCCCTGGTATGGAGGATCGAAGCTATTCCTCGCGTTTTTCGTGAGTCGGCTTGTCGAATACGTCGATGCAAGTGACGTCATTATAAACGTGCCTAATCCTGGTGCGACCAGATATACAGGCCTTGATCGTAACGCCTCGGCGCTCTTCAGGATGGCCATGAATACGGTTAAATTCGTCCTGGGGAGGTCTTTGGAAAGTGGTGCTTCCATATACCTCGAAGCAACCGTGGCTCAAGGCGAAGAGAGTCACGGCAGCTTCATCAGTGAATGGGCAATCAGACCGTAAGTGATAGCTCAAGTCATGGGGTCGTGACTTGCTGACAAGAGCAGATATCCAGCTGTTTGGTATACGACCGAAGGCCAAGAGCTCGCAGCGAGATTGTGGGAGGAAACCATGGAGGAGTTGAAATTCGTGGGTGCATCTAAGATCGTGGAGGACATGAAGAGGTCTTGATTATCTGGCCTCACACACACACACACACACAGAGAGAGAGAGAGAGCGTGATCAACTGCCGAAGAATACTGGTTCCTCCGTGTCGGACGGAATATGTTCAACTACTTGAAGTATTCATCTCCCATTGAGCAACAAAAGATCCCAAACATACATATAGATACTCGCCCTCCATGTAGGGTGCCTGAGTTTGGGAAGGTTAGAGAAAGTAGACTGCCAAAGTTTGCCAGACCAATGGATCGTTCCGGAAGTGTCTCCCAACAGGTGTTTTCCTTTGTGTCACAGCTTAATAGGAGCTTCAGCTGTCTTGTCATATCTAATCTGGTTGCTGAATATTGATGCACGACAATCAAGGCTCCGGACACTTAGCCCGCATGTACCATGCCGTGTAAGATTATGGTAGAGCCCTGGCGCTTAAATGCACATGTACCTAGGTAGATATGTACTCGGTAGCCCCACTTGTCATGGTTTTGTGCTCAAGTCTTATATGCATACGGCCTCGTGAAGCTATCTAGGTAGCCTGCATAGCCTGCATCTTATGTCGCTCTCGCACTCTACCCAGGCACGCTAATGTAGGTGAGGTCAGAAAACACTTCTGGGGAAAGTTCATACATGGATGCCGATTGGCTTCATGTACGAGCGATGGGAAAGTCAGGCTAAGGCAACCTCAAATGCATTTGTGAAATATTGATTTATAATCTTCCAGCGTGGGGCACGGAAGAATTTCCCTATTTCCCGTCGCCCTCACACACACCCTAAGTATCAAATAAATAAACAGACATTCTCATTAGTATATCATCACATTTGACCAAATATCGCCTGTTCCATATCTGTATAACCCAGCTCCCTACTAGAATCGTGACTGTTCTTCAATTCGCAATTCATTCAACATGGCTTCATACGTCATCACAGGTGCCTCGAGGGGGTTAGGAGTAAGTTGAATCAACGATCCTGCCCAATTTTTCTAATCGCCTGCACCAGTTCGAGCAAATCCGTCAGCTTTCCACCGATCCCAATAATTTGATCGTTGGACTTGCGCGAGACAAGGATGCAACTATCAAGAAGGTGAAGGAGGAGCTAGGAGAGAGGCCCAATGTCCACATTCTGCATGGCGACTTGGAGGACACTGCCAGTTTGAAGGCAAGTCCCGGTCGCGCATCAGCGGCGTTTTCTGATATTAACATTCACTGCCAGCAAGCTGCCGCTGACAGCGTTCCTATCCTCGGCGGGAAACTAGATTACCTCATCGCCAATGCCGGCGTTGCGTCCAAGTTGGACTCATTCAGTAACCTTGGCGAGCAGTATGTTTTGCGCCCAGCTGTCTGGACGACTTTGCGGAACTAATATAACGTTTCACACAGGGGAGAGGACCCCGAAACTCTCGAGAGAGAGTACCTCTACCTCCACAAGGTTAACGTCATCGGCAACATCAATCTCATCAACTTTTTCATGCCCCAAGTGTTAGCAGGAAAGGAGAAGAAGGTCATCGCCATTTCTAGCGGTCTGTCGGATTTCGATTTAGTGAGAAAGATGGAATTTGACACGGCTCCGCTCTACGCCATCTCCAAGGCAGCGCTTAACATGGTCGTGGTCAAGTTCCAAAACCAGTACAAGGACGACGGCGTCCTTTGTTTAGCCATTTGCCCGGGCATGGTTGAGGTTGGCCAATACTCAGACGGTACGCACCCCTCTCGTTTTCCTAGTCCGAGACTGATTAACCCCTGTCTGTAGTAAACCCTGAGCAGCTGCAGAAAGTTCAGAAGATGGTTGGCAAGTTCCTGGAGCACTATCCCCACTTCGCCGGTGCGGCCACCCCCGCCCAAGCTGTCAAAGATGTGATTTCAGTCTATCACAAGGCAGACCTCAAGAACTATGCAGGTGACTTTGTGTCTCACAATGGAAACAAGGAGTGGCTTTGAGTAACACATGACTCGCACTTCACTGCGCCGGTTCTTAGTTAGACGGAGATTTTATTGAGAAAATTCTACCGTATTGCGTTGTAAAGTTGAGTGTGCCTGAGTGCAGACACTCTATCCTAATCCTAACTTGGGCAAAGACAAGCTTCGAAGTCCTATGGTGTGTATTTACCAGAAATGCGAGGAAGAATAACAGTAATAGAAGCCACCTCGAAGGACGTGATTGCTAGCATATCTACAGTTCTATCTTCCGTTTGGAAATTTGCATCCGAGTACTCTTGCAAGGGCGCTATTGAGCAAGTTTGTCTAGACCGAGGAATTGGCAAACTCGGGTCGGATCGAAAGCGTTCCAGGATTAAGTAATTCGTGTTCATCTGATCCCGAATACACCGATGGTTACCGCATGGTATGAAATTTCGCGCCGGGTAAGAGTCAAATGAAGAAGGCCTGAGGAATTCATCTAGGCTGTGTCGTAGAAGCTGACTCGACTACGGGTCGGAACGGTACCCGCCAGATCTAGAGTTAGTCCTAGCTGATAGTCCGGGTGATTCGATTTCAGACAGCAGAAGTCATCCTGTATAATAAGCAACCTGCAGTCCCGATGTCCAATCACTAACAGTCCGAAGTCGCCCGGAGTATCTTTGTAGGAGGATCTACGCGACCCCTGGGGTTAGGTCGTAGCGTCAGCGAATATTTTCTTGGCGACCGATGCTATATGGCCTTTGCATATTTAGTTTTAATCAAGTCCGCAGCTAATGATTGGAGCGAGTATGCATGCATTGACTAGGGCTTACATACCGATACTAACACGCGACTGGCATTCACCATCGCACTATGCTAGTTTGCTGACTAAAGAAGGTACTGATACTGGGTGTATCTCATATTTAGGCGATCCATTATAACCTCTGGCTTTCCAACTTATGGCCCCAACACCTATGCTGCAGTCTCAAATAGAGATAATCCCAGACTTAAAGAATGGATCTCGAATACATATATGATTTGCGTGATTCGTTGCCTGAATCAGTGACGCTACGGTTGGTCACTACAGTTGTTTCTGGAGCAGTATGTTAGCTATCGATTTCAAAGCGTCTTGGCTGCTTACAAGACTCGCAGATTTCATTTTATGCAGCATTGCGAGTAGTTTATCTGTTATATTTTCACCCGCTTGCGAAGTTCCCCGGGCCGCGGCTTGCTGCTGTCTCCAATTCGTGGTATAGCTATCAATGGTAAATTGTTCTCACAGCCTAATATGACGCTACCTACTGACGTATGAAATACCAGGCTCTCCGGAAGATATCCATGGGCCCTTGAGAAAGCACTTCAGAAGTATGGCGACATAGTGCGCGTCGCGCCTAATGAGCTTGCTTTTATAACTCCAAAAGCATTCACGGGTGAGTGATAATACAAGACCGTTGGCAAGATACCTTATTGAAGATCAACCAGATATCTTCACTCCACATCACAGATACCTGGAGGACTTCAGAAAGTCAGACTTCCATAATCGTGGCGATGATGTCGCGGGCTTTGGGTTTGAGGAAGATCCAGTCAAACATCAGAAGATGGCCAAGAAAATATCGCCAGCTTTCAGCATGCGATCGACATCGGCAATGTTTCCACTGGTAGACTCCCACATTGACTTTTTCATCCAAAGGATGAAGGAAGTAGGCCGAGATGCTGCGGGAGTCGGACTGTTTGACTGGACCAACTGGTTTTGCATGGATTTGGCTGGAGAGCTAGCGTGGGGAGAGAAGATGGACCAAATGAAAAACAGTAAGCTCTTCTTCCATGCAAACTGCTTTATGTACAAATCTGGCATTGACAATCCGTTATAGTGAGAAACTCGATATTTCTTGATGTTCTCCTGGGGTTTAATGCCTTCTCCACTGTCATAATGGTCTTCAAACGATTCCCACTGCTCAGGCCGCTTCAGTTCCTTTTCGTTCCTCTTGGCAAACTGAGCGCTCTCTCCACCATGAATGCTGTAACGCAGAAATCTGTGAAGGCGCGTATTGAGCGGAGAGGTAATACAGAGCATCCCGACTACTTCAACTACGTCCTGTCCGAGAAGGACCCGGCGCCCAAGAACCAGCGTGAGCTCACGCACATTAGCTCGATCTCATTCCAGTTGACCTTGGCCAACTACTCTCCAGTTTCGGACTGGTTCTATAGCACATTCCTTTTTCTGCTTGAAAATCCAGAATGCTACCGAACATTGACAGAGGAAATCAGAGGCAGCTTCAACAACTACGACGATATCAAGCCGTTTGCCTTGAACGAGCTTCCTTACCTGTATGCCGTTCTCGAGGAGTCGTTGCGTTGTCTTCAAAGCAACGGCACGGGGCTTCCGCGTATAAGTCCTGGGGCCCTTGTCGACGGGCATTATATTCCAAAGGGAGTAAGTGTATTTATCTTCACACGAACGATCAATTATTTCGTAAACTGTGTATCAGCTCAGGGCTTGCACTAAAGTTGTTACTACAGACACACGTCCAATACAGCATCTTCGGCTTTTCCCGGAGCCCGCGCTACTTCCATGAGCCCCTAAAGTTCCGCCCGCAACGATGGCTGCAGGCGGATCACCCCCTGTATGATCCTGCCTTTGCGAACGATCACCTAAAAGCCCTAATGCCTTTCAGCGCAGGGCCAAGGCAGTGCATGGGGAAAGAAATAGCATGGGTAGAAGCGAAGCTGTTTTTCGCTAAAGTGCTGTGGATATTCGACGTCAGCAAGGTGTCAGGACAAAAATTCGACTTGGAAAGCACCTTGCTTCAATATGGCTTCTTGGTCAAGCCCGATATGAAAATCAGGTTCACATCAGTAGAGAGGAATGAGGCACACTGAGAGACCACGGCGTGTATTACTCTGGTCCTTGAATCGGAACATCCGGCCTTGGTAGGTAGACATCGAGTCAGAAAAGACTAGAACATAAGAGGTTGTCTTGAAACTTAGCGGGTTGTCAGTTAAATAGACATTATTTTTCCAGCTAGGGTGGATTATCACCGAATACGGAGGATCCGAAACCCATTCACGGGCACCCGGGATCGACCGGGCGCTCGCCCGATTTGCAACACCGAAGACTTTTCCTCTTTTCTGTACCGACGGAGTACTTTACCCTTTCAGCAAGCTTGACAGGGAACGCCGTCGACAGGCCATTCATCTCGGACCACGGAGGGTATGTGGACCTTCCATCGTCAAAATAGTTCTTGACCTAGCCCAACTTCACAACGGGGTGAACCAGATTGATGTACGGGTCTTCGGACGCCTGCAAGGCCTTGAACTTAGGGTCACAGTTGATCTTGTTGAAATCTGCGAAGTTGCCAAAATAGAACTCGATGGCGATATCATGGTCCTGTAGTTGGAGTACACCTGGTGTCAGTGTCTGTTTGTGTGCTTTGGCTAAACGCATGGGTCGAAAGGTGGGCAACCCCGCGAATAGTGTTGGACCGACAAGGCTACTACACCAAGCCTAGCAGTCTTGGAAGGACATATGGCCACGCACCGTACGTTATGGGCCAATATGACCACCACCCATCGAACCACACAAGTCCTGCCTGTGGGACAGGAATCAGTCATTCCTGTCTATATAAGGCCCTTATGGCCGCCGTTCACTTCGTTCAGGACTCTCCAGAGATCATGACACTTTCAATATAAGACCATTTGCCCACAATCCAACAAATAGCAGATCTTGATGATGCAGGCAAGAGGCATGGAAAGAAAAGACAGCAAAAGCCTGACATCAATAGTCCAGCCGCGGTTATTTTGACGGTTCATTTCATCCAGAGTTGAGCGGTAGCCGGCCGGGGTGTCTCCCTTGTAGACGCATGTTAACCACAACTTGAATTTGACCTCAAGAGTTCCTTGCAGGTCGTCAAGCCGAGCCCCTATGTGATTGGCCAACTGACTTGCTGATATAACTCAATGCCATTCTTGGCATGCAGGACCGCGACTTTGTCGAGGTACTCTCCAGCAAACTTCTCTCTGCCTTTGCTGTTGCTGTTCTGGTTGCGGTAGATCTGGAGGGTGAGGTGCAGAAGGCGATCCCGGCGAAGGCATGGCCACTGAAATGATGGGTATGAGGCAGTAGAGGGTAGCTGGCTAAAGTAAAAATACCTTGGGTACAAGAATTGAATAGCGAGATCAAGCAGAATTAGACAGCCTGAAGTAATTCCAGTTTGGGATGGTGAGCCAGTCTTATGGCAACGGCTTGGACAGGGCAGTTTTCTAACCTCTTTCTTGCTCAATTATATTCAATACATTAGAAAGTCAAAGAAGAATTCCAGGAGCAACACCCAGAAAGTTAAACTAGGTGCTGAAACCCCAACCAAGTGACGTTGTCCAGATTATTTGTTTGATAAATGCAGATGACAGGGAACAACCGCTGCAGTAGACCTGCAAGTTGTCTTGCCAATACCAAGTTGGATCTTCTCGATCTGGCTCATATCAGCCGATATGCAGTTAGTCTGCGCCTCGGTGATCAAGCAAACACGGGAGGCACAATATGTAAAAGCGAAGCCCAGCCCGTCTTGAGTCCACAAACCATATATATTGCCGAAGGCAAGGGAAAACCCGGCCGAGGTATATGTATAGCTTTAGGGGAGATATGCAGAAGCTACCGCGGTAAAGCGCACTGTCAGACTGATTGCCCACGAATAAAGGAACCAAAAGCGTTTTGTAGGAGAATCTTTAAGTACCGACCTTGAGCCACAGCGCGCCCTCCCCGTAGTCCCTAGAGTTGTCTCAGCGTTCCTATAGCTTTCCTCATCGTTAGAAGCAAGGTCGTCTCCATTATCGTCGTCGCCAAAGTCATCATAGTTATGGACATATTCTTTCTCTTCTAGGTAAGCGTGATTGCCTTCTACTATTTCTTTATTGTCTTTGTTTTTGTAACCAGAGCTTTTACCATTTCGGTCGACCCCATCAGTACTCGTAACATCTTTATCATCACAGCTAGCGCTGTCAATATCGCCAACGTCGTTCCCAATCCTTTCAACGTCGTTGCCATCTTCCATGGTAGGCTCAGCATCGCCATCATCGTCTTCTTTGCTTGCAACCATGTATTCTCCGTACAAATACTCTTGAATATCATGCTCATCCTTCTTATCCTCTCTAGCATCTTCATAGTCACAACTATCGCTACCCATCTAGTCATGTTCGTCGACTTCCATGAGCTGCTCCCTTCGTTTCCACTGCCAAGGCTTCCTTCGTCTACAACCACTCCACCATTGTAATCAGGATGTCGACGCTCGATGAGACTCGGGGACTTGATGTCATCTTCGTGTTTTTTGGGGTCATTCATATTGACGGGTTCGTGAACGACTTTGTGATGGGTAGGTTTGTGATGGGCTCTTGGATGCTTATGATTTGATTCTGTCTTTGCAAATCTTGGCTTTGAGTTGGATGGTATCGGCTTTGTGGTGGTATTTTTCATCAGAGTTGGAGGTATTTGCGCCGCGAGGCGCGACGTCACGCCTTGGCTGCCAGGAGTCATCTTTAGTACCTGTTGGAGTCCCAGATTTTGTGGTGGAGAGCTAGGCGCTGGGGTGCGACTCGCCAGCCCATGTACGGGTTCTCTACAATGGCGAACTGGGATAGACCTTATTGTTTGCCTGCTACGATCGTGACAACTCTGGGGTGGTTTAGAATTGCGTCGTGCGTCTGGGGAAACTTCGAGAGACAAATTTGTCAATGGTATCTTGCCTTTTTTGTCATGGATATTACGCCCAAGATGAGAGCTGGAACCTGACAGTGATAATGGCAGCCTACTTCGAGACTGAGGGGGCTCTGGCCGTCTCAGCGGTAGGCTCGCTCTTTCGCCAGAGGGTCGACTTGTAACGGGGTGAATCTGATCATATTGAGCCCTTGGTGCTGGGAGTTTCCCACTATTATCTCGAACCTTTGATAGCGTGGTTGCTATGGGCCTCTTTAGAGTCGGGGGGTCATCGCTGTCTCGGATTTTAGATCTCGGCCTTTCTCGTTGCTGCCCCTGGGTCCGTCCTTTTCGATCATTTAGTGGTGTCGAGCGCTGTGTCATTTCTTTCAATTTGGTTGAAGCTCCATCCTCTCTTGTGTTTTTCATAACTCGCCCTCCTCTGGACTGCTGATTCATGCCTATTGAGAGGGAAGGCTGCTGGTTATTCTCCCTCAGGGGCTGTACTTCGGAGCCTGCCCTCCAGATTGAACGCCGGGTTTTCAAAACTGATTCCGCAGAATTTTCATGTACCTGCTGAGATGACTGTCTTCGCTGAAAGACACCGAACTGGGTGTGCTGTTCATGGCTGCCGATCACTCGTGGGCCTGGCGATACCGTGGCAATCCCCGCAAGTCGACGTTTGGTGTCAGATGCTGCTTTTTTAGTTGCAGCGTCTGAAATAGGTCTTTGTTTGGTTTCTCCTTCCTGACGCCCTTCAGGTCGTGATCTTGGGCCCTTTGCCTTGGAGGTTAGTCGGTCGGCGATTGAGGCGACTAAAGGCCGCCGAAGAGAACCAGATGTCGACCCCTTGGGGTTTTCCTCACGCCCACCCATCTCCTCTCCTGTTTTTCTTTGCTGTGAAGTTCGTACCACATTCGGATATTGCAACTGGGTGGGCGTGCTACTCACGTGGCATTGTGTTTTCGTCCATGGAAAAGTGGCAATGGATTAAGCCTGTGGGCCCATAAAGTCGGTGTATGTAATAAGTGGAGAGAGTGGTCGTCACTTGCATCATATATGAGTAGATATGGCAACCTCAGTCCTGTTACGTTGCTTCAAAGCAAGCTCAGAGTTCTGAACTAGTACCACTTGGATTTCAAGCTCATTTTATATGTTGAAATGTACTGACGCGATTATGGTGTGGGTCCTGATCGATCATCTTCCTATTCCGCCACAACCTGCAGGGTGTACGTATTCAATCTTGAGAACAGTTTGGAGATCTCTTCCACCTGTGGCAATCCGAGTTGTCCAACTCAAATATCGCACTTGCCTCAGATGTGGGACGCACAAAATAATCTGATATGCTCCAGAGTCGCTTAATATGACGAAAGTACAATTTCACGGACAGGGCACCATAATTGAGTTGGGCTGGGACTGGTCCCTGCATTGTGAGGGTGCAATTTCGTCAGTTAGAGTTTTTGTTGGATTGTGGGCAACTGGTCTTGTATTGAAAGTGGCATGATCTCTGGAGAGTCCTGAACGAAGTGGACAGCAGCCATAAGGGCCTTATGTAGACAGGAATGAATGATGCCTGTACCACAGGCAGGGCTTGTGCGGTTCGATGGGTGGTCATATTGGCCCGTAACGTACGGTGCGTGGCCGTATGTCCTTCCAAGCTGCAAATATTGCAGTGCCAAAAGCTGATGAACTCTACGGCAGGGAATCGAGAATGACTTGCCATTTATGGGTCGCGTGTATTGTCCTTATTTTTCAATGGCTCGCAATCGATGCCTTTACTCGATGTTTAACTGGCAGTACTTATGTTACGTACAAACTGGAACCACTTCAAAGATTGACCGGTCAGTTCCTTGATTCAAAATCCAATGTACCATTTGCTGTGCGCAAGTACATAGAGCACGATATAACCCCGACGGTTACCTGGTCGTCTATCCATTTTGGGGCCGGTGCAGTTCCTCGCTTGGAAGTAAGTTTAACAAGATAGCGCTCCTTGGTAAGATGACGTAGGATTGGCTCAGGTGCTTCATGGGAGAACAATGATAGAACCTCGTGTTGCCCGTCTACTATCGAAGTGGGTCAGACAATCAGTTCTCTATAATATATGGCTTGTCTTGTTGATAATAATGTGAGAGCGACTAGGCGTGAACTCATTTAGATCAACTAGTTCTTCATCATACTGAGCTTTCTGAGAAAATCTGGATTGCATGGCACTTACGTACTACAGTACCTAAATCAAGCGTCTTACGTATAGCACTACAGTCGGAAGGAGCAGCCCAAAACACTCTAGGTCTCACCTTGAGGTGGTCACTCGATAAATTGTGGCCCGTCATATGTGATACACTGGTTGCCTCCAAATGTTCTCTTTTTCCTCAGGGGTGCGTGCCCAATTCAAAAGGACAGCGGTCACAGCCTTAGGGACCCCCGAACCCTTCGCAACCCTCCATATAATGTCATCCTAAACAAGGCATATTTTGTCTTTAAGCCCTGAAGTTGCGCGAGGCATCATATCGACTTTTGACGCCGAGTATCCTCAAACTCTCCGCCTCTTGAGAAATGGATGCACGGCACCAAGGACGTAGGGCCCGCTGTCGAAATGCCTACATAGTTTTCTGATTCGTCGATCTTCGGCGAGAGCGACGCCACACTACCAGTCTGCAAGCATGCACCATGGCCTTACGTGGCAGAACGCTTGCAGCGCGTTGCTGACGCGAAGAAAAGGCAACAGACGACAACTGAAATGCCCCACTACCAGCATGCAATTCTGGGGGGTCACGGCAGGGGAGGTGGCTTCAAAGTAGTTCCATGTCCACCAATTCTCATCGAATTACAAGCCTGCTTGATATGAATTTCTACCTGACCTGATCCTTTACCCTGAGCCCATTGGATCATCATCACCAGCGTATTTCCACTGCCACAGCCACTCCTTACTCAAGAAATTCCTGGTAAGGAACTGGTAAGGAAACAAGCCAGCATGCAACTCAGCCACTCTGGGATCTCGCAGCCCCCAATTTCTGGCCTCCAACCGGAGACCTCACTGCAGTTGAGCATTGAATGAAATCTGCGCTGTCCCGATTGAGACATACAAAGGGCGCGGATAATTCCCGATATCCTTCTGAAATGAGAGCCGAAATCTCCGGATAATCAGGCAGCCATTCAGCTCGCGCATCCAAGTCGCCACCGCAACAGAAGCTGAGACAAGTCAACGTTAACATCAAGCTGAAAGGCGCGGCTGACATTGGCCCCACGACGGAGGTTTCTGATCTCCAGCTAAAGTCACCAACTAAGATGGCCCCGCGGCCTAAGCCTAATCGCCACATTTCATTACCATCTCTAGACGTTCCCCGAAGCCGTAGCGTGAGTGACCGCAGCGACCGAAGCGATGGAACTAGCAGTCAGCAAAGTGGCGAGCCGAGTACCCAGCCGGCTTGGAAGCGTGCTAGCAAACCCAAAGTCCGCACTGGTAAGTCTACAATTCTTCATCCAATCTTACACATATTCATAGCGATTGACATTCTGTAGGTTGTATTAGGTAAGTCGGATGCCCCCTAAAACCTGCAGTGTTGATCCCTGGGCCGTGACTGATGAATACCACCGCCAGCTGCAAGAAACGTCACGTAAAATGTGATGAGCGCAAACCACATTGTCTCAAATGTGACAACATGAACATAGATTGCGAAGGATATGTGCAGCCAAAACCCTCCAAGGCTGTGTCAAGGGCCGAGAGGCTGTTGCTTCCCAAGGCGGGGCCTGCTCCTTTACTCGCGAAATCTACTGTCAATTCTGAATTCCAGCCAGCTGGCGTCCAACCCCCCCTTCTGTTATCTCCTGGGCTCGGTTTTGAGATTGGTGACGATGATGGCTGGTACTTCACTTTATTCCGAGACCAAGTGGTCTACGATCTATCCCCGTGTCGCGGGCAAAATTTCTGAGTACGTTCCTCGCTTCGGGATAGTATGACGGTGAGATCTATTCGGCATTCCATCCTAAGTATTGGAGCGTACGCAAGAGCTCTCATCGACCTCACGAATGATTACCCCTGGATTACTTCCGCAGATCGTCCATGGTGGCCCGCCTCAGTCGTTAATCGGCATCATCAGGCTGCATTGAGTCACCATTCCAAAGCGTTGTCCTACCTTCGTCAGGACATCGAGGTCAATGGCGTCGATAGTCGTACCACCATGGCAGTAACATTACTATTCATCGTCTTCGAGAACACGCAGGGAACTACCATGCAGCTGGCCGTCTCATACGCTCGGGGATCAAGGTACTGAACAATATCGGTCGGGCTCGCGCGAGAAATATCCGTTGGGAGATGACTCGCCAATCTTTGGATCCACCTGATGAGATTGCTGAAATGGCCCATATATGTTCCTTCAACACGCCATTAGCTCCGCAAACATCCCTTTTCCTCACTGCAAGTCTGCCTACCATCTACTCTTGGACGAAGACGATCTACCAACCGACGAAGAGAATGTACCCAACGAGTATACAATTCAAGCCACCACTCCCCATTCCTTCCAGCATGCCCATGCGATATTGGAGACGATCCTACCGTCGCTCGGCAAATTCTACGCTAAAGCCGTCTGGCATAACTTGCACTCGAGCTACGAGTTCGACGAGGACGACATGACCCGGGAACAAGCCCTGCACCTAGCCAAGGTACGAGGCTTCGGAAATCTTGTCATCGCTCTGAAAGCAGCAGAAACGGACGGGGCACAACTGCAAGGCCTGTCTTTCATGACGATGCATCACCAGGTCGCTACAATCTTCCTCTCGAGTTGCCTCGACCGGACCGAAACCACATACGACCACTTCACGTCGCAGTTCGAGGAAATCGTATCCGAAGCCAGACAGTATTTCCGACTCCCCGCTATGGGCAACAAGTCGGGTTTCACCAATGAAAACGGACTGCTGCCGCTCTTGTCATTCGTCGTAGCCAAGTGTCGAGTGCGGCGGACGCGTCTCGCGGCGCTGGATATGATCCGACGGTCGACATGGCGTGAAGGACCGTGGGACGGGACCAGCCTTTCGAACGCTATGGATGGGCTTATGAAGCTTGAGGGCCAGATGCCTTTTGAGGATCAGAGCGGGTATGTTGATGACTTCTTCGATTGCGTACCGCCTCCTGAGTCACGATATACGTGGACGAATATTTTCTGGGACTTTGAGAGGCGCCAGATGACTATGGAATACACCAAGATTCTGCCTAATGATCAGGGTGAGTTTGAGAAGGTTAAGTGCGTGATGAGCAGGTAAGATATGTTTGGAAAAAGTGAAAGATGACAGGGGCGGGCATGTTGATGGCTTCTTCAATTACGAACCGCCTCCTGAGTCGAGATACGAATGTTTTCTGGGACTTTGGGAGGCGCCAGCGACAGAGGGAATAAAAAATATGGCAATGAACTTGTCTGTATAGCATAAAAGCGCCTGAAGTGTGCAGGGCTACAGATTTTGTACTTATTTACTGAGAACTGTTCAATAGTGGGACTGACAGGACTCAACCTAACAGGAAAACGTAACCAATTACAGGCGGTCAACGCTGTGGTGATGCTCTTTTGCGTTAACACCGTATATGGACGTGGAGCGCCGGGGATGAAGGCCCAGCGTTAGTTTCAACTATACCCAAGGATCGAAGCAATCTAGGCAACATGTTTAAATGTAGAACTCTAACAATATACGATAATAATTTTCTAGCTGCTTATACTTGATTCATTTCTTCGGGGTTTAGAGGTTAGTAGTGTAGCTATCTATTAGTAGTACGTTGCCTGTGGTTTGTTTATCTCGATCAGAAGCGGCTATCACTATATTTTCCCACGTACTATACTTAGGTCGTCTTATCCTTCAACGAGAAATCTGTCACATATCTGGCCGTCTTAGGCCTTCGCGCCTATATACGTAACGGATACTATAGGCCTACGAAAGCGCCGCTAAGAAGGCCTAAGAGCTCATACATTTATTCGTGGACTCTCAAAGGCCGAGATAGGGCCGTTTGTAAGGACTTTCGGGCCCTTATCTGAAAGGCGGGCTATGCTATCTCGTTATATTCCACCGAGATCGCTGAATTACGTGTGGAAAAGAAGTAATTATCGACAGAGTTAGACAGATTCGCCACAAAAGTGTAGACCTGACTCTTGTAATATCTATCATAAATTCACAGCTATCCGTAGTACGTAAGATAAGCGGGGGAAACGAGTGCGGTCTATGCTGTGTGATAAGTAGTTGCAAATTGATGCTTTTATTGAATTCAAGCCACCCCCGAAAAAAGGGGTTTGGAAAATGTATTTAACACTGAAGAACCTGAAAAGTGAGACCTGAGATACTTTAGTGCCCTTGTGCGGCTTGAAACCCCCCACATGTATGTCCCTTCTTCACCTGCATATGACATATACTATATAATTTGATGATGAATGTTTTTGGCTTTACTTTGGTGTTCGGTATTGCAAATGGAATCAAGGACGGTTAGGTTCATACGTCTTAAGGATGTGGATCTGGAAATCCGGAGCCATGTCGAGAGTCCCGTCTTCCTAAGGATAAGGACTCTCCACAGATAGCTAACCTTCCTACTAGCGAATTGAGGCACTATTAAATGAAGCTCCCTATAAGTAGGATTATAGCGGAAGCTATATGATGCGTGTGCATATGGGGGTAAAATGTGTGTATTAGGATAGCTTGGTTAGCTAGCTAGTTCGCGGGCCGAAGGCTCTTTGGGGCTGGCTGGCGCCCTTACAGCCCTGTTTTATCTTATCGACTTGAAAGTTACGGAAAGCCGGCCTGGTTCAGCTTCAATCTGAAGGTTTGAACCGTCCGCTAACAAACGTCTCTCAATCTGAAACCCGTCACTACGCACATAACATCCTGCACGACCGATTTTCCTCACCAACACCTGCAAGGTCGTAGATGGGGGTATCCGAAAGACTTCTTGTACTACCCTTATGCTAACGTCATACTTGATTCAACACATTCTCTAACATTGGTCCACTACACACCATAACTTTACACGCAATCACAGCCCTCTGTTATAATTGTTCCCTGGATTTACTCAGTAGACCCTCACTGTAAGTGCAGCAGATCGACTTATCCAACATGGAAAAGGCTCCGGCTATTTTTTGACATTACAATGATAACCCCGGATATTATTTATATTCATCCCACCTAATTAGAACAAAGTCGGGATCCGAAATTGTTTTCTGACTTGAATAGCAGAACTCTGCTCCCTTTTCATTTGACATTCGCAGACCTTCCCTCGATCGGTTTCCGCCCATAAACCACATACCTGTCCATCATATCAGTGCTGTGTGACACAAGCGCCATGAATAGTGAGTAGTATAGACTGACCAAGGTGTGTACGAGTGCACACTTGTGTCTGCTATGCTGCTTCCAACGCCATCTAGGAAGGAATCTATCTCAGATTCTGTCATGCCCAGCGCCTTCATGAATTTACAGGTACTTCGCGTGGCTTCCGTGAGGTTGTGCTGCGAGTACATGTCGATTTGCTTGTCTTTAGGATCAAGTGGCCATGGGTTCAACCTAGAAAGATGTGACCTGTTAGTCCGCCGCTCCGTTGCCTCTAGTTGAGGTTGATCAGCATGTCTTGGACTCGGCCCCACAATATGGGTTGGAATTAGGTGAGGGCTGTAACGCACGGGGCAAGGATCTGTCTCTCAACTACATCAACAAAGCCTGCTTCGATGATCCAGCCTTTATATCGACGGGCAAGATCGATTTCTCGGCCGAGGCTTAGAGCGCCCTTGACGCAGCGCCGCAAGACTCACGGTGGCTTTGTGCATTGTTCTGGATGGCCAGCTCGCTGGCTTCATCTGCGGCGATCTGCTCAAAGCAGAACTCCTAATGCCTAATGTCGGTATGAACCGTCTCTACCTACGGAGTTTCCGGAGTTGGACGTACCTGATATTCGATCAATCCATCAGGTTGGAGGTGATCAAATATTTTCTTCACCATTCCTTTCGGGTCGTCAAAACAAGTATTCCTAGAAGCAATTGTTTTAGCCTCAAGGCGTGTAACGAAGCAAAAGAGAGCTGCCCACTCACATAAGGCGCAGGTGAATATAGTCGAAAGAATAGTCGAAAATCCAGTTCTCTTCGGCATCTGCGCGAAAGAATTCACAGTTCGGTGGGATATCCTGGGCCCGGATGAGACTCAGATCGGTGCCTACGACGTTCGATGTTGGGTTCTTGTCTGCAAACTCAATCGCCCAGATACCAGTTCCGGTGCCAATATCCAAGACATTGGCAGGTTCTGAGATGGGCGCCCAGCTGAGATCACCGTTCATCATCAGCAGCATAAGGTAGTGTTGGAAGTGTGCATAATTAGCATCGAATGGTCGTGATGAATGATCATTTTCGTACCTAGTCGATCTTGCTCGGGCTTGAGGGATCGGTAAGCTCGGATGTGGAATTTGATGCTTGACAGCTTACCCCATCATTCGGCAAATGATATTCTGTATGACAGTGAGTTTGACTGCAGGTTTGAGATACGACTATGTGCTTACTTCCGACTCTATATCCATTGAATGTCCTCCCATCCTCCTCAATTGACGTTGGGTCTGCATGTGTCTCGCCCCTCTACGTGTTAGTCAGGAGACCAGGATTTAATCTGGCGTTAGTGACTACCTACGAGGGAATTTGGTGATAACGTCAAGGCCCAGACGATCCAGACCCAGGCCGTCCAAATTTTGTAGACGAATTGCGATCGGTGGACGACATTCTTGTTCTTCAGGTGCACCAACGACGGGGAAGTGAAATGGGCGGACGTTAGACAATATATGAAGCACAGAACTGAGAGATATCAGCCAAAGTGGCCACCCCAGTATATTATTTAGGCATGATGTCACCTTCCCGACTGGAGGGTTGCCCTGCATATGCTCCGGTTCAAATACTATTGGTTTCCAATCAGCCTCGCAAAGCGGCGCAAAATCTCGTCTAGCACAACCCTTTCGTCGATAATAAATGGAATCCCAAATCGCCCGACTTGTATTTTAGTAGTCGTCAAGAGTAAATTTCCACTTTATTACCATTGTGAGTGAATTTAATCATTCCCGCGAGAATTATCCTATAGAATGCTACTTTTACTCCTGCTATATTTAATATTCATGCTGATCGGATTGCTAGTAGATGAAATTAACGAATGGGGGAAGCTACGTCAAGATTAGCGTCGCCTTGGGAAGAATCGAGAGTGACGAAAATGAAACGGGAGACCGAGGCATCTATATGTACATTCAATCTCCCATCAGGATTTACGCCTGAAATTGCCGGTGCATTAATATGCAGTAAGCACCCTAACTCTAACCCTGATTTAGATAAACTCGCCTATGCATATTGCGCAGCCAATCCAAGGATCCAAATGTTTCTTAACTACACTCTTTTCTGGTTTTTCAGCTGTGATACTTCGATATTGTGACGTCTAATCCATAATTTATGCAGAGCCTCCCCTGGTCAAAATACTCAGCTACTGCACAGCAGAGCAGCGCTACGACGTGACGGCTCAATGTCATTGGGCACAACATCAACCCCACACTGCCTATCTGTATCAATAGCGGACCACCATTGCAGGTAATGCACCATAGTATGCCACAGGCGCGGAGCGGTGCGCGTCGGCCACTTGCCTAGTGATTGACCAAGGGTTTTGAAGGGGCTCAGCTGGGCAAAGAGCCTGCCACCTTCCACGGTCTGCACCTGCCTGGGCCTGGAACGTCTGCCTAACCCTAGCTATTATTAGCAAGAGCAGTCCCGGTTTAGTGTGGTCAATAAAAGCGAAGCTCGCAAAGAGCAGCAGCTTAGCCCCTCCCGCTTCCCTCGAGCGACTTTTCGCAGCGATGCCACCCGTTGCCCACTATCGATGTTGTCGCCCATGTGTAGAACATGTCGCGATCGTCGCGTCAAGTGCGATGGCGCTCAACCGGGACGCACGCCATATCGAGCCATTGGTGTCGAGTGCCTGGGCTACGGTAGCGCCACTGCCGCCGCGTGGGAATCGGACGACGAGGAGAGCGACCGCGACGAGGATGGGGAAGAACAGGGAGGAGAGCTGATGCGACTCAGCCCGGATCCCGTACCCGTTCAGCGCGACGACGGCACCAGCAGTAGCAGCAGCGGCGGCCACGGGTCCGCCCATATCCCGTATGATCCCATCCCGCCGCAATATACTGAAGCTCAAATGATCTACGATGGCATTCATTACTGTGGGTACCCTTCAATGCCTCACCTAACCTTCTGGATCGCTGCGCCACTCAGGTACCGAATTCCGAACCCCACTGCTGACGGGTAACACACCGCAGATAATGAACGCGTTAGTGGGGATCTGATATCCATCGCATCGCATTTCAATCCATACCAGGTCAGCCTCAACAGGATCGATAAGATACCCGACATCTATGTCCGACTTCTCGTCACCTGCGCAACCCTTCATCGGGCAATGCAACATGATACCTCCTCCAGCAGATCTTCGGCCCTGGTGCAGCGGGAACGAGTCACACATGAATTTCGAATACGGGCACTGCAACAGGTCAACCATGACCTGAGCAAGACTGAGACGCAAACGAGCGATGCCACCCTCATGTGCGTCATATGTCTCCTCTTATCCACCGTAAGTGAACCATCATGGTCACCAGCGAGTCGCACAACGGGGATTGACGAGTCGACGCAGATGCAACAGTCCGCGTATACAGACTGGCGAGTCCATCTCGAAGGTGCTCGGAAGATCATCAAGCTGAGGGGTGGTCTCAAAGGTATACTGAGCAGGAACCCTTACTTCAAGCCTCTGTTGGCGCTCTTCGTCGGGTAAGTGCAGGGTTAAGTCTGGTCTGAACCCACCTGATGCGCAGAAGCTAATTGTACGTCAAAGCATCGATGTGATAGCAGCCACCACCACGCCGACGACGCATAGGTATATGGCCGAAGCGACTTCCATGGCTTGCCGATATTGGGAGGTCGAGCCAGGCTTCTTCCAAGTGAATCTCGCAATAAGTGCGCCATGCCCAGAAGAGCTTTTTCAAACGCTTATCCTCATCAACTATTTGCGGTCAATTTCTTTGAAACCGAGCTTGAGTGACAGGAGACAGGCAGGAACTCGAATGGTCCTAAATAAAATACGGTCGTTCAATCCAACAGAGTGGGCAACGCGGATGAAGATGTTCAAAGGCTGGAAGTCGTCTGGGGACGGTGTCGAGTTCGTCGACGATGCACGCAGTCCGTCTCGTCATAGCCACACGCCCACCCCCTTGCCGACTCCGTCTCATGCGCCCCGACGTGCGGCCAATGTCTCATCGGCATCGTCGAGTTCTTCGAGATCCAACTCAGACGCTAAGCTTAACTCCCCTACTGATATTCCTGAAGCAGATCTGTGGCTCAACATCAGCATCATCTACCAGGCCGCCATCCTGCTCTACGCTATCCGCACGCTGATTCTCGACATGCCTCAGGACAGAAATGGTCTATTGAGTGAAAACCCTCGTCTCAACATCACCCGGTTGCGACAGCACACCCGGCAAACTCTTGCCGACGCCGTCGCACCGGTCTTCTCGGACCCTTCCAGTGCACATCAGATTGGCAAACTCATTTTCTTCCCGGTGTTTGTATTAGGTATGGAGGTAGGGCACAATGAGAAGGAGCTGCAGGAGTTCGTGACGGATGGCTTAGCGCTTCTGGGTCATACGTGTGGGACACTGGGGCCCATCGCTGCAATAGATGAGGTCAGGGGTAAATGGGCTGCGGATGCGGCGGCCCCTGAAGGCACTCACGTTACATGGGATGAGTACTTTCAGGGGAGGCCAGATTTTATTTTTGGATTTTGAAATGGTAAAAAGGTCTGCACATACGAATTAAACCTTATCATTCAAAGTCACGCCGTATCATTTCTGAAGTATCAGACTGAACACGTCACGCTATCCAGAACCAAATTCTCTCGAGGAAGTTCCTCGGCCTGACCTCAGGCCATGTGCCTTCGAAACTATCTATCTCGGCCTTTCCACTCCACAGATCCATGTCGCACAATTTTACAAACTTCGTTCCCTTGACCAACTTATAGCCCAAAAACAGACCAACAAATATGGGGATATCGATATACGGCGGTATAAACGACTTAGCACTGAACTTACTCGGGAAGAAGGCGTCAAAACCATTAAAGAAGGCGACAACCAAACAAAAGCAGATAGCGAACCACGCTAGGTACGGCTGCCGTGGCGATCTGAACGGCAGACTCTCCCGAGCGATCCCGTTATGACGCAGACCGTAGTAGAACCGCAAGTAGGTGATGCAGATCGAGGCCCAGACAATCAACGTGGATACGGCCGAGAGATTTGAAAACCAGAAAAATACTTCCGCCCCTTGATTGTTGACGTTGAGATACACCAGACACGACAGCAATGTTGTCGCTGCAACGCAAGCGTAGGGAATACCCCAGCGCTCGTACGTCAGAAATCTCGGCGCCTTGCCATCCAGGGCGGCGGCGTAGAGCACCCGCGTCGAGGCGTAGAAAAAAGAGTTGCCTGCCGACCAAGCGGAGGTCAGCACAACGGCGTTGATGATGGCTGGCAGGACCGCAATCCCACCGTTTTCGACAGCAATCACAAACGGTGAAGCCGCCACGCCCGGAGCAGAACTGGCGATCGCATCGAGCAGCCTTCCGTCCTTAGACGAAACACACAGCCCCACGAGGAAAATGGCCAGGATGTAGAATATCGCGATCCTCCAAAACACCCGCCGGATCGCCTTGGGTATACTCCTTCTCGGGTTCTCCGTCTCTCCCGAAGCGATCACCACCATCTCGCTCCCACCATACGCAAACGTAGCCTGGATAAAGACCTTCCAAAATGCGAGAAACCTGCCCAGCGCACCTGTGGCTAGATACTCGTTCATGGGCCCCGGGTCATGCCAGTACCGGAACCCGATACGATCGCCGCTCGGCGTGCCCCCCAGCGTAATGACAAACATGAGCACGATTAGCCCGACGATGGTGGTGATCTTGATAGCGCCGAATATGAACTCGGCCTCGCCGTAGATGCGCACGGGGAAACAGTTCACGATGACCATAGCCAGAAACAGGATCGTGACCCAAACCACATCCGGAACCGCGCTTTGAGGCCAGTAATTTATAATCAACGCCGCCACTGTAACTTCGATCGGCACACCGATCGCGAGCTGATACCAGTAATTCCACCCCAAGGTGAAGCCCAGCGCCTCGTCCACATAGCGAGCGGCGTATACGGGGACAGCCCCGGGGAGGGGCAGGTACGTGGCCATTTCGCCGAGGCTATTGATGACGGCGTAAAGGTTGAGGCCTGTGAATAGATAGGCCAGGAAGGCGGAGAGGGGGCCCGCTAGGGAGAGGATCTGGCCGCAGCCTACGAAGAGGCCGGTTCCTATGGCACCTGACAGGGCCAGGAATTGGACATGTCGAGATTTGAGCTTGCGGTTTAGGTGGCCTATGTTGTTGCGACGGGCTGGAGTGTGTTTTGATGAGATGTCAACATGGTGGTTATCTGGTTGAGAGGATGCTATTTCGGGAGCTTGTGCCTCTGGGTCACTTGATTTGTTGGTGGTCATTATCTCACCTGCTTGGCAACTGGGCTTTGCTCGTGGGAGCTGATATACTGAATGGGAAGATGTACTTATCAACTCTCAGGTTTTGGGCCAAAAAAACGGCTGTAAGGCGTACATAAGTAAGACGTTGCCTATTGTGGTTGTTTGCTCGTTCACTCCTCAGATCTTCAACGGGCGCCCTGCGGGGTATCTCGTGTTACTCCAAATACAGAGAGTGCTACGTATCATTGCGATAAGAATATTGCCCGAATCTGGCATGAAGTCAGCATTGGATGCGATCGAGTCACAGGATTGGATGATTTTGTCGCGGTTTTAGACTGACTCTCGTATCATTTATTGGCACACATGCCCACGAGAAGATGCTCCCTTAAAGCCTGCCAGGAACGGGAAGCCAGTACGCAATGAACTGGGCACTTACCGTCATGCAGATATACAAAGTTCGGATTCGCTCCGCTTTACAGGAGAAATGAAGTGACACCTGGAACTTGCAGCACACAGTTGGCGCTGCTAGCGACGTGTTTGCAGAATTTTCCAACGATTCGCAAAGGCAATGGTGTCATTCCAAAGTATTGTCTAGCATTTCCTGCTTCTCGTGGGAATAATAATCGTAGACATCAGCGCCAGGCGGCACCAGCGTTACCGTAGTCTGTTTACGTCTCAGCATCAAGGCCTACTGACCATCACTGAACATGTAAATACTAACCATGCGTGTCCTTGACTTTGAAATCAAATGCAGTATCTGAGGGATTTAATCCTCTATTGATGACTCTGTGGCGATCCTGTCTGGATTGTTGTATAAACTAAACTCCCCAACTCGATTCACGAAGCTGGCTGAGCTAGAGATGAGAACCACGTCTTAAGTTGATAACCCAAGGCGCATTCATTGACTTGAGGTCACAGGATGGTCTGATACATCTTCATTTCTGCGTCATCTACAATGATGCCGAAACCTCCAAACTGTCTCTAGCGCACGAGAGTCGAGACGGATGTCACTGTGAAAGACAGTTTGCTACGCTCGTATTTTCAAATCCGAAATGCTTCCGAGACCACGAGAACAGCAGCTTGGCTTGTGGAAAAAGGATGCCCTCTTGAAAATTCCGGGAATTAATTTTCAAGCCGGGCCCTTCGATGCAGATACCGAAAGGGGGCAGGTATTTCGGCCTGAACCGACTGGAGGCGTCTACGCTGTGCCAGATCAGGACGGAAAAAATAGGACTAGCAGCCTTCTTATTCAAGACAGGGGCTTTTGGCGTGTACTCGCCGCTATGCCGCTGTGGCGACGCCCCTGAGACGGCAGAGCACGTAATCCTCTTTTGCGGGCTGTTGGAAGGACCGAGGGAACGATTACGGGCCGCCATCGCACCACGGCCACTATACTCTCGCAGAGACCTCGCAACGGCAACAGGAGAACCAGTAGTTAGTGGGACTATTGTAAGGTGGCTGCTAGGGACGGGTCGGACAGCTTCAAGGCCCAGATAGCATCGATCTTCTCAGGGGGGACTTTGTTGGTAGGTTGAGAACCAACGTAGTATGGTAGTGAACGCAACGCAGTCGCCAATAGGGCGAACCGACGACGCAGCGTATGTATTTAGTCCAGCCATTAGGGCACGGTTTGACATACGGGAGTACTAGTAGAGGTACCGGGGGCTTCGAGCCTACGGCGTATTTAATAATAATAATAATAATTTTCAAGCCTCCAAAGACTTCTCGAGGCACCGTGAAATATTGAATCACACCGTCCGCAGACTAGCTCTATTTCAACAAGCCATTCAGGCTAGTGATGATGAGGTTCTTGGATTTGTTATAGATACTGTGGGATTGAGCGCCACGGTTATGCCCTAGGCCGAAGGCGGCTTTAACAAGCCCACCTAAACGCCCAAAGCGTCTATCTGAGTATGGAAGCAGGTAGTACCGAAAACAACACCGATGGTGCCGTAAGTGCATGATCTCCTCGGGTGTGCCGCGGAACTCATCCGTGCTGGTGATAAAGTCTCGTGTCGTGGCTATGGCTATCGTCACCACTTCGACGACGCTAGGCTTGACGGATAAAGGGACTGGCAGGGCCATGGCTTCAACTTCCATGGTACAACCTATTCCGCACAGGGAAAGTTGGAAGTATGTGTGTCTTTTGCAGTGGAGCTTCTGTTCGCAGGTCAATGGTTGTGGCGACGCAGCTGGTAAACCGTCGCCGGCTTCTGGAGGTGCTGGATGCTGAGCTTTGGCTGCCTCAGTGAGTACCATATGCTAGGCCGTGACGGGGCGCCTCACCCCGGCTTCCTGGCCAAGCCCTTAATTAGTGCATGTAAAGAAGCAAGAAAAAAAATCAACTATTAAATATCTTAATAACCAAGCTACATCGTTTCATTTATAGGCAACCAGGAAACATTTCTAACTCAAATATTGGATCTACACGAAAGTATTGTCTAACAAGAGGCAGGATTTCGGATGTTAATTGATATAGGCTCAGGCTCAACTTCACGGGATATACACCAATCCACTCTCCTGGTTTTGCCGTGGATCGGTAGCAACTAGGATGCATTGGTGGGTTGACATGGGTATAGATTAGATGGATATTCTACAGCAGGGTAATGCTAGATATTAGACCCCTACTAGGGCCTCGGCCAGCCCTAGCCGACCTACAAGTCCACGCGTCTTTATCTCTAGTGGCTCTCGTGCCTGTCGCGCTTAATTCACTCTCATTCACGTTATTATGGAGTAAAATAAGGCCCAACTTCCGGCTATTCCGTCTAGTCTGGGCACTTTGGTATCTCGGGAGGACACACCTTAGGCTACCCCGACTACTTCTGAGGCTGAAGAGCACCTATGTAAGTACTTCCCTGGCCAGAATTTCTCCGAACGAGTGAAGGATACCTTGTTGTGGTTGTAAGCGCAGGTAACGAGGCAGAGGTACTGCGAGTACGAACCAAAGCTGCGTTCAGTCTATCTCTGTTGACGGATACTACATTGAAGAACAAAGAGAAACGGTGACAAATACAAGTGCCCGTTCTTCTGTTATAAGAACGGGTGCATGCGGGTGGTACACCCATACTGGGGTGTCCCTGCTCATCGTCCAGATGCCAGGCATCGTGAACGGCGCCACAGCGCATAGCTACGATATCTACTGAGATAATTTACGGCGATAGATATATGAGCCTTATATAGTAAATGTGGGATTGAGCGCCACGGTTAGGTGGGAAGGTACGGCCAAGTACAGGGCTACAAAACCCCGCCTCAAACCAGAAGTAACCATCATAGAAGAAGAAAAAAAACATCGTTTTTTTGGCCCTCATATAAAATCTCGGTTATGCTCTAGGCCGAAGGCGGTGTAGCGGCAATTGCACTTTGGTGGGGTCAAACCCTTCCCCGAGATAAAATAGCTACAGATACAACCCACAGAACAGTATAGTGATACAACAATCCAGACAGGATCGCCACAGAGTCATCAATAGAGGATTGAATCCCTCAGTACACAAGTATAAACTGCTAAAGAGCTATGTTGCTGATAGTCTTTAGAACTACTTCAATTACCTATTATAAATTAATAAATCCACGTCTAATTATGGGGCTAAGTTAGGTAAAGAGCGCGTTACTACGAAGAAGCTACCAGTACCGATAATTCGGAAACACTCAGTACTAGTGCCATCTCACAGTTCCGATGAAGTTCGGCTGTCACGGCGAGTCAGCCTCAGCTAAGAAGCCGTGTTGTGGGGGGTTTGGCCCCAGATCCGGTAGAACCCCAGAGGCGCCCCAACCAAAACGAGATCCCGGGCGCCGCCACCTAACTTGAATCAGTCTGGCACAATACGTACGCACGCGTATAGTGTCTTGCAATCGGACCTTGGCGTGATGGTGATATGACCTCTGTGACATGGCTGTGACCTTGAGGTCGCCAGTCCAGTTGATTGATTGTTTTTTGTGTGTTGAAGACGAAGACTCTTCGACAGGCTCTTTGGGTTGACCCAAAGTGGCTGGTAATCTTAGCCCCATGCTACTAGTAACTCAAGTGACCATTGGTTGGTCAGGTGTCCATTGTATCTGACAAATTGATATCTACTGTAAGATTCGATCTCACAGTGACGAATTGAGGTGTCGAAGATGTCACGGTGAGCACAATTGAAGAGTCAAAACACTCTAATGCACTGTATTGACTTAACGATTCTCGACAAGGAAAGAAAGGGAAACTAAAACAGGCTGGCTCACATCTGAGGATCTTAAATCCCGCCTTCAGATGGCCAGTGCTCCTACGGGTCCACAGCTAGTGGGTTTCGTGGCATCGTGACACCGGCCGTCACAGAAGAGAGTCAATTCTCTGGCTTAACAACATGCATCTCTGTTGACGAATACTACACTGAAGAGAGAAAGGGTTTGAAGTACAGTTGCCCGTTCCTCTGTGATAAGGAGGACGGGTGTCTACAAGTGGGACAGCCCCTACTGGGGTGTCCCTGCTCTTCTTATCGTCTAGGCCAAGTGACAGTTGTCAAAATTTCTAGGCAATAGATAAACTCTGTCGCCTATTTTCTTATGAAGTAGCTGTGGGAAGTTATGACCTCAGGTGCAGAGGGGTACGGGGCAGGCAGGCACGCGTTGTAGTATTTAGGGACCCCTCGGGGTTAACTTAGGGTTAGTCCTTCACGCACCTTCATAGTACTAATACAGCCCCTAGTACTTGGATTGCGACAGAAGCTTACACTATTATGTAACAGGGATACTACACGTCTCAAGGATAATAGTCAGGTAGTGTAAAGAGCTACTGATAATGTGCTAATAATACGAGTGTGTATAATACAAGACTGATTCTTAAGGAATCTGAGTTAGGTAAGAGCGTCCCGCGATCTCCTCGTTGACTGCGGCGGATCCGCAGTTCTACCGGGATCGGGGGCGAACTCCCCAACACACTTGTTAGCTAGGACTGACCGTCTATAACGACTCTTTCTTACATATTATTACGTTAGAAGTACGAGTGTTCTGGCTTATAAATACTTTGGACTCAGTAGTAACGCGTTATAATAAGTATTTGCTATTAGAACCGCTTCGGTAGATCTCAAGAACTAGCATACTAATATAGCTAGTAGCGATAGGGGCTATTATATGATAAGCCTGAAGGACGGGGTTTTTTGCTTCCTGCTTTTCGGTTTTCGGATGATTGGTGTAATAAGTAAGTCATTCGAGGATATTTAAGGACCAGGATTATCTATTCTCTGAAGAAGGAGAGGGGATGTCACAAGCTAGAATTCGAATGGGCTAGAAGGTCGCGATCGGGCCCGCCTGGAGAAGTGTCGAATATCACGTGTCCAATCGAGTAGTCAGCAGTGCGTAAGATTGTATATAAATGAGGTGTGTTCTTGTCTGTCTGTCTTCTTGTCAGGGTACGGCCTGGACCGAAGGCGATAGTACAGAGTGAAGGGGAGAAATAGGCGTGTCCCCCTGGTGGTCACCTGGTGTTCACTTGGTGATGGCAGGTAGGGGTGTCCACAGTAGTTCATTGATCTCTCCCCTCTCTATCTTCCTCCGTCTCGACTCCTTACTTATAGCCAGCCGAGGTTCTCTGTTGGATTCTGGATGTTTGCTTCCGCATGTCTGTGTTCCTCCGACTTCGGCCAACATCTTGGATAGCGGCTCTTTATCTGCAACCAAGCGATTCCCTATCCGCTGCAAACGGCTTCAACGGCTCTCTAGCCGCCACAAACGGCCTCCCGGCTCCTCATTCGCCACAAACGACTTCCTTCCTGGTGGAAGCCGGCCCGCCTCGGATGACACTTGTGGCTCTGACACTTCTGTTCTCGCGAACTCCCGTTGCTCTGCCTTTTATAGATGCTTTAGAACATGTCGGTAACTTTGGTGTTACTTTTGAGAAGAGGGGTTCCTTTCGCCTTCTGAACTTTAAGTGACAATAGTCTTCTCTAGTGCCATATTATTTCTGAACCTAGGAACCAGGTGCCCTATCTGACAAGAAGCGGGCGAGATCATGACGATCCGATGGTGTTTCAACAAAACCTTCTAGGACACTCAAATAGTGCTCGAAGCACCAAGTACTCTTGGAAGGGCAAGTTTCCTTCTTTGTACCTAATTGATACTGGCGTTAAGAATTGACGATTGTGCCTGGCCTCTACTCACACCTCACTTATTGTTACAGGAGAGTAGTAATAGAATTGGATTTTCGTTCCCTTCGCCTGTTAAGGCTCTAGCTGTGATGCGTGACCCTAAGGGGGTTGACTCTATAGCTATAGATAACATAACATAGGCAGCTCAAGAGGGCCTTCTGCCAGCCAGATAGCTAGCTAACTAAGTTTCCTTAATACATAGAAGGTATAGGTGCGGCTGTGTGTCAGGAAACGTGGCTACGATTTGGATGTTACGGAGTTCGATTCTAAGAAGCGGTCTGTTTAGGAAATTTCGGTCAGCTGAGCCAAGTTCTAAGCGTATAACTCCTTTCAAAGAGTGTAATCTCCGATAGTTATCCGAACTCTCGGCTGCATCTTGGCACACAGCTCCACTGTTCCTTGACCTCACAATACGACAATTCAAACCCCATATGCACTCGCATCAAGCTGCTTTAACGACCTTTTAAGCTGTTATTCTGTTCATCGTGCCTGTTGAGGTACTTTTGTCATCTAAGTCCATCTGTCCAAGCCTATTAAGGCTCTGTTCTGCTATTCACCTGCTAAGGAGATTCTATTCTAGGACCTGTTTAGGCTTAGCCGATTATTCATACCTGCTGAGGTACTTTGTTAATTTGATCAGAATGATAAGGCTCTCTCAATTCATCTTTCGTTAACACCTTCCTAGAGAGAAAAATGGTGTAACATAGGGCTATACCGCACGAACAGTGAAGATATTTGGAGAGCTGTATTACTAATATTCAACTTCTTCTCGACGTCACTCCGCTGGGCACCTGCCCCAAGCTGATGGATCGCACACTTCGAGTAAGGTTTATTGATGCAAGGGATACCTAGTTCCATGCGTTGCTCAGCCCCAGGCTCTTGGCTACGCGGGGATTAGTCAATACTTGTACGGAGTATCAATTACCAAATGAAAAGGGCCGCATTTGGAACCGACCTGTTCGGGAGAAGCCTTGACCGTGAGTCATTGTCCCCTGTGGCACGTCAAATAGTCTGGTTCCACTGATACTTCATACTTCGTAGATCACGGAAAGATACTAAGGTAAATCGTCGAGTGATCGACAAATACTCAAATGACGACAGGGTATTTGACTCGCCTCCAAGCTAGTGGCACTTATTGATCCTATAGCAGCACGGGGAAGTAGAAATCTCTGGGTTTGGCAGAATCCAACAAACATCGAACATCGCTGCAATTCATAATTGGATTTTTCGCGGGGCGAGCCCGACCACAGGAAACAAGTTCGATTGGGGAAACAACGTGCAGGATGCGACCCCCCGAGTAACGGGTCGTCCAATATGTGATTACCGACGAACGGAAACACCAAGAGTCTCGAACGGGTCATTCTAGCATCGTTCATATTTCATCAGTAGACTTGCATATCCATGGTACGAAAGTCCCAATGCCAACACTCGCAACGTTCTTGGCTCTGGTCGCTTTATAGGAGTGGCCGAAGCTCAGCCAAGACTCTTAGGATGTGGATTGGAATTGGGCCACGAGTGACACGCCCCTGATTTCTATGCCAAGGGCGCGGAGATCGGAACCTCATAAAATTACCGACAAGTGCGCCTGACACGATATGGGGCAATATCCAACAGCAGAGGGTGTATAAGTGCGGTGATGAATCACGTTGAGATCGAAATGCTTCTCTACGTGCTACTTCCCAACTCTACCATAAACACTTTAGGTAACCCACGCTCGTTTTTACACCAACTCCGAGAATGATAGCGCAGTATCTCATCATACCATGCCTGCTCGCAGGCGCAGTGTCCGCCTGCGGGCCAACTATACGGAAACGTGCCACGGCAGCAGTGGCATGGACATACGTTGAGTCCTACGACTGGGGCGGGCTAGACGCCAGTAAGTGACTTAGACACACCCAACCTCCTCACAGCACGCCCGTAATATCCATGCTAACCGTCTCCCCAGGCTACGAGCTCTGCCAAACCGGGACAATGCAAGCCCCCATCCAGTTGCGTACAGACCAAGGCTCCTCCAACGCGCAGGCCATCACCTTCAACTATCCCGCCGAAGGCGTAGCAGGCCACTACTACAATTGGGGCTACGGCGCAGCCTTCCAGCTGTCCTATGACGCGGGGTGTACCGAAGGTGTCGCCTGCACCAACATCACGGGGCTGCCGAGCTTCACCTTTGCTGAAACAGATACCCTAAACGAAACTGTGTACCTCATCTCGTGGCACGTTCACGCCCCCGCCGACCACACCGTGCAGGGCCACCGGCCCAAAGCCGAACTGCACTTCGTCCACGTTGATGCTAATGGCCGCGAGCGCGCTGTGTTGTCGATGATGGTTGATCCGGAACTGAAGTCGTATTCGGATTTCTTCGGGCAGATGCCGTTTCCGTCGTCGAGAGCTGCTGGCACCAACAGGACGGCGGGAAATTTCCCGAATTTCAATCAAACGGATGCGGAGATCCATACACGAAATATGTACCCAATACCTGCGCTTGAGGAGGCACGACAATTCAATGAGTTCTGGACGTATCGGGGATCGCTTACTTCGCCACCTTGTACAGAGGGTGTTCGGTTCTTTGTTGCGAAGAATGTGTTGTCTGTCAGTAATGCACAGATGCAGGATATTTTGAGAATTAGTCGGTTTAGTTCGCGGAAAGAGCAAGATATCTGGATGCATTATGTCAATTTGTAAAAACGGATATTGGGCATGGGTGCTAATAGAAGTCTTCGCAAGATACCACGTATTTACTGTCATGTACTACACCATAATATTCCTACAGATTTTAGATGCCCACAAACTTACCAGGATTGCATACTCAACATGGTATACTTACAATGATTATTGTTGAGCATCGAACCTACTGTTAGTGTCGGACGCAATTCCCTTCGCTAGGCAGTTGGACATAATGAGCAACGGAGCACCTCAATAATACGTCCGAGTGGGCAAGCTGGGAGTTTCAGACTAGCGAGGACTACTTGGAAAATATGGTTCAATTCTCTCTTGTTCGTCAGAAAAGTGTGTAGAAAAGTGTGTTATTAGAAGGGTTCTTCTGTGCTCCTGATCAGGCCAAGGTTAACGTCTTATGGCCTAGTGCCACAGTGGCTCAAGGCAGTGGCTGTGTACACGCTAACTAGCTCTTGGCATATGCTTTGGCGAACAACGGTGTCGTGATTCCTGGGCGTCAAGGCATGATTTTGCTCGAGTCTTTTTGATTCAAATGAATTGTCTGGTTTTTCGTGGCAAGATATCATCATAAAGGGCGTACAGTCGGAAGCCGGACATGCACATGCCATCTCTACAAATATAGATAAACGAGCAAAGGCTGTTGTTGTACGTCGTACGGTTAGTTCTATTCCACCATCCGAATAAACTCAGACTCATCGTTGGCCGAGTCAATACCTACGCAATGTTCAACGTCTGTATATAAAGCATTTGTACATTACTAGATCATGCTGTGACTAATGTCAAAAGTGATGGGGTATAGAGCTGTCCACGGAGCATCATCACTCTTCGTATAGCCTCGTTCTTATGTCTCGTGCCCATCCTGGTGTTTCGTCGGCCTCCCTGCATTGGTCCTGGTCAGAAGCACTTCATCTCAACCTAGAGCAGGTCCAAAGGGATCATTGGCAGCCTCGGCCATCTTGCGCCTCTTAGCTTCGCGTTCGTCAACGAGGGCTCCACCAAAGACTGCCTCATCATCCTGCAGTCCAGACTTGGGCTTCTTGGGCTTCTGTCCGGCTTGTTCCTTCCTCGCCTTCTGCAAGGCCACCAAGTCGACTCTGTCGGGATCTCGGCACTTCTTCAGCTTCTTGATCAGAGGCTTCATCGCCTTCCTGACCTCTTGCTAGTTCAGCTGTTAGTATGATGCTACTGTATCACGAGGCATAAACCTGGAAAACTTACGTCATTCATCTTCTCTGGCGGCTCGCATTGCAACATCTCTCTACACGACTGCACCACCTCCACGACCTTCTTCTCGACTTCCCAAGGCGCCCCTGAGAACGCATTCTTTATCAACCGCTCCGCCAGATCCTCGTCTGCTAGTGACAAAGCAGCAAACATAATCTGACTCGGCGTATAATGAAAATACGCATCCGTGACTAACGGACTGTACTTAAGGATATTCCTAGCATTTCCATGCGCGCGATCAATCCTATCGTTCTCAAAACTCTCCAGCCGTCTTAACTCCATAATAGCGCCCTCAAGCGCCCGAAAGGGATGCCGCACATCGAACGCGAACCGTATTCCCTGGCACAAAATGTACTCGGCCGCAATCACCTCCTCGCCGGTAGTATTGGGGAACTTCTCCGCAAACTTGTTCAGCCGGATGTAGAACCCGTCGGCCTTGGACCCGAAGAACAGACACGTCTTGAGCAGCTCGGTCGGAGGGTACGTCATGATGGAGTTAGTGACGTAGAAGCGGCGCAAGAAGATGGCCGAGGTGGCGCGGATCTCGGTGGGGAGCTCGCAAAACTCGGCGGCGCGCAGGAGCTCGTTGGTGTAGTACGTCAAAAGGGAGGCTTCTTCGGCTGGGGTGAGGAAGTCAGGGATGGGGCAAACGGGTGGATTGGAGGATTGTAGACGTGCTGAGATGGCTGTTTTCGCGAGCATGTTGCTTTCGCTACGTAGGGAAGCGAGGTGGGAGGGCGCGAAGGACCACAGGCGGAATTGGGAGGATTGTCGGTAGCGCGCATCTTCGGTCGCCATTTTGGCTGAGGGAGTCGAGGCAGGGGATTTGGGTGAAATCGGGGCGACGAGGTACCAGGCAGTCGCAACGCAGATGCTGAGGTCACAAAGCTCCACAGGCGGTGTTGAATTTGAGAGGTGTTAAGAGAATATATTTTTGGCGCAGTAGAACCTCAGCGGCTAAGGTCGAGACGAGGCCAGGAATGTATTCGTGAAGCGCATGCTCATGGCAATGGTCGAAAGAAGGTCGGAATGGAAGCAGTTAGACACAAGCATGAAAGGGTACGATAAGGTACTTGTGTTACAGTTATCAGTTGTAGTTGCACTGTGCCAGCCACTTTGGTACTTCCCAATGCTGCTGATTATCGACGTGTTTTGATTTATACAACTGCGGCCACTCATTGATTCTAGCCAACATTCTTTTCCTATTTTCTTAAGACTCTCTTCCATATTGATCGACAAGAACCTTATAGGCTATATCATGCATGTTCATCTGACAGCCAACTCAATCCCAACTCAAGTAATCTTCAACCTAATCGTGATCGAATCCTGTTGGGACATGCCCGTCTTGCATATTTCCAGCTTTTTGTCGTTGACTGCTTCATTCCGAGCCTCGACAACGATAGCTTCGTCTCGCCCTTACTAATTTCATTCCGTCTTGCTTACTTCTTGCTTCGTCGCCTCTGTCGCTCCATGGCTGTTTTCGCCTTGCTCGCCTACCTTGTTTCGACCTTTGCCACCCAGTCTCTCAAGTTGCGTACCTTGACCTGTTTGGCAGCCAGATTTGCCGTCGAGTCCTGACTCTTGCTCGTAGTGACTGGGTTGGCTGCAATTCACGATCTGGGGGAGATAGGTTTATCTTGATCTTTGTACGGCACGTCCGACTTCTTCGCTTCCAAATCTGCCAGCCTCGGCGCCGTATTTCGGCCTGCCGAGGCTTGGTTCTTCTTCGCATTCTTAGGTTTGGCTGGAGCTTGCGACTGAGCTAACGACGTGGTGGCCTTCTGCGGGTTGTACTGAGCCTCTTCGGTGGCTGCCAAGTTCAACCTTGCCGCTTTGGTGCTCCCACACCGTAGACCCATGACTTGGCATTCTCCCTCTACATTGCAAGTTTTATTTTACGTTTGCGTAAACAATACAGATCTTCCAGCTAATTTATGTTGATTGCATCCTCCCGCGCAAGACCATCTCCCCACGAGTCAATCTCTTCTTCGCGCTCGGCGTTTTCTGCTTGTCTCAGCAAACGGGTCAGCGTTTTGAGGTTCCTCCTTGTGGTTGATGAGTTTACCCTCTAACGAATAAGCTCTGCTGGTCTTTTGTTATTTGCGTCGCGATCGCTCCATATTCGTGACTGTGTATGCCGCATAGCTGGAATTCGCGTTCTGGACTGGCTTGCGTGTGCGAGCGTCACCTCGATCTTCTTTCTGAACGAACTCTCTACACACCGTCTGATATGACTCTATGATACCGGGTTTGAACGCCAGTTCGGCTCGAGGTCTTCTTTCTCGTCGCCAGCGGACTATGCGGCCCAAGCCCCTGTCGCTCTCTGCCTGGCTCGTCGACGGTTGGATTCACCCTCTTCTAGCATTTCTTCGTCTAGAGTGTTTCATCGCAATCAATCCGCTTTAGTGGGTTGGAGAGGTACTTATAGCAAAGTAGGTGGGGTTGTAACTTCGAGTTGCGGCTCCAAAGCATCACAACAGTTTGACCAAAGTATAAAAGGATAAAAAGACCCACAAAGCCACATTTTGCTTATGTCCAAGACCCATGTAACACTTGACGTCGACCATAAGTCAATCAGAGCTGCTAAATATTTGCACCGTAGAAAAATCGGCACTGGAGCGTCTTAGTCAAGCCCAAGAACAAAAAATGTGCACCTGTATAGCCTCTTTTGCAGGCAGGGGCGGTTATCTTATGGCAGACGGACAGGGCTGCACAGATGACTATATAAAAAGTAAGAAATTATTAAATACATCATTTACTTGAGAGGTGGTATTGACCGGAGCTTCAAAGCCTTTCTCAGAGAAACAGAAATGGGCAACCCCCAAATAAAGAGGTGCAGGGTCGTATTGCAAGGAAGAGCATATCCATCTTTATGTCATGATACGACCAATACTTTACCAGGCTTGCTAATGACCTATTTACCAACATTATAGTTGAGACTATCGCAACCTAAACCTCTTAACTCACTTTGATACCAATGAATATACCAGGGGATTCGATACGTTGTTATATTAACTTCAAAAGAAAATGAACCAAGAATCCATCCATACGCCTGAAAGTCATCCAATTTCTTCATGCACGCTATCTCCATCGTGATTTGTGTCGCTGCTTACACGGATGAGAATATTCCCTTATCCGCCGACCCGACCACAATCGTCCTAACATGTCACTACTGCGACTACACGAGTGATAATACTTCACTCACTCACATGACCCCCTTTTTCCTCGTCCCTGACTTTCTTTTCGTCCTCCAGGGGCGCCAGCCGCCTTTCCCGGATGATAGCCCCTCCAGTCACTGCGCACAGCGTGACTAAGCACATGATATGCAGCACTACAAACTCCCGAATCCGTGATGAGGTGGAATCAAACGTCACATTTCCCCGCGTGTGCCATGAGACAGCACTCAATACCCGCACTGCATGGCTCCCAAACACGGGCAGCACAAAGCTCAGGGCGATGGATAAGCAGGTGAAAACCCACATGCGGAGTCTCAGTTTTCCGAACACGACGTGCTTGGCTCTATGGGGACCCATGTGCTGCGTTCGCCATAACCCGAGGGACTGCATACACGTGCCGATGGCAATGCCGCAGGCCATGGCGAAGATGATGGATATCTGGAAAGCGTCAGAAACAGAGTTTACACCCCTTTTACCTAGCATGGCATGGGTATGGTGCTTGTACATATCCACCGAATCGGACCAGCGGTAGGAGAATGAACTCGGAATGGTCCACGTCATCGAACGAAACCTTGAATTCGATGATTCCGAAAGCCAGGGTTAAACCAACCACCCAGCAAATAGATGCGTCGACCAGCGCGTGGATGTAGCGTTTTGTGCGTGGGTGGAGCCACCTGGCTTTCATGAACTTGGAGAGCTTGCCTCTGGTGGCTTCGGTGGGAGGTGTGGACGGCGCCTCCGCCGGAGTAGGACCTGTGTTAGGTAGGCTTTCCGTAGGAACCTCCATGATGAATGGGGATCGGGTATAATTCTTGATGCTATTGAGGGCCTCTCGAAAGTTTGTCCCCGGGGCATTGGTAGCGAGGAAGCCGTTAATCTTTTATATACAATGAACATCTCGGAATGATCGATGTTATCTGCAAACTGAACGAGCAGTCTCTCCCATTTCATGAAACAATGGGAGGGTCAACAGCCGAGCATTGGACCACAAGTGTATCGTAACAGTAGCAAACGCATGAATATTCATCAAATCTTTGTGCTCCTGATCACTTGAGTCTCGCCTCTATTGATCCCGGAGTAACTGTCTAGGGACATGATTCTGTATCATGACGATCCAGTATCAAATTTGCCGTAAGTCAACGCATGCAGGTCCTCGCTTAGGGTTCCATGTTTCACATAAGCTTTTGGTGAACACATGGTTGTGCAGGTGCTCCATTGATACCAACCAAACGGCTTCATGTTCCACATGACTCGGCTATCATAGCCAGTCGGTGTCTTTTCATGTGCTCAAGTGTCAAAGTTGCATCCGTCAATGCATCAATACGGCAGATATCCGTCTGAACGTGTCCGTCGTAATTCAGAAACAGTTCCTCTGGAATTTTGTCGAACTGGCACAGCACGACTACGGCCTTAAGATAGGACGCTGTCTTATGTTTCCTCTTGCATTTAAAGTTATGTCACTTGTTCCGTCAGTCGGCCGCAAACTTGGATGTTGACATAGTTCGCCCCGGCATTTGGCAGCTTCCACCAGCTGCGACAACATTTTCGTGCATATTTATGGCACATGCGAATCAAAACCAAGCCGGTTCTTTCAAAAAAAATCGATGAAGTATGTCATTTCATCTCTAATGACAAACGGAAATATGCCGCGGCATGACGTCTTGTTAATGCACCTGGGAATCTCCCTGAATTTCAGTCATTTCAACCAATGCTGTCGCTATATTCCCGGCGTTGCTCCAACACAACCTTGCAACCGTCACATAGGCCATCAAAACGATCGATAAACCATCATGTAGCAATTTTCATCTCCCCCTTGAAGAGCTTCCTCTGCGAGTCTGCGAGAACAAAACCGAAACAACCAGGCATACAGCACTGCTTTATCCTTGCGTATTGAAGCATACATATTAGTGGCTGAACTAACCGAGCGTTGTGAAGCTGATGGAGTAGGTCATCTTCGCGGGTGGCACTATGGTCTGGATCACCGCGTAGCCGGCTTAGATGAGATATACCGCCCCGATTCCGACGAGGACCTCGAGGCCGTATATTATCTCCGTGGGTTTGTTAGTAATGATACGAGCTTTTTCTTTTCTGTTTTTTCTTTTCTTTTGAGAAAGTTCGGAGTGAGAAAAACTGTCAAGTGTCGTAGAATAACGCTAGAAACTTACAAAGAAGCACTCCCCCAACTATCTTCATTACACCTCCAAAGATATAACATTGTTAAAAGTGATCGAATCGTGACATGAGATGTATATTGCATAGGAACTACGCGCTGGGGACAAAGATCAACTGAGAAGCATCACTGTAGATCTGATATGGTTGTCGCCCCAGCTGAACAGGAAGGAGAGCGGTATATAGTAGACAGTGATGACTTCTGTGACGTTGACAGCCGCCATTCTATTGACAAGCAGCACGGCATTTCTGGTCCGCAAGAACTGGACTGGGAGAACGTGCTGCGTCTTCGCTGTGAATAACGCGAAACCTGCTGTAGCTTGAAGGCATTGCAGAAAACACCAGTCACGGCAAACAGGGCAATGGCCTGAACGCTATTCCAGGCATGCACACTTCCGCCAAAGTTGATGGTCATAATGAGGGGTATTATGGCTGCCATACTGAGGATACTGCCAGCGAAGTCGACCTCCCAGAGGAGTTGTGTCGATTTACTCCCAAGTCGCAGTTTGAACGAAAGAACCAGGAAGAGGTAGACGGGGGCGAAGATCCCTTTAATGCAGAAATTGATATAGAAAGCCCATCACCAATCACGGTACCTAGAACAGTACCAATTCTCCAGAAAAGACCGCTGAAGTACTACACGATCAGTACTACCGTAGTTTCTGAGTAATATATGAACATGGATGAGGGTACAAAAGCCAAGCTCAACTACCTAGAACGCTCACGGACCGAAGTCACTGCCGACAGCAGCGTCAGGGTGCCAAATTGTTGCGCCGGAGTCCGCGAGAAGACGGCCGACGACAACAACAGTCATGTTGGGCGCGGTCCCGCAGAGGGCCGATTCGAGATGATTTAAAGCTATTCCGTATCGAAAATGCGGTCTATATTGCCAATGGGAAGGACTGCGGCTGTGCCGCCGAGGAGGAAACTGTTTGCGCCATGAGTCGTCAGTTTAGGTGTTGCATGCTGTCATCAACTGGGAAGGCGAAGAAGGACTCACCCAACCGAGATTCATGGTCGCTTCAAAGAGTGCCCGAATGCGTTTACCAGTGTTTTACTGTTCATGTGTGGATGCAGCGCTAGTGGGAAGGGTATAGTCGAGGTACGCACAAGGGTGATATTGGCGACTACGATTTTATCCAGCGTGTACAGAAAAATGTTGGACAGTGTGCTTGTGACAGGTAAAACCCACTATTCGATTTTTCAGTGCTTGTTCAATAAATATTGAGTCCAGGTGGAAGTAACCATGATTCCGTGAATATATATTATGGGAGCGTGGTCTACCAGCTTGGCTTCTTCGATTTAGGGCGCGTTTGCTTCCACATCATCGCTAGCGTTCAAGAACCCGTTTTTGGCCTGTTCTGTCTGTTCGGTTGCGCTTGTCGATGTCATTATTCCAGCGTTAAAGTGGCAATGAATAGTGACGTAGGGACAGGGGTTTTTGGAAGGGTATTTTCCGATGAAATATGCGATGAGTCTGTTTTGGGAACAATATATAAGGAACTATTGAGGTCCAAGGACGGACTGTTGGTGAGAATAAATGAAAAGGACAAAAGATGACGGGAGAGGAAGAAGTCCTTGTGTTTTTCCAGTTGTTCATGATTGGTGCCTGCTAAGGCCCAAGGCCTAGAGAGATTCTATTTGATGAATTCAAGCCTGTTAAGCGACCTATCGAGATCTCATTATGTTGTTCTGCTTGTTAAGTCATTCCCGTTAATCTAATTATAGCGATACGGCTCTTTCTTCTGTGGCTATCCACCTATGTAGTAGACCTTATTGAATATTTGTGTTCCATCTCCATCTCCTTTGCACTAGGGGCTTCTCGCCTAGGGTTCAATACGGTCTGGCCGGTGTCGGAAGGAGAAACTAACCCCTCGGCCAATAGACCAAAAGATCTTTAACACCAGTGTATCGCTGATATTTGGTCCGACTAACTACTGTATACAGCAGTCTATGGCTATATCACCGTCAGCACTGTGACAGCCGGATAAGCATAGCTCCTCGAATAAGACGGACTCGACGATGTTGAAGAGCTTTTATGTACGTGAAGATATATGTACCAAGGATATAATGAAACCAAGCTAAGGCCGTTGTCGACGATAGTTTAATATTACTTCTGCAATGCGAATTTACTTATTCAGCATATCTCCAGCACCCTGTTAACTCATCTGCAAGTTATTTTTATATGTACATATGTTAAATGTTAATAATGAGGTACGAATGCATATATATCTTGAAATATGTAAAAGAGTAAAGGTTTACAAAGTTACTAGAAGGCAAATCTGTACTGAATTATAGCATCAAAAGCAAAATCTGAGCAATGCTCATAAATATTCAATGAACACTTACTCACACATGACCGATACCCGATTTGAACGGATAACCTTTCGATCTGGAGTCGAACGCGCTACCGTTGCGCCAACCGGCCAATACTTGTTGATCAATAAGTGAGGCATTTGGTATTTGTATATCAATATTGAGTGTGGGAACTTGCACCGCCACTGTGGGGGAAGATAACTTCTTCTGATTACACTGTTACTTTGAGCATGACGCACTGTGCTATTAATTCTTCGGCCCATTCTCTAGGGCGATCTCTCGACCTTTAACGTACTTGGTTTCAAGTTCTGGATATACATTACCACGCCGGTTTAATCTCAAGACGCGCAAGTGTTAATCATGCGATGTAGTGATCAAGTAGAGGTGTTATCCTTGCAGCATAGTGCACTGAGTTGTAAGGTTCACATGTTTAATCCGTCCAAGTATCCATTATTATGTCAGGGTACGGCTAGGCCGAAGGCAATAGTACAGAGTGATGGGGAGTAACGGGCGTCCCTCCTACGTAATACCGGGTGGTCACTGGCGGTCTCAGGTAGGGGTGCCCACGGTGATGCATTGATCTCTGCCCTCTCTATCTTCCTTCGTCTCGACTCCTTACTTATAGCCAGCCGAGGTTCTCTCTTGGATTCTGGATGTTTGCTTCCGTATGTCTGTGTTCCTCCGACTTCGGCCAATATCTTGGACAGCGGCTCCTTATCTGCAACCAAGCGATTCCCTATCCGCTGCAAACGGCTTCAACGGCTCTCTAGCCGCCACAAACGGCTTCCTACCTGGTGGAAGCCGGCCCGCCTCGGATGACACTTGTGGCTCTGACAACTCCTTCCCTATCCTACTTCGAGATGGTCCTTATATAGATAGCTAGGCCGTCGCTTGGACCCGGCATAACAGCAGGGTCGGCGATGCCAAGGATCTTGACTCTCGTCATCCCAAAGCTTCACATAGATTGTAATCATGACTCGGGAGTCTTTTGTCCGAAACACCCCTCCGGCGGCCCGCCGGTGTCCTGCGTTCAGTGTCCTGACACCCACTGGTGCCTATGGCATTCTGTTCTCTGACATATTAGAAGACACAGCTGGCTACAAAACATCAAGAGATTATTTCAAATTGGGAGATCCATCTCTCAGACGAGACAACTATCTTTGATGTTCAATGGTTGTTGTATGGTTGGAGGGATACATGTATATCCTTGGCCATTATTACTGCTGTCTGTACCTCACAGCGACACGTCCAGAAAACCCCGAGGCTAGAGAGAGCCTCACTTCAGCACAACTCTGCTACTTCAGGGTGCTAAAAGGCGCCGACACACTTACACTATCCCCTATTCAACAGCCACCGATTGTTAACTGCCTTTCACATCTATTCTGGCTTATCGTATCCACATCCGCACCAAGATGCACTATATATCTACAAAGAAGCGACGAGGTGCAGCTTCTGCTGAGGAAGTCGGCCACACGCGTGAAGATAGCATTCGCCCCAACCAAGCTACCATACAGGATGGCTGGATGTGTGAGAACCAGATGACTGCTTCTGTTCTCTGCTCTCTGTCAAGTCACCGATTCAATAACATTGCTGAGAGACCTGTAGTGTCGCTTTTACTACCCTCATCAGCTGGCAGACATGCATCTGGTCGAAAAGAGCCTGAAGCTTAAGCATTAGTCGTCGTTGCGGTCTGCAATGACAACGGTTAACCTATAACCGCACCGTCACAATTTATTGGATGGCCAAAACTTATCTGGCACCCTGTGCAGATGTTAAAAGGTTTAAGAACTACCTTAGCAAGTGCTGCTCTAAAGCAGAGAACAAGTCAAGGGCTCCATTCTATCATATAGGCGAGTAGAGCTTCGATATCAGTCCCAACTCCAGCTCTAGCCGACAACGAGGGTGAACTATCACTGCAATAACAGTTTATAAACTGGGCATCATACCCCTCGTGGACAGCAGGGAAGAATTGGTAGCTCATGGCGAACATGTCATATCCACTTGTTGTGACGGGCCGTGGAAATGCGGAAGAGACATCGAGCGTAATATCTCACGCATGGGAGGTTTCAGTAACTAATAATTGAGATTATTCTCTCGGTTTAGGTTAAGACACCATTCCAAATAGACTGCCTATGTAGGCTGTAGGTATATTGTATGTAAATACCAACTGTACCAGTTGTTCACACGATTAGCCTTGCTTGCCCCTTGCTATAACTGTAGGGCTTCAAGGCTCCATTTACTAAGAAGGGCCTGAGCTTAGGATCTTAAAACTTCGGAATTCTATCTTTTCTTGTATTAATAATGCTACATTGATTCAAATATTGTGATAATTAAATCAAGACGTCAATGGTTTGACTTATTATAATCTCATAATAGAGTCTGATATTGCCCGCAGAGTAATAGAGCTTAGGTTTGTAAATAATGAAAATTCTAAATAGGGGCTCCATGTCGGGATTAGGCGTGGGGATATAAGATTCCTAGCATAGTATAATACGAAACCCCATTTTGGAAAGCTGACTGCGCCTGTATACATGGCTCAATAATGGTTTCCATCCAAAAACAAAAAAAAACCAAACAAAACGCAGGAGCTACAGGCCAGCTATTTACCATTCAGCATGTATGCTTCAACTCGAACTCGATCTGCGGAGTCCCCGAGAAATTTGCTGGCACCGCATAGGAAATATTATAAATGAAGTGGTCCCTCAACTGCACCCCATAGACAACCTCAAGCTGAAGCAATCCTGGCGCCGATACATTGACGCCCAGACAAGGAAGATTGTCAAAGCCCGTAATCATGTTCCCTTTCTTCGATGGAAGCGTCCACGAAGGCGGGATCCCGCTAAGCGCAAACGTGAAGATATCTGCCCCCTCGGCCGTCGAATCTGGGTACGAGATAGTCAGTGAACTTGGCCCCGCCACGGCTTCGATGGCCGTCGTCGTCGGATACAGCGAGAAGAAGCCATTATATGGATAAGTGCTGTGTTCAGGTTCACTAGCCCAGTGTACGATAGCAGGGACGAATTGATCGCCCCAACCCTTGTCGGTTTTGACGGTGTAGGCACCGATCATAAGTCCAGCGCTGACTCAAGATGTGGCGATTCGTTTCTGATTGGTGGTGGTGCTCTCATAGACTGTCTTATTAATGAATCGCTCGCCATCCCACCACCCTTTCGCCTTGAGGACAGAGGCGGTGTCATCGTCGATATTTTCTGCAATGTGGTTGACAACAAGTGCGATGGCAGCGCCTTGCACCACGTCGTATAGCAGATCAGGTTCGCCTCTCAGTGGCTGCGGCCCGTACTCTCGACCAAACACGCCCCACCAGGTCAAGGAGATGATGGCCGAGTGCGTGGTTGCATCCCGGGTGTAGGCGCGATCGTATGGTCCAGCCATGTTGCCAAGAAATGGGTTGTAGTGTGCTGCGATATCTTTCCAGAGCTCCCGGATGATTAACGGCGCTCCAAGAGTCATTGGGGCATCGGCCGGTCCGTAGGCGATATTGGCGGCAAGGGCCCAATTGACGATTCCATAGTAGTTGGGAGCGTTGTATTCACCCAAGACATTTTGCCCCTCTCGCTGGAAGAGAGCCATGATATCGTTGCCAGATTGCCGGGCGAACTCGATGAGAGTCTGATTGTTCCGTCGCGTGCCTGCGTTCTAAGTTAGCCTTGATTTAAATGAAACATATCTCGTTGCGATAGTGTACTGACCAATGCAACCTACATTCAATGCCCGCATGATTGCAATGTTTGAATACTCGCTGGTCAAATTGTCATCCTTTGGAAATGTGCCGTTGCGTCGCATGCCGCCAACTGCCGCAGCTTCTACCGCATCCTCGATGCGTAGTATGAGGTCTTTACTGAGCAAACACGAGAATTCCTCGACAACTTGAACAAGCTGTGTTCTGTCCGATTGGTTGGTACAGAGGGGCGACTTTGAGCAAAGTTATCACCAGCACTTACCCAATGAACTCCCTCCAATTTGGATCATATGACTCGAAGATTTCAGGCTCATACAGACCAGGCTTCGGATCCGGAATATCAGCTGCATCTTTGAATGTGCCATACCACGCAGCCTCATAATTCTTAGTATACTGGGTATCAAGGCTGTCGCCTCGTTAGTCGCCTCGTCGTCGTATTGTGTCAGAGAACAGAATGCCATAGGCACCAGTGGGTGTCAGGACACTGAACGCAGGACACCGGCGGGCCGCCGGAGGGGTGTTTCGGACAAAAGACTCCCGAATCATGATTACAATCTATGTGAAGCTTTGGGATGACGAGAGTCAAGATCCTTGGCATCGCCGACCCTGCTGTTATGCCGGGTCCAAGCGGCGGCCTAGCTATCTATATAAGGACCATCTCGAAGTAGGATAGGGAAGGAGTTGTCAGAGCCACAAGTGTCATCCGAGGCGGGCCGGCTTCCACCAGGTAGGAAGCCGTTTGTGGCGGCTAGAGAGCCGTTGAAGCCGTTTGCAGCGGATAGGGAATCGCTTGGTTGCAGATAAGGAGCCGCTGTCCAAGATATTGGCCGAAGTCGGAGGAACACAGACATACGGAAGCAAACATCCAGAATCCAAGAGAGAACCTCGGCTGGCTATAAGTAAGGAGTCGAGACGGAGGAAGATAGAGAGGGAAGAGATCAATGCATCACCGTGGGCACCCCTACCTGAGACCGCCAGTGACCACCCGGTATTACGTAGGAGGGACGCCCGTTACTCCCCATCACTCTGTACTATTGCCTTCGGCCTAGCCGTACCCTGACATATTGTCCCCAGATATTGCAATTAGATAACTTACACGCTTTCGATAGCAGCGATGCCTCTCTCAATATCATCGCCTTCTGCTCGATACAGTAACCCTGGTATGTACCAGGCAGTGAACCGTGTGTTCAGCTGTCCTCGGTCCTGGTACCAGATATAGTTAAATGATGGATCATATCTCGAGTCCCCCACCTGGACTGAATAATCAAATAGGCTTTGAGCAGCTAGTGTCATCAGCCTCTGTGTTCCCACTGGTCACATTACGGAGCATTGCTTGTTCACATACCTGGTGTTAACCTTGAGGTCCCGCTGGACAACGACTTCGCTATTACAAAGCAACGGCACCCAGCCAATGCCACTGTATTTAACATTGAATAGTGCATGATGCCGGACGCTGCAAAATTGTAAGACTGTCACTTGCGAGAAACAGAACTAAGTGAAGAGAATCAGGATTGACAAATAACATGGCTCGATATTTCATTTTAGATACGACTATAATCGAGCATGATTACAACCTCTGAATCTCCATTTTCCTTGGAGTTAGCAGAGGGGTGAAACCACAAACGATGGTACACTGGAATAGTTCGAGCTTTTAGTAACTCATGAAGATATCACGTTCACCGAGAAAAGTACTCTTTCTTTCATCATGTGAGCGGAGGACTGATGGAAGTTGGTCACAGTTGCCTCGCTAGAGGTGGTCTGTAGAGATGTGGGAATACAAATCTTGGATGCAAGAAAAGGTATTACAGCTATGGGCTAAAGAGGAAATGGAGTCATTGCTATAGCAGTGTGCTACTAAAATATCTTGGAGATAGCGATGCATGTTTAGCTGCTGATAGACAACGTTCAAGCGTAGTAGTTGCATTCACAGCAAGCGAGTATTATAATTCACAATAAGGCAAATGCGGAACTAAAAGGGGTTAAGACATTGCTGGAAAGAAATAGTCGACAATGTGAGGTTGAGCAGATTTACAGGGCTTATTCCCAAATAGAAGCATTCCCTACATTCTTTGTCAATTTCTTATGTTGGGCCCCTGTCTGCCCAAATTCCCATGACCGACAAACTGTTGGACATGAATTAAGCGTTGGACGCAGGTCATGCGGCAAAGTAGTCTCGTTTCTTCATGTTGGTTCTACCGAGCTGTTGGTGTTGCCTCAGTTATTACCAAATTTCTTTGTTTCGCCAAACGGAATTCTGCACCAGCAAGAACTAAATTCCCAATCCCACAACGAATCTTGAATGCTATATCTCTAGGAAGATTAGACAAGTAGGCGAGAACCACTACGATCGGAAGATCGAGCCGAGTAAAGTATCGGCGAAGATCTCGGGTAAGGCCTCCACAAGTGAGTCACTCGTGATTGGTGGCTAGAATACTTTGTCTGATGGGCCTGCAATGTATTTGCTCGTATTGGACATGGAGGAGTTACTCAACGATGCATGCCAAGTTGAGACGAATGGTTCTCTGTTAACCGTACATGTGTGGTCCATATTAGAAGCGGCGCTTAGTGTCTGTCCTTGAGCAGTAACAGGTTTCAGATGGTGGCAGTTCAATCCTGGGATTTAGTTGACTCCACGTTGACCATCTAAGCTTTACACATATCCTATTTTTGTAGACCAGGATTGCGACTTAGTATGCTCAGTTCAAAAGATATCTCTACAGTACATAGGTACTGTAGTTTATACTTACTGTCTCTAAATACGTTTCGTGGTTGGTGGTAGTAAGCGAAAGTGATTTATTCCTAGGACTTGGTGGCTTAAATAGCTTGGCTCTGCCGGTGATAGCCAAGTGGCCTCCACCTCAGTGCATACAACCAGGCATACGCGACATGTGCTGGCATTCATACCAATAACCATTCCGCACTGATCTGCATGACAGCTGGGCAGACGTATTTTCAGCTTGTCGACGAGGGCTGTGTCGGTAATCTTCCCTGTATTCTTCCCTAATCGGACAAAATTCATTATTTCCGGCAATAGCAATCGATGTCAGTGGCGAGAACCAAGATAGACAGCGACATCAAATACGACCTGTTTCTGCCAAGTATATTCATTGCGCGTTCCTGTCACCGACTGCGTTGTAATGGACGTGTGGAGACATGTACGGCACGACTTGATTAGTTCTTGGCGAAGGACCTAGATTGATATAAGAAACATCACAATAACCCCATCAAATCATACACATCATCATCAATATTCCAGTATCTCAATCTCATCCTTTGAAATCATTCATAACACCGATATGCGCGTCGATAGTCTCCCCATCATTCTGACGCTTGTCGCCCTGGGTGCCTGCGAGAACAACGTTGAGGCCGACGATGTCCCGCAAGCGTGCCGCAGTGTCGATGCCTGTCTAAATATCTTCGAACTCTCCAGAACCTGTGATGAGTCGACGAGCAACTCCGACGGCTACAACGACTGTGTGTGCGGATCGACCATTGCACAGAGCACCTTGACAGACTGTGCCGATTGTGTTGCCCGAAACGTGCAGCAGATCGAAGATCGCACAGATAATGGTAAATACAACATGCCTCCCGGTTTTTTCTTCAATATGTCGCTTATAAAGTGAGTAAAGACGTGACGGACTTGATGTCCGATTGCGGGTGGACTTACACCGGCACGATTTTGTCGAGTGGAAGCGCTACGATGAGGGCTACAACCAGTGCTGCAACAACTGCTTCTACGACCCTCTTGTCGCAGTCCGTCGCTTCGACAATTGTGACCATCACGAGTTCCGATACCACGTTCGTGAGCACGCAGACCTCGGTTGTGGGAGCATCTGCTACTACCGGTTCGAGCTCTGAGGCAAAGGCGCCGATGGTGACTGCTGCTGCAGGTAGCTTTCTCTTTGGAATGGCTTTGGCTCTGCCTGCGTTACTATGAATAAGTTCGATGGCGATTCTGAGTAGCTGAGTTGAATATGGTATCATCACATGATAAGACGTGCTGGCACGCAACATGGTGGTTGAAGGGATTATCTCGCGGTTGGGATGGTTAAGTATCTGGAATTATCCGTACGTGTTATGTTTTCGAAGTATATTTCACTGAGTGAACCCATTGACCGACAAGCTCATTGTAATGAAATATTTATCTATGGTCACATACATATAACTATATCATCGTATTACAATGATAAACTCGAAGCTTCGGCACATTATGATAGTCGTGCAATGTTTCTGAATGAATCGCGTAACCGGCGAAATTCTGAGAGACTTGTATTATGATGTCGGCTGGTGTAGTTGGTCACTTCGCTGGTAGATAAGTCCCGATTTGAGCCTCGCCCACTTGGGTCGGTGACGAGTCGCGGGTTCGATTCCCGCAGCTGACACACAAGGGGGTTTAGTCAACCCTTACGGCGCGCTGCCCACCTTGTTGACTTCGCCTACCCAGCGATAATAGGGAGATTGGTGCAGTTTAGGATTACGAGCATCCTAGCCAGTCGACCGTCAAGCACTACGTCGGCGGAATATAACTCGACAGCCGGTCCAGAATTCGAATCGTTAATCCGACCTCTTATCGGACCCCCTCTCGCCGCGATTCTTGCGAGCGTCTAGACCACGTTACGGTCTATCCACTTGAGCGTATGGTTGAGATGTATACGCTCGACGAGAACCCCACTTAGCAGATACTACGACTTGTCGCGACAAAAAATAGTCGAGCATCTTCTGCACATCAGCAGCATCCCACCCCTGAGGACGAATTTAAGTGCCACATTACCACACTTATCGGTAGTTCAGGCAGGGGTTGTAGCACAGACTTAGGGAGGGACAGGAGGTTTAGTAGTCGTTTGGCTACAAGTTTACCTGTATAACCGCCCGACGCGGCTTAAGGGCCCGCTATATCATCTATAGCCCCTTAAGGAAGTACTTGTAGAGGTACCGAGGGTTAACACCTACGGCGTATTCAATATTATATTTGTATTATGATGCATTACCATAGTCCGTGAGCAGATATTGAAATCCCTTTTGACACTACCTAGATAAGGACAGGTCGGCAACTGTTCTCCCATGAACGGCGCATGGTAGTCCTCCACATCCGCCTTATCCTCAAACTCGTCATAAGCCGAGTCATTATTAAGCATAAAGATAAATCGGAATTGACCCAAAAACAAATGACCCGCCCGGTGGGAGTGCAGAAGCATATATATAACACGCTGCATGAAAATTAGCTTAAAGCAGCTGTAGATATGTAGATGACTAGACGGCAGCGAAGTTGCCCACGGGTGACCGTAGGTCAACATATCGCCGACGAAAAGTGTGCCTATAAAGCGGCTCCGTGCCAGATCAACCATATTGGGCGGGATATAGATGCCGGTTATATCGAGGCCGATGTCGGCTATCATTTGTGCGACAGAGATCCCGGTGCCGCAACCGGCGTCGAGGATGTGGGAGCCGGCCGGGGTTTTGGAGATGGCTTTCTGTATGCATACGGGTTCGAAGGTGTTGGGGCACACATGTGTATTGTATTGAGGATAGTTAGGCTAGTGCTAGTGGGCTGGAACCAAGTAGTGCTGGTAGCTACGCACGAACCACCTATGACAGTCGGGTTTCTTGCGGTAGGCATGCTCGTATTCTATTTTGAGACCCTTGAAGGTCTGGAGGTCGGCCGGAGAGCTTGGTATAGAATGTTGCGGGCAATCTGGAGAAAGTAGTCGGTGGAGAGAATTGAATATTCGTTCGTACAAAGGCTTCGTAAGGACCTCTAGGCCTACCCAGCTTGTGCGAAACGTTATTCGTATATCGATTTCCCCAGTATCGCGACGTGCGCTCCATATATATGTGTAAGATGTGGTTTCCGTGAGATCGAACGATAGCAAGCCAACTGGCGATATCACTTGCATATATGCAGCATTCCGCCCAATGACAATCCATCATACGTATGCATCTTCGGATTTATTGCATACTGTGTAACGAAGAGAAAAGAGGAGACGGCTTCATTGCATTGGGAAGAGGCTGGATTACGTGATTTTGCAACACATGAAAAAATAGGGATCGAACCCGATTCCTTAATACTCGTCTCTAGTCTGTCGACATCAAGGGGAGATCACATAATCCAACAAAATGGACGAATTACTATTCCAGGAATATCTCCGGGGTTCCGAATCCATTCCAGAAGCCATGAGCTACCTAGAGATCTTGAATTACTCGGTACGTTCGACATGACCCGCCGCGGAAATAAGGGTTGGCTCTGCTGCTAATGCGTCATGTATTATCTAGGACCCAGCACTTAACACGCTTCCCGAAGTGCACTCATTGAGCTCGGATGATTTTGATAGTTTTCTTGCCCGCAAGGTGAGATAACTACCCCAAAGCAGAACAAGATAGACCGGAGGCTGCTGACCTTGTCACCGTCACGACGCAGGGTGTGTTTGCGCCTCGTAAGCTGGACAACAGCTTCGCATTGAAGAATGGCATTCGTTTGATGCAAGTAAGGGATCTACGAGGATGGAGTTGCTTGCTAACCTAGGGTTCAGCACACACCATCAAGCACTGAACGCGCACACGTTTGATCCAACGGTCATTTCTTTCAGCAAGGAAGCGTACGAATCGCTCGTACGGGAAATGAATTTACCATACCGTGCGATAGAAACTTCAACGGTTGTTGGTCCATTCTTTTGGTGGACAATTGTCGAAAAAGCAGATGGTGCATATCTTCGTAAGTAGTGTGTGAGGCAGGTTCTGCGCAAAGATGGCTTATCATGAACGACGATTGGATGCTCATCAAACCCGGCATTGGACCTCTATAAAATTGCAGTCGGTGCCAAGATTATGTACAATGTAAAGTTACGGTTAACCTAGCTGATGACTTCTAGAATTCATATTCCGCAAATCCGACGCTCGGTGGAAGGGAAACTCAAGAGGCTGGGAAATGATACTCTCCTATTCATTCAACACGCGGATCACCTCGGGTTACCTCAAGGGAACAGATTCAGTCGAGATTGAAACCATTCTGAGGCGCCTGAAGGCGTGCGCCCAACCAACATCTCACGCCTTGCTATTACCCATTCTCGTCCTAGGCCACGAGATGTCTGCCAAAAACGACAACACTCAGAGAAAGATCCGCGAGCAGATTCGCCGACTGGAAGACGTGCTTAGCGGACGGTACAAAGTGGAAGCCGCCGCTGGCTATGCTTCTGACCAGGATCTCACCCTTGATGCGATCAATCATGATATGGTTGAATCTCATTCACAGGCGATGTGGAAGCGGCCACAAGCGTGGCAGAATGTTGTGACAAGATTAAGCAAAGCGACAGATTATTACTGGGAGCAACTGCCAGAGGAAGAAAAGACGCCAGAATTGGAAGGTTTGCACAAAGTATTGCTGAGTCGACTGGATTTCGTTACGGCCAAGCTGGAAGGCCTGAAACATTATGCCGATGTATCTCTGGAACGACTCAAGCTTCAAAGAGAGGTGGTAAGCTCTTGAGAATGCCTTTGGCGCTGATAAAAATGGACTAACAAATCACTAGATGCACGGCATCATAAACCAAAGAGAGTCCAGGCTCAGCGCTGCCATCGCAATGGAGCAACATCGCTTGGCTGGCGCGAGCAGACGAGACAGTGTATCCATGAAAACGCTAACCCTGATGGGCTCGATATTCCTGCCTGGCACATTCCTGTCCTCAATTTTCAGCATGACCTTCTTCGACTTCGGAAATGGTATTTCCTCTTATTGAATTTCATGATTCCCTGATTTCGCTGACCTTGACAGAGATGGGCGACGCCGTATCCCCCATCTGTGGATTTACTTCGTCATCGCAGTCCCTCTGACGGCGCTTATCGTGGGCGCTTGGTGGATGTATGACAAGCGCCCAGATAATGGGGTCGACGAGGATGTCAACGAGGCCGAGAAATACTTGGACAGACTTGAGGCTCAAATCATGGAAGGTATTCGGACCAAGACAGGGGCCAGGGTGAGGACTGGACTTGTTGATAATTCTCACATTAGACGATCGATCAACGTGTGATGAATTGAGACTCAGGTTTCGGATGCAATGCTCCTTCAGAGCATTTTACTTGACGCTACTGTGATAGGAAACAAAATCTCGTTCCACCCCTCAAAACTTTGATCGTTGTTATTGTTATCAACGTTATATAACTACTCCACGTCATCCCAACTTGCTCCCTAATGTAGCTACGATTTCCACATTAATGAAACCCATAGAAAGCACGCAATGCATGCGCAGAAATATAAATTTATTATTGTGTCAGAAGTATAAACGCCCCTCGACGACGAACCTTCCTCCTCAAGAAACCCCTATCACGAACGCTTCGCCATATCTTGGGACCGAATATGATTTTACGGCCAGGCAGCATGGAAACCAAGGCCTAAAAACGAAAACGCGGATATCGTGCCCCAAGCCATGCACACTCTGTATATGAGCAGAAGAGAGCGATGACAACCCTTCTGAAATCATTCCACTGCCATTCGCTCGGGGTCACTGTCAAGTCGCCCAAGACCTTTTGATCTGTATGCATGTGTGTAAGCACGGTGGGCACGAACCATATCAAGAGTTTCACGTGTTGGATTTGTTCGGGTCTTTGAGCTCGTCTTCTAAGGCCAATTTGTTCTGGTTGCCGGCCATGACTTGGGTCTCGCGCTGCCATGCAACAGGCTTCAGAGATGAATATGCGCGCAAAAACTGGGGATCAGCGACAATTTTCGACTTGAAAGGTTTTAAGATATATAGAAAGACCAAGAAGTAGTGTGGCCGAAGTTGTGGTTATATTCCTGCACCCGATTATTTAATTATGCGGCCCGTCGCATACCTGATGTTTTTGCCGAGCCGGGTAGTGCGATCTTGCATTGATGGTTGAGAGGCTGGGAACAGGCAGTTGGAATTTGGTAAGGAGCCAGGGGCCAATTGTTCGACTACAACAAACCAGCGGGTCGATTTGGGTGATGTGGCACTGCTCTAGCCTACGTATTGTAGTTCGAACATGTACCCTGTTTCCTACCGTAAAAGTTTGCTGTTTACGTCTACTTTCAGGCTGAAACAAAGTCATATTGTCAAAATTCATGAGCGGCGCATGGTTTCCGAGAAAACCCAAGAAGGCAGAGGATGAAAATAGTAAGTCATTGAGGCGTGGCAGGTTGTTGGGAGTCAATTTCTCGCGGGATTGCTGTAGGATCGAGGCAGTGTTTTTCTCAGCCTTACTCAACATACCTACCCGACCACTCCAGGATCAAATTTCTCCACGGATCTTACGGAGCTGAGGTGAATGCTCCAATATTTTGACAGTTATGTGGACCCCAGTCTTCATAAGGCGTGGTAGGGGGGCTGGTAAGCTGCGACACCTGCCAATGTGGAATGGAGACCGCGCCTGTTGGCGAATGGGTATTATTCCGCCAGCGTGCAAAGTCGTGACCCGTTGCTGGATCTTGATGCATGTGCGTTGCGCCTCATCCAATAAGTGGCAGTGCGGCTGGTTTTCATAGCTTTGTATGTTATTTGATCCCCGTAAGTTCAACGTCAAGTAATTTGTTAACTTCGACTAGAAAAGAAACTTCCCATTCTGAGCCGCAACTCTGATATTCATCAAGACTCTGCAGTTGCCGGATCGAAATTCCTCGTTCTACGACACAATGAGCAACAAAAACAAAAACAACACCAACAAGTACGCCACATGGACGAACAAGCGGTCGTCCCCAAGTGGACGCCGCCTGAGGGTCGAACCTGCCACGCCGATGGAGACCTTCTCACCGGACCGTTTCTCGAACCAATACACACCAGTTCAGGAGACCTTCACGATAGACATCTTCGCAAACCAACCCGCCACCGCTATTGGTACCCACTCCACAGAATCTTATACTACAATCCCAGAGTCCAAGCCAGTCCAAAACTATGACGCACGTCTGTCATATTGGACCATCGCCCAGATTGGTCTGCGCATTGCATCTCTCGTCCTCGTGGGCATCTTGAACGGGATGAGTATTCGTGGATACGTTAGCTCCCTGCTCGTGTGGCTAGCCCTTGTGAGCCTCTATTCCCACAGCTGTTTCGTACACCTCCTCCGAGGCTGACAATATCACACTAGAGCCTCACAACCACCATCTGGGAAATCTCTGAATTGGCAGTCTTTGCCAAGCATCGTACTCATGGCATCAAACCCATGATCCGTTTCATCATGGAATTGATCCTCACGTTTGGGTCTCTGGGCTATGTGGCGCTCGCAATCGTCCAACTGGTCGATATCTCCAACGTGACCAACTATACCTGGAGGTATGGGTCGGTCGAGTACGGCTTTGCTCTTGGTCTGTGTGCGTGCTTGGCGTACGTTGCAGAACATACCCATCGATGATCATCTTGTGGACTTGCACTGACTGGGTTTTAGTATTATTCATGCCATCCTCTGCACCCGTGCATTCAAAGACTGCGCTGCGATGAAGAAGTTAGGTGCTCACTATGCCGTTTGAGATTTCTAGGGTGCATGGGCAATTCTATTTCTGGGCATGGTGAGGCATTCATGACTAGCACAAAGCAAGATCAACAGACTCGAGGGTGTTCGAATAACAGTTATAAAAAGAATAATGACGTCTGCTTTCTTGAGTATATATTTCGATCAGAACCCCTAGAGATGCCGCTTTCAATAGAACGTAGGGATGGATTTGATGGAACACTGATAGGGATCGCATATACAGGGGGCGGGGCTGCATTGCTGTAGGCTTTTGGGAGATTGAATTACCATACCTTTTCTTCTAGTCTATGATATGTGCACGATTTCTGTCAATAGTCCTAAAGAAACTGTAAGGGCAGCAGAGGTGCTTCCGTTTTCAAGTTGGTGTTAGTACTTACATGAGGAACAGGAAGTGATCCTCTTGGTCCTCTTGGACCTGGAAATTTAGAGTTTGGCGGCCTCCGTCCACGCGCTATTCAACCGCCGCGTTGGTGCCAAGTTGATCGGGGTTTTGCGTTCAACCACAAAACCGCAAACATTAGGCACATGCAATCAAGCCAATCGGTGCGGGCGTTACAATGCACAAGCTGCAACTTCCCGGGTTCGAAGTTCCTCAGGTCCAGTGCTGGCCATGGTGGACAGCTGAATCGAATCAAGGCGGACAGAGGTGGGGTTACTTGCCAAGCTCGACCGTGACATCATGCTGGCTTCCCTCGAAAGACATTCAACGTACGTGACGCAGTTGAGCTTGTGTTCCTTTTAGCTGACTCGTCGACCCCGCCTGAACTCTGTCCCTCCCAAACCGTCATCGCCAGAATACATAAATCCCTCTTCTTGGCTCTCAGTCAACTTTTGAGAATCTGCACTACACATTTCTGTCAACAGCATCCATACTCATAAGATAGTCTTGATCCATTCACCTACCAAACGATCATCATGGACTTTGTCAGCAAGTTGACCGGCGGCGAAAACAAGGAGGGCCAGAAGCCTCAGGGCGAGCAGCAGCAACAATCGTCGTCCGGCGGTGGCTTCATGGACAAGCTGCAGGGAATGGCTGGCGGCGGCAAGGAGAGTGAGAAGAATGAGGATGCCCTCGACAAAGGTTTGTTACAGCTTACCCCTCCATTTTACGAATAAGCGGGGCACAATCCAGCTGCACATCGTCCCATCCCAATTTCCAAGTTCATTTGGACCTCATCACCACCATCACTACACTTGCTAACGACGAATTCATGCATGTTTAGCGGTCGACATGTTCCAGGAGAAGATCTTAAAGCAGGGACCCCAGGACAACGAGAGCGCCGTTGAGCAGGCTAAGGACGAGCAGATCTCCGACATGATCCGCAATCAGTACAAGAACTTGACAGGTAGCGACGTGCCCATCAAGGATAAGGAACGATTCTAGACTCCTCCATGCGCTACACACCACACACACGAGTATATGGGCGTTTGGACCGGCTTTCTCCCCGTGACAAGAGGCAAGGTTGCAATTGGCTGCGGCGTATGATTGGTTGTGGGTAGTGAACTACATTCGATTGCATGGTACACAACGTGAGCTGCGTAGGACATGTCTAGTTCAATAACATGACCTATGAAGGACAAGTACATCTACAAGCGACCTTCATGTGATCATGCGTCCACACAGCTGTCATGAATATTCCATACAATCGTGGAACGCTCGGATGACGCCCAATCGGGTAAATTGCGGGGCGCTGATAGTATTCAACCATTACGACCGGCGGTCGGGGCTGAATACAAGGATTGTTTGTGATTAAGCATACCTACTTTGCGATTTGTCTAGGTACTTTTTCCAGTCTGAGGTAGCACTTATCTTTGTGTATTTATAAACTCCAGGCAGTGCGGGGCTGAGCGATATGGCTTGCGAAGGTTCATGGTAAGTGCTGCACTGCCACGGACTCTCCACGATAAAACTCACAGGTACCAGATTCATGAAGGTTTTGTAATGATCTACCACATCTCTCTACATTGTCTCTAGTAGGCTACCTCGGGCCTCAGTATCGCACAGTCAGAATCTTCTTATACAGCAAGATTTATCCTATTTCCGAAACTATTAGATCGACGAAAATGAATTCTTTACCAAGGCCGACAGGTATATTCGCCGACTTCATTGCACCTCAATGCGTAACACTGGTCGTGAAAGAAAAGATCATGTCTTGGTCGGGTGACGACTTCACAATCAGCACGGTAGACGGACGGCCGTTGTTCAAGGTCGAAGGCAAGGCCCTGTCCCTCTCGGGTCGCAAACGCATCATGGACATGCGGGGCACCCACATATTCACAATCCGCAAGAAGCATCTGGCCTTGCATGCCACATACTACTTGGAGAGTCCGAGCGAGCAAATGATCTTTGAGGTGAAGGGCAAATTCAGTCGTAAGCCTGACTCACATCACTCCCACTTGCCTTGCCCCAACGAGATGGCACGAAGGTACACTGACATGACTGCGCTTTGTAGTTATCGGGTCCAAGTCCACTGCCTCGTTCATCTCGCTATCCAAGGAGGCGGTCGAGTTGGAGATGAAGGGCAACTTCCTCAACACCAAGGCCGAGATCGTCGACCAGGTGTCGGGACTGCCGGCTGTGACCATCTCGCGTGATTGGTTCAACGGTCGTGAATTGCTCGGTGGTCAGCAGACGTACCATGTGACCATCGCGGCTAATATGGACATGGCCATAGCTGTGGCCATGTGTATTTGTTTGGACGAGAGGAAGAACGATAAATAGGAACTTTCCCGTCCCGCCTTGCGATAACTTGGTTGGGATTGATCAGTGGCTTCGAAGATACCCAAAATAAAAAGGTTACAATACTCGACTCTGCCGTTCATCGTTTAATGGGATTTGATCGGCACCTGGCTGCTGGGGGCAATCAGACGATCGAGCAACGGTCGGATAAACCCAACCAACCAATCATCAACACCCTAAGTTGGTTGGTCATGGTTGGTTCTTATAGGGTTGATTATTGCTGCTAAGAAATGAAGCTATCGCCAACCTCGCCGGCGCTAACCCCTGGAAACCTCTTGGCGGAGCTTTCATGGTTTCCTCTGTAGCGTCGTCCGGTGTTTTTAGCTAGTTACTATGTACTAACTTCGTAGTGTCTAGCATATGCCTATGATACCGGTGTTAAGGCCTGGCCGCTGTGAAGTGGTCATTCTACCGGTAGATGAAAATAACCGCTCACATTCAGCTTACATCGTCTGTATTGTGAGGAAATCTAATGCTATCAACAAAAGCTGTGGGTAATTTAACCGGCTATCATGCTAGTAGCTAAAACGGTCACGTATATCCATACTCATCTTATGATTACTAGGCTAGGGGTCTCGTCGATTAATACAGTGTTGACATACCTACCGCCGTTCATCGTTATTCTGGATGTCACAGATATAGGTCCACAGCCACGATGAGACAAACCTACAGCGCTTAGAGAAGGTGTAGCCTCGGGCGAGGTCTATCGAGATGCCAATACTCCCGGGGTCGGCTTTATAGGGGTGATTGCCCAGAACTACGCGAGCAATAACAGATCCCAACCCTTGACTTCGATCTTCGACAAGCAGGCAGTATAGAACATAGATGTCGTCTGTGTAACCTTCATTTAATTCAATATCTTCTTCGGGTTTCAAGTGGCCACCCAATGGCATCTTGGCGGTGAAGGAGGTTACAGCATTGGTAGTCAGTGTGCCCATAGCATCGTAATCACAAACCTAGAACCAAAGGCCAGGAGCTTCGAATTGCGGAGAATTCATGGGAAAACCCAAGGCTGAGATAAGTCAATAGCCAGGTATTGGGGATCGCCAGGTGGTAGGCAACTTGTTCGTGAACCCAATCGTATTCGTGGAAAATTGTGTGGATTTAGCTGAACGTTAGGGGGGTTGTGACTACCAGAAATTTGTCTTATCTATGATATCGAGGCCACCCTCACCAAAGTAAGTATAGACGAGTCGAAATGTAAACGGCGGACCAGTTGACGACATTGGGGTGCGTATTAGTCACTCCTTCAAGGCATTTGAATAAACTGCCATCGGTTAACACACAGGATAGTAACAGTACTTTATCTTGCCCAACCCTTGGGAGGCTGTGTGACCAACAATGCGTGTATATTCTGAAAAAAAAAGAATACTCAGGATTGGCTACATTGCATGGTGAGTGTTCCTTCGGCGTGTTGACAACCAGCCTTGCATATCGGCGGAAGTGATGCTGAATTCACGTGATGAGACCAAGATAGCATAACCTATATATCGGCTGATGAATCTATCGACAGACCCGAGGAACTAATTGAGAATGCCTTGAGTATACGCAACGCTTCCAACTCTTCGATGCAAATCGATGTTTTTACAATGTGTGGTGGCCCTTTACGGTCGACCACGTTTCAATTTATCTATTTTCGCATTCTATCCAAAGTAAAGTAAGTGGTAGATCAGAAATACTAACAATATTCCCATCTTGACACATCAACATTAATCCCTCGAAACATCGTGACCTGACTTCTCTATAGCCTTATTGTTCTATTCCGTCTCAGAAAACAACGGCGCATCGACTTCGCAAACCGTCCCAGGTTCCGGCAAAGTTCCATTGACGAAATAATCTGCGATGGCTTTCATTGTGCAAGCAGATCGCTGTGCCCAACTTGAGTGCTATGATCCGTTAGCCTTCAACACTCACTCGCGCATCGTTTCGCCGATTCAATTACTTACACCGTTGCCATTATGCTGAAGTACAACACTTCCATCAAATCCCGCGCTGACATTTTGCGCTGCAGCAAGTGGTGTCACAGGATCAAAGGTATTCCCGACCAGCAAGACCGGATTCCTTGTCTGCACCTGGAAATCACCATCATATCGCTCCTTAGCATCAAACTGCCACTGCGCGCACTGCGAGACCAGATTCGCAACCGTCTCACCGCACCACTCGCTGATTTCGTAGAACTCCTCCATGATCGGCACCAAAGCCTTGCTGCTGGATAAGCGCGGGAATTTGTCGCTGCACTTGATACCGGGCAGTGCCTCGTACTGGATAGACGCAGCCGGGGTGACAAGGTAGTCCAAGTGCTGCGCAAGGGTGTCTATATCGTTGCTTAGCATGCTGTCCAGGGCGGCGGCCAGTTGTGGCCACCCGCTTGGCCAGTAGAGGCTACCCAAGAGGGTGGCTTTGAAGATACTGTAATCTAAGACGAGCCCGGCAACGGGGATGGGTTCGTATTTAAGTATCTGCAGGAAATCGTGGATGGATGATTCTAGCTCGGCTGGAGTTTGGTTGCGATGCGCTAGGGCGCAAGCGTCGCCTGCTGTGACGCAGCCTGATAGGAAGCTCCGGAATGTTTTGTCTGTGTCCGTGAAGGTGACCGTATCTCTGTGGGAAGGGGTAAAGTCGATCAGTGATATTTTCAACGTTGGATGTCGAGGTGAGACTTACGGTCCATGGTAGTAGTCGTCCGGGTTAACCACTCCATCCAGAAGTACCCTGTCCATTCGGTCGGGGAACATGGAAGCCACTGTTGCTCCCAAAACTGTACCATATGAGCTACATGGAGATTGTTTCATCAGCTGGAAGTTCAAACTCGGCGACGCCTAAGAAGTTGTTCTTACCGTAATACCGCAACATCCCGTCTTCGCCCAGTGCGTCAACAATTTTCATCATGTCCCGTGCCACGAAAGCCGTGCCGACTAGAGTCCCACTTTCATTCATCCCATTTAAACAAGCATCCGACGATAACATTGCTTCAGCCCAAATATGCCCCAATGCTGTGTCTGATGAGTTAGCCGTAGCCGTATTTGGTATTTGGGCAAAAAGCCTCTCAGCGTCGTTAGCATAGCACGAATACGTCAAAGTCTGACCGGTTCCTTGTGTTCTAGTTATTAGAGTATACTGAATAGTTCGCAGTCTCTGACAATCGGCTATGGATCGTTCCTTACCGCGGATCAAAGCTGATGATATCGTGGAAACCACCCGTCATACTGAGCGCTTGAGGTGAGTACACAAACGCCAAAAGTGCAAAATCGTGGCTTACTTACTTTTGCAAGAATTCCGCTGTCGCAGCGAGGTTTTGTTGTCCGTCCCCACCTGGGCCACCGAAATTGATCAAGATGCTTCCCCTCGCGGGTTCGATTGTGGAAGCACCTGTTATGTTGATGATCTGTTGAGGTTCTATTCTATTCCTCGTGCCTGTTGAGCGCGCCCTGCCAACTAAGTGGGTGCCAGTCCAGACATTTGATGGCGAAAACTTCCTACAAAACAGCGTCTATCTTGTTGTGTGTGGCAAATTTTGAGAGAGGATAAAGTTGGTCTGTTCAAGAGCTATACGCTGTAGTTGCCAACATGGTCTCCTTGCCCATCTTGATGACACTCGTGGCTGTTAATGACCTTGAGTGCGTTCAAAACGTCACAACTGCAAATTTTTTCAACTATCGCACGCCAGAGGCGGTGAAAGTTTATTGCCAGTAACCAGAGGGATATGATGACGGCTCTTGCCTCGTATGGTTACTCAAATCAACCTTGGAAATCTGATCTCACGATACCTTCGACCTGGACCGTTCACCAGACGAACAGAACTCCTACATTAAACAAATCGGATCCCTCAATTATCTCAGCGCTGGGAGTAGAGCTGATATTACACTGACGACCCACAAGCTCTGTGAAGCCAATGCAGGCCCTTCCACACGACATATGGAAGCTTTGAAGCATCTCCAACGTTATTTCAACGGCTGGCCTGCCCGGGGCATTGTTCTTGGTGTTAAATATAACCCATGAGGTCTGAAACTTCACGTAGTTGCCAATGCCAGCTGTGCAAGCGAACTTGGAACACGTATTTCTGTCAGTGGCCACGTTGTCTTTATCGCGGGGGCACCAACCTACTGGAAATTCAAGAAGCAATCCCCGGTCCTGATCAGTTCAACGGAGTCAGCCTTCTGCAACTTGACTACAGCTGGAATTTCTGCTCTGTGTATTGCAAAGCTATTGAAGGAAATCAGCTTCCCTCAACCCCTGCCGATCGTCATATTCACAGACAGCCTCAATTCAAAGGCCAATGTCTTGAATCATCTGAACACGGCCAAAACACGCCGTATTGATACACAATACAAGTGGATCATAGACCGTACGACAAAAGGCTAATTCAAACGGGAATATGTACCAATCGGATACCTGGTTGCCGACGGTCTGACAGAGCCACTTTGAGAAAAGGTCACCCAATTTTGTCAGAATGCTTGGCTTTCAGACATACCCCTGGTAGATTCTGTTCCATGTCTAAATAGATAGATACTCCCTGTTTGTGTTCTTTACACCTTGCCTTGCTACAGGGGGTATGTTGTCGCTCCAGGCCAACTATGGTGCACATACCACTGTCGCCCTGCTTTCTCACATGTGTAGCTAGCATGCTTGGATAGCTTCACACACCGGAAGCATCTCTGATACAAAAATGATCACCATAGCGGTATTGGCCTATAACAACGATGTTCAGCAGGAAATCAATAAATACATATACCATGTGTTCAACTTTCCCCCACTGTAATGGATTGGATACATGTGTACAACTTCCAGCAATATAGTCACGTATGTCCCCTATCATTGACCCTGTTTCCTCTCAACTACCGCACTCATAGCTCTAAGATTTGAAGTTTCTCTTAAGAGTCGAAGATGAATCTTAACACCAAACTTCCGATGAATAGCATGTTGCAACTGAACCAGGAGCAAAGAATTTCCACCCACTGAAAAGAAAGAGGAACTTGGGCCAATATGGACCGTTTGTGCGACTGTTCCAATGACATCAATCCATATTGCGCGAAGATTTACTTCTGTTTCTGTAGCCCCAACCTCGATTTCAGTTTGCCCTGAAACCGTAGAAAGTGGTAAGCCCTTGAGAACTTCAGTATTCAGCTTTCCGTTTGGTGTGACCGGCAAACGTTCCAGGGGAACAATGGCTGATGGGATCATGTATTGTGGAAGCGTAAGACTTTGGAGAAGGTCTATAAGCTGCTCATGTTCCAGGTGCCTCCTGGGCTTAAAGACGACGTGGCATACGAGGAACTGCGGGTCGCCGCGAACCGTCACAGCTGCATCAGCCAAGTCGTTTGGTGCTGCCCCCAAGATTGCACCAGTGACCTCGTTAAGGTCGATTCTTAAGCCTCGGAGCTTGATCATCGCATTGTAGCCAAAACATCGGCCTAGGAAGACGATCGATCCGTCTGCATGGAGAATGCCCCTATCTCCGGACTTGTACATGGTGTGAAACCCTTGTTCCAGATACTCGGCACTGGCGAATGGGTTCTCGACGAATTTTTCATCGCCTAGTTCAGTGTCAAGATAGCCGTTGAACAGGCCGCTGCCAGCGATGCAAATTTCACCTGGCACGCCTAAAGGCAGCAGGCTCCCATCGCTTTCACTGGTGATATAGACAGACGTGTTTGGAAGGACGTAGCCAACGGATCCAGCCCTGTTATTGCATTCGTCCTGGATAGCACCGGCATGTACCTGGATATTCCGGTTGGTCACAATGAAAGCTTCGGCGGGCCCATAAGCATCAGTTAGCGTCAAATTGGGAAGCTTCAACTCTCGCACGCCCTCGATAAGCCGCTCAGGAAGGGCTTCTCCAGCTGTATGGCAGAAGCGCCACGAGCGGCATTGCTGCAAGACATCTGAGGCATAGCTAAGAAGCAAGTTGTACTCGGAAGGAGTGCCGATAGTATACTCGATCATCTCGTCGATGATGAACCTAGAGAGCATATCAGGGTCCCCTCTAGCTTCAACTGAAGCAACAACAAGCGTTCCTCCATTGGTGAAGGCGTTGTAGATTTGCGCAAAGGATAAGTCAAATCCGATGGATGTTTGCTGCAATACTCTAACTTGTTTAAACCCGTAGGCTTTGCTGGTGTAAGCAGCATAGTTCATCATGCCTCTTTGATGCAGCTTGATGCCCTTGGGCACGCCAGTAGATCCGCTCGTGAATAGAATATAACTATCCGATCCGGGGTCTGAAACAGTACGCTCAGGAGAACGAGCATGCCGTGGGTGAGCCCGAGCCTTCTCAGCTATGTTTAGCGATCTATATTCGCCATGGTCCTCGGTCGCACTGGCGGCAGTAGCTGCATGGAAGACGAGGAGATCTGGCTGGCATGCTTTCATCATGTCGTTACGTCTCGCAGCGGGCACGCTCACGTCCAATGGAATAAAGACAGCCCCGATATGGAAGACAGCCAACATTGTCGCATAGAGATCAATGCTTGGCTCACACAGAACCGCAATTAGAGATCCAGCTGTGGTCTTTGCTTCGAGTAGAATGTTGGCGTAGATCTCAACTAATTGCTTCAATTGATTGTATGTGATGGCCTCGTTGCCATCTTTGACGGCAACGGAACCGGGGAAGTTGGCAACAACCTGCTCGAACCTTTCCGACAACGACTGGGGCCACGAGTGCTCGACATCAGCACCGTGAGCAACGGTTGTCGCCTGTTGCAGCTGGGTGTCGCTGAATAGACCAATGTCCTTCACTGCAACCGAGGGATCTGGAGCCAGAGATTCAATCACATTGACAAATGTTTCCGCGATGAACTCTGTGGTCGAAAGGGAGTAAAAGTCGTCACTGCATCTGATATTGAGCAAATGGCCGTGCGAGGTAGATTGTAAAACGTCGATAGTCAAGTCGTAGAGAGTTGTGTAGATGGTTTCTTCTAGTTCCATGGTACAGCCTCCCACAGAGTTCGCGACATTCTCGCCGACTCTGTAGTCATAGGCCACTTGGACGAGAGGCATGCCTCCTTCACTCCTTAGAGCCTGTATCTTCTCCAAAACGACAGCAAATGGGACATTTCGGTTGTCGAAGCTGTCCAAAAGAGTCTTGAATGTGTTCTCCAGGACCTCTGGAAAGCATTCACCCCAAGATCCCTTGAAACGAATGGGGAGGATATTAGCCATATGGCCAACAGTGTCCCCAAACCGACTTGTCGGGTCACGACCATGGGACATAACGCCGATGCAAATGTCATCGATATCCAGCAGACGGCAAAGGAAAACTCGCATAACAGCCAAGTAGAATTGCATCGGAGTGACGCCGTGAGCCTGACTGATTTGCGTCACACGCTGCACAAGCTCGCTACTCAGCTCTCTTTTGACGAGATGATATCCGTATGACCGACGGTTCTGTCTGGTCTTAACCTTTGCCGTTGGCAGCAAAGGAATAGGTTCCGGGATAGGGTCGAGAAGGCGTTTCCAATAGTCGATACTCTCGTCAAGACGCCCCGCCTGTACATCGTCGATTTCCTGGCGAGTGAAGTCAAGATACGAGGCAGAGTCCTGAGACAACGTTTGGAATCGATATGCACGGTCAATATCAGCAAAAAGTAACCTCATGGAGACGGCATCAAGCGCAATATTATGGAATCCAATGACTAGAGTATGCCATTGCGCTCCATGACTGATCAGAGTGGCTCGAAGGGTGTCACCCGTAGCGAGGGAGTACTCATGTTTCGCAATTTCGTCGAATGCCTTCTCCACATCCACCTTTGCCGTTTCTTTGGTGGATTGCAAGCGACTGATTTGAGGGGTCGCGTTCTTAGTGACATGCTGCATGACTTCAGAGCTTCCGGAGGTTGCCAAGAAACATGTTCGCAATGCCTCATGGTGATGCATGACTTGATCAAAAGCACGACAAAACCTCTCAGTGTCCAATCGACCCTTGATCCGGAACCTCCCCGTAAGGTTGAATGATGTCCGACTATCAGAGAATGCACTCAGGTAGAAGAAACCGGCCTGAGCATATGACAAGCGCTCGGATCGAATAAATGGCAGTTGGGGTCCCGGAATTTGATTGGATATCCCAGTCAAACATTGGGAGGAAGTCAGAGAAGCTTCACTATCTCGAGCATCATGGCCATGGTTGGATAAAGTCGGGCCAGTTGACTCTTTTTGGGCATTCGGATCTGCCTTAGGTGCTAGCGTCTTGTTTGGCTGTGGCACTTCAGCAGTCGAGATCTCTCCCTTAGACATGCTCTTTGTTGCCGGTCTCTTGGCAATGTACTGCTCGGCTACGGTACGAATGATGGATGAGATAGAGTCTCGACCAAGGATCTTGAGCATGGAGATATCAGCTTCCAACTTCTCTCGGAGCCACTTTCGAATCTCAATGGCATTGATAGAATCAATTCCTAGATGTGACATGGGCTCATCAGGATGAATTGAGTGCAATGAAACATGGATCATAGACTCGATTTTTCTGGACAATAGCTCGGTGATCGGTGGGATTGCCTCATCAAAAGAGATAGCATCTTCCAGATTCTGTTGCCATCGCTGGATTGAAGAAGGCGCGTCGTCTGCTTGCCCATCCTTGGAGGCCTTAGAGACACGGACCATGTGAGAGAAAAGGGGCGCGTTAGCCCATCGTGGTTTAGAGCTCTGTCCTTGATCATGGAACATCTCGAGGCCCATGATAACCTCGCCACTTGGGGAGTTTGGATGGCCTGCAGCAATTCCTTGGAGGATAACATGATGGAAATCTGCTTCGGATAGAGCTGTAGGGAGATCAGTGCGGAGCCATTCCTCAACACTCGGCCCAGCAGAACGATCTGATCGAGCAACGTATCCGACATCTACGAGCATTCCGAAGTTGAGAATGGATGCCGCTAGACCGCGTCGCCTCCTATTCTGTACCAAGCTCATCATAAAGGCATTGCCCGCGTGGTATATCGCATGCCCGGCGTTGCCGCACACAGTGGACAAAGAACCAAACGTCAAGAAGAAATCTAATTTACTGGTTTTGAACTCGTCATCCAGATTGGCGGTGCCATAGATCTTCGGTTTCATCTGCTTGGCGATACTTTCAGCGGAGAGATTCGCGAAAATAGCCGGTTCCAGGACCAGAGCTGCATTTGTGACACCACCAATCTCAGGCATGGTACGGCGAAGCATTGCAACAGTCTCTCGAACCTGTGAACGGGATGTAACATCCATCTTCACCACGCGAATTTCAATGCCGATGGCTTGGAGATCATGAATCCAGTTTTGACCCCCTTTGGGGTTTCGACTAGACAAGACAATGTGGCGAGCGCCGGCGCGAATCATGAAGTAGGTCAGAGATTGACCAAGTTCACTTGCCATGCCAACGAGGAAGTATGTTTTGTCGGGTGACAATAGGGCACTTGGCTCGAGACCGCGGAGGATCGCACCGACTGAGCTTTCTCGCTTCCAATTTGTCACGACAGACAGACGTACCGGGCTGGAGTCACGCGGTTGGGGTAACTCATGGATGTTCACAATTGCCGGCTTCGATGCCGAGGCCAAGGATTCTTGGTGTGTCGAGTAGACCCTGACAGCGTCTTCGACTGACTGTTATGACAGAGTGTTGACATCGAATGTCTGTACTGTGCAGCCAGCAGGTAGCCACCGGGAAATAGTGTCGGTATTCTTCTTAGACAGACCATAGAGGTTGATTGGGCCACGAGGAATCATCTGTTGGAAACTTCGAGCGGTACTCTGAGGATGAACATAAAGCCATCCGTCGTGTTCGCTTTGTCTCTCCTTGCTAATTGCAACAAACAAGGCCTTGCAACCTGCACCTGCCACCACCAAACGTATCGCATCGGCCAGCCTATCAGACGCGCCACACACGAGAGTTGTTCCGTGGCCCGGAATGTTGGAAACTACATGCGATGCAATTAAGAAGCTTGCCAAGTTCGCGAGATCCTCTGCATCGCACTCCTGCAGACCCAAGGAACTGAAGTCAGAGTCCTCGCGAACGTGAGCAACTGACGAGTCGGTTTCTGACAGCGTCAATACAACTCTGTCTCCCTGGTCTTTCACATTTCCATAGCAGAGGAAGCAAGGAGATTCGTTTCCATCATGTAGCGCTACCGATAGCTTGACCTGAATTGGTACGTGGTTCTCTGGAAGATCAAGAGAACGGCTGCAGATAAGTACCGAATCCGCTGAGTCGACATCCTTGGCAATCTCGATCGGCTCTGCAGGTTCAACTAGCTTGGTAATCTGACGGCGTTTCGCGTTGTAGACCTCATTGGATATCTGATCGGGCAAAATTCGTGGCACCAAGATTTGGGAATCCTTGATGACGATCTCTGGCTCCTCTACCCAAAGCATTCCCTCGGCAACACCGAGAGAAGACGAGAATATGAGACGAAGGAACTGAGCCATCAGCACTTGGATATCCCATGGTTCATCTTCGTCAAAATCGAGATAATGAATAGTAGTGTCGGGAGATTCGAGTCTCAGCGAGCGTCCAATGCCGATCATGATATTCGCATACGGATCGTCTGCCATACGACGTGATGTTACCCACAAGATATTTCGCGAAATATCTAATACTTGCTTGAGATTTCGTAGCTCGCTTGGTGACGGGGGGGAAGAGAAGAGCGGCTTATCGAGGTCCTGGAAGCTGATAACGGAGGCTCCGGGCGGGATTCGAGAACAATCAATTTGATCGAAACGGCTGTATGCCTGTATTTCTGTTGCCCAACCACGAACCATTTTCTCTGCTTGTCGGACGAGTCTAGAAACCTTGCTTGTTTCACCGCCAATGAGGATCACAGGAGGTGGTGTGATCATGTCCATAGAAATGAGGGGATCTCGCAAGATGTCCAATCGATCGTCCGTGGCTTGGGAGGAGAAAACAGAGAAGCCATGCATTCCGACATTGGCTTGGTCGTGGAGAGTACAGTCAATTCCCGAGAACCCATGTCGCTCGAGGAGTTTATCCCATTCTCCAGTTGTGATGACAGGGCTTGCTGTTCCTCTATCACTGACACCAGCCCACCAAGTCTCCAAGCCTCCCATAATGGCGGTTGGTCGAAGCGAGGTTCCCGTAAATTCCATCGCAATCAAGAAACCTCCGGGGCGGATTAGTCTTCGCATATTCTGCACCGTTCTTGATAAATATCGGCTCGCACGTAAAACATCTGTCGCAATGACAATATCGTATGATCCTGCCTCAAATCCTTGGGAGGCGAGGTCAGCCTCCACTTCAAAGACCTTGAAGCTGACATTTTCTGTTTCAGCTGGGACTAGCTTTTCCTTAAGACTCTTGATAACGGTTTCCGAAGCACCAGCGCAAGTATAGTGTGCGTACGCGTCACCAACAGTGCCTAGGATGGTAGAAGTGGTATTTCTGACACCAGCACTGATTTCAAGAATATTGGTTCTAGGGAACTGGTGACTAATTTGGAGGACGAGCTGCGCAATGTACTCGTTGCATGTAGTAGCGCTGCTTCTGTTGTGGTAAAAGGAACTCGGCAAACTCTCGTGTGTATATTCCGAGGTCCCTTCCAGTAGGGTGAGAGTCCACTCTGCGCTGGACGCCAGCATTGCCATGTCAACGTCGCTCGGATCACGACTAAGAAGATGTTTGATAGTGTCGGAGCTGTCATTCAGCCACTCCCTCATCAAAACAGGGTGGTCAGCTTTGCGAAGCTGAGCAACGGTTGCGTCGATAAAACGCATCAGATCTTGATGATGGTGCTTCACAACGTTCAGCTCTCTCGCATTCACCGACCGAGCAAGCGACTGAAGATAAAATAGTGCGACGCGTTCGTACTCCTCTGGCGTGTACATGGACGATCTAGCACTGATTTCGGCAGTTCGTGGCTGAACTAGACCATATGCTGCATCAAGGCCCCAAACCGTCTTGGCAAAAATATTTCGATCTTCTGATGGTTGTGGCTCCGAAATAGCCTTAAATCTGACGCCCTCCAACTGGATGCCCCCCAAATCATCGCGAGTGCCTTTCTTAGCACGCACGTTGATGTCGGCTTCCATCAGCTTACCCAGCTCGGGACTGGTCATGTAAGCCTCAATCTCAATGTTGGTCGATCCATCGAGACTCAGAAAGTCCACATTGGGGTGGACGAGGGCCCTCTTAATTCCAACAGGGAGATAGGAGCTTGGCATGGATCTCTCAGCGGTAGATACAAAAGTGGCCAGTCCTGCTTGAAGAGCAACATCGAGGATAGCAGGGTGCAAAGTGCAGCAGACATCGAGGTCATCTTTAGGCCATGAGGCGACTGCTTTTGCATGGCCCCAGCACCTGTTGAGCGAAGTCAGTGCACGGAAAGTGCCGTCGTATCCAAAGCCAATATCCGACGCCGCGCGATAGAACCGATCGACGTTGAATGGCGTCAGCTCCACATTAGATATGTTGGTGGGCGCGAGATCCTCCGGTTCAGGTTCACCGAGATGAACAAGCAACCGGCCGTCACAAGTTTTGTCAGCCTCACGCCCGTCGGGATAACTGTAGCAAGCAAACTCTGCTTCCAGAATAGAACCATCTTCAACCTTCTCAGGTGAGACACGACTGCGTATTGTAAACAGAACCTCAACCTCATCTCCCTCGCCGATTACCAACGCTGTAGGGATGGCCATATCAAGAACTTCAACCAATTTGATGGGGCGGCCTGTGATGAAGGCTTTTGCTGCATCCACAGCCAGACTGATGTAGCCAGTCGCTGGAAATAGAACCTGGCCCTGAAAGACATGTCCCTTGACCCAGGGCATCTCCTTGAGCTGGAAGATGTTGCGCCAAGTGTGCTCATACTGGGCGTCGTTCCAGAGGCGACCAAGAAGATCATGGGGAGGTTGTTTGCCAAGACGATAATTGCGAACCACGCGGGATTCACGCCAATGAATCTGTGTGTGGTCCCAAGCGTATGGGGGCAAGTTCTTAAGCACCTGTGGTTGGGCTGCAAGACCGAATGCCTTCCGCCAACTCGCAAAATCAATCGAGGAAGGGTCAATGGTCCAGATCATTGCAAGCATCTCTGAAAAGGTTTCAATGTCGTCATTACCTCGACTTAGGCAGCTAGTATACTGAGGAGTATAATCAATCGACTGCTTGAATGTCTGGTTGACCGGGCCTTTAAGGGCAGGATGTGGGCCAATTTCCATTGCGGCACTGAATCTTGCGGAAACAACCTGGACGGCAAGCTTCACAGCTTCGGAAAATAAAACCGGTTGCACCATGTTATCGACCCAATACTGAGCCTCCAGTCCGGACTCAAAGGGTCTCTCGAGAATATTGGTGTTAGCTCTAACGCTCGAGTACCAATGGCACTCTTGATCAGTCGGAGGCGTTTGGATGCGAATATCGAGCTGCTTGAGGTGACCCAAGTAAGCATCAGCGCAGGCGAGCATATGGTGGGAATGATAGGCGACATCAACTTGAAGGGCCCGGGCCTGGATGTTGATTCTATCTAGGTGTTCCTTCATCTCCACGATTGCATCCTTGGCGCCAGATAGCGTTACACTCGAGGGGGAGTTGCTAGCTGCGACGTTTATTCGATTCTTGAATCGCGGTTCAGAGCAGAGCGCAGATGCAGCATCAAAGGGCATAGCAGCGGCCATCATGCCTCCCGACTCGCCAGCATCTCCTCGGGCAAGATGGGCCACATGGCCTCTGTAATAAGAGATGCCCATGGCATCCTTCCTAGTCAATAGGCCTGCTGCGTATGCTGCGCCAATATCTCCGGATGAATGACCAACGACGGCAGAGAATTTAATCCCACAGGCACGTAGAAGGTCTACGAGACCAATCTGAATAGCCGTGCAGAGTGGCTGCGAGAATTTGGCCTCTGACACGCGGGATTTCGTGGCATCGGCAGCCAATTCCTCACTGAGTGACCATGGAGGAGGTTCAGGGATACATTTCAAGGCCTCTTCACACGCAATGATAGACTCCTTGAAGAGTTTGCAGTGCTCTAACAGTGCACAACCCATCCGTGCCGCTTGCGCTCCCTATGTGAACGGTAGTCAGCACCAATACTCAGGATACTATACAAATTCTACTTCAAGAACGATGATGAAAACTCTATGCAACATACCTGACCGGTAAAGATGCCCAGAATTCTAAGCGATTTTGGAGCAGCGAACCCAGCTCCGGCACCAGACCCGTCCATCGATGTGCTTATAGTGTTGATCTGGTCCTCTAGCTTCTGAACAAGGTCATCAAGGTCCGAAGCTGCTGGGATCGCGACACGATACGGAAACGCTGTTCTTTTGGAATACAGGCTGCTGCTTAAAGAGTCAAGATCCAGAGACTGATTCTCCCGCAGGTAGGTCAATAATTGCTTGAGCCAGTTGACCAACGAAGTGCGACTTCTTGCCGAGAACACAAACGGGCCTCCAATTCTTCCTCCCACCATAGATTGATACACACTGTCATCCATGATTTCTGAAGTAGATGAATTCAAAGACGACACGATTGTCTCAGAAGGCTCGTAACTCTCGAGGATAGCATGAGCGTTCGTACCGCCGAAACCAAAGCTGTTGACACTTGCTCTGCGAGGCGCGTCGTGTATCTCTGGCCAAGGCATAAGAGAAGTAGGAACCTCTAGGTTCTTGTAAAAAGGCTCAACTTTGGGGTTGAGCTGATTGAAGTGCATGTTGGGCGGGATCGCCTTGTTCTGAATCGCTAGTGAGGCTTTAATGACTCCCGCCAATCCAGCACAACCTTCAAGATGGCCGATAATCGTCTTGATAGAGCCACAGTACAGGATACTGTCATCTTCATGTTTATTATCGGGAAAGAAGGTGTCTCGAATCGCTTGGGACTCAACAGGATCACCGGCCTGCGTACCGGTACCGTGGCACTCGAAATATTGGCATCGATCTGTGATAGGGTCCAAGCCCGCATTTCGGTATGTCTGCTGGATCAAGGCAGATTGCGCTGCAGGAGATGGCATCGTAATGCCATTGGTAGCTCCGTCCGAATTGACCAAGCTTCCTCGAATAACGCATTCGATGTGATCACCATCACGAACTGCTTGGGCTAGCGTCTTTAACACCACAGCAGCACAACCCTCTCCACGGGCATATCCACTGGCATCCTTATCCCACATGCGACAGCGAGAATCTGTAGAGAGTAGATGCATCGACGATTCTGCGATGTACCAAAACGGATCCATAAGTAGATTGGTACCAGCCACGACGGCCTGAGTGGCTTCCCCTCTATGGAGACCTTGGGCGGCAAGATGGAGAGCGACCAGTGAGCTCGAACAAGCTGTGTCGAGGGACAGAGAAGCTCCTTGGAGGTTGAAGGCATAAGAGATGCGGTTGGACAGGATAGCTCGAGATACGCCGGTAGCAACGTGGCTACCCGACATATCAGGGTCTCGAGATTGAATAGAGGTGTAATCCTCTGTCATTGAGCCGACGTGAACTGAGGTTTGCGAACCATCAACATCGCTGAGCGACCAACCCGCTGCCTCGAAGGCCTCATAAACAGTCTCTAGGAGGATCCTCTGCTGAGGGTCCATATCAGCCGCCTCCTTCGGATTGAGATGAAAGAAGGCGGCATCGAAGTGGCGAACATCCTCATCCAGCAAATATGACTTGTGTTCAACATTTGTGCGGCCGTGCATGTCGCCATTATTGTGATAAAAGTTTGCCGTATTGAGCCTCTCAGGGGGGAACTCTTTCAGAACGTCTCTCGGAGCCTTCAAGAGGTCCCATAGTCTAGATGGAGACTTTGCCGCACCAGGGAACCGGCAAGCTGTACCCACAATTGCCAGTGGTTCATACATGTTACATGAACCAAGTAAGATTGAGTCTAGTGATGTTTCTGAACGATGATATGTTGCTGGGGCTGAAAAGATGAGAGTGAGTGAGAATTTCAAATTTCGCAGGTCAGATTCAGGAACAGATGGTGGCAGGATGCTTCTTATATCCAAATCAGTAACACAACAAATTTTTAAATCTACAGTCCCCCAAAGTGAATGGCGTCCGTCCGTCAATAGCCTCCTCTGCGTTATCAGATGTTGCTACCGATGAAGACCTCCACTCACAAAAATCTCACCGCCCTGTGTCAATTTGATCTGCATACCAAGATGACAGTTCCAGCCCCAATGCAGGTAGGTAAATATACCAGCATATATGAGAAAGCAACGCCGTGAATAGTCAGACCGTACCGTTAGCATGCATCAAACTATTGGGCGGTGTGGGCGGCATGGGGGAGTTTGTGTAGATAAGTGTCATTGAGGTCATTCAATGTGATTAATAATTAAAATAGTAACGATTTACGTTTTTGGTTTAATATAATTCTAAGGCGCCAAGTAATGAGATGTGCGAGTGTAACACAACATTGCACATCAAATGGTTTGAAGGTTAAAATGTGCGAGAGCTACACACCATTGTACATCTGTTAGTTCAAAAGGAGCACGCTACATTGTTATTCCATAATATATCAGAAGCAACACCATGAAGAGTCAGCTGTTAGCACGCATCAAACTATTGGGCGGCGTGGAAGGTATGGAGGAGTGTGTTAATAGGTGTCACAGATTTCACGCAATGTGACTACTAATTAACATAGTAATAGTTTCATTCACGATTTTTGCATTAATATAATCCTCAGGCGCCAAGTTATAAGATGTGCAAGTATTATACAACATCGCATATCTGATAGTTTGAAGGATGCAATGTGCGAGAGCTACACACCATTATGCGTCTGTTGATTCAAAGGGTGCATTCTATATTGCTGTTGCGTGCCCTAGCCACACCGTCTGTGTGGTGGATGTAGCGCTGGGGCTGATTGCCCGTATATAGCCCTTCCATTGCAGCCTTTAGGTCTTAGTCCTATCATCATCATTATCACTAATACAACCCTCTTTTCTGTATTGCGAACAGGTCATATGCCCTCTGATGCTTCCACTGTACAGATGCGATCCTTGTAACCGACGTCAATCGTGCTGTAGAAAGCTTGCGGTCGAGGCTCAGGCGATATTAGGGATGTCGAAGCCAACCTTTTCGCGATAATCGCCGAATTCGCACCGATCATATCAATTTCAACCCAATGGCGTATATTCCAGGACTACTACGGCTTCCTGAGCCAATTGATGAAGTTAATATGAAGATCTGGCGGGCCAGTGCAGGAACAATTGAAATACGTTGCTCTCGACCAGTACCTTTATGATATTCCCGAGCCCGAACTCGAGGTTAACCACAAATATGAACTTAACTGTCTCTTAGCTCGTAGCCTTATATTTAGGATCCTCTCATAATATGCATGGAAAGCCTCGAATAGGCCGGATGAGACATGGAATGGGAGACGGATCCTAAAGTACTGTGGGGCTTAATTCATACCGTGTTCGGCTCCAAGCCAGTCAGCAAGCCGGGACCAGAGCCGAAGCCACTCGTGCCAGAGCCAGAGGAAGTCATGAAACCAGAGCCGCAGCCAGAGCCACTCATAAAGCATCACTTCGATGCAATGAACCAGTACTGGACCCTTCGTTCCAAATTTCCTACATTACGGCCGCTAGCTAAGCCGAAGATGGTACCTTGTTACCACCAAATAAGCCATATATCGACCTTCTCCGGAAAATTACTTCTATACAGAAGAACCACAGCGATTTGGATATAGTTGGGGGCTTTCATATAATCAAGCCAACTTCGTACCGCTTCTGCTGCCTGATTGTTCCATCGACCTCGAACGAATACAAGGTAATATGTGAGGAGGACTGGCCATGGGGGTGGAGGACTATGAATAAGTATGTTACACACCAAACTTCTATAAAAATGACTCCGGATGAGTCGATCTTCGCCGTTCTTTTCCATGAAGGAACTTCGGTTGTACACCCTTGAGCACAGATTGGGGCACTCCTGCATCTGTTGGACTATGGGGGTGCTATGCGTGCCCAAGGCACACCACCTGTGTGCTGGGTGCAGCGCTTGAGCCAATTGCCGATAGATAGCCTTTCCGTAGCTGCAGTTTTGGGGACTTGGTCCCATCATCATCACACGAATATAACCCTCTTGCTTGTATTGCCAATACATTACATATCTGATAGTTTAAAGGATAAAATGTGCGAGAGCTACACACCATTATGCACTCCTTAGTTCGAAGCGAGCACTCGATATTGCCATCCCATGGAAGCTAGGCTAAAACGTAGTCTTGGCTCTTTGTTCTGCGATACCTTTTTTGGTAAGGGATTGGCCGTCTTGGCGTCAGCCGCTGACAGCGAAGCCATCTATCTAAAAGCGAAAACAAATAGGAATCGAACCGAAATTACTTTACGACTGTGCTTATTCCCACTTTTAGTCATACTAAGACCTGTAATAATAATAAATTAGGAAGGCCTGGCGTACTTCCTAAGGGCCTGCGCTACTGTACGTTATGCCAACCACTACTCAAGCTACTGGGACAAGTACCGGGACATTATTGTACTTAGAGATGCGAAAGATATTCACAAGTGCAGTGGTTGTATTTTCCAGTGATATTTGAACCATCTCACCAAAGCTCAGCCAGTTGAAATATTCAACTCAAATTGCAATCATTGTAACATAATCTCAGAGACCTATCGATTGATGCTCCGCAGTTTGACAACACGATGCCTCTGGTAGGCTCCAGTGGTCCAACTCACTGCCGATGGCGATCTAAAATCAAGTCTTTGTCTAATAAACTGTCCTTAATGGGATATAGAACCCAGCATCTCCAATTTATCCAAGCATCTCTTGATGGTTTTTGAAATCTCTGGAATGTGTTGAAATGAAAACATCTCAAAATGATTACCTGGCACGCTCACAATGTCTGTGAACATACCCATATCGTATTGGTCCCATCCTAGAGTTCGGTCGTTTCGGTAAATGTCCGCAACATGCACGCGGTCGCTTCCTGTCGGTATGTGGTCGAGGGCTCGCAGCAACGAAATTCGTGGCCGTTTTGCGACTTGGTCGCCAGCCCAGACGGGCGGTTCCCACTCCTGAATTACCCGCAGTGCCTCCTTCATGGCTTTCAGGGACAGGAACTCGTTCTTTGACTTGCCCAGACCTAAGTGGTCCAACGCTTCCAGACGAACTGACGGCGGATTGACAGAATATATACTATCCATCATCAACACGCCGATGATCCTGACGCCACAATCCCCTGTCAAGACCTTGGCGATCTCGAGACTCAGCAGTCCTCCCATGCTCCAGCCGCCGATGAGAATATTCACACTCCCATCGGAGTTGCGCTGGGCCGGGAAGTCAGACTCAGCACAGGTCCGTCTGATGATGCCAGCGTAGAGGCGCCCCATTCCACGGATACCGCCTTCGAATCTCCCTCCGTTGCGAAAATAAGGGTTGAAAATGCCGTAGGCTGGCCGAGCCAGAGGATCTAAGCAATGATAGGCAAAGGTTGTACCACCGCCGTCGTGGATGAGGAAAACAGGCACCGCTTGCACTTGACGATTTTCCCCGTTCCAGTCTCCATTCTGGAGAAGCTCTGGGTTTTCCTCCATTGCTCAAGTATCAGTAATGTCCGTTTCTTGGCTATTCCGTAGTATTGAATAAGAGTAAACCGCAGAAACAAAGTACCTATACAACTTTATATCTGGACGACGGAGAAGAACGAAACAGTAGATAAAGGAAGTTGGGTACCAAGGCTGGATGGCGGACCCAAAAATGAGATATGGAAATTGTTGGTTCAAGTGTGACAAGCATGACCATGTGCCGAAAATGCAGCCAACTCCTTATGACTCTAAAATATAACGTAGTATCCGATTCACGTAATATTTTAGTGTTCTTGGTACTACTGATCGGTAAGAAGCAGATCATAGCGGTGTAGTATATTCAGCATGCAGCGGTGCATTGCAGTGAAGACTCAATATATTATACAAAGGATGAGGTAGCTCAATGCGACGACCTCTATTCGGACGATTCCAAATCGAGAATGGTATTGGGGCTTATTTAAACAGTAGTGCTAGCTTTTACGGTATAAGAAATGTAAGCACTGAGCAATATCTTTACTTGTGTCGTCTCGAGCTAGTCCACTGCCGGTAAGTAAATTCCAAAAATAAAATAGACTTAGACCTAGCTTGATAACTGGTGAGTAAGGAAAGCTGGTTATTAAATTTCCTCTTCTATATACCCGTTTGCTTCCACTCCAGAGGTACTAGATCACCTGCATCATTGGATCACCATCCGTCAGTCGTCGCTCCGGATCACTTCCCGCACATAGGGGCAAGGCTATGTAGTCAGGAAAAGCATGACGAGACGTAATGACGATCACCTATTAACTTTCAACGAGACGACCATCCTAGTCGACTTTGCCAATGGAAAATTCTCGGGCGAGCTTCCAATCGGCTCGCGGGCCACTAAGTAGGATACCGTAACAACCTCGACCGCCGAGTCGGAGTTTGTAGCCCTAGCGCAAGTGGCTAAACGATTTTTACTCATCTCTCGACTCGGTACAGAACTTGGAGTCGACCTTGACGACAAAACAATTGAAATCTTGCCTGTATTACCCACATATTATGTTTTACTGGAAAGAGGTAACTTTACTAATTCTAAGCCAAATTTACTACAAAATAGTCTTTTAATGGTGTCATGTTACTATCCTCGTAATATTTGGTCGATTACCCTGTTAATGCTCTCCAGATTTCTATTCAATCCGAGAGAAGGCCCACCGTCGCATCTACCGGTTTCTACCTCTGTGGAAGCGGCCCGTCGTTACTGTCATTGTAGCCTTCCATAAGAGGTCCACAAATATCAGAAACAAGGCGCTTTTACCAAATTCGGCCGCTGTCACTTCATTGTCCGCTATTTGCACCAACTTTTGCGGATTCGCATCTACTCTCTACTCTGGGAAACTCGTTAGCTGTAGCCCTATCTCCTAGGAAAGCTTTTTAGACCTTCTACGTCAATTTCGGTTTTCCCCTCATAGTGTAGTGAAAGATGACTGCGCTTCAGAGTTCGTTCCCAAGTTTATGGGTTTCGTTAGGCTTGAGGTTTATGAAGGTAGTATCTGGAAGTTGTCCCCTATATATATAACATGTTGCGTCTTGGGTAAAGAGCATTAAATCTGCAATAATACATGATAGATCCTAGATCGGCAACGTCGCATTGACAGACTGGCAATTCCCCAGAGTACTCCCCTCAATCCGCGACGTAGCGTTAACAACATAGCTCTGAAGCAGTGAAGTACCACACCTCAATCCCAATACCCAAGCCTTTGCAAACGTGTCAGCCAGGAAAGGGGCTGTGTGGGTGTTGTCCATTGGGTAGCCTGAGTTGACAACATCAGGCCCCAACAACTTGAGAGCCTGAGCGGCATAGCTGCTATGATCGACATAGTACACACCGGCATCAGGCCCACCCAGGGACTGAACCGTGTACCAGGCATAGTAGGAGTATATCATCGGACTCCAGCTGAAGTCACCATACTGGTAAGGATTGGTTGGTGTGGGCGGTGATATGATGACCTTGGCTCCACGCGATAGGAAGCTGGATGATGCATTTCGTACGTATGTCACATAGGTTTGGACGATTTCGGTTTGGTTACTGTAACCACGTGAGCCCTGCGAAATCGGCCAAGCGACGGGGGATATCATACTTATAGGTGACCGGGCACGTCTCGTTGCCCATGCCAGGGCAATCCACACGGTATTTGGTGTCGTTTGCCGGAAATGTAGAGTTGGAACTTTCTGCAAACTGAGTTAGCTACCTTCCTCGCGTTAATATTGGCAAAGCTCTCACGGTCGTTGATACCAAACTCAATCACAACCCAGTCACCAGGGGCGATCTTGTCGATGATGGCTTGGAATCGTCCTTCGCGCGTGAATGATCGTGCACTTCGACCGGCATATGCAGAATTGTTGACGCGGATCAGAGACGAATCGAGGGAGTATTGCAAATATTGGCCCCATCCCTCAGTCCCATTGTGGCCACCACCAGGTGCCATGGTGCTGTCGCCGCACATCCATAAAGTGTGGTTGGCCGTCTGTACTGAATAAGTCCTGTGAAGAGTATGAAGACTTTTTAAGTGAAACTTACCAAGCAAGAGCCGTCACTACGGGCTTTGAGAGATGTGTGGGTGGCAGTAGCAAGCGATGCCACAGAGAGTAGTGACTCGAACCGCATGTTTCTTGCCAGAACAAACAACGACTATTACACAAGCTGGAACCTAGAACCCTGGGAAGTGATAGCCGTATGAGGAAGTCTTGAAGTTTTCAGTCATTATATTCGGGGAGTGCCGTGCCAAGAGAAAAGTTCCTGCATGTTATTAGCGGTCTGATTCTTGTTCATTCAACCCGAAATTTGGGGGTTTGCGCGGGGTGAAATCTCGTCAACCCCACAATCTCCGCACCAGAGTGATCTTTCAATATGGTGTACAGCTTAATAAATTAAGCCACCATTCACGTTACTTGACAAGAATGTTGCTCTCGTCCACTCGGCACATGTCTTCCCGAAACGGGTGAAGGGGTTTATATCACTAATCGTTCGGAGCGAGGAAACATGGTGAGGCCAAATCGCTTGGTTCGGCAGGAGTTGTTTTTTCAACCCATGAGCACTAGGAAATCACTACGCAAGGTTATCCTAGCTTGGTAGTAAAAACAATCAGATGCTTAACAAGTTAACGAAACGCTATATTTCTATAGGAGTTACTTGGTACATAGCTGATGCGTGCACCTAGGGGGGAGGATGCTATAATGCAGTAGTGCGCAACGTTATAGTATCTAATTGAATGGGATTCACCTAACCAGTGGGTCCCCCTACCTTTTCGTATCAATAGCCTTTTTATCTCTAATAGCTATTTTGTGACACGCTATTATGTCTTAAGCTTTAGATATATTTTCTTTGAATTCACCAGTATTATATATAGTGTGAATAAATTTAGTACCAAATCTAACCGGAGATTATCTATAGTAGCTTAAAGTAGAAACGAAAAAAACCATCGGGTATCTCAGGTAGCTATAGCGATTCTAAGCTTGATTGGCTAGCTAACTGGCTAGCCTCGGGTCCTTTTGGGCTAGCTATCTTATCTCATCTGTATCTACAGGGTCAACCCTACTTAGGGTCACGTATGTATCATCAGCTTAAGAAATCATCACTGCAGATTCAAACCTCTTATTATAATTTTGGATCGATACAAACAAGGATTCTCAGATTGTGAAATACATGAGGTCACGTGACAGGCTAAGAGTGACGTGATTACTAGCCACTGGGACTTGGCCAGAAATCCCTCTGCAGAGCGGATCACAGAGATAACATACACAACAATTAATCCATCACACTGAACGGTCAGATTACCGTAAGATCATGGCTGTGACGGCCGGTGTCACGATGCCACGAAACCCACTAGCTGTGGACCCGTAGGAGCACTGGCCATCTGAAGGCGGGATTGAAGATCCTCAGATGTGAGCCAGCCTGTTTTAGTTTCTCTTTCTTTCCTTGTCGAGAATCGTTAAGTCAATACAGTGCATTAGAGTGTTTTGACTCTTCAATTGTGCTCACCGTGACAATGGTCACAATAAGGTCACATGGAAAGATACGCGAATATCCAACAAAAATTGTCTCCAGCTATTTGGCCACAGCAGTAAAAGTCGATAGCAAAACAACTCACACCCGCTTTGTGCACAAGTGAATTCGGCCAACCGAAACGATAAGAGTGACAGCTTCTAAATACTCGAGTGAACTTAACCTGGGGGCTTTGACCGACCACGTCACAAAATCAATCCCCGAATTCAACCTAGTATCATTCTAGATTGATAGGAATGCTATTTGGATTGCAACCACTGTACAAGCCACACACACATCCACAAAGGAGGAACGATTACCCCTCCCTACGTAAGGTCACACCAGCAGTCATTTGACGACAACAGAAGACAAGATACATCAATCAATCACTCAAGCCCTTATCCCATTGGTCAGATATACGTGTCATACAACAAATACGTCCAAAGAAAGCTGCTGGGGTCCCAAGAAGAGGAGAATCGATGACTTGTTTATCCGCAACCACCGAGACTGGCTCAGTGATCCACTGTTCCAGGTTAAACAAAGGGCGACGAAAAGCAAGAAACTGATGGGACTCAAAAACCACGAGTGATGACTCCTGATGAAAAACCATGTCACTTTTTGTGACACCTCCTATTGGCTAGAAGAATGACGATGCAAGAAGGCAGCTTGCTGATAAATAACAGCTTCCGCGCCAGGGTCTCATCAACATACATCTACAGGATGTACAAGGAGAGCAGGTATACCAATTCAACGTGGAAGACCACAGAGGACCTCCTCAATCACCAAGCAGTAGAGTCTGTGTTCACCAGAGGGCAAATTCTCAGTCTTTCACTCGCTGCTACCCGTTTTGCCATTGCGTCTGGGCCATCCCTGATGACGGTGATGCGAAGAAATTTTGCGAACTCAGTCAGACAGGTCTCCGCTGAAAGCCACGGCTTCTTGATCAGTGAAGCATTTCTAGTCTAAGGAGTGTTGCTCACTGAGCTCTTTTTCAAAATAAGCATGCATTCAAAATGGTGGCCAATGTGGTCAGATACAAAGCTCAAGCGCCAGCCGGCCCCTTGCAGTGTTTAGGCCACCACCAAGCTTTAAATAGGCCAACCAAAATGGCGGAATGTTTTTTGGCAGGGATGCCCCAGCAGGGTTTGATCGCCCTCGCCCAAAAAAATCCCCGAGGTTGTATTCAAGGAGATTCACGAGAGAAGAAAAGAGCGTCAAGCCCAAGTTTGAACTTTGGAGAACGATGATACTAACCAGAAAGTTCGCGGCGAAGCCAGCGGGTCAGTTCCAATGTTCCGGCACAGATAATGCATGATGCTGCACGCTTCTCATTTAGCTTCTTAACAATCAAAACCTCGTTGGTTTTCAGCTGGCCATCAAACCGGGCTGAAGTATTAGATATGCTGGCCGCCACTATCACTTACCGGGGTCCAGACCGGCAACTCCATTATGCAGGGCGGGGCTCCTCGGCTGCTTAACCCCAACAGGAACACAACAGGAACACAGCAGCACACAATCGCCAGGGGGCACTTTCTGGCCAGTCTGTAGAAAGGCTGCGGCTTTAGCTCGTTTATGTTGTTGGTTGTACCATATTTCTGCGATGCATCACATCCCAAAAAGCGACTCGGCCGTTTTGCACAACGATCGTCCCTACTGGCCCAGTGGGTGCCCATGTGTCACTTAAAGAGGAGATGACCCACTGATTGGACGTGATTCTGAACAGATCCTCATTTGATCTCCTGCGAAACTACTGCCGCGTAACGGCATTGTGCGACCCACGGAAAATTGCAATCTGAGAGCGACGATCGGAAAAGTTGGCCAAATGTCCCCTAACTTAGACGTGCCTCGAGTTGCGGGCGATAGCAGGCCTGTGATACATAATCGTGGGGGAGCCCCCTTCTCTGTCTTCCTGTCTATCTCTCTCCTCTCTCTCGCTTTCTCTTCATAATATTAAAACACGCCCTTCTGTCTTTTCGTTTCCTGTATGTTTTGTGCTGGCTTTGCTGTCGCGATATATAGATGTGATCATGATGTTTGTGAATAATAAGAGCCCAGTTTGGAGCTCTTGGAGCACGTCATTACCGGCCTTGGCGAGGAGACACATGACGGCCCTGTGTGTGGTCATCGGTTTTTCATTCCTTTTCACGGGTGGGTAACTAAGTCCCTCTATAAACAACTGAACCCATATCCCCCTCCCTCTTCCCAAAACGGCATCAGACCTATCCAGATCGGAGGACGCTATGCATATATATCCAGCATCGCTGACAGTTCTCTGATTAGTTATCTCATTATTCGACGGATCTTACAACCTCTCATGGAGATGGACTTCCTCTCCAGCATCCTCTTCAACGAATGCAAGTGAGGAGATAACGACGCCTCAACCGCTGGTCGCTAATGGCATGCCCCTCCGCATCATGTGCCTAGGCGCCTCCGTCGTCAAGGGTGAAGTATCCAACGGCACCTACGGCTTTCGCAAGCCCCTCCGCGACACTCTTGTCTCGATGGGCAACCCAGTCAACATGGTTGGCTCCGCGCAAGTAGGCGACATGATGGACAACGATGTTGAGGCGCACGGTGGCAATCGCGTCGACCAGGTCTACGAGTGGGCGACGCACAGCGTGCCCGATATGAAGCCCAACCTCATGATTCTCAACGTCGGGTCCAACGACTGCCTACAACATTACGATACGGAGAACTACTACAAGCGTCTCGACTACTTCGTCAACTGGTTGCTGAATACGTCACCAAGGGGTACCGTGCTGTTGTCGACGTTGTTGACCAATACGGTCAAGAATATGGAGCCCTGCGTTCTGGATATCAACGAGCAGATGAGGACACTGTACACAATTCTCAAGTCGGAGGGGAAGCGGGTCGTACTTGCTGAGATGCACTACAAGTTCGTGCCCGAGGGGGACACGTTGGAACGACCTCAAGTACACCACATCACGCCTGATGGCACGCACCCCAACGATGAAGGCTACGGTCTCATGGCGGACATATTCATGCAGAGCATTCGAGAAATTGACGAACTGGGATTTTTTCAAGAACCAGAGGACAACGGAATCATGAGCGATGGGGATGCGGAGAAGGTCATTCAGGCTAAACAAAAGGTGGAAGATGACATTAGGAAGATGACGGCCGAACTCAGGGATACACCAGGTGTTACGGAGATGCCTAAGAAGACGTCGACTAAAACGCCGGCGAAGTCACCAACAGAACAGCATAAACGGAGGCGGCGGCGATCATAGGTTGTGCTTAAACGGGGTTTCACGATACGGGCATGCTAGATGACGGGTTCATCGCCGCCAGGGATGGATAATAAGCATTTGAAATACTTCATTGCGAAGTTTTTCAGTAACCAAATTCCTCAGGGTTACAGAAGGTGTAATGTACAGATATATGTTGGCTAGGCGCATGCATCTTAGACGGACACAAAGCATCCTGCTAGATCTTGATGGGTCCAGGCAGGTGTCCATTTCCCACAAAAGTGCCTCAGTTGCCGAAAATGTTGACCTAACGTGAAATAAGAGCTATATACAGCGTCCAACACAAAGCATACAAAACATATAAGGGTATACAGTTTGATTTGCTCGAATTATTTGCAAAGACTACCCCGGCGCCGAATCAACCCTATCCTAACCAACCAGATTTAACCTCTCCATGTCCTAACCTCACTTCGCATCTGCCGACAGCTTCGATGTACAGCTAATTCAAGGACTGATCAAGCCCTTGGCCCTTTAAGCTATTACGTACGTCAAATTACAGTAACTTTGTCAAAGTTGTAGCCCTTCAAGCTATTAAGTAGCCTAATCCATCATAATTATAATGTTCGAAGTCATCGAATTGCCTTTACTTTATCAACTCTATGAACCTTATCAAAGTTACAGCCCGTCAAGCAGAATCGTGTCAAATCTATCAACTTCTTAACATTCCAAGCCACCGAGCTGCCGAATCCTCCTTTTTTATCAAATGGAGCCCGAGTCCTCCAATAGCCCCGCAAACCCACGGATCAACCGTTCCCCAATACGCACCGATAGGAACCCATACTTACTATGATACAGCCCTATGTTAGGCAACCTTGGTGGGCTTTGCTAAGTCCACAGAGTTTACCACCTGACTTAGCCCTTTAGGCTCAAGTCCGATCTTCTTGCTTAATAGCCTTAGATAGAAAGGCATACTTTTACAACTTCACAAATAATTAACTACTAGTAAGGGACCTGCTAAAATTTTCCTAGACGATTACTATGATCGAACAGTAGTCCTATAGTAACAACAAAACCGCCTTCCCCTACTTAAGCCCTGCCTGAGGTTATTCGGTTAAGTAAGCTTTTACTAGGAGCTAAGGTATTCCGGCCTAGTAACTATCGAAATCTATATATCAACCAACAGCACGGTGCTTCGGCCATCCAGCTCACAGGCCGTAATATCTTCGGGATGCTTGGCGAAGATGCACGCGGCAGTTGGGACGACATCATGGACCCCTAAAGCCATGGTAAATCCACCACGCATAAGCGCAAAGATTGACGTATGCTCCTCTTCACGAAGTTGAAAGCCGCATATTTGATGACCTTGAACATGCGGGATGGGATATGCCTCCAACCCGACCAATTCCGGTAGGGATTTGGTGGTTAAATACCGACCAATTTGACGATGAGCTTCGTATAAGTCGCGACCCTGAATTCTTGCATTACGCGTTCAAGTCATAAGCATTCTCGCCGCACTCCTAACTAAGCCCGGGGGCGAAGATACGTTGGTTTCTAATGATGGAGTTGATAAACTTGGGCTCATCAAGCTGGATCAGCGGAAGCTTAGCAATACTCAGCCGGGGTGACACTTAGCTAGGCAGCAGTACTTTGCTGGCTCGTAGCCCGTTATGCTCGATAGCATGCAGTAAACGTGCATCCATCGCCTGGCTTCGAGTGGTCTCCTCACCGACCATGACGATGGCTTGATCTGCCTCCCTATCTTTTCCCCAGATACTTTCCCTTACATAGCTAGCTAAAGCCCGGAGTCGGAGCCGTTGATCCCGTATATTTGTGTCACAAGGGAGGACCAAGCCCCGACGTATAATAATGGAGTAATAGCGGACGGTAATACATTACAAAGGACTAGAACCGATCGGTACGAATAAGAACGCAACTATAACTATAATAATATATATATCTAGACTATTATATATTTCTAGAAGGAAAGACTTAATATCCGATATTGATAACGATATAAAGCCTAGCGGCCGAACGTTACGTTTTGAAAGGCTACGACGACGAGCGGGTTGCTTGATTGAAATTTAACGTCTCATCACGTGAGACGTGCCGGGCGCAGTGCCGGCATGGTCTATGCTAGTCGAATCTATGTTACAGGGGACTGTCTTCATCTAACATTCCTGTTCAGTGATACTGTTGAGGGCAGGTAGTGGCCCATCGATCGTTGAAACTCTTCCAAGTGTAGGATCTCGCGATTCTCTTTATATGTGCGAATGAGGCCGGGTGTTGTGTCTTGGGTGGTTGCTCACAGGCCGCTTTGGCCTGGACATCTGCTTCTTCGTTTCCGGGGATGCCTACGTGTCCTGGGCACCACCAGATATACACTTGTCCCGGGGATGTCCAGGGTTTTCGCTCTCTCTGTGACCAGGTTTTGGACAGCTCTTGGAAGGCGGTGAATTTTGCTTGACTGCTTCCGGGACTTGGACAGATGAGCCTACCCGCAACCGCGAGATTATCGAGGCAGATGTGGACGTTATCTGCCATGCTGTTGGACGGAAGCTTTACAGCCTCCTGAAGCCCCCGTAGTGCTGCGTGGGCTTCCGCATCGTATACCTCTATCTGAGAGCCCAGTAATTCGGACCCGCAGAGTAGTCTTTTACCGGCCTGATAACCAGCCCAGCCTGCTCACATTCTATCTAGCCCTATGGAGCACGAAGGTTGGACTTAGTCCCGAAGGGCTAAGTCACGTGGTAACCTTGGTGGTCTTGGCAAAGCCCACCAAGGTTGCCTAACAACTACCTAGGGAAGACTTGAGGTGTATAAGTAATATAAGGGACAGACGTAGAAGAACTTTAGCTTTATAGTAGAGATAACATAATATCTTCTTTAAGAGGGGCATTATTAGGTAACCTTAGTAGGCTTTACTAAGTCTATAAAGGTTACTACGTGACTTAGCCCTTAAGCTCAAGTCCGATCTTCTTGCTCAATAGCCTCAGATAGAAAGGCATGCTTTTACAACTTCACAAATAATTAACTACCAGTGCGTGCAATACCCTATCCGAACGTCCTGATACCTCTAACATATTGACGGTTACTACCTGCGGGTAAATAGGGCCGGTCGAAGAACGAGGTAGACCTACTAGGATACTGTAGTGGGGTAAGGCCGGACGCCAGGGAAAATAGGTTACGGAGCGGGAAGAAAGTTTATTTTCTCTTCTCTAAGAAGCACAGAGACGGAGCAGGACATGACACCTTCACCTTCATCTTTTTATTATCTTCTTCACTCTCTTTAATTATCTTCACCTTCGTTTTTCAGTTAGTTAGTTCATCTTTACGTTCGAGATTCTATTATTCTGCTTTATCTTAGCCTTGACGACGACAGAGGCCTGTATATTGCCCTGATCAGAGCAATCCAGTACTAGTAGTAGCTTCGATTCGACTACGAGAGCTAGACGTCTTATTCTGTGAATTATCCCGTCGCTAGTCGCAGAGGCACATCCGACCAACTTACGCACAATACTTACAAGAGCTTCGCTCTTACAACCAGTACTACGATCTTCGTCTGATCAGACCAACAGATGGGATCTGCTGGTACTGGAGCCGTCTGTTCAGTGTGTTAGGTGGTAGGTATATCCTATCGACCGCCTGACCCCGTTTCAATACATGTCCCTATATAGAAGTTGTAAGTTCAACTATAGTTAGCGGTGGACCCTATAATAGTAGCTAACGCACCCTAGCTATAAAAGCTACGACTACATCACTTTACAATAATAGCACCGTATGTAAAATGTTTAGGATTACACCTTGGACCTGCGGGCGTTTACTACCCGTCGTCAATATGAACCAAAAGATAAGTGCATATTGATAGGCGGTTTCTTTGTTACTCGTGCTTGCCCGCACGTTTATCACGTATCTATAAGCAGATGAGACTATGTCAAAATGGAAGTATCGTGAGGTATATTAGTATGCTGTACTTGATTGGATGGGAATCATCAACCTTTCCGCTTCATATATATATATATCGCTATAGAATCTCAAAACAACCTGTCTAATGGAGGGGGAATATATTGCAGATCCTCGTTCCACTGCACCCTGGTATGCACGTATGGACTATTGACGTGGGGTTAGGGTTTTTGGGTGCTCGTTTTCATTTTTTTGGGGATATTCAGACGAGTTATGTAAGCACGTTCTTGACAGGTATTTAAGACCTTATGTACATAGTCACTCTCTTAAGAAGATAGGAATTCAAGCGGCCTTTTCCACAGTAATCTGAACCAATTTCTCTTTACTTGGACAGGCATTCAATGTCTGACGTACCTGTTGAGGTACTTTTGTTGCCCCTATAGATCTGATTGTGCCTGCTGAGGCCATTGTTCCCACCTTTCACCTGTTGAGGTGATTGTTCAAGGACCTGTTGAGGCTCCTTTTCTTCTCTAGCCTGCTGAGGCTCCAGTTGTTAGTACCTGTTGAGGTACTTGTCGTTCCGATCAGGGCAAAGAGTTCTTGATCTTGTTAATTCTTTCCACCTCCCGGATAGTAAGGTCTTGTTGAGGATCTTGTTGTCCGTTGCCATCATCATAACACCTTGAACCTGCGGGTGGTTTCACTGCCCGTCGTCACTATATACTAGTTTCTTTTTATATCTTATTTATCGTACCGATATTAAACTTAACCTCCGGGTTGAGTTTAGAAATCTTACAGTGCGAGGGAAAAGCAATGTTTACGAGGATATAAATCCCCAGTACAGGGACTTGTATGCAGGAGTGAGTAGTTTGCCCGTTATACCTCGGGTCTTCGGTCCTACCGTCTTCATAAGCCGTAGGCTCGCATTGGACAGTGTAGAGTTGTCAATTAGTCAGTAGGATGCCCAACTCTACTATATATTTTTCCCTCAGTGGGCATGCGTGGTCCCTATCAACGCCGCCGGGTTCGAACGGACTGTGCTCGTCGCCAACCCAGACATTAGACTGTACTACAGTGGCTTATGCGTCAGTGAGCGGGATTAAAAAATTTGGATCTCTCCCGCGTGGGCTCGAACCACGAACCTCCAGATTACAGTTGTGTAACAGTCTGACGCGCTAGCCAATTGTGCCACGGGAGAAACTCAGCTGCTGATGCGCTTGGATGCGCTTGGAGAAGTTGGATCTTCTATACCATCATATACTACAAAGTTACTAAGTTTATGGCTCATTCATCAATTCTTTGAAGACAAATACTGAGTTGCAGTTCTCAATCAGATTACTGGCACTCTTGTTAATAAAGACAACCGACTAGGACGCATCTAGTTACAAACATGGCCTGTTCGCTTCATACTCAAGATCAAAGACATTGTTCCAGTTGAAGCTAGATGTATACTAGACAAAAAAGTCCCCTTGGTAGATTCCTCAAGCTCCTACTGCGACATCTGCAACGAACTGCGCATCCCCGACTTCGCCTGGCCTATTGACCCCTTCGGTCGACCGTGTCAGTCCGAACCCCAATCCCTGGCCCTCATGCTCTTCGGTACCTACAAGGCGCATTGCCAGCGGAGGATGGTCTACACGCATTACCTCGAGCTGCATTTAATGGATCTCACAATGTTTTCGGGTGGGTTCTGAGGCGAGAGGTTCGGAATGCGGCGAATAATAAGGAAATTTTCGTGCGGTGGGGTTGGAGGGTTTGGGATATTAGTGGAGAAACGCCTTGGGATTGGTTCACAAAGTGCAAGGAGGGATGTTCTATGTCTACACTCTGCCATGAAGCTCGACTTAACAAAACTGCTGCAGAACAATCTTTGCTCATGTGTTGAGATTTTGCCTGGTGGAGGGGCGGCGGAGACGCCTGTGGAGAAGTTGAAGATGGAGCAGGTGAAGGGCCGGGTGTGTTAGTTGCAATATTGACTTTCAGGTTGAACTCAACCCGGCTACGCTCCGGCTGCGGCTACGGAGATTCAGTCTGCGAGAATTACTATGGCGTATAGGAGGATGTCGGAGTTATCGAACTTTGGATTTGCCGATATATGCACAATCAGGTGAGCATACTGCCGCTGTGCGGCTACGTCCGCACAATCCCTAGCGGCCTTACGTTAAAGCTGCTACTTCATGGCGCACACAAGTAGGTAAGTAGTATATACTTGAGACTAATTTGCCCCTGAAGAGAATCTAGGATAATAAAATATTATACCCTCCTCAAGTAATTTAGACGCCGTATTGATGGAATGGAAGGCCGGATTATTATGGCGGGACTACATAGGTCATCCAATGAAACCAAGGACATATGGAGGCCTTCATGCCAATTGAGAAGGTTTGGCCCTATTACCTCAAACTTGTCATTCTGTATGATCCTATACTCCCTAATAAATGTAAAATGGCATCTCTTACGAATTATCAGTATTCGCAGTATATCATCCATTCGTTGGGACAGTTCGTTAAGGACTCCATCCAAATCGTTATTCACAAATCGTTATTCATTACATAGCTCAGAGCTTAGGCGCCACTTGGTTCATTAAACAGTATCGATACCTCGGCTTTCCCTCCTCGAGGTCTAGAACCGCCTGGTTTGCCTCGTGCATAGGGCGCTCCTCGACCCATGCCTTGATTTTCTTGTCTGCGGCAAGCTGGAGCATCTCTCTAATCTCGGCCGCAGAGCCAATACTCGAACCGGCAAAATTCAACGACTTCATGATGAGGGTGCTCTGCGGTAGCGCAAACTGGCCATCGTCCGGGTTCCCAACTTGGACCAATGTTCCGTGACGTTTCAGCATGGCCAAGTAGCCCTTGATAGGTGCCTGTTGAAATGTGTCAACTATAACTGGACCGCACTTTCGCGACATCAGCGTGGAATAGTTTACCTTGGACGAAGCAACCGTCGAGACAATTAAATCCAGTTTGTTGTAGTACTTCTTGTACCAGCCAACATCGTCATCCGTCGCCAAATAGTCACCTGCGCCCAATTTCAAAGCTTCATCACGTTTACTCGCCTTCCGCGATATAGCAACCACCTTATCGGCCCCCATAGCCTTCGCCAACAGAACTCCATAATGCCCCAGCCCCCCCAAACCAACAATGCCGACCAGCTTCCCCGGCCCACACCCAAACCGCTTCAAGGGCGAATACATAGTAATCCCAGCACACATCATCGTAGCGGCTTGTTTCGACTCCAACCCATCCGGGATCTTGAACACAAACCGGCCCGGGCACCGATGGTACGTCGCGTACCCACCGTACCCCTTATCGCCGTTATGGTGCGGGCCAGGATAGGTCCATCGCGCTTTAGGGCAGAATTGCTCCTCGCCGGATTCGCATGCCTCGCAGATTGGAACCCCGGCAATACCCATGCAGCAGTCTGTCAGGCAGCCGACGCCGACGCGGTCGCCGATTTTGTGAGAGCCGGCTGCTTTGGAGCCTACGCGGACCACTTCGCCGACGATTTCGTGGCCGACTATTATTGGGTATGGAGCGGGATACTGAAAGTATTTGTTAGGACGCTGGTTGACGGGGTCAATTGTACAGTGCCGGCGCTTGACGTACCCATCCGCTTCGCAATGTGTGAACATCACTACCGCACCTGTTGAGTGCATGGTACTTAATACCGTCTATCGTGAGATCTGCGTTGTAACCGAAGTTAACTCACATGCCACAATGCGTGATCTTGATGTCAATGTCGCTCTCTTCCCACCGCTTCGGCTCGAATTCGCCCCACGTCATCTTGCCTTCGACTGCTGACGTGTCATGGGCCAGCCAGCCCTCGAACTTGTAGTTTTGAGGTGACATGCTTTTTTGAGGCGTGATTATGATTTATAGTGAACCATATAAATTTCTTGAAAGAATCGAGGTAATGCATCTGGGAAGCGCGCTACTTTTACATTGGACTATGGGGTACCTGCAGTGGGGTCTTCAGCAGCCCGGGAATTCGTACCGAGGCATCTTGAACTCTATTCGAGGGTTCACGGTTATTCACACAAAACATGCTTCGCACGCTAGTTCTAGAGGCAATATGTTGTTGTATTGATCGCCTTATTCCTGGTTACAAATTTCAGTAAATCTTGAACAACACCAAATAGTAACATACTCTGGATGCATTCCCTTAACCCTAGCCCTGACCCTGACCTAATATCTTGGTAAGTCAGTCTTTGTTTTCACAGTCACTTCTGATTGTAACTATGTCTCAGATCATGGGAATTGTCGCTACAATTGCCAGCATCGCCCCTTGGGCAAGCAGAGTGATTGTGTCGTACTAGTCCACAAAGTAGAGTCGGCTATGCTGCGCTGTGCCTCGATTCGGACAAGCCTAGCCAGCTTTGTTAGTCACTTCGTCACACTAAAGAGAAATAGACATTGAAGTCAGCATTATTGATCCTACTATCCAACCATAAGACGTATGATGATGAATTTTATACTGAACGCACCATTTCTCATGCCAAAGATCAAGTAAATTAAATTTGGGTGCTCAAGGTCTTTTTGCCTCCATCTACATCACCAGACCTGAACTGCAACTACATCGTGTGCGTATACAAACCAGTTTCAACCCTTGAGTCACTTACACCAACTCAGTCATTTCGTCTCCTTAACCCACCCCCTTATGCTAGGTGCAACAACGGCAAACACCACCACAACCGCCGTAATGACCGCAACAACAATTGAAACATCCGACTCAATTCAATTATTGCTCCCCGAAAACATGGAACCCGTTGTTCGCCCCTCGTCACCCACTTCGTACCTGACCCAATACAGCAATTCGCAAGCGGTGCAACAGCACGTGGAGGACGAGGAGAACTTCAGAACGGTGGTAGATGAGGAATATAACGAGTTTCTGGATCTTCACAATGCAGGCGCAGAGACAGAAGATGATTCTGTTTCGGGTTCGCAATACACAACATCTGAGGACAGTGATTGGGCAGAAATAGGGGACTTGCCAGTTCAGATATGGAAATCCAGATTGAACGAAACGCCAGCGCACAATATCCAAGACCGGTCGACCCTGTGCCTGCCTTCGGGCAAAATCATCTCGCGTCGAATTGTGGGCGCCTCGGACCGACAAGCCACATCTCCCCGTAGCACAAATGCAGGCGCTACTGGCCACGACGCAGAAGCGGATCGAGAAGTGGGAGCGGACGGAGAAGAGGTTCGGAGATAAGATGGATGAGCTGGGAAACCTGAAGGTTGTGGAGCGATTTGTGAACGATTTTCCTGGCGGAATGTCGCACAAGGCGCGGTTTTTGTGAAGTGAACTACAGAGATTGGCATGGAACTTTCTGGTGCTAGTTTATATGCAAGTTGCTCGGCTATGGATTATATAGTGCTGTACGAAACTGCTTACTAATGAGACGCAATTTGATTTACTGCATAAACCACCACTTAGAACGTCAAATATCCTCTTGTGGTGAGAATCAACCAGCAAAGGGGGGGCATTCACTTAACATGCTCATCCTCCAAAACCATATCTTGCCCACCACTATGTTAATAGTGGGCAGCAGAAGTACGTGCGATGAGCCCCCAACTCCATGCCATGGCCCCGCGTCTCAAGCTTGCAGTACCGAGATGCGCTATCACTTTAAACAGAAGTCCCGATGACGTCCATTCATAAGCTCTCTAACACCAACAATGCCTCTCACTCACATCTTTGACGCCACCGGCGCCACCAAGTTCGACGCAACGTGTGCTTTGTCATCAATGGCACCGTTGGGCTATGTCATCTACCTGAAGAAAGCTGAGCACATCCTTGGAATAGGGCTCGCCACGGTCCTCTGGACTTTTGGCCGCACGTCGCTTTCAACGTCGAAGATCATGAGACGGTGGCTAAGTGGTATTCAGCTTCGATGTGAGTGTGCTAGGCCCTCCCTATTGATGTGGTAGTTAATAAGCTCGATATTGTTCCCCAGCGGATCAAACAACAGCTGCATAGTAATGACTCGGTTGCTGTGGGCGTAAGCCCGGCTCAACATTTGACGTAGTCCCCGCAACCCTACCAAAACTATATCAGCATGCTCTCACGCATAACCGAGAGAGGCACGAAATAATATCATGAAATAGGAGAGCGAGTTGATATTAACGTACCATAATATTTCCCATAATATTTCCAACGTCCACATTGTGATTATCGCGAGCTTATACTGACCCAGATGCTGTTAGGCAATGTCATACATCCCTGTTGTATTTACCACGCAGAATATATTGGTTTTATATTCCATCTCACGGGATGGAGTTCGCCCCTGACAAGAGTGAGCTAATGCACTTTACTAGGGCCCGAGAGCCCTTGCCGCAAAGTATTCGCCTTGGGGACGCCACAGTGTCGCCGGTAGTCTCAGCGAGGTTCCTAGGAGTCTGGTTCGACCGCAAACTGACGTGGCACGCCCATGTTGAGCGTGTTAAAACAAAAATGGCCACTCAAAAGCTAGCCCTGACAAAGCTAGTCAATATGTCATGGGGCTGCGATCTTATACGGGCGAGGCTGTTATATACGGTGGTTATCCGTAGCGCGATCGCCTTCGGGGCGACTGCGTAGCATACTATAAGTGAGGAACCGGCAGGGCCAGCTAAGAGCCTGATGGGGATACAGAACGAGTGCCTCCGGGTAGTCTGTGGCGCCCACAAAGCGACGCCAGTTCGCCACCTGGAAGCAGAAGCAGCAATCCCGCCACTAGACCTCTATCTTAGTGCCCGGGCTGCTAAGTTTGAAGAACGGCTACGGCTTAGCGGGAAGAGAAATCTGCTTCGCAGCGCGAGTGCTAAAGCGTCACATATACTCCGGCAGGATAGGCCGGCGAAAAGGAAGCAGGCGTCGCAGCTACTCCGACCGGCAGGGTACACTATGGAGAAGGAGGCCCGGGGCTCCGAGTGGATGAGTGAGGAAAAGGAGGTCCCGGCTGCCCTCCTCGGCCACTGGAGGAAGAGATGGCTCACCGGAGCAGAGCATCACGATTGCCAGCGACGCGCTATTGCTGAGGAACCGGAGGGCCCTTCGATGCAGATACCGAAAGGGGGCAAGTATTTCGGCCTGAACCAACTGGAGGCGTCTACGCTGTGCCAGATCAGGACGGAAAAAATATGACTAGCAGCCTTCTTATTCAAGACAGGGGCTTTTGGCGTGTACTCGCCGCTATTCCACTGTGGCGACGCCCCTGAGACGGCAGAGCACTTAATCCTCTTTTGCGGGCTGTTGGAAGGACCGAGGGAACGATTACGGGCCGCTATCGCACCACGGCCACTATACCCTCGCAAATACCTCGCAACGGCAACAGGAGAACCAGTAGTTAGTGGGACTATTGTAAGGTGGCTGCTAGGGACGGGTCGGACAGCTTCAAGGCCCAGATAGCATCGATCTTCTCAGGGGGGACTTTGTTGGTAGGTTGAGAACCAACGTAGTATGGTAGTGAACGCAACGCAGTCGCCAATAGGGCGAACCGACGACGCAGCGTATGTATTTAGTCCAGCCATTAGGGCACGTTTTGACATACGGGAGTACTAGTAGAGGTACCGGGGGCTTCGAGCCTACGGCGTATTTAATAATAAAAAATAATAATATTCCATCAGACGGTGACATGTTATATAGTGATTAACCCCAGCTTTACTCCTATACAAGCAATTTGCTAACTAATTCTTACAAATGAAAATATGCACGTACATATTTCGGGTTCATAACAAATGATTAAATAAAAATACATAAATATCTACTGGAGAAAGAAATGAAATCATTTAGATTCTCTGCCTCTAACCTCTGAGCCTCATCTCTCTCGGCCGTATTTCGTCTAGTGTAGCCCAACATAAATCTCCAAGCTATTCATGTTAAGGTTATTGCACACAGGTGGTATTAAATTTTACTCATTATCCATCTCCAAGCTTTGCGAAGAGTCCAAGTCGTCCATTTTATGATAAAGCGCCGGTATGATTTAACTCTGCGCTAACATATTAAAAGTTTTCCCCGAGAGAGATAACGGACAAAAGCTCACCGAATACAATACCGGCGCCAGTCACTCTGTAGCAGTGTTAGTTCTCTCATAACCACTCTTCAAGCCTAGCTTGTGGTCCCTCTGCTTGGTCTCCCACAGTCGGGTGATGACAATAGCCGCTAGCTTCATGATATCGGCGAAGAGCTCCCGGACATTAATTTCGGGATAAAAAGAAAACATGATGGTCTGCTTGACAATATCGCCGAACCCCGCGGCACCATGGTCCCCTATGGCCTTGATTCCATGGCGAGCGACTGGTGCGTTCCTAGATGTGGAGTAAATTGGATCCTGAGCCAGAACCCGAAAATTACCTGCGCCGAACCTCTTGCTCAACGCTTCGGCCATGGTCATAGCAGCGATATGCTGGACTAAGGAGCGAAAGGACTACTAAGTCCGGAGCCCGGAAAGTCATGATCCTTGCGACATCCGAAAGACTGAGATCGATGTAATTGTGGCCGAACGGATCTCCGAGAGGCTTACCCTCCAGCGGAAGCTTTCGAATGATTTCCCGACGATTTCGACTCTTCTATGAGTGTTCCCACGCTGTCAGGAATTGGAGACCCATATAGTACCTAGTAGCTGCTGCCGTTTTGACCCGGGAAGAGAACATTTAGTGTGGAGCCTAGTAGGCCGTTTCTGCGTGGGCCCCTGGAGGAGACGACTGGGCGACTACATCTGGTGACACACATGAGCCTTTGATGAAAGCATATTCGAGGGTATGAAGTCACCGAAGATGTGTCCTGCCTCCTCTTCTGGGTCTGCTTACTCAAGGATCCCAATCATCCCTATTGGGCACTCCAATGGCTTCACCCCGATCAATAGGCTGAATTGACACCTATTCTCCGATTGGCCATCTGCCTCCTGGCGTCGATCAGCCTGACCTTCGTTCAGACTTGGGTGCCTGAGTCGTAGAGCTCCGATACCTCGTTCTGAACTTCGCGTTCGGCCGATGTCCACTTTTGCGGTCGGTTATGCCAGGTGTCCCAGTTAGAGGTCCAAACGGGCGTACTGATACAGGACAGTATAGTGAAAATACTGTTTGCGTATAAGCTGGAAAGAGTCAAAAGGACACCGCAGAGCTTACATTTATTCTTAGCCTTGGGGCTGAGAAGTAGTACACCCCCAACTTTCCCGCTGTGCCTTTCCATTGCTTGATTGATTGAGATTTCCCAAAGGAGGGTTTGTCTTCCCCCGGCTAGTCAAATGACTTCGCCAGGTCCAGAGCCCCTTTCAATCCAGTTATTATGTTTCGAGCTGCCACTTGAGGTACTGGTACAAACTTTGTCACTTCCCATGTTCGAACCCCGTCTATTTGCAAAATATAATAGAAAATGTACAATTTATTTAAGAGTGTTGGAGTTTTGTTGTGGGCAAGACTTTTAGAGGTCCAGTTTTGGGAGAGAGTATTCGCCATCCGGCCTCTGACCCTCAGCTTCGGTTTCACCGTTCATTCCCGTCGTATATGGATCTTGGCCTAATCCAACACCTGGCAGCTTCCGTGCCTATCTCCAGTCACAGCGCCTTAACGAATCTGACCAACTTCCCTCCCGGTTCCCTGCATAACCGAGGCAAATGACCCACGATCCCCCCCCCTTTCTTGCTATAGATGGCGACACCGGGGAATCAGAATTGTGGATTTGGGGCGTACCCGATAGCGACGCTGCTCCTTGATACTTGGGGATTGAGTCTTCCAGTGGCTTAAGGCGAGGAAAGACTTACCAGCGCACGCAATCAAGACTACTAGGATGACACGGTCTAGCGTAAGACGACGAGGTGCAAGTACTAGCATTACTAGAGTATCTTGCATGGGTGCACACTTTTTCGACGACGTTTGGTAGACAGGACCGAGGGGAGTTGCGAACGGTAATATACGAGGTGTTGCGCGCACTGCAGCTTCTTAGTTAAGTCAGTCTGATATTATCATGCCCAACAAACACACAGACGACCAGCAGGGTTTATGGTAATCGAAGTTGAATTGAATCTCCTAAGCCTCACGGCCGCTGTCAGACTCCCTAGAAAACGCCATCGTCGGCGCTCATCCTTTTTTCTCCGCCGCGCGACTTGAAAATCTATCTCGTAGTGATATATAACATTGAAAAGCAAAATGATGTCGAATGAGAACGCGGGGTCAAGCATAGTTCCTGGAAACCCCTTCTGAATAGTACAGTCGCCAACAGCGTCGAAAACGGGCATTCTTTAACCCTAAGCCGTGGTTAATAATCGCCAACTGGTGTCCTACCGCTTGTTTCATGTGCCGGTCACACCGCCCCTGAATTCCCTTTAACAATGTCATAATACTTCTTCGCCTTCTTCTTCCTCTTTAAATTTCGGTCCATCTTGGATTCGAATAGCATCACGAACCCATTCGGATTCCGCCACCGTTTCCAGGGGCCAGCGACTCCTGGCTCGTTTGAGAAGCCCTTCTGTGACTTCCATCGCCCCCTTCAATCCCTTGGCTTTGAACTTGGCCTCATCGCCTTCGTGATCTCCATCATCTCCTGCATATTCGATCCATCGCCATTCTATTCGGGCGATACGGTGACTTGTGCGGCTGCGCATCCTAAGTGCATCGCTTGCGCCTGGTGGTGGGTCAAACGGTAAACGCGATTCAAGTAATGCGTAGAGCAGGACACCCATTGACCAGGCGTCAATGGCTCGTCCATCGTATGGTTGTCCCAGAATAACCTCTGGGGCAGCATAGTCGTCAGAACCACAGCGTGTCTCTAGCTTCTCATCGTCGGCGACGCGGCGGGAGAGGCCGAGATCTGTGAGGGTGATGATGGAGTCGGGGTACGTTGCCCAGTTGTGGTTAGATTTGGCGAGTTCTTGCACAGGAATATTCACAAGAACGTCTATATGTGGAATTAGCATAACACGAGTGTGATAGCAAATGAGAAACCCATGCGACTAGCATGGCCGTGGAGTTCCGTGACGCTTTCTCGGCAGGTTGTACTCAGACGTTGGAAGCTGGGGACAAAGAAAAAAACCACCTACTCTCGAGCTTGATATCTCGGTGAACAATCCGACGCTCATGTAGATATCTCACAGCACCAACCAGCTCAGCAAATATGCGTCTCAGCAATGGCGGCGTCAGGAGTTCCCGATACCGTGTCGCAACGTCGAACAGATCGCCACCAGGGCAGTAGCTGAGAACCAGCAGCGCCCGGGTCTGTTCGATGTTCCAAGCTTTGAGGTGGACTATGGATGGATGATGTATCGACTGCATGATTTCCAGCTCCCGTTTGAGACTCATCTCGATCCGGGTCTCGGAGGCTCCGCCGCGCGGTCCATGTTCGCAAACCTTTACCGCAACCAACGTCTTCAATTTGGGCTCGCAACTTGACTTGTCATCATCCGTGTGTTCTGGTCTTTCGCCCTCATCATCCTCTATCGTTGTTTGGCTCGTGGCTAGCATTACGCGACTGAAAGTACCTTCGCCAAGCTTCTTGATCGCTCGCCATCTCCTGAGCTTCTTATCGTCCCGACCGTACGCTTCAAAAAATTCGTATTTCGGTTTCTTCTCGTTACTCTGAGAAGATTCGCTGGGAGGTGGGGTCGGGGGCTCGGCAGCTGGCCCGAGTCCTCGGGTCGCTGACAGATGTGGTTCGCGGCGCATGTGATGATCGTCGGTGCCATTAAGACCGCCCTCGCCAGACCGCGGGTGTGAACCAGATACCGTGACATGTCTCTTGGGTATTGCCATGGGGTCCGGGATATACTCGCTGATGCTTCTATTCCGCCCGTGTCCCTGGTCCCCAGTGCCATTCTCCACGGCATCCTCGGCGTTGAGCCCGGCATACACCTTCCTTTTAGACTGGTGCGCCATGGCGGAAGCGACGGATTCACCACTCGCCGTAACCAGCACCGAGTCGGGCATGACGTGAGGTGCGGCTTCTCGGGAGGGCGGCCGGGCTCCGAGCCTCCTCCACGGACCTGGCGAATCACCTACTAGTAATGGTGAAGGCAGAGGCGTCAGGTCTCCCATGGCAGTTATTATCGGACTCGCCACGGCGGAGCTGCAGGCAGAGCCAATATTATTGGCAATGGCCCGTTTGAACGACGGCGTCCGCGATATGGGATAGAGACTCGAAGTGGACGACTTATGCTGCAAAGCAGGGCGCGATGATGCGCTTAATCCGTAGTTGCTGTTCAAGCTATCGGTGCGGGCGGGGGCTTCTGGTCGGATATCGGTCGTGATCTGAAGTGGGTTTCTCCCACTACGAGAACTTCCCAAGGGTGACGGCTGATAAGGCGGGTCGTCGGCGGAGAAGGGCGTGGGCTCTTCGAATATGGGTTCTGGTAGCGGGGGAGACGGCGCAATGGTGTGGGTACGGAACTGGAGCTGGATAGGACGGACCGGAGGTCTTGAGTTCATCGCGTCACGACCGGCGTCGTTGTCGGGCTGGCGTGAGTCGTCATTGCGGAAGTTTGAGTGGGACAAGCTCATGTAGCGATTTGACAGGGCATTGCAGCGGCTAACTTCACCTGCAGCGACCCTCAGAGCAGAGACATCGGCAGCGCTAATCACAGGCACGGCATCCGAGTCTACGAAAACATCGTCTGATGACAGGGACTGGGTTGGTGCGCCGGCCATGTTGGACGCAGGTAGCACGATAGGCTGGACGTGTGGTTATGTATTGTGTGGGCGGGTGACAGGCAGCCAGAGCAGCGCAGATGCCAGTCGCAGATGTGGACGCTGGCACGGGGGGCGACGGCCTGGTGTGAGTGGGACGGACGTGGCACAAACGAGACAACAGATGCAGAACGCTTCTCGACTGTGACTGGAAGACTTGGCCGAGTCGAGACGAGGGAAACGCATGAATGGGCGCAGCGGGATTGATAGGCGCGATTAGCTGCTAGTCAGCAGACAGCCGGGGCTAGCAGTGATAGCCAAATGCTTAATTTTGCGAGACGATTTGATGCACTGGTTCTCCAGTCTTTTTCCAATACTCCTTAGCGGGCCCGAAATGAGGGAATCTTGGAAGACTCTGAGAATGTTCTGGTGATGTAACCCAAGGTCCCTTTCCTGTCTACCGTAATGAAACAATTCACCCGATGTGGACAGCTGGTGTAAAGGGACCGAGTGAACCGACAGCTGGTTGTCTCACAGTGAACCGAGGGCAAACATGCGAGCTTTCGAGGAGCTGACGAGTCTCATCCTTCCTCGCGCAGGTGGGGCAGGTCTGTGGGATGGATGATGATGCACAGGCAAGCAGGCATGTCCTGTAACGTTGAACTCAAAAATGCATGTGGGCCGCCTGTGTTGGGATGTGTTGGGATGGGGGTTGCTTTAATAAAATGTCGAATCTGCACACAATCAATCCCCGTGACACAGCATCTGGGCACGGCAAGTTTGAAGCTCAGCTCCAGCTTGCCCTCGGCTGACCGAAGACTGAGGTTTGAAGATTGAATCCCTCCTTCAGAGGCGCAGTGAGCAATGACGCCTCCCTCAGAACAGAAAGTGGGTTTGACGTTGCTGAGTCAAGACCAATTGGTATTGGCTTGGCACGGATGGGTGACGATTGAAACAATTCAATTTCTAGAGCCGGTCCAAAGTACTTTCGTATCTGCGATTGTGGTAGTAGCGACCAACAGGCTTGAATGGCATCAAGCTGGCGAAAGAAGCAGACGTCATCATCCCCTTGAGTCAAAGTAAGTGACTCAAGGTAGCATTCGATACAGTGGCACCTACCCTTCTAGGTTCCATCAATAGAAGATGTAGGGAGTCCGTGGACGTTTTCTGGCGGGGACAGCTACAGCTTCTGGAGAGATCCGCAAATGTAAATCGGTACATGCCGTCGCTAGCTGCTGACCTGCATACGCCGTACGCTGCGTATTTCAAGGATGTCATTCTAGGCTTGGCTCGAACATGTCCAGAATCTTTACTGGCTGCTCCAACACCCCAAGTGCATCATCATGCCTATTGGAGGTCACAACTAGCCGGAAGTCGGTCATCGATGCCGTCGGTCTTCCTTCCCTAGTCGCCAAGACTATGTCGCCAAGACTTGGGGTCGGCGAGTGGCATTTTCGAATCTCCAACGGCCTTCGCGACTACAATCACGAGGATCTTGCCTAATTTCTCGATACACCAGCTGTCAACTCTCTTCACTGGGATTTCAATGCTGCCAGGCATATCGGAAATTCGGCAGGTTTGGAATAACTCGCCCTACTCGGCGACTTGTACTTGGCCACTCGGCCAGTGGTTCACAATGTTAGACAAGGACTCGCGCCGAACGGATGCCAAGATTCATGGCGTGTGTCCGGCATTAAGTGTGGGAGGACGAGAAAACATAACCAATGGTCTGTTAGATTGTGTCATTGTTGACTGCTTAGTGATTGCCACTCATGCGGCCGTCTCCTGCTATTACGGGACCCTGCGGAAATTTGCCATCAATTGTACCGATATTTCTTCTGGTTGTAAAGTCAAACTTTGTGAAGGTCCTTCTCGTATGAACATGAAAAATGGCATGGGAACACAACAGCTCTTCATTGCTTAGCAAGAGGTTGACCCTGAGCAATCTTGGCCTCGCCGTACTTCTGGAGGCGGATCTGCCAGGTCCGATTAGCATGTATGCTCAACATGCATTTACAAGAGGGTTCAAGAATCCGTGTCACTTACCGCGTTGATAGCGATGAATCCAGTTGTATCCAAAGGCTGATATTATAGTTAATAATCTGTCGCGTGTGCATCTCAATGTCAAGAGCTACATACCGAGAAGGTGTCTAGCGAGTCCATTGAGGCATCCTCCTCGCTGTACAAATTGCTCGAATCGCTGCTGCGGCCCAAGGTATAGGCATTGCCCTTATAGGCCATCATGCGGACCTAACAGGCTCAATGGTTAGCAACGGTACCTTGATGGGTCCATGTGGGATTGTTTGCGGTGGGGAATATGCCCCTGTCAGGACGGCAGAAAGCGACCTGAAGACTCACCTGACCGTTGACATTCTGCTGACTGAAGATGATTGAGTTCTCGACGAATTCACGCTCAGGCGAAAAGTACATGCCGTTGTAGAGCTGGCGAGCCCACGAGATGGTGACAAACTGGTCACGAAGCTCTCGGACTTTGGAGTCCATGACAAGGCCTTCAACATCGATGTGCCCAAGGCGGCTACGGACATACAGGTTAGCAATGCTCACTGGGCAGGTAACTTCAACTGGCGATAGTAGAACGCGATGAGGCAGGCTCCTCGTGGCCACTCCGGTTGCTAAATTCGAATTGTAGGACCGCATGTAATACCCTTAAGGCTACTCAAGCGTTGATGCTCCGCGAAAGGACGTAAAAGCTGGCGAAAATACTTACGCAATCGTAAGACCAGGGGTGTCATAGCAGCCACGAGATTTCTGTTTGGAACTCGGTGTTAATGATCATCAACACTAGCCAGAGAGTCAAGAATTATTATTTACCAAGCCGATAAAGCGGTTCTCGACAATATCGACACGGCCAACACCATGATCGTGGCCGATCTTGTTGAGAAGCTTAAAGAGCTCAACGGAGTCAGTGACTTCCTTCTTGTCCTCTGTGACAACCTTGACGGGGATACCCTTCTCGAAGAAAATGGTGAAGTGGTATGGCTTGTCTGGGGCGTCAATAGGGTCCACGGTCATCTTCCACAGCTCCTTAGGTGGGGTGTGGTCAGGGTCTTCCAGAATTCCGGCTTCGTAGCTGCAGTGAACCAAGTTCTCGTCCATTCTACGCAAGCATTAGTTTTTGTCAATCTCTGGGTCTATGATCATGGCTTTTACTCACGACCACGGAGCCTTGGGAGTTGAAGAAACAGGGATGTTGTTTTCCTTGGCGTAGGCGAGCAGATCATTGCGGCCCCTGAAGTGCAGAACCCGTCAGTAATAGTCTCTTTCACACGACTTTCTGGGCGGTTCAGTATTCGGTTGGGCACCAAAAATTCAACCCTCGGCCAAATGGCAAAGTAAAGATTTGGCTTTTCAACCTGATTCGGAATAGGGATTCTTGGGTACGCACTGGAACTTGGCAATGAACTGCGAAATAATCAGTATACTTCACATCGAAGAAGCGCAGGGTAATCAATTGACTCTGGCTGGAGCTTGCGCAATAGTCGGACATAAGTAATTTCGAGTGCTTACCTCGGGGATCCTCCATGGTGCAATCACTTTCACCGAAGGTGCAAGGGCCTTCCAAGCGAGCTCGAAGCGCACTTGACTATGGTGGAGGCGGTCAGACTGGATTTCCCAACATCTCAGGGGCTAAACATGATTCTTACTCGTTACCCTTTCCGGTACAGCCATCTATGGGTGGATAGTCAGTCAGAACGTTCTTGAGGATTTTTCGCTTTGAGCGACCAGTAGACACTGGGAGTAAGAATTCGCCTTGTCTTCGGGGGTAACCGAAGAAGGAAAGAACATGGTCGAAAGTTACATACGGGACAGGATCTATGCAAACATGGAATTAGCAATCTTGTGCAACGCGGATTGGAGTCCTGGAGCTCCTGGCTGGATCTTAAGCAGTATTGAACGATAATCTCCCGATGCCCATGCCGGTTGGCTAACCCACCACACATGGCTCTAATTCTTTCCGGGCGTCCCGTTCCAAACATGAGCAAATCCAAGAACAAGCCATCTGCTGTAGCTACAGATATTGGTTTGCAAAAAGGGGTGTTCAAGAATCTCGCAGCATTTCATCCGAAGGGCAGGAATACATACATCACAGTTGTTCTCCTGGGCAACGCGCACCTGTGAGCGTGCGATGATGGGTCGAGCGAGAGAGGTTCCCAGAAGATATCGGTCCTCGTAGATTGCGTTGCCTGGTCCATTTTAGTCGTTTATTCCCTTAGAGCTCAGAGAAAGAAGGATCAACAAACATTGAATGGCGCGGAACACCACCTCCTCAACGAACTCCTTCTGGAGGTCGAGGATGACCATCTTCTCAGCACCAAGAGCCAGGGCCTTCTTCTCAACCTCATCCCAATCCTCCTCCTGGCCAACGTTGGCAAGGAAGCACTATATCCGGGTCAGAACCCGAGAGCGAGAGGCGAGGTGTGAAACACATACGACAACGGTGTAACCCTCGTTGATGAGCCATTTCAGGATGGTGGAGGTGTCCAGACCTGTCGAGTTACTGTCAGTAATCTGAAAAGATTATCGTCTAAAATTGGTCTTGACTTCGGCCGTGGTACGGTTCGAATGACATAAATACTGGGAAATTAGAGGAAGCCAGAACGTACCGCCCGAGTAGGCACTACGCAAACCAAATTAGTCACGACTCTTGCACACGAATTCCCAGCAACACTCACAGGCAGACGCGACCCTTCGTCATGGTGGCTGATTTCCAGGTAGAGAGACGCTTTTGAAAGTATGATCAAGTACGGAGATGTGTCTGTCGTCCTTCAATTGCAATGTAAAAAGATTGAGTCACTAGAAGCTGACAAGTCAGGTTACACTACACAATTGAACAAGGGTCCCAAAAGTTTTCAGGGGCCGATGTCGCCAACGCGGGGTTGATAAGACCGATAAGCTCAGGTCCACTGCGAGTAGTGGAACCTAAAAGTACTGTGTCCCTCGCAGTTGTAACGCGCAACGGGACTGAATTAGGTGTTACAGGCTAGTTTACCACATACGGTTGTTACCTCCATCCGAGATCGGGCCAATCAATTGCTTGATATTTCCATGCATCCCTGACCCGACCGGGATCCTCCGTTGAATTCAGATAGCGGCCACCACGACAGTTTATTCCTCCAACTACGCGCATTAAATGGTACAAAATGTCCAAAATGCATCAATCCGCGTCTCCTTTTGGACCTTCATTTGGCACGATGCTATCCTTCAGGTTGCTGAACAACATGGTAAAACCTTTCTCCATTTCCTCAGGACGTTCTGTACCCTCGACTTGACGAAGGTACGGCCGGTCACCTAAACACCCAGATTAAACATTATCAGCCAACTTCATTACAGTTTCATCCTGCACTTTCATCTACAGAAGCCATGCTTCTACGAAAGAGAACCCATATCATACTGCGAGGCACTATCGCTCAACAAGCCTGGCTGTCCCCAATAAGTCCCCCAGGTCGTTGACAAGTGCCAGAAAATGCAAATGTTGTCTTTAGCCAGAGAACCAAATTATCGCTTGCTGTTCTCCTCGATGCGCAGTCTATTTCACCTATGGCAAACTCGTTTTCAAACTTTGGCATGAAAATCCCAGCATTTTGGATGTCACCAAAAGGCGGCTAGCTGGGATTGCGGGACAGTCAACTCACGACCAGGCCCTTCATCAGAGCCCTTTGGCACAATGTGGATAAGGAAGGAGCAACTTTATCCCGTGGAGCGGTACATATCTGAGTCTGACGCCGTGCATGAAGCCGGAGATTTTGCCCGAGCAAGCATTTAACCCTGGTTCGAATGTCAGCGAAAGTAACCCTCAATAAGTAATCATCGATATCTTATCTATCGTTGCGTGGTGCTTAATAATGTGCCGTGGAGTGCGTGGAAGAATAATGGCCAAGGGGGGTTGGTATTATCGAAAGGTGCATGCCCTTAGCCGTCGACGGCATTGGATATTTGTATTTGAATGCGGACTGGAATTTCCAAGTGCTGTTCCAACATAACTTCAAGGGCAAGAGAAGTATAGTTCCGCCGTCTAGCTACTTATCATGGGCTCTACTCCTCCTGTCTGCGAGTTCACAAACAAGGATGAGCCTGTAGAGAATCAGCGTCGGCGCAAAGTCCGGGTTATTGGAGCCGGGTATTCGGGCATCTATCTTGGTATTAGAATACCACAGCGACTACGCAGCATCGACCTGCGGATCTACGAAAAGAACTAGGGCGTTGGCGGAATTGGGGGTGGTGGGGGTGGTGAATAGTTATCCGCGTATAACATCCCATAATGGGTGTCTTCTCGAGTAGAACGACAGCAACTAATCTGACACATTTCTAGCATGCGCTTGCGATACCCCTTCACATAGCTATCAATACTCTTTCAACCCGAACCCTGACTGGTCTTCGTTCTACGCACCACAGCAGGAAATATGCGCCTACTTACAGCGTATGGCTGATAAGTATGGTATTATGCGTTTTGTCGAGCTGTCGCAAGAGGTCATTACTTGCAGGTGGGATGAGGGGGCTAAGAAATGGTTCGAGTCGACTATATATTTCCCAGCTATATGAGACTAACTACTTCCTCGGGAAACTCGAGGTTTTACGGATTCAGGTGGGTTAAACATTCGATGATGATGCAGATGTGCTCATCTCCACAAGAGGCTTGCTGAGTGATCCGGCCTGGCCCGAAATTCCTGGATTAGAGAGCTTTCGTCGATAATAATGCACTCTGCATTGTGGAAAGAAGAGTATTTTACATGACTCTCTCGCGTTAGGGGTATAAAAGAGACTAATAGAGGCGGCAAGCTACGACTTTACCAACAAACGAATGGGCGTCGTCGGCGTCGTCGGAAATGGATCTTGTGCAATTGTCAGGTGCAAATAAGCCACAGTGGCTTGGCCTGGACAGGGGTCGGAAATGTATAACTAGGCTGCTGTGACCCCTCTTCTTTTAGAGAGGGCAGCGATTAACTTGTCGTTATTGAGTCCCCTATACTACGCTATTGGTACCTACCTGGTGACTGGCAGCTTGTTTCGCTTGAGCACTCTCGTCCTTCACTTTGCACTTGAAATCCCGTGACAGCAATCCAGATCGTTCCGAGTCTGTAGAAGATGGACGGAACTCAACTCTCCTGTTTCGTGAGAAGACATGGATCACGAACTCGTTTGGTGAAGGTGAGTTCCGAACTCGATTCTGCACTTACTCTTTCACATGCTGAAATGATATATTCGTTATGAGCAAGCTGAAGTGCTATGTCTAAAATCCACAAGCAACTACCCTTCTGCAAAGTTATGGCGAAAGCCTGAGGCACTGTAATCATTGATAATACTAGATAGAAATTTTGGCGCTGTTGTTACGAATGCCTTGCTTGGACAGAACCTTATCGTACTTTCTGAGGGATTCAATCCTCTATTGATGGCTCTGTGATGATCCTATCTGGATTGTTGTATCACTCTACTGTTCTGTAGGTTGTGTCTAGCTATTTTATCTACGAGGAAGGGTTTGACCCCACCAGTGCAATTGCCGCTACACCGCCTTCGGCCTAGGGCATAACCGTGGCGCTCAATCCCACACTTTCTGCATATGTTTGCTTTCACCAGTGTATCCTCAGCCGAGTCCCTGAGTCAAGCTTGAACCGAGTTGTCGATCAACATCAACCAAGCCTTGACCCCAGGGCCGCCTTCCTGTGCCCTTCCTTGGTTATCCACACTTCCAGATCCTACAGTGATCTCCTCCAGCATTTTAAATCCAAAGTGCTCGTACAAGGGAATAACTTCGGGAGACGTCGCCTCCAACCACACTTTCAGGCGCTCTTGTCTAGCCTGCTCCAAGAAGGAAACGACAACGGCAGAAACCGCGCCGAGGATCTTGGTCACATGTGGATTGCGCCCGAGAAAATCTAGATGATAATGCGGCATGATGGTGGGGTGTTCTTGGGTAGTTGACATGTTGCTTGCCGATTGAGCAACGCCGATGTATTTTGCTTTGGCCCTGTGGATAATGTCTCCCCACTCCCTCTTTATAGGACCCACGCTTGTGTCATCCTCGCTTTCTTCGGTATGAGGTGCACATTTCTTGTCAAAATGCGGGAGTTCCCATAGAGAGACTGCAGATGTCTCTCCGGACTGCACAAGAGCTGCACCAGACCGAAGTGACTTTCGGATCGTTCTGTCGACATACGCACTGACAGGGTCTTCTGTTGTGCCACGGGTTGATTCCAGGCTGAATGCGAAGGTGCATGGAACGGTTCGAAAAGCAGCCGCTAGAGTTTTGATACATGCAGACACCTCCGCATGATTTGAAGGGGACACTATGGTCGGGATAAGACGAACGCCTGGTGACGAAGACATCCTCCTGAGAAAAGGGAGATTGAGGAAACGGCATGTGTGGTTCAACATTCGTACGAACATCATTGGGAAATAAATTCGGGAGGAGGAGTCGGGCCATCCTGGGAAGGGGGCTCGTCAGGGGTTATTTCAGAATCTTGACATGATAGGTGCTGTCTATCCACAGAATCTCAGCTGAATGTATAATATGATTAAGGCAACAAGGCCCAGCTGCAGGGAACGTAGTAAAATTACCTTCACCCAACGGCCAATAATCCATATTAGCAACCACTTAGTAAGATGCCATGGCCAAGATGGCTTCAATGTGTCATGAATTTGCCTCGTATTTGGGTACTGAGTAAGCTACTCCAACCACTCGGAATATGCTTAATCACGTCAGCAAGTTTATGGTCCCAATTTCTTCTATTATGTCAATTACTGCTGACTTCGATACTACGCTAATAATACCTGCTATGCTCAAAAGGGTCCCCCCGTGGTCTTCATCCCGTTGCATATTTGCCTTGCAGAAATATAGATCAATATCCCGTGTTCATGCAATCGCCGCTGAGTAGTCTAAAGAGCTCGGCACATTTCGGTGAAACTTCCCTTTCTGGTGATCGTTTTGACAGCACCGAACTAGGTATTTTATCACGAGATTCCAGGGAATCCAATGCTTTACGTGGGAGTGATTTACTGTGTTTATATCGTCATGTCTTACTTTGACTTCTCGTATTGTTTTTGATCTTGGTTCTGCTGTTAAGTGCAGCTTCCTGTTACAGGAGGTGGTATGAAGCGGTAAGTAAACCGAAACGAGTATTGGCTACTTGTATCGTCTCTCCTTACATTTCGACATACGATTATCAACGCGTTCGCCTGTGAAATAAACAGGCCCCTTGTGATGTAGATACGAGGATTGCAATTTTGAGCAATATACGACACTTGTAACTACAGAGCTAATTCGACCTATATTTAGAATCTCTTGAGTAATGGAGATAGATTATTTCCACCGCTAGGCTGTCTGGGACAGTGACCTCCCTAATAGCTAGCTTGATGTAGAAAAGGGTTGGGGCGTATGAGATACTTCTTTACTTCTCACGTAAGATACATCGAGATGCCTCGAGTATCTCATGCTTCTATTGCCACAAGTCTTCGCCATACGCCAGCATGTTCTACACACTATGTTGCCGCAAAACAATATACATGGTTCAAGCTGAGCGTAGTGTAACTTGTTAGGATACGAAGGTGTCGATTTGAAATTGGACCCCATGTACAGACTAGGTCGAATACGTAAGGTTTACGTGCCTATGAAACTCCATCTCCAGAACGTGAAATACGAATGGCCAATATGTTTCCAAGATTCCAGAGAGCCTCTCCATGCCAAGAGCCTGGATGCTACCCTAAAGAGGCGGATATGGTATCTGTCAGCGGATATGCTATGAGGCTATGACACCCATGTATGCTGCCACCTATCCGCGACAGAAGGATGGTTTATGAGGCAGTCGAATAAGTAGACTCTCAAATACTCGAGAGTCATGTCGAGAGACGGTGTTTATTCTCCACGACGATTGTCGCCTCTGTTGCAAGATGACCTCGTTCCAAATTCCAGACGAACCTCCAAATGGAGGATGGCTAGCGTGGAGCCAGGTGTTAGCATCATTCCTCATGTCATTTTGCTCAATGTAGGTTTCCTACAACATAGATACTGAGAAACATCACTGACATGATTGGTGATACAGGGGCCTCGCAAACACATTTGGCATTTTCCAATTGTACTACCAGAGTGAACTCTTCTCATCGTACTCACCTTCTGCAATAGCATGGATTGGTACAGTCCAGGGCTTCCTTTTGAATCTTGTCGGCTTCATCAGCGGGCCAATCTACGATATGGGACACATCAAACCGCTCATATACGGAGGAGGGTTGCTTAATGTGCTGGGACTTGTGGCGACAAGCTTCGCGTCCCAATACGCTTGGGCGTTCCTCTCTCTGGGAGTCTGCGTCGGCCTCGGATCTGGATTGCTGTACGTGCCGAGTGTCGCCATAGTAGCTACCTACTTCACGACGAAGAGACCGCTGGCGACGGGCATCAGTGCCACCGGCTCCAGCATTGGCGGTGTTCTCTATCCGGTCCTGTTTCGCGTCTTGGTCGATCGAGTTGGCTTCTCCTGGGCGTGCCGGTCTTTCGCATTCATCAATGGAGGTTTGCTGATAACCTGCTGTCTCCTCATCGCCCCTCGAGTCGTTCCGTTTTCTAAGCGACGAATCTTCGCCACTGGAGCCTTACGCGACTTCCCGTTCCTACTGTTCAGTACCGCGCTGTTCCTCCTGTGGCTCGGGGTGGATGTGCCATTCTTTTTCTTGCCCAGTTTCATCCAAGAAAGGCTGAACTCTTCAGCTGAACTAGGCGATTACTTACTGTCTGCCATGAGCGCATCTTCCCTGTTTGGCAGGGTGCTCTTGGGCCTTGTGGCATCAAACATCACCCCTCTTGGTGTATGGCAGGCCTCGATAGGTGCCTCTTGCGTCTTGCTGTTCTGCTGGGCAACTATCGGCAACTTGCCGGGAATTGTGGCCTTCGTCATTTTCTACGGCTTCTTCACTGGAGGGGTGATATCACTCGTCTCACCTGTGCTCCTGGTCATATCTCCTGACCTGAGCATTGTGGGGTCTAGACTGGGTATGAGCAGTATTTTTTCCGGACTGGGTTTTCTGGTTGGGCCGCCCATTTCAGGCGCAATTCAGAAAGGCGCCGTCGGTTATTGTGGGCAGAGTGCGTTTGCTGGATCAACATATCTTGTCGCATTTGCTATTGTGGTCGTGGTTGGGTGGAGACACCGACGAAGTACGTCGCGCGACGAACATCACAATGATGGAAATACTCAGAGCGTAGATGTCCCCAAGATCACGGTGGTAGTGTTGCGGAAGGAACGCAAATCATAGTGGTACCAGTTGTTGTTTCCGACACCACTTGGATCTAGCGAGTGCACAATGCTGTGAGAGATCACGTAAGGCGCAATATACTGCTCCACGACAGTTCAGCCCTGCATGAAAAATGGCCCACCACTACGTCAGAGACTCGGTGAATCGATAAGCTTACCCTACTTACCTTAGTGGCGCTTGCAGCAGCTGCTTAGACTCGATAAAGGGATCACATATCTCAATAGCCGGCAGCTGATTGGCCTCAGCAATGCGACGAACTGGAGGTGGCCATGGAAAGAGCAGGCTTCTAAAGGAATACAACAGGTTTTATTCAATATACCTACTAGCAATGCACTAAGAAAGGCTACGCAGTAAAGCGACTAAGGCGATAAGAGTTTTGCGGGTGAAAAATTTACAACCCCACCATTGGGCCAACATTCAGAAACCATATGTGCCTTGCCCACTTCGCCCCCTCCGTCCAGGCTATTCTGCAACCATCCCAAACCTCAACACCGACTTAACGCAGACTTCTTTTACTCAAAAGAAGCCCCTAACCCCCCTCTCTTTCGTGGTTGTTGCATTTGTACTCGTTACACACACGAGCCTCTTTTGCTTTGTGACTGACATTGAATCCTTGATTTCCACACGAAGCGGGGTAGACGGACATTCCCACACATTCCTTTGTATTTGAGGCCTGCACAAATAATCAACTCCCTTCCCATTTTGTTGCCTCTTTGCATCACGACGTAGAAAAAAAGCATCAAGATGGTTTCCGCATCCAAAGAGAAGAGACTCGCTAAGAAGGCCGCCGATGCCGCCGACGGCAAGGGTGAAAAGAAGACGCTTGTCTCCAGATCCAAGGCTGCCTCCAAGGCTGCCTCCAAGCACGCCTCCAAGAACGCCTCCAAGAACGCAAGCGCTGCAGGGTCTGTCGCCGGAGACGAGACACCTCCTAATCTCGAAGAAGATGTTGCGACCGACTCCAAGAAGATGGAGCAGGTCAAGCGCCTCGCTGACCAGAAAGATAAGGATGGCCTTACCGACCGAGTCACGACCGGAGTTCTGGCATCCACCGAAGCCAGCAAGGACGTCAAGATCATCAGTGCCAGTCTCACCTTCCACGGCCGAGTCCTCATGACCGATACCACCCTCGAGCTAACCATGGGCCGTCGTTACGGTCTTCTTGGTGAGAATGGCTGTGGAAAGAGTACCCTTCTTAAGGCCATCTCAGAGCGCGAGTACCCCATCCCCAAACACATCGACATCTACCTCCTCAACCAAGGTGCGCCACCTAGTGACTTGGGTGCCCTGGAATGGGTGCTGAAGGAGGCCGAGAACGAGATGAAGCGTTTAGACGACCTTGCCGAGAAGATGTTGGAAGAGGAGGGGCCTGAAAGCCCCATGCTGCTCGACCTCTACGATCACATGGATAAGATGGATCCTTCCACATTTGCCACCAGAGCTTCCCTCATCTTGACCGGTTTGGGCTTCAACAAGCAAACCATTCATAAGAAGACCAAGGATATGTCCGGTGGTTGGCGTATGCGAGTCGCCCTCGGAAAGGCTCTTTTCGTCAAGCCGTCTCTGCTTCTGCTCGATGACCCAACCGCCCATTTGGATCTTGAGGCCTGTGTGTGGCTGGAGGAGTACCTGAAGAAGTGGGACCGCACTCTTGTTCTTGTATCTCACTCGCAAGATTTCTTGAATGGCGTGTGTACCAACATGATCGACATGCGAAAGCAGCAGCTCATGTACTACGGTGGTAACTTCGACTCCTACACCAAGACCCGCTCGGAACAAGAAGCAAACCAGATGAAGGCGTATGAGAAGCAACAAACTGAAATTGAACACATTAAGAAGTTCATCGCCAGTGCTGGTACTTATGCCAATTTGGTCAGGCAAGCGAAGTCGCGCGAGAAGATCCTGCAGAAGATGTATGACGACGGTTTGATTGAAAAGGTCGAAGCAGACAGAGAGTTTAAGTTCCGCTTCGCCGAGGCCGACAAGCTGCCTCCGCCGGTTCTGTCATTCGACAATGTCACCTTCTCGTACTCGGGAGAGGCAAAGGACGACTTGTACCGCAACATCGACCTTGGTTTCGACATGGACTCCCGTACCGCTCTGGTCGGTCCCAATGGTGTCGGAAAGTCAACTCTGCTGCGCCTCATGACTAACAAGCTCAGCCCGACGAACGGAACCGTTGGACGACACACCCACTTGAAGCTTGGCGTGTACTCTCAACACAGTTCTGAGCAGCTCGACCTGACCAAGAGCGCACTCGACTTCGTCCGCGACCGATACCGAGAGAAGTCGCAAGATTACCAATACTGGCGCCAGCAGCTCGGAAAGTACGGTGTTTCTGGTAACACACAGACGGCGCTCATGGGTACTCTATCGGAGGGCCAAAAGAGCCGGATCGTCTTCGCCCTTCTGGCCATTGATGGCCCCAACATGTTGTTGCTCGACGAACCTACGAACGGTCTCGATATTCCCAGTATCGACGCACTCGCGGATGCTATTAACCATTTCGATGGCGGTGTCATCGTAGTCAGTCACGACTTCCGGTAAGCTCCTCCGTACACCCGTTCTTCTTTCTACAGTCTTTCATGGGGTTACTAACACCTGTATAGGCTGCTCGACAAGATTGCCAAGCAGATTCTGGTGTGCGAGAACAAGACTATCAAGGCGTGGGATGGCACGATAGGTGACTACAAGAACTACCTGCGTAAGAAGATGTTAGCTGCCGGCGCCGTGTAAATGGGATGGCGAGGAAAATAATGTTTGGCGCAATCGTTTGGCATTACGTGATGGCTTGACTTATCGCACTGGATGCAGTTCGATGAGGGGAAAACTTAGGACGCGGCTCGCCTTATAGATTGGGAAGTTTGCATGCGTAGAGCCGCAGCCTAGATGCGAGGACCGGAGTTGCCCTACGATAGGGGTAAAAACTTCGGCAGGTTTCGGAATAGACTGTGATTCATACACAGCCGGCATGGATTTTGACCTGGCATTCGTTTAATATGTGAATTAAATTGGCCGCAATGCCTTGCATCATGCCCTAGAGGAACGTGGATGGCGAAGTTAAGTAGAGAACATCCTAGCACTTATTCGTAACGGTGACTTTGTATTCACCTTATTAGACTAACCCGTGGCTATATTTCACTGGCTAGACCACATCTAACTGTAAGCACGTGACATTGTGTGCTTTAACCGCGGTTTCGAGGTCATATAGGAAGAGACAAATATGAAGGAGGCTTGATCATTACTGCCGAAGACCTTGGCGAGAGGTAGCACAGGCAAATCACACGAGCCATTAAGAATCTGAGGTGGCTTAGAGTTTTCATATGCATGTTACTACACTATGTATACATTTCTCAAGTTGAGTCCAGTACGGAACGCCATTGCGGGGCGTGCATAAACCGGTTGGTGGTAGAATCGGACTCACCTAATTACTTGTTTTACGCAGTCTTACTTGGAGAACTAAACTCCATAATACATAATTCTAGAGTAGAGAAGATCGAATTAGATGCAGGCTTCTCAGAGAAGCAGCAGCTTTTGTAGCTTACCTAGAATGCAAGGGCCTGCTGCTTGGGGCTAGGCGCCCATCAGCGTCACCCAGGTTTCTCACTGCGAGATTCTGCTTCTCTTTTGAGAATCATTGCCATCTTTGAAGTGGGAATAATATCATGCCTAAGAGGCCTGATCATTGTCTTGCTCCTTGCAGAAAAGTCCAATTTATTGCTCTCGTGTCATACGAAGTTAGGAGTAATTGCATGTAATTGGTCGTGCTCCTTCCCATTCTCCATCCGTCACCTGGTCACATTCCTGTCAATGGCTGAACACTCAACATGGATACCTCAAAATAGATGCTAAAAAACTGCATGAGAAAACACGTCATGAGACACAGACACATGTGGCGAATTTTGGTACAGTCGGTTAGTCTTATTACCGTATCTGGGAAAGATTCCCGTCACCTACGACCAACAGGCCGACGATACCTTGTTTCACATTCCTTTCCTCAGGAAACATGTTGACCAGCACTTTGACATGATATTACGAATCAGCAGTTGTGTGCAGTTCATAGTCTGGCCAAGTAAAAATACTGTTTGGCTCCTTGAAGCATGTCCAGTACACGTCGTACGAATGTTGGGAATTTCCTATCTTGATACTTAGATAAATTTCAACTTCTCGACCGAAATTCGAACATAGACTCCATTATTTATCAAGCCTGCTGCCATCGTCGATAGCTTTTTTCAACATAAAATGCATGGCTTCACACGTACTTCGCAGCACCAGGCGGACGCTGCAATCCAGAACAGTCAGAATGCAGTCAGGTATTCGGCCTTCAGTATCATGAGTCGCCACGAACTCCTTGATCCGGATAGGTCTGCGACGGCGCAGGACGTGACCAATTCCCTTTCTGAATCAGCAAAGCATGTCTACCTCAGTCATCGAAACGGTTTTATCTTGCTATCACGTTTAATACCTGCAGACGAGGCTTTCGGCGCCAAACTGAAGGTCCACCTTTTCATGTTTAGAAGCTGGACCGAAGGGAACATACCCAGTGTATCGGCCTGGCCTTTCGAAAAAGTGGCCCCTTCCATGTCGGCAAAGGCACTAACAGATATCCCCGACAGTCAAAAAGGATGTTTTTTTCTTTCTTTTCTATGATGGTTACTTCTGGTTTGAGGCGGGGTTTTGTAGCCCTGTACTTGGCCGTACCTTCCCATCTCCACGACCATCCCCTAAATCCTCCACCCTGGAATGCTTCCCCGCCGAGCTCCTCAACATGGTCATTACCAAGCTCGACATTCACGACAAAATAGCCCCAGCCCTATGCTCGCAGAATCTATGGTGCCACGTCCTCCAGGATCTGCAAATGACCTATGGCAACGCCGTCGCCCCTTAGGCGGGGACTCCTATTATTTGCAACAGTACCTGGCTGACGGACTTACCATCCCTAGTCCTGGATTTATTCCCCGAATTGCGAGAGGGTAACAAGAAATGGTTCGCACCTGGATGTAGCATGAAGGATATATATGGTATGGCGCCCGCGCTGAGGTGGAACTGGGATGTGTCCGCTCGCTATGCAGAGGTGGAGGACGTTGGTTTGGAGGCCAAGTACCGGGACGCGATGGTGCTGCATGGAAGCTCGAGTGGAGTTCCAATAGATACACTTAATCAACTTGCCACGAAGTTAGACAGGGGTGATCTCTTACCTACTCATGGTTCAGATGGGGGAGCTTGGGTGTTGCGGAATCTTGATGCACGTGAGGTGGTGCAGTTCAAGGCAATTAAGGATGAGGAGGGCTGTATGAGGGTGTATGTAGAGGATCACTCGTGGTTGACTATTGACTATGTTATCATGATGCGAATATTATGGCAGGGCGGCTTCCACGAAGACTGGCATACGACAAAGGTAGCCTGGTCGAAAGAGGGGACATGGGCTGGCCATCGGTTTGATATCGTCGAGGCTGGAGGCTTGGTGACTGAGAGTAGCTGGAGAGACGTCACTGAAGATTTGACTAAGGAGGCCGAAGAATTGAGGACTTGGATCTTAGCTGAATCGTAGGGGATAGTGGTAATAAGTGGGAAAAAGACTAACATTGTATTTTCTGATATCGAAACAAAGTGTTTCAGCTACTAGTGTTAGCCCGCCTAAATTTTAGCCTTAAGTGAGTTTGATTTCTGCCTATAAAAGCTCATCAACGATGTTGGTACCTAGGGGACATGCCAATTGAAAACCAAAAGCTGTTGTTTTCTTTGTTCCTATGCTCTGGTGATTTTACAACTGCGTTGGGGAGTCAATGGTGGTTTATTAGCCCTTGCCTTTCTCCTATTCTGAACATATTTTTCGATTTCTTTATCTTATTGGTCGAGACGTTCATGCCCAATGAGTCGTCCACCCGCGTAGCCAATGTGCATCTACTCTTGGCCTTCCCCGATGACCTGTATTAAGATCAAATCTAGCGATTTGATTGATCCTCATTTTGGGTGATACCCCGTAAGGGTCAGCTGCATGATAGATATGCCTATTGGAAGTTGTGGTCGAATTGATGCCGCACGTGCTGTGAAAGGCTTTCTCATGGCCTAGATCTGAGGCAACGTGGCCATACCAGGAGGATCACAGCCGCCCTGAATCAAAGAATCAACGAACCAATTGACAAACTTGGATTACTGCCACATACAGCATTCCTATTTTCATCGTCATCACATTTTAATGCAGGGGGCCATCCGCCCCAGCTATGTAAGCGCTTATGGGAACTTCGCCTGTAGTACCATCTTTATCACCCAATCCTTAATTCATAAATTCATCCCATAATTTCAAGCTCAGAAAACCAAGCGATGGAAGAAAGTAGCTCGGCGCCAAGCCTAGAGGCGCCTGCAACTGGTTTCCCCAAGAAAGCAGAGGAGTTGAAACATATGGAATTTCAAACCTGAGCCGCACACCCGAGTCTCAATTCAACGCTGAGGCTGACACCGAAGAGGAAGTCCATACGAAGATGAATAGTGAGCCAAGAGCGATTCTGGATACTACCGTACTCGAGAGTTACCACCGAATTAACAGAAGTCAGGGGTTTAAGAATATTATGCGGGACACAAGACAATACCAACCCTGGAGGTACTTATGGCCTCAAATGACCAATTCACTGGTTTAGCTGAATAATAAATACACTGACATGAAAGCTTCTAACGAATTTGAGGATTCGTATTAGAATTCAGAAGTATGATGCGCCAACCGATAGAAAGCTACCGCCTGGAGATATATTGTCGGAACTGTTACCAACAACACAAAGCAGAAGCTCATATTTTGGCGCGTAACAAAAAGAATGGGGACAGGAATTGATCCACGTTACGAGCTTGAAGTGGTTGTTTGGCGGCTGTGACATGGCGGGACCATACATTGGGCCCAGAGAGTCCACCCTTAGAGCGTCGAGGATTGTCCACGTTCCTTCCAGACCTTCCAGAAACAAAGTTGGGACCTACCGTATCATGCGGGGTTGACTTACCAAGGGCTGAATGGACAGGCACGCATATTTTACCGCGGGTTTCGGCTGAAAAGGGGTTTACGGTTGAGTCGGATATTATGGGCAGACTATGATTCATTTGATTCCATCACTAGGGACGGGAGTACGGCTATGAATACTATATTATCATTATAAACACGGACGTCGTACTTTGATACGTCGGCACAATCCGGAGGATTAGATAAGATATCGAGGCCTGCGCGCCTACCAACATAGTGTGAGGAGCCAGATTTTAGATTAATTAGGGCCTCGTAAGTGCGATCAACTTTATAAGACCAAGTAGCGATCCATACCAACGAAAAACCAGAATATTGAGGAAGTACCGAATCCTTCATGTACCTTGCCTCCTTACGTAGACATCTTGATTAACTTGGCCCTCTTCTTCCTAGGGCGTAGACGCGGAGATTTTAGAGTATGGCATCAACAACGAACTACTTATATAACCAATACAACATACATAGAATATAAAGCTGTAAAGCACCAATCAGCGGTTGTATAACGACTAGGTCTGTGGATGTGGGTTGAAGGGCAGCTGTCAACTGACGGCGAGTTGCTGGTCACTAGCTTGAGGTTAACAGCCATCCGTTATAACCCAGAACACTAACGAGATTACTGACTGGGTTGACTATCCAAATATATTTCTCACCCTGGTACCAGTCTTGTAGCTACAATATTTAAGCAGTAGAGTAATATCTGCAATAAGCATGAGTTCCTTACGAGTTGATCGAGGTGTGCTTGGGATCTGAGTGATTGCTTAGAGGGTCCCAAATTTGGCCCCAACTCGTCTGAGATTCAGGTGCAGCGCACGAGCCACCTTGATGCTTCAGCTGTGACAGGGACAGGGATTATCGATTGGGTTAGAACGGGAATGGCGTAGAGACTTGAGCCTTCCACATTCTTGCGGAGGTTCTTTAGCTCCAAAGTCAATCATTGACGCGATCAACGGTTTCAAGCCAGATTGCCATCAGACGTTTCTCGTCTCCCTTCCAACAGGTTGAGACTCTATCGAATCCGTAAAGAGATGTGTCTATGATGGAGCTCGTGCTACAGGCTGTTACACGCGTAGGCCTGGCACGTTGGATGGAATGGTAGCACCGTAGCAGCTACACAAGGCCACCTTGCTTGCTAGCGCGGCAAGGTTTTCCATTGGGCGGGACGGGGGCCGGGGTTTGGCATGCGGAGCAAGCTGTGTGGTGTCTGGATTGATCGATCATCCATCCACGCGGGTCCAAGGCTCGACCCTTTTGGCGAGAGTTGGCGAGAGCTGCTGGTTCGGCAGCATCGCCCATCAAAGAATTTGGGATGGTGCAGCATGGGAAAAGTGGCTAATAAATCGTAATAATGGCAGCAGCGACAGCAGAAGACGGACAACCTGCCACACCTCAAAACATCATCGTCACCTTCTCATCACTCATTATCCATCCCCCTCATTCTCTGCACCGTCTTGTCATGTATTGAGCCGTATTTGATCACATATCTATCAAATCATCGTGAGATTCCCCATGTATCGTCGTCCGTAATCTAGGCGGCATTCCGGCCCCCCTTGAGTCAATCGGTCGCAGCACAGATCTCCGAGGGTTGGCATCTTTGTTGTGGACAGTTTCTTCCCATCCAACTCTTCGTCCCATCACTGCGCAAGCCTGTCCGACAAAGGATTGCTATATTGAGATACCTCGTGAGCCGCACTTGACAGGGTCGTCGTCTGCGCCATCCAACACAACACAGCTTGCTTGTTGGGGCCTTCATCGTGCGCGGCCACTGTCCGTCGGGGACAAGCAGACAGCGAAACCTCACACACAACTGAGTTGCCGGCCAGATCGCCTTCGCACTCGCAAAGACTTTGTCGCAGTACCGCTTCTCTTGTCTAGATCTTCCGCTGCGAACTTCTGTGGTGTTTTCGTCTGTGCTAGGCTAGGGTGATGATGGCGATTCGCTAGAAACACTGTGTGCAAACCAAACCTCAAAAAGTACGAAGCCACTTGAGGCTACAAGCTGGGTCAAAAAAGATGGACGCAAACAATTTCCACGCGACAGTGCTCCAGCGCACAGGAGCTGATGAGGACGACAGGGCGATGCGATTGACGGGCGCAACAATTGAAAGTGCACAGTTCCCAAAGTCGCCCTACTCCAACTCGAACAAGACACAGTCGGCGCCAGGACCACCACGCCATTCCTCCTTTCTGGATGCAGCAGTGGCAGTCGGAGGCGCGGGAGTGGATGCCAATGCTCCCAATGCGAGCAAAGCCAACGCGATATCTCCGACAGCAAAAGCAGCATCGACGCAATTGCTGCAATCTGAATTTTGCCAGTCAGCCCAATTCCATTCTCCCTCTTCGTCCCAAACCATCCACGCCGCACCTCTTCCTCACCCATCATCATCGTCGAATGCAACGCGCCCGCCGCCACATGCACTCGCCATCGTCGCATTTAACGGCAACGCGACGACGCAGACACATTACAACAATCCGCCATCGTCAGGCTCGTCGCCCTATGCATCAGGGCTCCCGCCTCTGGCTCCTCCCCCAGGCTCCCTGGGGTCGATAATGGCCTCACCTGTGCCCACGATGACATCAACCAATGGTTCGGGTGCCCTGCCACCGAGTGCATCACCACTGCAGGCACCCCATACATCCGACTATCACCCGCCGGCACGAGAGAAGTCATCAGGCAGCTTTTACGACCCCTTGACGGACACAACCAAAGAAAGACGGGCATCCAACTCGTGGTCCAGTAAACAGGTAAGATCAAACCTTCCATATGCCACATTTACTCCTTCGACCGCGCACTCCGGATCCACGACTCCACACCAGCTCGGCTTTGCGCTGTCGTCGCAGCTCTGCAACCCATCTAGACCAAGCCGAATCGCACATACCTAGCGAGCTTCATCACGCGAGCACCACTGCATCTCTATGCTAACGACGCGGTTACCACGATCAATACGCGGATGCGGTACATGGCCAGGTGTGGAGTGGCCAGCTAAACTCCAGCCTGTCCATGTTCCACGAGAGTTTGCTTGGTGGAAATATGAGCCAGGATGGGGCATCGGCCCCGCGTGATTATGATCGGCTACAATGAATTTTGAATCATCTTGCTTACGACGAAATCAACCTCGATTTCGTGCTAACTTTTGTCTTCACTAGTCGCGACCTGATACCATCACCTATTCGCAGCAACCCCAGTCCGAGTCTACTCAATATCGCAACGAATATGGCTCGCCTCCGTCGGTGAATGAAAACCCGCCTTCTCGAAACCGAAGTCCGCTGTCACATTCGCACCCAAAGAACGGCAACGGTCACAGCGCCGACTCGGCGAGTCCGACAAATAAAGCATTGAATTTGGGCTCCCCTGCCCCTCGCCATCGCGCCGTGCCCGAAGGCTTGGGTTCATCAAACCGTCACACAACCACACCAGCCTCTTCATTGCCATCCATTTTGAATCCCGAACCCACGCCGACGGTTTCTGGTGCAGCTCCTACCAGTGTAAGTGGTTTCATTGTCATTGCAAATTGTTCCATCGCGGTTCTGCCATCCACGGACCGATTTCCCTTTGGCACCAAGAGCATCCATCTCCAACTTTATCAAGTTCTGATGCTGACGTGTGAAACAGACACCAAGCCGTGCAGCGGAGCTCATGTCGTTTTCCAATATCCTCTCGAGTGCCGATCCCCTTCCGAAACCAAGAGCCCCCATCATGCCAGAGAAGAAAGAAAAGCCCCGTAACAAGAATTACGAGAGTCGTCGCGAGCGTCGCGAGGCCAACTTGAGAGAATCCGGCGTTGACAGGTCTAGAAAAGGTGTCCGACTGTCGTCGCCCAATACCTCTAGAGAAACGCCGCCGAGCAGAGCTTCAACTAAGAGTCTGGCTAATGGCCAGCCGAAGCCAAAGACTCTGTCAGCTGAGCAGGAGAAGAAGATCGACCAGCTCATGGAGTCTCTTGATGCGAAGGCGGAAGATGTAGATCTCTCGGAGATGGAAGCCGAGTACCAGTTCTACACCGGCCGCAACAAGCGACGGAAACTCAACATGGAGCGAGAGGAGGACCAAGATCATCGTCTCCGACGCGTCGACTTGACGACGCTCCAGGGCAAGAAGCTTATGAATCATGCTGCGCTGGGAAAGCGACGCTATGATGACGTCCATTATGAGGAGGCACTGCAAGAAGTCCGCGAGCGCGAGCTTTACGCCGAGAAAGAGCGAAAGAAGGACATGCAACGGAAACGACGGCGAGAGAAGTCGATGCAAGTCACTATCGAGCAAAAAGAAGCTGCTCTTGCCAAAGCATTGGCGGCCCAGAACGAAGCCGATCGTGCAAAACACTTGCGAGAAGCCGAGCGTGCTAACAAGAAGGCCCAGCAGACCAAGCTGATTCTCCAGAAGGGCATCAAGGGCCCCGCCCGCAACCTAGCCAACCTCGAGCTCAACTTGGAGGGTGGCACCATGACAACCTTCCAAGCTACGGACATGGAACCTGGGAAGAGCAGGAGCAAAGGTCGTGCGGGCACTCGGCCGAAGAAGTCCAAGGAACAGAAACAAGCCGAGAAGGACTCCGCCGAAGCCGCGCAGGCTGCTATCGACGCTGGCGAAGAGTTGCCTTCTAAGGAGGATAATAACAAGATCCGCATCAAGCTTAGTAAAAGCTCTTCTAAGGATTCCAAGCCACGGGATGGCACGCAAGAACCAAAGGACAAGGAGAAGGTCGTGGATGAGCCCTCCGCTAACCCACTTGAGACCAAGTTCCAGTCCAAGGGCTACAATCAGATATACGATCAAATCTGGCGCGATCTTGCACGTAAGGACGTGCCCAAGACGTTTAAGCTGGCTGCCGATTCGTATGCGACGAAGGCCTCGAACTTGAAAAAGACGGCCATTCTCGCTTCCAAAGAAGCCAAACGATGGCAACTGCGTACCAACAAGGGGACCAAAGATCTACAGGCCAGGGCAAAGCGCTGCATGAGAGACATGATGGGCTTCTGGAAGCGCAATGAGCGCGAGGAAAGAGATTTGCGCAAGGCCGCCGAGAGACAGGAGCTGGAGAATGCTCGCAAGGAGGAAGCCGACCGTGAAGCCGCTCGTCAGAAGAGGAAGCTCAACTTCTTGATTTCCCAGACGGAGCTGTACTCTCACTTCATCGGCAAGAAGATTAAGACGGATGAAGTCGAACGCAGCACAGACAACCCAGAGATTGCACCTGCTGGGGACATGCCGTCCACCGGGAACAAGATGGACGTCGACGAACCTGCGGGGCCAGTTGGTGCTAAGGTTACCGATTTCAACAAGCTCGATTTCGACGCCGCTGACGAGGGAGAGCTCCGTGCTGCTGCCGTGGCCAACGCCCAGAATGCCATTGCCGAAGCCCAGGAGAAGGCACGGGCATTCAACAAGCAAGACAACGACATGGACGAAGATGGGGAGATGAACTTCCAGAATCCGACTGGTCTTGGCGACGTCGAAATCGAGCAACCCAAGTCATTGAACTGTCAGCTCAAAGAGTACCAGCTAAAAGGTCTCAACTGGCTTGCCAATCTCTACGAGCAAGGAATCAACGGTATTCTGGCAGATGAGATGGGTCTCGGCAAGACGGTCCAGTCGATTTCGGTCATGGCCTACCTGGCCGAAGTACACGACATCTGGGGCCCCTTTCTAGTTGTGGCACCGGCCTCGACGCTACACAATTGGCAGCAGGAAATTGCCAAGTTCGTCCCCGAGTTCAAGGTGCTACCGTACTGGGGTAACGGTGCTGATCGAAAGGTTCTGCGCAAGTTCTGGGATCGAAAGCACAACACATACCGGAAGGATGCTCCCTTCCACGTGTTGGTCACATCCTACCAGCTGGTGGTGTCTGACACCGCATACTTCCAGAAAATGCGCTGGCAGTACATGATTCTGGATGAGGCGCAGGCCATCAAGAGTTCCACGAGTTCGCGTTGGAAGGTTCTGCTTGGCTTCCACTGCCGCAACCGACTGCTTCTGACTGGTACTCCGATCCAGAATAACATGCAGGAACTCTGGGCGCTTCTCCACTTCATCATGCCTTCACTTTTCGACTCCCACGACGAATTCAGCGAGTGGTTCTCCAAGGACATTGAATCACACGCGCAGAGCAACACGACACTGAACGAGGACCAGCTTAAGCGGCTGCACATGATCCTTAAACCATTCATGTTGCGTCGTGTAAAGAAGCACGTGCAGAAGGAACTTGGTGACAAGATCGAACTCGATGTATTCTGCGATCTCACCTACCGTCAGCGTGCTTACTATCGCAACCTCCGCAACCAGATCAGCATCATGGACCTGATCGAGAAAGCCACGTTGGGTGACGACCAAGATTCTGGCACACTGATGAATCTTGTTATGCAATTCCGAAAAGTGTGTAATCATCCCGATTTGTTTGAACGTGCGGATACAAGCAGTCCCTTCTTCTCGGGCTACTACGCCGAGACGGCATCGTTTGTCCGCGAAGGAGTCAATATCTCACTCGGATACTCTACTCGTAATCTGATCGAATACGACCTTCCACGTCTTATTTGGACTGAAGGGGGAAGACTGCAGAAGGCTGGAAAGGACAATGAAAAAGCCGGGTTCAGGAATAAATACCTCCACCATTTGATGAACATATGGGCTCCGGAAAACGTCCGCGAGAGCACGAGTGGCCAGGGCGCCTTTTCGTTCCTCCGCTTTGCCGACACAAGTCCCGAGGAGATGTACAATGCGAGTTGCCAGGACTTGTTTTCGCGCGCCGTGGATCTCACGAAGAAGCCAGATCGTCTGGGGCATATGAATGTCATCTATGATGAGCCCGAAGACAAGGCCTACACCCCGACTCATGCGCTATTTCAAATCACAGAGCGCTCCAGTCGCCAACCCCTTGCTGGCGTGACGAACGAGGGTATTCTTGGTAAATTGATGAACATCTCGCAGTCCAGTTGGCGGGATTCGGGGCTATGCCGACTTGAGCAAGCTGCTCTCCCCGGCGCGGTGGCTCCACCTATCGAGGTTGCGTGTGAGGGTACTCGAGCGCCAGCTGCAGAGCGTGAAGAGACATTCTTCAATGCCTCGATGCGAAAGTCCATATATGGGCCTACGGCGATCGAAGAAAAGGCGTTAGTGATGCAAAAGGTGCCTATCGAACGCTACCCGGTGCCATCATTGCTGCCTCAGCCGGACAACGAGAAGAGGCGGTTCACCAACATTACGGTTCCCAGCATGCGCCGCTTTGTCACGGACAGTGGCAAGCTTGCCAAGCTTGACCAGCTACTTTTCAAGCTGAAGGAGGAAGGTCACCGTGTGCTGTTGTATTTCCAGATGACGCGCATGATTGATTTGATGGAAGAGTACCTGACTTACCGTAACTATAAATACTGCCGACTGGATGGATCCACCAAGTTGGAAGACCGTCGTGACACGGTGCACGACTTCCAAACGCGGCCCGAGATCTTCATCTTCCTTTTGTCCACTCGTGCTGGTGGCCTGGGAATTAATCTCACATCCGCGGACACCGTCATCTTCTACGACAGTGACTGGAATCCTACCATCGACTCACAGGCCATGGACCGAGCTCATCGTCTCGGCCAGACGCGCCAAGTGACGGTGTACCGTCTCATCACCCGCGGCACCATCGAGGAGCGTATCCGGAAGCGTGCTTTGCAGAAGGAGGAAGTACAACGCGTAGTGATTTCAGGTGGCGGTGCACGCGGTGTTGACTTCAGTGGTCGTCGTCCCGTCGAGAACAGGAACAAGGACATCGCCCTGTGGCTTGCCGACGATGAGCAGGCCGAGTTAATTGAACGCCGCGAGAAAGAGTTGCTCGAGAGCGGCGAGGCGGAAAATCAGAAGAAGAAGCGTGGAGCGGCAGCCAAGCGAAAGAGGGAGGCTGTCAGCTTGGATGACATGTACCATGAAGGTGAGTTTCGCTCCTCCCCGCACTGCACTTGGATGCCGAGACTGACTTGATTTCCCAGGCGAGGGTCACTTTGATGATGGTAACAAACAGTCGGGCACAGCCACGCCTGTTGAGCCTCTCGCAGCCGACGGCCGTGCTGCTAAGAAGAAAAAAAGCGGCGGTAAGAAGGCAAAGACCACGAAGCAGCGGTTGGCCATTGCTGATGGGGAGGTTGACGGATGATTGATTGGTCATCCTGGTGTTACCCCTTTTGTTCTAAGATGATACGGTCCGTCTGACAGCCTTCGCGATGAGGGTACGGACGACATGCCGTGAAGTTATAATAGTACATGTACAAAAGCCCAAGGTGGGAACAGGCGTTGCATTACGATGCTATTCGGAGCGGGGGACCTGAAGAAAAAAACTCAGGGGTCGAGATAGAAGGTCCCTAATTTGCAGGTTTTGAGCATCTTAACACTGAGCCAGATTATCAATAGATGTTCATTAAGGGTATAACGCTGCGCGTGAGTAGTACGTCTCCATAGGAGCTCGTCTGCCATTGGGTTTTCAACTTCATCATCATCTTGACACAGCCCTGAAAGTTGATGGTTTGGAAACCCAGACGAGAAAGGCAGAAGTCCGTGCGTAATTTTGTAAGCGACTCCAGCGTTATGTTTAGCCCGGTCTCGACATCTGCATATATCGGGTGCCTCCAATCTTTTGTCTGGTCACGACTAGATCCTCGAATGTTTGGGATTCTCTTTTCGTGTATTCCAAACCCATTCTCACAACCCAATTCCCACTTCCCAACAGGGTCATGCGAACATTGCGCAAGCTGCGCAGCTGGCTCATACACGCCCTCTTCATCAGACATAAAATACGATCATAACGAGGACACTAATGACGAGGTTGCGCCCTGGAATGCAGAATACCTCCTCTTACTCGTGCTAAAGCACAACGACGTTGCCACAGTCCACGAACTTAGAGGCGAGGCACCCGGTCTCTTGAGCTGGCGAATACTCGGCGAATCATGCGGTCATGTTGCTTGCTACGATGCCAGTGCAGCAAGTACAAATACTCAATGAGTGCAGCTGCCGCGGCGGAGATGGTGCGATCGACGAGGGGTCGTAGATGCTGATCTTTGGATGAGGCGTGCTTGAGGGCTCATGTCGAGACGGTGTGTTTCCTAGTGGAATGTTCGTGAGACTTGGTGGCGGGTCTCAGGGCGAAGGGAAGTGACTGTCCGACGCTGCTTCTGAGTGCTGTTTCTGGGTTTCCGCCGGGCTTTGTTCAGCTTAGCAACCTTGAGGACGAGGGCCATGAAGATGTCGCCAAAGACAAGGAATCAGCTCCAGGGTCAAGATCGTGCGCCTTTTGATCGAGCACGGCCCTAAAGCTACAGAATCGTACAAGGCTTTGATGGCACTTGGCCAACGCAGAGACGCAGGCTATGTATCTTGCCCCACACGACGTCGAGGACTCCCCTTTGGCGGAAACTGGGGCTGGCTGATATTTACAGAATGACCCATTGGAAGTCTCACGCATACACAGGAGAAGAGCATGGTTTAATCAGAATGACGCCGCTCCATATTGGTACTTAATATCACAATATCAATGGGGTCATATTGCTGCTTTAATTAGGCCAAGATGAGCATGATCACAGCTCGGGATAGCTTGGGATAGACGCGTCTCCATTGAGATGTGATTGGCCTTTTGAATGTACAATTTCTTAGGGGTGGGTTGATAAGTTGACGGATTCTTCTGCGTGCTATGAAGACTGTCAAGACCCTCCTAGGTCGCAATCTCTCACGTAAGACGGTGAATGCGGAGGAAAGGACAGGCAGAGCACCCTTGCACTCTGCTGTGAAGAGCGGCGGGATGGAAATTGTGTCCATGCTTTTCGCCCATACGGCAGATGGTTTAGGGCTACGATTTCCGATGTCAACAGGCCTGTCGGATTAACTAGAACCAAATGTTCGTAACAGCAACTTATATATTAATTGAGGCCCCGATAGCAGGACCTTTTTAGTAGCATGAACCCTTACAGCACTCTTTAGTATTTTGTAGCTAGACTAGTGGAGGTTTTATAGTAATAATATAGCGGCTTAGTGGTCTTCTGTCAGGACACTGAACGCAGGACACCGATGGGGCGCCGGAGGGGTGGTTCGGACAAAAGACTCCCGAGTCATGATTACAATGTATGTGAAGCTTTGGGATGACGAGAGTCAAGATCCTCGGCATCGCCGACCCTGCTGTTATGCCGTGTCTAAGCGGTAGCCTAGCTATCTATATAAGGACTATATCGTAGTAGGATAGGGAGGGAGCAGAGATCAATGCATCATCGTGGGCACCCCTACCTGAGACTGCCAGTGACCACCCGGTGCTACGTAGGAGGGACGCCCGTTACTCCCCATCACTCTGTACTATTGCCTTCGAACTAGCCGTACCCTGACATCTTCAAGAGGTAAGATCTTAATGAAGTTCGTAAATTTAATACAATTTGGCTACTACGCGCTCAAAGGGTTAGTAACTAATAGTACATCGCTTTCAACGCATATTTCTCATCGTGCAGGAGCCACTGGCACGTGTCTTGCAACCTGTTGACCTGAATGCGACTCCAAGAGCTTGTCTGTTCGACCAAACCTAGTTAGAACCTGGTTGTTATTGCGGGCCAGATTGTCTTCTGAGAAACTGCAGCTTCTTCGATTAGGCGTTAATCGAATTATGGAACTTGGTCAAAATTTGATTGCAGGCTTTTGAAGATTTCTCAACTGCTTCTTCAAGTTCCCTCAGCTTCAAGAGGTGAGTCGTGAACTCGTCTAGTGTGAACAGGTCGTATTCATCAGTGTGTTGTTCTGACACACACCTCGCTGGCTGACACTAGACATGAGAGGACTGCAGCGTACAATTGGTAATATTTAGAAGCCAGAACTTAGGAGAGTTCTAAGGCTAGGCCATGCTTCTTCAACCATAGGTCCTCTAAAACTCGACAACGTACCAGAATCGGGGAAAGTTGCTCGATACCAACAAACATCTTAATCTTCTGCTGGCTATTTAATGTGGCAGTCTCGTCATTGTCAGCGTTGGCTGACACAATTATTCCGAACGGACGAACTTACTTGCAGCAGAAAGCGATAGACTGTCCATGGCAGCGCTGCATGTACAGGGTCGTATTACACCGCGATACTTACCACTTCTTTTAACTTATTTAACGACAAAACAATCCTATCGGAAACTTCACCGATCACAAACTAACGATTTTTAATCGTCATACTGCATGGGTCTTTCCGTGGACTCTCTTGTCCTAGATTACTCTTGCGACACTACTCAGGATTTTGTTTCCTGTTATGACGGAATTAGTTGCAACGGAAGCATGGTTTCGAAGGATATTCGCAAGGAGTATGCCATCAGAAGAGCTCCGCTCAAACTAAAGAAAAGCAAGTTTTCAGGGGACTTGGGGCAAACAGGTTGTGGATGGCCGACTTCAAAAGTCTCAGTCGGCTCCCTCATGTCTTGGCCGTTATCTGCGGCAGATTTTGGGTGCGTGGTCTGCCCATCATAAATCTCGGCAGGAGTTACAGATACAGGGGCTTGGCCATTTCTCCGAAAACCAGCCTTGAATTTATCACGCTTACGCGACCCGGTTGTTTCCTGGATTCTGCCCGATGAAGGCATCGCAGACTGACTCTGGCTTATGCTGAGTGGGCGGAAAGGAGTGAGGATTTACGGGCAGCTATTCGTGGCAAGCATGAGCTCCCACTCGACCAGCATCTCGGCGCGCCCACAGCCCACTGTACACAGGGCAATCCCATGGGCTGGTGTGACCGGGCAGTGAACGCAGAGGTGGATTATTGAACGTTTAGTGACAAACACTAGTAGCTAGATACTGAACAGTTTAGCTCTTGTAGCATGCGTTGGTAATGACTACATATGTAAGGGGTCAGGCTGCTACATTATTGATACGAAGATACAGTGAGGCATGTGGCAACTTGAGGTTCGGCTATGAGGGCCCATAGCCCCCCTTTGATTGAGAAATGGTGGACGGCCTTCTCATACCTAAGAATAGCCGAGATGTGGTGATAAGAAATTCTCATCTGGAGCGCTGCGTTAACACGTCAGAAGGAAGGAGCTAGCAAACCTCGGAGTTTGATTCTGTCAATAGGTGAGATCGAGAACCATGTTGGCGATTCAATTCATAAGAAAATTGCTGGAAATGAAGAGGATGACTCGTAGATCCAAGTAGGATCCTCGTTGGAGTATACCCGGAAGTGGGTGACAGAACAAGACCAAGGTACTATAAAACCTTAAAGTCGACCTGTGACCTTGCGGGGAGGACTGTGGTCCGGTCGGACTAAATGGTCCGGCACTGCCCTGCAGCGATCATCATTGCAGCAACTTTCATCCTTTTTGCCACAGAAATGCTCAATAATCCCTCCACAAATGTCACCCAATCCGCACACTGAATCTTTAACTCCGTGCAATTGCCAGCTTTTACGGTCGATCCAGCTACGAGTAAAGTCATAGAGCCTCAGGTCTGACGTGGTAATGGTAGAAGAAGGGGCTGGTGCTATGATGTCATCACCTCCTCAAGCCGTCGCGTCCAAGTCTTAAGAAAGCACAACGTTGCTTCAGACCATTTATATCCATTGAACAAAGATAATTGTTACCTCGTTAAATCACAACGCATAATTCGAACGCATTCCCGATCTTTGACCAACAAATTATTATATCATCACGTCAACCAAAATCATCATGTCCGCCCAAGCGCCCAGCGAAGGACAAAAGGTCACACTTGGCCAGAACGCCCCCATCACTCGGGAAGGTTCCGGTGCCGTAGCCTGCGACTCCCTCGCCGCCGAGTCCAGGGCCTTCACCTCGTCCAACGAGATGAGCACCAACACACAATCACACGACGAGCTGCGCTCCTCGTCCAAGCCTCACGAGAGCGGAAGCACAGCTGCATACTCCTCGACGAACACTGGCGCTGGATCGGGCCCAAACAACGTCGACACGGCACCCAGCTATGTCAACAACCAGTACACGCAAGACACCAAAGGCCCACACGGTAAGAACATCAAGGAGGACGAGAGCATTCGCACGGGCGACGGTAATAATGCTAGTTTCACCGAGTTTGGAACCGACAAGGACCCAGGTGCGCTAGCTGAGAAGAAGTTCGCGTTGGCAGATAGCAGCACGGCGGGATCGACGGCTGCGCGACAGAAGAGCATTGATGGAAAGACGCCTTACGACGTTTTGGATCCGGAAGAGCAGGCTTGAGTTATTGGATAAACCAGAGTAGTACGGTGGGAAGGGTTCGATGCGAGTGGCAGTGACTGCAGGTCATCGGGATTACGGCACGGTATTGACTGGGAAGGCTTAATGGACGCTACACTAGTCGTATAGCAGTCGAGCCAACGCCCACCACCAAGCTTGAAATGGGTTTGCGCTTCTGATATAGTAGTGTTCACCACCAACGGTGTCTGGCAGGGTCTGACGTGGATATGAAACTATTGTTGTCTGCTGAATTGTAACAGACTGGTGCTCGATTACCAGAGTCGCGATGCACCAATGAGGGGAGTTACGTCATAATCACGCTATGCCAACGCACTCACGCACTCATCATGAGCGCCAACTCTTGCAACTGTTGTATGCTATGACGATATTATGCCGTATAACGTCCACACTTTCAATGGATTCGTGGAGTCTTGGCAACTATGGGTCACTGCCAGCTCCTGGTCTACCTCGACCACCTAAAGCAATGTTCATTTTCATTATCGTTGACACACATTATAGTGTTTTTTCACATGTCCTCCTTCCCGCCCACTACTTCATCACAATTGAATGATTATAACCAAGCTGGAGCCGCACTATTTTGGAGAAGACATTCTTTACACCGCACAAAACCCGGACAATCACCTTGGGTTTGCCAGTCAACAACACCCCGCGACCCCAAGCTCCGTCGCCATGGCCGTCAGTGTGCTCCTCATCACTGGCATGGTGCTGGCCGTTCTCTTCTATCGCTGCATCCACGCACGCAAATGGGTTGTTTTAGGGGATAATGGGTATATCGAAGCCCCGAGGAGCGACGTGGTATTGACAATTGGCCCTATCGGATGTGTCCTGGGGTCTTGTTACGACACGTGCCAGCGCTCAACTACTATGGATTGATTGCTGGAATGGCAATATTGCTGTTGCATGCAGCCTATGAGAATAACTGCAACATGGTTGCGCACGAGGGTAGTTTGTCTGTGCGACTGAGGGGGACCGTGGGATGGACTTCAAGTCGACCCAAGACAGGAGTCCCGCTGAAATATGGGGTATGTTGTGACTTTGCAAGACAGATGATATTTCGGAATTTTTCATATGGCATTCGATTCGAGGGAACTTGAATGGCAATAAACAATGTTATTAGAGCCTCCATTATTGTTATGGTAAGAATTGACTAGATATGGGACGGCATTAAACAAGATGACATCAGAAGCTGGCCTGCGACAACCGGTGCAATGCACACTTAGTAAACGAAAATATTATTATTATTATTAAATACGCCGTAGGCTCGAAGCCCCCGGTACCTCTACTAGTACTCCCGTATGTCAAACCGTGCCCTAATGGCTGGACTAAATACATACGCTGCGTCGTCGGTTCGCCCTATTGGCGACTGCGTTGCGTTCACTACCATACTACGTTGGTTCTCAACCTACCAACAAAGTCCCCCCTGAGAAGATCGATGCTATCTGGGCCTTGAAGCTGTCCGACCCGTCCCTAGCAGCCATCTTACAATAGTCCCACTAACTACTGGTTCTCCTGTTGCCGTTGCGAGGTCTCTGCGAGAGTATAGTGGCCGTGGTGCGATGGCGGCCCGTAATCGTTCCCTCGGTCCTTCCAACAGCCCGCAAAAGAGGATTACGTGCTCTGCCGTCTCAGGGGCATCGCCACAGCGGCATAGCGGCGAGTACACGCCAAAAGCCCCTGTCTTGAATAAGAAGGCTGCTAGTCCTATTTTTTCCGTCCTGATCTGGCACAGCGTAGACGCCTCCAGTCGGTTCAGGCCGAAATACTTGCCCCCTTTCGGTATCTGCATCGAAGGGCCCTCCGGTTCCTCAGCGATAGCGCGTCGCTGGCGATCGTGATGCTCTGCTCCGGTGAGCCATCTCTTCCTCCAGTGGTCGAGGAGGGCAGCCGGGACCTCCTTTTCCTCACTCATCCACTCGGAGCCCCGGGCCTCCTTCTCCATAGTGTACCCTGCCGGTCGGAGTAGCTGCGACGCCTGCTTCCTTTTCGCCGGCCTATCCTGCCGGAGTATATGTGACGCTTTAGCGCTCGCGCTGCGAAGCAGATTTCTCTTCCCGCTAAGCCGTAGCCGTTAAACGAAAATGTAGAAAAGGTTTAAATGAGAATTCTTTACATAGAGCAATTATACAAAATTTCTCATTGATAGAATGTGCCGTTATGTTATCATGCTGCGAAGATGATATCACTTTCAAATTGTGATATTTAGGGCGCTGACACTGATTGCAATGTTCTCAGATGACCAGCCACGCAAACAGCTCTGTGATATCCTCTTTATGGGAAACTGTGGCCTCAGGTATGGAAGGTGCGAGGCAGGCAGGCATGGACGTAGTATTTAGGGGTCCCTCGGGGCCAACTTGGGATTGGTTCCTCACACACTTCGCAGTACCAATACAGTCTCCAATACTCAGGATCCGACACACTTGGCATACAAAGGCTAGTATACTGGCTATGCTAAGAATTTAACGAAGAACCTGAAGTCAATATGACTTTGCCTTGTTTCATCACTTCACAACTGTCAACGCCCTAGGATCCCACTCGCCATCCACCTCCTTGGTCAGCTCCTCCCCCAGCACCTCCCCCAACCCAACCATTTTGAAACTCGCCTCATCGCTTGTTCCCCCCTCAGCTAGCTGGTTCGCATCATCATGCATCACCACCAGTCCCGCCGGAAACCTATCCCCCAGCCCCGTCCCGACAGCCGTAATCCCATCCGTGTTACTCACCGCATCCACGCCCCCCACTTCATTCGCCTCAATCATAAATGTCATCACGTATTCATGTGGCGCAGCCCTGCGGTATACGTTATATGCGCTGACGCCTTGCGTGCTGACTAGTATAAATCCTGTATCCGCCGTGGGGCCTTCAACGAGAGTCACGCCTTCGACGTCAGCGTGCATGTGACCGTCTCCTACTTCGCCTACTATCACGCCCTCAGTTTCATTCGAGTCAGGCTCAGCACCGTACCTCCACAACGCCCTGGGCTCCTCGCCGAGGAAAAGCCAGCCGTTAGCCTCGTCGGCGACGCAGCCTTCGACCTGCCCGCCAGAGCCGCCGGTAAAGTTGCGTACGAGGGTGGTTTGCAGGGAGGCGGTGGAGGTGGACCAGGTGAGAGAGTACTGCAGGTACTCGGCCGACTTGGCGTTGACGAAGAGGTATTGCGTGCCTGAATTGCGCGAGCGGTAGGCGCAGCTGCCGTAGACGTCGTAATCGGGCTTGGTGAATTGGGAGCCACCGGAGATGGGCTGGAGGATACCGTCGGAGGTTATCTCGAATAAGCTGGAGTATGAAGAGTTTAGTTCACTGTTGGGGATTCTGGGATTAATTAGGGGTAAAAGGGTGTAAACATACCAAAGCGTATTATTCTCACGACAAGCAGCGTACACCAAATCAATAGTACGGTTACCGGCCTGGAAATTGTAGATAACATCCACGTTGTTCGGCTGTCCCGCAGCAATAGTCTGCACCAGCGTCCCATTCAGATCAAACACGCCCAATCCCGCACCAACATTCGACTTGGTGGTGGTGATGATCTTCGACTGGGCCTTATCGACGGGATGGATCCAAATAGCCGGGTCATCGCCGTCACCCCCATTGGCCTCCGTCTCATGCGCGGCAGGAACCACTTTGAAGCCGCAGTATAACCCTCCCCAGTGGCTTTCACACTCGCAGATGTTGGCACCTATACATGTTCCGTGGCCTGAGCAGTCGTCGTGGCAGGTGAATGACTCGCAACTCGTCCCGTTGAAGCCGGCGAAGCAAGAACACGATGCGTCCGTCGCGCAAAAGCCGCCTTGGTTGCACGCATCGCAGATAATAGAGTCCGATGTGTTCGTCTGCGAGCGTGGATCGTACGCAGTGTGGGTCTCGAGGCCGAGGGCGGTGAATGCGCTTTGCAGCGAGCTGAGACCGAATCCTGTCCCGGTGGCACTCTCAACGGCGTAAGTGAGCGCCCCAGCGGGATACGACCGAGTGACGCCCTGATACACATTGAGCCCCTGAACCTCGATATCGTCATCCCCAGTCAATGTCATGGTCCCAAGAATGTCCATCGATGAAGAATAAATCTCTACAGCATCCTTCAGCGCCACAAGGAGATAATCCTCCTCTGCCCCGATATAAGTCGCCAACCCCGTGACATCATCTCCCGCCTCACCAACAATGCTAATTGCCGGCGTAGCTGTTGACTCTTCTGCGACAAATCCGTAAACGACCGGGCTATCATCCCCAGTGAAATAGACCATCTCGGCATTGATTGAAACAGCACATGCAGACGCCTCAACAGGAGTATCAAACGTCTGCACCTCAACCAACTCATATGGCACCGTACCATTGCTCTCGCGCATCAACAGCTGCAGCCCCTGGTTCTTCCCAAAGAGGTACAGATACTGCTCCCCGCTCCCCTCGCTTTTCCACGCACACAGCGCTGACCAATCACCCAGCGTAAGCGCAAACGGCTCGCCCACCTGCGTCACGTTCCCAGAACCGGCTTCGTAGAGCCGGAAGTACGAGTCCGTCTGCGCGATGGTGACGATGAGATCCTTTTGGTTGGCACCGCTGCCAACACCGTAAATGGTGGTCACTAGCTTGGTCCGGCCGGGCGTCTCATGGCCCATCTCTGTGGTTGTTGTTGTGTTGCCGGTGGGATTGAGACTCCAGGCACGGAATCCCCCTGACGCGGCGCCGCCATCGTTGCCGATCAGAAGCGGGCTGTTCGCCAAGTCGGCGGGATAGAAGACGGCGGTCCAGTCCGATTCCACGTCGCCGGGCGTTCGGGCTGCGATCGGGACTTGAGCCTCGGAGGTTGTTTGAGCTGCACAGACGACGCCGAGCGCCAATATGGCGCTGATTATGGATTTGGTACTCATTGCTTAGTTGATGGGATGAGTGACCAAGGCGTTGTCTTTGGCATGAAAGGGCGATCACATCTTTCCATATTTTCAGCCCATGGCCAGGTATTTATCACCCAGTACCCATGCCAACAAGCATCGTACTTCATCATCAAACGTGGATTTCGAACGTCAAGGATCATAAGGGTCGTGTGCAAAACTCGTGAATTCGTTGGAGTTCTCTGCAATTAGTTGCATTGACATATGGCTGCCAAGTGACGCTATATTCTTGGCTTCGAAGTGCTCCTCCCCCCTTTGGATGTTGGCCAAGAACCAATTTAACTACAGGGTGGGAGCACTCTAGTGTGTTCGAGTTATATGGGGATGGCTCGAGGGTAGTCCCCACATGGAGAGTAACACCGTTGAAAAATTCTTCCAAGTGAAACCATTCATAATGTAAGAGCATACATGTTTGAAGAGGGGCCGGAGGTGGAGGAGGCGTCGAAGTTAGTAATAGCACCGAAGAAATTATCGCGCACTCATTATAGTGAAGTAGTAGCGAGGGTGGAGATAATGTGGGCGGGAACGGCAACGGCAACGGCAGCGGGGTAGTGCGGGGGCTAGGCGTAAAACAGAAAGTTTACTAGTACGCTCAAGGGTGCGCTTGATAGTGAGGTAGTCTATGGCGATAGGCTACTCGGAGTTAGAATTAATTAATAAATCGTGGGCGAGGGAGAGACCGGGACTATAGTAGTAGCGGCATCGGTGGGGGTAGTAACGTTGGTAGACACAGCAGTAGAACTACTATAAAATCTAATACGATTCAAGCGTATTAGGGTATAACAAAGTATCCCAAGAGGTACGAAAAATAGCTCGACAAGCACGAATCATTCCGAACAACTTGGAAATTTAAAGAAGTTCCCTCTGGCCTTCCTCCCTTGTGAACTCTGCTGTTGTCCTCTTAAACTCTTCTTATCAAGAGTGTGTCCCCAAACTTCAACAGATCGTTCTAGAAACGGACTTACTGCATATTTCATACGAAAAAACACTCTTCAAAAAGTCCTCATCCCTGCGTTAATAGATCCTTCTAAAAGAAAAGTCTTTGCACAAATCAGCCCAGAAAACCTTCAAACCCCTGTCCCTAAGTCAATATAAGAGTAAAGGGCTATTCGTATAAGACTAAAGGCCTATTAGGTCCTTTCTTCATAAGCCGTTGGCCCGCATAAGATAGTACAATTAACGGGAATAAAAAAAGAAAAGGTTCATTCTGCCTCATTTCCACTCCAACTTCCCTCTCAAGGTATCTGAAAGACACTCTTCCTTACTACCCCCCAATACACTTCCGCTGTCTTTACAAGTGACTCATCATTGACTAAGTTGACCCCGCCAACTTAGCGATCTCCCTTGCTGTAACATATCTTCCACGGTTCTTCTTGGCAATTGCACTCAGACGTCTTGTGTTCTTCCTCATACGGGAACTTTCCTTGCCGTGGACGACCCTCAGAAAGGCCTCACTCAGACCTTCGACGGTCCATTGTGGCGCCGTGTCTTTGGTGGCAAATACACCTATGTCAGAATCCTCGGCAGTTCGAGCAAAGTCATAGAGGTCGGTCCAAAAGGGGATAATTATCTGAGGAACTCCAGCCCTTTGATTGGGTTTCAGCTAAAAACGTGGGACATTTGAAGAGTGTTGGGACATACGCGATGGCTTCGTGGAAGCAACTAGATCCTCCATGATTAGCTGAGGCTACAATATGCCCCGTCTCCAGCAAAGCAAGCGGATCAGCCGCTAGCCACTCGGTGATGCGAATACGATCTCCGTATTCTTTTAGCGATCGTGCAAAGTCGTCGGGGAAGTCGGTACATTTCTGTAATTTCCACAGAACTTGAACCTTGGTATGCTCAAGAAGAAGAATCTCGAGTGCCTCTGCCATCACTGTGGCCCGTTCTTCATTGTGGGTAAATAGGGTTCCGAGATTAACAAGGACGGTACGTGTCTTACTGAGCCACTCAACTAACTCGAGGTCCTGCTCGATGGCCGGAGCGACGCCGAGGATTATTGGTCCGACGCCGGTTACATTTGCTGGCACGACCTCGGGGCGGACGCCGGCGTCGAACATGGTCCGAGTGAACCAAGGAACGTCCGGGCGATGAAGATTGTAGCTTGCTGGATTAGCTATGCCATGTTCTTGGAGGTACTTGCGTTTCTCTCTGGCGTGTGGATCGAACAGGAAGCTGTATACTAGTCTTGCAGTGACGTAGATGTTCTCAGGTATTTGTCGCCAAGGCACTGGATATGTGAAACCGGTCCCAAGCCTTTTTTGATTAGCTATGAACGACGCATCCTAAATCAACACATACATGGGATACTTCCAGAACATGCTCCAGTACGGCTGAGCCAGGTAAAAGGCATGGATCATGGAGTTGGACTCGATGATGGTATGAACATAATTCGCCTGGCGTGTAGCGTCGATGGCCGGGGTCATGTACGTATCCAAGACGACCACAGCAGGGTCCACACGAAGGAGAACTTGCATTGCCGCATGGTAGATATTAAGGTGGTCTTCGGCTGACCATGGCAAAGCGAAGATTGGCATAGCTCTTGCCAGGTTACCGATTCCCTTTGCCCCAGCAGCATGCATGGTATTTTCCATGGTAAGACCTCGACCACCACAAGCTTCGAGGAAGTTGGGGCCAGGAAGTTGGGGCCAGGAAGCTTATGGAAATTGATAGGGGGTGCCGGTGGAATGTGATCGTGCTTTTGTGCAAATGATGATAGAGGCTTCACCCTCTTCGTGGCCTCTGGAAACGAGGCGACGTGGATGGTGACGGATGGATGGTGCTCAAGGAGAGCCTGAGCGGTGTCCAAGTGTACGTTGGTGAGGCCATATTCTTCGTTGATGAAGAATAGAACGGTACCCTTCTTGCCCTGCGTCTGCTGGATGGGGGGAACGGTGAGAGTCTGGGCCGTCAACCAGGTAGAGAGGATGCCAATCAGCGTTCCCAGTACACCGCTGATCGCGAAGGCGTATTTAAAGGCTTTGTTGAGCATGTTAATGATGCGTGAAGGTACGAGACCATTGGGCTTCAGAATGGATAGGCTATTGAGGTGGAGCTGGGATACCAAAAAGTAGGAGAACGAGGATTGTGAGGAATTACACATGTGAGTAGGTCGTATCCGGGAATCACCAACAGCTTTGAGGAATGACTGGGATAAACCGGTGTTTCTAGTCTGGCAGACCGACATGACCTGTTATTCCACCTGGGCGCACCATTTCTCCGTCAACTGGCTGAGTATGAAATCTCCATGGAAGTACCGATCCTATGATCTGCGCGTTCCAGGATCACAGTTGGTACATGACCTACGAGTCCAAAGGTTTGTAGTTGTGGGAGGCGACAACAGCGACGATCATACCGCATTCAATCTTGGTTTCTGCCAATATGAAATCATGTGCCATTACTGACCCGGGTATTAAACTTGAAAAGAGCCATCAATACCCAACACGCATATACAGGGCAGCCACGTCAGAATTCTGACTGTTCCCAGCTTCCATTCGTTTCCTGACCATCCCTTACTTCCTCGCTAAACCACAGATGCTGCATAACTTCCTTGTCGGCTTGATCTTGGATCACTCCGGCCGGGCAAACTTGAATCCTGTTGAAGGGTTCAGGCTCTTTTTGGTTTCTATTGCAGGTTGCGGTTTGTGGCGAAAGTTCCATGAAAGCAGAGGCCTCGCAGAGCGGAAACAGGTTATCATGCTGGTAACAAAGAGTCTTTCGGATGTAAAGTGGAGTGGAGTGGCCCAGGGAGAACAGTGATCTGCACCTTTCGAAATGTGTATAAGTTAGCTGAGAGACTCGGGTAATCATTGCCGCTTTACCTTGACCAACTTCTGAAGACACAAGCGTAGACCAACTCAACAATATCACCACTAAAGTTGTGTTAAATGCTCGATGGGCATGATATTTTGCTGCCTTGGGCTTGGCTAGGACAGAGCCTTGCTGAGCTCCCTTGTTTTGATCCTACTTTAGGTACTTCGTTGCCGGCATACCTCCAGTCATTACAAGTGAAAGTGACCGTGATAGACCGCCCGAAGCCCTCCATCACAAAGCCTGCACCGTCCGTAATCTATTATTTATGTAGCCTCTCCCACCACTGAACTGACGCAGGGTGATATTGAATCATGGCCGGCCTCCAAGCCTCCCGAGAGCGTTTCACCCATCTCCTGAACTCTCAATCGCATTGGGCTTGTCGCATGACGGTAAGCATGAATATGCTGGACTCTGTCGGCTTCCAGTACGTCAGGAAGAGAGAACCGTGGTCTGAGGTGAACAAAGAGTTATCCCGAGGACAATCTTCGCTGTTCGTAAGACAGATGCCAGATGCTCTCGGTTAAGGGGCGTCGAAGAAGCCATATAGGGCTGCGGATCTTTAAAGAACTATCTGGCGTTTCGGCTCGAAATAGAGCTGCGATGTTGCTGATTGTAGCCTGTCGTATCCTGGAAGCACGTTACCTTGTATCGTCTTCCCATGTTCAAATTCGAGAACGATTTTCCCTGAGCCATATTCTCACCCTCTACATTCTCTCATATCGAAACAACTCGCATGCCCCTCCTTCATCGTCTCTAGTAACGCCTCGATGATGTTGAGTCTCAGAAGTCGCATAGCCTGCAAATTGCTCTGAACTCGTCGCCTACGTTCCTGACTCCCGTCGCGACACCCAGACGAAATGGCTTGATCTCGATGGCGCTTATAGTCGGCCCTTTTGACTTGAGCTATTTTTACACGCCAAAGGCATGGAGGTCTTGTAATATGGAAAGCATCATATGAAAGTTCCGCTGATGGTCTCGCACAGGGGGCGAATCTCTACGACGATGATGCGGATGGGGCTTCGGCAGTCGACAGCCGGGATAGGGCGATTGCAGCCGAGTCGCTTCTTGGGCCAGCGCTGAGGATGAGGGTGTACATCATATTACATATTTCCGGAAAGTAATCGAAAAGATTGTTTGAAACAGTAGAGCCGACAGGGTTGGACCGATATTTTATGATGATGTGTGAATATGGGTGGCGCTGGTAGCGGTCGCAAACATTATCCGATGATTATCGGATGATGGATACCCTACACCAGGCGCGGCCGCACCCATCGCATATTTGTAAGAAGGTTGCATGGCTTATCTAACAAATTCACTGCTATTAAACTGGAAACTCATTAGAGACATTGGGAAGGGTTGCTTCGAACGATCATGCAACATCTGCCAAGCTCGTATTCAAACAAGAGTCGTCACTCTATCTTGCGAAATTGTCGACCGGTCTGCAAGTATCTTTATATTATAAAACAGTCGTAGCGCCCTGGCACCGGCAGCGGCGGAGAATTTATTATAACGTAGTATTGCTGGAGAATGGTCTCTCCTCACTGAAGTTTTCAAAGCAAAACGCAAATTCTCGTTCCTGGCTGCAACAAATATTAAAAGTGCGGCATTCCAGTATTTTGAGCTTCATGTAGTGCTATTGTAAGGCTACACCGTACTCAGTAATATCAATGTAATAACTGGCAGCAAAGTTGGCAGGTACCCCGGAAATCCACGCATATTACTTACAAATAGTACCGCCAGAACAGAATCTGGTCATTTTTTACATTCCTACAGTTCCCTTCCCTAACCACGACACGCGCGGCGCGAAGCTGTTTTCCATTTAACTACGGTGAGTGTTAGAATTCCAGTGTCCCCATACAACAATATTCACGCTCAGGATGAAGCCACGCTACAGTGACGGGAAGAGAGGGAATATGCGACTACAATCAAACGACGAAGATACTATTATCATGGGAAAAGACTTTATCGACACCGCGGTGGTGAAAGCAAAATACAGAGGCAGGATTTCAAATTGGCATACAACACCAGCCTCATCCAGATCATGGTAATCTTCGGCGCTGCATAATCTGCTTTCTACTAAGCGCCTTATCTCAGATACGGAAACACGCACCTGTACATAGGGGACAGAGGTAATAAAGGAATCAACGTGGTCAATCATTCGGAGACATACTAAAGTACGTGCCGACAAATGTACTGACTTATTACTGGAAGTTGCGACTATCAGAGGCAGCTGTCCCAACAGGCCATTCAACAAATCCTAATAACTGTTGATTCCTCCAGGCCGATTGCGCAGGTTGGCCGCATAATCATAACTTTGACAGAAGGCGTTCCCCGAGCTGCTCATTCCTTAATTGCAATGCATTCGGCAACATTAACCCGATCATGTATTAAACGATGAAGTAGACCTCCCCTACTGCAATGGCTAAGTAATTAAAAAGTAGAGCAATCAAACCAGCATTGTCTTGAGGTGTAATAGATACTTAGCGCTTACTGTCCCGAGGTCGGCACTGAACATTACGGATATTTACCTAGCCACCAAGTGTCTCTCGATGTGGAAGTATTGTTCCAACGATGGCATGAGACCAAGACTTCAAATGCACTAAGCAGGATTGTGGCTGGGACCTGAGCCTCTGCACCGCCCCACCTAGCTGCCTTGGTCCGAGACCGAATGACTTGAACCATCGAAAGATCATCCATCAACTCCATCAACTCTTGGTCACCAGAAATCTAGCGACCTTTTGGTCTTTCTGGCTCTTCACTCTACGATACATCATTCCCGGAAGACAGCACATTCATTCACTAGTTTAGGGAGAGCATCAGAGCTTGGAGACGACGCCAACGCAGACAATACCTCGAACAACCATCTAACGCACCTCCCACTATGGACCAGGGTCTACCAAAAGATGCGCCGCCACCCTACAGTCGGTACCCCGATGAGGAGCCGGGCACGCCCACAACATCACAACATCAATCAGCACCACATGGAGCCCAATCTGCTTCTCAACCTCAACCTCAGCAAGCTCAGCCACTAACAAACTTTCCCGCCTTACCCCCCACACCGCGCCAATTCCCACCAGCATGGAACCTTTACCGCGTCGGAGCTCTCCGGGGAACCATGATGCTAGGCGAAGACGCCAGCCGACCCCTGTACGCTGTGTCGCAACACTCCGGATGGTCCGGCCAACCAGACATGATCCTCCATAACGGACCTAGCGAAACACTTCCCCCGCTCGCGACTGGCGAACGTGACATGCGCTGGGCGTCTGGCTCGCACACGCTCATCCACCTACCATCATTCCCCGGCTCAAACCGAGCCGGCGGTACGGACGAGCGCCTCGAGACACTCCTGAGCTGGCCGCACATTTCGTATACCTTCACCGTCGAAGTCGGGTCCCCCGGCTCCTACCGACGCGAGATCTTCGAGTGGCGGCACAGTTCGGGCGTGGCGGTGGCAAGTTTGGGGGGCGTACGCACGGGGTGGAAGCTGATCCGGCTCGCGACGGACGCCCCGCCCGGGGTGGAGTCTGGGTGGCAGTTTGTGGCGGGTGGGGACACGTCAAGTGATGGCAAGGAGATCGTGGCCGTGTGGGCACAGGCCGCGATGAGCATGAGCAAGGTACTTAAGTTTCGCTTCATAGGCAGCGGCGTTACGGGTGTCTTGGGCGAGAGGTGGGCGGTTATGGCGGTTATGACGGCGCTGAGGATGCATCAGCACGCCGAAAGGGATCGGCGGTAGGATTGCAGTTTCTCTGCACACAGGCATGGCAGTTCAGGCATGTTCGGCGATCTAGGTATGATGCCTAACTTCGGCATGCATAGCTTCCGCACTATGGGGGCGCGCAGTCGAAATGTGTCCTAGACGTGTCTTGGTTTGGTGGGATGGATGATACCCGATATGCAGAATTACTAGATCAAGTACTCGTATAACATGATTTTTTGTTCCATCCGCATGTGTCCGTTGCGCAGGTTTGAGGGAACGCAATCGCTATCCGAGGTGGGAGCCTCGGTGGTACATCCGCCATATCCTCCGAGGTCGGCGATTTATCTATTGGTGTCCCTGTGGTTTTGAACGGGGGCCTTCTCCCTTGGAATCACTAGAGGTCTCTTATATATTTTGCGTCGAAAGCTGCGCCTACGCAGATTCAAGCTATCGTCGGTATACCATAAGACTTCGGGGTCCTTTGATCATATATTTAGCTGGACTCAAGTGACAGATCTAATACATTTGGCTAGAAGGTCACTGAAGGATTCGATCGTTGCTGAATACTCCGGTTTCTTAATGGCATGAATCGCTACTGGTGTCACAAAGTTGACGGTACTTGCGGGGCCCATTGGGCCAAATTCTATCGTACAGTATGTTCACGCTTGAGTAGGCCGGTGGGCCGCCATATTTTATCTAATCCTCCGTATTGCACCGGTGTATTATCCGAAATTTATTATATTTTACAAATAGTAACAACATATCCGGTTCCTATTTCTAGAGTCTAACAAATGAAAAGCCATTTGCAAGGCCCGATTCTGGCCCCCTATGATGTCCCATCGTGACTCCACTTTTCGAAGGGTTTCGAACAGCCATCTCGAGTGCGGCTTCGCCCAGTCTCACTCGTGATTGACTCCGGTTTGACGGTCTGGATACTTGCTATCAGATCATCTGCAATTGTCATTTGGTGATAAAAGATGGTATAGATGGTGAAAGAAGAGATTCTGCGCATTCAAAATCGGTTCATGCAGCCTGGATGTGCTGTTGGCGTGTTGCGATCAGGGTTATAGTCCGTGACATAAGATCTCCAATGAAGCAGATAGGGCCGAAAAGAACAGATCCATTATACAGATACTGCGGGGATCCCATTGACTCCGCCCAAGCCAGCGGCTTCAATCGATCCACGGGCCATCCCGATCAGAACCGGGTAGCTGGAACTCTCGTCTCCCTTCTTTCGTCTCGGACCATTCAACTTCTAGGCCGAGCCCCGATGTTACGATGTAGCTATTGTATTTGCTACAAGATCCTGTCCCGGTACATAAACAGGCAAGATTGCCTCTTTCGTTGGATCTGTGACTAAACCATCAAAATGTATGATCACGTCAGATTGCTAGGAGAACACACACATCTATTGGTTCTTTTACGGCACCACGCAAGTACATGTACAAGGGTAAAGCATTCGTTCTGTAGCTATCTACGAACAAGTATATTTTTGGTCATAGCCTAAGTATATAAATCTAGTTATTGGAACGTTGTTCACGCCAAAACTTCAGAGCTCCCGGCACCCAGGTCAACTGTTACTATGCCGTTCCTAGTTCTAATGCTGGCATGTACGAAAACCTTGCCTAGGAGTAACGGGGTTTAAAGAGATTCTGAGCCTGAGAAATGTGAACTTGGCTATGAGGTCTTTCTATTCTAGAGGTCTTTCTACTCATCGCCACAGTTGAGAGCAAGTTGCGACATGTCCAGTGAGATACTTCAGTTAAATGAAAGAACTAGTCCAATGTCTCGAGCATATGAACAGGGTATATCGCGAATATCTATGCAAACAAATCTAGTCATCCTTCGCTAAAACACATAAACATGCCCCGTTTTCCCCCTCTACATAGTAAACGAAAACCGACTCCACCCCCTCATAGTCTTCCCATAATAATAAAATGCAAACGGCACGGGCGCAAGCGCCACACACAAGAACGCCAACAACGATGAAGCCCAGGCCACGCCGAGCTCCTCATACATGATATTCGCAAATAGCGGGAACGAGCACGCGATCAAGCTCCGCACAACGACGTGGATGGACATGGCCGAGTTGGCGTGGACCTGGTACACGTCGACAATATACACAATGCCCGAGATGAAGATGAGCATCAGACTTAAGCCGACGAAATACGAGGCTAGCACTTGCACAAACCAGTGCGTGGCCCCAGACCAGCCGAACCAGAGGAGGGAAGGGGGGAGAAGCACGCCACCTAGCATCATGGGAGGGAGGCGGTGTTCGGGGGTGGGCGTGGTCGAGAGGACGACCCGCTTGTACCAGGTGAGCGTGAATATAGAGGTTACGCCCCAGGCGGAGAGGATGCCGAGCATGACGGCTAAGAAGGGCAGGGAGGACGTGGTAGCTGTCCAGCCGCGCTGTTGAAAGGCCATGGGGAAGGCTTGGAAGGAGAGGTACAGAGTCCCGTAGACGAGAGTCAGATACACGGTGAAGACGATGAGAATCGGCTCCGTGACAAACATGCGGATCGGCTTCGTCAAGTACCGCTGCACGATATGCTGAAGCTCGATGCGCTGTTCCTCGGAGCGGGCGTGCAGCGCCCAGTTTTGCGTGTCGAAGCGCATGCGCGCGGCTTTGGTGCGCAGGATGGCCCGGGAGGACGACTCGCGGACGGCGAAGAGGCCCATAATACCGCACAGGCCGGCGTAGATGAGGGTGACCCAGGCAGTCCAGCGCCAGGAGGCCTCGGCGGTTAGGTAAGCGCCGGCAACGGGGGCGATGGTGGCGCCGAGGTTGATGCAGATCGACGACAGGGCCAGGGCGATGCCTCGCGGAATGGGTTCGTATAATTCAACATACATACCCGACACAACGGCGAAGACGCCCGAGCCGAAGGCGCCTGAGAAGAAGCGGCAGATGAGGATCGTTTGCACGGAGCCGCCCATGGCGATGGGGATCTGGAATATGGCGAGACCCGTCATGGCGACGGTGAGGGGGATCAGGTGGCCGAAGATCTCGGACAGGGGGCCGAAGAAGATGGGGCCGGCGAAGAAGCCCAGGATCCAGAGGGCGACGGTGAGTTGCATTACGGTTAGGCTTACGCCGAACTGGGCGGCTGTCACTTTCTCGGCTGGCGCGAAGACGCTGGAGCCGAAGGATACGGCGACTATCATAGCGGAGGTGGCTATGACGAAGGCGACTTTCTTCCCTGCTGGCCAGTTCCGTGGGCATTCTGGGTCGTTGGGCCCGTCCCATTCCACAATGTTGTCATCCGTACTTTCAATTACCACGTTCTTTTCGTCGTTATGAGCTGGCGCACTTTCGTCGCAGTTTTCTAAGTTGCTGCTGCTGCTGCTGCTGCTACCGCCGCTGTCGGCTTGAGACTCGATTATTGTGGGGTCTTTCATGTCGAGGTCGGCGGGCGCCGTCTTGTCGCCGGCCAGCGTTGATGCTGTTGACATGGGAGTGCTCATGATGATGGCGTGTGATCCAATCCCATTATTCTCAATCCTTGAAGATTTGCAGTTGAGAGCCGTGAAGCACTTGAACAAGTCGACAAAACGATTGTGTTCAATGCTGTATGCTTGGATTCAAAGTGAGAAAACCACAACCAACCTTAGCGCCATATGTCCAGGGTCCAAGACCTTTAAAACAAGCTAGAAGAATGGAAAGAAAAATTCGGCCCTACGCCGCGACTCCGAGCCGTAATTGCAAGCCATGCTGGTGGGTCGCCAATTGTTCGCTGCTCGGAAGAACATGGGTTATTCCTTGGCTCGATGAGGTTGTCTCCGCCAAAAATGACGAACTCATACAATGCCAAGCTCCAAGGGCGGGTTCAGCTGATGGGACTCGGCCCGTATCAGGTAGTCGACTATCCGGCGGAATTTCGAAGTTAGGCCTGATGTGGAGTGAGTGCGTTCACCATTTTGCCACGAAGCTGTCATGAAGATCATTGGGGTCTGAGTTAGTTGGTGAGTGTTTGGGGTTTTTCTTTGCTGGCAATGAGTTGGCAAAGCTGGATGGATGGATGGTGGAGTTGCGTGTTGCGTGGAAATGCTCCGTATGTGCGCCTCGGATTAAAAAAGCTGAGATAATGAGTTCCATCCCGATGGGGGCGGTTCCGTGATCCGCGAGCTTGGATCCGACGCCAATCCGTGACGGGACGAGCGCTGGTCGACCCGGCGGATGGAGAACTGCCAATGTTCAATTGCAATTTCCAATTCCCAAACGGGGATGTGGAGACACTTTGGGCATGCTCTGATTCGCTCCGCAGAACTTTCCCCAAGGTTCCCAAAGATCACTTCTGTCTTCCTATACCCCTGAAAGTCTAGATTCTCCCGTGGCCACTTGGTATTCGAGCTCGTAGAATGCACTTATCAAATATATGTATAGCGCTCATAAGTAGCACCCACAGGTACCGATTTAGTGCATGCACTCTATATCAAATACAGGATGACTTCAGACTGCCAGCGGGTATCAAACTAACCTTTTTGCCACTATTATAGTACATGTATCGACAATTAGTTAATTAAAATTAGCATATCGTCGCCGATGTCTTTTTTTCTTTCGATAAATCCATGCCGCAAAACGTATCAATCTTTATTACAAGAACCGGCGTGGATCTGCATTCAGATCTGATACTCTTCTCCGACGTCTTCAGTGATAAGTCGGTCCCAGTTCATATATATTATTATTCGTATTGAGCAGTATTGAGCACCGAGGACTCACGTTACGCGCTACCTCCATCACCTCAAGTCTCCACCTCCCTTCATCAACGCACAACCTGCCGCCTTCCCACCCTCAACCACTCGTCCCATTCTTGTGCAAAATCCAAAACTTCACCGGTACCTTATCCTTCCCATTCGTACAATGCATACTCCCATTAGCCTGCAGCACGCCCTGCCTCCCCCGTACGCGAATCCCAATATTAATCAAATCAGCCACATTTGTGTTCCCAACATAATACCCCTGCGCGCTGGGCTTCCCCGGCGAAGTCACCATGAACGCGCAGCCACCCCCGTACATGAGCGGTGTCCATTCCTGTATTTGCTGCAGCCGGTCGTTGATCTGGAATCGACCGTTGTGCATGCGCATGTACGACTCGATCGTGGCGCAGTCTTTGCAGAGGGTGGCGCCCGAGGGGTCCCAGCCTGTTAGGTCGACGAAGGTGTCGTCGTCGCACATATCTGTGGGGTTATTGGTGGAGCCCCAGGGGGCACCTGAGGGCACGGCGTCGGCGGCGATGGTATCGGTGGATGAGGGGATGACGGCTGAGTTGATGTGGACCGCCGTGGGGTTGCCGTCAGGGGGCGTGAAGTCGATGCAGTTGAAGCTGGGGATGTGGGATTCGGTGGCACAGGGGCTGGATGATCGGGGGGAGAGACCCGGGGTGGCGGTCACTCGAGGTGAGGCGGGCAAGAGGCTGCAAAGCAAGACGAGAGTGAACAGCATGTTGGCGGAAGCGAATAATGGATTTTTGGTTTGTTCTGTCGTACTCGGATAGGCTAGGAGTGTAAAGTAGTTTTGTATCTTGGATGTAGTGGAAGTTCAGCAGGAAAAGCATGACAGTGGATAACGTCGACTACATATTTGTAGGCAACCACGACTAGATACCATGTGATGAAGCGTACGGAAGCAACGATCTAGGTCGAATGTCCCAAATTAATTACTTTGATTATTGCATTATTGTTCTACTTAACGTTTCCATTGTGCAGAATTGAGTTTACAACTCAAGATACATGGTTGAACATAGCCGGGGGATACGACTGACTGGTTATTATTATTTAAAGGCACCATGGCGAACTAGAAACTTACTTTAGTATATACACGGGAATACATATTGCCGTATATACACCAAGCTCTTCGTGAACTTGGTATTGAAATCTCCACATTGTGCAAGCAAGTCATATTGGTTCAAGCACCCAAAGTGGAATCTAATTAACAGCACTTTCCACGAGAATATACCACTCGCACCTTGCCAGGAGAAGCCCAGCGTTAGGTCCCGTGACAGAGTGAGTTGGGTTCTTAGACAACGCATGGCCGTGGTTTCACGAACGTTTTGCATTGTCTTTGTGATTGATTCATTTTAACAGTTTCATCTGAGGGTTTTCTGTTTTCTATCCTGTTTCGTCCTATTTTCTCATCAACGAAAAATAATTCCGTTGATGGGGTGTTGTAAAACTGCGACATAGCCAGTGTATTTGCTGCCACTAGTTATCCTCTGGGAAGGCTATCATTTTTGAGAACTATTTTTCGTAGATACTACAGTATCACGGAGCTAGGCAGTATCCATTCATACTTTGCTTGTACTTCGCTTGTGCAAGTTGTTCGGATCAATCATTAAGTTTCATGAGTACCACATTTGGTGGTGTTTTAGTCTCATCTGCTACCGAGCACTGCGAAATTCTCACCTACCCTTCCATATTATCCACTATATGATCGCGTCCATATGTGCAGCAGGTGGGTTCCATTAATTAAGACATATGCCCCACACCGCTGCAGTAGATCGAAGAACGTGAGAACACCTTACAAATAGGAATGTTTGATGAATAGTCCCCAGCTTTAGATTTTTGAAGCTCGAGGTCTTAACATTTACCAGATCTAAAACACATGGTCGCCCAGACTGTACATTTGAACCTAGAGTTCCGTTGTATATTTTGTGGGGGCCTTGTTCCGTCTCGACCCGAACGAAAGTCCCCATCGGAAAGGGATAACGCTTCCTGAGAGATCACTAGGCACACCGACATAACTACCTACACCCAAAGCGACTCCAGGGAAATAGTAACAAAAGACATGTCGTTATGCAATCGCTGCTCTGTCAGTTCAGTCCATAAACCAGATGCGTGCGATTCACCTATGAGCGTCTTGAGTCCCTCCTAGTTGCGATATCAGACCTGAGATATAATTCAACTGGAAAATTGTATGCCTGGATTCGCGACGTGGTCAGGCGAGTAGTGACCATAGACGAGAGGAAGCCGCTGTCAGAGCGCCGGGTGCATGGCACCGGTGGGGAGCCGGTGGGGAGCCGGCGCAGGGGCCTGTGGGTCAGAAACATGACGGGAGGTTGTGAAATATCATGGAAGTGGAGGAATCGGGCATTGCAATTCTGCATAGGGGTTGGCTATCTATATAAGGGGAAGAAGGGGAAGTGATATATCAGTAAACTATTCTGGGCATACCTCCCCGTAACCACCAATGGTCTACCACCCGGTGATCAACAGCGGGAACGCCTGCTTCTCCTCTTCACTCTATACTATTGCCTTGCGGCCTAGCCGTTCCTTACCGCCGTTGAGGACCCAAATTACTTTCCTGTGGCTCGATTAAGACTGGAATCTAATTCACCGCTATCGCCACGGCCCATATTCAGTTCAGAGTGATGTCTTCATTTTTGGTGCCTCTAATCTAACAACTCCCCCTTTTCTGCTGACAGTCTCTTTAAGACAGCTGTCACGGTCGCTTCTAATGAGGCCTAACGTTATCTCGTCCTCGAAGCATGAAAAACTTCTGTGGATTGCGAACGCATTGCCGATTCGATGCGCTGGCGTACGGTTTGTGACTGGTCATGCGTCTGCGCGCGCAAGCCAAGAAGTTTCTCTTGACTCCAGTCTACTGCATCCTACTCAGACATCGCTCCGTTCACCGAGAGTTTGCTGACAGGTTCGGAAGACTTCAGTTAAATGCAGAAATGCAGCCTGGTTGTCGGCAGTCAGAGAATGGCAATGAATAACCATGAATCAATGTAATGCAACATTCATGGCAACAACGCTGAGGTCTGCGTCGGAGGCAATCAGGTGCGGCTGTGTCAACCACACTAATGCAGTGAGCCACAATTCAGCCACAGAACAAGGCCACTCCAGGCCTCTCTATTCGCAACACGCCACGGCGGCTGGACCCAGACCAGCCCCTGCAATTTACTCGTGTGACGTCGAGTCACCAACAACTCAGCGCTCAGCCAAGGAATCACGATGCGACAAGAATGAATATATGGATTCTGGAGTGGACCGTCTCCAGGATGGCGATACCATATAACCGCTCGCTGGCTTGTTTTTGGAGTCTGCTGCTCGTCTATTTATCCTGCCATTTTTTGCACACACCTACCACATCATGCCAAGCTAGCTGAGCTTTTCTCTCTTTGCCTGTACCCTGTCGTTTATTATCTCAGCAGGAGGAACGACCTGATCGTAATCGAGCGGAACAATGCCATTCATTCCCAACACGCCCGAGTCTTTGATCGGACGGTCCGACTCCAAGGACCCCAGCACGACATGTCGAGGCATCACCGGGAGCGGCCGACCCTGCCGTCGTCCGCTGAATGCATCGCCGTCAGGCTCGCCGGAAGCGTCACGCATCAAAGTCCCCAAAGTCTCCAAAGTCGGCGGCCTACGTGTCGATGACCCCGCCGACCCGGACTGCTATTGCTGGCAGCACAAAGACCAGGCGAGCATGTCTGCGCATTCGAGTCCCGGACCGAGACCTACCAACACGCCGATCCTCGAGGAGCGCGAGAGCTTGGACGGTCTCATGGACCGCCTGGGTATCGCCGAGGCTAAACAGAAAAAATCCAAGAAGAACGGCAGGCCCTCCATGTCCTCGAATCACAATGGAGGAAACGAGAAGATTACCGAGACGAACTATCCTCCCCGCCCCGCATCCCAGTCGTCGAATCGGTGGACCAAGAGGGAGACGATCTTTTGCTGCTGCTTCACGATACCCATCATGGAAGAGGAGCCACCTGCACCTACGAGACCGCAACCCAGACCCGTCCAGTCCGCACCTGCCGCGGTAGCGGGAGGTGGCCCATCGTCGAAGCTTCCCTCGAACTCGCATCTTTCACCGTCTTCAGCAGGGTCACGACCGAGCATGGGCAGCCCGGCCCCTTCGAAGCAATCCACCACATCACAAACCTCGCAATACCTCACACTCATCCCGCCAACCGCATCGCCGCAAACAGCATCACAGCTTATGGCCGAGCTCGCAAAGCCCATCTCCCAAGGAGACGAAGCAGGCTACATCTACATCTTCTGGCTGACGCCCGAATCTGAACCCATGGACCCTCCCGCTGAAGCCGCCCGATCCCTGCTCGCGCCGCCCTCGCAGTCCAACGGACGCCAACGAAGACCCAGTGACGTAGTCGAGTCCTTCGCCGCCAGAAACACCCCGTCGTCATCAGGCAAAGACAAAACCCTCCTGCTTAAGATCGGGCGCGCGTCCAACGTGCAGCGTCGCCTCAACGAGTGGACCCGCCAGTGCGGGTACAACCTGTCGCTGATCCGGTACTACCCACACATCCCGAGCGCGACGCCGTCAACGCCGCGCAAGATGCCGCATAGCCATAAGGTCGAACGGCTGATCCACCTCGAGCTCGCAGGTGCGGGGTTGAGAATTAGTGATCGGGAGAATTGGAATTGCGAGGCGTGCGGGAAGGCGCATAAGGAGTGGTTTGAGGTGGATGCGAGTCGGGCGGGGATCGAGATGGTGGATGAGGTGGTGAGGAGGTGGTCGGATTGGGATGAGGCGAGAGGGTGATTTAGGCGGGTATGGGATTATCGATTTCGCGCGCATCTGGGCGGCTTGGCAAGGCGTATCTATAATTTGGGGAGTTGCTTGGGGAGTTGCATGGGAAGCACACCTGCATAGAACTGGGAAGACGAACTATGGGATTGTAGCATTTTCGTTTAGCATAGCGGAATGTCATCTAGACTTACTTGCCTCTTCACATGCCGACCAACCGATGATATGTTGTTCGTGCACCCGTGCACCCGTTACGCTGTACCTGTGATGCCTTTGAGTATTGTGATATTGCGATGGCTTCCATGGTTGTATTTGCTTCCACCACTTCTTGTACATTCGGCATTCGATAGGCATTCGATACAAAGTGCGTCTTCAGACTCTATCGTCTACCGACAACGCGGGCCCAAACCCGGTGACCGGTGTGGCCATGGTGTAGCAAACAACCATCTTCCTGGTTGCTGAAAGCACTGGAGCGGGTCCTCTTATCCGATCCCTCCATCACCATGGGACGTGGAATTCGACACGAACAGAAAGATTATTTATAGCACGAACTAGGCCAAACCTATTATTGCCTGCCGAGTGCAATCTGGTGTTCTTTGTCATCATCGGATCGTGACCCGATGCCATCGATCGAAAAATCCCCACCGGCGGGAAGCTGAATCTATCGGCATTCCTATTGTGGCGTCCAATTATAATGACAGGCATGTTCAGTTTGGTCGCAGATTAGTTCGATGAGCACGAGCAGTACTGCTGGTCAGTATTGATCATTGATCTCTGAGCAGGTAGCTGACATCGTGATTTGACAATTGACACATCCCCAAAGATCAATGGTGTGCACCAGCCGCATTGGCAGCGTACCATGCCAGGGTCTATTGCTGGCTGGAATTTCACCACAGCATGCATGCCATGTGGCTTTTGGCAAGGTTTTGCATAAGACTGCTGGTCGCTCATATTAGTGATCATTCAGACTCCATCTTGCAACAACCGGCTGCGATGACCAACGCACACACCCTTTCGATTAATGTTCACTTTTCGATGAGCTTCGTCCGATCTCGTCCAAAGCTCATTATGGATCGTTCCAGACCTGCTTTGGGGCCATCAAACCAATGCTTCCAAGGCCAAGTGATCGTGCCACCGGCTTGTGCGTCGTCAGCTCGTCTCTCCAAGTCCCCATCCCAGCACCCTAGCCCATCTTAGTTCGCGCCGGTGTTCATTGGAGGGTGGGGCCGTTGATCAGCTTGCGGCCCGCTGAAGAAGCTTAAGTTGCTACAGCTTCCCCTTGCTCCCTGGGAAAGGGGCGTCATTTGTTCCATTGCCATTAATTTTCAGTGCTTCTGGAATTTTGAACTTCGTTCTCGTCAGTATTTGCCTGCCTCGATAGTCACAGATAGGGTACCTATTCCTTCAGTACGGCCACATCCATGACCGCGCCCAATAGCCAAGTCGATAGCCAAGTCGCTGGTTTCGGCCCCGCGGTTCCAGCTGAGGAACTGGACGTACGGGAAGATGCTCAATCAGTCGCCTCAAGTAAATCCTCATCCACATTCTCCTGGGGCGGCGGCAGCACGCCTTCACTACCGCGCATTGACGAGGACGTGAGCAGCAACACCGCCACATCCATCGACTCCACCAGCTGGCGGTCATCGACCGAGTCCATAAGGTCGAGCATCTACAACTTCGTCGAAGAAAACGGGCGGACATACCACCGGTACAAAGCCGGAAAATACCCTTTGCCCAATGATGTTATGGAGCAGGAGCGTCTCGACTTGCAGCACTACCTCTTTCTCCTAACGACAAACAACAAACTACAGCTTGCGCATCTGCCGCCCAACAGCCGGCGTGCCCTCGATATAGCGACCGGGACAGGAATATGGGCCATTGATTTCGCGAGCAAGTACCCGGAATGCGAAGTCATCGGCACGGACCTCAGCCCCATCCAGCCCGCGTACGTCCCGTCGAACTGCCGCTTCGAAATCGACGACGCCGAAGACGAATGGACATTTACTGAACCCTTCGACTTCATACACGGCCGAGCGCTCCTCTCCTGCTTTCGGGACCCTGAACACGTCATACAGCAAGGCTTTATGCACCTCAAACCCGGCGGGATAATGGAGTTCCAAGACGGGATTTTTCCTATGGGATACATAGGGGACATGCCCGTCGACTCGGCGCTCTACAAATGGAACGAGCTGGTCATGGAAGCGGCGGCGCTGACGTCAAGGCCGTGGACGAATGTGCAGCATTACAAGCGCTGGTTTGAGGAGGCGGGGTTCGAGGACGTGAACGAGAGAAGGTTCTACTGGCCGACGAATCCGTGGGCTAAGGGGAAGTATTTCAAGACCTTGGCCACCTATTTTCATCTCGATTTGATGAATGGGCTGGAGGGAATTAGTTTGAAGTTATTTGGGCATCTGGGGTGGGAAGTCGAGAGGACGAGGGCGTTTTTGGAGGATGTGAAAAGGGATTTTGCAGATCCGAGGATCAATGGGTATATGACTGTGTGAGTATTGTTTTCTGTTTGGACGCCAGCCCCTTTTGATCTGAACCTGTGAGGCAAATAGCTGACGTTGAGGTAGGACCTTCGTGTCCGGTAGGAAACCTCTGGCGGCGAATTTAATGATAATTGCGTGATGATACCCACTACGACAACATAGCCGTTGCGTCGGCATGATAGCAACCTAATATAGTGATCAGCCAAACCCCATCGAGTCCGTATCTGTTTGCCGCCGTACAGACTTAAGTCCCTGAGCTTTAGCTCAGCATCCTATGTCACCCAGCTCTGAAGCAATTTGGTCTCTGCGCAATGGCAGAGAATTGGAAAACCACCATTCTTAAGCCTGGCAGTCTTCGGTTTGAAGGACTGGCCTCCCACTTCAATTTTGATGTGGTCCCTGGACTTTCTCAGCAACTGTTGATCAGAGTCCAGCCTATTGCTGTACGACGCAACCGCCGTGTCGTCCGCTAAAGACGTCGTCATCCCAGTGTTTTCCTCACAAATTGATCAAAAATCTCCCACATGGGGCATCACTCATCAATCCGTCAAGTAGCATCGTTTGAATACCACGCCCACAATAGGCTACTTCCTTCGGATACCCGCATTCGTGGCAATTTTAAACAACCAACAAATTTCTTGACCCTGCGTCTCGAATATGTCATTAGCAAACGGAGGCTGCAGGTAAAATAAGTCGGTGTAAGTCGTCTTGGTCAAGGGGTCAGATAACATGACCAACACCCCAGCTAATTAGGCGACCTACTGGGGCACTAAACCGATGTAGAAAGGCACACATCTTGGTCGTTACACCCGTATTCCCGCAACCTATGCCTGCGAGCTCATCGGTTATTGAAAGTATCTCTCACCACGAAACTTATGAACGCGCACATCTTCCACTCGCACTTCCAGACCCTCCATGAGATCGAACGCACACACAAACATTGCTCTCTTGGCTATCAGGCCTCTGACTTCAGTGCCCAAATGTCCCCGAAACCGAATTCCATGGCGCCTACTAAGAACGTGAGGAAAATCAAATCTGACGATGATGATACATCAACAGTTTCCACTTTGATAACCACGTACACACCGTCTCAGGACTCCACCACTGGTTCCAAAACAAACTCGCCATCCTACATTGTCCCCGGCTTTGGCGAATCCGTTCCCTGCCATAACCAAGTTTTTGTAATCCGCCATCGCGCCTCCGGTCGCGCTATCGCCATCAATGACAACGGGGACGTGCATCTAGCGCTCTTCGCCGACGTGGGCACAACCCAAAGTTGCCATTGGAAGTGCATCGAGACGGATGGATGGCTGGGGTTCAAGCATGAGGGCAGGTTTCTGGGACACGATGGGCGAGGAGGATATCGTGCTGAGGCAAAGGCTCATAACAATTGGGAGTACTTTTGCGAGAAACGGGTTCCCGGGCTGGAAGGGGGTTCTTTGTTGATGCAGCTGCGTGGATGGGTTTTCGAAAAGTTAGACGTTGAGGGGGAGGGGGATGGGTTGAGGTTGGTTAAGAAAATGAGTGGGGGTGCGGTGTGGGATTTTGTCAAAATTTGAGGGAGTGGTGGCGGTTCAGTTGGAGTCGGTGGGGAAAAGGGGTATGTGTTTGATGAGGTCAATGATGGGAATGGATGGGATGGTAACTTGGTATGAGGCTTGGTTGAGGTGTGCACTTCAATTCTGCCATGTATTTCGATATTGGTCAGTAGCCTCTTTAAGGGGTAGAGGAACTATGGAGCAATTCAGGTTCATGATACGATAGGCACAAAATTAAGTTGGACTGACTGCGGATACATGTTGCAAACGAGACTATAAGTCGACTTTCACTAGCGTCTATAACCAGCTAGTCCATCTTATATCCTATTCCAAATTGACTGCATAAAACGAGTCTCGCACCCTCTTTGTTCCATCAAGGTTTTCTCATTCTCTTCTACTCTGTTGGGTTCCTTTTCGTAAGCAACTGTACCCCTTTCTAATCCCTATCCATTATAACACACTCGCTATCAACATCATCAGCATTTGCTGGATCACAGTCCACGAACAGGCAGACATATATTTATATATTTACCGTCTTCGCAATCGTGTCTGCGCATGTGCCTTATGTTCTTCAGGGTGGGTTTATGATGGCAAGGGATCCTATAGACATAATCACAGATATTACTAACAAGTAAACCCTTGTTTCCATTGCGAAGCTAGAGTTTCAGTTTGAGAAGCCGAGGAATCGGGAATTTGTACTGGAGCGAGGCTATGCGAAGGGATTGGGGTGTTATGTTGTATAAAGAGTTTGAGATTCGACTGTTGAATCCAGAGCATCACTATACAATAGCACAAAGCAGACCGTTCTGGAACAAATCTGTTATAACTGCCCAGCTACGCTACCGCAGTTCAGGAAATGCAGAGTAAATGAATATAAATAGCGATATATAAAAGCACTGGAAATAACGTTATCATGTGTCAGGTTACGGCCTGGACCGAAGGCGATAGTACAGAGTGAAGGGGAGAAATAGGCGTGTCCCCCTGGTGGTCACCTGGTGTTCACTGGTGGTCACTTGGTGATGGCAGGTAGGGGTGTCCACAGTAGTTCATTGATCTCTGCCCTCTCTATCTTCCTCCGTCTCGACTCCTTACTTATAGCCAGCCGAGGTTCTCTCTTGGATTCTGGATGTTTGCTTCCATATGTCTGTGTTCCTCCGACTTCGGCCAATATCTTGGATAGCGGCTCCTTATCTGCAACCAAGCGATTCCCTATCCGCTGCAAACGGCTTCAACGGCTCTCTAGCCGCCACAAACGGCCTCCCGGCTCCTCATTCGCCACAAACGGCTTCCTTCCTGGTGGAAGCCGGCCCGCCTCGGATGACACTTGTGGCTCTGACATCATGTCACAAGTAGCATCCTGGAAATTCGTACTCAACGCCGTTCATATACCAGTTTAGTTAGATGTTGTAGATCCTCCAGGGTATTTCCCTTTTTCCGACAAATATTGCTAGTGGCCAAAACAACAACGCTCTGTGTGAAAATCGCAAGGGGGAGGATTTCATATTTTATTATAAGAAACATGTTCAGTGAATATCTATCTCTTTCTTGATATGCTTGCCAATAAATGGCCCTGAATGCATTAGCAGGTCTCCACTACTTCTATATTGACCATGTGACACTTGTTGAGGCATCTGCTACCCACATCGACGAGCATAATCTAATGACAGACTTCGTGGAAGGGCTTGGAATTCAAGGCTCATCGACACTGCTATATCATTCTTTGCAGTAAACATCACGGTCGCAAGATAAACAATAAGTCGAAAGTATAGCTACATATCATCATTTTATCTCATCATCGGAGAATAATCTAAATTACATATCCTTCCGCCCATCCATCCATCGAATTCCTAATCGTTTCCCGATCCAGCCAAAAAAAACAGAAGATCCATCCCTCCGATATTAAGTGTTTTGTAGATTCTGAGTATCTCAAAAGAAGTGAAGAGGGGTGAAAGAAAGACAAGAAGTGTATGGATCCCTGTTATTGTGCATTCCTCCTATACGTCATCTCATCCGCTTCCATAGACTCGGTTGTTTGACAACTGACTCTAAGTATAATTTTCTTAGTTGTGGCTCTTGCCCTTGCCTTGCTTCTTGCTCTGGGCGGACTTGAGGAGCTTCAAGATTTTGTCCCAGACGCTCCTGTTCTTGTTGTTGTCAGCATTATCTTTGCCGTTGATGTCTTTGGGCCCTCCGTTGTTTCCGCCGTTGCTCCATTGATTTCCACCACTGGGAGACTTGATGGTGCTCGTGGCGAATGATGTCGGTGTGGTGGCAGGTAGGCAGTAAGTGATTGGGTTACCACCGTACACTGTGACGGTCGAGCAGTATTCGCTCACTGTTGCGGTACTTGCTGTTATAGTCACAGTCGACGACGTCAAGCTAGGCACCGACGTGGTCCCCGTGGAAGCTGTTGGCGTGGTTGTACCACTGGAAATAGGCGAAGATGACGTGCCTCGGGTGGAACTCGACCCTGTGAAAGTGGATGAGCCTCGGGTGGACACAGTGTTCGAATAGCCAGTTGAAGAAGGGTAGGTGACGGTATCAGTCGTTGTCAATGTTGTCCTGAGAGTTGAGGAACTACCTGTGGCCGGCAATGTACCTGACGTGCCGTTACCCGTGCTTGAAGGACTGGAAATGGTCACTGTTGTGTCAGTGACAGTAGTAGTCGAATAAGTTGGAGGGCTAGTCTCTGGAATGCTCGCTGTGTCGGTCGCGCTGGAACTGCTGGTATCTGTTGACATGGTTCCTGTCAAGGTGCTGCCTGTGGAGCCGGTTTCTGTCGATCTGGTCACCACTGAAGTAGTACCAGTCGAGCTGATGATTGTGGAACCGGTGCCTGTTGCGCTTGTGCTTGTTGCGCTGGAACCCGATGAAGTGGGAAGAGTCGAAGATCCAGATGTGATGCTGCTGCTGCTGGTTGGGTAAGACGACGAGCCCGTCCCAGAGGAGCTTACCATACTGGACCTTCCGGTGGACGAGCCGGGAGTGGAAGAGGCGTTGGTCGTCGTCGTAGATACGGCACTGGTTGAAACGCGCGTAGTGCCGCTGGAGCTTGAGGTACTATCATAGATTGTACTTGTCGAAGTCCATGTGTGGCTAGACCAGGACCAGGTGTGCGAGCGAGTGTGGGAGGAAGGGATAGAATTTGATGTTGAGCTCATGGTTGGGCTGGAGAACGAGCCTGTTCCTGAGCTTGAGCTCTGGCTTGTAGTTCCGGGGATTGTTTCTGTGCCAGAAGTAGTAGAACTTGATGTCACGGTACCTGAAGTGGTGCCCGTTGACGAACCAGGGATCGAAGTGGTGCCAGTAGACGAGCTGGGGATTGAGCTGGTGCCCGTCGTCGAACCAGGAGTCGAAGAGGTGCCAGTAGATGAGCTAGGGATCGAACTGGTGCCCATCGACGAACCAGGAATCGAGCTGGTGCCACTAGACGAACCAGGAATCGAGGAGGTACGCGTTGACGAGTTAGGGATCGAATAGGTGCCAGTAGACGAGCTAGGGATCGAAATGGTGCCCGTCGACGAACCAGGAATCGAAAAGGTGCCAGTAGATGAGTTAGGGATCGAGGTGGTGCCAGTGGACGAACCAGGGAGCGTCGAGCTGGTGCCAGTAGATGAGCCAGGGGTCGAAGTGGTGCCCGTCGACGAACCAGGGATCGAAGAGGTGCCAGTAGATGAGCTAGGGATCGAACTGGTGCCCATCGACGAACCAGGAATTGAGCTGGTGCCACTAGACGAACCAGGAATCGAAGAGGTACGCGTTGACGAGTTAGGGATCGAATAGGTGCCAGTAGACGAGCTAGGGATCGAAATGGTGCCCGTCGACGAACCAGGAATCGAAAAGGTGCCAGTAGATGAGTTAGGGATCGAGGTGGTGCCAGTGGACGAACCAGGGAGCGTCGAGCTGGTGCCAGTAGATGAGCCAGGGGTCGAAGTGGTGCCCGTCGACGAACCAGGGATCGAAGAGGTGCCAGTAGATGAGCTAGGGATCGAAATGGTGCCCGTCGACGAACCAGGGATCGAAGAGGTGCCAGTGGATGAGTTAGGGATCGAAGTGGTACCAGTGGACGAACCTGGGAGCGTTGAGCTGGTACCAGTAGACGAGTCAGGAATCGAAGTGGTGCCAGTAGATGAGTTAGGGATCGAAGAGGTACCAGTAGACGAGTTAGGGATCGAATAGGTGCCAGTAGATGAGCTAGGGATCGAACTGGTGCCCGTCGACGAACCAGGAATCGAAGAGGTGCCAGTAGATGAGCCAGGTATCGAGCTGGTTCCAGTAGTCGATATGCTCCGCGTGTTAGTGTAAGTAGTGCCCGTGCTCACTGTAGACGTGCTGATTACTGTGGTGGGCGTGCTGCTCGTCTCACTATTGCACAGTGTCAGCTTTAGTGGTGGTGTAAAATTTGAGGCAAAACTTACGTTATCGTCGTGGTGGTTAGAGTGGAAGATGTATCTGTTGAAGAAGTCTCGGTCGTCGACGAGGAGGGCGTGAATGAGCTCGATGCCCCTGTCCCCGAAGAAGTCGTTATTGGCTGGGTCAAAGTGTGGTTAGACCAGGGGCCAGAGTATGTGCAAGAAGTTGATGAGCTCTCTCCAGTTGAAAGCGTTATAGTGCCCGAGGATAATGTGAACGACGAAGCGGTGCTAGTAACTAACGTAGACCCTGTTGACGACCTGGTAATGGGGATTGATGAGGAGTTGGTGTGTATGTACGTGGTCGTTGTAGAGGAGAGAGTCAAGACTGTGGACGATGTGCTTTCTGCGGAAGAGCTAAACCCCGTGGCAAGTGTGGACGAGGATCCGGTCCCGGGAGTTGATGGAATAGTGAACGAAAATGTAGACGAGTTAGTCCAGCTATACGACGAAGATGTGGAAGGAATTGACGTCGAGCCAGTCCCAGTTCCTGGGAAGGAGGTGGTACTGAATGGAATGGACGAGGTCTCTGATCCAGTGGAAGAAGTCAAGGTGACATCAGTGGAAGTTCTGCTGCTAATCGTAGTTGGCGTGGTCAAGGTAGTCGAGGAGGAGGATCCCGAGATGGCGGCAGTAGAAGAGCTCCCAATGGGGATACTGGTTGAGTAGGTCGACAATCCCTCAGTGCCACTTGACGTGGTCGCGGTGGAGGACTCAGTGCATGGCAGGTACTCGGTAACGGTGTATCCGGGAGTGCAACCAGGACCGCACGCGGTGACCGTAACAGTTACAGTTTCTGACAGCTGCTGGGGGAGACCAGCGACGAGGGCAGAACTTTTTACTTCAGTTAGCAAGACATGGCATCCAATAACTGAGACGCTGATACGTGTGGATGTTTCACTTACCCCAGGCTCAGAAGACCCAAACGAGCAATAGCGTACATTGCTGCAGAGCTCAAGGCGGTTGGATGGGACTAAAACGAATGTGATTGCCTCAAGCGAGTTATCAGTTTGATCTGGAAAGAAAGAAGGAACTGTTGAGTTGTGGATGACAATGTGAGTTTGATCCTCACGGCCTGTCCCCTTTATACAAACGTCTCGGCCCTGGGCCATCTCCTCATTGTATAACAGACCAAATCAACTACTGCATCTGCACTGACACACAATGATTCCATCTCGCCCGAGAGTATGTGCATCTACGAACTATGACAACATGTAGCTAGACGGCGCCGCATCAGCATCTGCAAGGGACCAGGAACCAGTCATTGAGTTCGTATACTACAACGGAGGCGGGCTTTAGGCAACGCCAATGCAACGTCCCGCCCTACCAAGTTTGCGTCCACGGTGAGACCCCAAATTACCTACGATTCAGATTGAGTGCTGGATGGCACGAATTCTTCCAGGCTCTGCTTTCCGTCCACTGTACCTGCCTGCGCAAGCCACGGATGCTCAAGACAGTGGACCAAATTTCTTCGTGCGACCAATCATCCCCAACATCAACAAACCTTGGTACATCACAATAATACTTTCAGACCAAACATCAGCAAAGTGCTGTCTCACCCGCACGTTTCTCGAACGGTAAACTTGTGCTATCCAAGGTTAGCCGATGCGCCTAGACACCCGAGCGTCGTGGTGTGAGCTCGTGGCTCGATGAGGATGGCACAGATGAAACGGTTACAATGGCTTTTTTGCCCGGGAACTAGTGAACTAGTACCAGCTTTCTGAGAAAGCATATCTCCGGGAGAAAGATAGAGCGATTGGCCTAGACAAACAGATATAGTAGGGTTGTCCGGGGAGACCATTGTTGTCATGGTCACAATTATTGACTCCATCAAGAGGAAACACCTATATGAAATTTCAATAGCCTCTGCTGTCGATCAAAATGGGCTCTCAGGTATGGTCCCCCACAAAGGTCGTGAAAAGTTCGGCACAAGACAGAATGCAGCGATCCTTCGCAGACGCGAACTTCAAGCTCAACGTGGTGTTCGATCGGAAACATGAGAGATCCTGACAGGTGTACCACTTTTCAGGGGTATCCTTGGAACTCACGTCCAGCAACATAAGCACTTGATCATAGCGAAGTTCTTATTCCTTGGAACCTCTGAAGAAGAAGGCAGGTTTTGGACAAGTAACATGTGTACCTGCAGCGGCTGAATCTGCAGCGTCCCGATGCTGTGGCGTTGATTGTGGTACGGAGCACACAAGTCTTCGAGTCGAATTTGAAGATATCGGACGAGATTCCACAAATTGAAAGTGGATGCCAGGCAAAGTAGGTTGAAATAAGGGCTGCGATGCCGCGTTTCCTAGAAGTGCAGCCGATCTGGCATGCCTGACAGCACGGCTTGGCACATAGAGTGGACAAACTGGAAGCAGCTGCCCACGGAGGTTGTTCTTCAGCCAATGAGTACATACCATGGAAGGTGGGAGCCGAACGACGATATAAGTTGGAACGCTTGTTGAGCTGAACACGATATGTCGTGCTTGTGATCGTGGTGCGCGCAGACTCGCCATGGGATTAACCTGAGCGCTATGGCCATCCAGGGGTGCTGGCCGTATAGTGAGACCTCAGCGGAGTGAGATCAGGTTCATCAGCGAATACTCCGGCGCTTGTCTTACTCCTTCATTCGAGTCCACGCGAGCAAATAGTAGGAGATAAGACAGGACACAGCAGAGATGTGACGTGAGATAGACTCCCATGGGAATGGTCTGTCAAACGGTCTTACATGCAAAAGTCCTGCGTATGGAATCATTTGGAGGGTGGTTTTTCCACAGCCGAGTTTCATCCCGCCTGTATGGGCAAGTGCAGCTGATATCCACCAAACCTTGGTGACGATGATGAAGGCACCATTCCGTCGAAAGCCAAGAAGGTATAACCGACTGGGAAGAGTCATACAGACAAGTTTTTGTGAACTTCTGGAACTTGCCATATTGTTTTGCCGGTTGGCAGCTGGCAGCGAGGTCGGGGAAGCATCTCAAAGTTCTGTATGTGGCGATCCGAAGTTACACTGACAGCAGCCAGCTGTCGCATCCCGCATCCCGCAATTACATAGCGGAGCACTGCGAGGCGACCAATTCAGACAGACATTCTCTCAGTCTGGCCCAGGTCGCAAAAATTGAGCCCTTCAGACGCGATGGAAAGATTCGGAGATGGACTGTAGAGAAAGGTATCAGCAGAGGTCAGGTACTTCGATATGGCTGTCGGGCGACAGAATTGGGATGTACACTATTATTGATATCTATAAATATATACTATATATTTACGTAGATTGGCAACCAAGTTTGATTAATTTCTAGAGGGAAGTAGTGAAGCTGACCAACTTGAAATATTGGTTGAGCAGGCTTAGCTCATCGCGCCTTCCTGCATGGCCCATATGAGTATGACCGCGCATGCAACTTCAGCAGACGCCATTGACGACATTTAGGCCCATCAGCAACATATATAGAATAATCTGGTCGACTCGCATGGAGATATTAAGGTCTTCTCTACGGGGCAAGCCCTACCGACGACGTGATGATGCTGACTGTGCATTTGCATGCATGTGCATGTGTGTGTGCATTCCGGCCGACGACTAGCTCACCATTATATTTCCTACGGCCGTGGACTGGCCATGGTTGCATGTGCATGCATCTTTCGGCCAGCTGCTCAGACTCCGTTCTGTTCGTACGAGGATGGATTTGCATGATGATGCTGAGGCTGGGAACAGACGATCCTGCCGCTGTTCAAGATGACCTTGCGATAGGTGAAGCATGAATGGATGCTCGAGTTTTCGAGGTATCGCTGAACTGAGCATCGGAATTTGTGTAATGGTGTGTACTATAATAGAGGGTGTTCCAAGTAACTAGGAATACCGCTAGTTCATCAGGAAATATATGGCAAGATAATAGGCAATCAGTGCACTTCAACATTGCCTCAAGGGTCACTCTAGAAAGCCGATGTCATTGGAGTAAAACTCTGGCCAAGGGCTAAGTAGGAAGTTACAGGATACTGAAAGAATGGACCTGAGGGTCGTTTTTCTCCCTCCAGTATTCGACGTGAATTCTTCTGACCGGGTTGAAATCGTATAAGATGTGGCGATCTGGGAATGTCTCAACGTCCTGAAGGGCGACAACTTTGAAATTGCCACCAAGCAGAAAGAAACAATATTGGGCAAAGACAAACCTGGACATTTTCTTCCAATATGTGGTAATTTGAAGTTCCAATTATGACAGCTGTAACGCCATCCAGTGAAATTGTTCTGAGCAACAATAGTTATAAGTGACCACGATACCATCGATTGGCATTGTACGGCGCATTTTCGGTGACGAGTTCCACCCGATCATTTTCAGCGCTTCACGGACATCAAACCTGTGAATATAAATCGAGGCCCATGGCTCTAATCCTTGGCAAGCCGGCTGGATCATTTAGAGACATCGATTATGTCACTGGTTCACGGGGCTGGCAGGGCCGCCTCGTGGTGGCCCGGCTGCTAGTGAATCTTCAGGGAGAGAGTATTCTCAATTTCTGTCTCAACCGACGATCCCAATGGATAGCATTCCACTTTGAGATGAACACTCGCTCAGGCAGGCGAAGACAGGAGGCGAAAAATATCTTCACGGGCCCGACAGACAACAAAAACATGGATAAAACTCAAGTAGCACTGACCTGACCGTCACCGGCGACTCCACTTACCAGCGCGGCGCCGACGCCTGGGGCAACAACCTCGAGCTCTGCTGCTGCAACAAGGTTCACAATGAGGGCGACTCGGCCAATGTCGCTAACGACATCCTCTCGGGTCTCTTGGGCGATGACTTCACCGACGACGAACTCGGCCTATTCGATACCTGCTCCAAGCTCGATACTGCTGCTGGTAAGAGTCTTTCCATTCCTTCTTCTCGGCGGCGCTGTTGGTGACGTCCTCAACAGCCGTGCAAGCGACCTGTTGTCTATTGACAGGACACCCCCGTCAAGCAAGGAAGTATCTATCGCATCAGCATCCTAACTTCTCCCTTTAAATCTCAGTCTACTTCTAGTTTCGCCCAAAAGAGCTGAGGGTGTTGTTTTCGCCAAGAATTCCCCATTTCACAGCTTGAGTATAAGCGACGTAATAGAGTTCAACCCAAGCATACTCAAAGTATTGCACGAGCGTTAGCCCTTTAGTTTGTAGTCTGACCAAACGCGAACCGAACTCTCGGTTCCTTCCGGCTACTGAAGCAACCACTTCAACTTGTCAGTCAAGAGTCGTCATCGCGAATAAGCACATCTGCATCACCGGAAGATGCAGCCATAGCAACGTTACTGTTTTGGGCAACTAGTCATACGCAAGTTATCAGTTGCACAATGTCTCTGCTCTCCGAACAACAATAATGAAGCACTTGTAGAAGACACCCTATCCTTACCGATACATTGACCTACACGTATGTGTCTCTTACAAGTGAAAGCCTCAAAGGGGCGTTTTGTTGTCAATAATATCTTCCTTTCACTGCTGAGACTTTATATGATAGTAGAATAGGTGTGACAGGTGTCAATAAGGGCATGATGCATAGTGTTATGCGATTTACTATAAATTCGTCACTATGCCTAGTAAGGTGTAGTTGTGTGATGACCATTCAGCTAGTTCCGAACTCGAGCGACTCCACTACAAAGAAAATGCTGCAAATCAGTTCAAAAACGTGTTTTATCCATATATAAGTAAAATCTATGTTACCTGATCGTTTGGAAACTTTATATATATTTATGTGTGTGTGTGCTGTGACAGCCGGCAACTAGTTGGAAAAGAATGCCCAGTTTCCTACCTTCATTATGAAGTAAACCTTTTATATATAACGCAGCGTTAACAGAACATTAGTACTAGGCTTTTTGGAGATGCCATAGCGGATAATTCTGGCCAAAGGGTACAGCTCGGCTGAACAATACAAAGCCTCTATTCAAGGAGCCTCATTTCACCGATAACGTAGTCCACAAGCGAACGGGTCACGCCAACTAGCAAAACATGGAATTCAACACGATTTCGCAACCACAACGCCGTAAATCAATTAAAACTACTCAGAATACTCTTGCCCAGGTGATTCTATCTCTACCTGACAGGTTCGCGCATTATGCCCGGTCTTCCCGCATACGCCACAGCGCCGTTGCCGTGGCTGGCCACGATTTGATCCAGCGCTATTTCCACGCATTTCCTGCTGTACTTGCTGCGCAACGTCCTTTTGATCTTGAAGATCTCGTACGTCTTGTGAATTAAGTGATCCTCCAAGCCGTACTCGTGTTTTTTGGCCCTGCGCCGCTTGCTAATTAGAGCATTTGCCTCTCGAAGTTCGGCGACCTCAGCTTGGAGTAAAGCCATCTTATGCATAATACTCCGCGCTCCTTTCGAAAACTGATCGATAGCATCGTAAATTGACATCGGGGAGCTATTTTGATGCCTAGAAATTCGAGATTTAATAAATTCGAGATTTAATAAATTCGGATTGCGAAGTAGCCTCGGTTGGGTTGTTTGGCGTCCGAGAAGCCTAAGGAAGGGTTTCCCGCGTAGGGGCCGGGAGGACGTTGGAGTCTGTAATTTCACATCCAGCTTCTCAATAACAATATCTGGGCTTAAAGGCACAAGCCCAGCCCTTGAAAGCCTGCACGAATAATGCTTTCGGTCAGGCTCTTCTTGAACGCGTCGCAAAATGCCGGAAGAAAGTCCTCCTTTGTGATATGCGAGTCGCGTAGCAGTCGGTTTGCCATATCTTCAACAGCACTTAGCCGGGAAGGAAATGCTTGCGAATCTAGCTCAATTATCCTTTGAATAATCGTATTTTCTTCTAGTTTTGTTAAATTCCGACCGTTGGCTTCGATATTGCGACGTGATTGACGTTTTTGAAGACGCGCCTGGAGAGTAGTATTCGAGACTTTGTAGATTGTTGCAGCACGTCGGATACTAAGTGTTGAGTCATTTCTGATAGCCTGAGTTGCAAGGAGTAATTGAGATTCTTTTTGAGCAGAATCCATCGAGAATTAGTTGCGTGGTAAAGTTAGGAAGTTTAGTTCTATTTTTTGCTATGGGCGTGACCCGTTCGGTTGGGTGACCTGTTCGCTTGTGGACTACGTTATAGATATTATGCATGAATTGCAAATCAAACTAACCACACCGTATGTCATTTTACACCTGTATTTGCCTAGTTGGGTGTCCACAGGAATAAATGTGGAATGCCCCCATCCCTGTTTTCACTATGCCTCCTTATACCGAGCATTTTCATATGTCCCCAATTCATCATTCGACCAACGCAAGTAACCTAAACTCCAACACTCCATGGTTATTCTCTTAGCAGCATACTCTAAGTCTTTCGGTCCAAACTTCTCGCACTTGATCAGTAGGATATCATGATATCATAATATCATTTGGGCCGAAAAGGGGCCTATAAGACGTATGCTCTGAAAAGGCTCCCACCCAACATCTCCATTAGTCCCATGGTATTCCAACAAGCATGAGCCTGTGCGCTTCTCAGTCTCGATCATCATGAACCGTGGCTTGGTTCAATTTGCAGATTCTGCGTGCTTCTGTCGGCCAGGACTAGTAACAATAATAAAAGGACAGCTGCAGGGGCCAGCAAGACAGTGAAAACAACAGTTGATTTCATAGCAGTTCGTCGACGTCTCAAGCAAGTGCAGCTATAAGTTAGTTTCGCAGATATGTTATGCACAAAACCCCTGAAAACCGGAAACGTAGAGTTTTCAAAGTAAAAATCAAGTCAAGTCAAGTCTATTGACTTCGGTATCAAGCTATAATTACTACCAAACCAAGTCCCTTTCTCGTCTGATATATCATAAAATCGTCTTTTTTCATGTATGTCGTGTGTCGTGAATTCGTCATGCGCACCTCGTAGTTGTAAAATGCTGGACCACGCCCCTGTAAATTTGGTATCATACCCCAACGCCCAAGAAAGCAACGATGGAGATGAAAAGGAGGAGAAATCCGGAAAAGAAAAAGAGAAGGCGTCAAAACAACATATCTAGTACCCCTTAGCAGTCACGGCCCCCACAGCCAGTGTCTCGATCCTTCCTGCATAAAGGCTCATAACATGACACACCGGATCGCCCCAAATGACGCCCCTTAATTGCTCATCACTCGTGATCTGGGCGACCACACCCTCATTTAGTCGCTCCTCAACCGTCTTCTTCTTCTTCAACCGTGCCTTGGGGTCGCCTGATCTCAACACGATAATGCGGCCCGCACTGCTCAGCGTGCTAGGGGGCACTTGCCAGACCGGTCCTGCCGGTTTCGTCTTAGAAGTAGATGATGACGAGGAGGACTTGGATGAAGCCGATTGCGCAGAGTGACTTGACACGACGGACGCCTTGGAGGAAGGTTTGACCGATGCCGCCGTCGACGACGACTTGGATTTCTTGTCACGCGACGGCTTGCTGTGCTTCAGGGACGGACTGGGAGGCGGCGAGGGGAGTTTGGAGGTCGGCGCTTTCAACTGGCCCTGGCTCGGCGACGGGGTGGCGAATAATTCCAGCAGGCTCTTTACGTACGCTTTGTCGGCGCGTGCGACCGGGTCGCCCTCGTTCACAAAACTCATAAACAGCGATTTCTTGAATTGAGGCCTATCGGGTTTGGTGAGCGGAAGGAGCGAGACGGGGGGCGTGCCGAACGTAATGCAATGCACGCGCTTGAAGCAGCCCGTCAGTATGTTAAGTTCCGAGGAAGCAGCCTTTGAGGTTGCGAGCATGTGCGAGTAGAGCAGGGCTGCGACGGCACCGCCGGCTGAGTGGCCTGTAATGAGAAGCGAGTATGAAGACCGATGGGGGTCTTCCTCGAGCAGTTGCCGAAGACGTGCCGCGACAGGTTTCACCATCTTCCGGGCGGCTGAGAGAAATCCCGCGTGGCAGAAATTGCCGGTATCGTCTAGGAAGCCGGATGGTGATGCTGGCGCCGTATTCAAGTTGACGGCCCAGTCCATAAATGTCGCTGTCCCGCGAATGGCAAACACGATGGTGTTCATGTGGTCCATCGGCACCGACTTGATGCACATGGCCTTGGTTCCAGTCCGCCAGTCCGCATCCACATGAGCATTTCGCTCTGCGCCTCGTGGCTTTTCGTATACCCTCTCGGAGAATTGTGCTGCTAGGCAGAGCAGAGGGTAGGTCGGGATGTATCTGTACTCATATCAGCATGGAAGGTGGCTACGAGGTATGGCCGTGCGCATGTCTTACAGTCTCAATGGAGGCAAGTTCATGGGAAGTCGGGAATTGGCGTAGAGCTCAACCTTTGCGAAATACCCTCCCGAGATGAGTGAAGAAGCGACAGCAGTCGTCTGTCCCTTCGGCGCATCTTTCTTGCCACTCTTCTTTGGGGTGTGCTTTTCCAGTGTTGGGGGCTGAGAGGCAACACTTGAGGGTGGCGTAGCAGCAGGCAAAGACTGGTACGTAAACAGTTCCTTTTCATTTCCCAGCAACCGGTCGCGATCAATCAACGTCATCACGTCATTGAACCTGGACTGGATCTGATCGTACATGGCAGCGCCCTGGTTGAGCAGTTGCGAAGCGTGACAATGCCAACTCGGCAAGCCGTCATCGAAAACTTGATGGACGACGTTCCCGGATACGATGCTGTTGGCTATATCAGCCTCGGTTCCAGGCTTGGGTTTACTAATAGCCCCGGATCCGCCACTGTATGGGTAAGGGTTGTTGGAAGGCAGGGGGCTAAGATAGTAATGTTGGTTTACAATGATGGGTGGGCATGGCCTGTGAGTCTGGTAAGGAGGGGGAGGTCCAGAAGGTTGCGCAACCCAACCAAGGGGGGCAGGGGGTAATCCGACAGGCGGGACTGAGGCCTGAATTTGTGGTTGCGGTGGTCCATTGAGGGCATAACCTAGATGATCGACTTTTGGAGGGGGAGCCGACGCGACTGAAGATGGCTTGCTGCCCTTCTTTTTAGTAAGAGTAGGCCCAAAGAATCCCATGATGAAGTGGTGGTCCTCGACCTTGCATAACACTTCACGTGGTGTGATGCTTCAGTGATGGCAGATATGGTTCAAATATGTTGGAATTCCCAGCACATCGATCGTCATACTAAAAACTGAGGTGGTTCGGGTAACGTGGTGCTGATTATGTTACCCTGGAACTAATTTCGAAACACAGGTGGTGGAGAGTGGTGTTCAATTGGGGTCGATCAACGCTTCACTGAAGCATGGGGAGGTTCGGTGTTGACTGGGCCAAGACATGGGAGGATCGGGAAACGACGAAGGTTTCGGGACGACAACGATGACAGCTAGCTGGGATTGCGAAATGAAAGCTTAAAGCAGTTCGGAAAGGACTCGGCGAAGAAACCCGAGAGACAAGAAAAAGGCGAAGCAATTTTGATGAGGCCATCACGTTGTTTAAAACGGGCAGACTGGTGCGCAGAGAGCCTTGAGCAGAGTCGCATTGCAGCCGGTGTGCCTTGCCGTTTACAGAACGTTACGGCTGGGACAAGGCAGATACGAGAGGTGATTTGCTGGCGACACACTGCTCTGCCCCAATAAACTCGGCCAGGATTGTTTGAGCATTCTGAGTTGCTTTGGGACGGTGAAACGTTCGACGAACTACGAGCCGTGAATAGATGGAAGCCCGGTAGTGTGTTGATTGAATGGAGCTGAACCCTCGACATATGACTCTGCGCTTGCTGCAGACTTATGCAGGGTCAATGCGATGCGAGGCTCTCTATGGGCGTAGGCGGACCTCTAAAGCTTTTCTTCTGGAGCGTCTGGCCAGTGCACATGCAGACAAGGATGCTAGCCGCCATGCCCTGCACTGCTACGGGGCGTGGGAGGTCCGTCATCGCGAAAAAAACAACTTCGTCGCAGAGGGAGGCTGGTAAATGCGATTGCAGATGCCTCGTCCAATATGCCTTTGCTGATGGAGCTTTCAAGTGATCGTCTCGATCGCTCCTGTCGAGTTGCGTAGGGCATCTAACGCGCGAAATGCGACGCGACGGCCACTTTGAAGCAAATTCATCGGACGATCGTCAGAACGTGGCCAGCCTCCACCTCGGCGCTTGCCTGTGTTGCAGTTTTCGGCGGGGTATTGTAGGAGTCATAGATTGACAACACAAATGACAACAAGACGACAGGGTTTTAGCGAGGTGGAGGACCCAAGAAATGAGAAGAGCGACAAAAAAATGGAAGAGCGGTGGGAAATGTGCAGCGATGTCCATTCTTATATACGTGGACATGGAGATGGAATGTGAATGTGAATCAGAGTTGCACGCCCACCCGACGTCGGAAGAACTCCTGAACTGTTCAAGTTATGGCAAAGCCACTAAGCACACGGAATACTCGTAGGCTCGCCGCGTGCTGCCCATGGGCGCTCTTGGGATCCATTTCAGGTCTAGATAGGGACGTATGAGTCTAATAAACTCGACTCGTTCATTAGCTGAAGGCTCCCCACAAGTAGTTGGCGAACTTACACTTCTAGAGTTGAAAATGAGTGGTTAACGCGACATCAGCATATCATGGCCGACTATGGGAATGCTTCTGTGATGAGGTGGAATCCGCAGATAACATTTCTGGGATTCAACGCAGGGGTGCCCTCAGAATCCAAACTTAGTTGTTAGTACATCTTAGCCGACCGTCATTGCTGATCTTCATGTCTTGAAGTCGTAAATTGTGATAAATGTCGTACTGGCCTGGGGGGGAGGGGATGAGGCATCTGCTTGCGTGCATTTTCGATGTGTCTATGGCTAGTGAGTGCGATAGAACATCTCTGCTACGACCTTAACAACAAATGAGGGATAACCGGATGATGCCGTGTTGGGGACAATAGACAACTCTGGGTCGCTCAAGGGTGGTTTACAGATAATTAGAACGGGTCATACGGCATATATTAAGGATCGGGATCCATTGGCAGCTCGCCTTCCCGGTCAGGTCACACAAAGCCTCCTGCAACGTAAATAGGATAGATGTGTGGTGTCCCAGTTATGCGACAGACATACCCTTCTAGCTCACCCTTCTCTGTACGCACAATACATAAGGGGACTCCTCATGCGACTTAATGCCGACTTTGATATCTGGCCGATTGAACCTGCACCATTGGCCCGCAGCATTGGGATAGACAGAACGACGCCAATTGTCCTGTCGAAATCTCGTCGGAGCGAAAGCGACAGTACAGTCGACCGAGTGGGAAGCCGTGCATCCGATCGTGAGGGACCTGTACATAACCAAGCAGCATACGGTGCGCTACATGATGGGATCCTGGCGGAGCAATACAATCTCGCACCGATATGAGTGTCCTACGTTCCAATATGTTCCAATATGTCCACCACTTTATATTTTGGTCCTCCCAACACTACAGTCTGCTAAACCTGAAACAGGGAGGCGATGCTCAAACATCAGCTAATCTCTTGGGGGCTGCACAAGAATGGCAGCAAGCGTCGCGTCTGCCCAAAGATACACGGAGTCGTCTGCCACAATGACTTCAAAAGGGGAGCATCATCGTACTCGGTCGAACGGGCAGGACATTTAAACTCGTATATATTCGGCACGAGGATGCGAGATTCTACCAGTAGTATCTTCCGAGCCTCCGAAGGCTACTGCTCGTAACTAGCAAGGGGAATGTGCTATTATCAGTATACTGGAATGGACCAACGCTAACTTTGATGCCTTCACCTGGCATTTTCCCAGACAAAGGAACGAAGGGTTTGTCAGGGCCCCTCACATTTACCCTACCAGTCGGCTGTATCAGGACTTTCCACGTGCTTCCCTGCTCTGGCGTCACATCCAAGGTCGGCTGGTTGGCCTAGCCGCACACAAGGCATTCTCGCGACGAGAGGGCATCATGACCATAGGCGGGAGCCCGGGCGGCCGCGCAATTTCCTTGGCATCTTGGCTGATATGATGGGTGGAAGCAGACACAGCTGATGCATGAGGTCTTGTCGTACACCACCGGTTTAGCACACTACCAACTTTCGCCCCCATACAGCTCAGCATGCTGGACGGCGAAGTCGACCTGGGCTCCATGTTGAACCAGATCTAGCGTTGCTTCACTGGAGCACCTCTTTAAGCTGGTCTGAACATTACTGGATGATCGACTAACAGACCTCGGACTTGAGCGTCTGACTGGGATACGGACCCCGAGGTTGATCGCGTGCGGCTGAAGGAGCTGCTCCACGTGCTGTGGTGGATGCATTCGCCCACGGTCGAGTGGATGAAGAAAGAACGACAGAACTTGGACCTGGCAAGGCTTACCTAACTACTGTTAATTCGCAGTCGCACGAGGATTCGGCTGGGCGCATCATTCCCGATATATGTTTTGGTGGCAAAGCACCCGGGCTCGGGATGAAGGTTGAAGCGCTGGAGCCCACCACGGCGTACTCGCAGGTTTGAGGAAGGTCGCCTCGAGACGTGGCCGAGGTTATTATGAGATCGGCTGTCTTCAACGTCGAGTGTATCCACAGAACGAAGAATACGCGCGTCATCAGCGAACTGTGATTATTGGAACACATGCTGGTGCGGACTGAGGGGGTTGAAAAAGCGAAAATCGTCGGCGAGGACGCTTAGGAGCGTGTCTGGTAGTACTTGTGGACCGTGGAAGGCTGACCTCCTAGATTCGACGGCAGTCTTAGGTTGGCATCCGGCTGGCTCATGGGCTTTCATACAGATGGCGAACGGGTAAGTCAGATCTTTGGTATTTGGATAATGGGATTTTGATGTGTCTACTTTATGAATTATTTGATTATCATCTACATATGCTTAAAAATAGGTGCCACATACGTACATACATATACATGCCATATAATGGCGGGATTATTCTAGAAAAACATTGTAATAAAATTGTCTCGTGCTCGGACCGAGTCAGGTTTGGAAGATCTGCTAAATCTGCTCATCCTGAATACACTATCTTCTTCAGTTGTTATTAACAATCTCTACTAAGGTATTAAGGCATCATACAAAACACATTGTGTTGGTGAGCCTAGTCTTATATTTCAGCACGTCATGGGGTGCCTCCTCTCTTCTAAAGAGAACTAGTCTCGGGTACCTAGCAGGTGACGTATCCTAATTGCTTTGTTTTTTACCACCAAGCAACAATGTCGGAACTCCACTACTTTCTTGTCCCTAGGCCTTCAGCCACCGCGGAGTATTTAAGATACACATTTATTTAGTACGCGATCGATCAGTGCTACCACTAATTTATATATACTCATGGTCATGTTTTCGATTTAGGGGCGATGACGAGTGTATTCACCTCCAGATCAAGTTAGATCTGCACATATTCTTGCAATTCCTCACTATAAACTCTACATCACAAAACTCATCCCCCGCATGCCTAAACAACAATCCACCCGCCGCCTCAGTCAACATGTCCGCCACATACCCCCTCCGCAAACGAAACCACCAAATCCTCCACAAACCCCTATTGCACCTCCTTACCAACGCTCACGATATTGTTGACGATCCAGTGCAACTACCGCATCTCCACTGAATCCGTGAATATGTTTGGCAGCGCCAACCCGTTGGCAAATTCCAGCCTCGTCACTACTTGCATCATGCAGCTCGACCCTAGCCGATATGCGCGGTATTCCTCAGTCGGCGCGTGGACGCGCACTCTGTTCCGCTGCTCTAAGCTGTAGCAATCGAGCGTCAAGGCGGCTTCACAAGTGACGCGGCGGCGTTGAGATGGGGTACAATCAGTTGTCTATACACGCCCAATGTATTCGTAAGAAGTCGGGGCACGCTCGGTATAGACGATATCGTTTTCATCATCGTCATCTGGTGAAAAAGAAACCCGTAATTTGAGTGAGCGTTTCTCGGGGATTTCTTAGAAGACCTTGACTAATGGGTGTTTTACGGGCGTAAATGCTAGCCCCCCTCTCGGATGCTCTGGGGCTTCTGCTCGGTCCGCTTATTTGCATTCAGGCCTGCTACACTTTCATGGTTCATCTAGACCTAACTTCTATATCTAAGCTTTGTTCCTCATCGTTACGAGCTTGCGTTCTTCACGTAGTAGAGGTAGTATTCTCCCTCCCTATTTAAACGCGAAGCGACTTTCTATAGATAATATAAGCCCGGTCATGGTATCCAATGCAGAGTATCAGTGCATTAGTGAGCTCGTCGCTATTGGCCGTTGCTTCTTCAGGCTGCCCCGCCAATGTCTGATCCAGCGCTTTGGGGAAAAGTTTCATTGCGTCGTTCAAGGATACTGATGTGTTATCCTTCAAGTGAACCAGGGGCGGCGCGTCTGTGCAACCGTGGGGAAACCCTCCTTCGTATCAAAGTGACTCGAAGAAACTCTCATTGGATATCATTTCATAAAATACTCCTTTCATGGTGGTGCTATGATGCTATTTCCTGGAAAGAAGTTCAATGCGTATGTACGACCTATACAGCTATGGGCAAAATATGTACCGATCTCCTCTACCCTGAGGGTCTAGACTGAACGAATTAGCAATGATAGAGCACTATCATGAGGTTGAATCTTTGTGGTAAGCTATAGGCCAAAATAGATCTCTCGCCGAAGTATTGCTCTTCCTTAAGAATGTCTGGGGACAGCTTCATAGCTAGTAGGCAGGACAAATATTTCTGCCATGTGAAGTGAAAGCGCTTGGGTCGGATCCAAATGATTAAGGTTGGTTTAGACATACATATTACACTGCTCAGGGTGCTATAGACTGCTCTCACAGCTTATAGCGGTAGACCACGCGTTGCTCAGTGTCCAGCCTCTTCCTGCCCTCAAGCTCCATTGTAGCATCAATAACTCTAGCCATTTGAACCTCCTACTCAAAAGCCTCAGACAAGGTGGCAAAACTGTTTTAACCGGCTCAAACTACGCATCCACCCTCTTCACCAGCTCAGCAGGTAGGTGAGATATTTCCGGATAGGGTAACATTCCTCCATAAGTTGATGTCATTGACGTCTTTTATTTTGGCTGGGGAAATTGGAAGCATTTATTACGTTGTAAATTCTTTGTTGTAACAATAAGCCCAACATATGAGGCGTCCGAAGCTCGGAGAACCACGGCGTGCTAGCTAACGTGGAATCTGGTAAAAAGGACACCATGGAGGACTGGACTCGAAGGACGTCCCCTTTCCTGGTGGCGACCGTAACCTTTATGCTCGGTTAGCCACGGTACTAATAAATCGCGCTACTAGTGGTGTTCGGTTCATAGTATCTTTTTTTTCCTTCGTTAGGTAGCGGAGGCTATACGTATTATTGACGTTATGCACGATTTTGACGATAGGAGGGGTTGCTTATTATATTCAAAGCGTAGGATTTAGGTTGGATGTCGAGGTCCATGCCCCTGCCATGCGGCGCTCAGCAGAGCAATGGCGCGAGAGCAGGAAATGCAAAGGAGAGAAATCAGATTGTCCCGACTGAAGGCTGACCAATCGGCCACATTCATTTCTGATTATGACCTCGAAGATGAAGATGATTTAGACGAGGAGACTAGGCAAGAATACGGCGGTGGTGGGCTCAGGGAATATGGTTTAGAAGGCCTATTCGATGACGAATCTTCGGCCCAGAAGAAACATACCAGCCACACCCATCCGCGGCCAGCGAGTCAGGTCTACTATCCACCTATTACCGGTCAGCATCTTCCGTTCAGAGGTCGGTGGTTCGCCCGTCAGAATAGCCTAAGCCGGCATCGTCGCTACCGTTTAGGGGTGCCTCTAGTCTGCCGATACCGCAGAAACATAAGGCTGTATCCATGTTTCACCAACCTATGAAGGTTCAACTACGCTGATTGGAAGCTTTTTCGGCATAGTTAGGGATAGCATTAATAAAGGTGGTAATATATATGGGCCTTAGTCTAGTCGGAGGACAGGTAGGAACATCCCGGGATAGGCTATCATATGTCACGACCTGGGTTGCATCGCATGGGTATAGACCTCGATTAGGTGCTATCGACCAAGATTCTACTCTAAGGAGCGAAGGAAAGAAGATGACAACTTAGGTTTGAGGGAGCGCGACTAAGTCATCCACGCTTGGCGGGGCTCCTACAAGGGTTATGATTGGCTTCCCATCTGACACTGCCACGGCAGGTGTTCCAGCTGTAAGTCACCTGGTTGTAGGGAGTCTGCGAGGGTTGACCGTCACATCATAGACGTAAATTACGCGTTCTCATTATAATAGATAATTGGACACCCGTATTTGTGATTACCTCCCTCTCTTCTTCAGTGAAGTAATCTATAATACGGATTATCTTGTATCATAACCTTGATTTAAACTCGTAGTATCTCTACCACGTTACAAGGTATACTTAAGATACTTTAGAAGCCTTATATAGCTTAGATTCCTCTATCGACACTTCCCTTTATCACCTCTATATATAGCCGGAATACTAGTACTAGTGTAACGGGGTAAGGCCGGACATCAGGGAAATAGGTTACGGGGCTAGGATAAAGTTTATTTTCTCTTCTTTAAGAGGCACAGAGGCAGAGTAGGACACGAGTCCTCCATCTTCACGCATCCTCATCCTCATCTTTATATCATCATCTCCTTCTTATCTATATCTTCACCTTCGCTTTTCAGTCAGTTATTTAGTTATTTTAGTTATTCAGCTTATCTTTACGTTCGAGATCCTATTATCACGATACGAGTATCAGAGGCACATCCGACCAACTCGCGCACCAGACTTCCAAGAGCGAAGCTCTTGCAACCAGTACCACGATCTTCGTCTGATCAGACCAACAGATAGATCTATTAGTACTGGAGCCGTCTGTTCAGTGTGTTAGGTGGTAGGTATATCCTACTGACCGCCTGACCCCGTTTCACTAGTACAGTCCTATACTTTTTATATTAAAATGTGATAAGCTTAGGATTGGATTTAGGACTAGGTAATCTCTATGGAGAATAGGTTATTTGTAGATAACCTATAAATACCTACAGGCTAACCTGCGCGAATTGTAAGTATGTCTAGTATTCCTTGGAGTTATCTGGTCTGGGCGAGAGGAGAGATGCACCCTAGACCGTCTGATCTGCTAGGTTAGCTCTTAACGAAGGCATATTTGGTGATCGGACGAAGCCTGTGGCAGCCGATAGTGCTTTCTCAAACATCTGATTAGCATCCACCTCAACAAGTTCCCGAGATAGTCAAGACATTCTTAGCTTCATGTGCAAAACTGACAGTTTTGCCATTCTAACCACGAAAGTTGTCTCTCGCATTGCATAGCATTTTCAAACAACTGTCGAATTCGTGGCTGCAATTGACTCGGAGCGGAGGACGACGATCATAATTGTGGACATCGTGTTGCCGCTTGACAACAGTCACAGCCGGTTTGGAGTGACCATGAAAGGTCTGTGCGCTTGCTGCCACCTGCAGGTTTGGAAGGCCGGCTTGGTGCATTGCATGACCCGGCAGGGATCCGACTAATGGCGTTTGGGGAAACATCTCCAGAGTCTCAGACATCTGATTTCAATGCGATAATGGAGCCAGACTTCATCTTCGCCTAAACAGCTACCCTTCACCGAGAAGTACAAGAGATGCCTCCAAAGACGCCATGGACTTTGTTAGTATTCGTCGTCCTCCAAAATCATGCCCAAGCCCCCCCAAAACTGACTCCAGCCGTAGTGGTCGCGCATCCTAGCACACACGCCGTTGTCCGGCAGCTCCAGCAGAGATGCCGCTCGGGACCCGGTCAGGCGACGGCATCGCTTCGAGAAGGAATACAGCCAGCTTTTGGTAAGATCATGGGTTGAAAACGTCTACTCTAATTGAGGACTGACCAGGAGACAGCAAACATGGCGGACCTCTTCGAATCTAGCCCGTGACATTGACGCTGCCGAGAACATCGAAATTCGGCTTCAGGAAATGACCAACATCCTCGCCGACGAATCCCGTCGACCTCTCCCACATCCTTGCATCTCCTTCTCTGCCGCCAAGGAGATATATGTGCCCATTGCGAAGATAGCAACGACGTCGTACAACGAGTGGATTATAAAGGAGGCCGTCCTGTTCTTTGCCACCCTGATCGAGAGCGAAGAGGAAGCTTTTGTGGAGAACGATGCCTTCTCAGCCAGCTTGACCAACCTTCTGGTTCGCATCACCGGTGCCAACAGTATACGGTTGGGATCAGATACCGAGATCAGGGTTGTGGAGCTGGCCTTCAACATCACAACCAAGATCAGATTGGAGCCCCATATACTACCCGCATGGTTCAAATCGCACCACGCGGAGAGCGCCGGGCATGAAGAACAGTTTCGAGACCAGAGGGAGAAGTTTGCAGGGAAAACGCAAAAGCAAGACTTCCCCCTGTTCTACCTCTTGATGGACTATATCCACCACGAGGGCAAGACTGGCGACTTTGCGAGGACAGGCTTGCTGTACATCATCGAGTCGGCATCGAGTTCCGTCGCTTTGGAGCAATGGATCGTCGAAAGCGACCTGTCCACTTTGATGGCCACCGGCTTGGGAGCTTTGTACAGTCAGCTTAGTCGCAAGCTCGTCATCGACCATCCTCCCCAAGACCTTCCTCCCGTTCTCGCCCTGTCCGACTACCAACACCCCACCTCAACCTTTGAAATCGTCAGCTCATGCTCTCCTGACTTCCAACTTCATCTGGAAACGTTTCTCTCTCATCTCTTGTTTTGGCAGGATGTTCTCAATCATTGCCGGTCGACTGAGGTCAAGTCAACTCTTCTCGAACATTTCCAGGTCATATTCCTGCAGCAGCTGCTCTACCCATCACTGCTGGAGTCATCAGACGTTGATGGGGGGTCTTCCGTGGCGGTTTTAACGTACCTACGACGTATTCTTGAATCTCTCGATCACCCTGACATGATCAATCTGATTCTTCATTACTTGTTGGCATTGCCAGATGAAGCGGCCCCAAGTCGCGCGCCCATAGAACCCGCAATCAGCGCTGCACGGAAACGGAAATCTATGGATCTTGCTACGATGATGGCCACCAAAGCCGATCCATCGTACACACCGTTATTATTCAACCTAGTGGATCTGATCCACTCCTCTCTCAAGTCACGCAACCAGCAGACTGTCTGTGTGACTCTACAACTGCTAGCGGCGATTCTTAAGCGACATCACCGGTACGCCATCATTACCTTGCTTCGCACAGAAGCTGTGCTCGGCAGCAACAGCCACAGAACCCGTGGGGCTCATGAACAAGAAGTCGAATATTTGACCACGTTGGCAGCGTCGATTGGAGGACAGGACAATTTTGACCAAATTTACGAAAGCATTCTGAAAGATACAACGTCCCGCCTGGAAGGTCACCCATGCTCGCTCAAGCTTGTTGCACCCAAAGTGTCAACAAACAACCACAAGCTCCCTGCGATACCCGATAGCCTGCCTGGCGCTCCTCGAGATGTCCCGCCTCATACGCTGAGCCCTGAAGATCCACTGCTCAATACCATGCTTGATCTTCTGGATTGTTTCTTTGTCAACCCAGTGGAGACCAATCTCTCACTTACTGAAACCATCATCGACCTCGCTGTGTGCGGATACGTCAACATTGAAGGTTGGCTTCTCCGCCACCCAAACAGATATGTCTATGATGCGGATGGTGATGAGTCATCCTCTCCCCTTCCGGACCCAACGTCGCCATCTTTTGATGAGACGGAGAAATTGCGTGCCATGGCCGAATGTCGACGACGACCGCAGTGGCAACCATCCACTTTGCCGCGTATGCTGTCCACCTTGAATGCTCTCGCCGATCAGGTTGCGTCATTCCGAGGTTCGATTCCACGATTTGACGACCTGCTCCAACAACGTCGAGAAGCATTTCAGACAGCCGACACTGCGGTACCTAACCAGCAACCACTACGTGCGAGCTCGAAGACTGTAACCTCAATCCCAGATCGAACAAGTTTAGATGGCTCACGTCCCGCATCGCCCGTTCGCCCTACTGGGATAGAGGGCTTTGCACAGCGCCTGCTGTCCGAGTTGGGTACACCGAGCCGATCGGGCAGTCCGAAGGGACGCAAGGAAATGAATCGAAGTACATCGGGTAGCTCGGGTATGTTAGGTGGCTATGGGCTTAACACGCCTTCTGTGCCTCCGAAGGAGTTCTCTGTCAACCCTGAAACCCCAAACCGAAGTGGGCATGCAGCAAGGTCATTCTCGCCAGACGGACCAAGCCACGGCAGTCGGGACAGCCCCGTTGCTAGCCAGATGGCCGCATTCGCCGCAATCGATCAAAGCATCCTTGCCCGACGGGTGGGTTTGCCTCCACGTGAGGTTGAGCCAATTCCGTTGAATTTCGAGAAGGCGTCCCGAGACGGCAACGAAACCTCCGCTCAGATTGACGATGGTTTAGCCAAGCATGATGGGGAATCGCAACACCCTGCAGCTGTAGAGCGAGAAGCCCTTGGGCCCGAGGCCGAGCAGGAAGCCAGGGAGACGGTCGAACTTCCGCCACGATCCGAAACTGCCACGCCACCGGTGCAGAAAGTAGCGTCGGTATCGCACGTCATCACCAACGTTATTGTTCTTCAGTCGTTTCTTCTGGAGCTTGCTAGCTTGGTGCAGGTCAGGGCTGGTATGTTTAGTGAGGTCCGATTTGCTTAGGCCCAGCACGTGGACATGGGTTTCTACTTTAGCTATTGTTGATGGAGCTCAACGTTGCCCTTCCTGCTTGCAGTGCATTTTCATGATCTTGGGTGCTATCCGCGACGGGTCATCATCAACACGGCGGCGGGGGCTCTTAACATGGTAGACGGAGAGGATTAGGCTGCTTCCATGTCATGACTTATGATACCTATATAAACATAGAGAAGATTTTTGTTGGCCTTGATGGTCCGAATCCTACACGAACTACAGTGCTTGACTACTTTTGGTAAGCTTTACCGTGGTAGCCTGATAATTGACCCGAGGGTTTGGGTCCTTGCCGACAGGGGGGATAAAGCGGCTAAATATGGCATGCTATTGGGTGAGGGTCACGAATCTTTCCTATATGATTTTCCCCTCATTCATGAAGATATAAAGTATGCCCGATCTCGTATGTGCAGCGATACATTGGTATGCTCTCGATCTGACGGTGCGATAAACAGCATTATGTCGACCTACAATAAATTGTCGTCCCAGGAGGGTGACGATGGGTTTCCACAAAATGTGAACCCAGACCCAGTCCTGGTATCCCATACACAGAACGGACAGGGCCAGTCACAGTACAACGAAGAACCGGGCTTCAAGTCCGACTCGAATACAGTCCCGGAATCGGAAAGCGGGAATCTACCGTATCACAGTAACAATCAGTGGCCATTCGTCCCGAGTTACGAGCAATTACCACAGTACGGTCACTTTTCACAGCACCCAGATCCGGGACGGTATCCCGTTCCAAGGCTTCAGCTGCAGTCGCAGTACGGCCAGGGACAGGGACAGAGTCCGGTTCACCATAACTCGGCAATGCCTTCAGTTCCGACGTTTCCTTCACAGTTGCTGCAAACACAACAAGAGTTTCGGCCGCAGCAGAATGTGAATACTGCTCTCCCGTCAGTCCCAGCGCAAGCACTGCCCAACAGAACGGCACCCCACGCGCCTCAGGTACCTGAAGTCTCTCCAACGTTAACCATACCCGAGGAGCTTCTCCGCACGCGCACAGGAACCTCGGTTGTCGAAGAGGGCTCGATCCTCGATGCTTCCGGCAGAACGTACCACAGCTACAAGGAGGGCAAGTATTTCCTGCCCAATGACACAGTGAGTGCCCACCCCTCATGGACCAACGCCTTTTAATGACCTGCCCGTAACGGTTGAGATCACATGACTGAACCACAAGTAGGCCGAGCAAGATCGTCTGGACTTCCAACACGCCGCCATCGCATTGCTACTGAATAATCGGCTAGCGTGGGCGCCGATGACGAACGTGCCTAACTACGTGATGGATGTTGCGACGGGCACGGGGATCTGGGCAATTGACTTTGGTAAGTAACATCCAGTAACCGGCGATTGAAAGCGAGGAAAAAACAGAAATTGCGTTTCAAAGGCTTTCGGACGTATGTATGCATGCTCAATTTCTCTCCCTCTCTCCAGCGGACCTCAACCCAACCTCGTATGTCGTCGGCACAGACTTGAGTAAAATCCAACCGCCCAACGCCCCGTTAAACTGCGAGTTCCTCCAGGAAGACTCCGAGGAGGACTGGGTGTACCCGCTATACAAGTTTGACTACATCCATCTGCGCATGGTTTATACGTGCTTTGATGATCCTAGAAAGGTAATTAGGCAGGCATTTGAGAATATGAATCCCGGGGGGTGGATTGAGTTCCAGGATAGCAGTATTATGCTTTTTTCTGGCACGGGCAAGATTGCGGGTAAGTGGATGTTGTGAATGATCTTATTTGTCGTATGATTGTAAGAATTTAGGACCATGACGGGATGGGACTATGGTGTGGGTGTGGATGGGCATTGATGACTGACTTGGTATTGCGCAGGTACCGGTTTAGAGCACTGGTCCAACGGCATCCTGCACGGAGCTGCCGCAAAGGGACGGGATATACTGGTTTCGCAGCACTACAAGCGCTGGCTTATTGAGGCAGGGTGTAAGTCGACGGACTAACTCACTCATTCATTTATCTCATCTCCGTTCCAACTCCTTTTCCGGCTTCCAGCCCCAGCAATGCACCTACCACCACCCGCAACTCACAACTCTTATAAGCTGACGCTCAGTAAATAATAGTCGTCGACGTCGTCGAACACAAGCTAGTTTGGCCTATCGGCACCTGGCCTGAGGACCCCCGTATGAAGGAATGTGGGAAATACAACGCGACGAATTTGCAGGAGGGTGCGCGCGCTGTGGGCCTGAAGATGCTGAGTGCGGCGGGGTTGGAGGCCGAGGAGATCGAGGATATAGTTAGGAGGGTGAAGAGGGAGGCAACGGATGAAAGCCTTCAGCCTTATGGCCATTTGTAAGTGTGATATCTTTGATTTTACCCACGTCAGTTTGGGTTTGAGTAATGCTGATGTCCGGTAGTTGGGTGGTTTATGGACGGAAGCCGTTTGAGGAGGAGGTTGAGGCGACCTCAAGGCTGGGGTAAATTCAATGAGTAGCAGAGGATTTCTCATTATTACTTTTGGGGTAGGGTGGCTGTTTCAATTGAGTTGGTATCTTCCGTGTAGCCAACCATAGCCGCCTCGGTATTGACATCAGTTTTGTCAGAGCCAAAGAGAATCATCGCATGATGCGAAATGCTGTACAGCAAGATGAGTTAAGTATATCCGTTGTGCTTGTGTTTCTCTCTTTAACGAGATGAAATCAGTTTGCACACCATGATAGACAACGAGTCCCCTTGATATCATCTCGTTACTCATCAATACCTGGCACTCTCTGCTCGGTTATACTTATACCAAAGCAGACTAAACCCAACACCCCGGGCAACTGGCTCAATTAATTTCTGAGTCACACCAAGACCGTCCTCAGAAAGAATGTCGTTGCCTGTGAAGAGTCCCCGGTGAAAAGGCCCTTTCCGGTGCCCGTCCAGTTCGTACAGGCGATCATCTTCATGTATCTTCACGAAGCAGACGTAGTGAAAGTCTACTTCATCCTCTGGGTTGGCCAGAACCTCCGACTCGCCTTGCAGAGCCACATTTCGGTAGGCAGACTCCAGCTCGATGTCGTCTTCCAGAGCGGTGGCACGTTTGCTGGGGTCTAGACGTGCGCAAGTCTTGAGCAAGTTGCTCAAGCGTGAGTTGGGGACTGGCGAGATGTTACAAGCTGTAAGATAATATTGCTTCCATATACCGCCAAGCAGGTCAGCCTTGGCTGCTGTCTCGCTTCTGGCGCTAGCGGTAATATGCAGTTTACTGTAAGGTAAGCAGTATTGGAGGACAAAGGCACCGATAACAGGGTAATTAAACTTAAGTAGAGTAGTCTGAGGCCATAGGGGTCTGCATCATTGATTGAAGTCGAAACCGAGACTAAGACAACCCTCATGGCCTTGATGCCACCTCTCTGGGTAGTCATGAGGATTGGAGGATCATAGAGAATCGAGTGACGGGTTCGTACACCACTGTTGAGAGGAAGCTACCGAAACTTGGCCCAGCCAGGGCAGTAGATAATATTGCACGTCAGCTTTGGAGCTTAGAATCCTTCAACATGTCTGTTCGTTGTATTGCGCGAAGCCGGAAAACCCCCATGCCAGACTCGATCAGCCAAGCAAAAAAAAGTACTCAAGGCATCGCAACCGCTGATCGGTGGCTTATACGACGACTGGATTCTCCACCCTTGGACCAAGCTGACTAATGCTGCCTTAGTCTTCAGCGCGATTTCCTGTTTGGCATCATGGAGTCCGGTTCTGGCAACCAGGTCACTACTCATGTTCTCCACCTCCGCCTCCTTCTCGCGGGAATCTGTAAGCTGGACCAGCATCGTGTTGTGGGTCTGTAGGAGTGAAGGTTGACGTGGAGCGACCTGTTCCACTTTCATTTCCAGCTGTGATACGTGTAAATTGGCTCTTGGGCTAGAATTCTTACGAGAAAGCTGTCAAACGGACATCGAATTCTGATTAGAAAGAGGGTAGCGCGTCTATTCTGTCTACCCTTTTCCTCCGGGTTCTTACCTACGACACTCTCCCTACCTTGGCTCCGCCCTTGCTTATCGCCGGGATTAATGCGAAGGATCAACAGTAGCTCCTGCAATATGGAGGCCCTGTAACACTTTGCCGGGCAGGGCTCTAATGTATCAAAGTTTCGTTTATTTGTCAGGTGGATTACTCTCTCTCAGGTGACACTTTCTGCCTTACGGCCGGCAAAGGATTCGACTTGTCGATCGCGTCTATAAATATTTGGCCAAAAAGCCCCCTTTCCTTCTGGGCCCTCAGGTGACGTGACGATGATTGGTGGACAGCTGACAACATCCGCTAGGATTTCAAGATCAGCGGCCTTAGCTGGCAACGATCGCTGAAAACATCGACCGCAAGGCAATTTTCACAGGTTTTGTCACGTAATACGAACGGCGCATAATGTTACACTGTGACGTAGTTGTTACAACTTACAGGCTCTCACGAAGTGGCGCATACACACGATAGCGACGAATCAGCTTTCAGAAGTATCGTCGTTACATTGCTCCATTACTGTCTGAGACTAATGATATCATAGGCTCAATTGCTGCTCAGGGTATTTCTAATATTGCAGAACGGCGCAGGCTTTTTGGGATGGCGGGCTTTTGCTCTTGTTGTGTTTTGGCGGACGGTAGACGATTATAGCAGGGAGAACCCGCTTGTCATTCAAAGTAGGCTACACGCAGGTAACATACATGTTGATAGCGAAAGACGACTCTGCTATGCTTCTCTGTTATTCCCACATTTCACTTTAGTGGGACAGAGGAAAAGAAAAACCAGCATCTGCTTTCTGTGACCAAAAGGATTCGATGGCGGCCTACCAAATATTCTACAGAACCGAATTGATTTGACAATGCTGCGTTCCAGTACTTGTTATTTCCGAAAGAGTTTGGATCTCGATGGCAGGATTGACCTGGAGACCTGGAGGATTGAGCTGAAAACATGGAGTCTTGTCAATCCCTAGAAGGGTGTGATCTCAAAAACCTGTGTAGCTTAGCAAAACAGCGATCGTAAGATTAGGCTGCGAGCTATATGTCGGACTCTGAGGTAGGATCATATACCCGGTTTCCCCGACTCGATCGACTCTGGGAAATCAGAATATATAAAGAAGCGTGGAAGTCGCATAATAATGGATGAAGTATCGCATTCGATACCTATCTTCTACATCTCCTGCATCTTTCAGCTCTACATCTTCTACTCTACTCGTTTTAGTTTCAGACGTCAATATTCATCACAACCAGCAAACAAACATGCTTTCCATTTTTGTCCTGTCACTCTTGGCTTTGAACGGTGTTTCGGCGTTCCAAACAGACGTCGATCACAACTCCGAGATGACCGAGACGGTGCGCGCCAAATCTGGCTACAGCCTTGACGAGTTCAATGACTTGGTCGACTCGGTGCTCGGCGCGTGTGACAGCAATGGATGCGACGGGGGAACGGAGAAGTGTAATATTGCTCATTGCATCTCTATCGATGGAGACAACCTCGACGACAACCACGGCAACATTCTCGAAATCGCGGGCGAATTTATCAAGGGCTCAATGCACACCGAGGATACCACTATCAGTGACTGTACCAGCTCGGGGTGCGGTTTCATTGACGCCATCAACTATACGATCCCTGGGTATATATCGTTGAGACGCAACTACGACAATGGAGACCCCAATATACTGTATAAAGTATCTATTAGTACGTCGGATTCCAAAGATGCATGCGGTGCAGTGTTCGACGCGTTGTCGGCTGCTGGAGGACCGCTTGGAGCGGCAGACTTGTTTGGTGCGATTAAGGTTGCCGTTTGTACTGCGTAGTCACAGACACAAGAAATGGCCTTGGAGCTCTAGTTCTATTGTATTTATTGGTCTTAAAGTTGAATTGGCGGTACTGAGTTAAGTCTGGTTCAATTGGGTCAAGTTGGTACGACAAGATAAGGAGCGAGGGAGCGAGTGAAGGAGGAGAGAGGGGGGCGAGGAGGAAGGGGATGGGGGGAAGCGGAAATAAATCCAACATCGATCACTCTTTTATTCTTTAATGGACTCACTGAGGCCTGGAGTGAATTTTTTTACCTCACATGCCGTCTCGCTAATTATGACCGTATTCTATTTATGGGTATCGCTTTTAACAGAGGTTCCCATTTTCGGCTCCCAAAACCTCAAGTTCCTAGACATCTCCATGCCAACTAGTTATATGACATCTGTATGCAAAACTGAGAATCCTGTCATGCAGTATTTCATACCAGGGAGACCTAATTTGGGATGTTCTGAGTTGAAGTAGGCGACTCCGACTAATTAAATCTAAATTGCTGAGAAATATCCCAATATTATACCTCATCCAGTTATGCCCCTGTTTCAACACTGAAACGGTGTCGCCAACTCGCCCGCGTCGGAAGCCGCAATCAGCGACGCAATTGTCGCATACAGTCCTCCCACGCAAATGAAACCGCCAGCCAATATAGTAAGTACGTTAATGACGAACATGAAAGGTTGTTTGGACCACGCACTGTAACCCCCTTCGAAGTGATACGCATCATGCAGCCAGAAAGCTCCCGCAAGACCATACGTATACCATGCAGCAAACAACGATGCCGTAATGCCCACCAGATAATTAAATATCGGAATTCCCGCCGCAAACACAAAAGCCGCCACATTAGCAATGAGTATCAACAGCGTCCACAAGCTCCAGCCAGAAAATGTGTGCGAATGCACATGGTGGCTATTCCTAAAAACACGTATAAAGACCAGTTTCGCTGCCGTATGGCTGTACAGACTCCCGGCGATCAAAAAGTTTGGCAGCGCGACGCCGAAGCTGATCTTAGCCCAGAGGGGACTCAAGCTGAGAAGGCTGGGGCTCTGGACTTCCGCGCCGATATACCAGTATGTGACGGAGGCGAAAATGATGTAGAAGCCCGTGGCGACAATTTGCAAAACCCACGCCGCTTTCATGGCGTCCTGGGGGCGCCGCATTTCGGAGATGAGGATGAAGAACATGAAATGGCCCGCAAAGGCGAAGACGGGGTTCGTGATACTGATGAAAGCATCCGTGAAATTGGACGTCACGGCGATAGCAATATTCCCAGGTGCGATGGAGGATGCGCCAGCGCCGGCCATGCCCAGGATACCGGCGAGGATGATGGATGCGGCAGCCACGACGGAGATCCAGGAGATATTTCCTAGGGTGCGGGGGAAACTGAATATAGTGGTGATGAGGGATAGGATGCCGGTGAAGCCGAGCGCGCAGACAGAGTTGTTGGATAGGGTGCTGAGGGCGAGTTGGCCGGCGAGGAGCTGGCTTCCTGTTGCGCAGATGGCGAAGAGGATGGTGCCGCCGCCGAGTATCTCTCGACCGAGGGGGCCGAAGAGGATATAGCCCGCGTCGCCCATGTTGTGGACTTGGATAATTAGCACTTGTGATATAAACTGTGGTGGTTTGCATGGGAAGGGTAAGTGCTCATACCCTCCGGATGTCTGAGCTTGAACTGGATAAGTGCCCATGCCGTATAAGTCCCGAAGGCTCCCAGGAAGAATACAACAGCGACTCCTGGAACGATACCGACAGCCGCAAAGCTGCTAGGCAAGCTTAGCATCCCATTGGAAACGATCTCCGTGATCATAAGCATAGCGACCATTTTCCAGCTGAGCGTCTTGTATTTAATGTCGTGGTCCTCTTCGATACCGAATACATCTCCTGGCAAACCTACCACTTCTGCAATCTCGTCAATATTATCTTGTCCTGGTTTCACCATGGTTCCGTTCTCAAGTGGCGAGTTATTGCACGTCGTGTTATCGGCGCCCATAGGCGACACCTCGCTCTTCATGTTGAATTAGGTGACACAGTTCGATATGTTTCTGGGTTTGCAAAACTGGCGCAATCCTAACGACTCAATCACATAAAAATTTGGCGTTTCTCAATATCATTGTGCTGGCGTGCAGGTGCTGACTTCGGTGATCACCGGCGGGAGGGAGTCCTGTCTTACCGGTTCCGGAGCTCAACCTCCAACTGCCTTTTCGGGAGCGATCGTCAGCTCTAAGGGGGATTTCAACACAATCAGAGTTGCACTTAGCTTGTGCTGAAGTGTTCACATTATTGTTGATAAGCTCATGGTTTGTCGGAAACCTCCGTGAAATTGCATGACGTGAACATAAAGCTCCGGAGCCATACAGATGATCGCGATAAACGACCACAACTAGCAGGGATCATGAGATGCACACCCCTGCCGGCATTCAACTTGCTAGAAATAGAAGGTATTCTCCAAATAGAGCAGCTAGTGTCTACGAGGCTTAGGCCTGCCGCTCTCAGGTCTGAGTGATCGGCAGCTTCGAAGTCGAATAGTCACAGCTTGCATGCTGAATGTTTTCAGCCTATAAATTACCGTCCTGTCTAATGAGGCTAAACAGACGCTGAAGTGAATTGATTTAATTTTATATCTATGTTCACTGGAGGTTTGGGTTAATACATAAGCAACAGTTGACTATTAGGACTACTAAGATCAGTCATTCGTAAGTTTTGTAACAGCAGTTGAAACTAAACTACATTGCAATCCGTACCTTGGTAAGAAAGAAAGCATATGTTGTCCGCAGTTGGTAAGATTTTCTACTGGGGAATGATTATATAGAAACACTTTATGACTCTGCAGATATACAAAATTACGTTACGTGGAAGGGTCTATCCGCATCCCATACTAGCTTCTTCATTCTTCAACTAAGACTGTTTAGAACGCCGCAAAATAATTCTACCTATATCTCTTAGAGACTCCCTCTAGCTTGTACGGTTTCTAAGGGTTGTCTCCCAATAGATACAGGCCTGCTGCGAGCTCCCATCTTCATAAAGTTCTATCATCACTTGGGTACTCAATACACAATCTTGATCGGCACTTCAACTTCAACTTAATAATAACTGGTAGGTTCATTCTATGGCTACTCTCTTGAAGTTCTTCAGGATAAAGACACAACGTTATTGCCACCTTCTCTCTCTCTTCCAAAACTCATCCACTCGTTATTTATAAACCGCCAAGCAAATATTCGAGTTGCGAAGCCTATTCAACTAATTACACCTTACATGCAAAATACACTTCCACAAATACAGCACCCATGGTCCTCCGCATGCTGCTCGTTACAGTCCTCGCAACCCTCACCGGGGCCATCACCCTACCATCACAACATGCCCCCTCCTCCTCCATCCCCAGAAACGAAACCTCACACGGCGACCTAACCTGGTATACCAGAAGCCTCGGTTACCACGAGATAGCATGCGGCTCGATCCGGAAACAAACCGACTAAATTACTACGCTGGGCTCGGCCCACTTTGGGATTCACAGGAGTCCCCTGTGCGGCCAATTGATCTGCATGCGCCGTGGCGACGAAGAGATCGATATCGAGGTCACGAACTATTGTGTGGCTTGTGAGTGGGGGTATGTGGATGTGTCCCCCGTAACCTTTGACAAGTTAGCAGGTCCGGAGGAAGGGACGGTGGGGGTTGAGTGGCGGTTTATTGAAGGGGTTGACGAGAGGTTGGTTGGGGACAGTTCGATACTAGCTGTCTAGGGGGTTAAGATTAGTGTTTTGTACGGCGCCTCGTTGGAATTATAGCCGTGTCGATGGAGTGAGCTACTGACGCCTCCAAAAACTTTAGGACTGCATCAATACATGGATTCGTGCGTTGGAGACGGTCTTTACTGCTGATTTTCCTCGCTTCCGACAAGAGTATGTCAGAAGAAAAGGCAACAAACCTGAAGAGCCCGTCCGACGCCCGAGATGGACTCGGGAAGCTTGCATGCCTCCTGCCATCACCTTTAGCCTGGAAACAACAATTATGCTGCAAATATGTACTTCCATACAAGCTGTTGGACACTTCACATAGAGGGGGTTCTGACCGTTGGTTTAGGTCTCTGAGCAACTTGGGAATCTAGTGTAGTTTGATCTCGCGTGCTATTAGGGCCTGTGAAAAAATGAAATCAAATACTGTCCAATCGAACAATATATTGAATACTCTGCGTAAAGGCATGAAGCCCTTGTACTCGAGCCTCAAAGTTGTTGTAAATTACGTGGTGTTGCAGGTAGTGCAGTACGAGCCAAGCTACCCGGAAATTCGATGTAAGGGGCGCTCCCTTGCAAATTTTGGTGGTGAGCCCTAGCTGTACGAAGGTACCTTAGTGTAATAGTCGAACCCCACCAAAATCCCGAAATCGCAGCCAATGATTGCTGCGACAATGTCAGAAAGACCCAAGCTTTCGCGGGGAGTCGCATCTTGGCCTGCAAGTTCCGACATTCTCAGCGGTTTTTATTGCCGAAGTCGCCCAAAATTTCGAAACAGTCCAGGTGCACGGTGATCGGTGAGGCAGAGTTGACGAGTCACGCTGAACGAACCTGCGCCCTACTTATTGCCATGAGATCGTCATAAGGTCAATTGGGTAGAACTCCTAAATAAATTTTGTTTCCTTGCCAATTGGGACTTTGAGTGAGTTTACCCAACTCACCATGGCTTTCCACACCCTCCTCCGAGCTAGAGCTCCAGCAGCTCTTGCTCGAAGGGTTTTGGCGCCGTCGAAGCAGTATGCGTAGGTCAAATCCCTATTTCCTCTCTTCTATTCTTTGCTACCATAAGATGCAATATGGCTAAAACCCCTTCAGCCGTCTGCTCAGTACTTCCGCGCCTCGTCGATCCGACTCAAACGACCTGAACAAGATCTCGCGGTCCATCACACAACCCAAGTCGCAGGGTGCCTCGCAGGCTATGCTTTACGCAACAGGCTTGACGGATGAGGACATGTCGAAAGCCCAGGTGGGCATCTCGTCGGTCTGGTTCGAAGGAAACCCCTGCAATATGCATCTGATGGACCTGTCGGCAATCGTCAAGGGGTCAGTCACCAAAGCTGGTCTCATTCCCTACCGGTTCAACACCATTGGTGTCTCGGATGGTATCTCTATGGGCACAACAGGCATGCGCTTCTCTCTGCAGAGTCGCGAGATCATCGCCGATAGTATCGAGACAGTCATGGGCGGACAATGGTACGATGCGAACGTCTCCCTCCCCGGATGCGACAAGAACATGCCTGGTGTATTGATTGCAATGGGCCGTGTGAACCGACCGAGTATCATGGTCTACGGTGGCACCATCCAGCCCGGTTGCAGCAAATCGGGCGAATCGATTGATATCGTCAGTGCATTCCAAGCGTACGGACAGTACATCACGGGCGAGATCACTGAGGACCAACGGTACGACATTATCCGCCATGCCTGCCCCGGCAAGGGCGCCTGCGGTGGTATGTACACGGCCAACACACTGGCGACGGCTACCGAAACCATGGGCATGACTCTACCCGGGAGCAGTAGTTTCACCGCCGACAGCCCCGAGAAGAAGGCGGAATGCGAGAACGTCGGCGAGGCCATCAAGCACATTATGCGCGAAGGAATCCGGCCTAGCGACATCTTGACACGCCAAGCTTTCGAGAACGCCATGGTGGTGGTCAACATCATGGGCGGCAGCACCAACGCTGTCCTTCATCTGATCGCCATCGCCGACTCGGTGGGCATCAAGCTCACCATTGACGATTTCCAGGCCTGTAGTGACCGGACGCCTTTCCTTGCTGACTTGAAGCCTAGCGGCAAGTACGTCATGGCCGATATGCAGAAGATTGGTGGCACGCCGGCGCTGCTCAAATTCCTGCTGAAGGAGGGCATGATCGACGGCAGCGGCATTACGGTCACAGGCAAGACGATGAAGCAGAACATCGAGGACTGGGGGCGGTCGTTTCCCGACGACCAGAAGATTATCCGGCCTTTCAGCAACCCGATTAAGCCTACCGGCCACATCCAGATCCTGAAGGGCAAGCTGGCGCCCGGCGGTAGCGTGGGCAAGATCACCGGAAAGGAGGGTCTCGTGTTCACGGGTAAGGCGCGGTGCTACGACAAGGAAGACGATTTCATCGAGTCGCTCGAGAGGGGCGAGATCAAGCAGGGCCAGAAGACGGTTGTTATAATCCGGTACGAGGGCCCCAAGGGCGGACCAGGAATGCCGGAGATGCTGAAGCCCAGTTCGGCCATCATGGGCGCCGGCTTAGGCAAGGACGTGGCGCTACTCACCGACGGACGATTCTCCGGTGGCAGTCACGGCTTCTTAATCGGGCATATTGTTCCTGAGGCCATGGAGGGCGGACCGATCGGTTTGGTGCAGGACGGAGATACCGTCACTATCGATGCGGAGAAACGGGTTATCGAGTGTGATGTCAGTGATGAGGAGATGGAAAGACGGCGGAAAGAATGGAGGGCGCCGCCGCTCAAGTATAAGAAGGGCACGCTGACTAAGTACGCGAGGTTGGTGAAGGATGCTTCGCATGGCTGTGTTACCGATGGACAGTCATAAGAAGGCTAGTTTTGCTTGCGATGTATAGATGGAGAGAGAGACGTATATGTACAGAAAGTACCTACTTTTTATCGGTCTGGTCTGGTCTGGTCCGGAAAAAAGGCGCATTTTCAGATTTTTGTCTGCTGTGGCAAGCAGCTGGAAGAAATGTACTGGCCAAATTACTGCCTACGAAGTTTCAATATGCTTTTATGAAATTGTCCACATTCCCTCTCTCGTCTCTGGGGTATATTATCAAGGTCCGCGCTGTTAATGCATGCCAGCAGCAGAAGTAGTGCGAAGCAACGGACATCAGCACCAGCTTTTTGCGCCTTTCGCTCAAATCATCCTATCCCACCAAACAATTGCGCGTGGTGCGTACCTTGGTTCCTTTCTGGTTCCTACGCAACAGCCTGTGTCACGTAGGCGCATGGATTAAAAGCGCAACGCGATCAAGAACAAGGCCAATCCAGATACACAAACCATAAAACCCGAGAAAACCAGCGAAACCGTCGCCCTCAGCAAAAATCATCTGCGATTTTTGTTCCACGCCTCGACAAACGCCGCCTTGTCGCGCAGCGTCAGACCAACCCTTTTGTTCCGCGCCAGGCGGGCGAGCGCCTCCCCGATCTTATCCAGTATGCGCTGCTCCTCGCGTGTAGGTGTTTCTCCGTCTTCCGAAGCCGCACTGCTACTGCTGCTACTGCTCTCGCCCGGTTGATGATTTACGCCGTTGGGCTCGTTGGGTTTGTTCTGCACGGGCTCGGCGATGCGCACGCGGATGCAGTTCGTAGGGCGTGAGAGCAGGTTCCAGAGGAAGGTCGTCCAGGCGCCTGGGATCGGGGTCGTGATATCGTTGGGCGTGTACCGGATGCTGACGGGGAAGATGTTGTTGTCTGAGGGGGAGGCGAGCAACGAGGGGGAGAGGGGCATGACGCCTTTGCCGTTGGTAGTAGTGCATTCAGGAAAGACGACGACGGCGCGGTTGGGGTTTGCTTCCATGATGGCGCGGATCGTGGTCAGTTGTTTGGGATAAGGAGCATCGAGCTGTTGCTTCACAGGCGCCAGAGCGAGGAGGGACGCCCGTTGCAGCGAGATGCGCTGCACTTTGCGCGTGTGCGGGAAGCTGGCCACGAAGATGGGGTCGAAGATGGTGGCGAGGTAGAGGGCGTCTATGGGCGAGGTAAAGCTCGCGGCAATAATGGAGTTGGGCCCTGGCACGCGCGCCACAGGTTGTGAGGATAAAGAGCCGCGCTTTACGCCGTCCAGTTGCAGATCTACCCACCAGATGCCGGGGATGCCGAGCATGCCCCAGAGGAGGACCTTGCGGACGAAGAGGGGCAGGGGCAAGTGGGTGAGGATTAGAAAGTAGACGGTGGCGAAGAAGAGGAAGAGGGGCAGCCGGAAGAGGAATATAAAGGTGTGTAGGATGAGCGTCAGGGTTGAGCTTGGGTTGTTGTTGGGAATGAAGGGCGAGATGCCTGAACCGCGGTCGCGGTATTGGGAGTATTTCTCCATGGTGGTGGTGGATGGGGTGTGGATGGTGGTTCGCAAGGTAGAAGATGGCCGTTGATGCAAGTCGAGACCTGAAGAGTCAAGGCTGCACCAGATGACCGCATTCGTGAAATGTTCAGAGTGACCAAGTGGCATGTGTTCGTCAGAAGCATGTGAAGACAGGCCAAGACGCTTGGGCCATGTTTGACTTTGGTGACTGTTGGTGGGAAGTTGTCAGATTGACATTGGTACTGTCGCAGGCGAAGCTGTCACTGGTCCACGGGTCAATCTATGAAGTTCGAAACAATTTGCTCAGATGTCAAAAGCACCTGCATCTTGTACCACAATGCTTAAGTCAATCAATATGTACTCCCTACCATTCTCTACCCTTACCTGCTTGACGTGACACTCGGCATTCCTACGAAGAGAACGCCCCACGTGAGCTCGTAGCGGGGTCGGCACACGGACCACTTTGACAACGTCGAAAGACGTTGGCAGTTCTGGGTCCGTGCTCGTTGCCGGCGCAACTTCCCTTGCCAGAAATCAACAAGGAGCAGCAGACTTGTGCAGCCAATCGATGAGACGTGCACAAATGAGGTGGTTGAGTTATCCTTTAATCCACTTCGAAAACACTCGGACTCACTTGCGAACGCGCGCATACATTCAAGGAACGCCATCATCATCTGTGACCTTCCTTGGTCTAGTAGGGTATTTCATCCGTCAAGACGCCGCCAAACCACAATCGCGCTGCTGCTTTGCCTTCTGCAGCTTGGCTCCTTGCTTCATTTGCTGCCATCACCCTCGTCATCCGCGCTCGTGAGAGCATCAAGAGCATCAACCCCATGGACGCAGAAAACTCGGTATGTGCAATCGTACTGAGCACCAGGCCGCATTGAGCTCAACAGCTTCGAGGTTAGGAGAAGCGATGAAAGCTGACTTTGTACACCACAGCTCCCTAAGCCCTCGGGTCTACGACCGCCCAGCACCACCCGATTACCACAGCTTTCATCGTCAACAACAGCAACATTTACCGCCCAATCCGGCCTTTTGCAAGAGATGACCGACTCCCAGAACAACACCAGAGCTCAGCAGTCCAGTATGGGTGCGCCGTCCAACGGGCTAAAGCGTGGATTGGCCCCTCCAAGTACGAATGACACACCGCCGTCCAATATGACTAGTTGCGCCTGCTCACATGATGGAAACACAGTTTCGCAGCCCGAACCGAAGCGCAAGACTTTGGCCGACAAGGCAGGCACCGACTTCCCGGGAAGCAGGATCCACAAGGCAGCCCCGACGCCTGCTAGAAGCATAGTCAAGGGCGCGTCTTTGAAGGATATGGCACATGTAAGTGGCAGCTTCCCTTAGCTTCTCAAGTTCAAATTCACCTTCCCCGGAGTCGCGCAACACCCAGCAGCCACCTACTGCGAACCACGATTGTACCTCACCTCGGATTCTGGGCATTGGATATGGACGGCTCTGCATCATTCATCATTCGTTTGGACTCAACACAGTATGGCGCTTCCGGATATTACCTTTCGAACTTTACTATTTGCTCTCCTGGTGGATGGAATCTACCGGCTGTGCACGCATTATTACAACAGAACATACCGTTTCGTCCTTCGCACCCGACAGGCTGTGTCCCACGACTACCTGCAGCTCAAGCGCTTCGTGTTTGCGATCCTCCTCGCAGGGACCGTCTGTCCCCCTGATTTCCCTCCAGACCCTCCACCGGAACCTCCACCGCCTCCCTCTGTCCTCCTGAAAAGCGCCGTATCCTATGCCCTTACACGAGTTCAAGACTCCATCGCGGAATGGACACTATTCGGTCTATCCGGGCGAGCAAAGAGCCTCAGTCTGTTCGTTACGTGGTTGAATAAAGAAATGCCATATGGGAACAGGATCTCTCTGCAGCTTGACGCCCGGTTCCTGAACCACAGCACCGACCAACCGCCAGAAACCCAGGAGACTGAGGAGTGGGAGTACTTGAAAGTCTCTGCCCACCCACTCCAGTCACGCGATGCTATCACCACTGGTTCTTCATGTGGAATTGGGTTTTGTGAAAGTGCTGACTGGGGATATTACCAGGTTAAACCCTCGGTACCCGTACCTCGAACGATTTCCTCCTACGGCTCCAGCACGTCACGCCAAACCTCAAACAGCAGTTATGCCAGCAGCATAGGCCCGAGCAGCCGCCCGTCGTCCCGCCAGGCAAGATCCGCCAGTGTGCGGTCCGGTGCCTCTAAGAATGGCCGCCCCGCGACATCGATGGCAATTCGAGAAGAGGATCAAGGCAACGGTATGATGCTCCCACCATCAACAACAGAGCGATTAGCAAAGAAGCCAAGTTGCAGCGCTTTGCCTGTCAAGAAAGTGCGGAAGTACAACTCCGTACAAGATATGTTGGCAAACTACAACCCTCTTCCCACAGAACGAGAAGTCTCTATCTGCAAGCAGTTTGACGCACTGAACATTCAGGGTTCGAACTCGACGAACGGCTATAGATATCAAGTGAATTCTACACCCACCACACCTCCGCCAACCTCTCGCAGCGCTATTTACCCGAACGTCACCATGCGCAATCGGGGACATAGAGCCGGCGAGCAGTTGGTGGTGCCGGATCGCGAGCATCAGAACGGCCCAGTGGTTCCCAAGACACCCTCAAGGAAGGACTTGGAGCAACAGGCATCGCGATTTGACAACGCGGTGAAAGCTCTGAAAACCCCACGCCAGTGGACTCCCTCCCCTACCAAGAGCTCCTTTTTGACTAGACATTCTAACACGACTGGGTTTGTAGCCTGGGACGTCGATGAGAGACTAGGGAATTTTGAATCCGAGTTCAAGGCCATGAAGGACATGATCAACAACTCCATCAGCGGCCAGAAGAGTTTGGAGGAGGACGTCGCTGCGGTCAGGTTAAAAGGTGAGTGTCCCGAGCAAAGTCCCAGTCTTTCAGACTAACCAGACCACAGCGAGCGAGCTTGAACAACTCCGAAACGACCTAGAAACGAAGAAATCAGAACTACAAACCGAATTAGACGATGCCGAGCGGCGAATATTCACCCTCACGCGTGAACTGGAGGACGAGAAGAGAGCTCGGCGTAATGACCTGGAAGACTTGATGAGAAACCACAGGAACGATGTCGACAACAGAATGCGGGAATTCAGTCGCGAGAAGGACGACTTGGAGAGAGCGGCGAGAAAACGCCTGGACGATGCCAAAGAGCAACTGGCCAACGATTTTGCAAAACAGCTGGGTGAAGCGCACAAAGCATTTGAGGAGCTGGAGAAGATGCTTGAAGAGGAGAGGAGGACCGCAGCCATGCGAGGTGAAGCGAATGGCAAAGACCTGGAGCTGCAGATGGCGCAACTCGACGACACGAGAAAGGAGCTGGACCGCGCCCGGAAAACTCACGACGACCTCAATGCTTTGATTATGCGCAAGGAAGCTCGCATTACCGACCTTGAGCACCAGGTGCTGGAGGGTCAGAAGGCACTCGTACATCTCAAGGGAAATGAGCAAGAGCAACTGCAAAGTTTCAAGAAGATGAGTGATGAGAAGCAGGCAGCGCTGGACCAAGCGGCGGATGCGTTGAGGCAAGCGGAAGAGGCGAAAGCGAAGTTGAGAATCGAAGAATCACGGCGGCGGAAACTTTTCGAGCAACTCCAAACCCTCAAAGGCAACATTCGAGTCATGTGCCGCATTCGGCCCGGTCGTAATGAGACGGGCAATGCTGAGATCAAGACTGAGTTAGGAGACTACGACGATCACATGGGCAAGATGACGGTCATGGTGCCCAGCAACAAGTACGATGGCCAGGAGGTCCTTCAGCCGAAACAGTACGATTTTGAGCGGGTGTTTGAGCAACATGAAGGCAATAGAGCTGTCTTCGAAGAAATCAGCCAGCTCATCCAGAGCGCACTGGACGGTCAGCGTGTATGCATCTTCTGTTATGGCCAAACGGGTTCTGGCAAGACCTACACTATGAGTTCCGGCGAAGGTTCCATCATTCCCAACTCCATCAAGATGATCTACGAGCAGGCTGAAGCCCTCAAGGATGCCGGATGGTCTTACAAGATGTGGGGCTCCTTTACCGAAGTGTACAATGAGAAACTCTTCGACCTCCTTGGGGAGGACGGGACCAGGAACCAGGTTGACCTCCGCCAGGACCCTGCGACCAAGAAGTATTTCGTTGACTCGAAGCCCACGCTCTTGGAATCCCCTGGCGAAGTGGCAAGCATGCTCCAGACAGCTTCCAAGAACCGCATTACTGCAGCGACCAAGATGAATCGCGAGTCGTCGCGCTCGCACTCCGTCTTCACGCTCAAACTCAGCGGCGTCGATATTGAAGGCAACACGAGCGAGGGTGTCTTGAACCTCATTGATTTGGCGGGATCTGAGCGCATCAAGGACTCGCAGGTTGAAGGCGTGAACCTCACGGAAGCCACAAGCATCAACAAGAGTTTATCTACGCTGAGTCAGGTGATGATGGCGTTGGCAGAGCAGGCGAGCCATATTCCGTATCGTAACTCGACACTCACGAAGCTGCTGGAAAGCTGTTTGGGTGGGAGCTGCAAGACGCTTATGTTTGTTATGATCAGTCCGCTGAGTGATGATATCAAGGAGACGGTTAGCAGTTTGGAGTTTGCTACGACGGTAAGTTCAACCTGTTTGTTTCCTGATTCGACCCCACAGTCACTCGCGGCCGCTCTCCCCCCCCCCCGCCCCCCAGCCCCCCTCAGGGTCCGATTGTAGTGCTAATTCTCGTCGTCAGGTGTCGAAAGCGAAAACCAGCCATCAACCAGGGGCTCTCAAAGCAGTAAAGACTGGAGGTAGCAAGTTGGCAGCGCCAAAGAAGAGATAAGAAACTCTTCGATGCGCATGTCTGACAGGAGCAGCCTCCGCTTCCCCGTCGTCACCGCCATCGCGTCGCATTCGTGCATGATTTTCGTCATCAAAGCCAAGTGAGAAATGACCATGTTTAGAAAAATACCTACCCTTGTTGGAGTTGTTGGCATGTGGGCATGCATTGTATTTTTGTCTTTGGTTTTTGGCCAAATATGGGGCGTCCAGAGAACACACAACTATCATTGGCAGGCTGTTGTTTTCAGCTTCTAGTTCTCGCTTTTTATATTGTGGTTTTGAGACAATTTGTGGTAACGGACAGCAAACAGCTGCTTTGATCGAGTTCTTGGGCGAGGGATTCCAGTACCATAAGGAGCGATGAGGCCGCAGGTGTAGGGGGTGTAGGGACGGTGGGGGCGGTATATTGTATTCGTAACCGCGGTAGAGCTGCGACTGTTGCGGGACTCTGAACGCGGATAGTAGATACTGAAGATACAAATTCCCATATTACCTTCCGATCGTGGTTATGTGTGTGTGCTTGTTTGGGGTTCTTGGTGTCCTGCACACGAGTCTTTTTGAAGGCACAGGACGAGTCTCTAGGGATAAGATCTAATCTGTCAGACCACGAGAGTCGCCTATTGATGTGTGATAATTGTCCGATGAACCCAATTTCTGGACCGATAAATGGGGCTGCAATTCGAACATTTACTTGAAGGGGACTCGAGAAGACACGCGGTCGTCGTAAGTGCTTACCCACGGTTCCATCCAGCCTCCATTTTCCCTTGTAAGTGCGTCGCGTCCCATCTTGCTCGTCGGTCGGTTCTGACGACTTTTTATGTTCATGACTGGTAGCTGAGTTATAAGAGTACAATTTGGAGCAGTGACGGTAGAGGATGGCAAAGACTCGATAATCGGGATTCAGAGGCTCGTTATGCTTATGCGTTAGCTCTGGATCGCAGGCACCGACGCGCCATTTTCTGATGATTAGCACTGTCACGAGGAGTTCCCAAGGGCTTGAATGACAGCTGGACATGTTGCCTCCTTGGTCTTACAGAACCGAATTTATGTCGTGCTACATGATGAGGCGCATGCTTGGTCCTGTCCTGCGGACAAGCTCTCATCCACCCATTGTACTCCTCATATACTTGAATCTTCTCCCAGCGGAGTGATTGATCTTGTACCTCTACCTCATCATCAACCAATAGTACACACTCCACAGAAAGTTTTGTTTGTTTCCCAGGGCTAAACAAGAGCAATGGTATCCGAATCGTACCTCTTCACAGGCGGCTGCGGTCTCCAAGGCAGCTCCATCGTCTCTGTCCTACGCTTCCGCTACCCCTCGGCCCCCATCGCCATACTAACCCGCAACCCAACCATCAAACTCTTCCCTGGCGTGCCCTACCACTACGCACATCCCCTCCACCTTCTCTTTCTCCAATCCTACCATCGTCTTCCACTGTGCCGCCACCCTCACCGCAACGCGGAAACGCATGTCCAACGATATAGTGCGGTTTATCAGCGCAGATGGCACCCGGCTCGCGCTAGAAGCTAGTAGATAATTTAGTATTTGTTTTTACCAGTTTGAACCAGCTGAAAGCTTCTCAGCGAATAACGGAATCAATGGCGCGCCGAGTGAGCCGGTGGCATGGTCTAGTACTCCAGTGTAATAGACAAATATGACACCTGTGTCATCTTATGATTCCATTTAGGGCTGTGTCTATTTGGTCTTTCCGATATTTTTACAGGCCAGTGCTGCTTGGAGTTAACTGGCAGCTTGCATATACTACGTGCAGTTTACAAGAATGCATCAATATATGTTGTCACTCCTACATGGTACAATGCTTGAGCAGATGGGCATTGGGGTTGCTGCTGGAGTGTCTGATTGCATATTTACACTACAGTGGCATCAGATAAAGTTTTTATTAACAGTATGTATAAGCTTTGCATCTTCATGCTAGCTAGTGCTAGTCGCGACAAGCTATGTGTCGCGAGTATTTTAAGTACAGAGTGAAGGACGAGAGTGCTAGAGAGAAGTCGGCTGCCAGTCACCAGGTGGGTACCAGCAGTGCAGTTTAGGGGACTCAATAATGAGTAGTTAATCAAGTGCGAATAACATGCATAGATACCTTAGCAAGGCAGATCGAGAACCCGAAGAGGCGCAGGTAGGCTTTCAAGCCTCCCGCGGCAGGTACACCAACGGCGCCTCTTCGCACGTCATGTGCCCCCGCGAAGGTTGCAATGCTGGGCTCACACGCCCTAGCCAGCGGTCAAATAACCGGCAAACCAACTAATCCGAAGCAACTTCACCCCGATTTGAATCCAGAGACCCAAATATATATATATATACCTACGCGGCAAGGGTCTGATCTTCGACGGGTACATTAAAAGGTGAAGTAGGCCTTTTCCAAAATATAGTCCTAGAAGCGCAAAGAAATGCAATTATCCTCCGGATCTTTCTCGAAAGATTCTACCCGCATAAAATGCACTATCGTAACCACTCCTGGGCATGTGCGTGAAGATGGGGGCCGGTTAAGTATAGGGTACGGTGCAGTGTTCTCATTGCTATAAGCTATTACTTCTAAGACTTTAGCACGCTAGACCAGGTAGCAGACCTCAATACCAGTGACCGAACCGAAATGTCCACCGGAATCAAGTAGCAACAAAAGGATCATTATGATCATGAGATGATCCAAATAATGCAGCAAAATCAGTTAAGGAAGGACGGATATACAAAGGTAAGCTTATCCCGCATCTTATAGTCAGAAATTGCTTCAATTATCAGTCTAAGTATCAATCTAGACCATCGGTAGGACTTATTGTCCTGATAACTAGCAATGTCAAGCATTTCAACTCCATTTACATATTCAGCTTAAGAAGTTAAGTAGGGCTTGTTAATCGTGCAAAATGTTACTTGCCTAGCATAGACCCTCGATCTAGTTCGTCACATTTGGTCCCAATGTCCGTAGTCCTCAGAGTATATTTAACTCACCTCTCAACTTAGGATAAAACCCTTCTTCAGGTCTTATGGCAGATCTTTTCTTTCCTTTTCTTTCTTCTTTATCAAAATCTAGATCATTTCTGGACATCATAAGTCCAAGTGTACTTCAATAGTACCTAGAGAAATGCCGTAATTACCTCATATTATAATATACCTCTGAAAGCCCGCTGGATCTGGCTTGGGATAGACAAAATCAATCGAGTTCTCCCTGTATTTGCATAGTACAAACAGTGGCACAGAAAGGCATATCCAAGGGAATATCTCCAGTAAACTGAACAGGCTCATACATGCACTACAAGGTACCAATTTGCTAATTCAACCCCAAAAACTAGCGCGGTTTTAGTAGAAATACTAGAATGTTTGACAAGATTTAAGACAGCAAGTGCCTATACGTTAGCTTCCAACTTATACAGACGCTATGTCCCACTATAAGTTTGTACCAGCTGAGTGCAAATGTTATTTAGGGCTACACCCTTCGTGTGCTACAAATAGGTAGTCCTGCAGGGAACCAGTATAGTTGGCATTTTCTCTTTTCAATAAGTAGTTATCAAGTAGTCACAATACTACCAACTCCACCTCAGATACTTCCGTCTGATACACTGAATTGCTGTGAACCTAGAGTAACAAGTGAAACACAGTACGATGTTTCCTCCAATATCTTCCGCTGTATTTTATTCTGCACTTGCGTACGACGCTCCTTTTCTTAGGCATCTTTCGTTTTGACATGCACTATTCGAAACGGAGCTATTTTCGGCGAGCTTCAGAGCCTGCTAGAACGCCGTAGAATATTCTAAATCATATGGAGAAATGTTATATATTTGAGGTGACCCCTGGAACCCTCCTATGGGCAATGAGTTTAGAAGCATCAAGTGAAGAAAAGGAGGGAAAATACGGAACACTTTTGTTCAATAAATATGGTAATTAGTTATTTTTTCTGCAAGAGTTTGCATATCCAGACACGTCCCGATGGGCACCCAATTGCAAAAGCTCCTAATAAAACAGTCCAAGCCGAGGGCCTATAGTTAAGAGGTAACCAAATCAGGTTCTCATCGTCCCGTACAATCCAATCTCCATTTATACCATAAATATAGCTGTTAGTAAATTCTTGATGACCAATAGCTAGAATACCCCGGTATAGCATAGAGTCCATTAACATGTTACGAAAATTTTTAATCCCCAAGCCGTCATGGCCCTTGAATGTCTGTACGCAGGCGCCGCTGTTCGCATCCCAGAGCCTGACAGTCCTGTCATTAGAGCCCGAGGCCGAGATGGCCACCGAATTGACCTCGAAGGTCTGTGCGCAGGCACCACTGTTCGCATCCCAGAGCTTGACAGTCCTGTCTCTAGATTCCGAGGCCAGGCGGCTGCCGTCGGGCGAGAAGGTCACCGAGTGGATCCAGTCGTTATGGCTCTCGAAGTTCTGTACGCAGGTGCCGCTGTTCGCATCCCAGAGCTTGACGGTCCTGTCTCCACCCGAGGCCAGGCGATTGCCGTCGGGCGAGAAGGCCACTGAGTCGACCCCGCTGTTATGGCCCTCGAAGGTATGTACGCAGGCGCCGCTGTCTACATCCCAGAGCTTGACGGTTCCGTCAAAAGAGCCCGATGCCAGGCGGCTGCCATCGGGCAAGATAGCCACCGAGTTGACCCAGACGTTATGGCCCTCGAAGGTCTGTACGCAGGCGCTGCAGTTCGCATCCCAGAGCTTGACGGTCCCATCTCTAGAGCTCGCCGCCAGGAGGCTGCCGTCGGGCGAGAAGGTCACCAAGTGGACCTCGTCGTTATGGCCCTTGAATGCCCGTACGCAGGCGCCGCTGTTCGCATCCCAGAGCTTGAAGAGGAGCATTGTCAATTACCCATCTATTATGAAGAATAAATCGGTACGCATCGTATACTAGGTCCAAAGTACGGAGTCGTCCAATTCCTGCTTAGAATGATTAGGATACCCTAAAGCAGAGACGGTATGATATAAGACTTACTCGAAGGAAAGCCCTAAGTTTTGTTATCGCAGCTACACCTTCTGGCAGACTTCTTAACAAACCAAGAGCTTCAAGCCAGTAAAGAAATTTACCGCGTAGAAATTTAGAGAGTTCAGTACCACTATCGCATTGCATTCCGTCTATGTCGTAGATGGTCAGCCCAGTAAATGCAAGAATAGCGGACGGTGGCTAATGGATCTGGTATGGGCGGCTGAATCTGCTCGATAAGGCATCCTGGATGCTGCAAGCTGTACAAATCCCGGTGGAGTGTGCTGGACAGTATCTGGAGTGATCTCAAGAAGACGGCGCGGTGCTCGTGCTTTAATCCAAGTGGGAAAAGTTGATCGTCCGACTTCTTGAGTAAGAAGTCCTTCGCAGACTGATGGACAAAGTGAACTGTTTCCTCTCGAACATTCAAGAGACAGCCACAGCTTGTAATAACTTTTTCAAATTCCGGGAGATTCTCTGAGAAACCTTGTAGTGATTCGTCGAGGGAAACCAGTTCCTGCAAGGTTACAGGGCGATATACGACCGATACGACAGCCAGAACCCGCTTGTAGAGATCTGCACTGCTTGAAGAATGGATTTGTTGTAGCATTCGTTCGTAAAGTGTATCCAGACCTGGTAAATATGTTCTTAGGGCTTTATGCGTTTCAAATGACATAAGTTTTTCCAGCTCTTCACAGACTAAGGCTACCCAAAGGAACGTATTATTCGCATTTGAGGACAGGTGATCTCGAATAGCGCGTGTTGTTGCATCTTTGTAGTTCTTCATTGATGCCAGACGATCCACCTTGTAGTTGTTGTATATATCAACAGCAGTAGCCACAGACTCGGCATTCAACTCCAGTGATAGTCGAACTCTCTGTTTAGCCGTATTGAATTGCTCCTCGATCTGTAACCAGTTGCGACTAGAAACGATCCACTTCACTTGGGAAGATACGGAGGACTTTTGGATGATAAACTTGAGAAGCTGCAGCAAACCCGTCTCACATTCATCGACCGCGTCAATGATGAGATAGGTGCTCTGTAGCGCCGGGTTTTGCAGGATGTCGGAAAGAATCTCGGATAGGGCTACCCATGCGTTTGCATCCTCAAACAGCTGTTTGCCCGCGTGATCGTACATCTTCCTTATATGGGAGATGAGAGACGGCTGCTGTTCGACAAGCAGAAAGACAAGGCCTCGTAGTACGGCGGTGGCATTATTAATCCGCGAGTCGGTAGCCTGGCAGAAGAAGAAGGATAGATTCCCACCTTCAGTGTTCGACTTTAGCTTCTTATCCAACTCTTCAATGATACCACAGAGCAGCATTGTCTTCCCCTTACCAGGATCACCCTTGATCCAGAGCAAGCGGCTTAGTGGGTCGTCACGCCATTGAATGAAATAGGCATGTTCGAGGATCCAGCGGTACGAGTCTTCCAGCAGGCCACCCTTTGCATCTTGGATGCGCGTTTTGTCGTGGCGGGGATCGGTGGATCTTAAGTCTGCGAGGCACTGATTATGTCTTGCTCCTTTCATTCGTTAGTACTTGTCACTCCAGTGCGTAGTCGAGCGTCTCGTACCAAAATTTGCGTCTCCTCTGATGGTGATGTTTCCCGAGCCTACAAGTTGAATGCCGGTTCCGTGATGCTCCGCTTGCATAGCACGCTCGCTTGCCTGTCGCTTCCCTGGTCTGTCGCTAACGGCCAAGTCGTGCTCTTGTTCATCAGAACGGTGTCTCTTGCATGCGCTACCCATAGTGCGACCGTTTGGGTGACAGCAGTATTGCGATAGTTAGGATGGCAGCTGTTCACCTGGTGGCGCCCGACGCTGTAATCAAGCTTCAGGGATGTCGACCGCATATTCAACTAGGACCTGATTCAGCAAGTAGTCTAACTGTAACAGTATCATGTGCTGTGCGGGGCTATGAGGCATCTATGATTGGGGCTTATTTCAGGTTCGCTGGGGTGCACGGATCCCAACACTACCACAAGACTGTCAGATAGATAGTGACGTATCTTCTTGAGCTGATCTTGTTCAAGTAAAATACTCATTTGAACCTTGTGGCCTCAGGCACTCCATATACATGGACTAAAACTCTGAAGAAAACGATCTCTGTACGTTGTTCCATTTTCGTTGATGGCAGTTTAGCCCGAAGCACCACAACAACTCCATAACTGTGCCGCACCAGGCTGAACCACGGCTCAGGTCTCCATACGACTATGGGATTTTCTGCGGGAAACTTTCGGGGAATGCATAGAGCTGTTGTTCGGCGGCAAGCGGTCGCACTTTCCTGCAAGGTTACATGTTGGCTGGCATTCCAGTAACGGCCCTGCGCCACAGGACGCAAGCCATAAGTTAACATCTCTCTGCTCCTGTGTTTGTTTCGATGCGTCCAGTCGTCCAGGCCTAGTGGTATTCTGATTTGATTTTGTTTGCTTCTGTCTGGTAGTGGTCGCGTCGCACATCAACTTTGCTTGCGTATCTTGTAAAATTATTTCTTTGAAGGTAGGAATGAGTGTTTTCTTACTCTCTTTCAATTTCATTTTCCATGCTCTTACTTGTGCGTAGATACAATACTGTAGCGCGCGCCTTTCATACGCTCGAACATCCTCTACTTAATAGACCTTTCAGTAACTATCTTGTCAATAGATTCTGCGCTATTAACAACCAGACGGTAACGCCTAGGATTTACGTAAAGATGAGCACCACGGCTCCGGTGGACACGTCTATGGCTATGAGGACAGTTTGAGCGGCCGTTTAAGCCTGCTGAATACCTAACCCGGCGCTAGCTCCAAAAATAAGCGGAAAGATTATCTATTATGCGACGAGTAACCAGGCTTCCGAAGCAGTTATGAGGGAGGTGCCGGTAAGGAGAATAGCGGCGCTGAGTATCATAAACGGGGTATAGTAGCCCGTTTTCGTACGCTAAACCCGATGATGAAGGAGAACAGCAAAGTATCTCAAGTAGTAGGCAGAATACGGGTTCCTAAATCGAAGACTATCGCGCTCCTGCCACTCGTAGTACCGGTTCTCATGTCGGTCTAAATTCAGAGATCAGAAAGGAGGAGGCAGATCGCCCGTGAAGAACTTACGGTGCGGTGTTCTTGAGAGCCCACGTGGCCGAAGTGGCTCCGGAGTGACTTCTCACCGGTGAGGAATGCCTCAACTAGGCGATAGTGGTGAAACACGTCATATGAATCGCCGCATTGATAATTAAAATAATTCTTTCCATTTAAGAATTACCAGAGGTTGTGTAAACCTAGATTACCATCCCGGGCTTAGATTTGCAGACTTGACACACCAGACTGTAAGCCCGATGCCAAAGAACTTAATAACATGGCTATCCACCAGTTATTAAGTGTTCGGCATATAGAACAGAACGCTTTGGACTTCCCAGATGAGGAGAAACCGACGGTTAGCCCAATATAAAGTCACTTTGACAGTGTTTAGAATTGAATAGCCCCGGGTTGGCATAAAGCTATTTTAAGTATGTGATCCTAGGATCTAACATCGCAATAATATAGTTAAAGCAGACAAAATTCGGCTAATGTGTAGGCGTGAATAAATTAGTTTCGGTATAATTTCCTCCATCTCCAAACCGGAATCGACTGCATCTACCTCCAGGTCTGATATGTTCGTCATATTTCTTTTCTAATATATCTCGTAATGATTGCACCTATTCCTATCCAGAAGCAATATATGCAAAGTCTCAGAACGAGTAACTGCCATACGTTTGGAAAAACTCCCACTTGTAGCTATCCCCTAAAGATCTGTTAACATAATTTTAAGGAGATGATTTCGATTCATATGGTACATACAGCGCTGCATTTATTATCCCGATCACATTTAGATAATAACTTAGCATCCTATGCCAGATTAAATACGCTGCTTTTATCCAAATTTTCAAGAAACGCCTATTGTCCAGATTAACTAACCCCGCCTGAATTAGGATTAGCATAAGGAAGACTATTCCAACAGTCTTATAAGCTAGAAAACGGATTGTCTAGCCAGAAGTTAGAGGGGTTCCACCGTATTTTAAGCAGCTTTTGAACCTCATTTCCTCAGCCCAGATTGCAAGACACACCTGCTTATGTGTTGAAGACAACCAAATACGTATAAAAGCTGAAAGAAAACTAATAAACTGGATTACATTTGGAATCCCGAATACAGATGAAAGGCAAACTGTCGGCCGAAGAGACTCCCCAAGATACCGGATGGCTATATAACCAGAAACACAAGTAATATAACTAACCTATATGCCCTCCAGCGCGAGCATATGACACTGCAGGTTTTCCCTCCTATGCTCTAATGTTAATTCTATCCCCAGTGAATGAGAGCGATGTCCCCGGCGGGAGGTCGTTGGATTTGGTAATGTTATCGAAATTCCCTGCAGGAGACCCATGAGTTAACTTTTCTTTTTCCACAACAATGAAAGAGAAAGAAACCCAAGTCCAGAATCAAAAAAAACATATATACCAGTAACTGAAGATACTCCCCGTGGGCAATGTGCGTTTTCAAATGTTCTTCCGCATTACCAGACGGGAGATGCTGGTGATCGTTGGCGGACCAGCTATAATTTTTGAGACTACCATAGTTTGCAATGTCCGATCCCAGTGAATGTCTATAGAATTTCTATTTCACATCGGCGATTTAATAGCGTTCGTTGTCGACATATGTTCCTATAACCGAAATACTTCTATGGTGTTCTGATATTTTTGGTGGGTGATGACCGCTGCTCGTCTTAGCTGTAGCTATTTTACATGTGTGGCTGGCTAATGTACCTCGACCTTACACCCATATAAGGCCTAGGCTCTGTATATTTCCAGCTAGGGCCTCTTGTTTGCCGATAGCGAGCCAAGCTCAAATACCCGCCGAATGTCACGGCTGGCTTCGTTGCCATAGGCTCTCCTTTCAGAAGCTCAAACATGTAGCTTATCGCCGATATAATTGCGCAAGTTGTGGCCTTAATCATTCCCACCGTGGGATTACCAAAAAATTAGCGAAAGATGGGGATTCTCTGTAGGGAAAGCTAAATCGTTTCTTCGCGCTGCTTGAAAAACTGCAAATAAAAACTGAAAATATCTTTATATTGCTTCTTTGAACTCTACGAGACGGACTTCGTATACCAGAAGGAAGCAAAGGGATCGTAAGTCGGGGGAAGTGACTATAATTTAAGCTTGTTATAAGATATGAGCTAACTGCTACTATAACAGGTCGTACCAGAAGCGTCAGCTTGTATTTCCGGCCAACGGCGTGGACTTGAAATTGATCATTTAAAAATGAACAAGTTCTCAGACCCAAATGATAGATCTTTCAGCTTTCAGAAAAGTCTCGGATGCAATCTTCGAGATATATACTGATCGGAACAACGTAATAAAACGCCTGAATGCTTATAGGTTTGCACAATTAGCACTAGAATCAATGTAACCCTGCTAGCTCTCAGGACATCCTGTAGCATGGTCCCGTTTCGGCGCAATAAGGGCTTCGTCGGGCGCGAGTCCATTGACTCCGAGCTGCTTCGGAGGATTCCCCCGAGACAACAGCTAAGTTTCAAAGTACCAGGCATTTTACAGAGATTTGCAAGCTAACAAGTCTTACAGGGGGTCCTACAGGGCTAGCAGGGACCTCCAGCCCCTTCGAATTGCCTAAAAATACGGCTGTCAGGGACCCTAGCACGGTCAAAATACCTATTTAAGCCTTAGTAACCGTAAACCAACCAGGTCGCCTAACCAGGGCCTCTGGTGAGGTTAGCATCAGTAAACAAAGTCCGGAGAATGGTTAGGGTATTCCTCACCAGTTTGGCATAGTGAAGTTGTTCCGACCCTTGCTTAGTGTTTGGTTCTTTAATGATGAAGTGTTGGATAAAAACCACTCAGGTAGTAGGATTCGCAGCTAAAAGTAGACCGGTTTCGAAATATAACGCAGTAACCAGCTCTAACAGAACATAATTGTCAGGAATCTCCATGATGTAGACGTGTCGGTTGACCAGTCGCGCTCTGGCTGCTCGAAAATATCTGGAGCCAAGCCATATATCCTACTAAAGGATCAGGAGGACCCTAGAAAGTGCATGTTCAGACAAGAGCCTTCCTGGTTTCCATAGTAGACAATATGATAAATGCTATTCAAAATCGGGTTCTCTATAAAATGAACTCGATGGGTCGAGAGTTTCATTTGGGATTATTAGAATCGGCGCATCAAAAAGTGGAAATATAACCCCCGACGGCCCAAGTTTGGAGTTACTTGAATTAGATAACTGAAACTTATACCTGTTAAACCGTCTTGAGAGGCCGCTGGACTGTGTGCACTTGCTCTACGCTGATGACTACGAGTATCTTGATAAGAGAATAAGATTAGACATCTGAAGTCGTTGTGTGAATTCCGACGTGGCCCTGGATGCTTTAGGTGTGGCCAGGGTTTGTTATATCATTCCGTGATAGTTCTCCTCATAATGAAGTAGCATGAGAAGCGGACCAAGTAGCTCGAGCTCACCCGAGCATATGCAACTGTACAATTCCCACGATATATATCCCTAGTCATAGCTATATATCTATATCATCTCCAATAATACGCCTCGCCTTCAAGGTATATTCGGTGGAACCAGGGCTACAAGTGCCCAGAACAATGCTTCTATCAGAGCACGCAAAAGTTGCCATATTGAGTAACTCAGCTCCTGTAGGAAAGGCACCGATGGAGTTTTGCGTTGTGACTAAAGAGTTGAGAGTAAGTGTCGCTAGCTAAGACAAAGCAATTATATAGAGCACATCTTAACTACAAGAACATTCTAACATAACATGTTATTTATTAGTAAATACATACACTTAGTGAACCACTTAAACCTAGAAAAACATATGCGACAGGTTGAAACTGGACACTACTCTTACAATAAACCCTGATACACTTGCAAACAAAATACGGGAAGCCAGGGAAGGTTGGGAAGGCTCGACAGACACTAGATAAGACCCAACGGAGAAGCAGTACAAACTAAGTTACTTTTCTACGATACATATCGCTAACGAATATAGCTACTATAGATGGAGAGACCTTGATTGCATTACTCAGACAGCGATGGAGAGGGCTGGGTAGAGTGAGTATCAAACATAGCAGGGCTTGTGCTAAGAAGGGAAACACCTGGGAGGTAGTGGAGTCAAGTGCGATATACTGTGCTAAACTATCTGATACACAATGCTGATGATTCAATATTGTGGATTTGAACGTCCTTCTTACCTCAACTATGGCCGTAGAAGGCGAGAGCGCCCCATACTGAAGAAGCGAGTAGGTCTCAAAGCTGGGATAGGGGCTAAGATATGGGAAATATGGGGAAAATAGGGGGAAAGTGGGAGGTGGGAAACTCCGAGGATATACAAATAATTTCTACGGCATCTCGACTCCAGATGGGGGTTAACATTTCGCCTGCGCCAGGAAGCACTGCATTGGAGAACGTGTCAGACCTTATAACTACCAAAAATACCTCATTCTACAACGAGTGGGTCCCTCGTCTTTTGACGGTCAATTTGGTCCAACAGAACGGTCGAATGCTTGAGATCAGCGACGACCAGCACGCAAAATCATCCAAGTCCGTGCTGTTTATTACACAAGGTGATTTTATGGCTTTACGGATGCAGAAGATGAGACGAAAGCCTAGGAAGCGAAGAAAGAAGCTGCTTTGCATCGATGAAAGCGTGGGCAACGCGCATCCGGTACAGATCCTGACTTCCGAAAGGAGTATATTGTCCCATTTTGAAGCGATACTGCTACGGCATGTTGGTTCGAACCTTTCCAGGGTCGTTATCTGCAGGTCCAAGGGATGCCGACGTCAAAACTTGACAGGTCGACACGATGCATATGCCACTCCACGGGGAATGCTGTCGATTTGCAGACTCCGCCCTCGCGACTCCACTAAGAGACACTCGGTTTCCTTAGCGAGTCTGGGGCATCAGTTAGTTTCGGACCGAGTCTACTGACGACATGATGTTGAAGAGATTAGCCTGTGGGGGAGACGAGACGACGAGGCGCGCAGGACCTGGGGTTCTCTCCGCACGCAATGGAATCCTCCAATCCTGTGCCGTCGGTTAATCTTGGGCTCTTGTAGCCACGCCGCATATCAAAAGCGCATGTAGGAGAAGGCTCGATTACTATAGGATGACGGTTTTCGCATTGATGGATGAATGAGTTGACGGTTCTCGTACGACATAGTTGTGCTGCGAACCTCCTGAGCAACCATCTGCAGGGTCCTGCCTCCCCATGAGGAACCAATTGTCGCACGATTCCCGCCCAGTAGTACGCATCACAAGTGACGAGTACTGTGAAACCAACTATCGCTTAACATTACCTGAGAACACAGAGCGTCCCAAGGATTGGGAAAATTGGCTGTGACGTGACAGTGTTTGCCTAGCACACTCACATGTCACTAGCCTCGAGTGGCTGCGGCTGACATAAGATGAACGGTGATAGCGGGATGGCCGATGCGGCAATTGGATTCCCTTACCGTTCGATCGATGTTGCTGCAAGTTGTTATGCCGAGGCAAAGACTGACGGGTCCACTGCGCTTTTCCGAAAATCATGGGGGCAAACGTGGTGAAACTGGGGATGAAGCCAAACCGTTCCGCTGGTTCCAGAGATGAAGTTTTTTGCTCGGTGACGCCCACCCACCAAACGATGTTTTGAAGTCGAATAGGGAAACGTCGAGTTGTTGCGTGTTGTTTCCTGCGCTCACTCGATTGTCATGTCGCATGGGAAACCTGCATCCACGAGCGAAAAAGGTTGCAGCCAAGACGACAGCGCTGATCGCGAACCCACTTAAAGCAGGAGCAAGCCGGACGCACGTGCACAGCCCGCCAATGACAGCCGTCAGCTCGTTGGCTGTAACTGCTTCGAGCCTAGCATGAAGCAATAGAAGACACCAAGAAAATTCCTTTCCCTCCTGCAAGTTCCTCAATAAGTGAGCTCAATTTTCCATTCATTGTCCCCACCCACACTTTGGGATTGGCTAGAAGGGCGGGCATGCGGTCGGGTGGTGGAACGCGGAGCACCCCTGTTTCTTGACCCCATTTTTAGGGGTGGATGTTTTAGCGGGAATCCTGTTGCAAATCAATGACACTTATCTGTTTGCGGCAGTCGTATCCCAGCCTGTTCAGTCGACTTGGATGATTCCACTCACCGGATTGAGTGCATGAACATTGGCCATCAAGGAGTGGGTGAACAATCAGATGAATTTTCAACGGACTCGACGAAACTTTAAGCTTTGGTAGATTGTGATCATATTTTTCAGTTCTTGCGCAACTCACACGAATCAGTCAACTGGTTTTCCGAGTACCAACTGGCCTCGAGATGGCGTGGTGCCACGGTACCTCATTGTCCCATGGCCGGCTCCTATCGATAAACTCGGGTGGGTCGACCGGCTGCCTGCCTCTGCCGTATCCTCATTGTCACAGATGCACCCAGCCTCAATCTGCGGACGGATGCGCTGTGTGACGACGAGAGGGTCGTTAATTACAGCCTTCTTTGACGTCTCACGAGAGCTGCAGCATTTGCTTCGTCGAGGGTCGGGAATTAAACATCAGATTTCGTCGCTCCATCTCTTCGTCCATCGGCGCTGGCTGACCTCGTCATGCCATGTCATCCTGTCTTTGTCCACTTTCCACAGTCGCAAGACAAGGCTTCGGGCATGCTTTGCATAGTAGTATCATGCGACGCCATCAAATTTTGCTACCAGGTGGCGGCTCTGAGTCCATCATTAACTGGACGTTGGGCAATTCGTCGTCATTGCTCACCCTATTCTAGATGTCTCCCATCATTGTCGCATCTTGCTATCTTGCTAGGCATCCCCCGCAACGAATCAGTTCTTCCTCCTGAGGTCCTGGGCCGTCCGTGATCTGAGGATAATTGAAACCAATCATGGCCTGGCCTGCTGCTCCGCCCACCAGAAATGCATGAAAGCCCTTCTGAGAAAGACTGGGACAGTGACAATCAACCATCTGAACACTGGGGAGGCGATGGCTGAATCTTGGACCAGGCCCTCGTACTACGTTACCATCGACGCTGAGCGAGTCCGGGCAGTTCCTAAAGTACTACGTACCCTCTTAATTTCAGCTCCCAAGCCATGTGGTAGTGTGCATACGAATCTGCACGGTGCTCGCTGTTGACATCACACGTTCAGCACTACGCCAGCTGCGTCTTTTCCCACTGTGATTGCACGGTATTGAAGACTAGCCACTTGGCTGCTCCTAGGTTGTGCCATTGGCCCCCCTAGTCGTTATTATTCATCGCTTGGCCCAATTCGCGCACTACCGTCGGGGGGCCGTTTCTTCTCGACCTGTCGCCGTCGCCCATTCGCCCATTCGCCCGCCTAGTGTGGGTGTGCCGTGTGGCCCGTTCACGTTTTCCCTCTCATTTCACTCCCAGACTTGTCTCTTCGGCCGCCAGCCAGGCCTGCTTCTCCATCTTTACTTCCTATCCTTCTTGCTACCGCGTGCGTGGAGTTTCGCAATTCGCAACAACACTCCAACAAGTTGTTTTGACCTTCTCTCGACTGCTAGTTGCTTCTCTAGAAAGCCGGGTGCGAGGTTTGATCTTCACTCTCTTCCGTCTCTACAGCGGCCATAGGTGCATATAGTTGCAGCCCAACCACCGCCCCGGTCGTCGATTCCCCGCGTTTTCCAATGAACGCTGTTCCTCCGCCTTGCACATAGCGACGGGCCGATTAAACGAACCCTTCGAAGCCCTCCCTCGCTCGCCCAATTGCTTCCTCCAGTCTCTCCGCAAATTGGCCCGTGAAGTGCGAGACGGTGCTTTGTCCTCCACAAAAGTATAACGCCCTGTCAGAAATCAGATACAAAGTGTCACCGTCGCAACGGCGAACTCTGAATTGAGGAGACCACCAAGACGGCCCAGATCCACATCATGTCAACTGCCGTTAAGAGAGCCTGCGATGCTTGCCATCGCAGGAAGGTCAAGTGTGACGGCGTTAACCCGTGCCGCAACTGTTCCTCGGCTCAGTTGACCTGCACGTACAATGCAATCCCGCAGAAGAAAGGCCCCAAAGGCTCGAGGGCCAAAGTCATCAGCGAGTTACGTGAGACCCAACGAGCAACCAGTCTTTCCGCCAAAGTCCAGAGCCGATTGCAGGGCATCAACAGCCCACCATGCACGCCTTCCTTGTCGCCCAACGCCGGGCTTCTATCCAGCGAGCTCGTCAAGGAGAGCATCGAATTCTTCTTCGGCCACATGTTCCCGGTCATGCCCATTCTCAACCGCCAACGAGTGGAGCAGCAGGCCCTCTACATGGACCAGAACCTCGACACCTACTGTCTGCTCACTTCTATGAGCGCATTCATGTTGCTTCAGCCCGGAATGACCATGCCAGGTGGCGACCCATTGTTTGAGCACCCGGGAGCCAGCATCACCTCCAGCTCCTTGCTTATGGAGGAGACACTTCGAGTGCGCAAGGGCTACGACTACGTTGAGTCGCCTACTCTTAACAGTCTGTGTACAAGCTATTTCTTGTTCGCATGCTGCTACGCCATCGAAATGCACGAAAAGGCATGGTTCCATCTGCGTGAAGCCGCCACAATCGCAACCCTTATGAGCATGAACCAAGAGGAAAAATACCTACAGTTTGACAGTGTGGAAGCGTCTCGAAGACGACGCTTGTACTGGCTCCTATTTGTGACGGAGAGGTATGTAGCCATTTCAAAAGTGTCTCATATGGCTACTGCGGACTAACATGTCGGCACAGGGCATATGCATTGAAGTACGGTCGACCGTTGACTCTTCCGGCTACGTTGAACCCTCCGACGATCACCGACGACCCCACGGATCCGCTCGCACATCAGTTGAACGGCTTCATCCTTCTCGTCAACCTCTTCAGGCCTTTTGACGACACTTTCATGCTGCTGTGGAACAAGACGCGCAATGAGTGCTCCCCATCGTATCTCGCAGCACTCCAAAAGCAACTATCCGAGATGCATCCGGCATATATGAATAGGACAGAGTCTCAGCTGGCCGACATGCGGACCAATCAGCAATGGTTGAAGACGGTTAGCTGGCATTTGAGCATGCAGAACGGATGCGTGCCCCACAACGGCGAAGAGTTGTCCTACCAATACCCCATCGATATGGCCAGAGATTTGTTGTCAATCACGTCCCAATTCCAGACTCAAAGTACTGAACTCTTGGGCGTACCCTTAGTGGGCAAGCTAATGGATGTGACATGCACTCTGACGGACGTTCTCGCAATGCAACCATCGTCGGGCGATCCATTCAGCGTTGGTCCTCAACAGCACCTACAATCACTCCTCCAGATCCTTTCCAGTCTCCGTGGTAACGAGCACCACTTCCTTCCATTGCTCCTCAACAAGGTGCATGACATCCTACCGAGACTAGCCAACCCGATGCTCCAGCGGGTACCGGATAACATCTGCAACATCGACATATTTGATGGATTTGGCAATGCTGGCATGGCACAGCCCCCTGTCTTGGCCGACTTCAAGCCCGAAGCCTTTAAGCAAGAGCCTTATGCTCAAACACCGGCACCTCGGATGGATGAAATGGCGACCGACTCGGGGAGCTCAAACGGCGCACCCACTGCCGCCGACATGAACTCGCCCTTCCCTGGCATGGTCAGCTCACCTGGTGTCATGTCGCCTGGTGGTATCGAATATTCTCATGCGGCGGAATACAATTCCATACCCGACATGGTTCTGAATGGTATGGGACAGGGGCAGCCGGGATCCATGAACCATCAACAACCGCAGCAACCCCAAGCCCCTCCACATCCGCCACACCATAGCTACCAATCACCGGGAATACCATCCAATACCAACATGCATGGCCAATTGCAAGGTGGCATGCACCAACAGCAAATAGGTCACATCCTTAACCAACCGCAGAGCGTGGGGAGCCTGAACCAACCTCAAGCCATGACGGGTGTGAACCATCAGCAGAACAATGGACACAGCCCGCCATACGCCCACATGAATCAAGGTTTGATGAATAACATACTACATCGCCCCCCACCGCAACGTACGAACAGTTTCGCCATGCATCAGCAACAGCAACCGCCAATAACACGAACTGTGGGAGACTTTCATGCTCTACAGAGAGCCAATTCCGAAAGCGTTGCGATGAATGGCTTGGGCATGAGTTCAATAGGTGCAGAAATTGACTTCAGCGTTCTCAGGTAGCGTCGCTGAAGAGGCGTGTGGAACTACAGCGACCAAAGCCCTGTAACAATCCTCCACCCCGGGTGTATTCAGAGTATGGCCAGCAAGTCTCGGGCCGGAACATCAACCGGCTTCTTCCATCTTTCTCCATTTCATGGCATATACTTATATATCTTGCTCTATTTGTCTTTCTTGGCGTCACAGCGCAGCATGCCTGAAATTTGCCGTCATGGAGTACAGACAATTGAGAGCATTTCGCGCTTCGCGGCAGTCTGGAGCAGCATAGGTTTGGGGTCTCAACTTTGGTTCATGGGATGGATTCAAGTTTTTTTGGGCATGGGAAAAACCATGAAACATCAAACAGTTCCCGTTGATACGGGTTATCTGGGGCCTGCTGAACTCAGTGGTGGATAACTAGGGAGTCCCGGGGATTGGTGTTTGGGAGAAAAATTTGGTCCCTTTGTGTAGTCCTTATTGGGCCACATTTTTGCCTTTTTGTAACATGTTCATGGCGGCCGGAAATGCGGATGTTTTAAAGGTGCTCCAGGGGACTTAGACGAATTTGAATTTTTTATGATGGATGGAGATTAGCACGAAGTGAAGATGGTGGGGGCATACCTGGACTTGAGGATGAGTGCGGGGGAAAGAAGAAACGGAAGCAGGTCTGAGAGGTATGCTGGTGCGAGGAAGGAAGGATAAATACACTGTAGAAGAAATTAGGTTTTAGGTGGCCAGTCAAGTCGAATATTTAGACAGTATAACTTAGTCTTGAGCCGATGCTGAATGTATAGATGCGATATTGTACGATGAGTTTGACTGATGTGGCCTGTCCTTCTTTAGTTTGCCCCGGCCGCCAGACCCTACTTGCATTCTGACTGAATGATCTGGATTTGCTGCTCATTGGGAATAGGTGGCAGGTCAACACTTGGACTTGAAGTTGCGGTAATTCGGGTTGCCAGCTGTTGAACTGAAATGGAATGACACCTGAGTCGCGATATGAAGTCTGGAGTAACAGCTGATCGTGCCCGGCGTTCACATGCGGTTCGCTTGTGCGGCATTTGGCTATTTGTTTGGAAACCCGCCTCCCTAGGTAGGAGCGATAGATTGCAACTATGGAATAAGGTACAAAGACTACACATAGTATATAGTCGTAAATAATAGTTCCGCTTTCGAGAAACTTCGACGTTAAGCACATGAATAGGGGTTCGGCGTGGGCGACGCCATTTACTATCTGTCACTAGGACAACTCAGCTGATGTTTAGTCGCCCCCGCATGGTATTGTCAAGTGTGGACCTGAGGCAAGAGACCTGACTTCGTGTATTCGCAGAAAGTGACTACCCTATTGTCTCTGAATATTGACGTTCACCTAGAGAACCTCCCATTGTTCTGTTCTGTGAGCTTGGAGGTGACAATGACACTACTGAATATACCCTGACCACACTGCAGCATTGTTTTTGGAGGATATCACAAGATCTACTCAATACACGAAGTATACTGTGATGTTTGGCCTATGTATTTTGTGGGCCGACAATGCCATGTTGATGACCGCCTTTACTTTACTACTTCTTAGCTGCCGGTCTCCATACCCTAATGAAGCAATCCGTGCGAGCACCGACGGTAGTATCGATAGGGCCGACGTAGTAGTTATCATTGTCCACACCACGTTTCTTAGCGCCGTTCTTGTCCATGTTCATAGCACCGCGTCCGCCACAGATGTGGTTGTTGTCACTGCCGCAGGTCATATCGCACTGCATAACACAGCTGGGACGTCTGGACGCGAGACTTTTTACTGCCACACCAGCGCTCACGGCTGTACTCGGACCCGGTACAAAGGGGCAGACACATATAGCCACTGGCCTCGCGGTCGTAGTCGATGCCTGCGAGGGAGTACTTGTTCTTGATGCAGAAGGCCTTGCATAACTCGATAGTCATGGCGTCATCTGGGGAGGAGAGACCCGTTACAGCACGTCTGGGGATCTCGGTCGCGCAAGCCATATGGATTTCCAGTTGTTGATGGTCTAATCCACCAAGGGGGTACCTGTGAAGAAGACAGGAGACTAGCCGAGGACCTCCGCCGGGAGGGCGAGGAGGAGAGTGGAGGTGGGTGAATAGATTGTGGATGTGTCATAGCATGGCCATTTCCGGATTACTTACGACCAGCTGACCTCGGCTCTTTTGTCCGAGATATCGTGAACTCTGAACAAACCACGGCACGGATATAACGACTATTGGAATTAGTCGTAAATGGTCATCATCGCAAAGAAAGTCTTGGTCCATGAGTAGCACGAGCAAGGCTCATTGAAAGCCTGGCAACAGCTTATACTCTCCAATCGGTGCCCATCTATTTCCTTCAAAGAGACTCGATAAAGCAAGGGAATATTTGTGACTTCCATTGTGAGCTTCAATCTGGTGCAGGTTTCGGGACGTGATATATGTTCTGGGGGCCAATTTAATATCAAATTCTGGGATATCAAAGGGTATACGGCTGGAACGGCGCAAATGCCACAGCGCGGTCCATATGAGTGTTGGACAGAATGACTCGAGAAGAGTTTTGTGAGAGATCTTTGATGGGCTTTAGGAATTGGATGAGACCGCGTATCTTCCGAGTTACTGTCCGTCCTGCCAAGGCGAATATTGGCCGGTCTGTGTCTCCAAAACCTTATTGAGAGGCGCTGTGGCTTTGATCATGCAAAGACACCTATATCATCCTTGATCGGTCGCTAATAATTATACATCAGAAGGATGCATGAAGTTGCACGAGATAGCTCACAAGCATCAGCCACGTAACAGTGACGTCGAGTCTAACATGAACAATCCAGGGATACGCTGGTAACAAAGAATTTGAGCAAGATTGAGCTGAATTGAGTATATCCAGAGCACTCCAAAATAATTACTTGAAATGTGGCTGGAAGACTTTGTAAGCGCCTAGTCTAGGTCCCTGATTTCGCACTTGGGAGCGGTCAGTTCGGGTTTCATTCAATGTTCAAAGCACTTACCAGCTTGATCGTGCTAGGCTGCTGAGTTGCACTAAGTCAAATTAGTATACTTGAAATATTCTTTTCCCACACCTACTAAATGTTGTGTGCGAGCTTCACCCCTATTTCTCAGCCTCCACCGCCTCCTCACAACCCATGAAGACATTAGGGCTCCACTTGAATATCCACGGGTACTTACCCTCCGAAGAACAGTCTCTGGGACCAGTAGGAAACGACTGCTATCAGCGATCCTGCCGCTTCCCTGCCGAGAATAGTCGATTGTTTGGAAGCCCACGATATCGTTGTTTGAAGAGACTTTATTCGTGTTTGCATACCCACCGCTATCGTCGGATCTGATTGTTAACACACTTGGTGGGTAATCAGACTAATGCGATATGACTGAGGATAATTAGCAATGATTTGTTTTCGGTGGAAGAGCCCTCAGTCGACACGCACTGTATACAGCTGCCGTCTACAATCCATTGTTTGCAAGAATTACTTATTGACGAGAAGCCAATGCGATTGACAGACGGCGTGGTACCAAATTGCTTTGTCATGGATATATGAGGGGTTTCGACCTTAACGCCCATAGTCGCAAGCAAACAAAGGGGGAGGGGGGCAGCAGGGGTTGCGGCAAGATTAAATGTGCCTCTGAGTGTGAGTTAGATGACAGGAGTTTAGCATCAGTTAGTTGAGATCTCTAGGTCACTTGGACTGGAAGTAACGCAGTCCTACAAACCTAGCATACAGCCAGGCCCAGTGCAAGTCATCCAACTTCTTACATATCGGCTTGCCTAGTTGCGCTTATTAGGATACTACAGGTATTCCTTGTGCACCTGCTCAATACTGAGGTATGCAAACTCGAAGGTTAGTAAATGAGCACATCAAATCAACTTACACCATTGATACTTATCAGATCCACTTGAGTGTTTTATGGTGCTAAAATTGTAAGCATAAAACAGCAACCAAACCATCATCCCTTTATGGCGAAAGTGAGTAAAACGTGCTCTAGCAATATAGACATACTAATATGTTTATTTTTCCTTTGCAGGCATATGTCACGTGCCCCCTCTGAACAGACACCATTCGTAGACAGACGCTTGTGCCCGCAACTCAAACGATGCTGGGAGCAACTTAGAAGTGGTAGACAAATTAATCTAGATGGGACACTGAGATGTACTCAATTGCGTACGGCTGTTGACTGCATACAAATGTAGAGTTATCCCGTATTATTCCATCCTTGGTCGCGCTGTTTATTTGTCAATCACTTACACCCCCGAACAGGCACCCACATAGGCGCCCCTGCCAGCAATCGGGACCGGGGGCTGGAGTTTCCGAAGATTCCCCGCCGATGCGTAGCGCCTGCGCCGTCTTTTGAACTTGAGCTGGACCTATCCCGACCTCGGCTTGCTAACAAACCACCTCCAGTCCAATCAACCTAGAACCACGAACGACCATTCTTTGTCTTCCTTGGAGCATGATTCCATTGTTTTGGAAGCATCCTTTCTTTCACTGCTCTATGATTGGTAACTCTTGGGACATCGCCTCTTCGTATTTGCTTAAGATGCACTATCCTTCCCGACGACCACTCTAGGCGAATATGGTTGCTCTCAACCCCCCCAATAAGTCCTCGGAAATGCAGGGCCTCGCCAGCTCCCGCTGGGCGTCTGCCCAATCGCACCAATGGGTCCGGCCTGGCGCCCAAGGAAAGGATTTCCAGGAGCCGGCAATCCATGTTGCTCGACCTGATGCCGATCCAGTGAATTTCCAGGAGCCAGTACCCATGATTCAACCTGATGGCACTCCAATGGATTTTTGTGAGCAGATAGGGGAATCTGCGCCTCTAAACAATGCACTCTTGCCGGCCGTCGACCCAGCTTTGGCCTTCGAGGAGTATAGGCGTTACACTAAGATCATACAACGCCTACACTGGAAAGGACGCTTCCTGCAAGCGGGATACGATCAGGCCATAACCCGCATCGGCCGCCATCCGGATGAGATCGCCCACGATGAGATGCAGTTCAAATTAGACTTTTTTGAGTGTTACATGCTCATTGAACGCGCCCTCGTCCACCTACTAGGTGTGTGGGGCATCCAGGTCCACCGCGAACTTCTGAACAGTGTCCACAACCGGTTCAGGAGCAAGAACGGTGGTGGACCCGAGCGGTATCAACTCACACACCGATACCATGCCAATGTTCTCGGTGCTCTTGGAAACCCCCAAAACCCACTCTTCCCAATCTTTGGTACGGGGGAAATCAAGAGACAACTCGCCCGAGCTAAGGAGCTGCGCAACCGGTGGAAGAACGGCTTAGACGACTCTGGTTACGCGCCTGCACCCTTGGCGACCTACGAGCTAGACATTATTCTCTCCACAATCAAGACCGGCCTTGACCAGGGCTATGCTATGGCACAGGAATATTTGGGTATAGCCCCACCTTCGACGAGCGGGTTGTCCAACCCGGTGCATTGGAGTCAAGAAGAGGAAGACTGGAATTTTATGGTGGATGCGATGGATTGGGAAGCTGTTTGAGAGTCGCTGGGCTGCTTCCCGGGCTATTCATCATAATAGATTGGGATCCGGTACGGGCTAGGAGGCATCGGCGTTCAGGTTAACCAAATTGCATTAGACATCAGCGATACCCGACGACATTGGTTAGAACGGCAGAGAAGGAACTTGGTTTGACGGAATAGGTCGATTCCCTAAATCGAACACACTTTTAAGGCACATACATTTGTCTGTCCATTTATGTGGCCCCCGATCTCCAACCTCCAACTCTTACCGGCCCTTACCAAGAATCCCAAACATCCATCCAAGTTGGACCTCACCGCCGCCCAAGGTGGCATCGTTCCCCGGCGCAGTTGGGTCTCAATTCCCCTCAGTAATCGTGTCCACACGCAGACAGGTGATGGTTGAACTGGGGAAAGTAACTCCCACCGTCGTCGGCGCCCTCCACGTCAGGATTGTGGGCCAAATGTTCAGGGTCGCCTTGTCGTACTCGTCAACCACCTGGCCGGTGTTGCGAGGCGGCCGGGCATAGAAGATCCAGAGACCGGAATTGGTGATGAAGGCGTGGGGCTCGAGGACTTTTATGCGCCGTCAATAGGGCTATCTAGTTGGAGAAGGGGCTCAGGGGCACGAGACTACTCACCCTGGGTCCACAATGTCCGCTTCACCAGGAATACCATTGGAAATAATGGGAAAGTACCAAGGAGATATATTACTGAGCGACATACTTCCATTACTTACACTGTAGACAAGCCGGTCAACATTTGGACCTGAGGCAACGGAAATAGCGAAAAGGATATGTGCAATCGGATACATATATATTGGCATGTAAGCACGTGGAAATAAGCATATCGTATTCCGGAAACTGCATTCTTGGAAGTTTGTCCCAAACTGCAGAGGTGTGCTGGAGCCTGCGGAAGTAAGCCGACTCCGTGACAGAGTGCCACATACGAATCAGATGTGCATTCTGAGCCACTTATACGACGCTCACCATGAGTAAAGAAGAGCTAAGACAATACCGGATAGCCATCAGCCACCCCATTGACGATGATCACCCCACTGATCTCCACGCACTCATTGTGGCATCGAAGTTCACAAGGATAGCAGACAAGAGTCCAGAAGAGCATTCATGCCACTTGAAGACTGAACTTGCCCGAAAAGGCAACATCACCAGCTTGCAGTGTGACAAAATGAGACATCGCTTGGCCATCCATTGAATGGCGATGTGAGGATAAGTGAAGCCGTGTCTTCTGTAGGACAAGACCTGTACCCATAGCATCTAAAAAAGTAACTCTTGAAACCACGGCCTAGGCAAGGGTTTATGGCTCGCAGGGCGCTGACGTCAAGCAGCTTCGGGCATCTGAGATGTTTGATTGGATTAGGTGCTGAAGCTTGATAAGCGTATGCAGTGTTGAACAAACAATAGGAATGGGTGAGTATTTCGAAATGGGATGGATGAAAGATTAGATGAGTTTGGAGTTGAGGTACGAACGAGGACAAGGCTTTGAGGACGCCCCACCGTATTCTCTCGCCGGACTCGTAAACCAATGAACAGCGCTTGTTTCAGCCACAAAACCTGGAGTGTAGCCTTATGCGCCGCGTCGTCATTCCATGCCAGGCCGCGAGGATCAGATGCTCCATTACAGCAACGTGAAGCCCTCGCCATTGATCCTCAAACAAACCTACCAATCCAAACTCACATCCTAAAATGGCGCCTTCAACCTCCTTACGGTCTGTACTCGCCTACGCTGGCAACCTCGTCTCGCAAATCCCTCTCCAGCTGACAGGCGGCGGCGTACCGAATCCGCTCTCCTCTGTCTTCGGCCCCATCGACAGTACCTCCGACTCCGGCTCCGCCACCATCACGCCCTACGACCCATTCAACGGCGCGCCTTCGTGCCCCGTCGACGGCCCCATAAGTTGTAATAACCAGTCGGTGGCCGATTCGTGCTGTTTCATCCACCCCGGTGGCCGGCTATTGTTGACGCAGTTTTGGGACGAGGAGGTACACGTCGGGGGTGCGGAGGAGGATTGGACTGTACATGGGCTATGGTGAGTGCCTACTTGCTAGCTACATATTGTGGTTCTTGCTGCTGAGACTATTGGGCTGATACTGATGCTCTTGCTTCCCGCAGGCCCGACCTTTGCGATGGGTCGTACGATCAATACTGCGGCATGGCGCCTCATTTCAACAACATCACCGAGATCCTGGAACACTACGGTCAGGGCGAGCTGATTGGGTACATGAACCGGTACTGGGTAGCCAAGTAGTAAGTGCCCTCGTCGAGGAAACCAATCTGGGTCAAACCGCTGTAGCAGCGAAAGCGACAGACAGAGGGCTGACTTTTGGATTTCAGTGGCAGCAATGCTCATCTTTGGGCCCACGAATATAACAAGCACGCCACCTGCATCAACACCCTCGCGCCCTCGTGCTACGGCGACAACTACAGTCCGGGGCAGGAAGTCGTTGATTACTTTGCCAAGGCATTCGGACTGTTCAAGATGCTGGACACGTATGTCATCCTGCAGCAGGCTGGCATCGAGCCGGATAGCGAGAAGGTCTTCGAACTCTCAAAGATACAGGATGCGCTGGAGGAGTTCAGTGGCGGAAAGGTCATTTTGAACTGCGGGGGTCGGAGGCATGATATCTTGCATGAGGCGTGGTATGTATACTTTGTCAAGGGTAGTTTGCAGAGCGGGGAGTTCGTTCCTGCGACGGATAGCTTTAGGGGCGATCATGGGAATTGTGCTAGGAATGTGAGGTATTTGCCTAAGAAATTGAGGGCGCACTAAGCGTGGGGGCTTGGGATTATGGGCATGGCATGGTGCGGCGTTGTGGGAGTTTAGTTGGAATTGCGTAATACTACGAGGAACGTTGGATAGAATGACATCGCTAGTAAATATAAATATTGAGGCCCATCGCCCGGTGTCTACTCGCCTTGGGAGTATGGCGACATGTGTTGAGTACTAGGAGAAATTCTCGGGCCTCCAGGTTTTCAATTTGCGTACTACACATATCTCTATCCTGACTGAGATGGATGTCAAATGTTAACCTTCGGACACATTCCATGGTCATCATTCCCTGCAGTCTTTGATGGCGCCATGCAAAGTTTTTAAATCGTTATGCACGACTCCGCAAGTCTGGCACCTGTACCCTTTATCCTGAAAGATGATAGATTACGAACACAGACAATCAGAGAACGAGGGATTCTACTGATATGAAGACGCAGGCGTAATTATACTTTCACCACGCTCTCGGTATTCTTTTCAAGTTATGCCGTGCCACTAGTAACTCAAACACCATTTTATGCTATTGTAACAACGGGCAACAGAGGGTAATAAACGGCGTGTCCGACAATGTTTTGATAAATCGCAAATACAAGAAAGCCTAAGTCTTCATCCGCCGGTCAATATTGCCTGGTCATCACGCGGTATCGGGTCCTGGCCAGATTCATGATGTTGCAATGCCGATGCAAATACGCTCTCGCGCATCAAAACCCGCATGGCGAATTCATCATTTCACGAGTGCAGACGCAGGGCAGTGGAGGATTCGTTCGTACGTATCGTTGTCTAGCCGCGCCTATTGGAGAAATGGTCAGATCCTTGGCAACGTAGGATCCGCTGCAAATCTTGAGGTGACACGGAATATCTGCATGGGAATCCTATGTGGCTTGTCTGCTTATGTGGCAACGTTGGTAGTACAGAGATTGCCTGTTCAAGTAACACTTTCTAACTTTTCAACTCGAGCCAACTGCATGGCTGTTGGATCAAGTTGAGACCATAGAGACAAGCTGAGACGAGGTTTGAGTAGAACAACTATGACTGCACCGAAACGAAGTGATACTCTATCTCGTCTTTACATGGTCATATTGGTAGTTATAAGGTCTGACAACGTAAAGAGCGTAAACTGACAGGTACAAGAACGCTCTAATAAGGCACAAAACCCAAGTTCTTAGCAAAAGTTCAGCAGGTACTTAAAACATAACAGAGGACTAGTGGCACACAGTCCACTGGCGGAGCCCTAGTTACTCCGTAACAATGTACACTAGTTAGATAGGTAACATTCTACCGTTACACCTGACGTAGGTTAACTTAGCTCAATCAACATCACAATCCTCCATGAAAACATAACGCGCTCCGAGGTTCAACATATGTTGAACCTATCCGATAGCGGTACCTAAGAACTTAGGTTTTGTACCTGGTCGGGGAAAAGCTCCAACTTAAAGCCTATGCTTATCTTAGCTGACCGGACAGGGTTGAGGTATCGGTTGGCAAGGACAATGGCGGTGATATACGCCACGGCACTCGAGGCATATCGCCGTTTCGGAAATTCTGTTCGGTAGCAACAGCAACAAGTTTGCACCCGGTGATGCGGTGGACTATATGGCACCAAGCAGTGGACGAAGGAGAACGCTTCCCCTCATTTGGTCGAAAGCGAGTGGGATGTTATATCCGGGTACAACCGGACAACGGTTGGACCGGAATTCAGCCCCGTATTTATTTACGTTGTTTCTGGCCAACTGCCCTGTCTTTGCGATTGGGCAAGCATAAATACCATGGCGAGCATTGCCTTGGTTTGCCGATGGTCGGCACGGGCAATACCGGGTTATATTTGTATTTACATATAGCCTTTTTCCTCTGTCTTCTGACATTTTCACTGGTGTTTCAAGTCTCAATTTGAAACTTCATAGTCACAGCACTACAGTTTGGCCATACTGAAACTGGCTATGTCTCCCAGTGAGCGAACTCGCAGTCACCCATTTCATATTGTACCTTGTGAGCTGACATATGGAAAACAGCCATGGACACGGCATCATCTCACGATGAATACCCCCCAAAAGCCAATCTACGCCAGAAGCTGAAGCAGCACCCCCTGCCCGTTATTGATCCGGGAACCGTGGACCCGGCTTCAATGGAAGGCGATGAAGCCACCAAGCAAGTCTCAGCCGTGCTGAACGAGCTAAACGCGGCCCTCGAGGCCAGCGATGCCGAGAGGCTGGCAAGCTGCTTCTTCGATGTCCAGTCGTACTGGCGCGACCAGCTCGCGCTGACCTACCATCTGCGTACGTTTTCCACGCCTGACGTGATCGCAGCAGCTTTGCTGGAGACAAAGAAGCTACGGTTCGCTGGGGAATTCAAGGTTGAGGGGGGCGCGCAGTTCGTGCCGGCTACGCCAGTTTTAGTAAGTTAGAGGATGATATTCCAATGCTCTGAAACACAAATGATGGGATTAGAAGGATATGCATTTGACCGTTTTCTTATTCCTCGATATAGCAATTCATTGCCTGTAGGCTGTCCTTTAGAACCGGCTCGCCAGCCGCTAACTGCAGGGGCAGGATGATGCTCATGCCCGTTAAAGAAGATGGTGGCGGGAAACTCACTTGGAAAATTTGGACTCTGGGTACCTGGCTTAAGGATCTGGACGCATGGCCCGAGAATGAGGCTCTGCTTCAGTCGCCAGGCAGGAAGTCGGATGCCCTGGAGACCTTTGAAACGGACGTCTTGATCGTTGGAGCCGGAAATTCGTGAGTGAACAGCTTGAATACGGATCGAGGATTTATAAAACCAACTAACCTGCTTGATGTAGCGGCGTTGCTCTTTTCACGCGCCTCAAGGCCCTGGGTGTTGGCAGCGTCATGATTGATCGGAATGCCCGTCCGGGCGACAATTGGGCACTGCGTTATGAGTGCATGCGGTTTCATGTGCCGACATCGTCCTGCGAGTTGCCCTACATGAGTAAGTATATTCATGATTACTGGACGAGAGCCACTGATACTGATTGCCGCCACCAGACTATGACGAGAACCTCCAAACTCCTCACTTCTTAACTCGGGATGAACTGGCCGAGCAGGTAAAACGATACGTAGCGGCCTTCAATATTGACATCATCCACTCGACCACGATCAATTCGACGGTGTTCAACCAGTCAAGTAAATGCTGGACCGTGAAGCTCCAGACCCCCACGGGTATTCGCACTGCGACTTGCAAGCATCTTGTCCAAGCAACCGGCATCGGCTCACAGAAAATCTACCTCCCACCCATGCTCAACAGCGAGCTATACCAAGGCATCAGCATCCACTCGCAAAAATTCCAAAGCGCCAAGGCCTTGCAAGAAAAGGGGGCCAAGTCCGTCCTCATCATCGGCTCGGCCAACACCGCCTTCGACGTGCTCGAAGACTGCCACCGCGCCGGTCTCAAGACGACTATGAACGTCCGTTCGGCGACCTACATCTGCCCTACCGAGTACATATTTGCCTCCAACAACCTTGGCGCCTATGACCTCGGCGTTGAGCAGGCAGATATACTCTTCATGACCGGCCCAACATTCGTGGATGCCCAGCTGCTCCGCGATACGTTGGCGCATTGCGCGAGTCAGGAGTCGGATCGGTACAAGGACCTCATTGCGGCTGGGTTCCCAGTGATCGATGGTCGGAACGCCGAGGGTGGGTTGATGTATCACCTCATCGACCGTGCGGGCGGGCATTACATGGATATGGGCGGTACCAAGCCCATTGCCGAGGGCAAGGTGGACATAAAAGTTGGTGTTGAGCCTGTGGGGTACACGGAGACAGGCCTGAGGTTTTCGGACGGAAGTACGCTTGATGTGGACGCGGTTGTATGGTGTACTGGGTTCGCGGATAAGGACGTGAGAGATACTGCTGCTGAAATTTTGGGAGGGGCTGATGAGACTGCTACGGAGGGCAATGACGAAGCAAAGAATAGCCTGGGGTCTCGGAACGTCGCATCCCGTCTCGACGCTACTTGGGGTGTGGATGAGGAGGGCGAGGTGAGGGGCATGTGGAAGCGTCATTTGCGCGTGGAGAATTATTGGGTTACGGGTGGGTTTACGCAGCTGCAAAGGTGGCATTCCAAGACACTGGCGTTGCAGATTAAGGCGGCGCTTGAGGGGATTCTGCCAGAGGCTTATAGGGATACTCCTGATCCCAGGAAGGTGTGAAGGGAATAGTAAGGGAGTGGAGGAATGAGAAACGAAATGAACAAGCCTGGATACGAATATAAAGGAGTGTGGTCTAACATAGGTTTTCTAGTATCAGGACCTTGTTAGACAGTGGTATTGTCCCGGATAATTGCAAAGATTGAGAACTGGCGGTAATGAGCTCTCATCCTCGTGAAATTGAAGAGTCGGGCTTGTTTATAGCATCGGATCCACGTGTTAATTAGCCCCTGAACTTATGAACTTCTGAAATTCCAATATTTAGCTTTGAAACTCCCAAATAGTCAACTGCTAATTTCAGGACTTAGTTGTAACGGGATTTCAGGTTAATGAAGTTCCTGTGATGACAAACGGTTGATCGTCTTACATATATGTCGCTCATACGAAGCGCCGTAGACGGTTCATATCTGGGATATCACAAATATTTTAGGTGAAATAATCTTGATATTAACAATGCACTTGTCTATTGTGCATATTTCAGCAACTAATTTCCCAGGTCCCGTTACTTGGGAAGGCCCAGCTGGTCTAGTCGGCGGTTAGGAGCTCGGCTTTGGGGTCGTTGGGCCCGAAGATGCGCTCGAGCTCGAACTCCCTCGCCTCTTTCGTGATATAATCGCGGACGTTGGATCTTTCGGTCTGCACAAGCATCTTGCCCCGGTAAGACGTCAGCTCGCCGGGCTCCTGCGGTCCGAATTCGGCAAGTTCTTCGATCCGCGTGTTGTTGCGCAGAGGAGGGTGGATTCGGCACATGACGCGGATAGATCCGTTCAGTCTACGGCTGCTTGAAGATCTCCCGGCACTCCTCCTCCTGAGTATCCACCATGGTCTGGACTGGGCAGCTTTGGCATCCAACTCCGCCAGTGCAGTGCGGATATACTTCTCCTTGGTTTCGATCTCAGCCTTGAGGTAGGTCTCGATGCGTTCGCGTCGCTTCTGTGCCTCCTTCAGCTTTTCGGCTTCGCCTTTGGCCTGGGCCAAACGAGTTTCCTAGTCGACTTTTAGGGAAGCTACTTGCTGTTCGGCTGCAGGGAATTGGGTGCTCGGCTTTCCTTCGTGTTGAGACTTCGTGCTCTTCCTCGAAATTGATAAAAATGACTAAATGCATAAAGTCCCGTACAGTATGTATGGGTCGTGCATTGAACCTTGAACATGAGCTGCAATTCAACTTGAAAATGAGTTTATCTACTTCAACTTCAGTTAAATTGATAAAGCCTATAAACCTTTCCAGTCAATTTATGGTGCCTGGTTTTCTCTGTTGTCTAGTTTTCTCTGTTTAAACAGCCTTTGGTGATCTATACCATCATGCAGATCGAATATTCAGAGGATGATGTCCCGATTACAATCCCTAGTATCTATGTTGGCAAAATCATTCTGAGCTGCCTGGTAGCGGCTGTCACAGGCACCGGTGTATTCCAAAACCACTCGTTTTAGTCTTACGAGGAGCACTGAGATCAACCGATAATTTATTTCACATGCCGAACATTAATATCAGTACTGGTGGCTGGGGGTTTAGCAAATAAGTATTGCTTTCAAGCGGTCTCTATCATTAGTGCAACCTAGTGAAGCCAAGGTGCGGAAGCTAATTCCCGGCAAAGACATACTAGGGGCTGGACTTCGTGGGATATGAGAACCTCCGAATGACTCAGGCTCGGTACGGAATACTCACTCCAAACATTTGGCACTTAGACCTGAATCTCCGTTCAGTTAGCTGAAGTTCGGAGTACAGTTTTAATTATCAAAATGTGTGTCCAACGTTATGAATTACAATGACTGTAACCAAGTGTGGGTGAGTGGTATTCTTGCAAGCGCGCTAGGCAAGACGAGCCGAAGTGACATCAAGCATGTGGCGTATATCGTGTATGGACAAGACATAATTATAATTTGCCTGGGTGAAAATTTGGAGCACAGTGATTTGTAGGGCTTGTCGCAACTCACTCATACACACTTTAGGGCTTATCATGGCGTCGTACATCGATTGACCCGGCTGTCAATCAAACGGGACTTCAAATACTGGCTACATCATGTTGAACCTCATAAACAGACAAAAATTTCGATACCTCAACAACATCACTGTGATCACAAAATTCAGAAGAAAACATGGCAGCCGAAAAGAAACCCGCCGTAGCTACCGAGCTGGCAGGGTATACCTCAACTTCCGAAGCGCTCCCCTACGCCATCTCACCCAAAAGACTGCTATGGAACGACTTCTGGACGCTCCTCGAGAATGCCACCTATCTCCCCGGTATCATCTTCCCTGTGTGGGCTGGCCGTCACGAACCTTTGAATGAGCTCTCCTCTACGTGGTGCAATGCGCGCAGCCTCGCATTCCACTTCATCCTCATTGTGTTCCAACTGGGGTTCATCTGCTCCATACCGCTTTTTCTGTTTCTACCAACGACTACGTCGCTCGCGTATATCCTGAGTTTCATTGCTTTGAATGAGCTTGCTGTGAGGTCCTTCAATGGCCCGAAGGATAAAGAGTTTGTCAAGATTCCTAATGGCGGAATACCTATCGCTCCCGGCACGGAAACAGAGAGATGGGTGTTTGTGAATGGGGTTGCTGTCGGGTAAGTCTTAAGAGATTGGCATGCGTAGTTGTAATTTAACAGTCAGCATAGGGATCACTGGCTTCAGAATAACTTGCAAAGACTGGCCAACACTTTCCGGCGGAGGATTATCGGAGTGCATAACCCAACGTAAGTTTTTAACACCCGCCAAAGCTTCAAGGAGTTGTCAATAGTAACTTGGAACTTAGACTCGGCATCATCTTCGACGTTGTCCAATGTCTCATCGAACGTGACTTCAACTACACCGTCCCCGACATCCGCCAAGGATTCGCCTACGTCAAGCAACAACTCATGCAAGACGACGAGGTCGTGTCGAAAGTGATCTTGATTCTGCACAGCCAAGGCGGCATCGAAGGCGGCATGATCGTCGACTGGCTCCTAGCCGATATGCCACAGCAAAAGTTGGCCAAACTGGAAATCTACACCTTCGGCAATGCCGCGAATCATTTCAACAACCCCGTCCGCCTGTCTCTCAAAGATTTCGGAGGTGATGATGCCGCATTCCAGCAGATGGCCAAAGACGGCAAACATTTCCTCGCGGGGCGGAATTACTTCCGCTCCATTGGCCATATTGAACACTACGCTAATGTGGGAGACTTTGTTGCACGGTTCGGGGTGCTGAACTTCACGACCAAGGACAAGCAACTCGGCAGCAACGACGAGTCTGAGAGCGGAGATTTTATAAGGACGGTGCGCAAAGGAATCGAGGAAGCATTGGAACGGCTAGGGATTTTGCGCCAGATCACGACGCAAGATAAGCACCTCAAGATGAACGGGACGACGGCGCAGACGAGCGACGAGAAGTCAGAGAACCGGTTTGTGGGGACCGTATTTAAGAGGTATGGGACTGGGCATATGTTAAACCAGCATTACCTCGAGAATATGTTCACCATGAAGGGGAATGAGGTGTTGGAGAGTAATCCATTCATGGACTCGCCGGTGGTAGTTGATGAAGAATATCTCAAGTAAGTTACTGATTCGATGATGGGAATTTGGATATGGTCTGGATTAACTTGGCTAACGATGCGGATAGCAATAATCCAAAGCATCGTGAGCGACTGCAGAATGGAGGGGAGCTGACTGTCAAGTCAATGAGCCGGCTTTGGTTGTATAGAAACGGCGGGACCCCGAAGGAATACTGAGTTTGTGAGAGCGAAGACGGAGGCTATAAGCTGACTGTCGGTTGGATACACTGGAAGTTTGGGCTATCCCACAATATGATGTCCTCGGAGCCGGTATATGTCGGAGCATTGTTTGTACTTGACAGTTGGGGAATTAGCCAACGTGGTCAGCGCAAAGGATAGCTACCTTAAGCTCAGGGGCAAGGTAATTATAATAAGAAAACCAAACACGTCAGGCATTCAGCCAAACCAAAACATCAATCAACCAGCTCTTCGGATTTAAAAAGCTCCTGCATGTTAAACATAGTGAGTGTCATTAGACGTACGGTATTGATTTACTCAAACCTAAGAGTCGGGGAGTCAAGGGAAGAAAGAAAGCCACACTTGGCCAATTAGACTAAACCATAGTTGTTATTCCTTCTTAGCGTAGAGACAACAATATAGAAATCCAAGTATAGTGTTTAGCCAGGATGCTGATGGTTAGTTACCTACGAGGTTAGAGGCTAGAGAAAAGAAATCCAAATACAGATTCTGTACAAATCAACATTTCTTTCGCTTTGAGTACCGGCCACTAGTTCCAATGGTTTGGTGATCTAGTTAAGCAAAGCATATATAATAACTTCCCCCATGAATACCCCTGAGGCATGTAGAATGTATGGAAACCAACATTTGTCACGTTTCGAACAACTGTCAGTTTAATACACACTATGCTGCTTTGTGGATTTTGTCCCTGCTGTTTTGCTACGAGATGACTTGGGGCAGACACCGCGTTTGAGCGGTTCATGGATAGCGAGTCCTTCGGCACCAAGTTTATATTTTCTGGAGTCAGCATGTTTGTCACATCACTCTGGACCAGCTTATTCAATATTGCATCAGGCCGATCCGTATATTCAATTGACCGAACTCATACCCGAAACCAGGCACGGCAACCCTCCCCCTATCAGCTCCTCTCCATATCCGACCGCCACATTTCCATTATCGCAATAATATGCGGCCGGACCACCCCAATCTCTCTTCACACCCTCTACCAAACAACGGGTGGGCTAGCCGTCAAATAACTCTTCAACGGCGTCGTCCCATTAAGCGCCACATTAATCGCCTGCGCAAAAGACTGGGCAACCAGAATAGCACCCGTGGGACTCGTGTGCGTGTGGTCATTGGGGTACAACGCATTTGTCTTGACCGATCCTCTCTTCAGATACGCGTTGGCGACCGCCTGGAAATGATCCACAAACGTGGCCCCCGTGCCGACCTCCTCAGCGGCCGTTTTTTGGTACCCCACAAACCTCGGCGCAGTAGCGACAAAGGTCCCCGTCTCCCAGAGGTTATTCGGGGTCTGACTGGACAGAATAACCTGTGCACCCTTGGCGATCAAAGTCTTCGCCGCGGCTTCGACGTAGTGGACAAAAGTGTATACCGTAGCTCCCGTAACGCCGGAGATGCAGGTTTCGGACCCCGCGCCGGGACAGTCGCTGCGCAGGTTGTCGGTGGAGGAGACCGGGGTGCCGCCATCGTTGTGGCCGAATTCGATGACGACGATGTCGCCGGACTGGACAAGGCCGGCAATCTCGGTGAAGCGGCCTTCGTCCGTGTAGCTGCGGGCGGATCGGCCACCGATGGCTTTGTTAACTACGGGGATGGTGAGGTAGTTGCCGATGTATTGGCCCCAGCCTGGTCATCGGACATATTAGTTGCATGTCTCCGGGAAAAACGAAGTGGGGTTTGGACTGGGAAAAGACCGAAAACTCACCATCAGTATCTCCATCATTAGCGCCATCCTTGGCCATAGTGCTGTCGCCAGCGAGGTACAGCGTCGGGGTGGCCCTCTCGACCAATTCAACAGGCGTGCCACTGACCTGGAGAGCGGCCAGTGACGCAAGTGCCAGCGCAGAAGTGAAATGCATTATCGACCGATCGGGGTTAAGATGTGAACGAAAGTGAGGTATTCCGGATCGACAGGCAGATCGATAGACACTGACTGATGTCAAAAGAAGAGAAGAAAGCAGCAATTTACGCGGGGACGAGATCTACATTATAATTGTTCGCATGCATCCGCTTCCAGAAGCTAGAAGCCCAGATGCGGGTTTGGATTCCCCTTTACGGTCCGAGGAAGTCATGCGATTGGCGCAAATTCATGCTCCCGTGTCACCGCCGTATTGTTGCGGAGGCATGATACCGGGGCTGGAATGGGACTACCTAGCACCTCACGTGATGGAATCAAGTAGCATTTGGGCGTGCATTCAGGTCAAACCGACCGGGACGCCGGATTTCTAGGATCTCAAAACACCATCAGGCCTTGGCCGGCTAATTAAGGCGAAAGTTTCATTTAGTGGTCGAATCCACTATAATCCACGTATCGGCAGTGGTGGATACTGTGGAGGTGTTGTGCAATTAGTACGAAACAAATCAAAGCCTACTTCGGTGTCGTCAGCTGATGGTGTTGGGTCACAACTCCGGTTCCAGTGGTCAGAGGAAGCTTGGACTGGACGCCCTTATTTCAGACCCTTCATTGCAATATATCCGCCGCCTGGTTAAAATTCCAGGATTGGGGGCAAATTGATGTGGCCAATCAAAATTGGCTGAGCTCCTGGCGGACAGCCCGAATAGGTTAAAATGGCGTCTGCAACGTATAACTCTGTCTCAAATCAAGCCAACTGGTGGTGGATGGACTACGGAGTACGTACATGGAACGGACACGACCAACACCATTTCAAGATCACGCAACAACAAAGTCATTCCCGTTACCCCTCTTCAACTGAATGGTCCTTCCAGCCCTCGCCCCAGTAGGCTTGCCATCATCAACAGCAAACTGGCCGTTGACCAACACCGCCCTGATGCCAGTAGCAGGCTGTCTCGGATTGGCAAACGTGGCCGCGTCGCGGATGGCATCAGCGTCGAATAAAAGCAAATCCGCTCGATACCCTTCCTTGATGAGCCCACGGTCTCGCAGTCCAATGACGCCGGCTGCACGACCAGTAAGGTGGCTCACAGCCTCTTCCAGTCCACCCACAAATATTGTCTCTGGTTCGACATCATCAAATTCAACCGGCCCGGTCCCCTCAGAAACCTGCGGTCCCTCAATGCGCCTTGACTTCCCCTGTGCAAGATCACGGTGATAGTGCCCCAGATATCGCGGAAAGGTGCCCCAGCCTCGGGGATGCGGCTTGGTGGAAGTGAGAATACCGTCCGACCCGCCTGTATGCGTGCGATGGCGCATGATCTTACGGACGTTTCCCTCGTGGCCCGCATGCTGCATGATGGTAGTGCCAAAGTCGTCTTCCTTGAGGATTTGGATAAAGGTGAGGAAGGGGTCTTGGTTCAGCTCGCGCGCAATCTGCCCCAGCATCTTGCCCACGTATTTTTCGGCTAGCGAGGGGCGCTGCACGCCGCTAATTTCGATTATTTCCCAGTTTAGGGTGCAGCCGTGGCAGCCGTCGGTGCCTTGCACGAGCGCCTGGTGTCGGATCTTTTCGAGCTGGGCTGGGTCCGAGAGGATGGCGAGCTTGTCGTCCGCGGATGCTACCCAGCTAGGCAGGGTGGCGGCAAGCGTCGTCGAACCGGGCAGATAGGGGTATGTGTCCATGGACAGCTGGATGCCTTCGGATATGGCCTTATCCACCATTTCGAGGAACTCGTCCGCTCGACCGACATTCTCGGCAAAGTTGAGCGTGGCGTGGGTGAGATGCAGTCGCACGCCCGTTTTCTTGGCCAGTTCAATCATCTCGGCATAGGCTTCCATGGCACCCTTGCCGTACGAGCGTGTGTGGGGGCAATAATAGCCGCCGTATTGCTTGACTATCTCGCACAGTTGGGACAACTCCTCGAAATCGGCAAAGTTGCCTGGCACGTAGGTGAGTCCAGATGACATGCCTACAGCACCTTGTTTGAAGGCCATGTGCAGAATCTCCTTCATCGCATCGATCTCGGCCTGGGTGGCTGGGCTCGAATCCCATCCCTTGACCAACATGCGCAGGTTGCCCTGCGGAACCAGATATGCTACATTGGTCGCAATCTTGGATGCATCGAGAACGTCCAAGTACTCTTCAACACTTCTCCACCTGTCGAAGAAGTCGGGCGGATCTGTAGGGTTACCGTTCCAGCCTGCGATTTGCTTTCGGATCCGAGCCATCGTCTCGTCGTTCACTGGGCTGTATGAAATGCCATCCTGTCCGATGACTTCTGTCGTCACGCCTTGTGTGATCTTGGCTAGATGGTCGGGCGTGTGCAGCAGAGAGAGGTCGGAATGCGCGTGCATGTCGATGAACCCGGGGCTGAGAACCCATCGTCCATTATCGCAGTCCACAATGCGGACGCCATCTTGGCTTGGCTTCTCGAGCTCGGTCCCGATGGATTGGATCAAGCCATCTCGTACAAGGACGTCCGCCTTGTACCTATTTTGTGTGCCGGTGCCATCGATGATAGTGGCCCCGATGAAAATTATGTCACCTGCTTGGTATTCTATCATTTCGTTGATGTTGCAGCTCAGCGCTTTCCTAGCTATTTGGAGTAGTTGCTGTATCGGAATCACAATAAATAAACTCCGGTGATAAAGTATCGTATCCAAGATTACCCACTTTGCATCGGAGAACCGTCCGATTTCGGGACGTTTTCCGTGTCCGTTTCTGTCATTGTGTTGAATAAACAGCGTATTGCATGGTAAAATACAGGATAGCGAAGTATGCCATTATCGCAGTCTGGTAAGAAATCGATGATTATCAAATTGTCTCATTTCAATGTGATTTCAAGCTGCTGTGCCACCTGCAACCATGCTGTAGTATAATATGTATTACTCCGACTGCTGCAGTCCCGAATGGAAACAGCGCGATGCCAGGTTCCGCGGTGCTGTGTGCATTCAACTCCCTTCTTCTTGGAATTACTACAGCAGGGCTGACAGTTTCAAACCAACTATGGATCGGGGTTAATTGAGGAAAGGGGTGGTAAATAGACGTTTCTCTGTTTAATTTGACTTGTAAAGTCAACAGTGAATTGATCACAAGTTGTCAAACCTCAATGCAGGCGAGTATTTGAGCCCACCCCCTACAACACATCAGAGGATACCAAGACATTCCTGTCACGTTAAATAAGCTGCAACTCTCTCACTGGCTCAATCGAAATCTCATGTGACATATTATATGAGACTACCATGGTCGGATACCGCGCGAGAGCGGTATATTTAACCTTTTCAGAGATATCTATAGGTGATGCGAGTGCATATGGGGTGTGAATTGTTGTATTGGAAAAGGATGGCCAGGTCAGCTATTCTGGCCTGGCAGAGCTCTTTTATAGCTCTAATCTATCTTATCTATAGCTATAGGGTAACCCCCATGGGGTCACGTATCAATAGGGCTCTATGATTCTCGTTTCTTTAATTTGTAGTTTGCATAATCAGGAGTTTCAGAACGAAAGAAGATCAATGGGAACTGCATGTGTGAAATAACCAAGTTTGTCCACTGAAGCCTGCGTCTGAGAGCTCATATATGTTCATACGTAGATATAAGCAAGCTTAACAACCGCCATCAATAATTTCCAATTCTCGTTTATTATGCTGTTCAGTACAGGCCTACGGTGTATAAATAAAGTGACATAATAGCCCTTCAAACTATGAACTACAATCCCTAAAACCTAAACTACTTTCCAGAGTGTGATAGAGTCACTGCACGTAGTAGAATCCCAAGGTGCAGGCCGAAACTTAGGTTATTGCCTTGATAGGGAGGAAAGGAAGTAAGTTCCCAGCACTCCCGGAAGTGCGGGTTATACACGGCATTCGGATCGGGCACAATTAGAACCAAGCCCGGAAAGGGCCAGAAAGCCGGATTAATCCACAATGGGCATAGCCCCATGACACGGGGAGCTATAAGACAGTCACCTTATAGGGATAGCCCTTTATCTTTATATCGTTTTATACTCCTAAATTCTAGGTCTCCTTATCTTTCCAAGCCTTAAGTTGCCTATGTTGTACGTAAATACCGCAAGCCATCTTCCTGTGCCGCCAGCATCGACGATGTCTCCATGATGATGAAAACGCAGGGGTTGCTCAAATTTAACGGCCCAGGGGGATGCGAGCAGCTCGAGCATCTCGCGCCTGTACGTGACAAATGTGTGCATAAGGGTCTTTTCGCGGCTGGCTGACGAATACCCGGAGATGATTGAGAACATGTTGAAGGGATTCGAGTGGGAACTGTCGTGCATGAGCCACTATTCTCGCGTGCTCGGCTGCGAAGGTGGTATGATGTTTGCGCCAAACACGTTACTCGGCGCCGAGGACGATAATTGAATCAATTGATATATTAATTGCAATCTTCCATACTCCAGCATTTGTCTAGCGTCGTGAAGCTATAGCGTCTCCACAGAAGCTTTAGTGCGAACAAGGTAGGGTCGCTCTAGGGAGTCTTGGCTCTGTTAGGCCGACGCTATACTCAAAGCCTTCTATCCCAATGGACCAGTCACTCATAACTTGAAGGCAATGATTATTTATAGATACTACAACCCACCAGACAGAGTTTAGGCCTCAAAGCATATTTGAGTCCAACATCCATCTTCATCATTATTTCACATTTAGAAATGCAGCGCACACCGAATGTTGGGTTGCTGCATAAACACCGAACAGCTCATAGCCTCATGAGGCCACATGAGGCCATAACGGACGAGCAGGTCACCAAGCCCGGACCCCCACCAATTTATTGGTTCTCTGCTGCGTCATAAAACGAACCAACGCTCACATGTTTGATTGGTGATCATCATCCTTCTTCGCGAGTCACCGTCGCAAATCTTTTTGTTTCTTGATTCGTTCGTTCTGGCGCGTCTGGGAGTCTTCTATCTCGTTGCCTAAAGGTACCTCCCTTTTGGCTTGCGCCACAATGTCCCTCTTCGTCTGGTGGACTCGTCGCTCCGGCGGCATGGCCATGGTCTCTCTACTCTCGTTATCCAGCTATGTTGTCTTCAAAACTTGGGTAGCATCGCGAAATCTCAACTACGCCATTGAGGGTGACGGTGGTTTCTGGACCCTCGTCTTCGCCTACTACTGCTTACTCATACACCTCCTCGTCTTCAGTTTCCCCTTGCGCGTCATCTGGGCCCTGAGGGACCTAACCCGAGGCCTGAAAGAGGTGGCCCGCAACAAGACGCTGAAAGATCCCCAAGACTCCAACTCTGGGCACGGGCCGTCCCCATCACTCTCCAGCTGCAAGAACTGGGTTTCGTCCTGGTGCCTCCCCACGCGAAGTGGCCACGGCGGGCTGCACACTGAGCTCTATGCCGATGATAATGTCACTCCTGGCCACATTCTTCACGCCATCATCATTCCCAACTACAAGGAGGATATTGACATGCTCAGAGAGACGCTGGAAGTGTTGGCGTCACATCCACGGGCCCAAACCAATTACGATGTGAGCCTACGAGTTTATTGAGATTTGAAAACGAAACCTCCCCCTGCCCAACGGCTTGCCCCAACCAGCATGGAGACACTACGAGCTCTGTATTATTCTGCGTACCGTTTCTTCCCCTGACCGACAGCAACGGGACACAGACCAGCTGATCAGCCGTGTTAGGTCTACCTCGCAATGGAACAACGCGAACCAAACGTCGCATTCAAAGCGATGAGTCTGATTTCAGAGTTCGTGACAAAGTTCCATTTCATCGTGTTCACGCTCCACCCCTCGGGTATTCCCGGTGAAGCTGCCGGTAAGGGCAGCAACGTTGCTTGGGCTGCAAGAAAACTAAGCGAAAGGTACCCTACGGAGAGCCGCAAGGATGTGCTCGTCACCGGGATTGACGGTATGTGTGCTTTTCGGTGCTCATTGTCTAGATTTTTGTGTCACTTGGTCCTTTATCTTGATTGCTGATGCATTTAAATGCGGCAGCCGACAGTCACTTGTCCTCAGACTATTTCGCCTTGGTTACCAGCATGCACTTGGCCCATCCCGAGACATCCTCGACTACCCTTTACTCAGCCCCCATTATATTCGACAGAAATGCCCACAGCGTCCCAGCTATTGTTCGCGTTGCCGATATTCTCTGGTGCGCCGGTGGTATTTCGGGTTTGTACGGCGGTTCAACCATCTCACCACCGACCTCGGTTTATAGTCTTTCACTTGAATTGGTTGATCGAGTTGGGGGCTGGGACTGTGATATGGAAGCTGTGGGCGAGGACCTGCACATGTACCTGAAGTGCTTCTTTGCGCTCAATGGTAATTTGACAACGAGGACCATCCTGAGTCCCGTGAGCCAGAGCAACGTTACCGCTGGAGGTGGCATCATCCCGGATATGCTTGCTCGGTATAAACAAGCCCAGCGCCACATGTGGGGTGCTTTGGATTCTGGATTCGCGTGGAGGGAGCTGTTGGAGCTGTGGCAAGAAAGGAAAAGTCTAGCAAGAGCATTCAGGCCTCTACACGCGTCTCTGTATGTTGCCCTCAATGCGTGCCCCCAATGTGAAAACACGGTTCAGTTACTTGTCTGACGTCCCAAGAAACACTAACTCTAGAGACTCCTATGTCCCGCAACAGCCTGACAACTTGAACCACGAACAGCTTGTGGAGGGTGGAATATTTTCCGATATTGTCTATGACACCATCGAAGAGCCCAACTACGCGCGCGTATTCTACCTCTTCCATCGCCTGTTCGAGGCCCACTTCCTGCCGGTCCACGCCACAATCCTCATTCTCTTCTCAGCCGTGTACATGTGGGTCACCGCCGGCAAGGCGGACATCCACGGGGTGAACTGGATCTTTGAGGTGTGCAACTATCTTCGCAACGTGGGCTTCCTCGAGGTCGTCGTGCTCCTCTTTTTCTATGAGACCTTTCATAAGATCTGTCTCGAGACGCTCCAGAAAGAGATGACGGATGCGGGCCTAGCCAAGGACATGAATTTCTCACCCAGGAGCTGGAGGAGGAATTTCATCGATTACTTCATGGTGCCCCTTGTGGCACCGATATACGGTTCCATACCGTGCGCGCAGGCGCAGATTTGCCATTTTTGGACCGTTGATCTGGTGTATACGGTCAGCCAGAAGGCTACGAGGCAACGTTCCATATCGGCAACATTGGCTGGGAAAGTATGAAGAAGTCTTCAAAATGTTGCGGATGTTAATTCACCATCCTTTCCTTAGAAAGCGGGTCGGGGCGCAAAACGCCGACTCTTCGAGACCATCACGAGAGTCCGAATATTTCCAGGTTCAAGTGGATGGCCAAAATTCCACGAACGCTGGCTATTCTACTAATATAACGATGACTGTAATCTAGCATGGGACAAGCTGAACTCTAATACAGAAGTCTTAATAGCCGGGCCGAGAATAAGATTTGTTCACGTATCAGGCGTGTGCGTGGGAATGTCGGCATGGGACAGAAGACACATTGATTCCATGACACTAGATTCGCTACATAGCCGACTCCCTTATTATTGTATCGCCAGGCGCATTTTTATATTGTATTACTCATAGATTATAGATCTGCAAGTCCATTTAAACGTAGACAGAGACTGAAGACATCCTATTAGCGAGAAATCCTCATCTAGTGCATTACTTGGGGATTGCATAAGTTCCACAATTAAGGGAATAACTGAGGGAATCGGCCCTCTGTCGATGACTCTGGATGGATATCATATTATCGCTATGCCTGCTCTACCGTTGTGCTACGTAGGTCGGCGTTGAAAGGCTTTGTAAGGTGCTCTTGCTCTCTTATATAGAAGGGAGGAAGGAAGGAAGAAACGGCCCGACCCACTGTCTACACTAGCAATGGTACAGGTCGCGCGATTAGATCATCAGGATCAGTGAAGGAAGTCATGGCTATATAAGGGACAGAGACTGCCAGGCTTTCATAGTAAAAGGTACTTTGGTTCAATGATCAATCTAAGCATCTATCTAGCCCGTATGTGAGGCCTTTCAAGCCTTAACGACTGTGTCTTATTCGCGGTATTGGAAAATCAGTTTACATACGCACCCATTATCATTGATCAAGACCCCGTCAGTATTATTGACTTGCTAGCATAAACCCAACAGCACTTCCAGTTGGTTTAGCAGCTACACTATTTAAACGTTTGTCAAATCGTTCTTACGCCAAGGCGGCACGTAGTAAGATTTTAAAGCAAGGAGCAGATCGTATAATAATAGGCTACTGCATCGAGACCTTGCGCCTTGGCGGGTCGAAAACACTAGCAGGTCCCACCTCGTGTTACTATATTCGACCACGATGTCATTCCTCAAATGCGAGCATGGAAAGTGGAATTGAATTGAATTGCGAAATACAAATTCCGAGGTACTGTAGCTGATCTTGCTATCGAATTAACGTCTAAAACATCTATCGTCTATAATTGACTTGACAGTCATGCCCACTTATATCGTATCCCAGAACCCGGAGCACCTTGCTCTACCCCTTTTCTGTCATTGCTTGCAGGATGCGAGCCAAGCCGCTGGCGCTCGCGAACATGTCCAGCTAACACCTCGGCTTTGAAAGATAGAGCCGGAGATGTCAACCGACCATCGGGTGTCCCCTCAAGCCGCCGGCTTCTCTTCAGGAGTTCCATCGAACTCCCGCGACGAAGAGGTGAGAGCCTCGTCAGCCGGTACCTGCGCCATGGTCTTGCACCTGCGAACCTGGGCGAAAAGGTCCACCACAGCCGCCACAAGCTCCCAACTAAACAATACCGGCAGCGTCCTGTACAGCCTGTTGTAGCAACCACCCGACCAGATCTGGATCAGAACCTCCAACATATTGTGAGCCGGCCACATATAGCCGATGCGGTAAAAACCGGGGCTGATCTCAAATGGCATAACGGTGCTGGCCATATTGACGATGATCCAAGTGAAAGTAAAGAACGGCACGGCGGCAATGGGGAAAAACCCGGCAGCAGTGTCGAGAACCAGCCAGTTGACGTGCATGCTAAGCCAGAGGAGCATCCAAGTCTGACCGAACTGCGCGGCTATCAATCCCCAAGTGTCCTGGAACGCGAATAAGTATCCCGTCGTAAGCAGGCTTCCAACAAGAGTGAAGATGATGGAGTAGCTGAAACGGACAGCGAGGTGGGATCGGATCGAGGCGCCAGAGAAGATACCGAAGCCCTGGCATATGCCGTTGAAGGCCAGGATGCAGAAGAACTGCATCAAGATTACGAAAACGACGGTGGCGGTGTTGTAGAAGGGGTTTGTGCTGGGCGGGGTCGCGGCGACGTCGTGGGAGGTGAAACTGAAGGGTTGGGCGAGGTAGGGGGTTATTGTCGATAGATCGCTGCTGATGTTAGAGCCGGCGAGGCCGACGATGTAGTTGGCTCGGGCGGCAGCGAAGAGGGTCTGAATGTCCGGGGAAATGTAGCTTTGTTGGATGATGGGATAGCGAATGCCCACATGCATGGCGGTGGCCGCAGTTGTCACATCCCACGGTTCGGTAGCATCGCCTGCAAGTGTGGTTGCGAGTTGCTCGGATGCGCCAGACGATACCAAGACCGCCCCCCAGAAATCGCCGCGACAGACGGCATCTTCGATGGCGGAAGCAGATGCATAACTGGATGGCGAGTGTTCTTGGAGGGTCACGAAGCCATCCCCGCTGATCTGTGAATATGCACTCCTGACACTATCGCCAATGGCCCCCTGATCGTAGTCGACGAACAACACATTAAATGCCTTGATACGTGTGTTTGCACGGAAAAGAATGCCGAAGATGTACGACTCATTGGCCAAGAACAGAAGTTGAAACAGCAGAAAACTCATGCACGTCGCGATGAAGAAGAACTTGCGTCTGCCCACCCAAGCCGGGGAGAACAAGGACGGCTGCGATGAAGCGAATAGGGAGTCGAGAAACGCCATCGTAAAAGACCAGACCAATTCAATGGAAGAAACCCAAGATGGAGAAGGGAAGGAGAAGAAGTGCAAACTAATCGCAGTTGCAGTTGCTTTAAAGAAGAGTTCACATATAAAGCACGGTTAAATGTTGTATTTATTCTAGGATCTTTGCAGCAAATTGCCCGTTTTGCCAACGCCAAGCCATTTGGCGAAGCTGAGAAAATGGGGGTTGAGAATCTCAGATTGATGTCTAAATGAAGTTGGGGCATGTCAAGTACCTAATGATTTTTGGGTCGGCAAAGTCAAAAGTCCGGGATCCATACTTGACTACCATTGGACCCCACCATTTCGCTAAGCCCAAAGCCTATGCACCCATGGAAAATCTTCTTGCTTTAATTACACACAACTTGACGGCCAATAGCTAAGATGAATATGGGTGGGCAATTCAGGCAACACAGTTGGATGATAATGACACCAACTCCCCAACGCGGCAGCCACGGAAGGGCTACCTATGTTTGGCCCAAGCACGAAGCCCAACCGGTGTACCTGGGGCACGCAACACGAAGCTATTTCGAAGTCCAGAGGCGGCAATGTATACTAATGTCTTGATATCTTGATTGCTCGCCCCTATCTTGTAGTCTTGCGGGTTCATTCCGGCGTCTGTCCGCCCCTTCATCACTGCTGGCCTCAGGACCTTTTTTTTTCCCTTTAAGTAATGATAACGCCTCTAGCCCTAGGGCTGCAGGGGCTTGCATTGTATTCTCAGGGATAGGCTGGCCCGCCGCTCATGCCTCTCTAATATCTATGAACCACCTCTCGGGTTCGGTATAGCCTTATGCTGCTTACCCTTTTCAACCTTGTTCAGTGGCTAATTCGATATCCGCAGTCTCCATTCCCCTAACGGCCTTGAAAACGAAGGCCTTAGACATTAGACCCTGGTTTTGTTACGTAATGACCATTAAGCCAGTGCGCTTGCAAAAGATGGGACGTGCGCGTGCGTTGGTTACGCAAAACTGAGTGTTTACAGCTACTACACGTAACGTACCCCACAAGCAAGTTGGCCACACAAGCAAGTTGGCCACTTTTTCTTGGCACCGTATGAATAACTTCAATAACTTAACTAAACTAAAAAATAATAATTCAAACTAATCGGAATCCTCTTCCTCGTACGTATCTTTATCATTCTCACAAGTACGAGCATTATGTCCGGGCTCTCCGCAGATCCTACAGCGCCGTCGGCGTGGTTCGGCCGGTCTCGTACGACGACGACTTACACGTATATCATCCTCTAGCTGCTGTTCAATATCCCGTTGAGACTGTAAGTCCTGAGCGTCTCGTAAACTAAGAGATCCTCCATCTTGTAGCTGTCGATTGTGAGTCCTTCGACGACGGCTTAGCTCTTGATTGGCCTTCCGAAGTGTAGTAACCTCATCTTCAAGTAAAACTAACCGATGCATAACAGCCGTCGCACCACGTGAAAATTGGTCAATAGCCGTAAGTATTGTCGTCGGGGAGCTATTCCGATGCTGTACGATTCTGTTTTTAACGTATTCAGACTGGGATTGCGCCTCGGTTGGGTTATTTGGAGTCTTTGATTCCCAGATTAAGGGGGCGCCAGACGAGCTCCCAGGAGGTGTAGGCGTATGTAACTTAATATCCAGCTGTGAAATCACATATTCCGGGTCGTACGGAATAAGTCCTGTCCCCCTGAAACCTGCCTGGATATTCGACTTACTTATAGTCGTACGATACGCCCTACAGAATGCCGAAAAGAAATTCTCCTTCGAGATATGGGTTATATGCGCCCGTATTAGGTCTTCAATTTCTTTGCCGTACGACCTTTTCAAAGCCCTAAAACAGCCTAAATCGAGAGGCTGGAGCTTATGTGACGAATGAGCAGGCATACTAAGTGTAATAATAGTATGCTCTTTGCAATATAGCTCGAAGTCAGTCGAGTGGTGGCTCTCATGCCCGTCGAGGATAAGAAGACGATAAACACCCTTCGTACGATCCTTCGTATAGCGATCAAAGTGCTGAATCCAGTCTACGCCTCGCTCATTTGTTGTCCAACCGTTTTTGGTTACAGCGATTACCCAATCGGACGGGAATGGGCTATTCTCGTACCAGGATAAGAGGTGGTTTTGACCCGCGACAATAATATACGGCGGGATAGCCCAGCCGGACGAATTAATACCCTGGATTACTGTAGCCCATTATAGATTGCCTTGTTGGACTGTACGAGGCCTTCCGCGTCGTTCGGCTTGTAACTACCATCTCGGATGAAATTAAGCCCATCGCGAACCCTATCTCGTCGAAGTTATAGATATCCGCCTCTTGGATACCATATTTCGCAATTGTATTTCGTACGAGCGTAAACCACGCGCGATACGCGTCAGGGTCTTCGCAATAGGCTCGTTGGTAGTCGATTCTTCGATTAAAACGCGTCCGAAGGTCTGGTTGTCGTCGTACGAAGTTCGAGGCCCAGTTGACGCCGACGCGTCCAGCGCCACGGTCACGGAGCAGTCGGTTAGCCATAGCTTCAACACCATGGAGCCGGGGAGGAAATGATGGCAAATCTAGGTCAAGTATGTATTGTACGACCGCTAACTCTTCTGATTCCGTAAGCTTATGACTAGATTGTCGAGTATCGCGTCGAGATAGTAGTCCGCGTTTTCGGTTAGCTAGAGTTGTACGAGGGACATTGTAGAGTTGGGCAGCGCGTCGGATGCTTAATTCGGGTTTCGATTGAAGCGCCTGACACGCTAGAATCATGTCGCTTTCTTTCCAATTCAATCCCATCTTGGTATGTGTAAAGATATTAATTAAAAGGTTGTTCGTACGGTGCCAAGAAAAAGTGGCCAACTTGCTTATGGGGTACGTTAGCTAGTCCTAGTCTGGATAAACAGAAAACAATCGAGACGTCTGCATCCCAGACCAATACAGTAACTCCTATGCAGTAAATTTTCAAAGGGAATTTTAGTCCCGATATGTTGAGCTCTAGCCTTCGGGGCAAGCCGCTCCTCTGAACTCCTCGGCGTTAATATAATAAGCAATATGTAGAATTTCAGGTAGAAAGAGAGGTTCAATTCTCTATATGCTGCTTGTCTGAACAATCTGAGCTATATACAAGAGTAGAGTTTACCCCGCCTCCAGTGTTGTTTCAGGCGCATTTCGGACACCTGTATATCTCCAAGCGAGTGCAGTACTAGATACCAAATATTGCTGACACAATATCATATAACCCAACTTCTGTACTCTGGCGTTTCAGTGGAATTGAAGATCTCCGTGTAAAGCATATAACGACTGAATAACCAATATACTCCCCACCACCCCAAAAGCACTTGCCTACTTATACTGATGATTATATGAATCCTAGAGGAAGGCGTATGTGATTTTTTTGGAATGATTTGCATCCTATTCCGCTACTCGGCCGTAGTACCGAAGATCCTGATCTAGTCGATGTGCTTCCACTTTAGCTTCTTGTAGTATCGCTTGTGTTCGTATCATCTTTGTGCGAAGTGTTTTCCGTTTTGCTTTTAGTTTCCCGTAAACTTCCTTGAGTGTTTAGCAAGGCGGTCCCTGAACTGGATATTGACAACTCGTTGTCTTGAGACCCATGGTGATGAGTAAGAGAAGCGTCCAGGTGGAGGCCAGGTGAAGTATTGACAAAGGTAGATGGGTTCTCACAATACGCCACGTCGCGGGACCTGGTGACTTCTGGAGCTACAACCTACTTTCAAACGATGAGCAAGTATAGCTACAGCCCGTTTACATCAATCCTATTCACGATTTCGGTATCCTACAAGTCGCTATTTCAGTTTCCATTTACCCATATGTGACAACTGTAGGCAACCAGGGTGGGCTATATGCAACCTACAACAACGTGCTAAGAGAAGCCCTCGGCTTTTATCGGCCTGGTTACCTCGGTTCCGACAATTACGTGTGCAAACATCACAACAACATATCTACTCTCACATTCAACTCTACTAAAGCTCACCAGTCCATGAACCATGATCGGCCAACTTCGATTTCCGCGCCACTGTGACAAATGCCACAAGGGCTACAGATATAAACACAGTTGCTATTGAACGGCACATTGACGACCTAAATCGCTTGCTCTATCCACGATAACTTCCGACAACAGCGCTCGCGAACTCCACAACGGGCCTAGCATAAACCCCTTTTCGTTAAGTAATAGGTCCGGTTCTTTCGCCGAAGATACCCGAAGACTTTTTGGAAGATTTCAGGTTACATCTCTCGAAGCCTCTTATAACGAACTTCCCTTAGATCTCAAGGATTTGTATGTTCTACCGGGTTATCCCAGTACCGTCATATAGTTAACGTTCCAAAGCATAGCAAATTACATAACCCAAAAGGGTACTCTCATAAATCCCCGACAAGTTGACGTTGCCGAAGCTCTATTAGTAACGTCCAGTGTTGGTTCCTGGGAATTAAGCAGCCGAGAACGCTTTCTTGAGCTAGCCCAGAGGCTAATCAAAAATCATCACTGTCTGGAGCTCAAAGCCAAAATCATTTACAGGCAGAGCGTCTTAATGCGCCTCAAAGGTGATGCTAAAGGCTCTAAGCTTACCATCACGTCATTCTTGACCAGCCTACATCCCACATTGGACCAGGTGCCGCAAGAGGACCTCGCACCTCTACATCTATCACAGGCAGCCAACCATACCTACCATTTCGGGTTTTCGGATGTGCATGAAGAAGTTAAAAAATGGAGACCTTCAAGCAACCCACTAGTTAGACAACATGAAACCTTTAGGACCTGATATTCTGCGTCGGCCGCATTATGCGAGGAGAGGGCCGTTTCGAAGAAGCAAGGAAATGTTTCGAGACTTGCCTCGGGACATACGGACTATACGCATCCAAGCGTTTCCTTGTCAAGTCAGCGGTTGCCGATATTTATTGCGAGCTAGCGTATCTGACAACAAGGACATCGTACTTCTCTCGGGCGAAGGCAATTCTGGAACCGGAAATAAGTAGCCTAAGGCAATCATCTAGCCAGAATCTTAGGGGATATCGGCGGCTGCTTCTATCCCTCACCGAGGCTAAAATTCGTCAAGGCCATCATGACGCGGCCGACCTCTTAGCGACAGAGCTTCTGACCATATACGGGGACTTAGGAGAGCCGGACATCGTAGATCGGCTTAGACATGTCAGGACACTTATAGCTTTAGTGTGCATATCTCCGACCTTGCATAATACGTCAAACAGGTGGAAAGTTGTCATGGACTGGAATAGGTTCTACAATCCATTAGAAGAGGAGGTTTTTACTTGCGGCGTCGTCTACCTTTTTCTTTGTATTACATAGTGACGTGGGGTTAGGGTTTTTGGGTGCTCGTTTTCGTTTTTTCCGGTTTCGGACGAGTTATGTAAGCGCGTTCTTGAAGGGTATTTAAGACCTTATGTACATAGTCACTCTCTTGAGAAAAAGATAGAAATTCAAGCGGCCTTTTCCACAGTAATCTGAACCAATTTCTCTTTACTTGGACAGGCGTTCAATGTCTGACGTACCTGTTGAGGTACTTTCTGTTCCCCTATAGATCTGATTGTGCCTATTGAGGCCATTGTTCCCACCTTTCACCTGTTGAGGTGATTGTTCAAGGACCTGTTGAGGCTACAGTTGTTAGTACCTGTTGAGGTACTTGTCGTTCCGATCAGGGCAAGGAGCTCTTGATCTTGTTATTTCTTTCCACCTCCCGGATAGTAAGGTCTTGTTGAGGATCTTGTTATTCGTTGCCATCATCTTACACCTTAAACCTGCGGGTGGTTTCACTGCCCGTCGTCAATAGTATCGACTTAGGAATATTGATATGAGCATGGGATATTTCCAGAACGCAATGTGCGTAATAGAGAAGAAACGGCGTCAGTACTCAATACCGGGGATAGGTACCTACCTCTTTTGCGGCGTGTATGAGGAGGTTCGATCCACGACAGGGTGGCTTTTAGGGATCCCAGTTTTTGTATAGCAGTTTTTCCTCGTGACCTTGGGCGCCTATGTGGAACGTCGTGATCAAGACTAAGTTAAAGAATTTGGTGGGTGCAGTCACGTTCTTACGAGGATGTAAGAGAACTTTTTGATCATTGTATATAGGCGATGATGATGTTGAGATGTTTTGAGAGAAGCTTCTATTGTGCGTCGTAGACACCTTTGTTTTCTGTTTTCTGGAGCTTTAATTTATTGTTTTTTACTGGCATATGCGCAAGAGGGCAGAGACTCGAAGTCGTGAGGCATCAAACGACCCGCCATGGTGAGCGAAGCATTGATGTTCACCTTGCCGTTATGATGTGTTGAATTGTTCCAAAGGTCTTGCTGATATGGTAGATAATTCGCCGGGAGGACCGCTTTCTATAGTCTTCCGCACGTCTGAACGGACGGCATGATCTTCCACGACTTGCCCCATAAGCCTTTCGACGTCCCCTTCTAATGAGCTACGTATCGTCTGCACCTGTTCATACAATTCAATTTTTCTCAAATTTTCGAATACCTTCTCTTTGATCTAGTAGTTAATAGCTCTTCCGGCCGTCAGCAAACCTATTGGGAACCCAATTTTATGGTCGTCTAGGAGAGGGCAACGTGAAACGAGAGGCATTGTGAGCGACCAACAATTCTATGCTTGTTAGCTACAAGTGGGAGGTTGATTGGATTCTTATCATAAGCCTTTGACACCGTGGAGTGATAACTCTATTAGGCTAGATAGGTGCCCATAGGTTGGACCTGAAGTTACGTAGAGATTCAACCAGGTCTGGAGGTTCTTAGCGAAAATTCTCGAAATCAACGAGCTCGACATAAATGTCATGTAAGGATATTCGCTAATAAGCCTTCGTTAAACAGCTGAGTTCTTAACAGAGGCATCGTCGGTGATGTAGATAGAGGAGCTCTCAAAGAGCATAGTTCTAGAGTCTGTATTGTGCACTTAAGTACTCATGTAGTCACATGTCTATCTTTTCACGCCTTGATTACGCATGCTACTGCGACCTGTAACGTGCAGACATGACCTTACCAGACTGTCTCTCGTCCCATCACGATCAAAATAACATATCCATCGTCCCCATACGCCTATTTTCCTCCACCAACTTCTTACTTATGAGCTTCTTGTCTACCCACGAATCCTCCAAACGAGGACGTCCTTCCCAGCTCAGTAAATACTAGACCGACCGTCTCGCCCTTCGGACGGGTTTGCACAACCTCTACACCTAAATTGAAGCCGTCGTAGTTTGTTTAATCCCGACTTGGTAGCGTCTTAACCTGTAGTAGCCTCGTATTCCCGTCAGTTAATGACAGCCTATCCCTATCGACAACGGGGGCTATTGCCACACGAAACACCCAGCCTGAAAAAAGGCGCGGACAAGACAAATGAAATAAGGGATAGAAGTCTGGTGACGTAGAGCCGACGGATTCTCGCGACCCTAATCAGCCGGAGGGCGAAGTGAAAGCCTATGAGGACTGCTTGGAACTGTAATATCCATATTAATCATCCTGCCTTGGAACTACGTGTCATGGCTGTGCACCGGAAACAGGCTTGCGCCAATGGCCTCTCGTCGATATGCGCTGGAAAATGCACCTTGAATGCCCGGACCACCTGCTTGACTGGCGGCCATGTGTGCGCGACTAGGCCGCAATCACAGCCACCAGTGACTGTTGACAAATGATTCGATGAGACGACGATGGGACGTCCTTCATCCGCAGCTGGGCCGCTTGTGCGGTCGCTGCGCTGACTTGGTGCTGAGACTGGCCCGATCAGCCCACAGACAAACCTCGGGAGGGCGGCGCGAGCATACGCGCACGCAAGGAGTCTGCCACCAACTGCTCGTATCTGAAGGAGCACGTCATTGAAGAGACATGTGCCATCAGCCCAAAGGTGAGGCTCCAGCGTCGACGCATGCATTATGACCGTGACTTGCGGGAAAGAGTATCATGGCATTGTTGTGGTAAAAAGGGCCTGACAACTGTGGTAGTAGACTTCCGCTCAACTGAAGAGTAGGTTGCAAGCTCCATCGCCTTGGCCAGACGGAAGGCCACGAGGATCATAGTTTAAGGGTGCTCGGGTTAAGGAAAGAGGGGGAAAATGGAGTATGTGACAGCAGTTGGAACATGAAAGAGAAGTTAAGAATACATCGGGAGGGCATGGGGAGGACCAGTCTTATATATGCATGTTGTGGTTGCAGACAGGGATGCGCTGCCGCGCGATACCGAATCGGGAAAGGGGCTAAACCCGGGAGGTGCGACAGCACATTCTCGACTACAAAGAGAACTATATTCTTCTAGGTCATGGCAAGGTGTAACTGGGAAGTGTATGCAATCCAACTGACTACCAACTCGCGGCAGGAGATACCAAGGTGATGCGAGTGCATATGGAGTGTGAATTGTTGTATTGGGAAAGGTTGCCCAGGTCAGATATTCTGGCCTGGCAGAACTATTTGTAGCTCCTATTTGCTATCTAGCTATCTTATCTAGAGTTACAGGGTAACCCCATGGGGTCACGCATCTCAAGGGTCCTACCCGGGAGTACTCACTTCGTACAAGACAATGTAACATCAAGTTATTCGAGTCAAGTCTATTCGCCTTTCCAAAAGTGAACACAATGGTTGTTTGAATTTACAATAATGGTCCATTAGAACCAAATAAATACTGCATATACCCTTTAAGCATCTCGCAACTTGCAATGAAATTGCTCTTTCGCGCCAGCTAATTGTTCGATTGCTATCTTCTATACATAAGCATCTGGTACGTGACCCCATGGGGGGTTACCCTATAGCTATAGATAAGATAGATAAGAGCTATAAAAGAGCTCTGCCAAGCCTGAATAGCTGACCTGGCCATCCTTTCCCAATACAACAATTCACATCCCATATGCACTCGCATCAGCATCCCTCGACAGCAAAGCCTAATCACGTCCTTAGTTACAGCAAGCCCATAATTGGACATGATTGGCCTGTTCAACCAAAGCGTCTACGCTTCTGTCAACGAACCCCTACGGTGCTAGGAGCATTCCCGCCGCGGACTTCGTGGTGTTCTAGGAATCCTCGACATTAACGAATGTAGAAAAATTAACAAAAAGGGTCACAGACTCTGGTGCATCCTCCATCAAGGACGACGCCATGGAAGCAGAGAGTGATGCAGGCATCGCATCTGTGAGTATTGGCGTTGTCGCTAATGGTGGTCAGAATGACGCGACGGATCAGACCAATGCTGCCGGCAACGTGGTCAGCCATTGTGTCCCTGAGGTCGAGCCATCCATCGATAAGGAAGAGGCGGCTTCACTGTTGAATGAGGCTCGCGAGAAGAGACACCGCTAAGGCGGATCTTAACAAGAACAAAGCTCGTAGTGTACAGCCAGAACTATTTCTGGCCGCCCCAAAGTCGGAACTTATGACTTTCATCAACGAGGTAGCGGACGCACAAATAATCGCCGAGTGCAATGATATGCGGAAGGATTTCGAGTTATTATAGACTAGATATTGCACGAGAGCTGCATAGTTGCGCCCCTTCGACGCGTTCCGTGGCTACTTCCATCACGGGGGTCCTTAGAGCACAAGTGTAAAGAACCCCTGTATTTTCTAGCTGCTAAAACACTAAGAAGTGCTTTAAGGGTGTGTACTAGTAAGTGAAGTCCTGCTGACGGAGTCTTGATTAATAATAGGTTGCGTATGATTAACAGTGGGTAACTGAGTTAAAGTCATTAAAACAGTGTGCCTCACTAATGGATTAAATTGGTGCTTATATTGATCACTGAAGTAGAGACTGTCTGTCTGTGCAAGTCTAGGGGACCTCGTTGTAACGAAACCTCTACGGTCTAGCTGCTAAACCACTAAAGAAGTGCTGTAAGGGTTTATGCTAGTAAGTAAACCCTGCTGTCGATGTCTTCATCAACATAAAAGGCGCGAATGGAAATAATCGATGAATAATAAGTTGTTGAAAATAGAGTCATTAAAGTTTATAAATCAGTTGCCGGTTCTTGAAGGCCGCTATAGGGACCGTTTCTACGGACTTTCGGGTCCTTATCTTAACGGCGGGCCGGACTATCTCGTCGTGCTCCGCCGAGATAGCAGCTAAATACCGCGTGGGAACGGATTAATTAGCGATGAAATTAGACAGATACGCCCTGGACGTTCGATAAGCTGTAGAACCCTACCCTTACAGCATGTTCTACAGCCTCATAGCTATGCTTCGTGCGTAAGATAAGCGGCCTATGCCGCCTGATAAGTAGTTGGAAATTGGGGCTTTTCTTACAAGCAAGCTGCCCCTGAAAAAGAGAACTCAACAAAATATATTTGATCTAAAGGACCATAAAATGAAATGAATGTGTTATGCTGTATAATTCAACAGGTAGTGTCGTCAGTTTTTTATTGTTCAGTGTTGGAAATAGGGCCACGTTGCCAATAAGGGTAATCCCGGTTAGAGATGTAAATATAGAGTTAAACCACGACCCCGCTACGAGTTCGTTCACGTAGGGCGTTCTCTTCCACAGCGTTAGAATGTCGAGCGTTACATCAAGCAGGTAAGGGGAGAGAATGGCAGGGGTACATATTTGATCGACTTAAGCATTGTGGTACAGAATGCAGGTCCTTTTGAAATATGAGCAAATTGTTTTGAACTTCGTAGATTGACCCGTGGGACACACCCCTGTATCTTGTGTGATACTAGAAATGCAACTATCAAGTGTTTTGATGACGAACTACCGCATACGACCCGTTCCACACGGCGCGCCAAGAGATTAGCAACTGAGACCTTCTGTCTTTGCTCTAGTTTGTCAAACTTTGCCGACTTTCCATCACGACCGACTGGCTACATCGACTTGTTACATCGACTTGTTAGGCAAGTGCAGGAACTGCAGATTGCCACCCCGGAAGAAATCACGACTTACCTGCAGTCCTACTAGCCAAGGTTCCCGCGCGGCGCAGCAACTTATTCACGACGTCGGCATAAGATTGCGCGATTCCCGTTAGAATCGTCCATGGTTTTGTGGAACTTGTTGAGTATCCCCTACATACTAATGCATCTATATTGAGCAGTGTGCCGGTAACTCATTCTCAGCATGGTGCGCCTCGGCTTCATCGCAGTCTGGCTTTTGCCAATGGTGCGGGCTTTGCAACGCTCACCGCTGCCAATCCTCAACCAGATCCAGTCGTCCAAGAGCCTCAATGCTCGGGATGTCGACCCTGAAGACCTCTACCCAGCATACAATCTGTCCACTCCAATTGACCATTTCCACAATGACTCGACGTATGAGCCGCACTCGAACGGCTCATTCAACCTGCGATACTGGTGAGCATCCCGTCCACTGCCTCAAGTCCACGAATCAGCTTTCTGACTTGGATGCAAGGTTTGACGCTCAATATTACAAACCAGGCGGTCCCGTCATTGTGCTTTCGGCTGGCGAAACTTCTGGAGTTGGCCGTCTCCCCTTCCTGCAGAAGGGGATTGTCGCTCAGCTGGCTCAGGCAACAAACGGGCTCGGTGTCATTCTCGAGCACCGCTACTACGGCACTAGCTTCCCTGTCCCAGACCTGACGACGGAAAACATGCGCTTCTTAACCACGGACCAGGCCTTGGCCGATACCGCGTACTTCGCCCAGCATGTCAAGTTTGCCGGCTTGGAGGATATCGATCTCACCTCCGCCACCACCGCCTACATCGCTTACGGTGGTTCCTACGCCGGTGCTTTTGTCGCTTTCTTGAGGAAGCTGTACCCGGATGTTTACTGGGGTGCAATCTCATCTTCCGGAGTCACCGAGGCCATCTACGACTATTGGCAATACTTTGACGCCGCCCGCATCTACGGCCCTCCGGCCTGCGTGGAAACGACTCAGAAGTTGACAAATGTCGTGGACAACATCCTCATTGGCAAAAATGACACTAAATATCCCGAGCAGCTCAAGGCGGCCTTCGGATTGCCCAACGTCACGCACACGGGAGACTTTGCCGGCGCCATCAATTGGGGTATTTACGGGCTCCAGAGTCTCAATTGGGATCCGGCGGAGAGCAGCAACTCGTTCTTTGAGTACTGCGATATTGTTTCAAATGACACTTTGGTATATAATAGCACGGAATCACTTACCGGCCAGGTGCAAGAATTCATCTCGGTAGGAGGGTGGGGCAACGAGTCAGACGTGTTGACAACCCGTATGTTGAACTATATCGGCTATGTTCGTTCCACTGCGGTTGCCCGCTGCGACTCTGCAGATCAGGATGAGTGCTTTGGCACCGTGGATGCATCATACTACGACGAGTTTGACATCTCACAAACGTGGAGGGCATGGCCTTATCAATACTGCACACAGTAAGTCCACGCCCTTATTCACGGCAATTCAAACATAAATTATTTCGCATTTTTACTAACCAACACCAGATGGGGTTATCTCCAATCCGGCAGCGGCGTGCCTGACGACCAGCTCCCGCTCATCTCACGCACCATCGACATCACCTACTCCTCAACAATCTGCCGCCAAGCATTCAACATCACCAAGCCCTCCAACGTGGAAGCTATCAACAAGTACGGCGGCTTCGGCATCAGCTACCCGCGTCTAGCCATCATCGACGGCGAATGGGACCCCTGGCGAGCTGCGACGCCTCACGCCATCGGCCAACCTGAGCGCGTGAGCACGGTGGACGAGCCGTTCTTGTTGATTGACAAGGCGGTGCACCACTGGGATGAGAATGGGCTGTTCCCTAATCAGACGACGCCGGAGCTACCGCCGCCAGCGGTGGTGGAGGCGCAGGAGGCGATAAGGGAATTTGTCAAGGCGTGGTTGCAGGACTGGAAGGATGAGGGTACGGATTATGAGGTTTGAATAGCTGGTATTTTGGGGTTACTAACTGGATAATAGGTCAGGTTAACAAGGAAATAGGAGAGCTGTGATGAAGGATTGGAAGGGTTGAAGTGTTACAAGTAATGAAACCGAGCTTAGGTTGCCCATGGAATCCAAATCAGGGCAAATTTGTTCATAATTGCGTCTACGGACTATGGTGGCTGTCAAACCTGGAAACCCAAATTTGCTATGGTTTACATCCTTGAACAGTTATATTCTTATTTCATATATAGTCTTCATTCACCTCTTCGATCTCGAGAATGTATTCGCGATAGATAGAATTGCCCAAGCGAAGCCATAAGCAACTATGGATCATACGGACTAATCGCTCTGCGACCCGTCAACAATTCCGCCTCGCCATCTTCCTTGACCAGGTAAATATCCTCATGTCTCACGCCGAATCGGTTCTCCAAGTAGATGCCTGGCTCATTGGTGAACGTCATACCCGGCTGAAGGAGTACCTTGGTGTTGAACTTGTTCAAGTAGGGGGACTCATGGGCTGCATATTGTGGTCAGTTTCCACAGACCAATGTTGGGAGGAGCTGGACAAACCTTTGATCCCAATTCCATGACCTAAGCGGTGTGTAAATCCGTATCCGTAGCCTGCGTCTTCGATGACCTTCCTCGCGGCAATGTCGACACTCGCGGCCGTGTTGTTGGGCATGAAGGATTTAGCAGCAGCAGTCTGGGCTTCAAGGACAATGTCCCATACCTTTAGCTTCTCAGTGTGAAGCTCAGTGTGCTTCTGCTCATGAGTATCGTGGTCCTGCAATAATCCAAACAGTTCGAACCCCGATTTCAAGAACTTATGAATGCAAGACCCTTTCTTCTTGGGCGGATCGATAAAGAAACTGCGGCATATGTCGGATGAATAACCAAGGTAGTGTGCCCTGTAAGTGTTAGCGTTAGAAGTCTGATACAGCAGACAGTCAACATACCCAACATCAATAACAACCATGCTCTCCTCCGCCAACTTCTTTCCTCCAGTCACGAACCCACCATGAGGCAACGCACCATGCTCCTCAAACAGTACAATGTTGAAAAAAAGCCCAAACCCAATTGACAAAAGCGCCCCATCAAGTATATCGCGCACCTCATCCTCAGTAAGCCCAGGAACCAAACACGGCCTCATAACCCTCACAGCAACCACAGTCCCCGTGTTCACCGACCTAAGCAGCTCAACTTCAGCCGGACTCTTGATCTGCCTCACCAACTCAACTTCTGCATTCAAGCCCACCGTTTCGAATCCCGTCTCCGCCAGGCCCCTGGCGATATAATCCCTTATTTCCTCATCCATCATTAACTTCGGCTTTCTGGCTCCGTCTTCCCCACCAAACTGCGCTCCAAAAAGCCTCGACTCCAACAATGTCCGATAGGGATCCCAATGCTCCTCCCACGTGACAATATCTAACTCTCCCTCGTCTTCCCTAGAGGGAATCCCCAACATCCGCACCCTCCCCTCCTCAAAACTGGGCGCCAAGAAGGCCGTCTTAGCCACGATCTGACCGCCAGACCCAGGGCTAGGGACGGGCATAATGAGCATGAGAAACGGCCGTTCTTCAGGCTCCCAGGGCTCCCAGTCTACTTGCGATGTGTTGCCGTAGTACTGGAACGTGTATCCCGGCTCGAGGACGAAGGCATCTATTCCTGTGGCGAAGAGGGCTTGGGCTAGACGGTCACGGCGGGTGAGGAATTCCGTCGCAGTGATGGGCGGGACGGAGAGGAAGGAGAGGTTTGAGTTGTGCAGGTTTGTGAGGGTGCATTGTTGGGCTTTGGAAAAGTCTGAGCTGGTATTTGGGGAGTTTGACAACCAGGTAAGCGAAATCCAGGCAAGATTGAAAAAGACGGCTGGAAGAACGGCGATGAGGAAGACGTATTTTGAGAGGCCTCGACGAGGCGGAGGGGTGACGTCTGGCGCCTCTGGGCGCGGATTGATGGGTTGGTAGCCCATGCTGATGGCTTAGCAGCTGGGGGATGACGCTCAACTGACGAGACGGATATCCTGACGCCTTCGGATTGCTGTGTTGAGATTCAAAACATTTGATGTTTTCTTCTGGACCTATTGGTTCAGGAGGTACCGCCAATTGCCGACTTGCCGGTGAGAGGAGATACTGTTAAGTGGAGACGATCGGGAATCAATCGGTTCCGACACGGAATACCATGTGTCAAAACTCGGTGTCACCAAAGTCCTGTCACTTATTTATCGAAATATAACTTAACCGACCAACTTTCTGTATGTACCCACCCCAGTTTTTCACAAAAATTACGGGATCACAACAATAACGCGTCTCTCGTTCACTCCGCAATGGTTCTACAATCACGCACAGAATAGCTAATCCAGTAGAACATAACGGCGACGATTTCGAGCCTAATGAGTTTGTTTGTGACGGTTGTCACGTGATTGACCCACACTGGTCTGAACAGATTGATAAGTGGTTGCAGATATCAAAGTCAGGGACTTTGGTATTGGTCTCTTTTGGTGAAGACATCTGGTACGGTGGCGTAGTGGCAAGGATTGCAACCCCTGGCGCGGCGTGACACTACAAGGACTTAGCTAGGTACTGTCCCGGGGCTGAAGCCACTGCGGGGCGATATAAGATGCTAGCATCCTTGGATCACCTTTCCTACTCTTCGCTTTCCCCTCCTTATGTCAGATAGGGCACCTGGTTCCTAGGTTCAGAAATGATATGGCACTAGAGAAGACTAGTGTCACTTAAAGTTCAGACGGCGAAATGAACCCCTCTTCCCGAAAGTAACTCCAAAGTTACGGTCCACTCAGGGGTCAGACACCTAAACAATGTACCTCCGACATGTTCTAAAGAATCTATAAAAGGCAGAGCAACGGAAGTTCGCGAGAACAGAAGACAGACAACAATATACGCACTGCTGACTACTCGATTGGACACACGTGATATTCGACACCTTACCGTAGCAACTGAATACAATACTTTGTCAACGTTGCGAACATATTTCTTGTGAAACTACCAAGGGTAAATCAAGCTTTCGCTACCTCGTATCGAATAATTAATTCAACCGAAATAGACAATTATCTTTCACCGGACTACCTCAATTACTGAACCCATGCTCTTTCGTGGGCGTCGGCGATTTGATATACCGGGAAAACTGAGCGGTAAAATATAGGAAAAGATCAAATAGTTATCAGAAATGATATTTACAATTGCCAACGAACAAATAGAAGCTCGACCCGATCACTCAATCTTTTCCTCGCTTAACCCGCCCGCCGCCTATGTCACAGTAATACTAGCCGTCCCACTACTCCCATTGCCCCCCGTAGCGGTGTACCCCTCCGTAGCCAGAATCATATAATCATGGGACCCCAACCTGAGTCCAACATTCGCCCACTCAGTAAAGTGTCTCCCCGTAGTAACCGTCCCATTAACGCGCTTCTCCGTACGCACTGACCAGTACTGCTGAAAGGTCGCCGTGCCCACAATTGAAGGCTTATTGACGCGCGTGCTCGTGTATAGCTCGTACGTTCCCTCCTCGAACGTGAAGTTCCCCTTCGCTGTCCATGGTTCGCCTGGACTTAAGTCACCATGTGATTCGACGATGTAGTACTCGATTAGCGGGTTGCGGGTCCAGCCGTAGACGGCGAGGTAGCCGGGACCAGTGGGGGAGTAGTTGCCGCTGTAGTTGACAGTCCTGTTGTGGAATGAATGTGTTAACCGTTGTGGATTTCCTTGTTTCTTGTTGGTGATAATAGCTTGGGGTCTGGAGAACAGTTACGATGGGCTGACTTGCCTTGATCCGCCGGGACTCCATCCCTTGCCACATACGAAGCCGCCTGTTCCCGACCAGGTAGCGCTGTATTGGCCTCCTGCGCCGTTGGTGCAGCGGAAATTACCGCCACCCTCGGACCAGAAGGAGTAGTAGTAGCCTCCTTGACGATCAATGAGCTCCCCAGGAGCGGTGAATGCTCCTTGGATTAGGACAGAGATGGCGGTAAGAAGTAAGTATGAGAACATGATGGTGGGGTTGATTCAAAACTCTTAACTCCTGTTATTTGGGATAGTTCCCTGTATGAAGATCCTCTTTGGTCAAGTTAGGAATAGCTTCAGGTCTGTACAAGTGCAATGCGTTGAGTATTTGGGGGGGGGTCCTGGCGATCTATTTAAGGATGCTTCCGGAACACTGTTGATCAAGTATAACGGCGCCAACTGTCCAGGCTTCATAGGAACATCCTCGACCTCCCGGCACAATGACTTCACTGTATTTCTCGGTCAAGAGGAGCTGTTGCCTCTCCTTAGTCCCCGCTTTAATGGTTGAAGGGTCACATTTCTTTACCTGTTTTAAACCAAGCTGGAAGATCACTGGGTGTGTACATGTTTCACTGTGAAAATAACCGGTCTTGTCTGGTTCCAGCGCCGCGGGTAAAATGGAAAGGATATGGCTATTAAGCAGAAGTTTCCCCACACAACTGCCGAGGCGGAGAAGAGAAATCCGGGGAAGTATCGTCTTGATTGGTAATTGCATCACTATAAATGGTAATACTTGCGTGACCAAATTTAGTTTTCCTTGTCCTTCTCCGCTCTCTTTGTGACACCACCCACTCAACTCAACAATAGCTAAGTTTATTAATAAGCGGCTTTACTGGCAAGGGGTAGGTCTCTAGCAGATACTCTCAACTGTTTTCGGAAATATCACCGATCTCGAGTCGCCCAGCGAATTATCAGAATGGATAGTATGCACTCTCTAAGAATAATCTGGTTCTGCCTATGCATCCCACTAGAAAGTTAATTCCACCGGCATACCGTGTGATTCACTCTTTCCTACATACTGGTGGGATGTTATTCTTAAGCCGCGTTACAGACGTGCTCAACATAGCGAAACACAATAAATTCGCTTGCATGGATGTTGTTCACATCTGCAGATATCGATGCGGCTCTTGCGTCACGTAATACGAAGTCGCTCAATCAACTTTGATCATTGACGGAGCCGATGCCTCTTAGACGAATGAGATTCTCAGATAGCCAAAGGACAAGGATTCCTCCGGGATCAATCGGGCACGTAATCATCGCCTATCCGGAACCGACCGACATCCCCTGTCATAGTAGGATTGCTGGCGATTAGTTGGTTGAATGGATACGCCAAGCAACTGAAGTCAACAACAACGGAAATTACTCAAATGGCGACTATCTCTCACCAGTCTGAAGATCCCTCGTCTTTGAATTCTGGCTGGCTAACTGCTGCACCAGACCGAGCAATCGCGATGGCGACCGAAATCGCCTCAGAGGCAGCACCAGGCCAAAATGCAGCCGACATTATTGCACTCAATGAAAAGAAGACAGTCGAGTTGGGCAACGAGGTCTCTCACGACATTGAGATCCTACCGACCAATGAGCCGGAGAAGACGTACTTCAGCAAAGCCTCCGTGTGGCTCATGATTCTCTTCTCCGGACTGGCGATTGGTTCAGATGGCTAGTATGCTGACATCCATCCATTCATCCAAGGCAATTGGTTTGCTGGGTTAAACGACTAACCATTGACACAGCAATGCTGCAGTAATCGGCAACGTCGAGCTCCTCCTCGCAGTCCTCTACCCTGAATCATTGACCTCTGCCATCTACACCCGCCTCAGCAATGCTTTCCTCATCGGTATGATCGTCGGCATGCTCCTCTTCGGCGTGGTCGTCGACCAGTTAGGTCGGAAAACCGGCGCTGTGGCAACCACCGTGCTTCTCGTTCTGGGCATCGTTTTATCCACTGCCGCGAATGGAACGGACCAAACGGGTATGTTCTGGATGCTCATCATCGCCCGCGGAATCGCAGGTGTCGGAGCGGGGGGTGAGTACCCCGTCAGCGGCGCCGGTGCGGCAGAGGCTACGGATGAGAGCGGGAAGTACCGCAAGCACCGGGGATTCATGTTCGCGATGTTGGCGGATTTATCTGCGTCTTTGGGGTACGTCTGGGGTGGATTGGTGCCGTTGTTGCTGCTTCTTTGCGTGAAGCAGAAAGAGGAACACTACGATATCGTCTGGCGGACTTCATTCGCGCTTGGCCTCATCCCGCCGCTCGTCATCTTCTGGTTTCGGCTACGCATGGCCGTCTCGACGGCATACCGCAAGTCGGCCATGAGGAAGCAACGCGTACCGTACTGGTTGGCGCTCAAGCGGTATTGGAGGCCCCTGGTAGGGTGCGCCGGGACGTGGTTCTTGTATAATTGGATTTCAATCCCTTTTGGCATTTTCAGCTCGACGATCATTTCGAGAGCGAACACAGGGGAGAGTTTGGTGAAGAATTTGGGGTGGGGAGTGGTTATTAACTGTTTTTACATCCCGGGGCCGTTCCTCGGCGGATATCTCTCTGATAAGATTGGAAGGCGCCAGACTATGGCGCTGGGGTTTACGTTGCAGGCTGTCATGGGATTTGTGCTGGGTGGCGCCATGGGACCGATTCAAAGCATCTTCCCCCTCTTCGTCGTCATGTATGGCATTTTCCTCACACTGGGTGAAGTTGGACCAGGGAGGTAAGTAAACTGCGATACCCAAAGAAGCGATTATTAGATGGGACTGACAACCTCCAGTACCGTCGTTCTGACGGCGTCCGAATGTTTCCCGACCTCCATTAGAGGTCAGATGATGGGGTTCGTTAGCGCGTGGTCCAAAGCCGGAGCTGCCATCGGCACTCAGGTTTTCACTGCAATATTGAACGCCTATGCCGATGATCCGTCGAAGGGAAACCAAACAGCATTCCTCATCGGCTCTGGCTTTGCGGTACTGGGAGCAATCGTCGCCCTTTTTGTTATTCCCGAGGTATCGCGCCGGCTCGACGACGATGATCAAGCCTGGAAGCAGTACCTTCAGGAGAACGGCTGGGAAGCGAACTGGGGCGATGAAGAGACGAAGGATCCGGCCGGTGTTGTGTTGAACAAGGCTGTCTCATAGGTTGCAGGCCCCATCCTTCTACTGGGTGATCTAGATGCCCATACCAGTGGTTTTCTTGGACTGGTTATGATCTTTCCACGTAGTTGCATCAAATATTCTAATATGCATTACAATAACATATTTGGGTCTTGTCTCCACTTGGACAACGGCTTTCGTCCCATGTATCTATAGTAAATAACCTTATCGTTGTAGCCGCCGCATGCAAGTGACCAACACGCAATGCATCGGATGTCAAGAAAGAGCCAAACTCTAATTGACCAGTTTCTAGGCCACCCCCTCTTAGAACAGTCTAGATCCTCTACAGACAACATTTTCTGCAGAATATACCGGCAGGTAAGATGCAATTCAACAGCAGGCTTACATGTCACTCGGTTTTTTGACAGATTTCGTGCTGGATGACCACGCGGGGATCCTCTAGCGAGTATTTTAATAGTGTGAACTATGAATCTCAATCTTGCTCCTTAGCGAACCTTCTTCGTCACAGCAGACAATCGTCACACTTCATCCGTGGGAGTTTTCCACCATGGCGTCCATACCGTCCACCCCTCTCGACCTGACCCCTGGCGCCTGGTGCCTCCTAGCCCTCAGTATCTACACAATCTACTTCTTAATATCCACAATCTTCTCCTGGCACCGTCTCCGGCATATCCCCGGCCCCCCACTAGCCTCCCTCTCCTACCTCTGGCTCATGCGCACCGCTACCAGCGGCGCCCAATATTGGCTCTACCGCGACCTGCCCTCCGTCTACGGCCCCCTCATCCGCGTCGGTCCCAACGAGCTCTCCTCTTCCGACCCGGAAGTCATAAAACGCATTAACGGTGCCCGCAACGGCTATCAGCGGGACCCTTGGTATCTGGCCGCTCGGTTCGATCCGTATCATGATAATATCTTTACGATATTACAGGCTGAGAAGCACGATAGGCTGAAAGCGAAAATTGCTGGGGCGTATAGTGGCCGTGAGACGCCCAGGGCGGAGGGCATTGTAGATGATCAGGTGAAAGCGCTGGTTAAGTTGTTGAGGGAGAGGTATGTTTCGACACCGGGGAAGAAGAGGGTGGTGGATTTAGCGGAGGTGACTTCGTATTTTACGATTGATGTTATTACTAGAGCGGCATTTGGGGAGGAGTTTGGGTGTTTGAGGACGAATTCTGATGTGTATGGGTTTTTTGAGAGTGTAAAGAAGGCTTGGGCAGGAATAGCGGTTGCGCTTGATGTTCCTTGGACTCGGAATATTTTGTTCTCGGATCTGTACTTGCGGGTTTTCGGGCCGAAGCCGACGGACGAGGCTGGGTTGGGAAAATTAATGGGGTGAGTTTCGGGGTGACGGGATCATGTGAAGGGTAGTCTGACTGAGTCGTTTTAGGATCGCCGAGGAGATAGTGGCCAAAAGGTTTGCGGCTGACGCACGAGAGGAGAAGGATATGCTTGTGAGTCCCTTTTTCGCATGGAATTTGTCCCGTACGAACGGCGCGCAACTCACCATCTGGGGCAATAGGGGTCTTTCATCCAACACGGACTGGACCGCCAAGAATGCGCGACCGAGGCTCTGTTTATGATTATCGCCGGCTTCGAGAATACGGCCTCGGTCATTCGGACAACGTTGTTGTATCTCATGTCGTCCCCACGGGTATATCAAAAGTTCAAGGCGGAGATCATGCAAGTGGTCAGGAATGGAAAAGTGTCTAGCCCGATAACTGTTGAAGAGGCGAAGAAGATCCCTTACTTACAGGTAAGATGCATATCAACGACCCAACAGCGTTCTAGTTTGCTGTCATATGCACTTGCCACATTTCTGTAGAGTGGACATATTATCTCATCTCTAGCTAATCGTCTCTCCCTTTCCAGGCAATCATTTATGAAGGCATCAGAATGCGACCCCCGGCTCCTGGACTGTACCCGAAAGCAGTGCCTCCCCAAGGAGATGTCATAAGCGGCTACTTCATACCAGGCGGGACAGCTATTGGTATGAACACAGGAGCTTTAGTTCGATCGAAAGTCCTTTTCGGAGAGGACGCCGAGGTCTTCCGCCCCGAACGTTTCACCGAAGCCGATGATGCCACCCGGCTTGAAATGGAGCGGAACGTCGAGCTTGTGTTCGGGCACGGGCGCTGGATGTGTGCTGGCAAGGTAGTAGCGTTCATGGAGTTGAGCAAGATTTATTTCGAGGTTGGTATTGGATTACCTCTATCTGCGTGCTTTGAAAGAGGCTTGCCACTAACCGCAAAAATTCTTCTAGTTGTTCCACGCTTTTGACTTCCAGCTTGTCAATCCGATGAAGCCTTGGGATTCTTTAAGTTTCAGCCAGTTTATTGAAGACAATATGTGGGTTCAGGTGACGGAGGCAGAGACGGCTTAGACAATGGTGTTATCTCAATTCTGTCGACGAAGAAGACGTGTTGAGTAAAGCATTAAGGCATAAGGGCATCCATATCATAGCATTTACTCCGGGTTGGCTATTCTTTATTTTCTGTCTTCTAGCTATGCGTTTTTGTCATCTATTGACTATATCCTCGGCCTTCCCGCTGAATCCTCGCTACTGTACTTATAAGAAGACTAATAATGGCTAATTCCTTGCTTACATATAGTTGCATACTCAAGTATACCGATACCATTCTGTCAGCACAGCCACATTGGGTGTATGGCTGGGCCTCACCTGTATGGTGCGGGGACTTGATGTTGGCTGGTTTTCTATTATTTGATTATTTCACCGACCAACTCACCCCTTCAAAAGATTTGTCTTCAAAATATTCACCATAACTGACTCAAATTCTGTCACCGAACTTGAGTCACTCATTCTAATCAATCAGGAACCTGCATTCTCTCCTTTCCCATACTTACTCTCTACAAACTCCGGCTCAACTTTGCAGGATGTCCACAGCCTATCGGACTTATTGCAAGCTATAATAAGACATTATTTAAATGTGTCTCCGCCCTCTCAATTCAAAATGAGTAGAGGTGACCATAAGTGTCTTAAGCACAGATAAATGTGCTTCTTGGCTGCACATTTTGAGAGTGACTGATAAGAATAAAAATTACGATTAGGGAATCAGCATCTGTGGAAATAAAAGAATTATTACGACGTCCCACTCCGTATAGACTTTGTATTTAGCACTAGTGAGAACTACGCATATCTAGATAAGTACCCTCCCCGCATAAAACCTGTGCCGTCCCTTGCTAACAAAATCTGAAGTCTGAAATCAACTACATTTCTGGGAATCTCAGATCACCGCTGCCTCTATGAAATTTGTACCGTCATGGCCTCCTCAATTCCAGTGGCCTACCCACCACCTCCACTATCCAATAAGCGCGTGCAGGGACCGATCAGCACAAATATGATTGTAACTTATCATTCAAACTTGGCCCGTGTGCTATTCTCCCAGCTGGCATGCGATATACCAACGCCGGCAGTTTCAAAGCCGGGACCTTGCTACCATTCAACCAGCCTGCCTTTACTTATGACCTGTACGCTCGCCTTCTCAGTACCGACGATGATGAGAGCTCTGGAATTCATTTGCTACTCTCTATGTTCAACATGGAGCGAAGACTGCCACTTTGGAAGAGGATTGGGAGGGCAAATGATTTACTATAAATGCTCAAGTTTGTCCGAACAAGCTTACCTTCCCCGGTATGAATGTAGATGGCTGGGAAGAAGATGACGAAGCAGTACAAGTCGCGCTGTCTCTGCCGCGGGATGGTGGACTAACTCCGTAGATTCCTCTTGTCTTCCTCATACCCAGATAAGCTTTCGATATTCATCTTCAACCAGAACTGTCCCGCGGGTTCTCAACAACCACGAATAAGCTGACCCATGGTTGTATTGCTCAATATCCTGTCTGCTTTCCTTCATCATTATGGATACCTATAAAGAAAGCATGATTCCCAGAACGCGTATTCTCCGCCTTCATTATGAGCAAGCAAAGGCTCACAAAAACGAATACCCATCCTCGGCCTTTTTTCGGGTCTTCCTCCGCTTGACATCGAGATTCATGTATAGATGTGGATTCAAAATATGCCTGTATTCTCGACAAATACATTGGATTCATTGAAAACAATATTCCCTTGAGAATGACACCGGTGGTCTCAATCTACGATGGATTATTCGGAGGAGCCTGCCCAGTCCTCAAGTTACCAGTCTGGAATGACGCACGTATCGGTGGACGACAGTATAGTGGACAATCCGGGTGAATCTGTTCAAGCCGCAGTACAGGGTGGTACTGTCCATGATTCTGACCCCCCAAAACACGTCGCTGGCGGCAAAGGCAAATCTATATGGTAGGAAGTCAAGGTTGAGAAGAAGAAACATATGATGAGACCTGACGAATACGTGGTCACTGACAGCAAAACCCGTAAAAGTTTTACTCGAAAAACGGAATAGGAATGGGGAAAGGACAGCAAAACCCATCCATGCTAGTGGTACAAAGGCGGTAGAACAGCATATTTTACACAGCAAGATCTTGACGACCTTTAACTGTGTAGCGAACAATACAATGAACTATTGAGAGCCACCATTCCAAAGTTTCTTCCTGCTTCAAATTGACCTGCAAAGTGTCACCATTTTTTGACGGCCTGTCCAGAGTGAGCTCTGCTACATAGAGAGACATCTATTGATGGCAGCCGAAGAACGTGATTCGTCCACGAGCAGTGGCAAACTGACACCGCTAGAGATTGGGCTACACTTGAAATAAAGGGACTTACAATAAGTCCAATCAAATGTGACCCCATTATGCTTAGCTCATGTCGTCTGTAGATGTCGGTCAAGTATTCTCCCGGTCCAATCGGCATAAATATCCAGAAGAAGGATCGACCAGGACACATAGTGTCCATATAGCACTGGGTGTCATCCTCGCCTTTGTGCGCGTAGATTTCCACAATACTTTATGAATTCATAGCTACGGAATAGCCAATGGTACCCAGAGCATTGCAACCAAAATAGCGCAGAGCAAAGGCCTGGGATATGATCTGGGCGGATTCATCATTATCAAATCAAGAAAACAGCTGGGATGTTCTGGAATACTCCAACGAACGGATTCAGTCATCGAAGGAGCCGAAGAAAGGCGAATTTCTCGCAATTTGAAGCCCTGAAAAGTGTGAGCTACCAGTTTCGGGAACCACCCGGACTACCCACATCGGTTCTTGCGTTAATTTCCATGATTTCCTCTTGGCGAGTAACGCTCGTCCAGCATATATTTTGTATGGTTAGTAGTCCTGATGGCATAGCATCATGTGGGTTGAGATGGATCATCCTAATACCAAAATGGTCCTCAGCGACCAGAATCTTACTTACACTTTGTCCATGTCGTATGTCTAACAATAGCTGTGTTTCCTCTCATGACCCGGGCTGATTGTTGTGCAAGTGACGGATGTAGCGAATGTCGTCAATAAAGTGCAAGCTCGCATAAACATTACGAAAGACGTAAATGACGGAATCATTCATGCTCGTTCCAGAGAATTGCGCCTGGTTTGTGATTGTAGCACACTCATGAACAAGATGGCTGACGGGCATGTATTGCAGTTCTGGGGGTAATCATGCTAAATACTTTTCTACCCTCTGCCGTAAGATAAGCCGGATACGCTTACATCGTCGCTCGTCCTCGCTATGCGCAGGCTGATATCGATATTGTTTTGCTGTAAGATGTGACTGGTTGATCTCCGTCTTCAAGTCCAAAAAGTCACAGTCTGCGTCTGAAAACTGTTATGCAACAATAAAGTACCTCCTCGCCCGTCTTGAATAGGCTCGTTAGCCAGATAGAATGGCATATGCTACATTAGATGTCGGTTCAAGTTCTATCCGTTTTCAACTAGGTAGAGTAAGCCTTTCAAGCTCTCAGGGCAGGCGACGGATTAACAAGTTTCGAATGATAAAAGTGAGCCACATGCGTGCCACGAACTGTGGCTTGGTCGGGGAATGAGTATGAACTCCTGTGTGTGATCCAGCATCCGGTACATGTGTTGTCGAAAGTCTGAGTGCATGATTATTGCTCTATGTCATTATACGCTATATTAGAAAGGGTTTGGCTGTGAGTACAAGCTCTATAAATGATTCTTGTACGGATGACCTGTTGCAGTTCAATTATCGGGGTCAGGCAAAACGGTGGATTGTAAGGCGGTGGCGCGCTAATTCGCCTTGCATTTCGCTCTTTGCACAGTAACTCGTCCGCGCGCTTCGTCTTCCAACAATGCCCGCCCAGTTCAATTCTTCAGAGTTATGACGATGGGTCCTCGACCGACCGTTTGCATCCGCCCTCCTGCATCCGTCATCGCCACTCCTCTTCCTGCCGAATACTCTTATTTACAGAGGGTCAAGCCTAGGCGCATCTCTGTTCGGCATCCAGGCTATGACGAAAACGACGTGCCGCTGCTAAGTTTATATGGGTTCGATGATGCTCAGGGAGGATTATATTACGGCCTCTTGCACACTGCATGTGCCATAGTCGCTGACAATAGATTCGACGGCTATCTTTCCGCTTCCTCCTTACCAGAAGCAGCACGACTGCAAGTCGTCAACCGGGACGAAATTCTGGCTGCTGGCGAGTATTGGTTTCATGTCCCCGGTTTGATGCGATACCCCATCGTGCCAAGCTTTCAGGACTGGACCTTTCCTCGAACCTTGCCAGAAGAGTGGCACAAGATCCAGGAGGAAGTGGCGCCAGGTGAAGAAGGTTATGATGATGACAGCCAAAAGCTTGCTAGCATTAGGACTGACAGGACTCTGCATATGGCAGCTTTCGGGGGCTCTAGCTTGTTAGCATCGTCGCCGGCTCTGAATCGAGTGTTAGGAAGTTGCCATACAAATGCTACTTAGTGGTCGTGAACTAAGGGAATAGCATTACAAACATGTTAACCACATCCAATACAACCACTAACTCAGGGGCCAAGCACTCTTCGAATACTTCAGGGAATATGTTTCTTTCTGTGGCCATGTCAGGTCGAAGAGATCCACAATCCTAATCGTTGATTTCGACTATCGCGTCAACGTGACCCAAACCTATGTTTCGTACATAGGGATAAGTTTGGTTTCTGTCAGCGCTTCGTTCAGACTTGTCTGTTAAACGAAAGGCTTCCCTTGGCCGTTTTACTTACAGATTCATGTACGCGAGTCCGAGACCTTGATGGGATGGACGATTATGTAACATACAGTCATTGTGACCCGGCTTGGAAATGTCTCCATTTTTCGTGATTGGATAATGAACGAATCAGGTGTGAGATCTAAAAGTACTGCATCATGTTCAATTCCTACGGAAGACAGAACGGCCATAGCCTATTACTTTACAATGCTTCGAATTTGAGCACATCCTTTTCCATCGAAGCGCGATGAGAGGGCTATTCAACACTAAGAAATTGGCTACAAAAATATAGAAAGCTATGTAAAGAAGCCGATACTGCTTTCTATAGCCAGGCGCCGAGCCAGTACTGCAAACGCGAAGCTCCTTCCTGCAAAGTCGAATATCTGATATCTGGTACTTAACATCTCTGAACACCCGAAATCCGACTCTTTGGACTCTAAAGGCTTGAATGGATGATGCCGAAGATAATTACAGAGTTTATCAAAGTATACATAAAGGCGGGTTTGAGTATAAGACCAAAGCGTCCAATTGAGCGGCTCGGGAGGGGTTGGCGTGGGACCGGTACGGGGCACGGAGTCCCAATGTTCATTATCCGGGGTGATTGGATTCTGTGCCCTACGTGGGAAGGGCAGAGCAGTGTTTCGTTTGGTCTTAATAGGTTGTGGTAATGTGTACAGTGCTTAGATGTTTGTCTGGATGTGCTTGTTAGTTGTATCTATTGGGTTGTAAATACATAACTATGGACGAGTTTGATAAGGTCATGTATACTTTCACGCCCGCCTCTTGTCTTTATTGCATTTCAGGTCTTGGCCACTTCTCTTGAAAAGAAGGATTTGAAGCTCAATTATTTCTTCGTGTAGGCAATATGCGCAATTACATTCACCTGCACCAAGTGCATCTTCATGGAATAATACTACAACCCCAATGAATGCATGCACTGTTCCCCGTACCTAAGTGACTAATATATTTCAGGACATTGAGAACGATAATCGCCTTTGGGGAAAGTGTCCAAATTAATTACACATGTTGAAGCGTTGACGGTTGGGCGTACACAGAACGAAAATATGAAGTGTTTGAAGCAATATATACGCGTTATGCGTTGCTGGAATGCAATATGTACAGTTTGAAGAAATATATATATATAGAAATGAACTGGGCCCGAACCATGCAAGGCCACACTGCTTTATACCGTCGGCCATCCGCTCGACCAGGTGATGACATTCCATCCGAACTGGTACTGCGAGTCAGCAAGACCAATGGAGGTATCAGCTAGAGAGAAAAGTTAACCATCAAGTTCATCAAGATGCAATAGGGTAAAGTCAACTCACCATAATGGTAGTACAGAACAGTGCCGTGGGTGCTATCAGAAAAGACACCCTGGCCACCAGGTCCATAAACAGTCCCATGACTCTCTAGGACGGTAGTACCACCACCACTCAAACAGCTCGCGCCAGTTTGATCCACGAAGGGTCCACTGACTGCCGTGCTCCTGCACACCCTAATCTTGTACTCGGCACCAGTAGCAGGCTTAGACGTATCATAGCCACAGCAGATACCCTCACTCCAGAACATGTAATAGTAGCCACTGCGATAGTACATGAAGCTCCCCTCAGTAGCGTGGCTGCCCGCGGGCTGGTAGATGAGCTGGTAAGACGCACTCGCGGCCTTGGTGGCGGCCGAGTTCAAGGGGGCCTGGAAGATGCCGCCCCAGAAGGAGCCGAAGTTCATGTAGTATGAGGAACCCGAGGCGATGACGTTGGCGTCAATGGCGTTGTAGTTTTTGCTGCTGGTCGAGGTGACGCCCGTGGCGCCGTGGTCGACCCACGACCCGTATTCCATGGTCGTCGAGGTGGCGTAGCCGATGGCTGAGTTTTGCGAGCCGAAGGTTGAGACGCTGTAGTACATGATGTAGGTGCTGCCGACCTTTTGGACATCGGGGGCCTGTTGTCTGTCAGCAGGCATGACTTCAGAAGAATTGTCAATGTGGCTGACATACCCAGAGATCATCATTGCCCGCCAGGTTGATTGACGATCCGGCCGGGATCGCAGCACCTTGGTAAACCCACGGCCCGGTCAGGGCACTCGACTTCCAGATACCGATCAAGCTGCCCGTCTCGAAGCGGAAGTATACGCCATCCGAAGTTCGCTGGATGACAGATGGATCGTGAGACCAGCACTGACCGGAACATGCTCCAGGGTCAGCGTAGGCGTTGACGCCGGCGCTCAGGAGAGCGACCGATGCCAAGACGGCGTTGAAGACGCGCGAGAAGATCATATTCACGACGGCGGCGGCGGAAATGTCACAAATGATATCGTAACCCAGAAACCGATCATGATCGGCGGAGTCCCAGTATTTAAGCTGGAATCAACCATGGCCGGCCTGTACGGACTCAAAGCAGAGCGCTGGCTCGGGACTGGCGGAGAATTGAAAGTGGACGTTGGCGTGGTTGAAAATTAAGGGGTCCGGGCTCCCCTTTCTCATCACACGATACGCGCCTCCGCAAACTCTCCATCAGAGTCAATTCAGAACAGTGGCTTGGAAAAGTTGGGAAATAAGTGGATGATTGGTGGAACCCCGTTCACGACCGGACCATCTCAGTAATTCCCAATCAGGCAAGAAGCCACTATATTTGGCACATTTTCTGGGGTGCCGCGCGCCGCCACTAGCCCTTACCAATCCGATAACCGAGATCATACTTTCCCGCTGAAATGGGCAGAGGGTTTCCTGGAATTCGTATTCTGGTAACATAGCAGCCCCAGTTCACTTACTGAATCCACATCTGGTTGTTCTAGATCGAGCGTGCTCTCTTCTAATTACGACACCCCACATCTGAGCCCATATGCGCTCCAATGATATTTGGTCTACGGTAGTTCCTCCAATGATGATAGAAGTTGAGTTTGGCTAGAGTCATGACCTGCATTGATTACGATGGGATGGCAATGCACATGATTGCCGGCCTTTCTATTTTGAGTCTAGTGCCAGAATGCCATGGGTTGGGTGTAAGTATACTGTGCCTGATGGGTAACATTTGTCCCACCTGCCAAGTCGCTCGCACGAAGCAGGTGTGATTTGGACAGCAGGAAGACACCTCCGTGGATCTATATTGGTCGGTGCAAGTACCTGATAGGAATAGCTAATATTCGGCCTGCAATCACTGTACGTTTTGTGAGAAGCCAAAGATATCGTCCCATATTCCGCACCATACTCTCGTTACATATGAAAGAATGGATGGCTGCTTACCGCGTTGATTACACAGGGGGGAGGCTCTATGATTAAACAGGCTGCAAATATGACCTTCAGAGCTAAATTATCATGGTGTGGTCACAGAGGCCCTCCAACACAGCACTTCAACAAATTCTAATAATTGTGAAGGTTCTTAGGTCCATTGCGAAGGTTCCTTGACATGCCCTCTTAGGGCCAAATTGAAGCTATTCCCAACTTTGTCGTCGTTCCTTCTATAGCCTTGTCGGTGCCTTCATGTACCTTGTCCCTAAACCTCCTAGACAGTATCTTCAGTAATCGCTCCATAAGTCCGTTGGTTATCAGGTTGGAGCCTAGTTTATATACTAGCTTAATATGCTACTAACTGACTTTCTAGCGACTATAGTGAAATCCGATTTAAAAATATATTCGTCTTAATTACAAATTTGTAACAAGGCTTACTATAGTAAGTATTAGCTCTTATAATATATGTTATATAATGTCACGACCTGGGTTGCATCGCATGGGTATAGACCTCGATTAGGTGCTATCGACCAAGATTCTACTCTAAGGAGCGAAGGAAAGAAGATGACAACTTAGGTTTGAGGGAGCGCGACTAAGTCATCCACGCTTGGCGGGGCTCCTACAAGGGTTATGATTGGCTTCCCATCTGACACTGCCACGGCAGGTGTTCCAGCTGTAAGTCACCTGGTTGTAGTGAGTCTGCGAGGGTTAACCTTCACATATAATATCTCAAAGGTATTCTACTCTTTAGTTACCTATTTTAATAGTTTATCCTACGGTAGAGGTGTTGGACCTTCAAGGCTACTCCGTCAAGACTGCCAAGTCAAAAGGAGAAAAGTAAAGCCGCAAACCGTACGAAGTATGGGTCAATATGACCTCTACCCATTGAACCACACAAGTCCTGGCTGTGGGGCAGGCATCAGTCATTTCTGACTATATAAGGCCCTTATGGCCGCCCTTTACTTCTCTCTGGACTCTCCAGAGGTCATGACACTTTCAATACAAGACCATTTGCCCACCCACAATCCAATAAGAGGTTCGTAACGCTAAAAACCCTGTAATTTTCATATTATAGGTTAGACATAGAGTTAAGAAAGTATGGGCATGGGGTTAACTATTGTATTGTGTTGTACCATGAGCAAGGAAGGTCGAAGGTCCTGTCCAATCATTTAGCTATGTACAGGTTCGTATGCAAGGGCCCAAAGGGTCGGCAGATCCATCATCCGGCGGGCTACCTCATGGCCGTGACGTATAACGAATAGCTTTCAGGCCGGGGCTTAAAATAGAAATTTAGCGGAAACGAAGCGGAATAATTAAAAGTACAAATTCTATAGAATCAAGTGCTGCAGTTGGTACAGTTGCTACTGTAGCTAGCAGGCTAGACCCTTCCTTTCATCCTTAGAGAGCAAGAGCACTTTCCAGAGCCTATTGAGACTAAACTACATAGCATAACGCGTGAAGAGGCATAGCGGTTAATATGATATCTGCGGGATAGACGGCCTCATGTCATGGTGAGGTACACATATGATACTTTAGTGTCCTTGTGCGGCGTGGACCCCACCTGTTATTCCCTTCTTCACTTTCGTATGTAGCCGAAATTTCAGTGCCAGCGGGATCCCGCATGCTAGTATCTTTCGTTCAGCAGTGTTGGTATTCCTGTAGGCTCATCTAGGTCGCCATCGCGATAATCATTCGGTCGTTTCTTCGATTAATTTAGTAGTCGCACGGCGGGACTGTATGTCTGATTGAGCAGTTGCAGGCATAGGCTGTGTGCTTCCTAACATAATAACCCCTGCTGTGTGTCACCCCAATGGCTGTGTGTCAACTAACCAATCGGACTAAGTTCCCCGAAAGTCATGTTGTCGGGTTTGAGCGCATGGACAGACGAACAACGAAGCTAAGGGGCACGCCGTTAGGATTGCGAGGACGAGAAGGCTGGCTCTGTAAACCATTAAGATGGCGACGGTGACGTCAGCACCATTATGCGCCATGCAATAGAGCCCCCGGGGACTGATTGAAGCACTTAGAGACGAGTACTGTTGGGAAATCGTGGAACAGTCGACCAGAGGGCAACCACAAAATTGGAAATAGCGTCATTGGCAAAAATGGTCTGGTGGTTGATGTGGCAGGCGGGTATGTGGAGTTAGTAGCCTTGGGTTACGGTTAGGTACACCTGATGTACTTTAGTGCCCTTGCGCGGCTTGGATACCCTCATCTGCACTTCCTCCGTTGAGCTTTATATCTGGCCGAAGCGAACCCGAGGTGTATGTCTAGACATATGAACAGAGGGAAGATTCCCTCGATTCCCCTAAAAAGACTGTTTAGGTATGAGACTTTGTTAAACACAACACTATTTTATGACTATAGAGGAGCATAAATGCATGAATGCTATGGCAGCTGAAAAGGGCGACCTTTGCTTAAACAGACTGCAAATATGTGCTTACAGCTGCATTATCATAGCATGGTCACCCAAGCCCTCCAGCACAGCACTTCAACAAACTCTAACAAATGCTGAGGCTCTCAGGCCCATTTCGAAGGTTTGGTCCCATAACCATAACCTTGACGGTTCCTAGTCAACATATGTTCGCCACTAATTCCACACCAAAATGAAGATGACATCCGACGGTGATAACCTGTAAATGTATTGAACATTTCTGCCTTACCATGCTTTCTGGAAGGCGGATAGCACAATATGTAGTTGATGGGTTAAGCTCGAAATTGAAGATACATGACAAGTATTGAAGTTTTAGAAAACCTGGAGAGATCCCGTGCGGAAAATCCGAAGTCTGTTGAAACAAAACTGAGTCTGGAACAGGATTTCAGACCCTGGTCCGCTGCACACCAAAGAGGACATTCGGATTATCTTAGAAGTTAGTGGTATACACTGAGCAGCTCTTTCCCAACCCTGCTGAGTTGCGGTAATTACATATTCCTGTCGATTCAACGCACCTATTTTACTCCCCAAAGTCCTGCCTCGTTCTATTAATTCAGTCTTTTCATTTAAAAGTACAAATTGAGTCCATCATGATATCCATGTTAAGCTCCAAGAAAATTGTTCAATTCTTCAATACAGTTAGAGCCGTGTTGATACTGGGTTCCATCTTCACCCGTCACGTTGGAACTCGACAACCACTATCGAACATGTGGAGGCAAATGATGGGTCTTAGATATAAGTGACAAAGAGGACCAGCTGCTAATGATGACCCTGAAGTGTTGTCTACCCTAACTAGTTATTCCTTAAGTAATACAACCTATACGAGACAATCCAGATGAGGGGCCGGATGATCTTGCTGCATGGCTCCTGTGGCCGATTGTCTATAGTTTGGAAGACACAACACGATCAGTTACTAATGGTTTTGACAGATTCTTCTGTGTGTCGTTATGCGTCAGCCCACGGCTAGATCCTGTCACCATTACCTTCACACTCCGGACGACTTGTGGTTAAATAAACACCAAAATACTGTAGTATAACCTCGAGGGCCATAATATTGTAGTGTGATTATACAGGCTATTCAACGAACTCTGATAACTGTTGAGACCTTCAGGCTGATTACGAAGGTTTGGCCCCATAACCAGAATCTTGACAATTGGCCAGGCCACGCATCATCAAATCGTCTCTAAATGCATGATCACACTCACGTGGACTAACCATGCGAACCGAGACTACTCGAACGATTTAGCATGCTGTATTAGCAAAGAGAAGAGTTACATCTCTCCAGCAAACAGTGTAGTTTGAAAACAACGAAAGTGGGGTATCACTACATACTCCACAAAAGATGAAAGACCTCGGTATCAACATCATCAACAGACTTATGTATGATTATAAAACTTCCCATCCAGTCCAAGCCCAAACACCGATATATGCAGCAGAGTAGACCAAAGAAATAATTCGCATTCCATCTATGTGTCACCAATGCATTCTCTTCATGCCATATTGTCACTATTCTTTCCCACCGTCGAAGGGCTATCCAACCCCGCCTCCTCCTCCCGCAATCTCCTCCTGCGGTCGTCCTCATCATCCTCGCTCATCAAGCCCTCAAGCTCAAATTCCTGTGCGTCTCTCACTGGCACAGTGCCATTTAATCTCGGACCAAGACGGCCATTGACCACATCCTTTGTCGGCTCCAGCGGGTTTGCGTTGCGGTCATACAAATTAATGAGCATCATAGTGAAGAGGAAGACGATGAAGGCGAGCGAGTAGAGAATCAAGACGTAGGCGACGTGGTCGATGCCCGAGTTGGCGACGAGGTCCATTTGCTCTTCGGTGGCACCCATGAATAGGAAGCCGGAGGCATAGAGTAGCTGTAATTTCATTAGTGTTTGGTGGGAGAGGTCTGGAAAGGGGGAAACTCACGAAAACAGGGATGTATTGGAAGCTCGACGTCTGACGTCCATCCTCCGACATGCCGTTGCGGTCCTTGACCACAAAGGATACCTCAATCATACGTGTGACACCGGCGGACATGAGCGTGTACCCAAACATCTTGTGCGTCATGGCGCTGATCATCAATTCCTGGGGATGCGAGCTCATGGCCCAGCCGGTAATCAAGAGTACAAATCCGGGGATGAAGTTGCGCTGCGGTCGACCATCACGATCCTTGCTCAGCCAAACGCCGGCCAAGCCGGCACACCACCAAACAATACCCATGGTCGTGTGCTGCCAGTCGTTCCGGACCCAGGCCGTACCCCAGCGGTGCTCGGTAAAGGTGTTGACGCAACCCCAGGCCGCAATGACGGCACTGTCGAAGAACTCCTGCGACCGGCCGGTGCGCTTCAACCAGATCTGGCCGATGATGAGTAGGAGCGTGAGGATGATGCCGTACGCGATGAATGCGCTGCCCATTATAAAGTGCGCCAAGCATTGTCCTAGATGGTCACCCTGGCAGAAACCCAGAGAAGTAATGCCGCCAAACAACATCTGAGTCCAGGCGAGAATGGGCATCGCCTTGCCGAGAATTCCGTGGCCCAGCTTCACATATCGTCGAGCCTTGCCATTGAACCCCGTCTCCAGGTGCAGCCGCAGGTAGATGCCTATGATGACTTGGGAGAAGAGCATCAGCATCAAAGGTTTGGCGAACTTGGAGTGTACGTTGGTGTGGAGGAATTCGCGGCCGCCGTGCATGTGGCCGAGTGCGTAGCCCAGGATGGAGAGAACGGTGCCGAACACCTGGATGGGGACGTGCCATCGGTTCTTCACGATCTGTTGACCCAAGGGACGGTTAGATTAATGACGGACAGAGAGGGCAGCGAGGGGAACATACACCAAGTACCATGCCGACAGGAAATATTACGCCCCAGGCAAGCATTTGGATAAATATATGAACCCATAGTATTGCGTCCTGCATTTTCAATCAGCACCGATCCTTCCGTCATGTCTCTTCTGGCCCCTATCGTCTGTCGTGGGTATCGAGTCGGATGAACGTACAATGGGATCCATGGAGATGGTCTGCCCCTCCTCGATGCGGGAGGAGTCATGGTCGTGTCCTGAGGCCATCGGAACGGCAGCCAATAGCAACGTAATAGTAAACAGAGAGGAAAAAGAAAGATGGCCTGAAGTTGTGGTCGAAGCCATCTTGCCTCGAGCACCTGGCGCAACGGGATTTCGCGGCCGCAAGTGGAGGGTAGGGAGGGTGGCACCCCTGGTTGACGCGTCGCAGAGTTGCGGGGCGAGGCGTTGCACTCGGCCGTCGGTTGGTCCACGAGATCTGATGAAGAGCGTCGTCGCCGTGAGAAACAGATCAAGCGAATGTCTGCTACTATTTTTGGGAATCCGAGGGTATTGTGAAAAGCTGACGGTAGGAAAAGAAAGCACCGCCGGGACAAGAAGACGAGAGTTCTATTGCAGATTATCGCCGCAAATCCCCGCCGACATCCAGATCAATTGCTGACAACACCGCCAACCGTAATGGCCCACGCTAGCACCCAGCGATGCGCCAAGGCCCAACTTCCCTAGCGGTACGTACCCGTCGAGGCTCATTAAAATTGATGTCGAATCATTGGCTCACTTCGAGGGAATGCGGGTCCATGCCCCAACGGCTTACCCATGCTCAATTTAAGTATTTCCCTACACTCCATCCGAGTGGCTCGAGTCTTCATTAAACATTGCCCTCAAGCATCCAGATCGTCGAAAGAAGTCACTGCCCAATTGCTCTACATGTAGCAAGCTGGCTCCCCAAACTCTATGTCCGCTTCTCTAGTACGCCTAAATAAACTATCTGCTTAGTCCAATTGTCATGGTCACTACCGCACTCCCAACTTGGTCTATTTAGGGTCGTCCCATGCAGCGGTCAAAACATCACTTACTCAAGTTGGTCGGCATATGAATATAGCGGATCAAAGAAATTGGAGTAGACGAGTCATTTTAACAGCGCAGTTCTTTTTACCGCTGTATTACTATCGCCTCAGAACATCATATCCTGTTCCCTGATTCGTCGCAAAGAAGTACATAAATACGTTGGTTGCACTACAAATGAACAGGTTTGTGACATCTATCTTAGTAGTACCGTTGCTCGATATACTGGTCTGAAGCTCGGGGAATTGCGTGCACTATCGTCACAAGGTCAAAAGCTCTGCGGTATTCTGGATGCCACCTCTGCTTCAAGTGCAGGCTCTCATTTGAGTTCAGTGTCTGTTGTCAATATTCGTACTGGGATCAAACTGCCATCAAGACCTACCAGTATTCCAACATCCGTCGTTGTCAGCAGCATGATAATATATCTCTTTTTACGCGGGAAGAGCCACTGGTGTCCCGTTGGCCTCTCGGTCGTTGGTGTTGGAATAATATTTCCGAGCGGATACCGAAAAGGGGCAAGTATTTCGGCCTGAACCGACTGAAGGCGTCTATCTATGCGATCGGGACCGGCAAGATAGGAATTGCAGCCTTCTTATTCCAGACAGGGGCTTTGGCCTGTACTCGCCGCTATGCTGCGGTGCTGATGCCCCTGAGATAGCAGAGCATGTAGTCCTCTTCTGCGAACCATTGGAAGGACCCAGGGAACGACCACGGGCCGCTTTCGCACCGCGGCCGCTATACTCTCGCAGGTACGTGAAACTATCCAGGTGACAGAAACTGTTTGTTACTCAAAAAGAATTGTTTATTTCGTGTATTAAATCCTATTTTCTTCTTAACCTGATGTAAATAACCCCTAATACTATGGGTTGGATTGCATGCTTGTAGCTTTTCAATGCCACAAGAGTGGACTCCTGTTTCCTGTCTAAAATGACGAGACGGTATGTGATCCAGCTAAAAAGGTTTCTTGGCAAGTATTTGAGAAAATGTCAATATAAGTACGTGGTACGAAAAAGCTTGTCATATGAGATTATAGGAGGAGTGAAGGATTCGATCCTTTTTGAATATTCTGGTTTCTTAGGTTAATCCTCTGTATTGTGTCGGCGTTTTATCTGACAGTCACATTTTCAGGGGTTGCTATACAAGTCTGAAAGCCATAGAATAGTTCCCCTAACCGTAGGTTAAGAACTTCGCAACCAATGCTTCATCATTGATCAATTGATCGTCGGGTCTCACGGTAGCTCAAATCTGAGCATGGTGTCATGGGTCGCAAGTGATTGTATCTGTATGTGCTCGATATGAATGGTATAGACGGCGATGTTGGCCTCACATGCACAAGTGGCCAATTAAACATGCAGACTTGGCCTCTTTCCTGTTGAGCATTCACCGCAAGTTATCCTCCTATCAAATTTGTCGTCTTTCGATTTTGCCTCGTTGGGGCGCCTGCTGACCGGAATGCGCCCAGTGACTGAATATAAGTAATACCAACGTCCAGTCAAACGGGTAACAATCTTTTTCTCTTTCTTCACCTCACCCTCGCATATCATAGTAACTCACTCTATTGACTGAACAAGCCCCTTGCAACTTTATTCATACTCCATGGACGGCAGAACTTACCGTTTTGGGGCACCGTAGTTCTTCATCTTGCTCATAGACTAGTTGTTGAAATGCGGATGATTCATAAGCTTTGGGTCGCCATCCGCACAAATGCAGCCTTCTTCTACTCAATACAAATACAGCCAGCAGTTTGCAGTTCTACGATGTAAGCTCGTGAGTCGTCAATCTATCATCCTATTGTCCACGGCTGATCAAGTATGACTTAGGCAGATCGACCCTCCTGGTACGACATTAAAAGACTTGATGATTCATCATTAAAGCCTGTCAATCGCACCTGTGCGATTGACCACAAGGATCACATAACGTACAAAAAAGAAAGGGGCTCAAAACTCATCATTTTCGGGCTTTCAGCGCCCTAGACTCAGCTCAACATTGCCTACGCCATGTTCTCCCCAACTGAACAGCGAGACCCCCTTTCCATCTTTAGTAATTTTTCCGCAGAAAAAACGACCAGCGGCTTTTCTTTTCCATTTCCGGCTCTCAATGAATTTGATTTCAGCAACGACCTCTTCCCCCTTTTCGACTTTTCCTTTTCGACATTCTACTTAACCTTGAGTCCATGCAATGTGGAGGTCTACTAGGATGCCAACTTGCTTCCTCATGGCCACATTAGGCAGATCAACCGTCCCGGGTATGACGTGAAAAGACTCAATGCTTCACGCTAACGCCTGTGGAAAGCACCTCTGCGAATGATCACATTGATCACATTATATACAAAAGAAAGCCGCTTGAAACTTGTCGGGTTCGGGGTTTCAACGCCCTAGACGCGACTCAACATGGCCTACCCCATGTTCTCTCCACCTGAACAGCTAGACCCCTTTTCCACATTCATGGATGCCTTCAGCAGTACCAATGACGGAAACCTGAACGACGTTTTTTCGTTTCCATCTCCAGATCTCAACGAATTTGATTTTAGCAACGATTCATTCCCCTTTTTAGACTTCCCACCTGACCTTGAGCCATCCAATGACGATGTCAACTTGCTTCCTTATAACCACATAACTTACGATATAACAACTGGAGTCACTGTCAATGATCAATGCCTCAGTTACCACCTGCACGGCTGGCCTCTGAGATCACAAGGATTGACTACGGGACGCTGAACCTACAAGAAACGCGTCAATATGAACCATTTGACCATAACAAGCTGTTATTGCCGGACAGCGGTATAAATCCAGGGCTAGACTTGACGCATCTTCGTCAGATACCCCCCACCGCTCTGTATAAGCTTCCTGGTGCGGAACTTAGCCCCGTATTGAATATCTCAGCATTTCTGGACCTCGACCCAGGCGAACCAGTTGACCCTGATCCGATCCCCCCTGTGCAAGAGGTTCTTTCTATGAACTTAGTGAGGGGCTCCTTCGAGGGTATAATGTCACAAGAGCAGCGCCAATCGCAGGCATCACGCACATCATACGAAACTCCTCCTGCTTCTCATGGGACGACAGTCAATTCTCCAACCTGGCCTTGCACACACTGCTCAAAAGTGTTTCCCAATAAGAGCCAACTAACGTAAGCGACCCATTCCCATTGTGTTCCGAGCGACATTCCTAATAACCGCAGAATCCACGGGCTGCGGTACATCAAACCTTACGGATGTACTCTATGCCCCCAAAAGCATGGCGCTTGCCGAGATCTGTATCGACACGTCTGGACTGAACACCCGGAACATGCGGTCGAGAATAAAGTGCCATCGGAAAACAAAACCTGCAAAACTTGTGGGATGGTGTGCAGGCAAGATAATCTCAAACGCCACATGAGGATCAAGCATGGTGTGGAACACTCGAAAAGGGGATTATCTAGGGGGAAACGGGGAAGTGAATGGTAGATAATTTTCCTTTACGGTAATAGATTTCAGGGTTAACCTATTTTCTAATAAAACCTCCTCCAAAACGAACACACATATGATCTGAATCGAACGGTGTATTGTCCTGTGTAGGATTCCATATGGTGGGTCATTCCAAAAAGATTTCACCTCGTCAATAAATAAACTTCCCTCATGACAACGCACCCTCCAAGACCGCATTCAAACACAGCAATAGATTCATAAGTGTCCCCAAGGCTTGAGAGTAGAACACAACGCTCGAGCCATGCCATACGGCCGCGCTAAGGGGAAACGCCACTCCTATCAAGTTACCGGGTATACACTTCAATATGACAGGGACAGTTAACGATATCCAGGGAGGTCGCGGCCGCCAGAGGCAAAGGGTAAAACTTTAGATGGCATATTTTATTGCCACATTCTTGACTAGATTGCTTATTCAAATAGAATAGTCGACTTGTGCTGCTATAATTGCTGATTACACCGCTATTTGCCCCTGCAGAGTCGAAAGTTCTGAGGTACTGGAGATGAAGGTAGCCTAGATCTTTGCAACTTGCATGAATAAATAATCCGATAGTTCAGCGTTTCACTAGTATAATATACCAACCACATAATATATCTCAAACCAAGCCTTGGATTTGCATATTAACCTCAATATCTTAGTTTCTTGTAGAAGAGAAAGTCATAATAAGAATGTTGTGGCACAAATTCATCAACAAGAAGTCTCAACAATTACTTCAGCCTTTTGGTTTAGGAGATAGCATCTGTTGATTTCCAAGTCTCTCATCATAGCTCAGAAATGCAATGCCGCCTCACTACGGCCATTGAATATGTTGAATGATTCCTTGTCTATGTCAGACTTTTGGATCCTGTAGCATACCTAGAGTAATAGCATTGCGAATATCATACCGCAGTCTACCCACTAATGAACAATGCGGAAACTCAACCCTCAGGATATGGGTAATCATTAGCAGAGAGGGGTCGGGGTTTGATAGCCAACTTAATTTTGTTTGATTATTGGAACATATGGAACTTGGAGGTTTCTGACTTTCATCGATAACTTCTTCGAACAGCGTCAAATCATCAAACCGATTGCGGCATTCGATTCCTAACGACCGTTTACGTCGGACAGTGA